CCCGAACGTATGAAACCCGAAAATGAATAAATGTTATATTTGTTTGAGAATAACCTCAAACGTTCCAAAATTTCATCAACCAGCCACATTTGCATGAGCCAGAACATGAGCTAACCTCAAGCTTGGGTTATTAAACCGAAGAGAGAATGCATCGTTTCGCAAGAGAGAGAAAACGGCTGCCGATTTTTGTTGGGGAACGAACGACACTTTGTCTAGCGCTTTTCTTTCTCTCCTTTTGCGCGCTATTTCACTTTGCATTGCAGAAAATAACAGAAATTTACTGTAGACATGAATAAAATACGGTTCTTCAATAAAAAACGGGAAATCGATTAAAAATTTTTAATCTCGAATATTCGTTCACGAAAAAACTCGTGAACATTCCAAAATTTCCATTTCCAGCCACGTTTTCACGAGCTGGAACATGAGCTAACCTCAAATTAGGCTATAAATAGCAACGGGATCAACCTTCACCTCCACCACATCAACATCCCTGACGATTTTTGAACTGGGGAACCAAAACAAATTTCTCTGTCTTCTCTTCGCGTCTCTTTCTTTGGCCCTCTCTCTCCTCTCTCGATGGAATTGGCAAAATCGCCGTCTTTGGGAACTTTTTTTGCTCGGCTAGCGGAAAGGAGAGGAGAAATGGAATGGAACCAGAGCGACGAATGTGTACGCCCATAGCCCGTTGAAAGCACGCCATCCCGTCCGATCTGGCAAGTTAAGCAACGGTGCGCTTGATTAGTACTTGGATCGGAGACGTCCTTGGAATCTCAAGTGGCGTACGCATTTTGCAATTTTTGGTATTTCAAAAGTTATTGTAGATCAAGATACGAGCTCATATCATGATTTTTGACGTTCAGTAAGCTAATGTTTATTAAAATCGCAATTAACAATGTAAAATACAGTAATTCCCCGAACGTATGAAACCCGAAAATGAATAAATGTTATATTTGTTTGAGAATAACCTCAAACGTTCCAAAATTTCATCAACCAGCCACATTTGCATGAGCCAGAACATGAGCTAACCTCAAGCTTGGGTTATTAAACCGAAGAGAGAATGCATCGTTTCGCAAGAGAGAGAAAACGGCTGCCGATTTTTGTTGGGGAACGAACGACACTTTGTCTAGCGCTTTTCTTTCTCTCCTTTTGCGCGCTATTTCACTTTGCATTGCAGAAAATAACAGAAATTTACTGTAGACATGAATAAAATACGGTTCTTCAATAAAAAACGGGAAATCGATTAAAAATTTTTAATCTCGAATATTCGTTCACGAAAAAACTCGTGAACATTCCAAAATTTCCATTTCCAGCCACGTTTTCACGAGCTGGAACATGAGCTAACCTCAAATTAGGCTATAAATAGCAACGGGATCAACCTTCACCTCCACCACATCAACATCCCTGACGATTTTTGAACTGGGGAACCAAAACAAATTTCTCTGTCTTCTCTTCGCGTCTCTTTCTTTGGCCCTCTCTCTCCTCTCTCGATGGAATTGGCAAAATCGCCGTCTTTGGGAACTTTTTTTGCTCGGCTAGCGGAAAGGAGAGGAGAAATGGAATGGAACCAGAGCGACGAATGTGTACGCCCATAGCCCGTTGAAAGCACGCCATCCCGTCCGATCTGGCAAGTTAAGCAACGGTGCGCTTGATTAGTACTTGGATCGGAGACGTCCTTGGAATCTCAAGTGGCGTACGCATTTTGCAATTTTTGGTATTTCAAAAGTTATTGTAGATCAAGATACGAGCTCATATCATGATTTTTGACGTTCAGTAAGCTAATGTTTATTAAAATCGCAATTAACAATGTAAAATACAGTAATTTCCCGAACGTATGCAACCCGATAATGAATAAACGTTATATTTGTTTGAGAATAACCTCAAACGTTCCAAAATTTCATCAACCAGCCACATTTGCATGAGCCAGAACATGAGCTAACCTCAAACTTGGGTTATTAAACCGAAGAGAGAATGCATCGTTTCGCAAGAGAGAGAAAACGGCTGCCGATTTTTGTTGGGGAACGAACGACACTTTGTCTAGCGCTTTTCTTTCTCTCCTTTTGCGCGCTATTTCACTTTGCATTGCAGAAAATAACAGAAATTTACTGTAGACATGAATAAAATACGGTTCTTCAATAAAAAACGGGAAATCGATTAAAAATTTTTAATCTCGAATATTCGTTCACGAAAAAACTCGTGAACATTCCAAAATTTCCATTTCCAGCCACGTTTTCACGAGCTGGAACATGAGCTAACCTCAAATTAGGCTATAAATAGCAACGGGATCAACCTTCACCTCCACCACATCAACATCCCTGACGATTTTTGAACTGGGGAACCAAAACAAATTTCTCTGTCTTCTCTTCGCGTCTCTTTCTTTGGCCCTCTCTCTCCTCTCTCGATGGAATTGGCAAAATCGCCGTCTTTGGGAACTTTTTTGCTCGGCTAGCGGAAAGGAGAGGAGAAATGGAATGGAACCAGAGCGACGAATGTGTACGCCCATAGCCCGTTGAAAGCACGCCATCCCGTCCGATCTGGCAAGTTAAGCAACGGTGCGCTTGATTAGTACTTGGATCGGAGACGTCCTTGGAATCTCAAGTGGCGTACGCATTTTGCAATTTTTGGTATTTCAAAAGTTATTGTAGATCAAGATACGAGCTCATATCATGATTTTTGACGTTCAGTAAGCTAATGTTTATTAAAATCGCAATTAACAATGTAAAATACAGTAATTCCCCGAACGTATGAAACCCGAAAATGAATAAATGTTATATTTGTTTGAGAATAACCTCAAACGTTCCAAAATTTCATCAACCAGCCACATTTGCATGAGCCAGAACATGAGCTAACCTCAAACTTGGGTTATTAAACCGAAGAGAGAATGCATCGTTTCGCAAGAGAGAGAAAACGGCTGCCGATTTTTGTTGGGGAACGAACGACACTTTGTCTAGCGCTTTTCTTTCTCTCCTTTTGCGCGCTATTTCACTTTGCATTGCAGAAAATAACAGAAATTTACTGTAGACATGAATAAAATACGGTTCTTCAATAAAAAACGGGAAATCGATTAAAAATTTTTAATCTCGAATATTCGTTCACGAAAAAACTCGTGAACATTCCAAAATTTCCATTTCCAGCCACGTTTTCACGAGCTGGAACATGAGCTAACCTCAAATTAGGCTATAAATAGCAACGGGATCAACCTTCACCTCCACCACATCAACATCCCTGACGATTTTTGAACTGGGGAACCAAAACAAATTTCTCTGTCTTCTCTTCGCGTCTCTTTCTTTGGCCCTCTCTCTCCTCTCTCGATGGAATTGGCAAAATCGCCGTCTTTGGGAACTTTTTTGCTCGGCTAGCGGAAAGGAGAGGAGAAATGGAATGGAACCAGAGCGACGAATGTGTACGCCCATAGCCCGTTGAAAGCACGCCATCCCGTCCGATCTGGCAAGTTAAGCAACGGTGCGCTTGATTAGTACTTGGATCGGAGACGTCCTTGGAATCTCAAGTGGCGTACGCATTTTGCAATTTTTGGTATTTCAAAAGTTATTGTAGATCAAGATACGAGCTCATATCATGATTTTTGACGTTCAGTAAGCTAATGTTTATTAAAATCGCAATTAACAATGTAAAATACAGTAATTCCCCGAACGTATGAAACCCGATAATGAATAAATGTTATATTTGTTTGAGAATAACCTCAAACGTTCCAAAATTTCATCAACCAGCCACATTTGCATGAGCCAGAACATGAGCTAACCTCAAACTTGGGTTATTAAACCGAAGAGAGAATGCATCGTTTCGCAAGAGAGAGAAAACGGCTGCCGATTTTTGTTGGGGAACGAACGACACTTTGTCTAGCGCTTTTCTTTCTCTCCTTTTGCGCGCTATTTCACTTTGCATTGCAGAAAATAACAGAAATTTACTGTAGACATGAATAAAATACGGTTCTTCAATAATAAACGGGAAATCGATTAAAAATTTTTAATCTCGAATATTCGTTCACGAAAAAACTCGTGAACATTCCAAAATTTCCATTTCCAGCCACGTTTTCACGAGCTGGAACATGAGCTAACCTCAAATTAGGCTATAAATAGCAACGGGATCAACCTTCACCTCCACCACATCAACATCCCTGACGATTTTTGAACTGGGGAACCAAAACAAATTTCTCTGTCTTCTCTTCGCGTCTCTTTCTTTGGCCCTCTCTCTCCTCTCTCGATGGAATTGGCAAAATCGCCGTCTTTGGGAACTTTTTTGCTCGGCTAGCGGAAAGGAGAGGAGAAATGGAATGGAACCAGAGCGACGAATGTGTACGCCCATAGCCCGTTGAAAGCACGCCATCCCGTCCGATCTGGCAAGTTAAGCAACGGTGCGCTTGATTAGTACTTGGATCGGAGACGTCCTTGGAATCTCAAGTGGCGTACGCATTTTGCAATTTTTGGTATTTCAAAAGTTATTGTAGATCAAGATACGAGCTCATATCATGATTTTTGACGTTCAGTAAGCTAATGTTTATTAAAATCGCAATTAACAATGTAAAATACAGTAATTCCCCGAACGTATGAAACCCGATAATGAATAAATGTTATATTTGTTTGAGAATAACCTCAAACGTTCCAAAATTTCATCAACCAGCCACATTTGCATGAGCCAGAACATGAACTGCGACCGTCTTTTTTAAATTGCATCCCGTCCGACGCAACAACTCTACTTGAATGTCATCTTGCATTTTTTGGCTGGTGCCCCGCCACGAAAACAATTTTTGCCAAAAACTGATGCGGAATGCCAAACAAAAAATATATTTTTATTTTTCTCAATTTGGATTTTTGTAATCCTTGTGTGGATAACAAGAAAAGTAGTAGTAAACATCCTGTAAGCAGATTATTTCGAGATTCGTTAGCCCAAGTGGTGAAACGGCCAAGTGGAAGGTGCGAGTTATGTTGTAAACTGGCTGCAACTTCTCTCCCTTTCTCCATATTAAATTTAAACTCCGAAAAACGATGGAACCCGCAACGTTCAACGTTCTTCAGTTGTCGTTTTCGTTTTTGCTGGTATTTTCGGCCTACAGTTCAGCTGCTTTTATATCTGAGGTGTTATTAGACCAATATGCCGAAAAAGGAATGCTGGAGAAGCATGCCGGCTATCACAGGTAAAGACGCCACATTGATGAAACCTCTGCGGTTTTTTAGATCATAATTCACATTCGTTATTTTTAGCCAGGCCATTATTTACGTTGTTTTTACCTTCTCAAACTTCTTCGCTGCCCCAATTTTAAATAAAATCGGGACAAAGCCCTCGCTAATCATTGGGGCTTCAACTTATTTGGTATTCCATATTGGATTTATTGTCTTGAACGAGATTTTATTGTATGTTCTCTCAGCATTCCTTGGATTTGGCGCCGCCAGTAAGTTTTTATTATCTTATCCATGACCTGATGTGTTTTTAGTTATATGGACTGCTCAAGGTAAATATTTATCATTGAATTCGGGTGACTCGAACACTTCAAAGCATTCTGGATTGTCGTGGGCCATTTTTCAGATGTGGTATGTCGTTTTATTTTTAAACTTGATTAGTTTTGTTGTTATCCTTGCTTATATAATTGTGATTTTAAAGTACGCGCTTCCGTATAACTACGTACACACTTGGCAAAAATGCAATAAGTCGCGTTGAGACTCAAAAAAATAATTTTTGTACGGTAGAAAAATAATTTTTTTTTGTGGCTGGTGCCGAGAATTTTTTTGTTTGCGGATGGAATGGACGATTTTCGAGCCGTGGCGTCGTTGTAAGTATATTTTATGTATAATAAATGTATTTTTTTGTTTTTTTGTGAATATTTTTCTTAATTTTAGCTTCTTTTCAAGAAAAATTTTGATTTTTTAGGTTGAATTTTTCTGACGCGTCAAGAAGCGTGGATTCGAGGTCGTCCACATGAACCCACTGATGAATACGGTGTCCAGCAATTGAAGATAGAGCTCTTCAACTCCTTGAAACGAATATAAGGTCAGGATTGAAAAGCCAAAAGATCAATGGGGTATGTTGTATTGCTTGCTTTAGGTGTTTTAGGTACTAAAATTTTGACGTTTGATCCATAATGACGTAATATTGCATGTTTTTCTTTCAGATTTTCACAAATCCCTTTCCTTGAAGTCGTCAACGAGGTCTCGAACTTCATCAAGGGCGCCGAATAGAAAGAACCCAAGCCGTTGCCTTCGTTCCAATCTCTGGATTCAACCGGGACAAGATTTAGTTGATCGTGTCCGTGATCACCAAGAATATTAGCTTCATTCCTCTAACATGTTTATGAATTCGTAAAAGAATACAAAATAAAAGTTTACGTTGAACCAATTATTCTATTTTTCTTTATTGTAACTAAATCTCAAGTGGCAAAATGAAAAAAAAGAAGCTGAAAGTAAACTATTTTCAACACAACTTTTCTGGACCTTCTCGTCAGGGATGTTCTACATGACCTTGCAAAGGCTTTTCGATATTGACCTTGCCTTCATCGACCTTCTGCTTTTCCACTTCCAATACAACCGTTGAAGAATTGTACGCGACGAAACCGTTGTTCTACATCGATGTACTCATCAATGGGTTCATGTAGATGACCTCGAATCTACGCTTCTTGACGCGTCAGAAAAATTCAACCTAAAAAATCAAAATTTTTCTTGAAAAGAAGCTAAAATCAAGCAAAATATACACGAAAAACAAAAACATATATTTATTATACATGAAATGTACTTACAACGACGCCGAGGCTCCAAGATTGTCGATTCCATCCGCAGAACAAAATTCTCGGCTCCAGCCAAAAAAAATAATTATTTTTCTACCGTACAAAAATTATTTTTTATTGAGTCTCAACGCGACTTATTGCATTTTTGCCAAGTGTGTACGTAGTTATACGGAAGCGCGTACTTTAAGCCTGATATGCGGTGGAGTTTTTCTTTATTTTCTCTTCGATCAAAGCAGCTTGGAACTCAAGAATTTCACCAAGAATATGATGTTTGGAATCTTCGCTGGAATTACCTTCTTTGGAATCGTAATCATGGCCTTATTACGTAATGTAACTGACGCTGAACAAAACGAAAATGTCGAGGGAACTTTTGGATTGCCTGCTACTGATAGCACTGTGGGAATTGTCAGTCGAGATAATGTGGTTGCCGATGCGGATGGTAATATAGATGTTGTTGGTGAAGGAGAAGGTGACCTTAATTACGACGTAATAAGAGGTGTAGAGGGGGTCCAAGAAGTTGTCAGAAGTCGAGTGGAAGATGACATCACCCTTTATGAGAGACTCCGTAAGTTTAAGAAACATTTATTAGATTTAAAATGAAATTTTGTGTGAAAATTGTTTTTTAGGTATAAAATTTTATAATTTTAGAGAAAACAATATCTCTGGCCACATCCTCTCGGATTCGACTGCCCCTCATTTTGTTCATGTACTCTGGTATCACCCAAACCTTCTTTGGCGGGGTGTATCCATCAATGATTGGATATTCTCTCGGTTTTGGAAACAATCCAAAGAAAAATCTTGCTTTGAACATGATTTTCTATGGATGTGGGCAAACATTAGGTAAGAAAAGTTGTGTTTATAGTAAAATACAATATGGGGTTTTAGGTGGCCTACTATTCGGAATATTCTCAGAGAAAACGAAGAAGTTGGGGAGGGAGAAAATCGCCTTCATTGGTACAGTCATCGTTTTTATTGCATTTTCCTTGATTTTCATTAATTTCGCGGAGGATTCGCCATATCAGAAGACTGAAGCCGATGGAATTATCACTCCGAGGTAAGGGGTTTTTCGATTTTTTTGCTGAGAATAAATCGCAATATTAGAAAGACGTATTTTACGTTGTCGTTTAGCCTGATCCTCGCGTTGTTTTGTGGATTCCTCCTTGGTTGTGGCGATTCTTTATGGAACACTCAGATTTATTCTTTGCTGATTACATCCTTTTCTGATTGTTCGGCCGAAGCTTTCAGTATTTTCAAGTTCTTCCAGGTAATTAAAAACTTTTGAAAGCATGGGGAGAAGCGTATTTTACCCTTTATTTTAGTCCCTGGTGTGTTCTCTTGGATTCTTTTACGCAAAATGGTTTGTCTTGAAGATCCATCTTATTATCCTGGCCTTCTGTGCTGTGATTTCGACATTCAGCTTCATAATAATTGAGAGAAATTTGAGACGAATTGAATCCGTTGAGACGGAAGAGGAAGTTGTTGGGGAGAGGGCTGTTTTGTAACTGAATTTTGATTTTGAATTTTCATATCTAAAATTTTTAAACTTTAGCTGCAGATTGTTTACTGTGATATCATACTTTTCATACTGCATTCCCAATTTTTGCCCGGTTATTTCGGCAACAGATTTTGATTATTTGATCTTATTAATGTGTAATAAAGTTATTAAATGGCATGTGTCATTGAAATCATCACGTGTTGTTTGAAGAATTGGGTTAAAAATCTCAATGTCGATATTGGTAAAAGTCACGTAATTGTAAGCAGTTTGGTTGGCCGTCTGTTTACATTCAGCAAGTTTTTGATACGATTACAATCGAGTTTGTGAAGTGATATAAGGCGCGTGCGTTCTACTTCTCTTCGGACTTCCTCGCAGAAAACCCGCATTTCTTGTCTGTGGGCCCGCTAGACAAGAAACGCGCAATTCTTGTCTAAAATTGCGTAACATTGCGCAATATTGTGCAATTTTCTGCTCTCTGCCCGTGAAGATTTTTTTCTTTTTTTCTCTGCTCAGCCAAGAATTGCACATTTCTTGTCTAGCGGGCCCACAGACAAGAAATGCGGGTTTTCTGCGAGGAAGTCCGAAGAGAAGTAGAACGCACGCGCCTTATATTATTAATATAGATTATAGGAAAGTATTACAATTTGTTGTTTTGGGATGCATTCTAGTTTGTCAAATGATATGGTGTTTGGTGTAGGAGCTGCCAAGGAAATGGCTGAACAAAGCCTGGCAAGACATGGTTTTAGTAAAAATAAGAGAGATTTCTAGTTTACTTTGCACTAGGATTCCAAAACGATGATTACATACAATTATTTTCCTAAAAGTCACGTAATCGGTTAGTCTCTTCCACTGGTAATTGCTGTGAGATTCGATTAAATCAAGGAAATGTTTGTTCCGATATAGAGGTTTTTTTGTTTTTGCAGTTGCCTACAACGTGATAAACACGATGAAATAATTTAAAATAATTTTACACAAGCCATGCCATGTTGATAAATCATGTGCTGCTCTCAATGTTGGGGGTCTGATCATCCGGTTGTATGATGGATGAGGTTAATTTAACCGTCCTATTTTTCAGTAATTTAGAGATTAGGAGGAAATTGCTAGAGGTGCAACGGCTGGAGCAAAAGTCTACAGTAAGATTACAGTCGTAATTTTTGTAAATAAGATCCCGTAAATGTTCTATCGACTTTACTCTCTGATGAAATTTGCTGACATTTACGGAAAAAGTTTGTTTATTATTGGCAAGGGTTTGGGATGCTCTTAGTTGTCAGTATACATGGACAAAAAAATTATAAGAGTTTTTGTTTACTTAAACTACTATGTGCAATTAAAATTGAGTTGAGCAATTTTCATCGTTATATAGACGGATCTGCTCGCCTTGTTTATGTTGTAGTTTCTTCGTTGACCGCCATCGACAGCGAACTGAGAAACCGCTCCATTAACACTTGGAGAATGGAACTGAGCCACTGAGTGCTCGCTGATCCTTTTCATCTAGTTCATTGTATCGATTGTAGTATTAAACTTGTATACATACAATAGAAATTGGAGTGGGTTCATTCTTCAACTTGATAAATGAAATAAAAAATCGTACTCAATGTGAGAGTTACATTTACAATCTTTATTTCTCACCTTTGACCTTTTCTTAAACCCCGATTCTTCGAGTAATTGTGGGGTTAATTACGATTTATTGGGAAAATGGAACGTCATCATTTCAATCAACGAAGCACGGGCATATCACAGGGAAAAAGTAGTGGACTTCCATAGACTGATCTCATATTTCTTGACGGAGCGAAATTGTAATAAAAAACGTAAAAAGTGCACGATTTTTGGAGAATATGGGTGCAAAGTAATCGTTGACAGAGGTCAAAAAATGTTTTGTTGCAATGAAATTGCCATTGCAAAAAGTAAGTTTCCTTAAAACCGGGGTTTGTTAAACTTTTTGGATATTTCTTAATTTTACATTATTTCTGTTAGTATTGAAACGGTAACACTAGGTAGTTTCATTGTGAAATTTGTATTAACTGACTCATAACACGAAAGCATTGTTTGAAAAATTATGGGAAAATTATAGACAAATTTGATGGGTTTACATAAATAAAACGGAAGTACTCCTGTTTCGGTGAAATTGGCTCATTTCCAGATTATGGTCATAAATATTTTTAAGCATCTTAACAAGAAGAACGGATACACAGTCAAATTTAGTCGGTGATTTTGTAAATACAGGACTAAAATTTTCAGGGCGTGATAGTACTACAAGCTTGAATATCTATGTCAAATTTGAGGGGAGTCGGAAAGTAAATATCAGTTTTGACGTTTTCCTTGTTAGTTCAACGGTTATTCAAGGTCACTTTGTTGACGAGTATGATCACTAATTCAGGAAGTAAGTCTCTGAATTTATGTTTTTGTCTACTGGGAACCTTAACACATAGATCAAGGCAAAGTCAACAAATGTCAATTATTTATTCCAAATCACTCGATCTTATTTGAATATTATATTCTTTAAGATCGCGTACTAATTTTATTCGTATTTTCAACAGATTGTTTAATTTACATTGTTTCCTTTCATGATATAACTGTAATTTTTTATTAGCCTTCGGGTTCCCTTGCATTACCCTTATTTGATCTTTCTTGCTCTGATGACGTAAAAAGAACAACGTTTTCTTTACGATTTGGGTTCTTTGCTCACGATCAGATTGTAAGCGGCTTCTTCAAGTCTGCACTAAACGAACGGGTTCGAAAAATATGTACGAAGGAACTGTTCGTTCTTTGGTGTGACCCACATTTCCTGCAAAAAATCAGCGAAAAATTTTGGCGTTTCTCGACGCAACCCTTTACACTCATTAAATACGAAGCATACGGGATGTTGGTCTTGGTCATTCTTTGTGTCACGACTTTTAATAATTAATTTTTTTTTATTTTTTATGAAGTAGTCTGAAGTGAGCAGAGTACCCGTTCCTTGAAGATCAGATACGGTCGATTTTCAAGTTTCTCTCTGCAATTTTTCTTCGATTTCATGGGGTTTTTAAAGGTTATATACGGAATGTAAACAGAAAGATTTTCATGATTCTAGGAGTTACATAAGTCTGAAATCATAGCGCACTCGGTGAGCCTTGTTGGAAGAACCTGGAATGTCTGTATAAAGCAGCTAAAGAAGAGCGATTTCATTCCCTGCGTAGCATTTTTAGAACTTTCTATTGCACTGTGATATCAGCTTATTCTTTTTGCCAATGGCTATTCAAGTACAGTGTTAGTCATCACCTTTCTTTCACTGAATTCTGATTCACCCTATATCTCCGATTGTATACTGTATATTTGTAATCTTTATTACCCCATTTACCGTAGGATTTCATTGACTTTTTCAACGATGATCCCATTCGTCGGAAATGTTCTCTGACCGTGGTACTTTGCTCTAGACTAATGAATCTCACCGTTCGACGCCTCACACCAGTTCCTCCGTACGCATCGGTTCTTTGTGATGATGAACTTCATGTGAGTTATCCCTGCCTATCTTTCTCCTCTAGATTCATAAAATCCTGCAGTTTGTGATGTAGTTTAGAAGGTTTGTCTTATGTTGTTTGAGTTAAATACATTCCGTGTAGCTTGTGCAGACCATTCCTAAAACCATGCTGTCCGTCGGCGGCCCCTACAAACTTCAACCAAGGTAGAGTAGCGTGTTTTAGTGGTAGACTTTTTCAACGGTTTCCCGTCTTTTCCTTTTTTCCTTATACTTTCTGCTCCGAATTTTGATGACTTTCTCGACCCGAGTTTAATCGCCGACTCTCGTTGCCGCCCCTTTCATCGACCCACCCATCAATTGCCGCTGGCTATAAAAGCAAAGCGAGGCAGTCACATTGCTCAACTCAACAGTTACATTCAATTGTATCATCAGCTTTTCAACTGCGCCTAAGTTTGCTGCAAAAATGGCCTCAAGATTTGTTCAACTCTTGGCTTTCTTCATGCTTGTTCTCAGTGTCTACAGTCTCCACGATGGCATGACCACAGGCACCATCCTTGCCGGATATGGCGGTAACTTGGATAACGGAATGTTCTACAACTACAACGCCCAGGTTGCCCAGAACAGTGTCCAATATCAGCCCTACTACGGTAATGGCTTCTTCGGTTAGAGAATTGACTCTCTTGCGGACATGATTATTTATTGACCTCAACTTTGACATCTCCATGAAAATGATCTCACTATGTTGTATTCACTTTATTAGCTAATAAATCAAATATACATATACATGGTGCGGCAATTTTTAAATTCATGTTTTGAACACATTTTTTCTTTGGACACGAAACTGGAAAGCCGACATTTTTATAACTTTAAATGCCCCTAGTTTATAAGTAAACAGTTGGTACGGTAACAAAAGAGCTCTTGATGATAAAACAGAGGTGTGGTAGACAGCTGTAAAATATTCTTCTTCGTAGCTTAGAATATTTAGATTCAATTGTAATCCTGCTAATCCTGCTGCCAGAACTCTTTCAATAGAGATTACAGTGATACATTAGAGATTAAAGTAACAGAAATTACAGTAAACGCTTTCACACGACTCAAAACAACAACATTATTATTTATCGGTACTCTCCGATTTGTTTGTTTGGTCGCTCTTTAAACAATAATGCTCCAAAGTAATGCCCTTTGATATTTGTAACTCTTCGGAAGGAAAGGAATCATCTTTTCTTTGATGAATGACACTCGGATAACTACAGACACGGAGAGAACAAAGTATAACCAGGAAGGTTTCCATGACATGTGAGCTTTCTGAAGTTGCTTTTCGCGAATTTCCGACGATTGTGAAATGATGTAAAAATGACAAGCTTCAATTATTCTACACCTTGCTTTTAAGGTCCCGAAGATTACATTTGAATCATGCTTATAACAGCTTGAAAGGCGAAATGTCACAAGATTTACCAGAATTTTTGTGATATTTCATCTTCCAGATCGGAAAAGGCAAGATTCAAATGTTGGGGCCATTTGACTGCGATTTATTTTGACATTTCAACAATCCAGGAACTAAAACTTTGATTGACATGCACACTGTATACGACTGCTATCCTCGGTAACAACAAATTAAATTAACAGAACTGTGACACTGACAAAAGGCTTAAGGCATGTCAACAGTTATTAACCTTACTGGGAAGGCTGACCTGAAAACAATCTGGTCCTTCCTTTCTAGTTTTCTGTCAAATTAACTTTACACTCCGTTGTAAGAGTGTAACCAAAGGTTGGATGTGGTTGCCATGAATCACTCAACATGTTATAGCGCTTTTTTATATAGCAAAATTGCTTTGAAATTTCTCTGAAAATATTAAATCGTTTTATCGGCAGAATGAGAATTCGTTTGGACAGATATTTATGAAGACAGTATACAATCTTTAATTTGTCATTTTTTGTTTACTGCACCAATTTTTATCCTGCATGTGATAAATAACTTTTCGCTATGAAAACTCGCCTGCGCTATAAATAACTGTAAAATGTGCACACCAACGGGAAAACATGACTTTTAAAAATTGTGTTGTCTAGTCTTGTCGATAAAACGATCAAAGTCCGAAGTCATTGTGACTGCAACACACATTGCCGCAGGTTTCGTTGAAAATTCCACGATTTTGCGGATCAGAAATTGCTGATACGAGATCTCCAGATCTTTCAAATTTCTTAGATTGTTCGAGGTTTTGAAATTTTGCGTAAAACGTGTGTTAAGTTTTGCGTAGGATCTTGATTTTTGAAGCCTTCAATTTAAGTTGGCCTAAAAATTGCCTTGCATCGGCGTTGAGACCACATTGTAACACAATTAACCCGCTGCTTCTCACGTGGATTCTCGGTCGGGATCTTCAATCAAATCTTGCTATTTCCGTCACTGCCAACCTTTAAAAGTCATTTAATGATCCAGTTTATCAATTTTGTTTATTCTAACGTGGTCGGAACAGCAGTTTGATGCAGAAGTCCGATCTTCAGCGATAAAAAACTATTTTTAAACGGAAAACCGATTTCATCGAAAAATTATTTTTAGTTACACAAGTTTGAGAACTTGACCAATGAACTTTCTTCAAAAATCATGACTAATCTCTGAAAGAAAGGTTAGATTTCACCTCAAGTTTTAAAAAGCAGAGAGAAAGATGCAAGTGTCACGATGTATTAAGGAAATGGGGGAATTCCAAGCATTACAAAGTAAGATTGGAAGCGATCTGCAGTCTCTGCAAAAGATTGGAAAACAACCCGCGGTTTGAACTATAAAATGTTTTCAAGGAATGTTATGAATCGTTGCAACGATCGTTGGCTTTTATTTACATCCTTGTAGCAAACAATTTTAAAGCATCAACGTGTTTTCAAAAATAAGAATATTGGGATCTGCCTCGGAAGATTGTACTTCAGAAACCTTGTACAATAAATCTGTAGCGTTAAGATAAAGGGGATGCCGAATGACCACCATTTATCTGGCACTCCTTGTAAGATGCAGTAAATTATGAAGGTCGTAGGCAGTGTCTTCTAAAGCCGTTTTTCAAGACGTTACCAGGCCCTTGTGCATTTACAGTGACTTTGTCCTATGTTACGTTGTTGTTAGGTGTCTAACACAACGTGTGCATTGTGGAACCAATGTTTCCGGTCCCTAATCCACTCACAGAACACGACCTGATTGTGTTTTGTTCCTTCCGAAAGTCCAAATTGACAAAAATACACGTTTTCTTCAATCACCAAATTGCGGATTACAGAATGCGAGGAGGTTGATTCTGTTTGAATGTGCATTCATTTAGTTGATGCGTTAAAGTAGTTTTCATAATACGTTTTTGAAATTGGTAATGTTTACTAAACCTTATGCAAAAATCATTTATTTAGGCACATCGACCACAGAAATTTCATCGACAAAAAAGAGACAAAAAATAAAGACAAATCTACCTCAACCCACGGCCTTTGCTGTAAATTTTCCGTCGCATCACAAACTCTAAGCAGAACGTTTTCCAAACTTTCACGTTGAAAACGCGAAATTTACGTTTTTCTTGTTATAATAAAACGGTTTGTGTTTTCACACTTTTACAACAAGTTTTCAATGCCATGTGACATTTTTGGACGGCAAAACAGAAATTGCACAAGTTCCACTCCAGAACACACCTCACAAACACTTTTGCAAGTTTTGCGCAAAATATAGCCTGGATAAGACTGTCATAAAATTCAGAGAAACGATATATCCTAAACAAGGCTCGGAAATCTACAGCTAATCTACAGCTTCCGACGGCTGTCTCTTTCCTCGATCTGGAAGTTAGATTAGCTGGATTAGCTGCGCAGTCTAGGTGAATGCTGGTCGGAATGGTCAGTAGAAGCGACCGCGAGCTTACTATAATATGAAAATGAGCAGCGAGTAAGATCTTCAACTTCCAAACTCTCCAAGAATTTTCCGACCTCAAAATTTGTCAACTTTTGTGCGCACAAGAGCATCTCTGAAAGCGTAATTTTTAAAATTCCTTTAATTTTCAGAGCTTCAGACAATATTTTTCTTATATGCTTTATAAAGTGGTCAATACCAAATTACACAAATTGTTGTCTGCTATTTATTTGCGACACAAATATGCAAAAATAAGATATGCATTAAACAAGTTGAGATCATTAAAATGAGTTGAGCCTGTATTGCAGAAAGTCCATCGGAAGCAGCGGCATTACTTTTTATCCGAAGAAGCCGTTTCCATAGTAAGGCGCATACGAGGCTGAGTTGTAGCCACTGGATGGTGCGAATGCGTACATTCCATCGAGATTCCCACCACCAGACATCAGAATTGAACCACTGGTAAGGCCATCATGGAACGGTCGAGCTGATACGAACATTACTGCTACAGTGTAGAGAACGATCAGTTGAACGAACACCTTGATCATCGACATTTGGAAAACTGTTTGAATTAGAATGAAGAACGTTTGAAATGTTTTGAATTGACTTCCTTCCCGCTTTACGGCTCTTTATACCTTCACAAATGTTTGTCAATTTCGATTAAAGGGCGGAGTCTGGAGTTAATTTGTATTCTGCGCAAATTAGAATTTGTGTTGAGAGCATTGCTCGAGGGTAATTTGGAGAGTTCAGGAAGAGACAAACTACAGTCAGCAAAAATATTCGATTTATGATCAAACTTCACAAAACAGCATGTTGAAATCATAGACAGTTCAGCAAATCTACGAAGGGAAAATGCTAAAAAAAAGGGCGAAAATGCTGTCTGAAGTGCAGATCTTGTAGAGTCACGCTGAATTTTAGTCTTTTCAGGTGAGGTCGTCACTTGGTGAAGAAAAAATGAAAAAAAACAAACTTTTGTTTTCGCGCAGTACCATGTTGCAAAAATCGCTCCAGCGACTTTGCAAACGGACGAGTAAAAAAACCTATTGATTTCTTTGATAATTGTAGGTTTCTTACCGAATCCCTGGTTTAAGGTACTGCAAGCATACAAAGAACGTGAAATAAATTTGTTTTTTGCCACCAGGTACCCTCACTTGTCTTTCGTAAAAATCTGTTCTTTACGTTGCTTAACCATTGTTTGCTTTTTGATGTTGGATGTTTGCGGTTTTTAATATCTTGAAAACATTGCTTTTCACTGCAAATTACAGTAGTCTGTTCCAAGTTTCGTAGTCTGACTCATCTGTATCGAGAAATTGCAATTTCCGGTATTCCATGCCAACGCAACAAGGCCTTCTGAATCACTCAAAAAACGTCTTTTGCAAACGTCATCATCCCTGAGGTTTCTGCTTTTTATGTTTTGTACGGGAACGTATTCTTACTAGAACTGCAAAATAACGTTTTACTGCGCATTTGATCTACAAACTACGGCGAAAGTAATGACTAAATTTTCTCTAGTCTTACGATAAATTTAAATTTAGGTTCGTTTTTAATGGGCTCCTTCGGGTTTTTGCAATGCCATCAAAAATTCAAAATCATGAAAGCAATTGGAGAATGCGACTCCCGTGATATTTACTTGAGGAAATCTTGTTGATGTTGACTTTGTTTTCAGCTACTTAACTCTTCAGAGTTTGACGAAATCAGCAAAAGAACACTGTAAGGCACAAAAATGGAGCTAAATATTTTTAGGTTGCGTAAACGTAGATGAGGCTAAGATCAAAGTGAGGTGGTTTTGAAAGTGCAATTTTTATTTTTGCTTTCCTCCCTTGTTTTTCTGTTTTTCGCAATTTTATTTATTAGGTTACCGTAAATCTCACAAAAAGAGGGAAACGTGATTTTTAAAGGCCTTCGAGAATGAACTGTGAGTTAAAAGTGTGCAAAATAAAAGCAAGGGAAGTCATCAGTATGTGATTCATTGTCTTTCTTCAAACTTGGCATAAGTAGATTGTACGTGGCAAATCATGTAATATCTTGCTGTAATATGATATAACTTTTATGAGCTTTTACATGGCTTCAAACAACCTAGCCCCTGTCTGTGATACGTCCTATTAATATCAGCAATTTCCTCGTCATTCTGAATGGATTTTGAGTTTGTGTGTTCTGAATCCTTCATAAAGATTCCAAAGTTCCTCGAGCCGCCAACCTTACACCTTGTACTTTTCGTAGTTCGTTCTTTAGATTCGTTTTCTGACCGATCGTTTACGTCCTGTAGTGTGAACTTTTCCGAATTTTCAACCAATCCCCAGAACTGAGCTAAATTTGCAAAGGACAGCTCCAAGATGACTCTAGTTTATACTCCATTTGTGTGTTTATTGGACCGTAAATTCTCCTTTAATTTTCGAATTTCGCTAATTTCGTAAGCCGACTCAAATTTTTCGTTCCTTGCACCAAATTTTCTCCCGAACTTGAGTACCCTGAATTAATTTGCAAAACTTTAAAGTAAATAAACATGTCGCTACCTGCAAATACTTTTGAAACAAAAACAAATCTTGCAAAAGTTTCTTTTTTTGTGATTTCAAAGGAAGTTCGATGGTAAAAGATGTCATCAAATTATGAATACAACCGATTGAGCATAGATCAGTTACTACGAACCATTTACGACAACTGACTACGTACTTTGTGATGGTTTTGCTGCTATTTATTTCAAAGAATGGTATCCAATAAAAACTGAAAGAATAAACAGGAAAACGTCGGATTTTTTCGAAAAAAATCGGAAAATACACAGAACACAGCACAAAAAAGAGCGCCAGCGGAAAATTAATTTCAACCCCGCATTTTTGACTTTTGGGTCAAGTATCATCAATTTGAACAACACTTACTAAAAATGAGTGTACTATAGAAGAAAGTAGTCATACAGAATAGCCAAATTATAAAGTAATTGCAAGCAACAGCTTCACGAATTAAGTAAACCTAAAGTCGATAGTCTTAAACTACACACACTTTTACTCTGTTGTAAATCAACAGAAACAGAAAATCACCAGCTTCTTTATACATGTATGATGAGAAATGGAGTAGCTTGTCTTTTCATTGAGTCAAATAATAATAGTCCGTTATCCGCGGGGATAAACGTATGCAAATTTCTTATGTAATACGAGTATCCGAATATTTCGATCGAGTATGGCAAATATTCGTATTCGTATTTGAAAATACGATTATTTGAGGACGAATACACGGTGCTAAGATCTACGTGAAAGCTCAAGAGTGCAGTCCAAAAATAAGTCTTAAAAAAAGTAGATAATTTGTAAATTTTTAGAAAGTGTTATTTTTTCCACCCTGCCGTACCTAGAGGTGGCAATCGGGCTAGGCCGGCCCGGCCCGGCCCGGCCCCTGAGCAGATTTGAAAAAGCCCTGGGCCGGCCTGACCGCTTCGGCCCGCGGGCCGGGCCGACACTTTCGGCCCGGCCCGGCCCGGAAGGTAGATAAGTAAAAAATTTTTAATGCTAAACCAGCAAAATAAAGCACAAATGCTTTGTAGAATGGATGGAAATTAGATTAAACCTTTTTTTGACTTATACGCTGTTTTACTACCTTTTAAAATTATCTATATGTATATGTAACTTATTATGTATATGTAAAATCCCACCCAAATATGCAAGGATCGGGCAAAAATCTTCGAATTTTTTTATCATAAATTTAAAAATTTCACTGTAATTTTGATTCCTTGATGTAAATGAAAGTGTTTAAACAGTTTTTGGTTAACCATGTACCTTATAACGTCCACACTTTTATATAGCTAACTTCCTATAGGATTAAAAAATTCAACATAATCCAACTTTTTGGCTAGGTTTTAGCTTCCTGTACGGATGTTCCAGTCATCCGACTAGACTTTTTAATTTCACGCAGACACACGTAAAAACCTTCTGGAAAGCATAAGAACTTTCAGTAGAAAGCGCAAAGACTTTTATCCAACTTTTCTGTATTAGCGGGCCAAACCGGGCCGGGCCGGGCCGGCCTGGGCTTTCATCGGGCCGGGCCGGGCCGGGCCTGAGTAAATTTGAAAAAGCCCTGGGCCGGCCTGGTCACTTCGGCCCGCGGGCCGGGCCGCAAAAACCGGCCCGGCCCGGCCCGATTGCCACCTCTAGCCGTACCGTAACCTTTCCTTTTCTAAAAGTTGGGATATTGATATCGCGTGTTGTATAACTTCCTATATGTTATTGTCTACTGCGCGTTCTCTGAAAATCACTCTGAAGGCTTATTTCACAGAAAGTAGACGCAGAATAATAAAATCGGGAAGAATCTAACTTTATGAAACTTGACAAGTTGCGCTTTTGAGAGAGTTTCATTTCACTTTTCTCGGTGTTTCGAAAAATACTTTTGTCTTTTGTTGTGATGTTTCGCTAAGTGTCTCAGACATGGCTTGGTTATCAGATCTTGATGGATTTTACTGTAACTATATTGTTTTTAAATTTTTTTTGGTGACCTGGTACTTTGAGTAAAAATAACGAAATTGGATGACTCTACGTTTTGTAGGTAAATTTAACACAGGCATTTTTGACTGAATCACAATACTGCTTGGGAAGTGCTCTATAGAGCGTCTTCACAGAGGAAATTTCAACGTTTTTCAAAGGCCGAGAGTTCTTTCGTAATTCTTCTCCAATAACTAATCCCTTTAGCGTCTTTCCTTCCACAAGTTAACGCACCTCTTCCAGAATCTTCCTTGTGATTCTCTATGTTCCAAATTCTGAGTTATAAGGTGTAGTCTTGAAGATGTTGCCTGATGATTGTTCGAACTTTAGTACAACCACAGAACGTCTGTACTTTCGGTGCTTCCGTTTTTTGAAAAAAACTGCCGACTCCAGAAGATTTATGAGTCCTTTTAGGGCGCTCTCCAAGTCTCCGATAGCAAAGTACAGAACGTATAGTTCATTCGTTTGCAAAAAAATTTAAGAAATTCCGTTAATGGAATGATACGAAATAAACGAACGCGTTCTTTGAAGGATGATCAACTTCCTCTGTTACAGTAGTCATCATTGAAGATCAATGTTTTTTAATGGTTTCCCCGAAAAGTCGGCGTTCCCTTGCAGTTCACATGTAATTCAGCGGAAAAGTCATACTACTAGTTATTATCACGTTCCTTTCGAAGTTCGTCGATGGAATTTGGATCCTCCAGAATTCGTCGCACTTTCTGCCCAAGGAGAGTGTAAGACTTTTTTATTTTGTATTCTCTTTCATCAAAAAAAGATGCGATTTTGATTGTTCTCCTGTTCACAGGGAATTCATGAGTAACATTGCCTGTATTTCGAGGTCATTAAGTGAATTTGCAAAAATTTTTATATTGCTTTACTGAATGGTATTCAAATGTCTTCGGTTGTCTGTAAATGGCCCGGCCCGTGCGCCAAACCGGCCAGGCTAGCCCAGGTTCTTTCTAATTTGATCAGACCTAAAGATACTAAAAAAATACAAAAATCCAGCAGTTGATTAGTTAGCGCATCATACTTCTACCTCTTTCTACGCACTCAGAGGTTTAAGAATCACTAATCTTGGAGATTTTATTTCGTGTAGCCGCCCCTGATTATAGTCAGAAATACAAAGAAGTTTATTACTCCTTGGTTTGTTGCTGTACAGCCACAATAGAAAGCATATCACTAATAATAAATCAATCGCCATGTGGAACTGCTTTTTGATATAACTTTACGGATATAAAATAGAAACTATTCCATCGCGTCAATGTCATCAGATTTCATCAGAGAGTAAAGTCAAGGAAATTAAGTTTTATTTACAAAATAAAGGTGTGATGTAACTATAGTCCTACTGTAATTGGTCTTGTTTATAGTCAGCTACAAAATAGCTGAAAAGCAGCCATTTCAACTAAGCTTTCTAGAATTCTCCTTAACAGCTGTAGTTTGCCTCCCCAAACTTTTAGAAATTGCAAGAAAATTCGTTGTGCAACATTAATTACCGCCGGCTTTTGCAGTAAAAACACCGAAATTAACCCAGACTGAAAATCGAGCCGTTTTAATTTGTACGGTACGTGAGACCCTGAGGGGGAAACGACGGTTCTTAACGTGCCGACCGTTGGAACCCCGACTCATCGATCACTTTTTGTAGTCTGTCGGTGAAGATGGCGGGCGAAAAAGGGGTTCAGGGAGCACCCATACAATAAAGTCATCATTGTGGAGGAGTCTGGACGATGATTCTGTTTTTATGAGATGGTGGGGATTCTTGGGAAAGGATGACCAAAGGTCAAGGGAGGTTTGAAGACTCTGGGAACGAGAAAAGCGGTTCGAGATCCCTCGACTTTGCAAGAGGATTCTATCTTAGCCTCAGATTACGCCTATTTGATTCATAGAGGCACCCGATTCCAGAAAATCTCAGCTATCGGTTTAGGAGCTTTTAAAAGCGAGAGCGACAAATTCTGAGTGGCTGCAGCGAAGTCAGTCCATAGAAATCTTACTCCGAAGCTTTCTGTTAGTATATATCCCCTCTTCCACTTCTAAAGTAATTCTACCGTACTCCCAACCACATGAAAGACTTTACGCAATCTTGCAAGTTTTGTAAGCATTAGTTTGTTTATTCCCATCGACAATTTCAGTCAAAAACAAGAGGCTTTCACTTCAATTCTTTGTATTCTAAATCTGAACTCAACCAGGAAACAGTAAATAAAAGTTAAATGCGTATTCGGCTCGTGTGGCTTGTGATTTTGTACAAGTTGACCCTTGAAGCTTCCAGCAAATTAAAACACACACTACGGCTCGTTCTCTAATTTGGGGTTAAAATAACAATCAGATTACGACACGTGTCAAATCAGTTGTTAATGCTAAACAGAAACAGATTTCAAAAGATGCAAATGTTGTCCTTGAAATAAAAAAGAATCTTCAGCAGCCATCGATTCAACCAATATCCTTCAACATTCAATTTTGTAAAAGATAAATGATGTAAAGGTGTAAAGCAACAAGTTATGTAGTTATTAGACTACAAAGTAAAAAGTAATCGTTTTTATCTGGGTTAGTTAGCGCTCCTTTTGGCGTTTCCGTTCCATGACATCTCAGGAACGCACATGTCGGTGTTGGAATTGCTCGAAGCGAAGCTGAACGAGTTTATTTTACGGCGAACGGCTGAGGAAATGGATAAACGTTCGTGTCTTTCATCTGAACGAAAGATCAAAGGGTTTTTCAAAGTATAAGAGTGCAAATAAGGTGTAATATCGGTAAGTGGGTACTCTCCATAACCGCGTAATATTAAACGGTTACTTGGAACCAGTTTGCTGCTGCATTTCAAGGTTTTACTGTCCATTGCTACAGTAAGAGAATGCAATTTTTCACGTCAACGATTAACCGAACTGTCGCACTCACGCAATCTTGGAAAGTTTAAAGAACAAACTACGAAATATTAACCAATTAAGAACAAATGCGAACAAGTTCATAACAATGCATATGCATTTCCCAAAAGCACTTTGAAGGTTCAATGAACGCCAGTTTCTTTAACATTTGAAAGAACCTAAAGTAGAACAATAATTTTTCGTGTTTTGGATCGTTTCCACCGATCGGTTCGGAACGTACTAGTCGTGTCAAAATCATTCTTCAAAATTCGTTGACTCTCCGTATTGGGACGTGCGAATTCATGAACCTACCCGACACCATCAAAAATCTAGCAGTTTCATTGGATAAAATGAATCGAACACAGACTTTCTTATGACGAGAAATTACTGGGGAGTTTTGGAAATTTTTTGTCTTTATGAAATTTACTTTTCATTCTTTCAAAAATGCTTTAAAAATGAGCTCAAAGTACGACTAGCTTTATTACAGCGTCACTGAGAAGAAGAGCAACGGAAAAAAACTGGGGATGACTGTAGGAAAAGGCGTTGCTTCTCGACTTGGATATCAGGTATTATATACGATAAGATTGCAAATTTCTTATCCGGGTTGAGTCATTTGCATGCTATATACCATCAGATTTTAATTTTTTCCACAATCATGAACCAACGTTTCATTAATCAAACTCTAACTCGATCTGAGACCGAGAACCCCCTTTCCTTTTACAGTACCTGCTAAACGGTGCAATGTCTGAAAGCAACAACTCTCTGCGCTAAGATCAAATATCTGACATCACTAATCTTGATATCGTCGTTGAAAAAGTCGTAAATCCGACACTACAAGAAGTCTACCCTGGCTTTTGCGAGTAGCAGTTACTTGGATACAAAATTCAACACAAACCCTGCATTTTGTGTTAACCACAGATCAAAGAGGAGGAACTGTTGCCTAATTTAGTTCACTTTTGTAGGTTCTACTGTTGCGCTGATTCTTGGGGATTCACGATTCTGATGATTCAATCATTTTGCAGGAAAACTTACATTTTACGTGCAAAACAGGCAGCTATTTAGATACCATCTTTTTGCAAGATTTTAGGGAAAACTTTGGCCGTAAAACCGGTGAACAAATTTTTTAGAATAATTCATTTCACTTTTTCGGACCTACCCTAGGGGTTTTAGGCTGAATAAAGAACAAATTCTCCTGAAAGCACAGAAATTGTGGATCAAGATCATGTGCAACTTCAAATTGTATGCCATGGCTGCAAAAGATTCAGGACATTTCATAAGAGTAGCTTGAAAAAACTGTAAAGAGAGATGAACGATTTTTATCACGCAATCTCTGAGAAAGTCAATAGAAAATCATTTCAAAAAAGCGATTTCGTTCAAGAAATTTCGAGTTTTCTGCCTTAAAAACGGAAAAAAGAAGATATTTCCAAGAAACTACGTTAGGCATAACAACTGTAAGTTGATGGCCGAGTTCAGAAATGCAAAAAAATAATTTACGCCTCCACTTCCCTTTGTCATCAAAAATACCGTTTCCCCTTCAAAAATAGCAATCACGCTCTTCTCCCAACCTGTAAACATCATAACAACCGTAACAAATAACCCTGCAAATACCATCAGACTACAATCCGCCGACCACTGACTATGTCATCAGCCAGGAAGCACTCAAACTAAACGCTCCACCGGAGTTAACCTTTCCAATTAGTTCGCTAATACATCAGAAATCGCGACTGGGTTCGTATTTCCTTGCGATTCGTTCTCTGCTCAACCAAAGAACTCTTCGAAACGTCGATTACTCAGTAAGACCGGGGATTACGGTAGGTTTTCATACCACCGTGAACTAATAAATTATCGAGCAAAAAACGAACGGCGTTTTTTTGGGTACAAAGAGCTTATGAAACCGATTGCCTAAGGGGAAATTGCTAAGATATTCGCAAATTGACAAATACACCGATTTTTGGCGGAAATTTGTATTTTTTTGATAGAAAATACAAAATAAATTGACAAAAAAATACGTTGTGAACCCATTCTCATGATTTTCAGATGCATTCAGAATCGAATCAGTACGGTAATTGTGCTGAAATTTCTGGATTTCTCTTTATATTGTACAAGCTATGCACCCTGAGCCGTTGATGACTAAGTCCGGCGTCATCGCGAATTCGTATTTTTCAGAGTCCTCAGGAATAAACTACAGACTCGACGGATTCGTTCTTCTCCCCGCCTAAACTCCAAAGCGCGCTTCGAAGGACGAGAAAAGGGGAGGCGGAGTCTGGGGGAAGTCAGTGTAGGTATAAAAGGTCACGTTTCTTATCAGTCGGCATCCAACTTAACAGTTCGCCTTCACCTCATTGCTACACTCATCTGGTTACTTCTTTTTCCCCAAAATGTTTGCCAAGCTCCTTGCCCTTCTTGTCGCTTTCGCCATGATCTTCTCCATGGTGGAAAGTCGGCCCTATCACGACGCCTCCATCAGTGGGACCTTATTGAGCCCTTGGGGCGGAAATTTGGACGGAGGATACGCTATGTATCAAGCTCCAACTTACAGTAACAGCGGTAAGTATATCTTGCATTACTTTTTTACAATTTAACACTAGAGTTTTTCAAAATCCAAATTTTCCTCAAAAAATTCGGATCAATTTTTTCGAAATTCAAATTGAATACTCTGGATTATATTTTTAATTTTTCAATGACTTATTGTTGATACAATCCTAATTCTGATTATTTTTCAGTGCGCTACCCATACCCTTACTACTACAACTGGCAGAAGTAGATGTCGCCTTCCCAACAAAACACATCGTATCTTCATCTCAGCTCAAGCGCAATCACCTCAAGATCTCTCTAAACGAAATCTCCGCTAAACAATGCAGTTAACACCCAGTACTACCGTATTTTGTAGACCTTTTTCTATCTTTTTGTACATAAATAAAGTATATGCTACATTTCCATGGATTTTCGTGATTTTTAGAGGGTTTTTACGGGTGAATTTACAAGTTTTGTTTTTATGTAATGGCCCGAACTTGGTTGTAATAGTAATGGTAGTTTCTAGATGTCACAACTGATAAAAGGTAATCTGCAACAGTTTCTCTCAAAAATTTTTAAACTGTAAAAAGTTTCAAAATTAGAGGTGTTATACCGTAAGTGTTAAACATTCCCGAAATTGATCATGAAATGGAACTTTTGAAGTCTCAATTTAAGCAATGATTCCTTTTTCTCACGAACCCAGCCCATCTTCTGCTTGATTTTTAGGCTTTTATAAAAGTAACAAAAAAAGGTCTTGATGAAAAGCACGTTCTTTTGAATCGGTAACGTTCGCTTCAATAACGACAGTGGTAGAGAAAAGGGTTTACAAAGATACAACAGTTTTTGTGTCCTCTGTGTTTGTTCCATGCGTTCTTTGTTTTAGAATTTTTAGGAAGATCTTAACATTATTTGCAATTTGGACTTTTTTATTCGAAAATAAAGACTAAATGTAAAATACGTGAGGAAAAAGATTGCGTAATATGTATACACTAAGACATCGTCCACGTTTTTAAGAATCGGCTAATAAAGACAAGCATGAAGAGATTTTATCTGACTGAGAGGCCTTGACGAAATCTCGATCAAATGTAAAAGACGAGAAGGTACGGTCTAGAATGATCAAAAAAATCGCTAATTTCAAATGGGAAGGGGAATGCATACAAAAAGTTTATCTTCCTCGATCACTTTGTTGAATATTCCAGAAATACGAACAAAATTGTCAGTCACTGTTTCTTAACCGACATTTTGTTGAAAAAATTAACAGGAAATCAGGGATCTCTCCTTTAGGCGGCACGTTTTGGTTGAAATCATGCTCATAATGCCCTTTTTAGTACATAAATGTGGCACTTGTATTTGGAAAAACTCTACTAGCAAGATTTGTTTCTATTGAGCATCTTTCTGCACAGACAGATTTACAAACCATAACGTAACCTTATTGCATCTCATCGTTTCGATGAGAAGGGTAGTGCAAGTGGCTAAAATCATATTTTTTGATCTATGTATTTCGACCAGAAGTTTTTGTGCTATACAGTAAAACACTGTGAATACTTACAGGCCTCGGAATTGCTATATTTCTATTGCTGACTTTTTCAACAGGCTTAGACTTGTTTTAAGACAAAAGTCTGATAACTCAGAAGCTTCCTGGTATGGAGAAAATAAAAAAAATTATTTTTCGTTACTCATTGTCTGATTGTGAGGTCTCTAGTAAGAAAGGTTAAGTAAACCTTCTCTTCAGTGACGTAATGTGACCACTCACACCTTTAGAAATATTTTTTTCTCATCCCAATGAACACTTACTGTCTTAAAAAAGAATCTTTGGATCTGAGCAAAGAAACATTTTCTAATCACGTTTTTGATTACTAAAATTTACGTAATTGAACTCAAAAACCCTTGAGCAAAGAACGGTTAATTGTAAGACCCTAACCGTAATCAAAGAACAGTAGTTTATAAATTCAAAACTCAAAATGTCACGTAGGAAAACTTGTGGAATGTCACGTAGCGAGTACGTGACATAAACAATAATAAAATGTATCTCCAATGATATATCGCCTAAAAAATCCACTAGAAAATACAAAGGTCATCGAACAAGAAGCGAACGTTCGTTTTGCCATCAAAAAGTTGTATCAGAATCATCGTAATAACTGATCATGCTGGTAGTTGATGCTCCATAACCGGTGATAAGACGCTTCTGGAAATGTATTAGTAATCGCCATAAACGGAACCGGAAACAGTAGATCATCGTGACACAGAAGCACTCAAGCTGAGGAAGGAAGGTGCGCAGGTTGTTGTAGGTGACTTGGGCGTCGTCGTTGAAGAGCTGAAACTTTTGTAAAGCTGCTGCTTATGTCGTCTTTTAATTTTGACCTGCGGCAGAGGGCATAGACAAAAATAATCTTGACAAAATTTGGATGAAGTTGAGGTTAGCGTCTTTATGCTGTATTTAACTAATCAATATACATGTTTTAATCAAAATAAGGCACAAATACCTATCTTTCTGGCTCAATCTGAAGAAAAACTCAATCGAAATGCATCATACTTTGAGCATTTCCCCTGCGAGCTGTGTTTTTTGTTTTCGCCGAACATTCCGAACCTAAAATTTGTCGCAACTTCTTCCTCAAATTAAAATCCTTTAAATTAAGGCACACATTTAACATTTTCGGTTATTCGTTGATGTAATTTGGATCACAAACTCACATACCAAATGGGAGAGCCAGATTCCGAATATGGGAACGAAGGCAAAGACCACCTCATTCATGGTTGACAACACAGTGAACGTGATGTTCTGAAAGCACCCAAGGAATGAGCAGCAAAATCACAGGAAACAACTACGGTCGCCTTTAGGAATCTTTTTTTTTGAGGTAAAATACGGCGACTGGGTTTGAATCCTTACGTGAAAAAAATGTAAATCAGATTAGTGACGACTCACTCTGTAAGCAGTATATTCAAAACTGCAGTGGTCAGCTCGATCGAAAACTCGTTGAAACATGCATCCCATCGCTACAGTAATACAACCCATCACAAATTGCAAAGAGTGGGTCATCGGTAACACCTTGTTGGACCGGCAGTAAATTGAGCCGCATCCTGGAAATTGATGCTTTGTTACTGTAACAATTCCAACTATTTTAGCTGCACTACTTCTAAGACGTCTTTCGCTGATTTGTAACTACTCCTCAAATTTTTGATATTGTAGGTAAAATACGCTGAATTTCGAACTCCTTACTTTCATAGCCATCTTCCGGCCACTTATGGCTCATCTGAATAAAAACGAGCAGTAGAGGGAATACGATGATTGACAATGGATAATACAAAAAACATTCAGCTCGATTCCAGCGATAAGCTCGGACAGAAAAGTGCAAAATCTTGTCGGTTACGATCGCCCAGACCGACATTGTTTTTGCAATTACGCAAGAAGAAAGAGTATACGATGTCAAAGCAGTCCAGCGGCTGTTGTACGTTGCGGCTAAAACGACGATGCAACTTTATATCAAAAAATATATCTCACTCGTATTAGTCTTGTTGTCATACATATTGAGTAAAAACAAACTCTCAGAGAACATTAGTCCCATCCAAGTAAACATGTTCAAAGTCAACGTCGCATATTCGATGTCATGATCGGAAGTTTTCTTGTTCAGCCGTTTAACAATAGTGAGAAGTATCACCCAACAAATGGGGATCATGATCATGCTGCACAAGTTTAGCACTTCCCGGAGATCATAGCCACTGTGCCATCTTCCAGCAGCGTAATATTGGATGGTTAGAGCGGGAAGCATTGCTAAGTTTTAGCAGAGTGATAATAACGGGAAGTGCACGCGATATATACGAGGCACAGGTACTGTATAATGTTTGAAAACGAGGTCGCAAAAAAACGCATAAAAATTGACTTATCATCCAATATATTGTACCTCTGACGATCAGAAAATGTGTCATCACAATTAATTTTACAAAAGAAATTCCATTCTTTTCCAAACAACTGCCAAACCTGGGCTTACCAAACCAAAAAATTCCAGCTTATCGGCCAAAATTAATTACATCTTATACCCAAACTGAATATTCAAAGTATTTATTAAGAGAAAAATAATTACATGGTGAAGATGAGTACCCATATAACTTGTTAAAGGCATAGTAATTACTGGAAACGACAGAGAAATGAGATGATTTCGTCGGAGAAAGATGCAAAAATGGCAACGAAAGTGGTTCGGCGTTAAGAATTTGCATAAAAATGGCTGAATTTAAATATTTCAAAGACAAAACATTTTGTTCTCTAATCTTTTTGACATCTTCCTGCCCTCGACGTGTATCCCTTACAACATCTTCGCGTATCCTGACTGACAACACTGTCTTTAGCGTTGGCCCAATCAACACTGATCGTCAGCAAATTGGTCGGGCAATTGTAACTGAACTTCTTTTCGCAGTAAACATGAAGATCCAGCTGTTCGAGCTGTTTATTTCCGTCCACGAATCTCTTTTTCCTCCGATCGTGCTCTTGATGGATTTCACGGAGGATCCGGATGTTGTTCTCGGTCATCGGGAGGAATGGAATTTCAAGATTTTGCCCATTATTTTGATTGAATTCAGGGTTTTTTCCTAAAATTTCTCCCAAAACGCTTCGCTTGGATCGATAAAAGTTCTGAGAAACCTCTTCAGCCGGAGGCGGTGGAGGTGGAGGAGGGGCTACTGGCTCTAAAAGCACAACACATTAAGTAAAAAATGCCTGAAAGTTCAAAATCATACTCTAAAATTTGAACTTTTTTGGTTTACAGTAAAAAAGTAACTTTAAGTTTGTAATGTAAAAAATAGAACCTTGTGATTGCGTAAAAGGTAACCTCGTGGTTCCAAAGTCCAATTTAGCCAGCAAATCACATGGAAGAAGTAATCGACCCTCACATCTGTGGTATGACCGGGCTCTCGTATGCAGGCCGCAGGGCTCATCTCCACACTCCTCGTATTCAAAGGGATCGCCGCTGAAAATAAGGAAGAATAAAGATAATTGATTTGGTTGTATGTACACATACATATACGTATAATCTAATTTGAGTAAACCAGAAAATAAATCAATCGATTTTGCCATCTGTTGAACCGATAATTTTTGGGACTTTTTGACATTTAGAAAAATATTCTTTTTGTCAGACATTTTTGTTTTTTTGTGTGAAAGTTGTGGTTTTGATCGGAAATGACCGAAATTTATGGATTCTTGGAAACAAACAAGCTTATCCTTTTTTCTACCTCAGAATAACCTTCAAACAGCCCATCTATGTCCCCAAAATCAATCAGAACAACCTTATTTTTCCCTCTCAGCTTACGGGCATTTCCGGTTCCCTTTATAGCACGCTCTCAGCCTCTTTCTCCTTCCACATCCTCCACAAGTCACTGAGCATCCACTCCATGCTGCCCATTTACTCCATTCTCCAGTGTATATAGTTCTATCCACTGTTGTTGTAGTAGTAACAGTTGTGGTAGTAATTTCTTCGGTGGTCGCCTCTGTTGATGTGCTTGATCCAGGAGTCGTCGTGGCTCTTGTTCTCTTGGTCGTCTCGGTTGGTCTGGTCCACTCCTCGGTTTGTTCTTCAGAACTCTCTTCTTTCTTTAGCGATTACATTAATTTAAGTCATAGTGGTTGATCTATTATTATTTGGACTACTTTTAAGTAAGTTAGTTTCAGTGCAAACGTTAGCTGTTTGTGTTTCTTAGTTATTTTACACTGCAATGTTACCTTCTTTACCCATTCTGGAATAAAACTGTGGCTTCTCTGTCTTCCCCGGCGTGTTGTTGTTCTCCACGTTATCCTTCGTGTAATAGCCGGTCGTCTTGTTGGCCTAACCGGCGCATATGTCGGTCTTGGTCTTCTAGTTCGACCAGTAACTCTCGCTCTTCTAGTAGTCCCTCTCGGCCTATAAGTCCATCTTCGAATCGCCGGCCTTAGTGTTGTTCTGGGCGTGGCTGTTGTTATATATAGCAGTGGTCTTGGTGTAGTTATGTGCGATCTACTGCGTAACTAAATGTGTTAGACAGTGAGAAATTAGATTCACAGCAACGTATTGGATTAGTGTCGTGCGTATTATGTTAGGTTAGTCATAAACTTGATTGAAACTTGTGCAACTTACTCCACTTCCAGGGACTGAAATTAAAGGGCAGTTACTATTTTAATTACGTTAACTTACTTGACTTATAGCTCAACTCGAACCCACTGTAGCCGGTCTGCACATCCGAAGCACCAATGAACATGATCAGAACTTCCTCGTTTTCAGAATAGATTGGATTGCTCGGGGTGTCGCAGCAGATTCTAGCGCCAGTTGGCGTCTTGTCTTTCTTGTATTTGAGCTCTACGTAACTTGAGCAAGATGTTTCACAAGGGAATACGGATTTGTCAAAGTTAATTTGGACTCGTTCTCCTTTATTGGCCTTAATTCGCCAATAACACTTGGCTCCGGCGATCACTTCTGGACTTCTGAGGGCTCGGGAGGTCGAGAAAGCCCTCAGCTCACCTCCTTGACATTTTGGGACGTCTAGAATGGAATATGAAGCCAAGATTCTGATACTCACTGCTATTAGGCACTGTCTGACAAAGCTGTCCGCCAAAGCCATCAGGACATCTACAGCGATAGCAGTAGTTTGGGTCAGTGTATCCTTTATTCAGACACTTCAGTTCTTTCGAACAAACGTTTTGGCAATACCTCAGATTAATCATCTTGGCATCTTTGAATGAGATCCCTTCTCTCTGCCCAAGGGTCTGCTGATAGTTCGGATCTTTGGTCAGGATTGTATAGCTAAAACAGTTTAAAATACGACGTACTCCGCGCATGTTATTACCTGTCATAATTAGTGCTGAAGGCTCTAGATCCATAATGCATAACTGATCCTAAGTCGTAGGGCTGTCCCATATTGTCACTGTTTCTGTCGGTTCGGCGTTCAAAGTTACTTTGGGTTCCCTGAGAAATGGCATGACTAACAATGCTGCTAACTTACCGGAAAAATCTTGGTGAAGTCAATGCTGACATGTTTATCACGATCACTCCTTGATTGCTCATGCCATAGAGCAAGAGCATGAAGAGTTTCGTGAGCGACAATTCCCATCTAAAAAGCGAAGTTAGCAAGGACCAATGGGAACTCCAATTTGAGCTTACCGCATCACATCCATAGCCGATTGAAACCTGTTGCCTTCCTCCGACTCTGCCCACATTCGACCAACATCCAGACCCTCTAATGTAGAGTAAATGATCTTTACCAGCTCCATTCTCCTCGAATCTGATACAAGTTTGAGATTCAATATGTCTTAGGGCACTTCTAATCAGATTCTGCCAATCTTTATCGTTATAATAGAATTTGTAGGGGATAGTTGTGTTTTTCCAGAAAGAATCGAGCCCTGGTTGGGCTTGACGGGATCTCCGATTCGTTCTGTTGGCTAAATACGAACAATTGTATATTTTGAGAGCACTTACATTCTTTGATTTCTTGAAGAATTGCCTCAGCTTGAGGGATCGTTAAAATAATGTCATTTTCGAATAACTCTCGGTGAAACGGTCGATTCACCGTGGCTTCAGTCCCGTCGTCAAAGGTTACTTGTGACAGGGACCGCGACACCGAATCTGGGTCCTGGAAAGCAGATGTTTAATCAAATTTATAAAGATGGTCCAGAAAACTTTCATCGTACAAAACGGCACTTACAAAGAACAGTCCGAACTTTTTGTCAGTCTCAGATCGAATTTCATCCAACAAAGCTCTGACTTGTGCTAAATTCCCTGAGTCATCGTCAAGGATCTGTCCTGCACATAAGAATATCAGGAAAGGAAACTCCCAAATTGTAAGCATCGCTGCAAGTAATTCCTTATTAAAATATTATAGATTTAGAAGCCCCGCGGCACGCTTGAATTCAAAACAATCGAAGAGCTATGAGAATTAAGTTTTTGAGATTGATAAAAGTTTTATCAGACAGCCGGAGGCGGCCCTTTAATTCCCGAATATCTAACCTTAACCAGCAGCGTGAAGGTCATCACGCCGAATTCGATGACTTCGCACTTAAAACATCTCCAAACCCCAATAAATTTCTAAAGGTTTTCAATAATGAACGGACAACTTTTGAATTATTTTGATGTGATTTATCCACCTCATTCCGAGAATTTACCATCAATCATTGCAACCCCAATTCAAGCGAAAACTGTTGCCGTGGCGGAGAATCAGAAGATCTGCAATGAGATGCAGATTCTGCTGCAGACGAGAAGACTTGGCGACCTATATAAAAACCAGCGTCTTATTAATATGATAGTAGAAAGCTGATAGATCGAGGCGTTCGGAATACGGAGGCGTTGAAGAAATTGGAAAAGTACAGCATGATGTGTGAAAAAATGATATCCAGCATTGCGAAGTTTATGATGAGGGAAGTTTTAAAGACGTGATGATTCGACTTTGGAAGATATTCTAATCCTGCAGTAAGGAAAAATGTCAACCTCACGGTCGTCACTCCTAATATGTCATCCACATCCGTCGACAAAGATCGTTGAACATTTTAAATGAGCCTGCGAAGCGCATGCCAAATTTTTTTGGACTCTGAGCACGGATAACGTTGCAGAGACTGAGTAGAAAGTTTGGTCATCACATTCTAAGAAGTTAACCAGAGTAATCCTATAAAACTCCTACGCATCTCAGCGATTTCCAAAAATACTTTCAGCCTAAGAGTACGACGCTACTGTTAGCCTTTCGCAATTACAAATGAGTTCGGCAGGAACACTTTCGCCCGTTCCAAGTGTGCGACCTTGTGCCACTTTCGAGTTGTAATTTCATTTTTTGCCCCTTACCTTCTCCATTGACCTTGTTACTTTTAACTGTCTAATGATAGGCATCCAGCCGTTTTCTTTACAGTTATTTTTGATTGTGCCATGTGATATCTTGAAGGAACGGATTTCGAAAAGATTTTTAATCAACAGATGACTTCCACGACCTTCAGGCAGTTATTTTAGTAAGGCGATTGCTGCATATGATCGAGTGAAAAGTGCAAATCAAATTAACACTACCGCTTTGACAAATGGATCTTTCCGTTCCCGGCCCTACCATCCTCCGGTCCCGGAACAAATGATGGTCTTTGAGGGTGGGTCGATTATAATCAACATGACATTCAAGGAAAGAAAGGCAGACGTTTTTTCGTTGATGAAAGGGCAGCGGAAAAAAAGTGTTCTTTTGGTTCCTGGATGCGTCCGGATGTCTGATCATGAAGATCCATCCGTCGTTTATGACAATGCATTCTGTGTATAAAGAATGACATAAAATACCGCTACATAAAGGGCCTTCAAGTCCTAGGAAAATCTTGTAGTTGCACAAAAGGAATTCAAAATTTAAGGTTACATTGCTACGCATTCAGTTTTGCAATTGCATAATTTGAAATGACGAAACAAGTAACAAATTATTTGGAGGAACGAAAAACGCAAAAGATTTGCATCACAAATGGTCAAGCGAAATCAAATTTCGCTTTATTCAGCTATTTTCGCCAGTTCCGAAACTTATTTGGTAACATTTAATATTGCTTCTTACAACTACCGCCAAAAGCGTAATGAAATGTAAAATTATCCCGCGCCGGCGGCGTCGCCGCCCGTTGTCCTCAAGGAATGAATCAACCAGATCTTCGCGAAAACAACCAAATTCCAGGACGTCGTCAAGGAGATCAAGGATATCCAAGGCATCTCAACGCTCCATTGAGACTCAAGATGTGGAGAACGAGGAGTATCGGAGTGAAGGGATCGATTACTGGTTCAATGTTTTGTTATGCCGAGGGGATCTGGCTAACGAACGATTTGAAGCGAGGCCGGTTGGGTTTATGCAAATGGTAAGGCGTTGCTAACCTTGAAAATGGCATTGTAAAATACGATCTTCAGCAACCTGTCTTTAATAAACCAATTATTTTCTATTTATTTCAGTTTACCCATTGTCGATCGGACGACAGATTTTTGCTTTATCTGGGAATTATTGCCTCAGTAATCAGCGGAGTCGCCAATCCTTTGGGACTATTTATGATCGGCAACTTGGCAGATGCAATGATCGTCTTCAAGCAGGTAAAGAAAGCCCTTACCTCTTTCTTGCAACTTTTAGGACGGTAATGTCGCGAATCTCTGGACAGACGCTTTATTTTACATTGAATTGAGTGTTGCAATTGGAGTTTTACTAATTTTGGTGTCTTTTACTCAATGTTATTGCCTCAAGAAGGTCGGAACAAACACTTGTGCGATCTTGAAGTCCCTTTACATTTACGGAATTCTCCGGCAAGATGCTTATTTCTTTGACAAAAACAAATTCGGAAGTCTGAATAGTCAATTGACAAAGTGAGTGAGATTTAATGTTGTTTCCAAAGTTGTTTAGCAATGTGAATGTGGTTGGCGACGGTATTGGAAACAAATTTGGTTTGTTGATTCGTGGAATGACATCCTTCGGTACAATCATAGCCATTTCTTTTTATTACAGCTGGAGGATTACATTGGTGATGATCGGAGGAGCTCCGGTTTCTTGTCTGATCATCTCGCTGATGGCAAACGTAAGTCAGATCCAACCTCCACATAGAGAGCCAGTTTTTATCCCACGTATATGACATTCTTCGGTTATCCTTTCCGGCCCATTGCGCCTTCTTACTTCAAGTTTCAGGTCATTAACAAATTTACCGTCGCCCAATCCCGTTGCATCGACAAATCCGGCGCTCTTTTACAAGATTCCATTATGAATGTGCGCACAGTTCAGTCCTGTAACGGTCAAAATCAAATCGTCCTCAAATACAGTAACCTCCTAAGGTCAGGCCGTCGCTTTGGGATCAAAGGCTTCATTGCCCATGGGATTTTCGATGGGATCTTTTTTATCGTTGTTTATCTTTTTTATGCTGGAGGAATTTACGTTGGAGGCTTGCTCTATTACGACAAACTTGTGTCGGCTGCTGATGTCTTCGTTGTGACCAGTTTGATGATGAGCGGAACTTATTTTTTGGGGTCGATGAGCCCTCATTTCATGGCCGTTTTCAAGGCCAGAGTTGCGACGGCTGTTCTCTACAAGAAGATCAATCGGGTACCGCAAATTGATTGTTACAGTACCGAAGGGCATGTACTCTTTAGATCAAGAGGAAAATTGGAATTCAGAGGTGTCAAATTTTCTTATCCTGGGAAAAGAAGGAATGAAGTTTTGAAGGGGATCAATTGGATCGTAGAGCCGGGGGAAACTGTCGCCATCGTCGGGAAAAATGGCTGTGGAAAAAGCACCTCAGTAAGCAAATTATGGATTTTGCCTCTGCTACTATACATGTACACCAAATAATTTTAGGTGAATTTGTTAACCCGAGTGTATGATTGCACAGATGGGCAGGTCTTGGTCGACGATCGGGACATCAAAACTTTGAAACTTCATTCTCTTCGCAAAGCGATTGGACTGATTCCACAAGAGCCCGTCTTGTTCACGGGAACCATTGCGGATAATATTCAACTGGGTAACGCGCATATCAGCAAACAGCGAATTGCACGGGCTTGTCAAATGGCCAATGCGCATGCGTTCATCAAAGAGCTGAGGAAGGTAAGGGCGGGGCCGAAGGAAGGCTTAACGATTCTCTACTCTTCTTGACTCCATTTCATCTTCAGGGTTATCTAACCGAAGTTGGCTCCGGAGGCGTCCAGCTTTCGGTTGGTCAAAAGCAACGGATTGTAATTGCTCGGGCAATCGCTAATAACCCCAAAATATTGCTCATCGATGAAGCCACCTCCGGTCTAGATGCTGAATCCGAGGCGCACGTTCAGAAAGGCCTGAAAAATGCTTGCAGAAATCGAACAACAATCATCATTGCTCATCGAATGACAACTCTAAAAAACGCAAAGAAAATCATTGTTATGGATGAGGGAAAGGTGGCTGATATTGGAACTCATGAAGAGCTGATGAAGAAGAATGAATATTACAAGGAGATGGTGGAAACACAGAGCTTTGGAGAGGAAGACGTTATTTTAGATGAGGAGGAGACCGCGTTGGAGGAGGAGGAAGAGTACGACCAGTATTGGACTGAGGAGATTGATGAGTTGTTCAGACAAACTGTCCATGCTCTGCAGGCTCCAATGTTCAGAGGAATGGCGTTACAAAGTAATAGATAGATAACAACTACTCAATCTTTGCAGATAAATGCCTTGACTCTACGACAGAACTTTCTGTGAAAATTTCCCGCGCAGGAACGGATCCGGATCTCCATACGCGAACACCGATACGGCTGTTACAACTCTACTCAACTTGCCAATCACATTATGCCACGCTGATCGCGGCCATCATCTTCAGTTGTCTTCGCGGTGCGGAAGTCGCTTTATGGATAGTGATTTCAAAGTTTTTATTCTCAATTCTCGCCGATGTTGACTCTCCGACGTTCCATGAAGATCTTCTTCGTGTGTCGTTGTCTTCAGTCGGACTTGGAGTCTACTCATTTGTGGTTATTGTTTTGTCGGTAAGTCTTCACAAACTTCTGGGTTTCCTGTGACAGAATAAGGGCTCTTTTTAGGTCTTATGTCATGGCTCCTTGACGGAGCAAGTCGTCGATTCTTTGAAGACCCGAGCATTGAAGTCTGTTCTCCATCAAGGCGGTCCGTATTTTGATGAACCAGACACTTCTCCCTCCCGTTTGGTTCATCGGATTACCAGCGATACTCAGAAGATTCGACCGGTAAGGCATACTATCTAAACAACAGTTTTGTTAACTTTTGGCAAAAGTCCATAAGAATACCTTTGCAGGAAACCTTATCATAAAATAAGTTAATCTTAAACGGGCTGCTTGAAACTATAGCTCAAATGGACGTTTTTAGATGGGAGTTGATCCATCTGTTATTTTTATTACACTGCCTTCGTTACCCCGGAATCTAATAGACCACTTTTCAGGCCTTGGACCTCCGTCTCCACCAAGTCATCAACAATGGATTCTGTTCATTTGTCCAATTAATTGTAGCATTTCTTTACTCCTGGGAAGTTGCCTTAGCCGGTGTTATTTACTACGCTCTGCTCTACTTTTTACTCGTCTTTTGCAGTAAAAAAATGCAAATAGCAGTTGCCGCAAAAATGAAAAATGATAAAACCGGGCAGACAGCCATTGAAATCATCGAAAATACAAGGACAATTCAATTGCTGGTCAAGGAAGAGTACTTTTTGGATTTGTATATCAAGAGCATCAGGGAGAATTTGAAGCTGGAAAAGAAAGTAAATCAAGCTTAGTACGGTATAGTTATTCTTAGTGTTGTTTCTACGAGTCTCTGGTGTACACTCTAACACAAAGTTCGATGCATATTGTAAATGGCGTGGTGTTTTTGGTTGGGATTTATTTGATCGCCGAAAGAGGGTATTCCATTGACAATATTTACATGTGAGTGATATGGTAAAAGGGCTAGACAAGTCCAATACTTAATATTGTTGTAGGTCTGCAGCAATTATGAGCATTCTGTGTTGGTCAGTGTTCTTCATCAGCATCTCGTTTAGCGATATTTTGCATGCTGTTCCAGCTGCCCAAAGTCTGATCGAGATCATCAAGGAAAGGCCTGTTGTGGACGAAAATGAAAAGGATGGATTATTAACTGTAAGAGGGCATTGTAAAGAGCTCATTCTCTGCTCGTCAAGCCTTTCTCGTGTATTTAATTTTGTGATTTTTGAAACGACTAACTTTAGAAAGTCGACGGTTCAGTCCAAGCTCTTCAATTATCATTCGCGTATCCAATGGCCCCTCACAAGAATATCATCCAAGACTTCGCTCTCTTCGCCGATCCTGGCCAAACTATTGGCATCTGTGGTCCTAGCGGAACTGGGAAGAGCACGTTTCTTTGGCTGCTCCAACGATTCTACGATCCGGATTTTGGAACAATAGTAATCTTTTTCAAAATTCTCAGTTTTTTTTGGCATCTTAATTCATAGCAGATTTTTTTGAGGCAATCGACGACATCCAACTCCATCGTTTCCAACTATCCGCCTTAAGAAATCAGATGGGACTTGTCACACAAGAGCCCGTGTTGTTTGCTGGAACGATCACAGAAAACATCTTGATGGGGACAACTGAAGCCAACATTGATGATGTTGTAGAGGCTTGTCGCATCGCTCATGCTAAGAAATTCATTGAGAAACTGCCAGAGGTAACCAAAGCAACTTTTGAGAATTTGCTCTTTTTGCTGATAATTCAACTTATAGTCCACGACTTTTGGATGACTCTGTGCCTTCTGATTACTTTTTTTAGGGCTATGAAACAGAATGCGGTGAAAAAGGAAACCGTCTTTCCGGCGGCCAGCGTCAACGAATTGCCATAGCCAGAGCCCTGATTCGCCAGCCAAGGATCTTACTGTTAGACGAAGCAACTTCAGCAATGGATTCGATGAGCGAACGATCCGTGCAAAAGGCATTACATGCGGCTTCAAAAGGACGGACTACGATTACAGTGGCTCACAAATTAGTAACTCTAATCAACGCGGATAGGATTTATTACATCGAAAATGGGCGGATCAGAGAATGTGGAGATCATAAACAATTAATGGAGATGAATGGAAGATATGCAGCTATGGCCAGGAGACAAAATTTACATTTTTTGAAAGAAGACAAGCAGTAATGAATAAAGGGTATTGTATTTTACTTGATTAAAGATTATCTTGTAAGTATTTTTATTGCCAAAACAATAAAAAGATGAACAAACGACAAAAATTGCGATTTTTTGGCTTAAAATTTTTAAAATTTTGATTGACTTAGTGTGAATTTACAAATTAAAATAAAGCCTAATGGGTACTAGACACCGACCATGTCCGCATGATTACGCTACTGAGATGGGGTCGATTTGTAATTGTGCCTGGATGAGTTTGGTTGACATAAACTTCAATAGAAGAGGAGTCAAACCTTCCTTTGACCAATTGCATGAAGAATACTCGATATGGGCGGACGAAATAGATAGTTGTAATACTGTTGATCAGAGGGCCGGAAACAGACAACATTGAGGATATGAGGTCTGGGATCAGAGAGCCCCCTTTTCGATTCATCGCAATGCAAACGTAGACGATTTGGGAGAAGCTGGAGAAAACTGGGGAGATCGCCTGAAGCAAACGGATTAAAATTAATCCAAGTTCAGATGCTGAAGAGTAGATAGAACCTTCGCAAGATTGGGGCTAAAGTTTTACCTTGTCTTTATTACAATGCCAACAATGTCTCTCCTCGGCGTCGGAGATTTAATTTTCTTTGACATTTTAAGGAGTAATTAAATAGATTTGGCGTTTCCAAATTTTTTTACGAACAATGGGCTCGAAAAATCCTACAATACCGTAAAGAAGAAACTCTCTTGCTATCAGTCATATATGGCATTTAGAAGCCGTATTTGTAAAATTTAAGCTATCTTTATTGAGAGCCCTCCTTTGTTTACGGAGAAAGCTCTTTTATGTAGACTCACCATAACAAACAACGCTTTACTGAGTTCTGCCTGTAACTTCTTTGTCTTCTTCCCCATTATGCTTTCCTTATGTCGCAAACTCATCCGAATCTTTCGATCAGCGATGATTATGCTGACTATGGCCAGAGTGGACATCAAAGCAAAGTATGAGAAATAAATCTGCATTGCTCGGCTTTCCTGGAATCAAATTTTCTTATGGTTTTAAAGGTTGTAACTTTTGCAAACTGTAGGCAACGAACATGTAACGAGAATGGATTAATGAAACGTGCTTTTATTTACTTTTTGGGAGAGGAAAGTGTAATTTAACAAATCTGTAGTGTTATTTAACGCGGACTTACAAACTGATTTCCAAAAGTGTAATTCTCCGGGATCGTCACGTTCATTTCATCCAGTACCATTTTCAGCTTCGCAGGGTCCTTGTTCATATAATACACCCAATGGATTAAAGAGCAGCCAATACTGCTTAATGTCAGCGCGATTGCTGCATGGATAAATAAAAAGTGCCATGGAGGAGTTTGTCCGCTTCAAAGATAAATTAAGGAAGGAAAAACTTACTGCTTGATTATATATAACCGATAATTGTATTGGACAGGAACGGTCAGCCAGCTGAGAGCGACAAAGAAACCGGAAATAAGGAGAACAACATCTGAAAAGGCTTGAGAAGGGGTCCAAATTGGATGAGTTATAAGAAGCAGCGACTTCTCGGAGACAATGAACAGCTGGAAAGAGCATAAAAATATTAAATAGTTAAGATCGCCAATGAAGGTATCTTTGGATGGATAATGAGAAAAGTGATTACTTACATGATTGGCTCCGATATTGAACAATGAGAAGAAGCAGTCTACGACAGCGCCGGCCATTAAGATTGGCCGGATGTTTGGCATCTTGTTCGACCTCTTAATTACTAGATATAACAGTGTCATGCTCACAGAGAAGGCCAGGCAATCAAAGGTGAACATCACCCATTTGTGGAGATCTGAAAAATTGGAGCAGTGATAAAAGGACTAAAACTTTTTTCTCTGACAGTCGTATACTCTCGTCAGCAAAGATGGCTGAATATTTTGGCTGCCTTTTCAAAGCTCTCATAAAAATTTTTGAGCATTGATAGTTTCTATCAAGTTCTACGGCAAGATAAAGCGTTCATAATTATAAGAACATCATCAAACATCTTTTAGAGTCTATACAACAACTTTAATGCTCCAAACTTACAATAAACCTCCTGATTTCCCATTTTTGTCCTTTCAATTTACTGCAACCTCTGGCCCAGGGTTCACCGCCTAACAGTTATTTGACATGCACGGTAATGAGACGATAAATGTAACTAATAACCTTTACCAGCCAATAAATGTCACCAGTCTGAACACGCAAATTTAAAAAGGCGGAAACTCAATAATGTTTACAAGATTCGATACTACATATTGGCATGGCTAAACAGTATTTAAATACTAACTTACAAGTGCATTCCGCGAAATGTGTTAAAATTTGAACAAGGCTAATAATAATGGAATGCTTTAAGCAGGTATTTATATATACTGCGTTTACTGAAAATATAATTTCAGTAAACATTTAAAGACAAAATACTGACGTAGGTGCGACATTTTGATAGCAAGAACAATCAGAAGGAATCGGCGTATAAAAATGGGGCAAAACGAGATGTAGATTTCTGATTTTACTTTTAAAAGTAGAGTAATCTTGTGAACAGTTGGCAGGTGAGAAATAAATATAAGAACTAAAGCAATTGATCATGCAGAAGGCAAATCAATCGTTTGATGCCAAAATGAAGGCGTGAAATTGGTTTCCGGTCATTCATTGGCTGTAAAGCCCCTGCCATTCATGTTCTTGCATATTTGTAACGATATCGTCAAAAATCGGTTTCTCAAAATTTTTCCATCATGTTTGGAAGTAAACCCTACAAAACGAAACAAATACATAACTCTGACAATGAGCTGCCGCGACTAATGAAAGCCGAATAGATTGATTTCGAACTTCCTTTGTCATTAATTTCTCCGTACAAAGCAAAACTGTGTCTTCCGAACAGCTGACCGAAGTATAATACAATCTTGGAGTAACAACGAAATTGAACCCTTTTACGTCTTGAATGAGTCACTTTTTCAGTATACGTCTTGCCCACCCCAGCGAGTTACAAAATCCTGCCTTAGGAGATCACTACAATTTAAGAAAGCGACATTTTGTTTTGGACAATGGATTTTCAAGTGTTTCCCGGTCATTGCAAACATTTTCAAATGTTTTTTAAACGCGATTGTCATCACGACACTGTCAAGCGTATATTGTAATGTTTCTTTTTTCAATTAAATATTATCTAGTCACATTTGGGAATTGTTTAATATGCATTATTGCGATTGTATGGCGACGTCTCATATCTCCAATTGATTGCCCAATCCGTAACTGGCAACGTTGCAACTAGAACAATGAAGTTGAAACAAGCGACGTTCTAGAATCGAAGTACGTTTTCTTGTCAAAAATGTAATAACTGTGACGTTAGAAACGCAGAAATATTAATTAAATTATAGATATAACGCCCCACTCATGACTAAATTGGTATCTTTGGTGGAGAGATCTGCAAACAATAATTTGAAGGTCGGGAATGACGCCAAAAGAGGTGAATATAGCAATAACAGGGAGAAACCTGCAATTTGGAGAGGGGAAAATAAAACGATAACTGTGGGAAAATGAATACTGTAGCCTTAAAAGAGCCCACATCGGAATTCAACTCAAGAATTGCCCCTCACTTACAAAAAGGTAAGATTTGAAGCCTAAGGTCAGGTGTTGCGTGCAACTAAATGCCTTCGAACAACTATAATAAATGCCTTCGAAGTCAACGCAAATGGTTTACGTTTTACCAAAAAATTACACAGTATTTTGACCCATTTCCGTATGTGGTTTATTTTTACGTCAAAAATTTCACCCTGGATTGTCCTTGAACCAATTTAACATTTGCAAATCTTGGAAATACCACAATTAAAAATCTCAGGGAATCCTCATATCGTATCTTTAAAGATGTGCTTGATTTTCAACATTCTTTTATTCAAAACTACAGTACTTTTTTACAAATGAGGCACAATAACAGTTTTGTCTGTTGGAAATTACAATTACATAATGATTTTCTACACTTTACATCACGAATCATCATGAATCCTTTTGAAATAGAGAGCTCTGGCGAGGTCGATTTGTAATAGTTAGTGGATGCGTATGCGTATTATTGACATAGACTTCAACCGAAGAGGATTCGAAGCCTCCTCTTATTAACCGAATGAAGAAGAGTCGGTAAGGACGCACAAAATACATGGTCGTCACACTGTTGATGAGGGGCGCTGAAGTCGCCAACATGCTCGAAACAACGTCAGGGAAGAGAGAACCACCGGTTCGATTCAAGGCAACCGAGATGTAGATGACTTGGGAGAAGCTGGAGAAGACCGGGGAGATCGCCTGCAAACAATACTTTTAATCTTAATGTAATTGTACACTAAAAGAAAAAACATCAAATTCAAATTCATCAAAATAAAACATCACGCATTTATGATGTCGACGACATCAAAAGCAGGAGATTTTGATGTTTTCATCAAAAAATTTTTTTTGATGTTTGGGTTTATCAAATTGCAATTCGCAAATTGAACTCCAAAAAGAAAGATACAAGAAATCGGTCGGATTTCTCTTCATAAATTTTGCTACTTTTTGTAAACGATCGTGATTGTCAGGTGAGGTAAGCGAATTTTGTTGTTGTTTTCTTTTATGTTTAGATCAGTAAATGAAAGGTTATGTAACTTCGTTTGCAAGGTCTTTGGATTTAAATTTTATCGAATTTCTTTCAATTTCAGGCCTTTCTTTATATTGCACTTGACTTCAGAGCGACTCCCGTTCTGGGTGTGTTGTTTTCCCGCAAAATGAATATGCTCCATCACACAGCAACATCATCAATTGGGTAATGGAAGTTGGCACCATCAAGACCTATCCGCTTTACCGCAAGGTCTGCCCGGACGTGAAGGATTACCTGGACTTGCGCTCCGCCTAACTAGAAGGAGAATTACATCTATAACTGTTTAGGGAATACTCGTCGTGGTATCTTATCCATGGTGAGCTCGTAAAATATTTTCAGAATTTTAAAATTTTGATTGTGTAAATTTATAGGTGGATGTCAATTTTTCCGTCAAGGACCATCATCAACCCGTGATAATCTCCATCGTCAGCATTAACATGGAAGAGTTGGAATGGTGTTTTCGGTAAGACGGCCTGCGGTTGATGACGGTAAAATTAACATCGTGTATTTGCAGGCCTGTGCCGTCCAGAAGCTTGATGATCAATGGAAAACAGTATACTTTCGATATTTCAGAAGTCGGGATTCATCAAACATGTGAGTTATTTATATTGTAGTAGTTTGATCTTTAGGCCATGCGATGCGGGCACCCGGTGGTAATGGCGTGGTGAATGACATGTTCCACGACGCAACGACCCTGTCTTCCGATCGTTGTCTGGGATCAGAGCCAGAAACACCCGTTTCATTGAGTTTGCATAAAGGCGACATGGTCAACTTCTTTGAATATTACAGCCATTTGGCTGAAATTATGTTGTGGCTAACGGTTTATTTGAATAAATCGTTTAACTAACATTATTTGTATCATTTTTTGATAAATTATCAGAAATATTTGATTTTCCAAACATCAAAAATTTTTGATGTGCGCCACATCAAAAAAAAACATCGCATTTTTTTTTTCTTTTTGATGAAACGAAACATCAAAAAAATTTTTTTGATGTTTTTATCAAAATCTAATAGACTGATGAAAAACATCAAAAATTTATGATGTTTTTTCTTTCAGTGTATTGTATTTTGTAGAATACGAGGAAATCTATGTTCAAAACTAAATTTTTTGTGTCTTTGTGTTCCTTGTTACACTGAAGATATAGAATTCCATGGCTTGAGATAGCCCGAACTCACGTAAAACACGTTTTCAACGTGCGCGTTGCAGAGAGACAAAATTTTGTAGTATATAAAAGAGTTTGCAGAAATTAGACAAATGTCAAATTTTTAGACATGTCTTCCTAATTTTAACAAGGAAAGTACTTTTATGGGGGCTCCTACTTTTTGACGGGACATATCTCAAAAAATCAGGAAAAATGTGCTGATCAAGGATATATAAATCTTAGCTGCCCATTTTAAGTTTTTAGGGGTGAAAACTCAATCGGAAGTTGACTTAAAGTCCTATATAAACCCCTTTTCGCTTAATTTTTCACAGGTTTACAATTTTTATTTTGGCTTAAAATGATGTTTATTCGGTTTCTAAGACGTAATAAACCAGTCTTGGCCCAAAAATTTATTTTTCCGACCTTCAACTTTAAAAAAAGTTGATTCAGCCCAAAAGGGAAATCGAACCCGTGCGGCGTTCCCCCTCTTGATTCCCAGACTACGGCACTAACCACTCGGCCACGCCGCTCTCTTCCGAAGGAAGAGACCGACTGCGCTTTTTATCGTTTCGAATGCCTGCGCCTTTTGTAGGGAAATTAAGTCAGTTTTTGGGCATTTTCACCCCTAAAAACCTAAAATGGGCAGCTAAGATTTATATATCCTTGATCAGCACATTTTTTCTGATTTTTTGAGATATGTCCCGTCAAAAAGTAGGAGCCCCCATAAAAGTACTTTCCTTGTAAGAAACGCAAAGCAGCCCTGTAAATCCGGGATAATTTTTTTAAAACTCACCATAACAAACAGCGCTTTGCTCAACTCCGCATGTAACTTCTTTGTCCTCTTCCCCATTATGCTTTCTTTTGCTTTCAAATTTTGCCGAATCTTTCGATCCGCGATAACAATGTTAATCAAAGCCAACGTGGACATCAGAGAAAAGTATGCAAAGTAAATCTGCATTGGTGGGCTCTCCTAAAAGGCATAAATAACATTACAAATTTTGTAAAATCTCTAAAAGACCAGATGATCACAAAAAAATAACATAAGAATAATCGCAAAAAGTTATGTTGCAATCTTTGATTACTTTACATAGAAAGCGACTTTTCTGGATGGTCTTTCGCTTGTAGCAAATGTGAGTGTAAAAAATTGGACACGAAAATGTTTTTTCCGGTGATGAAATGGATCTATTCAAAGACCAAGTAATTTGGAGTGCTTGGAATGTGGTTTGAATATGTCATCCAAAACTGTGCAGTAAAATTATTTTTCAACGCTTTACTTCCTGGAAGAAGATAAAATTACTGCTAATAGGGCTTGTTAAAGCCCTTTTGCGGCCTATTTATTTTTGATCTATGCATGTTTACCATGGTTTGTTTAAATTTGTATACGAGGTTGTTAAACAGCAGGTTCTAGTCTGGTTCTAAGGATTTTCTTTATTCTCTCTTCTACAAATTTTTTTGTTTCTTACAATTAAAAGTTTGCGACAGACAGACGTTCAATCCCATTTGTAATAAAGGCCTTTGCAGTGTTATAAAAACAGGTATCATCTCACCCCATGAATACAAAACCAGCCAAACCTATTTGCAATTGACAGACAATACTTTAGTAAACATAAAGGAGTTGAAAAATGGAAAATACAAACTCAGTAAATCTCATCTCTTTAAAGCGTAAGATAACTCACGAATTTCTTGCCGAAGACGAGATTCTCATCAAAGTCAATCTTCATCAACTCCATTACATTACTGACCAGTGCTGCATCTTTACCGACGAAGTATACAAAATAGATTAGATATGTCCCAATTGAGCTCATAATTAGCACCATTGTAGCTTGGATTAATAAAAGGCTCCATGGAGGAGCAGAGCCGCTAAAAAAGGATTGAAATTAGCGTAAAGTTTAATTAAAAAGGGGTGTAAAAGTGTAATAACTTACTGTTTAATGATATACAGTCGGTAATTATACTGGACTGGGACTGTTAGCCAACTTAGAGCCACAAAAAATCCGCCGATCACCAGAATAGCGTCGCAGATTATCTGAGGAAACGGTAGCATGGGGTCGGTCAACAATAACAGCGATTTATCGGACACAATAAACATCTAAAAACCATTTTTCATTTTTTAATTATTTCTTACGTGATTAGCACATAAATTGAGCAAAGAATATGTAAAGTCAATTACTGCTCCAGCCAATAAAATCGGACGAATATTTGGCATCTTCCGCGACTTCTTTAGCACCAAATACAAGAGCATTGAACTGGTTGAAAAGGAAATACAGTTGAAAGAAAACCCGATCCATTTGTGGAGATCTGTAATTGAAACACATGAAAAAAGGAATACCTAAAGGAAGGCTATTCTACACCAATAACTTTGATGTATTTACTCTAGAAAAGCCGTGCTGCCGTAATTTGGATGTAACTTGGCATAAATTTAGATCGATAGTTTATTGGGAATTTCTAACTCTCTCCTTGCAGCAGCTGACATCTTTCATAGCTTACAGAACCATCAGATTTTCAATGACACGGCCGAAAAACGTTTTTCTTTGACCGCTATCCAAATTTTTCATAGTTGCTCACCGCGACTATAAAAAATTTTGTTTAATCGCCAGATTAAAACGCTTGCTTTCAAGAAAACACTTTTGTTGAACTTTATAAAAACAGGAGACCACTTCAAATTTGTAAATTGTTTCAAGTTTCATATCCTTGTAGGCCAGACCACCCATAAATTTTATTGTTCTTTAGCTGCTTGTACTTTTAGACATGGATATTACATAAAAATCAAAAACAAAGCTTTGTAATCAAGTCTCCTAGTTTTTCAGTATTACAATTTTCGAAATTACCGAAACTTTTTTCAGTGATTACAATCTCTGTTTTTATTGCCGGAATTTTCAAGAATTACAGTAACAGATTCTTTTTTAGCTTCCCAGACAAACCTTAACAACTGTCACGTAGACACTTACAAAATATTCTCTGATTACTCATCATCTTCTGCTCCTAGAAGACCTTGATATGTTACCACTTCGAATCCAGTCTTCACTTCAAATAGAGGCTTAATAATTCAGAGATATGAACAGTAATAACCGTATTAAACAATAATATTTTTCCCAAAAACACGCGGAATTCTCATGCCCTGAGGGAAAACGCGATAAAGTTTGTAATTGGGACTACTGTTAGGAGTAATGGTAAAGATAATTATTTCAGAGGTAGTGCAAGGGAATGCACATAATTGAGGATCTTGGGAAGACGGTAACTTGTAATTAACCATACTACAAAGGCGTTGACGCTCTGTAAAGCCGCGTCAAGTCAATGTAAATGCGGAAATAATCTTTGAGATTGGTACTATTATTATAATGCACGTCGTGCAGTAACATCCATTGGACACGGAAATAATTGTACTAGAAATATTTCATGACTTGTACAAAAGTTGCAAAAGGATGCAAACGTAATGAACGTAACGGGAAGACACACAGAGTTCATATTCCCAAAGATTTCAAGCGTTTGGCCAAATTATTTTTGTCGAGAATTATCTTTTGTTCCAAGAAATACTCAAAGTGACCTCTTCACAAAGTTTCCCAGTACAGAATAGGACCAAACAGTGTGACTTTCGGTCGGAAAAAAGTTACTTTGGGAAAAAGAAAAAAGTCAACCAAAATTATATGGCCGGATAAACGTTTAATTAACGCGAGATGGATGGAATGGTTTGCAGAAGTGACAGAACGCCTACATGAGGGGTGACTGACACATGTTCCGATATTAATTTCTCAAGTTTCAGATTGTATTCTAAGAATAGATGCGCGAAATTTGAAGTTGTACTGGAAGAGGGGACATTTCAGAGCAATCTTTGGTGTTTTAATGAGGGAAGTACCGGGGAGTAAAAGATTTCAAATCTATGCGTGCAGCGCCTCACTGGGTTACACAACAGGAAGGGCTATGGAAAATGAAAACAATTCATCAGAGAAAAACAATATTTTTAGCAGCAACCTTGCGGATCTTGCACCAAAAAGTATTACTTTTGACGTCGAAATTTTTGAATATTTGCGAAAATTGTGTGAGGCAATGTACAAAAATTAAAAAGTATAAAGACGATGTCAAGAATGTTTCGAACACGCCTCAAAACATGTTTTTTCCACGAATGTTTATGCTATTTTTCAAAATTATTAGCCCATTCACAACTTTTTTTAACATCATCCAAATTGATGACTAAAAAATGGCAACATATTATATATAATTTAGCGCCCTTGCAATACACGACCAGCTGAACCTACGCGTCCTGAAATAGTTTTCATGACAAACTAAATATCTCTTTTACAAGGTGTCATTACAGATTGATTAGTTTGAAGCGTAATCTTCTAAAAGCATAAGCAAAATTAATAGAATATATGAAGCTGAGCTGTGTAACTGCTAACTTTGTAAATTGTAGTGCCCAAAACGTGGCGAATGTGTTCTAAATTGGGAGAAGAACGTCTAAAAAAACGTGGGCTGTCCTATTAAAATTAAAAAAAACTTGAGATGGACATTTCAACTTGGCAGACAAGTACAAAACCACTGAAGACACAGGCGGAACAAGCGTTTATTTCACCGTTTTTCGACGACATTTTGTTTTCACAAAAGAATGTAGAAGTTTGAAAATGACGTACAGACCTTGGGAAACCTAATTTTACACGATAACAATTTCGAAGTCCCTTGAAACTATTGGATTTTGAAAAAAGTTGTTTTGTTACATAATAATTTCCAGGGAAGTCGTTAAAGTTACACTTTGTTTTCTTTAATGAGCGAAAGAATGAGATGTATTTATATTATATAACTGTTGTAGGTTACAGTAGCGATTCTTGTTATTTTCAAATTACGATGCGATGTCCTGCAAGGTCTACATCATATCAGTCTGTCGGAAAAATAACGGCGGATCGTCGCGCCTCGTCATCGCTTTGCGACGGCTGCCGAAGCTGGAGATATGGTGCGCGGTAGAGGCGAGGCGAGACATTTTGCTGCGACGATTCGCCGTTATTTTTCCGACAGACTCATATCTTTAAAAAATATTTTCACGCTCAGAACCCACGTAGAAATGGCTAAAAAAACCTTATATATGTGTCATTTATAGACGTTTGTGTAATATGACGCAAAAGATGAAACTTGGCAAAAATAGGCCTTGTATGTTATAATTTCCGAAGAAAAGGGGTTTTTTAAGGATGGTTTGGTATTTAAAATGTGCCAAGGTGGGAGGTCCCAAATTAAAAAATAAATGTTTGTTTTGGAGTTTTTTTACAACCAACGGATAGACAATGAAGGCTGCTTATAACAAACAAAATTTGGTGATTCCCAAAGGAATTGAAAAATTGAGTGTCTGACTTGGAAACTTTCCTTGCCAGCTTGCTTTGAAGGAGATTCTTAGAAGTGTGACATAATGTATAAAAGGCGAACTAAGAATAAATTTATCGAATGCTGAAGCCAGGTTTGTCATCATACGCTTTACTATAATAAAATCGCATAAATTTTAAGGTCTTTTTGGGGCATTTCAGGGTCAAAAAATTGGCTTCTACGTGTTAAGGACAACTTTCCACAGCAACGACAGGCAGACTTCTCAAAAAAGAAGAAATGACCTGTTTCTAGCTACAATCCCGTTCGTATCGATTTGGCCTCAAACGACTACAAAAGCATGCTAAAGAACTTGCCAAAGAACGAGCATTCCTTGTCCCTCTTCTACGTGCTATATGCAATTCGAGGAATGCATTCTGAATCACAATTACAGTTATGCCAGGGAATACTGACGAAATGCTCAAGTTCTCTTCAAAACAATGCAGTCTCAATTCCATAGGGATCACTACAAATTTAGCTAATAGGGCTATTATAGATTTCTTGAAACACCCTGTATAACAACCCATGCCTTAAATCCAAATTGCCGACATTGCAATTATTCCGCCCGAGGAAAACAAACAAATGCGTAAATTTACATAGACCGTAGGAAGCAAAAAGTGACGAGATTGATGTAAATTAACATCCATGCTTTTACTTTTGTTAATGGATCTTTTTTATCGGAACTCTTTATTTGGGTCCGGTTGGGTTTTGGTCCAATACGTATAGCTAATGTTTATTAAAAAATTGTTGTTATTGGACTAATGCAGAGCATTGCCTTCTTTGAAAGCTCTTTTTGGATAGCCATTTTAAAAATTTGGGCGTTATTCCTACTCTTTGACACACATTCCAACCTTTTGGCCAACTTTTTTCGAGACTACAAAGCCATTCTGACACTAGCCCATCCAGATTTTTACCTAGCTATTTTTAAAAAATCTGGCCGTCATTTCAACCCATTGGCAAGCAGGTCAAACCATTTTGCCATATTGGCTATACATTTGATCCAATCCAATCAAATGTATCGCCCGATCTGCCCCAAACGAAGAGCAGTTCACAGCAAGTCTTACACTGTCAGTACGGGATACAAAATTAGCCTTTATTCTCGCCATCTACAATCCTACACGACACATTTGACTCAAAAAAGATGGATGCCGTTTACTCTTTATACTGATTCCCCTGTCAATACACAATAAAAAGTCGTTTACATTGAAAAGACCAGATGAGACACGGAACTGGCATTTCTAGTAATAAATACTGGTAATAACAGCGTTTAATGATTCGGAATGGCACGAGTGTAAGGCAAAACATCAGATATTACACTAGATACCAGAAACACATAGTTAGAGAATATTGTAAGTAACAATGTTGTGATGAAAAGTTATTCTATTAGTACGAAAATGTGACGCTTGGCATGTTATTTCAATCCCGGTGCCCATAACTGGTCATTAGGGACCCATTAAGTTAACAAAAAGTTAAAGATTGTAGAAAGTAACATGACTACTAAGGGCGTGTATTGTAAGCGTGTTGTGAGTAGTAATTATGCAAGAAATGGACTTGTAATAGGAGGAATTAATTTTGATTACATAACCGATTTCGAAAACAAGAATTTATAATACAATCATTACTGACTATTAAGATGTTTTGATAGAGGTATATAATTTTAGCAACTTACTATCGTGTTGGCAAGCTGTATGGCCGAGTTTGAGTTCCAAAAACATCAATTGAAGATGCAGTTACATTTCTTTTGACCAGATCTATGAAAAAGAGACGATATGGTCGAACAAAGTACATGGTGGTTACACTGTTGATCAGAGGGCCGGATAAGGCGACAATCGATGAAATTAGATCCGGTAAGATGGAACCGCCTTGAGTGTTCAAAGCAACCCCTGCATAAACAATTTGGGAGAAGCTGGAGACGACCGGAGAAATCGCCTGAAAATAGATGTGATAGAATTACTATTTTAGACGTATTTTATAAATTTTTTTATACATAATACATATAAAAACAATTGCAGAGTTTGACGAAGCAACTTATTAAAAGTACGAGCCCTTCATGAACGCTACTCGTGCAACAAAGGCATCAGTTAAGATTTTATATCCACAGGATACCAAGTAAATATGTAAAGTTCTCTTACCATCACCAACAATGCTTTGCTGAGTTGAGCATGTAGTCTTCTGGTCTTGATTCCCATTACATCCTTTTTCTTCTTTAGTGTTCGTCGAATCATGACATCAGCGAACGCAACGTTCACAATACAACAAGTAGAGAGACACGAAAAATAGAAGTAATAAAGTTGGACTGGCCGACTTTCCTGCAAGGACATTTGTTCAACAATAATTATAAATGTCATCGCTCCATTACAGGGAAATTAGAGACCAAATTTTTTCAAAACTTACAAAAACTCCGCCGAAAACGTGTTCCTTTGGGATTTGGAGACCTAAAGAATTTGTCATTTTCTCCAGGAAAACATAGTCTCGATTTACAATGTACACCCATCGTATAAGATACCAACCAACAAAGCTCAAAGTCATCGCAACTATTGCTTGAACTGTAACAAATATGCCAGGAGGGGGCCGCATGCTAAAGTACATGGTTATTTCGATGCAAATTAACCCACAATCTGAGCAAATAAAGTCGATAATTGTATTGCATTGGGACGGTAATCCAACTCAGCGCGACAAACCAACCAGTTGTTGTCAAGAAACCGTCATAAGTCGATAAAGGAATTGGAATTGCGGGCTGCATCACCAATAATATCGTTTTGTCGGTGATTATAAACATCTAAATAATAAATAATACGGTATTTATTTTCTTACGTAATTACTGATAGCGTTGAAGAGAGCGTAAGAAAGGTCGATCGTAGCTCCGGCAAGCAGAATAGGCCTGATGTGAAGCATTTTTCTGGATCTAGCGATGACCAGGAAAAGAAGGAGGGCACTGGTGAACGTGGAGAGGGCGTTGAACAGAAACATCAGCCATTTCTGAGCATCTAGAACACCCGATGTGAAAAAGAGTTACTGTTTCTTTTAGAATATTTCTTTTTTATTATTCAAGAGTTCTATGATCTGAAGTATACTCCAAAAATTGTACGACAGGTTCCTTAAAAATCTAGGATGGACATTCCACTGAAAAGAATTTTTGCTCAAAGAAATATAATTGATGTACAGTTACTATATGTTTCGTGTCATTTGGTTTCTTAATGAAACTTTTTCTGACGTCTGCGAACGCCACTTGAACTTTATGCATCTTTTCAACTTCCCAAATTTACACTGAGCTTTCGTCAACCTCGTTGACATTTTGTGTAAACTCCACAATGTTTTACAGAAATTCAAATGTCACTAAAGCCCGTGACTGTGTCAGAAGGCTTTGCCACCGTATAAACTGGCTAGTATAAGTTGAGGCTGGAAATTCAACGAGAATCTGTGAGTAGATTAAAACAAATCAACTTGAGTCTTGGAAAAGAAACCATAATTAAAAAAAACCCCGTAAACTGTCTTTGCTCATACACAGTGAGACGATGCTCTTGCATGTTTAAATTTTTTAAAGGTCACTGGCAAAATACTTGGCTATTAAAAATCCACCTTTGAAAATGAAATTTTTTTTACCCATCACTCGCGGGGTCCCGCTTTTTTTTATTCCCAACGATGACATGAAAAACATGAAAAAGCCCGCGCTTGTCGTGTTTACGACAAAAAAGGACACTACTCTCCCCGTATTTTAGTCCCAAAATCAATTCCAACTTACTATAGACATCCTGGTTTTTATTAATCTCCGCCGACGAGTGTAAATCCAACATTTCAAAAGGGAGACAACAAAAGGATGGCAGCGCAAGTAGTAAGACGGTAACTACAACCAACAAACAACTCTACAATGCGGAAAGTAAGTGGAGTAATGTACACGCAATTGCCAAAAAAAACGGTTTATGTTCTCAAATAAACTCTTAAAAGAGTCTCGAAACAAAAGGTCATGAAGGGGGCTGATTACATACGAAATATCGTGGTCTATTTACATTAGCATGATATTTTCACATCCGATTAACATAGTTTTTACAAACATATAATATTGTTTAAAACCGGAGCAACCTTCAGAAATCTGAATCCTTGTCCAAAAGTGAGAATATTTACAAAAATTGGACTAATTTGAACAGTTCCTTACAACGAAACCATATTATTGCCAGCTCTGGAGGATTTTGTAAAAGAATCCTCGGAAATAACCAGCTCGTTTTTGGTGGAATCTTCGAAATTACTGGAGAGAACGCCCAGGAAGAAGTTGCGATAAGGATGGACGAAATAAATAGTGGTAAAACCGTTGATTAGAGGGCCCGTTACCGCGAGTAACGATGAGATACAGTCGAGGATTCGATTGTCAAAGTTGAGATATACGGCCGTGGACACGTACAGGGTCTGCGAAACATTGGATATGATCGGGGAAAGGGCCTGAAAATGAAAAAAATGAAGTGTTTCTGAAAGGTTTAATGTTGTCAATTAGCACATCACTTGACACTACTGTGTGTTCCATTGTCTTTGTGTAATAAACAACAATTTTACAACAAAATGATGACTATTTTACTATGATTCATTTAAAACATTTCAAATTTCAGTGTTTTTGGACTCTCAAAACTCAAAAACATTGAAATGCTACAATCTAATTACTTCATTATGAAAAGTTAGTTCGGTCTTTAAAAAAAGTGTAAAGACACGCATACCATAAAGAACAGGGCCTTGTTGAGTTCGGAGTGCATTCGTCTTGTTCTTTTGCTCATTATTTTCTCCTTCAGATGTAAGTATTGCCGGACTCTCTTTTCTATCGCAAAGACGATCAGAATGGATCCAACGGAGATGCCGGTGAAGAAGACAAGATAATATTGCAAGACTTCTGTGTCCTGAAATATCCATACATGACATGTATACTTTTAGTTTTTGATTGAAAAAATTGAGTGAATTCCTAAAAATTGCAGAACTATTGAAAAAATTACATTTCTTATTTACGCAACTTTTTTAATTTGCATATTCATTTTTTCTAAAACGTTCAAAAATAAATTTCATTTTTTCAGCCTATTTTACGTATTTATAATATTCAACATTTCCAAACTTTTCGCTTGAATGTTGGCAGTTTTTCATTGATGCCGCGGTTACTTACGTATTTCCCTGCAGATAGCCTTGTGTCTGTCAATTCCAGACCCAATGAACCAATGGCTTCGCGCATTTCGCAAAGAAAAGATATATATAAAGGCTGATAGACGGCATAAATAAGGGAAGAACCGATGAGACTGAGACCTCCAATGATGACTGCATGGATAATGAGGAAGCTGGCCGGAGGAGGAGAACCGCTAAAAACAAGATCTTTACTGAGCAAAATGATACCAGCCATCATCTAAGTGATCGAAATATCTAAGAAAATGAAAACCCTACCTTCGAATTAAATAATGCCGATAGCTGACTTGGAAGGGAACACATAACCAACTGAGGGCAACAGTTGACCCAGCCAAAGTTCGGAATAAAGTCGTCATTGCATAAGTTGAGGTGTACATTGAGTTCATGATCAAGATCACATTCTGATGAGAGATAACAAAGTACTGAAGAAAATAGGTTTAGACAGTATAGTATCACTTGACTCTTGAATAAACAAAGAATCAGATTAACCTACAGTGTTGTGTATTCCATTAAATAATGCGTAGTTTGCATCAACAATAGCGCCCGTCAATAGAAGAGGACGCATGTTTTTCATTTTATGGGATCGAGTAATAACAAGGTAGATTAGGAAGAGGTTCAAGAAGAAGGCAAAGCCGTTGAGCAAGTATCCAATCCATTCGTGGATCACTGAAAGGAAAGATATAATGAAGGGACTAGAAAGTTTGAACAATTATTACAAAACGTAATAAATTTACTGCCATTACTCTACAATGATTGAGGCTAATCCGCCCACTTACGCAAGATATGACTTTGATCCAGCACCGGATAAAAGCCCGTACAATTATTTCTCATCCCGAATGGCGTATGATGCCGTCGGTGGGCCATGTTATTGTATGTAGAAAGAGGGCAGGTGATGTCAAGAAAGTCTTTGAGTGAGCCGAGTTTACACTCAATCCGCGCTTATATACCGTGCTATGTAATCAAAGTAATCACGAGCATTTTCTGCAAGAGAAACATTAGTTTCTTGCGTCTTGAAGGCATCTAAAAAACACCAAAGTACACGCACGTAAACGCATAAACATGAAAAACATTTTTGTAGCATTCACCCCGTCTATTCTGCATAGTATTTGATGCCGCAGAGACTTCCTTATGCACTCCTTAACGATGCAAAGAATTCCATAAACAGGATAGACTCAAACTTGTTTCCTTTAATTAACACGCCGCGGGTAATGCCTTAAGGCAAAAGACAAGGAAAAACAAAAATGGGCTAATTTCCACCCCCTAAACCCTTTACCATGCCTACTCGTCATCTAGAGACCAACCAGATTTACGGGAAAATGGCTTGGATACGGCCGAAAGAAGATCAGGAAATGGGAAAATGCACGGTGCGGAAGAAGCAAAGAACTGCACGGTGCAAAAGGTCGATGTGGGTGGATGACTGCACAGTGCGGAGAAATGGGAGATCTGCACCGTGCAAAGATAATAAGAAGAACGCACCGAGCATGTTGAATTTGCGTTGTGCCGAAATAGGTGAACAACTGACCAGTGCAAAAAGTAAAATAAAAATTTCACTGTGCAAAGAATGGCATGCACGGCGTAAATAAATAAATCCCTGCACGGTGTACGGTGCGATGTGCTTAAACAAATGCATTGTGACTCAGATTGGGGGGTCTACTACACCTGCTCCAATTTTATTTGCATAAAAAATGAGGGGCGGGAACGTGACATTGAGAATATGATTAATAAGTCCGTAGTAAACAACAGACTTATTAATAATTTTTTATACATAATCAAGAAGTTATATGGAACTACCGTAGCCAAGAAATTCTATCGAATTGGCAAAACTCGCTATCTGAAGATTGAATACGCAAACGGGACTGTCTAACAGTAAGTAGTACTACGTCCAAAATGCAATTAACGTGCAGAGAGAAAGTGATAAAAGTAATTGTATTGAAGCAAATACAACTTCTCCTTTTAAGTTTTTATATCTTATACTATTGTTGCATTGTCCTTTTAAGACATGTTTTGTCATTTTCAAGTAGCGAAGTGCATAGGTAATTTTAAATAATAAAAGCAAAGTTTTAACTCTATCCCAACTTAAAATAATATTACCATGACTATCCAGACTTAATCCTTGATCCTATGCCCCATCAATATCAAAAATATTACCCCAGACATCCAAAAAAATTCTTTTAAATTCATCCAATATTCTTATGACCACCGTTATTCGATAATTAATAAACCTAGACAGGCTGCTGATATTCATCCTCACTTATAACGCTATATCCGTCCTCAGCAGACGACAAGACCATAAATCTGCGGGCCCATGAACCGCGGTTTATTGCAATTAGTTTCCGAGGCTCTGACGTTATCCCTTCCCCCCTCCTCAGACCACCCATTCGCGGTTTCTTTCCAGAAATACGATGTAAACGTGGATTGCGTGATGTAAATACATTCTTGAGAGTACTATGATAAGAATGATATTGGGCGTAAACACGTTCCGCGTTGAGGTGAAAACAATCCAAATTCGAGGCCGAGGGCGTTTGTTGCATACAGCGCCCACATTAGGGTTAAATTTAAATTTGAAAAAGGAGTTTTTAGTATTTAAAATCAGCTGGTAGAGCGAGTAAAGAGATTCAAATATTCTAGTTACTGTAAAAAATGTTTTCATATTCAGAATATTATTATTTCATCAAAACATGAGCCTTAGAAATTTCGATGCAGATTTTTTATTTTTGGAAATGTAAATATAATAAATTAAAGTCTCAAAAATATATAACAAAAAAATAATAATTTTATATATATATTTTACAAAACAAACTGTTCGGGCCTATTATGGGACGGCCTCGGAGTAACACATGGCGTGGAATCATCCGAAGAAATCAAAGTCCGATCCCCCGTCGTTACGAACAAGATCTCCTTGAAATGTCGACGATATGGATGTACAAAATAAATCGTCGTAATACTATTAATCAAGGGGCCAGTGATCGAACAGAGGGACGAAATGGCATCGGTTACAATGAAACGATTATCAAAGTACAGGTTTAAGGAGACATAAGTCATCTGGGAAACGTTGGAGAAGATCGGGGAAAGCGCCTGAAACCAATAGATTTAAGAATGCGGATGTGTAAAGTAATGTTGTTCATAAAAGAGCCCTGACCTCCTCCCCTCCTTCCCACTTGTTTTCTCCGCCTTTAAGATTAGGTCTGACTCTATCTCCAGCCATGTATAATATGGCCTCATAAACACGGTGGGAGCTACGTCACAAGGGAATTGTCTTTTCGACACTTTTTTACAATGCATCTGCCGTGATAAGTTTTTATTTTTAGTTGATTTTTTGTCGGGTTGAGGCTAAATCTGTTCGGCCAGCACTTTGATTAGGTCGTGAATTAAAAATATTCAAAGTACCGTAATGTATTACCGGGTTTAGTGTAAAATATGACGCCTAAAAAATCGCGTTTATCCAAAACATGCGAGGTTTTTTTGCTCCCACAAAAACGGCAGAGGTTTTTTGCTCGGAGGGTGTCAAAAGACCAGCTATTTTTTCCGGGAAGCAGTCAAAATACATAATATTTGCACAGTTTCAAAAACCTCGACCTTCTCACCTTGCGTATTTTTTGTGAATATTGTGTTATATTTCTTTCCTACCGTATTCAAATATTGTTTCTTTTATATTTTTTGACTTCTCCCTACAGTAAATTCCTCAAATCTCCCTCTACATTTGTTTGTCACTTACCATTGCAATTAAGGCCCGAGTAAGTTCATTGTGCATTCGTCTGGTCCTCTTACTCATAACCTCTGCCCTTTGTTTCAAATAGAAACGAACTCTCATCTCGGCAATCAACACAACGATGATGCTGAATACGGAAATGAGGGTAAAGAAGTTGACGTAGTGACGGACTGCGGCGCTCTCCTGTAAATATTATATTCAAATCTTTAAATTTAATATGCAGATTTGAATTTTATGTATGCAAATTTACTAATTTATTTACATTTTTAGGAATATAAATTCTTTTAAATTTGATAATTCGCTACTTCAATTACACATGCGCCTCAAATTTTTAAATTATAAAACTTGCAATTTTCCCTCCGAACAATCGACTATCATTTGAATGTAATCCCACAGAAATGGCAAAAGATTCAACTTCACATAGACTACTGAAATTGTCTTGATAATAGGTCCCGTAGACAACGCTGCAGGCATAGAAGCTGAGAGATGTCATAATTGAACCATGGATAAGGAAGAACTTTGTTGATGGCGTTGTCCCGCTAAAAAAATTAAATTTTGTGAGCAGAAAGGTTAGCGACTTACTATCTAATCAAGTAGTATCTGTAGTTATATTGAAACGGAACGCATAGCCAGCTGGCGGCCACAAAGATGCCAGTGATAGCTATTATGTATATCATAATATCTCCGTTTGGGCGGAACACGCTGTTCCAGACCAAAACAAGGTTATCCTTGGTTAACACGAAGAGCTGAAACTTTCCATTTACACTCTTACAAAACAAAGGAAAGGATAAAGTCCCTTAGATAATGAGAACTTACCGGATTAACTATAAGACACAAGAATGCATAAGTAGAATCCACAAAGACTCCTATAAGCAGCAATGGTCTCATATTCTTCATTTTCTTTGATTTTGTGATGACTAAGTACAGCAAACAAATATTTAGTAGGTAGGCAGAAAGGTTTACAACAAATCCTAGCCATTGGTGCGCCGCCAAGGCTAAATTAATAGGTTAAAATTAAATAAATGTTACAGTTAAAGTATGAACATAACATAATACACTTACTGATAACGCCCAGTCGATTGTTTTCCGTGCCATTTACAGTATCGTCAATGCAATCCATGACTAAGATTGAACCTTTAAACTTCCGACAATTGAAAAGTCAGAGCAAGTTTTAACAGGTGTTTTCTTTGTCGCTGGAAAGGATTTAAATTTCTTGCCAACCTTACACGTAAGACGCACGCAAACAGTTTTCGATGAAATTGCTTGGGGATGAGAGTAATACCAAAAAAATTTAGATAACTTTGGTGCCAAAACCTCAGCTTTTATTAGGAAAGAAAATTGTAGTCTTCATAGTTATAGAAAACCCATTTTATTAACCGTGGTAATGATAATACGAAGTAACTCACCCCACCCAAAAATAAATAATATTAAAAAAAGAAATTCCCGGAGTCAGAGTTCGCTTTCCCGGCACTTTGTTCAGTGGCTTTTGCTTATCGGATCTTGAAGAACAACAATTTTAAAAAGTGTCATTGAAAGCTGTAAGTTAAAATACTCACAAAACCAGCATCCATAATATACGCAAATAACCTCCTAATTAATTGTGCGTTAATTTTTCAGGCGAAAACTCGAAACTTTCCGCGCCCCAAACCACCCAAGATTATGCCCGATTCTTCCTGATTTATATATGTTTATGCTAATGTGGGCGCTGCAAAAAACACTCAAATATATCACCAAAAATGGGTTTTAACATCATTTCGTTAGAGTGCACATGATCCTAAGCCCGCAGGGCAAGGAAGGAAAACTAATTGAGAATTACATTAAGCATTGGAAGAGATCTTTTATTCTTATTTTTAAGATTACCAGCTAATTCTACACTGTTTTTTACCGCCTTTTTTTGCGTGTTATATCTAACTATATATAAAATAAAAGGGTAATGAGAACTATTTCTTGCAGAATTAATAGGGTTTTGCAAGTTTGCAAGACTGGCAACAAGCCAATGCATCTTGGAGCGAACAGGAAGATTAGCTCGAGAGCGACAAGTGATTTATGGCATCCGCAGAAAGAGAAATAAAATAAATGTAAATTAAAATGGGTTGAGATCATGAGGCTTGCAACAAATTGTAAACAAGTACTGCAAATTGGGCAAAAATACATAGTTCAAAAAATCTCATTCAAATTTTTGCAAAAGACGATAAATTGCTGAACTAAAAAAGCTTCCTGCGCATAACAAGTGGCCTTACAGAACCTCAGCACATCAATGGATTTGTTTTATAATAAAAACTTTTTACATCTACTCCTGTGCAGATTTATTACGTGTAAACTACAGAAACTTTTGTATATCTTTTTTCCCTAAAACGCGACAACTTCTAGAACCCTCAATTCATCTCAAATGATGCGCCATTCGACGTAATATCCAATTGTATTTAGCAGCATAATTTAAATTAACATTATATTGTATATACTTCCACAGCTTTTCAAAAACTTGCGAATTTGTAAAGACTGCAAATGAGGAGCCAAAAAAATTAATTAACTCATAGACAGTAGAATCAAATGTATTGGGTCAAATAAAAAAGGCTCAAATACACAAATAACAAATTCTCTTGACTTTCTGGACTAACAACTAGACTCCCCTTTAACTCCGGAACTTACGATTTGTGAAAAAACTCAATTTTCAAAAAATTAATTGCACTTTTTTAGGCAGACTTTAAATTACTGTTTATACGTCAAAAAAACTTTTAATTCTTAATTATTTTTTTTTTGTTTTTTGGGCCAAATTAATAAGCTGGTTGCGTTGTTTATCCTGTCAGTTAATAAATCATTTGCTCGTCTACTATTGGGATGACAGAAAGACAAAACATCGATAAACTTAAAAATTTTAGCCGGAAAATTTAATGTTTCAAAGAAAAGTTGTAGAATCAGTTTTTGTAAGCGTTATACAATTGATCATACTTCTTATATCTAATTGTAAGGTTAAGAGGAAAGAATATACAAAAACTTTTCAACGAGAAAATGAACCCGCTTTATTGAAAGAGGGGCCGTCTGGGTGGGCCGAGATTGAAAGAAAAAAAGCATTACCACTGAATAAAACGAATCGTGATATTGTCATAGACACTTAGAATATGGCATCAGAATTTGGATATTAGTTTACGCTTTGAGCGATAATTGCGGAAGTAAATTTTAAGTTGAAAAATATGTGAAATTAAAAACAAAACTAAAATTGGCCGTTCTCAACGTAAGTCAAGTATAGCTTGCCGGCAACACAAGAAACTTTACAAATACGTGACCTGCAAGATAATAAAGTTTTAAAAGTTTTTACGTGAAAGGAATAAAGAAGACGCCGGATATGCAAACGCTGAGATTATCCTTAGATGTAATACGTATTTCCCGTATAACATTTTGTTGGGGATGTGAAGGTGGAGCCGAGATATTCAGCAACCTTTGTAAATATGTACATATATTCTCAGATATGCAAACATAAAAAAATAAGTTTTTTAGCAGGGAAAAATGTTTTTTGGGCGTAGATTTCGCCTTCAGAAAACCCCTAAAAAATCATCAAAAATCCGAAATATATAAAAAATCAACCGTACTTAAATTATAAATAACACTTCCGGAGACTATCAATAAATTAAACACCAAAGACGATCCCCGTCTTACCAGCCCTATTACAAGTTTATAACGTGCCGTTTAATCGCTCAGATGCTGTCTGGGAAGTAAAATGAAAGGATTTACGATTGTAAAGGGGAAGAGGTCAACCGGGGATTATGATAATGCCGGAAACAATTCAAAGCATCCAAAACTTTTAATCCGTTTTTTGTTTCGAACAAAAAAGGAGTCATCTAATAACATTCGCAAAAATTGTCATGGATATGGTGATGGTGAATAGTTATTTTTCTTTTTTTAGTTTTTTGTTGCGATTATATTGCATGATGATTTGCAGGGTTTGTTGGCTTTATGGAGTCTTGTTGCTATGATCAATTAGAAATTGCAAATCTATCCAAGGTTAGGGTATTGCAAATTCCAAGAATTTTTTACTTTTCTTGTGTGATTTTTGGAATAAAAGGATCGCCTGACACAAAATGAGCCATGAAATATTGTGAAATTTATTATTAATACTATTAACATTTAGAGAACTGTACAGGGATAACGAGTTCTAATGCCCATTACACAGACCGACCATCTGCAGCATATTCTCGATGGCATTCACTTTGGGAGGCTGTGGAGGAGGCTGGGTCGAGGCGGGTGGTCGGGGAAACGGACCGGGTCGTCTGAAGAATGATAGGGTAAATTAATAACTCTACTCTAAGATACAACGCCGTTTAAGAATGTTTCTATATGTACACGACATTGTCAGAGTACCTCTATTTAGCTAGCTGTCTACTGAGTGCCTCTAAAGTTTCAATTGCCGATACATTATTCAAGTCAGATTACTGTAAAAACTTTTTTCACAGCTTTTTTAAAGACATTGAACAACTACTACAACTGACTTTAAAATTTAAAAAAAAAACCTACTGGTCCATTTGCTGAACGAAAGATCCAATCTGTAGGCTGTCCTCATCATTTGCGAACATAAATGTTGGAGGTGGTTTTGTTGTCTGTTGCACTTGCACATTCCTACTATCATGTTGAGGAAAAGCAACTTGAGCAAGTGTAAGACCATCCTAAAAGTAAAAACTCATTGCTTTCCTTTTATTTATATGTTTACCTGTAAATTCTGAAGCAAATCGGAAACCCCTCTGAGAATTCCGCCTTCCGTATGCTTCTTTTTATCGAAATGCTCGTCATACATGTCATAGTAATCGAGGGCTTCTAGCGCCGATTGTGTTGTTGTGGTTGTTGTTGTGGATTTCGCAACTAACGACCGCTCGCTTTGCTGAAATTGAATTGATACTACCGTAATACCAACAAAAGTACAATATTTCTAACGAAACGTACATAAGTTGGCGCAGAAATAGGTGGTGTCGCTGTACTTCTAGGAGTTCCCGGGAAATCAAATATTGTTGGTGGAAGCCCTAAAGGTGGGAATGTTGGAAGGACATTATTGTTAACTGGAGGGAGGATTGGACTAGCTTCAATTCTAGCTCCGAAAAGGGGAGGAGCGTTTTGTCCATTTTGGACAAAATTTTCGAACATTTTTTTTCGTTCCTCCTCATCTCGCTTGATTTGATCCATGAACAGAGGGTTGTAAGCCTAAAACAAAAGGATTATTAGATTTTTTGGGACCTATGAATCGTATTTTCATATTGCAAAGGCTTCTTTATAACTTCAGAAATTTTAAAATAAGAATTCTAACCACTAGTTCTTACAAACTCTTATTGTTTTTTAGCCAAATTTTTTACCTGAATATCCGCAGGGAATCGTCCCCTCTGCCATTCCCACGGCACCTGCCTTCTGGCTCTGATTTCTCCCACATTGGCCGGCTTTTTTAATTGCACATCAACCGGGCAGATCTGAAGCCACCATCGGCGATCGCTGAAAATTAAAACTCTCATCAAACAAAATGTTTTTTATCTCTCGATTATCCAGTTATCCCCATCACTTACCCATTCTCACTCATCGCCTGCCATTTCCGAATGATTTGAGCGGAAGAACTGAAGGATGAAGCTCGTCGGTGATCGTTGATGAACTTGGTGTCAATGCAATCCCCGATCCGGAGTTTAACAGAGTCACTTCGACAGCACAACAATTGCCATGAATCGATCCCTGTCTTGACGTCTTCAATTATCTCAACTCCCACTGTGTATTGGTCACTTCCGCAGCTCAAATACATGTCTCCATTGGCTGTGGAGGCGGACTCCGTTGTTGTGCATTCTTCGTCGAAACTCTGAAAAATTAATTCGAACTAAAGTCAAGAGCGACAGCACAGCTACAATTATCTTCTACATAGATTCCGACAGTAAATAATGTAAAATCTTACCATTATTTTGGAACTAAATTTTGAACACCCAAACTTGTACAATCTTTCCGATCCGTCGTGAGCGGAGTTAAATTTGGACATATAAAATCCATTGGGGCATTGGAATGTGGTCATACCAAACGAGTACACCGTGTTGATTATGGCACCATAAAGGAACGGTAGTATGGACGGGGGTGGTCGCCCCCTTACCCGGAACATTGCGTTATGGTTTACTGGAAAGGAAAAACAGCATAAAAATTAACATTTTCATACAGGAGTTACTATCTCAAGCCTCTGAATGAAATTCGACAACGTATTTTACAATTTTATAAACTTTCAAACGCGAAAAAATATGAGTAAATTAAAAATAGACGTTGAGAGACGAAACAGTTCTACTTATGTCTACAAACGTTGCAAACAAAATATTTTTATTATTTTTTAAAATTTTGTATAACAATAAGGTCAGAAAATGCAAAAAAAACTAATTTTTCCATTTCAAAGTTAAAAATTCCGGATAGTTCCGATAAACGCAAAAATTTTCAAACATGCCGTTTTCAAAACTCTGTAAACAAAAAAAAATTAAAACGCAGCAACATTTGTGGTTTCTGAGTTTCTCCTTAAAAGCATCCCTATAAATCCTGTAACTTTTCCCACTTATTGGGTCATAAAGTAAGATTGTTACACGTCTTCGCCCTCCAACCAAACCCAGGAAGAAAACCTGAAAGACGCGGAGCACTGGAACGGCACGCATTTTGGCGCTCTTATTATGAAGTAAAGAAAATCCGCTGGAAGAAAAGTTCGACGGAAGAAAATAAATAAGATTTCGGTGTGAGGATCTGGTTTTCCTTACCGAAAAAGGAAATTAGGGAGTTATCACAGACCATTTTTGACGGATAATGGAGAAGATGAAAGGCTTAATGGGCAAGGAAATTATGTCGTTTCGAGGTTTAGGAGTTATGGATGAGCAAAATCTTATGCTGATGGGTTTACTGTATGCTGCAGGATGTTACAAGATATGGTATTTCCGGTGTGAAATCTTAGCCGTTAGTGAATAAACGAAATATAAAATACGAGCTCTCGGCCCACTGTTAAACTGGCTCACTGGGTTTTACATTAAAAAATAAATTATATCGGCAATAAAAAACGACAATTGAAAAGCAAATGGAAACCTTTCTTGATCACGACTCAATCCGGAAAAAACGAATGTCATCGGATTGCAGCACACAAATGCCGGATTGCGAAACGCGCCTCTTCTTTTCTCACCATTCGGCTAATCGAGTTCAAGGTTTCCGAATTCAGAATACCCTTCATTTTCCTATTACCTAACCGCAGGAATATCAGAGAAATCGTTTGGGGCCCGGGCGTTTTTCTTAAAACAATGCATAACATAAAATTTTGTATGACATAATTATCGATGCAACACATGTCCTGTCCCTTCCTTCAATCGATTCCTTACAACTTTACAACTACCATGCCCCAGTTTTCTCTCCAAAAAACCTTCAATCTCCAATCCACCCCCGTTCTGAGAGCTATAAGAATTCCATCAGAATACCGCCCAGACCCTCGAGCGAGCAGTTGAACATTATGCAGTAAAAAAAAAATACTCTTGGCGGAAAAAACAAACAAATTTTACCGCAAAACCGCCAAAGAGATCTTGGAAAACGGAAACATTCGCTGGAGAAACCGCTAACGATGAATCCGTTGGATTAATGTAATATGGGAATTTAATTAATACAGAGTGCGAAGAAACCTGATTCGCGGAGAAACCGGGGAAGAATTGATGACGATATTGGGTGTCATAACTGTTTATGACAATGGTGACTTGTACAAAAGGAGAAGAATACAAAAGGAAGGGAACTAGAGAATGCTGTGTTAAGTGTCATGGCTATATCCCACCTTTGAAAATTTCAGCGCATGCTTTAGAGGCACATTCAATTTATTTAGCAGCACGTTCAGACAAGAAACGCGACAAATCGACGAATTCTCTACGCAGCGTTTTTGCGCTTTGCCTTTTTGAGTTCCGAGAAGAAAAAGATCAACTTTTTTATCAAAAAAAATTAAATCTCGTAAAAAAATCCTAAACGTTTCCTCAAAGCACGAACAAAAAATCAGACATATATCTTGAGAGGACTTTGTCTTCCCTAAACCTCCAAGAAACAAGGAAGACCTCCGAAGAATCAGACGCCGCATAAAATACAAAACCCCTCCGTGATGATTTACTCCGGCGTTTTTTTTTTTCATTTTTTTGAATAGAAGATTGTAGCCCTAAAGAAACCAATTTTTGAATCCCATTCCCAAAAAAGGTGCGCACTATTTTTTTATTTTCTGGGGTTTGTCGCTCCCGAAACCCTGCTCGCCTCTGCTCTTGCGTGATATCTTCTACTGTTTTTGGGTCATTCGAATCCGACGAATCCAGAAGGTCAGCCGCGGATTCAGGAATCTCTCTTTTTGTTTTTTGTTCGGAGAAAGTCGGCGATGACGGCGTTATCAGAGAACGAAGAAAAATGGAAAGTGCCGCGATGATTGTCGTAAATTGGGCGGCGCAATTAAGAGAGGTGGTTTCGGGATCTAATCAAACATGTGGAAGTTATGTTCTGTGGCAGTATGATGCTCTATTTTAAAATTATGAAACTGTCGAGTATTTCAGGATTTTCTTTGTTGAATTATAACAGTTTGTTCCGCTATATACCAGATTTTCTTCCGGCAAAGAAACGCAAAATTTGAATATGAATAGAGATCTGGAACCGGCTTGTGTTCGAATACATTTCAAGTGGATTAGCCGAGTTCTTGATCTCACCGACAGCAACACAAAAAAAAGAAGATGCCGTATTCTACAACTGATTTCTACTTTGAATTCACCAGTCGGACTTTGAACAGTAATTTTAAAATCAAATTTTTTATTTTACCCATGCCAAAGTGTTGTGAATTCAACTTTAATCCAGCTGTAATGGCCAGTTCGATGCTCCTCTTCGCACCCTCTGCTCCATAATTATTTGAATGGAATTATAATTGTGTTATGTCATCGAGATTTGACCTCGAATTGTTTTAATTAGCCCCTTCTCGCGACTTAAAGACTCTTCAGCTCGAGAGCCATCGAATTAACGGATGCAAAGTGTCATGGATCTGTTGCCAAAGTCGGTCGGATTAGCTGCAAAAACACAAATCTCGCGCAATTCGGGCTCATGTTTGTGTTGTTGTAATAAAAAACATTGACTTCGGTAATATAAAACAAAAATTTATTCAAAAAATAATAAAATTATTATTTTATTTCATAAATTATAATCTTTAAAAATTAATTTTTAAATTTCCCTCCAAAATTTTAAACTTTTAACCGAATTTAAGCCAATTTTGCGAGAACACCCTCAGGGCATGCAAAAACTTTTTAAAAGGCCGAGATTTTCGCGCGAAACTCAATTTGGATATAAACGGTTTTCGAGGCCAAATCGCGTTAACTGGGTGTTGTAACTCAGTTACGAGTGTTTTGAAGAATCGTATGCAAATTTGAGAACGTCGGAAAATCAAGAGAAACAAAATAAGAAACCATGGCGGGCGATTAGCCCAAATTACAAGGGAAAGAAACATGGATAATATGGAGACTGAGAAGGACTGGATTTGGGGGGAGAGAAACAGTTGCGCAATTAGCAACAGAAAGTGAAAGTGAGGGTTCTTGCAAATTTGCATAATTTTGAATGTGAAAAATCCTGAAAAAATATTTTTTTTTCAACGGGGGTGTCTCAAAAGGCAACTAAAGTTTCTCTGATCTGAATTTTTTTCCTAATATACCATATCAAACAAAAAATTGCTGAATACCTATAACAAAACTAAGGTTTTTAAAAGCCATAAGTGAAATTTCCAGAGATAACTGCAGAAATGTGCAACTTCCCTGTCTATTATATCTTTGCATATTTCCTCCGTCTCCATCCGATTGGACTGCAGAGTTCTTATCCTTGGCTATCGTTTCTTCCGCCTCAAGTTCCTAATCGAATCCCGTAACCATAACATTTATTCATGCCCTCCTTCCCTCCTCAAGTGTGTCTCCTTTCCTACTGTAACACCCTCATGGGCGGGTCATTAGTGCGCGAAATGTGCCCGCACTCTCTTCCCGGCTGCGGCCAATGAGCTTGGCCCTCCGTTCTCGGGCATGGAAATTGGGACAAGAGCCGGGAATTAGGGCCGCAAAGATACTCGGGGACGAGGGCCGACATCTCCACTACTGCGCCGACATCTCCTCCGGCCAACGCTTCGTTTGTTAAGGCTCGTTTGTTGTGCAGGAAGACCTGATGCAAGTGCATCATCAAGAACAATCTTGTTTCGAATTCGGCGCCGAATTTATGAGTCCTGGAAGTCAGTTGGTCGGCCAACAAGTCGTCTCCTCGGCCGACCTTCACACGGCAAACTTGCTTGCGCCGTTCCACGTTGATGAACACGCCGTTCTGCAGCCCCCTCTTCACGTTCAACAACACACTCCACATTCGACGGCCGCCGCCGTTGCCGCGGCTTTATTGGCCGCGAATTGTTACGAGAGTGTGATCCCGGGAAGGAATGGGGTGGAGAATGTGCCCGTAGATATTCATGGATATGACCATTCGAATGGATATTATAGCGGTGAGAATCTTTGTTTCCGAATAGTGAGCCGAATCTTGAATAATCAGATGAGTAATATATGACATGCTTATGTTTCTTCATTTCAACGTCAAATTCCCTCTTTCGCAGACCTCGTTTTGTATAACAATATAAGATTTTTTCAAGAAATGTCTTCTAAATGCTGTCTTTTTTAGTCTCGGACCCCTGCACTAGTGTCCCCTTATCCCAGCCGAATGTTTTTTGCCAGCCATTGACGATATCGACCTGTACTAACTCCTTGGATCCCATAAATGAACCTTCAATTGTGTTCCCGGAGATAAAACAAGAAGATAAATCATGGTCTTTATGCGGAGAATGCATGGAGCCGATCAAAGAGAGATATCTGCTGAATGTAAACAGCCAAAACTACCACAATCATTGCCTGCGATGTTCAAATTGTACAACCAAGCTGGAGGATATGCCTAGTTGTTTTGTGAAACACGGGAGTATCTTCTGCAAGCAATGTTACGGGCAGTAAGTCGACTTTATATCATATTGTTCATAAGGGTGACTGTTGGAGATACGACCGACAAAATTTATGTAAATTTGGCACAACCGCGCTTTGTAGGTCATATTTCAATGGCAACAATTTCTAGGTGGCGCTTTGCAAGAACCGCTGAAACTAAGAAACCCAAAGATTTGTGCAAGCACATAAAGGCGACTTTTTTCCTGAAAGCTTTTTATTTCGGTTGGAAAAGTCAACTCTTGCTGACCGTTATTTGTCGCGTGATTACCTATACCAGCTATTCTAACTCTGCAAAGCCTTCAATCCCCCACTTCTCTACCAACTTTCGTAATGCTTTTGGTATCTTAACCTTAGCTACAGTAATCCATTTGTCATCAAAAACCAGTTGGCCAAGAATTCTCAAAAAGAGCCACTAATGAAGCGATTTAGACTTCTTTTAAGTTTTTTTTGCCAATTCTGAATAGCGTCTAATTCCCTGAGGGCATTCCAACGAACGATCGTTTTCAGAAAATTCCAAACAAAATGTGCTCACTGCGACCGCCAAATCCAACCGACCGACTGGGTGCGTCGCGCCCGGAACTACGTCTTCCATTTGGCCTGCTTTTCTTGTACTCATTGCAAACGACAGCTAAGCACCGGGGAACAGTTCAGTTTGCAGGAGAACCGTTTACTGTGTAAACAACATTATTTGGAGCTGGTGCAAGGCGAGGATTGTAAGTATCTTTGCATTACTACACTTCAAGCTTCATATCATTTTGTGTTAAGGCAGTATAAATATCTTTACTTCTTTTTTAGCCCAATCAAAGCAAAAAACAAAACGAGTTCGCACAACCTTTGCCGAAGAACAGCTCGCAATTCTAAATGCTCACTTCCAAATGGACTGCAACCCCGATGGAGGAGATCTGGAGCGAATTGCCGCCCTGACTGGACTATCCAAGAGAGTAACGCAAGTATGGTTTCAAGTGAGTTTTATTAACCGTATCTACCTACTATAACATCGAAAATTTAGAAGAATGACACCCAAGTCCTTTTTTCAGAACTCCCGTGCTCGTCAAAAGAAGAGCAACGGCCCGCGAAAGAAGATCACCGCAAACGGATCAGTCCACGCGACAAGTTCAGCAAGCGGCCGATCCAGTCGCGCAACATCCCATTCTAATTTATCTCCAGCACCGAAAACCCCAGAAGACCAACAGCAGTGAACTTCCGGTTCTGAATGATCTCAGCAACGCCTCAGGTGAAGAAACGCCGCCCCATTTTACACTAGACATTACCTACATCAATATATAAGCACAAAAAAACGACTTCAATAAAGTTTTATTATATAAACTACCGTCCGAAAGAACTTGAAGAAGATATTTATCCCAAACTTGAAATCCCGGAGAAGCAGGGTACCCCAAAACTTGCCGAATTATCCAATGTCCGCCATCCGGGAGAGACTTGACCCGCGCCAAGTGTCCCCTCAAAGAATTTTTCTTTTTGCTAAAAATCCGTCGATTTTTATTCCCTCATTCTCCGATTGTAATGTCCCAGAACGATAGGTCAGTGAACCAAAAGTTTTCGGACATGCGTTTGAGCGTCGATGGTCGTATCATGGAAGAAACCTTCTCCAACCGCCTGATGGATACCTTTGATGGAGACGAGGTACGTGATATTTCTCTTTAAATTTATTGGGTTTTAGGCAATTCCTGCGTTGAAAATTGAGAAGAACGAACCTCCACTGCTCCACAAGAATTTTTATCGGAGTAAGTTGTTTTTCAAAGATGTGTTTATAGTTTTTATCAAATGTGATATGAAATTCATCGGTTTCTTTCAGATTTTATTGATCCATTTGATCCCTTTGGCAAGAAGAAATAAAATGCGATATCAATGATGTAAATAATCAAGTTTTTTTCATAATAAATGATATTTTTGACGAATTTTATGGATTTTTTTTGGCCGTTATAGCGCTTTTATACTATTGGTATATCTAAAATAAGGTCAAATAAGAGGTTTTTTGAAAGATGTTGAGGTGGAGGCTGCCGATATCTGTTCGGCGGTATTCTTCGGCCATGGAAGGATGGATAAATCAGCAGAATTCGGAGTTGGCCCAGTTATCCAATGGCCAGATGGAATTCAAGACTGGGCATTTGGCCCGGTTTGCGTCTGGGGCTTGCACGGTGACACTTGGAGATTCCACAGTGCTTGCGACGACCGTATGCAAGCCAGATACATCAGGAACTTCCCCATTTTCGAGTGGGAAGGCCTTATCCGTCGACTTTTTGCAATCAGCCTCAGCTGTTGGTCGAATCCCTATGAATTATTTGAGGAGAGAGTTGCAACAGACGGATATGGACATTCTGATCAGTCGAATGATTGATCGATCACTACGGCCGCTTTATTCTAGCTCGTTCAGGTAATTTTTGGATTTAAAAAATATTGTTTTAGGTATAAAAAGTTTTAAAATTGGTACAAGCCGATCCAAATCATAAATTCGAAATTATAGAGGAAACACAAAGATAATTTGCAAGCCGTTATCGGCTGCCAGAGATGCAGACATGGCAGTTCTTGGGATAAATGCAGCTTCCTGTTCAATAGCACTGTCTGAATGCCCTTTTGCGGAGACCGTTGGTGCTGCAAGGATCGCATTGTTGGATAATGAAGTAAGTTTTTTGAATTCCCCTCTCGACTTCTATACTCACCATGATGCTACGAGGATTGGACGATTTGAATATAATATTTTCAGATAGTACTGAACCCACCTCACTATGACCTTCAGCAGAGCAGGATGAACCTTCTTTTAAGTGGAACAAAGTCGAAGAAAGTATTGATGATAGAGATGGACGGAAAGGAGATACCAATGGATACATTTATGGAGTCAATTGAAGTCGGATTTTCCGATATCGAGAAAGTTATCGACGCCATAGATGCTCTAAAAAGTTCGTCTGGCAAAGATAAAATCCCAGTAAGTTCTTTTTTATTTTTTATCTTGCTTTAGGCCAAAAGTGTAACATTACTTCCAGGAAGATCAGTTTATGACGGATGTCGAAAAAACATTATTGAAAGATATTTTTGACATGGCCTGTGATCGTCTGGAATACATCTTAACTGACGCTACTCATCTTAAAACGTCGAGGGATGAAGCGATAACAGCCTATAAGAAGGAACTCATTGAGAGGATATTAACCAAAAATTCGGGAACCTTGCCAGCTACAGTATCCCTAATATTCGATATCGTTGTAAAGAATATTCTGAGGAGGCTGACCAGGGAAAGTGGGATTAGAGTTGACGGCAGAGCTATCGATGAATTTAGACCGATTTCCATCCAGACGGACCTCTATCCAAGACTTCACGGATCGGCAATGTTTCAGAGAGGTCAAAGTCAGGTCATGGGTAAGATTTTGATTATTTTTTTGGATTTTTAGGTCGTTGAAAGAGTAACGAAGGTTCTTTTAGGTACTGTAACATTTGATTCGCCCCAATCTGCCTTCCGCCCGGACGCTATTGCTCAACTTCTTGGTGCTCAACAAAAGAAATCCTTTATGGTCCATTATGAATTCCCTCAATTTGCTGTTAATCAGATTTCTGACAGCTCCGGCCGCTTTAATCGTCGATCTCTTGGCCATGGAACCCTTGCCGAGAAAGCGTTAAAAAATGTTGTGCCAGAAGATTTCCCATACTGTATTAGAGTAGATTGTCAAGTTCTAGAATCAAACGGATCGACCTCAATGGCCAGTGCTTGTGTGGGATCTCTGGCCATGTATGATGCCGGGGTACCGTTGAAGAATGCGGTTGGGGGAGTTGCGATTGGTCTTTTCAACGATAATGGAGAATTATTGGCGACGGAGAACGATAAGCCAGTCATTTTGACAGATCTAATGGGAATGGAGGACTATGCGGGAGACATGGACTTCAAAATCGCTGGTAAGTGGTAACTTTTTTTTGAGATTGTCTTTAGGCACGAAAGACGGCTTCACATCCATCCAACTTGATGTTTCGATACCGGGATTGACGATGGATCTGGTAAGAGAATCGCTAGAAAGAGGCCGGCATGGCTTGGATCATGTTTTGGCGAAGATGAATGAAGCTCTGCCGAAGCCGAGAACCCAATTTAAGGAGTGTGTCCCATTGTTGGAACATGTTATCCTACCGGGATACAAAAGAAGCGCTTTGTTCAGAAATGCAGGATTCAATGCGAAGTTAGTTGAGGCAGAAACCGGAGTTCAAGTTCAGGCTGATGAAGAAGATAAGATTTTATTGATGGCTCCGACTAAAGAAGACGCAGCGAGGGCAAAGGAACTCATTAACAAGTAAGTTGAAATGGTACTTGAATGAAAACAACATTCTTGATATTAATTTATATTGTTTTAGACTAACTGATGTCTCGACCCAAGTCGATCCCAATTTTGGGGAAATACAGAAATGTGAAGTCATTGAAGTCCTTGACCGGGGCATAGTCGTCAAACTGAAGGCCTTCAAAGACCCAGTCTTTGTCCCCATCAAGAGTTTAACCCCAAAACTTGTCAAACACACATCAGCATTGGATGTAAAGATTGGCCAAAAACTTTCAATGCAGTTCTTCGGACGCAATCCAGAAACTGGCCAGCCCCGATTAGCCACCAGGAGTATTGGCACAAAGCCTGTGGACCTCAAATAGGAAAATCATGAATTTAGAGGAAATTGTTGTTAGTTTTGTTGATTTTACTTGTTGATAACTTGAAACTTTTATGTGGAAAAATAAACGTCCGGGTGTTTTTTGATACGGTATAGCTTTGTTGTTGGGAAATGGACTCAACATGAAATTTATTGGCGCATTTTCCACGCGAAATTCATGAAAATAGAGGGTGAAGGAGAAATAACATGGAGAAAGTGGAGAGTTTTTGATAAAAGGCTCTAAAAATTGATCGTTCTCTGTTTTTGGTAAACTGTATTTGCCATTTTTGGCAGTGCGCTATCTTATAAAAAACCCAACGTTAATCTAAATTGATCAAAACCTTGAATCCCCCTCTAGAATCACGGAAAACTCCCATATTTTCTGTTTGTCTAACCAAAAGCCGCTCCCATTTCTTTTCCGAAAGAGAGATCTTTTGCGCCAAAAAAAGGGACTTTTCAGCGGGCGATGATTTTTTAATAATCAGAGACAGTCTGAAGCGTTGTGAGGACATCTTTAGTCAACCATGAGCCCGAAATAACATATAATTATAACAAAAATGTTAGTAATATCTGCTACGTGCAATAAGATACGATATAAAGACCAAGTTAAATTCGAATTACTATAAAATCGTTTATTTACAAATTCATTTCGTGTTACTCGTGGTCTTGCTCTGGGTGAACTTTGATTTGAGGGTTTTAGTCGGCGCTTTCTTTAAGGAACCTGATGAGTAAAGTGTTTTGATGGGGATTACCGATGCTTTGCTCATTTATCTATATTCCAAAGCACTTCCCCGCTCATTTTTGGTTGCAATAATATAAATTTGAGCATTTCTGGTCATCCCCATGAAAACATTTTACCCCGCTAGATCTCACAGTATAGCTATGACTTCAAAACGCTGGTAATTCCAAAAAAATGATTTTCAAACCATAAAAGAGCTGTGAATTTTGCATTTTCCTAGCTACTGTGAGACCCTTATTTCAAAGAATCCAGACTTTTTGTGGATTTAATGGAAGAGAAGTTGGTCTTGGAACCGGATTTGCCGGTGGCGGAGTTGCTTCCCTCCACCTCCCAATCATAAGGGGCATCCAATTTGACACCGCTCTTTGATGCGGTCTAAAATAAGGTCATTTAGTGACAAAAAAGTCATCATTCCTGGAGATCTATTGAACTCACCGCTTTGATTCCATCATAAAGAAATTCATAATCCACTTTATCCGTGTATCCTCTGCTGTCAATGTACTGTAACATCTTAGTCAAGTAATCCTTGCACGGAATTCTGTAGAAAAAGGTGTTATTTCTCTTCTCCGAATCCTCTCTAATCTCATCTTTACATTTAAGGACATCATCCCTCTCAGCCATCTTCTTCCAGGGCAATCCAACGGGTACAATCAGATCAAGGAGGAGATAAAACCACGACTCGCAGTCGTCTTTTGGTCCCATTTCTTTATTTCGATGACAATTTCTGGAGGCGAAACGGACAGTTCCCTTGAAAGGGACCGCGGATCGAGGGGTCTTCAACTCTTCATTGTCATTCAGATAACGGCGGGCGATGCCAAAGTCGAGGAGATACACCTAAAACATCAAATTAGACATTTTGATGACTAACTACCATAAAAAATGTAATCAAACGTACAATTCTTCTTTGAATTCCCAATCCTCTTGCGTAATTGGCCGGTTTCAAATCTCTGTGGATGAATCCGTGTTTGTGGAGATCCTCAACAGCCTCCAGACATTGCAATCCAGCGCCCAAGCCTGTAGCCAACGAGAAAACTTTATGTGGTCTCTGCCGTTTCATGTCGTCCAAGGAAGGCCCAACCAAGGTCATCACCAAGAAAAAGTAGTGCTCCTTCTTTCCTCTGTCGATGATGTCCGTGAAATGGCTGCCGGTCTTTCTTTCCTCACAAACCAACTTCAGAATAGCCACTTCCATCTTGAGCTTGGAATGCTTTCTTTTCTCCATCTTCTTCTCCACTTTCATCGCGTATTCTGAGACGGACCCGTCCTTCTCGGTGAACTGAACACGGTACACCGCACCTGTAACCCAAAAATAAGCCATAACCAACCATTTCATGTAATAAGCCAAAATAAAAGCTCACCGAATCCACCTTCTCCAAGCAACTTGACTATGGTATAACCTCCTTTGTTTCCTGTTATCACCGCACCCTGAAAACTTCAGAATTTGAAGATAGAACTTGCTGGTTTTAGGCTCATTCCATCATCACAAGCTTCGGCGGACATTGTTGTGCGGTGCACAAATCAACGGAACCGGAGATACGATACGAACAAAACTCAGGATTCGAGAAGCCAACCAACCACCACCGCTCTGACGCAATGCAAATCTGCCAACTGAGGTCTCGAATGGGAATCTCATTCAAAAAATTTGCATTTTTTTAGTCTTGAAAATTTTGCAAGAAGAAATTCTCGGGAAATATAGAACAACTTTAGGCTACCCTACATTCGGGGCAGAGCTAACTTGAATTTTTTAAACGGGTTGTAGCTTTGAGTTTTTTTAAATATTAACTAGCCAAAGCTGGTATACTATGTCTCTTTGACCTCTCTAAACTCAATGTACCGTTACCTTCCGACCAGTCGGAAAATAGTAATAGTTGATCCAAAATGTCATCTTCACACACAAAAATAAATTTTCATTTTTTTTTTGATCAAAAAGTATTTTTTCGAAGCTTGAGGATGTCAGAATGTTTGAAATTGAGCTTTCATTTTGAAAATTTAGTTTTCACTTTGAAATGTGGTTGATTTTCCTCGTTTTTTGTGCAATTTGTATCAATTTTGTCACCGCCGAACCCGAAAAAGCTCACGTTCTTCTTGGAAAATCAGTCTCCTTACCTTGTGCGCGTGCCAATGCATCTGGTCCGTTTTATTGGAAGCTTCAAACGGGCTTCCAAGACCTCAATGGAACCAGATTGATGGAGAGGGACGCGACTTTTGGAGGGAGAATCAGGGTTTTACCCAATCTTGCACTGCGTATTCGGTTTGTTCAACATGATTTTGCGGGATTTTATAAGTGCACAGACCATAATGACGACGTGATTAGCAGCTATGAAGTCGGTAAGATTATTTTTCTTGTTTTTTTTCATAGTAACCTTTAATTTCTTTATTTATTTTAGTCCCAATCTCTTGCCAAAATGCCACAGAACTTAATTTAAAATTCTGTGAAACTGGAGAATGCGTTACGGGGAAGTTGGACGACCCTCATAATTCTCACGTTTCCTACTGTAAATGCAAGCCAGATGACTTTGGAATGAAGATTATGAACAGAGATGGGCTCAATAATACGTTTAGTGCCATCAGATGGGTCATGAATAGGGAAAACTTCAAGTATTTGCCGGTGATTTTGAATATTTTGGGACTTCTGGTAATTCCATTAGTGTTGTCCTTCTGCTCTGAATTAATGTGAGTTTGCTTTACACTTTTTTGGCGGAGAATTATAATTTTTTGTGGTTGTAACTTGCACTGTGTAGTATTATTATATTAATTTTTTTATTTTAGGAACCGCTTCTACCCCGCCGAAAAGACCCGTGGGCCCAACTGTAAGATCCCCTTGATACATCATGTCCCCAAAGTTGAGCCGAGACCAAAAGAAGACTTATACCCTGCGGCATTCAAGGAGATCCAGATCAGTGTGCCCCCAGGCGAGGAAGAGTTTAAGGACTATTTGGAGAAGCTGGTCAGACTGATGACTATCAAAAAACAGACCGGGAACAGGAGTCTCTTGCTCGATAGGACTCAGAAATCAAGAAAGTAATCCAATTCGAATTGATCTTAATTATTAATTTGAGCGAATAAATCAATTAACAATTTTAGTCTTGTCAAAATCCTTCTTTTTTTGATCTTTGAATCTCGTTTTTTTGAGGAATCGAAGGGAAAAATCCGAAAAAAGGGAGGATGAATCGTTTTTTGGCCGAAAAAACACAAAAATGTTATGGCTGAAGGAACATTCTTTCTCCCTAGCTGACTCATTGCGTCTGAGTCTAGCTGCCCCTTTAATCCTATGAATTATTTAAAATTAAAATTGTTTTTCTGATCGAAATTTATTGTAAAGTAGGGAGTAATGGCTGAGAAAAGTTCGAACCGGATTTTTAGAGATGCGGTCGAGTGGCCAAGAGGTGGCCAGAGAATTTGCAAAGTGTTTTTTCGAAGGAAAAACGACGTACGCTTTGTCGGGATTTTTTAGAAATCGTGGTAAAAAATTATGACGTTGCTGTAGTTTTGAATTTTTAATGGTAAAATTATAGGGTTGATGGCTTGTGGGTTCAACCGACGACTTTTTGAAGTACCGTTATATCATGGTGAGGGAAGGCCTAGGGAACCATTGCAATACAAATAGTGATCAAAATTGATGTTAATAAATGAATCCTTTAACATCAAATCATTGGTCAACCCTTGCCAGTGCCATCAAAAATTTAAGAGTAAGACAAAAATTTACAGTGTGTCCCAAGCACACCATATTTTTGCTGCCACATTTTTTTGCTCTAATTTTTGCTGATGCAGTCAATTTTGTCGACAACGATTATTTCCTCGAGAACTTGTTAGTTTTTGCCATAAAATTCCAATCTTCATTGTCTTGGCCACATTTTTCCTTCTGTCCCAGCCTTGCCTCTTTGTTCGGCCCTACCGAGCACCAAAGGCCTTAATGTTCCCCCAGCTCCACTCTATAATCCAATTCTTTCCCCAGAACAAGGTCATTTATCCCTCCGTTCTCTGAATGACGTTCCCCTCCTTTCGTCTTCTGTCTGGTCAGCTCACGGTCAGCTTTTCATACAAATTCTGTCTGCATTTCCTCTCAAATCTAATGTGAAAATCCCTGACCTCTTCGAAAAGTTTTCTGAAACGAGTTAATAAAACCCAGAGAGGATCAGGTTTCGGTCGGAATTTGGATCCGATTGCAAAGTCATCTTTCGCGGAGGGGCTAGGCTTTTGTCCGCCCGAAGAATGGCCTTTCAGACGTGATTTGTCGCGCTGAATGGACGATCTCTCTGCTCCATTTGCATCTGGCGAGGGTTCAGGACGTGACTTTTGATCGAATGTTGCGTTTTTTCCCCACTTTTTAGCTGGAGTTTTGGTGAATTTTGCTCTGAAACAAAGTTAAATATGGAGTGGGTTGAGAAAAAATATGTTCAACGACATTTAGTGTATTATTTTGGCGATCCATGGGCTAAAATACGATTTCTTAAATTGTTGGCATGAGTAATATAAACTTCCCCAAAGTGATAGATTCGGTTTGAAAAGTAGTGACAAGTGGACTGCAGAGTGTCGAGTTCGTCCCAGCAAACAAAATCAGCCCTCAGGCCAGCTGCTCCCCTCAATATTAAGTCTTTTTCTCCCAAAAGTTCTCCATGACACGGTCTTTGATTATGAATAATATCGTTTTTATTCATTTTTCGAGTTTAAAAAAACTTAATCCTCGTCAAAACTCTTCCCGATTCTCAAAATACAGCCTTCGCAAATGGTTGTCGCTTATGAATCAAGCCTTCATCGCTGTGTATTTACAGTCTTTAGCGGCCCTTTTTTCCCCGCTGATGATGGGCTTTGCGTCGACTCCGCGGCGCCGAAGAAATTGGGCGGAGAATAAAAAGCGATGGGAAATCGAGTGGAAACGACGAGATTTGCACAGAATTTGGCATGCGGGGAATCGGCGGTCATAAGCGATGACTGTAACGTCGATCTTCGAAATGTTATTTATGGGGTGGGGAAAGGAGAAAGGGAAGAGTAAGTGGGTCAAGAAGGAGGTTTGTCAAATTGAGACATTTGAATATTCCGCTTGACATTGGGTCGTTTAGACTGAAAAATCTTTGAAAAGTTTAATTTGACGAAAAATCCGGTAAAAATGGCATCATTATGACTCTTTTTTACGTTTCAATTTTCACCAAAAAATCTGATAGAAATGTAATTGATCGTATGTTTCCTAATCTTCTTCCCATCAGTAGCCCAAAAAATCGAAAGTCAGCCATTACGATTTTTTAAAATTTTCGCCAATTTTTGGCCCAACAATAACTTTTCGGCCGTTTTTCATTTCAAGGATCTAAACCATATCCCTCGATCATTATTTATATTATTGTATACTGATTCATCTCCCGATCCATATCCGGAAATCCTCTCTCCGCTCGTTTTATCCCACCCATCTCTTAAGCCCAGATCAATGGACCCGAAAGCGCACCCAAGAAGATGTTTATTCAGGCCTTTGTCTCGTGTACAGTGTGGCCAAAAGAATGCGTTTTTCGTGTCCGAAGGTCAGCCCCACCCGGGTTCCAAACAAATTTAAATAGTTTTTATGGGGCATCCGACATAATAAAAGCGTTCCGATCGAGATTATCCCTATTTTTACGAACAGTTTTTTTGCATGACCGTAAAATTTCGGAGATTTTATTATGCGTCTGAGAGGAGTCGACTGCAGGGGAAATGGGGAAGGGGAGCAGGGCGAGGAGCAAGTTCAGGAATGAGTGGGTTTGGGCAAAAATGATCGGTATAAATCTTGATATCACCTTTTTACCACTCATACATACATATATGTATGTATACATAAACTATAAGCCGTGTTTGTTGGATAAAAAGACCTGTTTTTTAATCCTATCTCTCTGTAACCTCACATCAGCATTGGAATTTAACAGTAATATTTTTTTATTTGAATGATATCATCTTTTCTATGTTCTTCTCACTTATCTACAATCCTCGATCCTTTTGTCATCAACCCTTCAAGGCAAAAAAGATGGTCCCGTCTTGCCCTATATTCTTTCTTGACTAAAATTAAGGTCCTTTAAACTCAAGAATTTTCAGTAGTTATTTGATTGACATATTTGTATAATATACAATATTACCTCCTCCTCTTTCACAATTCTTTACAGCTTCTATCTAAGGTTTTGCTACAGTACTCAAGATATCTCCCCAATACTAATACCTAACTATCATGCCCAATAATTGCCATTCATTCAATATTCTGCTATAATACCCATCGCATAGCCCCTCTAACCCCAATTTAGTGAGCTCTAAGAGATTTCCTGTCCACTTGAGGCGATTTATGGCCTCGAACCCGCGAATAACATCCTGTCCATGCAATAAAGCTGTCAATTCGATTGGAGGTCGTCGCTGTTTCGGCACTCTTAAGATCGCCTAATTTCCGAGTGCGCGACAAATTAATTGCGGCTTTCTTGATTCATCTGCCCACACGATCTGAATTCGATTATTTACAAGTGGATATAAAGATTTGGGGCAATATCCGGCAGTTTCTTTCCTGTTTTGTTTTCCATTGGTTTTTCTGATATTTCTTTTTCCTTCCTTTGAACCGATTTAAATCAAATTGTGACTCTTTTTGCATGAAGTTTATGACGTTATCTGTCAATCAAGGCCATTTTTCTTGACCACAAACCGTCTCAGGGTTTGCTTTTGAGGTTTGTTTATATTTTCAATTTTCTTGGCCTTGTTTATAACGAATATAGTAACGGTCTAATATGGGGTATTAGGTTTGTTTATGAGGGTAAACAAGAGCTTCGTTTTCAGGTGTAACAGGGCTGAGGTAATTTTTGCCTCTTGTTCCTCTTTTCTTTTTTAAAACGTCCTTAAAAAGCAATAAACTCATCATTACGTATTAATGTTACGGTGGCTATTATTAAGCTTGTTATGCCGGCAACTTGGCGTGTCAAGCACATTGTCAAATTGGCGTCATTTTGGTCATGTCAAATTCAGTTTGTCAGCTGGGTTCTCCAATTGAACTTCTTTGGAAAATTTTCCCAGATTTTTGCCAAAGTCAAAGAACTGGATTAAATAAGAAGTAAAAATAGTTGCGATTATGCGGTATTTAACAAAATCTAATAATTGAAAAATACGTCAAGTTCACAACCCTACTAGCTACATGCATGTATCATTGCGCGATTTGCTTATCTTTACAATGTTTCCCGTATCTCTCTAGCTTATAATTTCCAGCCAAAATGAGAGAAATTGTCCACATTCAAGCCGGCCAATGTGGCAACCAAATCGGATCCAAGGCAAGTTCCAAATCATCAGAAAATTGTTTTAACCGCGACACAATAGTTTTTTTTGTTTTATATACTAATGATTCTATTTTACAGTTCTGGGAAGTGATTTCGGGTGAGCATGGGATCACTGAGGACGGTAGCTATGCCGGAGATTCGGACCTTCAACTGGAAAGAATCAACGTTTATTATAACGAAGCCAGTGACAAGAAGTATGTTCCCCGCGCTGTGTTGGTGGACCTGGAGCCCGGAACCATGGACAATATCAGGAACAGTGTCTATTCCAATCTCTTCCGTCCCGACAACTTTGTGTTTGGGCAGAATGGAGCTGGCAATAACTGGGCCAAGGGCCACTATACCGAAGGAGCGGAACTGGTCGATAATGTGCTGGATGTGGTCAGGAAAGAGGCCGAAAACTGTGATTGTCTTCAAGGTACTTTCTAAGTACTTATTGTTTAGTTTCAGAAAAATCTCCAACGGTCTTGACATAAAATTTATGTTATCCATAACATTACACCTGATGTTTTCAGGCTTCCAATTGACCCACTCCCTTGGTGGTGGTACTGGCTCTGGAATGGGTACCCTCTTGATCTCCAAGATCCGAGAAGAATACCCAGACAGAATCATGTCAACCTTCTCTGTTGTTCCTTCTCCAAAAGTCTCGGATACTGTAGTCGAGCCTTACAATGCAACTTTATCTGTCCATCAGCTCGTCGAAAATACTGACGAAACTTACTGCATCGACAACGAAGCTCTTTACGAGATTTGTTTCCGGACTCTGAAGCTGACCAACCCTAACTATGCTGACTTGAACCATCTGGGTGAGTTTCATACCAACCATAACGTATAATGTAAAAATATCGGATTTTTAATTTTTTCTCAATTCCAGTGTCCATGACAATGTCCGGAGTAACTACCTGTCTCCGATTCCCCGGCCAACTCAATGCTGATTTGAGAAAATTGGCGGTAAATATGGTCCCCTTCCCCCGGCTTCACTTCTTCATGCCCGGATTCGCTCCACTCAGTTCCAAGGACTCAGCCGCCTATATGGCCTCGACTGTAGCTGAACTTACTCAACAAGTAAGCTAATCCCATAAAACTTTTCGATTAGACTCATTTTTGAAAATTGAGTTTTCCAATATTGCGTTGCCTTGTTCTAGATGTTCGATGCCAAGAATATGATGGCTGCCTGTGATCCTCGCCATGGCCGTTACCTGACTGTGGCTGCCATCTTCCGAGGCCGCATGTCGATGAGAGAAGTGGATGATCAGATGATTGCCGTCCAGAATAAGAACGCCTCTTACTTCGCTGAATGGATCCCGAGCAATGTGAAGACGGCGGTCTGTGATATCCCACCAAAGGGATTAAAGATGTCATCCACTTTCATTGGGAATTCCACGTCCATTCAGGAGCTCTTCAGACGTATTGCAGAGCAATTCACTGGTAAGAAATTCCACAAATTGTCATCTTATATTACACTAGACCTAATATTTTTTACAAAAAAGATCTTTTTCAGCCATGTTCCGTCGCAAAGCCTTCCTCCATTGGTACACTGGCGAGGGAATGGACGAGATGGAGTTCACCGAGGCCGAGAGCAACATGAACGACTTGATTTCCGAGTACCAACAATATCAAGAAGCGACTGTTGAGGACGACGGAGAATACGAAGCTCAACCCGAGGTCTACGAACACAGCGACTAGACTGCATTTGATAAGTTATCACCATATTTATGATATGATTCTCGTCATCTACACTTACATAGTCCGATAAATTTGCAATAAACTCATTTGATTTCAAACATAATGATGAAAACGGATCATTTCCCAAAAGTAACAGCCAAATATACTCGTTTATTCTTACAACCGCCTTTCTGAGGCTCTCGCCGACGACCTTACGGACAATAAATCTTCCGTGAATATATTATCCATGTCACTTTTGTCCGTTTTCCTGGTTATCAAAGGTGTAATACTCCTTGCTGCTGACGCTGGAGTCAATCTTATCGAACCTGGGGTCTTCTTCGATATTAATCCGGTGTTCTTTGTTTTTATTCCTAGCTTTGTTTCGGCTAATTTATGTGCGGCCGGAGACATCATGGCCATTCTGCTGAGAGTCGACATGCGAGTGTGATGATTTCTGAAAAGCAGACCACATAATTACTCCCAAGAAGCATATTTCGGCCAAATTACAGCACTGTTTCCAATAATTTTACATAAATTAAATTCTCCTTACTTCAATTTCTGTGTCATTTGATGAGAAAACTCTCTCTTGGCCTGATTATTTTTCTTGATTTTATCCGCCAATTCATGAGCGATGATCTCTCTCCTTGTGGGTTCTGGGAGCTTGAATGAGGGCGCTCCATCTGGTGCAGGGGTCATGTCTCCGCCGTCCAATCTAAAGGGAGTCCCATCAATTTGACCCCAGGTTATAAATGGAGAATCTTCTGGTTGCGGTGTTGGATCCGGAGTTGGGAGGGCCTCAAATCCGCCATGGCTCATGCTCTTCTCGACGATTTGACCGGAGATATCAACTTTCGGGACAACAAATTTGCCAGCGGACTGTTGGGAGCCCTAAAACAATATAAATTGTATTTTCAAAACTCTTTCATTGCATATAGCATCATGATAAATGGCCTAAAATCGAAAAATAACAAAATACAATACTTACCGGTTCTTTCCATCCCACTGATTTCACATCAATTCTTGTCGCTTTTTTGTTGATAACCTTCTGATTTGCTTTCAATTGTTCGACAAACTCCTTGGCCGTGGGAGCAGCTCCTTCGATATTAAAAAGCACCGTATTCTTGGCTTTATACGACCAATTGTCCAATCCGTTTGGTCGATCTTTCTGATCACCTAACACAATACAAATTTAAACAAAAAAAAAATTAATTTATACTGGACAAAAACAAGCCCAGCACAAACAAAAAATAGAATAGTCAGAATCTATAAAATACGTACTCGGTTTCCTAGCTTCAATCATCTGAATATCTGCTTCTTCAGCCATCGGGATGGCTTTTCGGACAAATTCTTCATTATGCTTCTCTTCCGCGGTGTAAATCCAATTGTGAACCTTTCTATGAGCCTCTTCGTCAACTTTACACACATCATGGAAACTTTTTGTATCTTCACTGACAAAATTATCAACAAAACTTTGGACTGTATGCTTCTCAATATCAACAACATTGCTTGGGCCCGGTTTCTGAAAAGAATAAACGTTATTTCGAGCAATCAAATGAAGTCAAAAAGGAGTCATTACTTCTAAAAGACAAAACAAAAAAACAAACCACTTACATTTGCATCTTCCTCTTCATTTCGGCCTTCTTCGTTAGCAATAACTTCCATTTCTGTATCGACATCAAACCGCCGCTCTTCTGGATTATACCTGCGAACCGTCTTGGCTGGTCCATTTAGAGTGTCAGCGCTGAACTTCATCTGTATCCTTCGAAGGGCTTCCACATCATTTGATTCCAATGCATCGAGGTATTCTTTTTGCGCCTAAATTAATACAATTAATCGAGGATCATTCAACCAAGAGGAAGACTATCTCACAAGGGCCAAGCCTAAATTTATCATCATCTTTATCCCTCTCGACAAGAAATTTTCTTTATCTACCTAAAAATAAAAAAAACGAATAAAAACACTTACCTTCAATTTAGGTAGCTCAGGAAAATAATCCCGGACAATAATCTTCTGCAAGTCCTCAGTAAACTGATCCTCCGGCAACACCTCCCGAGGCTTCTTGAACACATGAACCGGTCGATTTTCCTCACTCAATATAACTTTCAAGTTGGATTTTTCCGGTTTCCTCTTGATCGCGACCGCATTATACAATTTCGAAGCTTTCCTCGCGGATTCTGTGAGGCGTTTGTCGTCTAGATGATCCATTACTGATTATAACAACACTTCAACGCAGATCCACACCTAAAATGCGCTTTCAGCAGGAATTTGGAAAGAAATTTCTCGTAAAAAAATAAATTTGGAAATAGAAAGAGACTTGACCCAGACAAGTCTCGCTTTTGGTTAGAGAAATAGAGGAAAATCGTACTCTCTCGCTTAGAAGGGGTCCCATATTTTCGACGATAGAGAGTTTTAACTTGGGCCGCGATAACGTTTGGTTATTCGAAGTATTCACTTCCAGTTCAAGGTAAACTTGAGTTCCGAATCGGCTTTGGCTGTGTTTGGAAATGGAATTTTTTGTTATCGTTTCTGGGGCTTCCGGAAACATATAATGATGTTGTCACAGGGCACGTCAATCCAGCGCATTTCCTGAACCGTTTCGAAACTTCGTATCGTTTTCATTGGTTTTAAAAGAGGGACGAAATGTCGCGAAATTATCGGCACTTTTTCTCGCCCGAAATAATTGCTTTTTCTCGAAAAGGAAGAAGAAGGATAAGAAAATGCGTTTTATCGGATAGTGACATTTCGTTTTGACGAATCACCAAAAAGGGGCGGGAAATTTTTTCTTCTATTTTGGATTGACGTGCAGGGTTTATTACTTCACAAAAGGATCGAACATACATTCATAAAATCACAAACTTCAATAACTACGTATAATATTTTCCTTTATTCTCTTGATCAAAAACGAAAAACAATCATTCACTCAAACTATACGCAGTAGATTTTTTGTGGTCTCTTAATTGTTGTTTTCCGTATACAGAGAGCATTACACGACCTCTATAATAACAATATAACACTGACTTCTTTCAAAATCGTATTTGTTTGTAAGTTTTGTTTCATAGGAAAGATTTTTGTGTAAAAATTCTCTTATTCGCTGATCAAGGGGTCACTGTAATACAGGTGGAAGGGAAACGAAACGAAAATTGCTTCGAGGGAACTAACTTGAACTGAAATCCAATGGAAATTAGCTAAAATTTAAATTTCCGGACCGGATTTTTTTGGTTTCAGATTAAGCAGTCGACTAACGTAAAGGTAAAAGAATTGTGTTAGTATTTTACTAGTTACACCTAGAATTCCAACAAAAATTGGTTAGAAAACATGGCTGAAGTTTTGAAGCATCGATTTCGATGGTTCATTTTGGCCATTGGAATGGTTTGTTTTATGTCGTTGGCTTCTAATGCGTCTGTGTTCAATATGGTAGTGGTCTGTATGGCTTCTGATTCCAATACTACGGTGAGTTGAAGTTTGATTGCCATCCTTCGGTAATTCATTGAAAATGTTAGCTTTTAAGCGTAAATTACAAAAAAATTTAATAACGAAAAAAATAAAAATTTTGTAACGAGAAGGTTAGTGCCGTTTTTGAAAGCCTGATTTGAAACTGAAGCCTACTTTGAAATGGCAGCGAATAAATGCTTCGAATGATCGGTCTTTAGTTCGGTTTGCGTCATAACTCTACCGTGTTCATGGGATGAGTACACATTTGAGCGAGAAAGCAGGTCTCAGTCTGATATGCCTGACCGTAATGCAAGCAAACTTAATACTTTTTAAATTACTTCTCTCCACCGTAGTTGATTTAGATATATAGTTTCGATGATTGAGCTTTAATCGCCATTTAATGCTGCCCTTCGAGTATTTCCGTTATGAGCTAAATAGACATGGAAAAGCAATATTAAAATTTTAGATCCTCGAGACGTTCCCGTCCCTCGATTACACTCAATACGAGATCACCCAAACCAATTGGGCCTTAGGGCTTGGCACAGCGTTAGCGACAATTCCGTTCAGCGAAGTTTATTCTCGATATGGAGCTAAATATCCTTTTTTTGGTGCTTGTATTTTGTCAGCGCTGGCTACTGCGTTACTTCCATTTGGCGCTGAGAATAACTTTGTGTGGCTTCTTCTTTGTAGAGTTTGTCAGGTAAGTTAATTAAGAATAGGACGTATCTTTTTGTACAGGGTGCGGCAATTTTTCGGCCGGATTTTAATTGGCCATAACTTTTTTAGTTTTTGGGCAAATGTTAAAATTCTTTTTTCCCTGAATCCATAGACAACCCCATTTTGTTTAATACCAAATATGTTATACCCGTTCATTAGACTACAGTAAAAATTCGAGATAAAGAAAAAGCTCTAATTTTCATAGCTGACAATGGAATTACCCCTAGTGCGACTCTCAGATTTTCTTTAAATTTTGCACATGGGCCGGAAATAGGCCACACAGCAATTCCTGAAAGTTACAGCCCGCACCCTTCAGGGGCGACCAAGATATTCAACGATTCTTTGCGTTCAGGAGGGCACATGAGTGGTCACACAGAAAAACTTTTTGGCTATATCTTCGCTAGTTTTGTGCGGAGATAGCTGATTTTTTGTGGAAAAGGTATTCTCCATGGCATGAACAGGCATGAAACTTTTTACGACAAAATTCGTAAAAAAAGTCATTTTTTTCTGGCGATTTTCACACACGCCGAAAAAGCAGAGAAAACGACCGAAATGCCAATAACTATGAACTGGGTCCTTGTATATATAACATATTTGGTATTAAACAAAATGGGGTTGTCTGAGGATTCAGGGGAAAAAAGAATTTTAACATTCCGATAAAAACTAAAAAAGTTATAGCCGATTCAAATCCGGCCGAAAAATTGCCGCACCCTGTAATTCGTGTTTTAGGGGATTGCATTTGCAGCTGACTTCGCTTCCGTCGGATTATTGTGCAGTAAATGGTCGACGTTGAAGCAGAGCGGGCTTTTCATTTCTTTGATCACCATTTATGGCCCTCTTTCTGGTGGCTTTACCAATGTTTTGAGTGGAATTGTAAGTCTTACACTAACTACTCTGCAAGTAGATATTAGGTCTGTGACACCACGTATGGCTGGCCGATGGTCTATCATCTTCATGCAGTTGTAGGGATTGTAGCAGCCCTTTTATGGCTCGTATTCTACGAAGATAACCCGGCGGTTTCCCGGCGTGTTTCGCCCAGAGAATTGGAAAAAATTCAGAGAGGAAGGGCCGAAAAAGAACTGGACTTTGGGGAACCGGCACCTTATATGGTAAATTATCGTATCTTACAACCTTTAGAGTTACGGTAATTCCAGTTGCTGCTCAAAGATCCAATCATTTGGTCGATTTGGTTCAGCGGTGCAATGGAAGTTTTCTCAACCAATTTCCTCTCAGTTTACGCTCCTTTGTATATTCGATATGCCTTGGGATATACAGTGGAATTCACTGGATATTACTCTGGGATCTCAAGGTCGATGCAAATTCCAACGAGATTGTTGGTTGGCTTTTTTGGAGATGAAGTTGTGTGAGTTTACTCTCGTTGAAATTTAAAAATGTTAATGGAATTTAACATCAAAAGCTTTACTTGCAGTTGTTTGTCAGAGAAGTCGCGGGTAATCATGTACAACACCATCGCTCTGATTGGCGGAGGGATCTCCATCTTACTTGTTCCCCTCACTTCCTACACAACTCCATTTATGGCGATTGTTTTCATCTCCATGGTGAATTTGACCACTGGAGTCTGTTCTTGTGGATACTGGCAATCAGCCATCTTGTACTCGAGACAGCACAGTCACTTCGTGATGGCTGTAATCCTCTTTTTCAAATGCGTGAATCTATTTCTGGGCCCATTGCTTGTGGCCATTCTAGTGCCCACAATGGATCACAAAGGCCAGTGGGCCAGCATCTTTATTGGAGTCGGCATTTTGATGGTCATTGTAGGCTTGTAATGCTGGAAAAGGATAATTCTATTTCAGGCTGGACTTGTGTTTGTAAAATACTCGGAAGTCGAGCCAGCCAAATATTTGGAGAAATCAGAAAAGGTTACTGTGCAATTCCCAGAAGAAGATGATCAAACAGTTAAAGGGGAGCAGTTGAAAGTCAGTTCTGTATAATGTTATGTGCAAAATGTAATAAAAAGTAGAGGAATAACTACAATTGTGAAATCTTTCGGTAAACTATAACTATCAGGAAGGCCATTAGAATACTAAAAAGAAAATAAATCTCAAAAGTTTCCTTTTTTAAAGTAGATTTTATTCTCGGCAAAACTTGCATACAGCTAGGCCCAAAAACAATTTTCTTTTGTTTTACAAACTATGGAAGCATCTTTTTTGGCCATTGGTCACAAAGGAGAAGACAGCTACTGATAATGTGTATTATTCGGATGATTCATTCTCTCGTCTGATTCATAGTCGCAGCAGATCAGATCGCATTTATTTTGGCGACATGCCAGAGGGAAAGATGGGGATGGGAGAGAAACATGAATTTCACTGTTCAAGTACCTGTTTTTAGTTGCGTTTCTCTTGTTCCTGCTTTCCTTTAATTTGTAATCCTATCCTTGAGCTCTTCAACTCTAAACAATAGACATTTACCCCCTCCAATACTCGTGTCCGCATGTTTGTATATCCATCTTCCGATCCTCCAATCATTTATCCCCTAAATGACGTTGCTTGAAACAATGCTCTTGTCGGCAGCCATCGATCATCTTGATTAGGGCTTCTTCTAATATGTGAAGACTAATAATATTTATGGCCGAACACTCTCTCCCCCCGCCCGTCCTTTTAATGTTTACGCCCGTTCTCTCAGGGAGCCCGATGTTTTAAAAATGGCGGCCACAGTTGGTCCCAAAAAAAATCGCCGATACGACCCGGATTTCTTCTTCTCTTCAAACCATCATCTGGACTCAGGAAAACATAAATTGGATCTAGATCCTTTTAAATTTGGAGTTGAAATTTCATGACTTTCTATCAAAAGTGGAGTTTGGATTTAAATTAATATAGAAATGGTGTCCACAACTTGGGCCAAGATCTTCTCGGCCATTTTCTTGATCCTTTATGGCGTGATCTCTCTGATTTTACTTTTTGTTGGCTTGAATACGACGATTGCCTTGGTTTTGGGGCTGGGAATGCTGTTTTTGACATTCCTCACATTACTCTATTTGGTCGGAATCCAGAAGAAGAACGATTGGATTATGATCCCGTTTGTGGTGTCAGAGGTTGGTTTTCTGATTTTTCTTATAAAATTAAATTTTAAGCAACTTGTTTTTGTATAAATCATTTGAGAGGCGAAATTGGCTGGCCCGTATTTTACAATAAAGAAAAACTATTTTAGATTTTTTTGGTCATGAAAAATGCTTTTTACGCAGTTATTTTTCATAAAAAATTTTTTCTATGCAAATTTATTCTCTTGTCTATAATTTGATTTCTTAGAAATTCAGTTAAAATGAAGCCATGACTAAAAACATTGATCTTTTTAATAATCGTATTTTAGATGATAATCCGAGTGTTTATCGGGTTTTTGGTGGGCGCAATCTGGATCGCCTATCTCTTGGCCCTATTCGATCTAGTCCAATTTGAAAGTCCATTTGGTAAGCAAACAATTTTCATATTTAAATTCATTTTTTACCCAAATTTTATTTTAATGAATTTCCAGAGTCAATCGGAAATCTACAATTTTTATTTTTATTTGCCCTGGGGGCAACATTATCCTTTGCTTTGTGGATTCGCCTTCTTCTCGTATTTTATGATGGCTACAGGAAAGTGAAAAAAGAAAATGACCGAAAAAGAATGGAGAAAGAGGCCAGTGAACATTACTATATGAGGATTACCACTGCCAGACCCAGCAAAATCTGAGAAATTTTTAATATTTTTTGTATATAAAATCTCGTATTTTGTAAAAATTTTTATTACAAGTATTACATGTATTGCTCTTTCCAATAGTTATACTATGTTTTTGCAATGATCTTACAACGATTTAGATATAATAAACAGCTAGTAATAATAATGCACATATCATTTTAAAAGTTATTTTCTGAATATTCAAATCCGAAAAATGCATAAAAATTAAAATTAATGCTACCGTAGCCGCTGTGAGCTCTGTTCCCGCTCAATTTGCTCCCTCATTATACGATTATTATGAACTCAAGACGGCCAACACCAGCACGTCATGAAAGTGCAGGCTGAGGATTACAGTAATCAAAATTTGAATTTGTAAAACTTACTGAAAGCGAAAACAAAGACCGAAAGAAACGCGGCAATGACAACTCCAGTGTGATATGGGAACCGACAACAACTGGGGAGATCCATTTCTTTCCAGTAGTAAGAGCAACAGTAAATATATTCATCTGGGTCGGTGGGACGGGGACAGTAACCGCCAAAGCCTGCAAAAATATTCCTGGGCTGAGACGGGAAAGTTTGTAAGTGTTCTTAGAACTGAAAGTGTAAAAACGTTGCAAAAATATTCAAAAGATGGCCATGCTTTTATTTTCCATCGAATTCACCTTGAATATGCTTCATGGGGTGCAGATCAATCGGCCAAAATTATATTTCATAGTTTGCTAACGTCAAAGAATTAACAGATCTTTGCGGACGAGAGACTATTGAAAACGAGGAGATGCGGTCAGAATCAAATAAAAGATTTTACACCGAAAATAGAAAAAACATTACTTACAGTGCAAAAAATTTTAATCCCGGTTATTTCTATCACCTTAAAACTCCGGTTTTTGTAAAAACTTTTGGTGTCAATTTGAGTAAAGATGTTTCCAAATTACAGCGAGCCTACCTTCATAACTGGGGCACCAATAAATGGTCCGCCCTCCCAAAGTATCTTGATCTCCCATTCACTTTTCCAACCACTATTTTTATAGGAAATTGTGATTACTTTTCAAACCAATATTCGAGCCAAGATCTCCGATTAGATTCCCCACTTTTGATCTCCAAATTTGGCCATGTTTTGATTTCATTTTTGAGTCATCCGAAAAAAATTTTTTTTTTTTTGATATTTTATGGAGTAAAAAGTTTTTTTTCGAAGACGTACCGTAGCCTTGAGCGCATAAATTTAATTCCCGAAAGAGGTCGCGAGGAAAAAGTTTTGGCACTCATCTTCAATGTCAAGAGTAAAGTCGGGGACGGATTTTAATTTTCTTCAAATTCGGGATGACAGCAAAGTATACATTTTTTGTGGCGGCTTCTTGTGAGATGAGGGATCCGTCACGTTGAGGAGTTGTTTTCGAGATTTCCGGGTTCTTGGATTCTGCACGGTGCACAAATTTGATTTGTTTTCGAGGATTTTGAAATATTTTTTACGCGGAATATGCAAATGGGGAGGAATTTTTTGATGAAAAAATTTTGCCTTATTTTTTAAAGATTGCGTAAATATGCAAAGATGTGCAAATAAAAAATTGGTTATTTTAAAATGTGTAATTTAACCTTTGAAACCGTCAATAACACTATTACATTTACTACTTGGGGCTAAATTCAAACTCCTTTTTTTATCTTTTCCCACCTTTCAAATGCAAATTTTATCGGTCATTACCTCCATTTTATGGGCTCAATTTCAACCCAGGTCCGTAGTACAAGGTGCGAAAATTCCGACAATTTTCCTTTCCTTGTTTTTTTCCATTTTTATTACTTTCTGAGCAAAAAAGTGACCACTACTGACTTGCGAATTTAATTATTTTTATTGCTGTTTTTTGAAGTTTTACTATTTACCCCGAGGCAATCGGCCGTTTTTTTCGTTCGTCGCGACATTTTCCACCCGAAATTTATTTCTAACCACATTTGAGACGTTTTTTCGGTCTTGCCTTTAGGCATTTTGCATTTTTGTCTTGATGCCCTTAGGCATCTTGGGTATAAAATAAAAGTGTGTTTTTGGTGGTGATTAATTAAATAGAGCAAGTCCGAAGGCCTCAACGCCTGAGGCAACGACTTGGCCACGGACTTGGCCAACCGGAGGAAATTGGATTTGCGGGTTCGCGCGACAAACCCACAATAAACGGAGGGCGGATGAGTCCATTTGAGGCCTTTCGCCGACTCTTCTGAAGCCCCGTTTTCAATTATTTAATTACCGAGAAGGGGAAGACGGTTCCGACGCGGCCGGAGGCATGAAAAGCGGCGAAACGGGTTGACACAAACTTTGCGTAATATTCGGGGACAAAAACGGGATTACGAGAATGGGGTTTGGTGAGTGAGGGATATTGCAATTGAAGCAAGGCTTTACATAGTACATTATACCCTTTATTTGGTCAGCCCAGAATATAAAAATAGTCTCGACTGTTCGGCCCACGATGTTCTATTTTTTATGGAATAAATCTTTTTATTTTTTCTTTTCCTTGGATATAATGCGTAAATTCCATTGCTTTTTGTCATTGAAATATTGCTATTGCCATTGCATTATCATATTGGAAAGAACTGCAGAAGAAAGACGATTTTTTGCGCCTAAATTTTTGATTAAAACAAATAACATCACTGTAAAAATTTTTGCAAATTCCTTTTCTTCACAGCTCAGAAATTTTTTTATGTTACAGTACTTCGTTGTAATCAGTAATTACAATTTCACCGGCATGTTTATAAGCTTTTTTCCAATTTCAGACCACTTGATTTGCTTCTATCTATGTATATTTACTATTACTTTTTACGCCTTTACTTCCTCATCCATTTGTGTCCTTGACTACAAAAAAAATTTAATTTTGTGGAATGTCGCTCCTTTTATTTTCATTTATTTATTTGGACCATCTGTGGCTCTATTTTTATATTTTCTTGGCTCACGTGCTTTGAATCCATTTTGAAAGATTTCTGAGATTCTAAGCCTTTAATTTGAGGAATTATAAAGATAAAACAGATGCCGCCGGGAATTAGAGATGGCTAAAGCATAGACAATATAATTACAGGTCATGGTGGTTCGAGTTTGGAATCTATATTGTGCTACTGTAGAAGTGTACTGTGTCACATTTTGATGATATTTGGTACAAATATTGATAAACATTTTTTTATTAATTTTTGAGATTTTTAACTTGTTTCTGGCATTAATTAATGAGATTTACCTAAAATTTAATCATGATTCTTTGAGAATAATATAAGGATGTCCTCCGAATTCCCACAACTTCCCGCTTTAGTCACCTCGCATATATTATCCTTGATTTTGATCTCTTTTCCCTCAAAAACTTCGCCCTTCTCATTAATCAGGACACAAAGAAATTTTTTCAAAGGCGAAGGTCGCGCCAAACTCTTTCCCAAAAAGTATTAAAAAGTATTGTCACTCTTTTTATTCGAATTTTGTTTTTTTTTTGTTTTTGAAATTCCCATCGCCTGAGGGGATGTCACTCTTTTTGAGGGCTAAAACAGATCTGACAAGAGATTCTGAAGGCAAAAAAGAAAGGGAATGGATACTTTGGAGGGATGTTCATGGACTGCTCATGTTCGGATGTTTTGATCCGGGGACAGGAAGGAGGGAAGTGTAGTCTCATTTCACATCAGCTGTTTCCTCTGTTTCTGCATGTATCGGGGATTATGAGGACAAAAATATTCGACTAATTTGAGCGGTTTTTGAAGGTGATTACGGGCTTCGGAATGTGATGAAATCTTAGCTCAAATTTTTTGGAAATTTTAGAAAATATTTTACCGTGACGTCGTAGATGGCCTAGAACCGGATTGTCTTTTAATTGAAAGATTTTTATGAGGATGTTTTTTTACGATTTTGATCATTTTGAACTTTTATTTTTTCAAAACAGTTTTTTTTTTAATTCCAAAAATAGTTATATGATTCTGACACCTGTAAATCTTTACTATGCTATACGTAGTCTTCTGTCATTATGCCAAGAAGTTTGTAGCTGGTTCGTACCCCAAACTCATAAGGCATTATTTAAGCCCCTTTTGCCCTATCTTTCCTAATAATTTCATCCAATACATCATGTTGTCGTGCTTTGTGTCATCTACTCTTAATATTGGACCAAAATTTGTTTGATTTTCCCATTAATCATCTGATAAAATAAATGATCCTTTACACCAGATATCAACAATAATCTCTGCCAAGTGGTGCCATGCCCTCGGGCATTGTTTGGGGTCGAGTTGGGCCCGATCGATCATTTTATTTCCAGAAAAACTCGAGACAATCCCTGTTAAATCCGGATATTATACTGGGCAGGTGTCCCTTGTATCATATCCCGGATTTATTCGAATACGAAAAGAGAGTTTCTCACTCAAAAAACCACTATAAAGCCATAGGATCATCGCTCTTTCGTTTTTTTGAAACACGGCTGATCCAGAGGGGCTTTGGGCCCTCAGGGCTCGTTTCAAACCAAATTTCACGCCGCAAAAAAAGTTTGGGACCGGAATTTATGGAGAGACTTTATTTATCATACGTTTGGATTGACGTCTAGAGATTTTGGAGATTCCGGGTGCACTTTACCAATTGGAAGGTTTTCGTGGTGGGACCCAACAATTATTTCGGATGGTGCTCAAATAGCATGATAGGTATTTACTAGTCTAATATATCTCAAATAGCCCAAAAAATGACTTTTTCAGTTTTCAAACAACCCGGATTCTCTCTCTTCAGGTTTTTGTGTCAAGAGAAATCTACAAATTTTTTGCTTACAAATCGCCAAAAAACCTCGATGGCCATTCAATCCATAAATTCTTGCCTTTGTGAGCACCCTTCGAACCTTTTTCGATTATTTTTCTCCAATTTATTCCTCCGTTTCCCCTTCCCAGTTCAATAAATTCCCCCAATGTTGACCAAAACCGCCTTTTTATGTAAATTACCCGCCAAATCAAGTCAGAGATGGCTTTGAGCGGTACCCTCTTCTTTTTTCGTTTTTTAAAGACTTTTTGGACAAATTCACTTGGCCATATGGCGACTTTAAAAAGCGAGAAATTCAAAGAAAGAGGGGGGATTTGATTTTCGGAAAATAAATTTTAATTTTTTGTTTATTCCTTTGGAAGGAGGGGAGATCCTTTGGAGCTTAAATTTTGGCTGGTGTTATATCACAAGGAGCATAAAATCGTAATCATTTCTTTGTTTTTCAACATGGAAATAACTTTGTTACGAATCAAATGGCGGTATTTTACAGTTCACCTCCTTTTTTTATCTTATTCATGAAATCTGGGACTTTCGGATCTACAGGTGCCTATATGATGGATCTTTTGGATATAAACGATAGAGAAGCATCTCTTCTCTTGATCCATTCATGTTTATTGGACCTAAAATTGTCTCGGGGGTATCAGGCTCCGGCCGGAAATTACTTTTATGACATCACTTTTCCGGAGGAAATTTGAAAGTACATTAGGAAAATGATTGCTAAGTTCTTAAATATACAGTACTTGAAATTCAGGGTATAAAAAATAGTTTAGTTTTTTCATTTTTCTGAAATTTGTATTTTGCTATCTTTTTTCGTTTTTTTCAATTTTTTTTGGCATGAAATCTAATCATGGATAAGGTCAGGTGTATGTATGCTCTTGATTTCACAACATTTTTCATGAAACGCTGTCCCCATGCCCTCCATTTCTCACCTGACATCATGCGTTTATAATTAGATTGATCGCCATCCCATCTCATGCCTGTTTTCGCCCATTTGCCCTCAGGCGTTGATTATCTTTTCATTTTACAAATATTTTTTCTTTTATTTTCACAGAGGCCAAACATTTTTCATTGTTCTCGGAGACTAATCACGGAAATCAAAAGGGGGAATTTGGGGTCGGGAAGGTGCTTTGAACAGGCTTTTATATTGTTTTAGGCAAAAATTAGATTAATTTAGGGGATTTTTTGATGATTTCATAGGTTTTGTAGAAATGTAAAATGAATTTCAGGTAAACTAGGGTATTTTGGGTCAATTCAGAGCCAGTTTCTGAATTTATATTAATTTAGATCGTCTTTAAATTAAGTTAGTGTTTTAAAAAATATTGTTGATATTATTTTGGCACTATTTTAAAAATAATTTAGTTACTTTACCATCAAATTTCCACTATAATAGCATACTTGGCCCACCTAAAATGAACTATCTCCCTTACCTTCCCCCCTTTTCTCCCCCAAACTCGTCGGGAATGCACTGACCTTTGAGCACGTCTCATTTGCCGTGAAATTCATTCCCTTTTTCTGTGCAAATATTAGGAAAAAGAGAAGCCATCCATTTATTGGCTAAAATAATATTTTTTGATTCCCGATAACACGCTTCAACACATTTCAATGCTAAATCTGCGTCCTTTGATTGATAGGAAAGACAAATCGAACCCTTTAATTTATTGGATTATTCAAACGAAATAAAAGAAAAATGTTGAGTCATCGAGATTCCTTAGAATTTTATGGATTTGTTGAATTTTTTTGAATTTCAAAGTGGTTTAGAGCTAAAATAAAACTGCAAAGGAGGCTGTCTTGTTTTTGATAAGATATTTTGGGGTTACTTTGCAAGTAGAGCAATTTTTGACCTCGATTTGAACCCTTGACATAACAAAAAATTATGAAAACCCTCAGGTTTTATTTTTCCATTTGTCTGAAGCACAAGTTTTAGGCGGAACGGAGTCTGTTATTTCCCTATCTATAAAAAATGCACTATGTTTTTGCCAAAATTGGCTCTACTCTGATAAATATCAGAGTGATAGTATCAAAGATATTCAAAGCTCCCCAATTTTATTCCGTATTTTAGTAAAAAACCCCCACTTCAATCCTAACCAACACTCTCTCTTATCTCCAAATATTTTCACCCCGCTTCTGCTGTCAATCTCAATTATTTTCCCGGCGAAATCTGGGCCCTTCTATTTTTACCCCGCTATGATTTGTAATCCGTTGAAATGTGCGAATGTTGAGAGTTTATGGCCCCCGCGGGAGGTGTGATGTAACATGACGCTCTCATTGGTCATCTCCAAGTAGGCGGCTATCTTGGTTCGATCTTGTTTTTTGTTTCGAGATCAAGATGTGGACTCGGATTACAACGGGTTGACGCGCGGGTTTGAGTCGGACGGAGAGTATTGTATTATAAAGTATAGTGGGCTGAGAATTGAAGGATGATCGGAAAGGGGGTAGGGGGTGTGATTGTGGAGTTAGGATGACTTAAAATTGGACTGACGTCATCGATAATATAAGGTTTTAAGAAATTTACGTCACCGTTAAAGTAAAACGGCCTAGTAGGAATAGGCTAGCCATTGTATGAGTTCATAAGCCGTTTCAACTCAAAATTCGCCAAAATTATGACATGGCCTTTCAAAGGTCTTTAAAAAAGCGAAGACATGAACGAATGTTACCCCAACTGTTATTTCCTGCGCTCCAAATAGATTATTCAGACCGAAAATAAATCTGTAGTCGAGTCAGTACTATAAACTCGCGTACTCTTTAAGGAAGCGGAAAAAGGAAGACGGTTCTTCCGGGCTGAGGTCAAAGAAATGGCCAAATGACCGATAAAGTCTCATTAATTCCGGGAAACCCCGTTTTCTCCGCGACATTTCGTACTCCTTACTGGCTAGTCATAACCAGTTCATAAAGGAGTTTGATCAACTTTCTTTTATCAAAATCAAATTATACATATGTATTACCCATGACAGGCTGATGTCCCAAAGATCAGAACTCATTTGTCTTGGGTCGGGTCGAGCTATTCGGTACTCAGAAAATGTCATAAAAGTTTGTGTGACATGTTTTTGCAGCTGATATAAGTAGTGCAATTATTGAGAGACGGATCTTTTATGTGTTTCGGGGTCAATTTCCTCATGTTTTCGGACATTTTCTGATGTCCGTTTGATGGCAAATAGGGTCAGTGGAGGGACGGGGAAGTCAAATGGGAGACAATAACCGGAAATTACTCGGCAATTTGTTTATTTTTATCAGATTTCAGTCAATGTGGCTAGTACAATACAATAATCCGAGATTTTTGGCAATTTTTATTTTGTTGTCGGTTGATTAAATTGAAGCGGTCGGTTCCGGAGGTTCTATTTCGAAAGTTCTACCACTATTTTGAGGTACTTTTTAATTTTGAAGCAGTGATTTTACAAGTTACTTTATTCTTGCGCCGTTTTCGAATGTCCCCTGCCCCAAATGCCCCAAAAAAGTCCGAAAGTCGTAAACTTTGCGTCAAGCTCTTGCCTGAGGCACTGTTTGCCCATCTCGAATACATTGTAGCCCCGATCTTATCCTCGAATACCCTTACAAGGCCTTTCTTCCCTTCCTTATAACGTCCTTAAAGAGGCGCGCTGCCCTCAGGGCTGGTTCGTGTTTTCGCGGGGGGAGGCGCCCCAAAAAAGCTGTCATTCAAACCATTTTTTGGTGGTTTATCGCCTCGCCTTTCTTCGTCTTGGTGTCCCCATCTTTTCCATTTTCAGAGAGTGTATGGGCCGTTAATTGCGGCCGAAAAGAGAGGAGATGGCCCTGCTTGATCCAGCCACCGACCAGGTCCGGGTCGCGGTCCGGGTCCGCCCCATGAACAAACGAGGTAAGTCGTCATTTGTAATTCGTTGATTACTGTAACTTCTCCTCAATTTTTCCTAATTGTTAGCTATTTTTTTCAAAAATCAAAAGCTGACTCTCCAAATGGACCCTTAATTTCTGTTCTGTTGTTTAGCCCAAAATTATGGTCATTCTGACTGTGTCCCGGTATATTATAGATTACTGTAAGAAAAATTTAAAATTTTTCTCAGGTTGTTTGCTAAAATACTGTTCAGATTTAAGCCCTCTAAGGCATAATGTCCATGATTTAACCCAAATTCACTGTTCCTTTGCCCTTTCTACCGTTCTAAACTCGATTTGAAGGCGTCAAAGACCGCAAGACGTCCGGCTATTTTTTGTTTATTCGATTTGCTTTTGCATTTTTATCTCAAAAACTTCTTTTTTCGATAATTTTGAGGTCAAAACTCTTATCAAAGGTTTTCGAAATTCACCGAAAGTTGCGTTCAAAGTTTTTAATCCCCCATAAATTTAATGGACTTAGGGCTACTGTTTAAGGAATGTTTGTTGCCGAGTGGGCGATATTTTGAGTATACTCTCCATGAGTTTTAATTAACGGTCAGCGGAAATTTAATGGGTTCGTAGAGCTCAAAGAGCAATAACTTTTGGAATTTCAAAGACCTGTAATTAATTAGGCGGTTTCTGAGACAATTTTGTCTATTTGCCCTTAGGGCGTTTTCTTGGAATCGTCCATTTTTTGTTTGAGAAAGTTGGAGAGATATTTTCATCCCTTTTTTTGGCTTTTTGAATACGAACTAACGCCAAATGAAGTGTTTATTGAAGCCATCAAGATAACAAAAAGGTCACTACCGTAATTTAAATCCCATTTCCTTGCAGAGAACGATCTAAATACAAAATGCGTGGTCCAGATGCAAGACAAACAAACCGTTCTGAATGCGCCGAAAGACGAGTACGATTTTTTGAATTATTATTTTGATTATTACTCATTGTATATACTAATAAAATTCATATTGCAGTAAGCTCCCGAAGACGTTCGCTTTCGACAATTGCTTCAATTCCGTGGATCCCAGTTCCTCCGAATTCGCCTCTCAAGAAAATGTCTTCGAATCCATTGGAGAAAATGTGGTCGAAAACGCATTCGCCGGCTATAACGCCTGTATTTTTGCTTACGGCCAAACAGGATCTGGCAAGAGTTACACGATGATGGGTACCCCAACAGATCCCGGGTTGATCCCTCGATTATGCGATCGAATTTTCGAGCAGATCGGAGAGAAAACAGATGAAATGACCAGCTTCAAAGTCGAGGTTTCTTATATGGAGATCTACAACGAGAAAGTTCATGATCTTTTGGACCCGAAGAACTCATCCAAGAGGCCGTTGAAGGTCCGAGAACATAAAGTGCTGGGACCCACAGTCGATGGATTGTGTGTTCTGGCCGTGGGATCATTCGAGCAGATCACCCGGTTAATGGATGAAGGAAATAAATGTAGAACTGTGGCTGCAACCAATATGAATGCCGAGAGCTCCAGATCTCATGCTGTATTTACTCTACAGATCACTCAGACAATCACTGATGTAACGAACTCAGTAAGTGCTATGATTCACAAAACTTATCCAGTACCATACACATACGTCTAATATATTTTGCCCGTTCAACGATCTTCTTACTGTACCCAATATCCTAAAATGTCACCCCTTTGTCCCCTGCCCATTCGCCGCTCTCCCGACATCCATATCCGTCATCCTTATCAAAGCTGTCACTTTATTTCCCATTTCTTTTACGAATCTTTTTTCAGTTCCACGGCGAAAAGGTCTCCAAGATTTCTTTGGTCGATTTGGCCGGAAGTGAACGTGCGCAGAAGACCGGAGCCATGGGAAAACGCCTGGAGGAAGGCGGGAATATCAACAAATCTCTGACAACATTGGGCATGGTAATCTCCGCGTTGGCCGAGAAAAACACCCAAAAGAAGGCATTCGTACCGTATCGAGATTCGGTGTTGACCTGGCTTCTGAAGGACAATTTGGGAGGGAATTCGAAGACAGTGATGATTGCGACAATCAGTCCATCAGCTGACAATTACGAGGAGACTTTGTCGACGCTAAGATATGCTGATCGAGCCAAGAAAATTGTGAATCATGCTGTTGTGAATGAAGATCCCAACGCCAAGATTATCAGAGAGTTGAGAGAAGAGGTCGAGACGTTGAGACTGCAGATCAATCACAATCAAGAACGACAGAATGTAAGTCACTATTCCACAATATTACCTTGGATCTTCTGGATGCCTTGAACATCTAATTTGCGTATTGTAGGAAGCCGCCGAGCTCCGAGAACGTCTGGCCGAATCCGAGCGATTGGTTGAGATGATGAATAAGAGTTGGGAAGAGAGACTTCGAGAGACCGAGGTTCTGCGACAAGAAAGAATGCGAGATTTCGCTGAGATTGGAATTAGTGTAGCTGATGCTGGCATCAAAGTGGAGAAAGATCGGTTCTATCTAGTCAACCTGAACGCTGATCCATCGCTAAATGAACTGCTTGTCTATTACATCAATGTAAGTTATATCTGCAGCATTATAAATGGCTTGCTTTAGCAAAAAGCTGTGATTGGAAGTGCCGAGTCGACAGACTCAGAGCTGAAAGTCGACTTTCTATTGCAAGGATTGGGAATAAACCCTCATCATGCAGTCTTGGAGATAATCAATGAGGATGACAAGCCAAAGTTGTACATCGAATTGTTGACCGATAGCTCGAGGTAAGAGGTCCAGGAAAACAGTTCAAAGAATATAGCCATGTTACTAATCGTTCTGAATTTGACCTAATATTATTCCTTTCAGAGTCTGTGTGAACGGAGTTCTAATTGAGTACAAGAAGAAGGCTCTGTTACGCAACGGAGATCGCCTTTTGATTGGCCACAATCACTTCTTCCGAGTCAACTGTCCCCGCGACCTCGATGAAAGCAATGCCTCTCAAATGAGCACGTCCATGTGTTCCAACAACGTCGATTATAATCGAGCTTGGATGGAAGCGAACAGTGAAGAGAAGAACCCAATTGGCAGTGCCGTAGATCAATATATCGAACACATTGCCATCAAACACGAAGAGGAGAAACAAGCAGCCTTGGAGAAGCAGTATGAGGAATTTGAGCGATATCTGCAAGGTTTAGGTCACAGGTAAAGTCAAAGTTTGCCATTAAACCATAAAAACTATCATGGATAACATAAAAATCTGATAATTTAGTCTCCAAACCCCTTCAACACCCATGACTCCAGCTGTCCCATATCTCCCAACGCCAAGTGCCACTCTTCCCCCGATAATGTTCCCCGGAACGACGAGAACGGACAAAACTCAATTCTTGAATTGGGCTAATCGAAGAGAAGAGCTGCTCAAAGAAAGTCTAACACATCTGAAGACAGAGATAGTCAGAGCAAATGCCCTGGTCAGAGAGGCCAATATGATTGCAGCAGAATTGTGGGGAGAACGAAGAGGATTGGCACATTATGACGTTACCCTTCAGATACCTGCGGGAAACCTGAGACCGAGCAAAATAAAGGTGAATATCTGAGAAATTGTCATCCAATTACCTTCAAACCCACAGTTTAAAAAATTACAAAACTACCTTACGTCCCTTTATATCAAAATTTTCGGTAAAAATCATCATTCTTTACCCAAAATGAGGTCAAAAAGTCTCATTTTTACTGATTTCAGGCCGGAAACACGGTTTGTGAGCCGGTGATTGTCGTTAAACGCTACGGAATGAGTGGCTACCATCTGTGGACCCTAGAACAACTAGAAAATAAACTCGTGGACATGCGAGATATGTACAATGAGAGACGACTTCTCGGATCAGAGGTTCATGACGCCTGTGAGGCCTCTTGCTCTTCATCCAGTGGAGTTGTCAGTGGAGAAGAGGGCCCCGAAAATGACATCGAGCCCGCTTTTGTCGACTCGCTTTTCGAAAGTCAGGTAAGGAGACAAGTTCTTCGATTTCTGATCAGTTCACCTAGTGTAAGAAAAAATTTATCCAATTTTAGGAGAAACACTCGCTAATTGGAGTGGCCAATGTGTTCATGGGAGTTTTATTCCATGACCTCAAGCTGGATTATCCTGTGACCATCATTAGTCAACAAGGAGAAGCTTGTGGGAAACTTTTGGTCGAAGTTTATAGGATCCCCGAGTCATCGATCGAAGATACCATCGAAAATCAAGTGAACATGAGGATGAGCGACAACCCTAATTCTCTGATTGGTCAAACCATCAAATGCAGGGTAAGCAATCCTTAAATTATTGAATAAAACGCCAGTATAACAACTATAATATAAATTATTACCTAAATTTTTAGATTCGGATCAAGAAAGCTATCAATCTACCTCCCGAGCTCTCCCATTGCGTTTTCTGTCAATACAGCTTCTTCAATGTCAACGAGATGCTCGTTGTAGCGCCAAAAATAATCGAAGATGCGAAGGGGAGGAATAAAATGTCGAACACCTTCGTTTTCGACTATGAAAAGGTATTCAACACCCCGAAAAAACATCAAACCCTACTACCATAACAAAAAACACTATCAGCCTCCGTGACCACGGAGACAATTGCAAAATTCCCCATTACCGAACACACCAAACGGCGTTCCGGATATCAAGTTTACCTTGAAATAGGAATAGAATCCTAAAATGCCTCCCTTTTTCCGAGCTTTATGAATTATCACCGGTTCTCGAGAAATGGGTTCCGAAAAAGCGGAGAGGGATTTTTTCTCTGACTTCTCTGTCAAGAGTAACACTTGACACATATTTGGTCTGTGTCAAGTCTACCTTTTTTGGTCGAAAAGAAAAACTTGACTCATGCTGAAAATGAGTCAAGTTTTTCTTATATTTTGCTGTAAAAATGTTTTACAAGGTTTACAACAACGTTTTTGCAGTAAACTGACGACTGCCAAATCATGACTGGTCTTATCGGATTTTTCATCATTATCACATTTTATTTTGTCCACTGGAATATAACTTTTTGTGCTTTCAGGACTTTAACGTGACGATATCCGAGGAATTCCTGGAGTATGTTCAGGAAGACGCCCTTTCCATTGAAATCTGGGGCCATCGAACCAGCGGGCTGGATGATGGAGAAGATGCGGCTGATCTGGGGATCTCCGTGACCTCACTGCCGAATGATACTGCTGCTGTGATGGCGCAGAAACAGAAGAGTCTTCAAGAGCGTTGGTCCGAGGTTACAAGACGAATCGAACTCTTCGTTGACATCAAGGAGTTGAATGAGAATGGAGAATTTATTTCGGTGGATGTGTTTGACGAAGGGGAAGATCCCACGGGAGGCGTCTATCAACTCAAGCAGGTGAGTAAATCTAGAGTTTGATTTGTATGGTCTTACAATAAGACCAACAATTCCCTTCGGGCGTTATAATTTCTGTTGGCTGGAATAAATTCATATAATTTTAGGGTCTACAACGCCGTCTTTCGGTTCGACTTCGTCAATCCACTGAAAAAGGAGGGCTTCCTCTGGTCTTCTCTGATATTTCGACTGTTGCCGTTGGATCTCTCGTCCTGAAAGAGCCTTATTGTCAATGTGACGATCGACCTTTGGATTCGTATCAAGAAGAAGGTCTGGATCAAATCCGGGAACAGTGGAGTCGCGCCCTCGATGATCGACAGAAGTATCTGAGCGAACAGATCAAGAAGATCGAGGCCCTGGGGACAAACAAGACCCAGGCGGACAGTGAGAGGGAGTCCTCGCTGATCCATCAATGGATGTTGCTGACTGAAGAAAGACAGGCAGTCAGTGTCCCTCCGCCCAATTCGAGTATCCCCGGAGCCACTGCCGATTGGATACCCCCTCCGGGCATCGAACAGCACGTCCCAGTCGTCTTTCTGAACATCAGTGCGGACGAATTTGATAACGAGGAAGTGGAAAATGAAGGTCCTGGAACAAAAGTGGCCGGTCTGAGTGCAACTTTGAGCATGGAGAAGTTCGATCAGATGGTTTTGTTGCCCTTGGTGGAGAAGGATCCGCATGAAATGTCTGTGACCTGTTCCTGGGACAGTTCTTTGCATCAGGATCAGCTCTTGAACAAGGTCCCTCAGAACGGGGAATTGATTTATGGAATTGTTCGGGTTGCTGTCAGACTTTCTTATCCATTCAATGCGGAGCTGGTGATCAGAAAAAGGATCTGTTTGAATGTGTACAAGAAGACGAGCTTCAAGGATCGTCTTATGAAGAAGATTGGGGTTCAAGGGACAGTTAATGGGACCGGGGTCTATTATGACATCGTTGCCCATGTCCCCAAGAGCTCGCTGGATATGGAAGATCGTGCAAGCTTGGCTATGATGGCTGCCAGACATGCCGATGAACAGAAGACGACCATTAATGGACAGTGCGCCTATGTTGAGGCTTATACAAAAAGTATCCAGGCAGTTGAATGCATGCTCAAATTGGATCGCCTTAGGCAAGAGAATGCTGTTGCAAACTCGCTGGGAAAGGCAGAACGGAAAAAGTATCAAGCGACTAGTTTTAGGATGAAGCGGACGGTCTCCCTTCCGTCAACCATATCCAATGTGAGTCGATTTATATTATAATTGATACTTGATAAGAATTCTTTGATTTTGGTACAGATTGGATTATATTTGGATATTTTTAGATGGCATTACCCCCAATTGCCCCCAAACAGTCGTCTGATGCCACGTTGGCCTCGCAAAACCAGGAGAATAATAACAATGTTACTGTTCACAACAAATTAATGGAAGTCTCGACGTCAAGTTCGTCCTCAGGGTACTCGTCCATGGGTAAGTTTTTTTGCTTTTGAATAGTTAGAACAGGGATGGAACTCAGTTTGAGTGAACCTCCCTCTCCTCTCACTTATAGTAATCTATACTTTCACTAATTTTTTCCGTTTGCTTTTGATTTTTTACGTGAAAGACGCCCAATGAATTAATTGTTGGGCGTGTAGCATGACTACTTTGACAACTAACTATCTTTTCTTCATTTTTACAGCCCGTCCGACCTTTTTGAACCTCAAAACCTCAAAGCGTTTTCCTCAGAGTAATTTTATTCTCTATTCGTAAGGCAATGTTGTGTGTAAAAGGTGTTGTATTCCTTTCATTTAGTAGCCTAATTTATTTAAGTTTGCATTTTGAATAGTGCGATGGCTCTTGTTTCGAGATCCTTTCGGTTTTTCTGTGGTTTTTTCTGGATGTGTGTCATGGATAATATAATTGATAAATCGGTTATTTTTAGTCAACTCTTTGGTCTCTCCGATTGCCGAACCGTCGACAAAGCTTTGTGGAATCGATGAGGAAAATCATTTGGATGTAAGTTTGGGGTTGGTTAATAAATTTTAAAATTTATCCAAAAATTATGTGTTCCGAGAAAAAGTTTTGAAATTTTTGACCTACAGTGGCGGTCAAAAAAAACGGCCACCCCAAGATGATGCGCTCTAACGCAGAAGAGAGTGGTCGTAGGAAGATAAATATGGTATCACTGTAAAGCTTATGGAATACTAAGACGTGTGACTATACGCTTGTGGTACTGTAGTGCTGGCCTAGCACGTACTGGGGCAAGATGTTCTTTTGGCCTGGTCAAAAAAAATGGCCACCCATAATTATTGTGGTTTAAATGCGGTTTATGTTAGAAATTGCCGCCATATGCGAGCGGACTAGAATAGCTATATCAATACACACCAATTCCAGTATTTCTTATTTTGTACATATGCCCTCAGGCATCAATCAAGGTTGATGACCTTGTTCATGGTTAAGGCCCGGCCAAAATTTTTTCTGGGTTTGTGCCGTTGTTTTGATAACCCGAAGCAATACAGTAGACGGTATTGATAGTATTCGTGTGTAAGACTGCCCACATTTGTTAAAATTGTGCCCTTTCTGATAAGAAAACTCAAAAAATGGAATTTTTTGACCTAATTTTCTCCAAAAATCCGTTTTGGAGTCCGCTAAACAATGAATGTAGAACCTTAAACAGGTTTTATTTGTACAAGAACATCATGGACATTTGTTTTAACACGGCACCGGTTAAAGGAAACGACCGTCCGAAACGACAGATACCGTTTTGTTACAGTTTTCGACTTCATGAAGTAATCATGAATTTTGTCCTGTTCCGAAACCTCTTTGAATAGAAATTATAATATAGTATCGCATTTGTGGCGTAGTTGAGATACCACTTTATCATTTAAAGGTAAATATGAGCCCCTAAAGTGAAAATTCGGGTTGCAGAACTTGACAAAGTTTATGAATAATTTCTGAAGTCGAAAACTGTAACAAAACGGTATCTGTCGTTTCGGACGGTCGTTTCCTTTAACCGGTGCCGTGTTAAAACAAATGCCCATGATGTTCTTGCACAAATAAAGTCTGTTTAAGATTCTACATTCATTGTTTAGCGGCCTCCAAAACGGATTTTTGGAGAAAATTAGGTCAAAAAATTCCATTTTTTGAGTTTTCTTATCAGAAAGGGCACAATTTTAACAAATGTGGGCAGTCTTACACACGAATACTATCAATACCGTCTACTGTATTGCTTCGGGTTATCAAAACAACGGCACAAACCCAAAAAAAATTTTGGCCGGGCCTTAACCATGAACAAGGTCATCAACCTTGATTGATGCCTGAGGGCATATGTACAAAATAAGAAATACTGGAATTGGTGTGTATTGATATAGCTATTCTAGTCCGCTCGCATATGGCGGCAATTTCTAACATAAACCGCATTTAAACCACAATAATTATGGGTGGCCATTTTTTTTGACCAGGCCAAAAGAACATCTTGCCCCAGTACGTGCTAGGCCAGCGCTACAGTACCACAAGCGTATGGTCACACGTCTTAGTATTCCATAAGCTTTACAATGATACCATATTTATCTTTCTACGACCACTCTCTTCTGCGTTAGAGCGCATCATCTTGGGGTGGCCGTTTTTTTTGACCGCCACTGTAATTATTTCCCTTCCAGGACCTGGTAGTCCCTTGCCGATCGTCGACTGTCCCCGAGCAGCTCTGCATGAACGAACCGAATGGCAATTCCAAGGACTCCCTGACCTGTACCAACCATCTCTTCCAGCTGAAGGCCCAGAATAACAACAACGAGTCGGCCTGTTAATACCCAATGATCTCTGCCTTCCAACCGGTGCTGTCTCCCCCCATTATTTTCTTCAATATTCCCCCCATAGGCTGATTAGACCTTGTTTTTGTACATAAACCACTGAAAACGGGCCTTTGATCTTCTTCTTTCGGTGTTGTCGAGTAATTACAGAAACTATTGAGAATATACGGTAATCCGATTGCAATCTAAATAAACCATGCGTGAATTTAAATCGTATTTATTCGATATAACAACAACACACGGGTCCAACATTTAAAATTTTAATATAATCCTAGGGAAAATGACGGGAAAGGCACAGAATTGGAATAATTCGAAATGAAAAGACTTGAAAATAAATTAAAAAACTACTCTAAAATACTTTACACCGAGCTACGGACTAGAGACAGACTTTATACAAACATCCGAATGCACAGTGCAGGTCCGTAGGCTTTTTCGCACTACGAAATTGCACAGTGCGGTTACCACAAATGAAAAGTAATCCCGTTTTGAAAATTGAGAGAAAGAAACGACGATGGAAATACGTTAAATTGTACACTTAGATAATAAATATCACAAATACGATTACATTAGAGTGAGTGGGCGATTCATCTAAAAACTCAGAAGATTCCATTAGTGTAATATTGGAAGTTATCGTATAGCCGAGTTGTTAGGGAGTCGCGAGACTGTTCTACCAGTTGATTCACCATCTGACGGAGTTGTTGTTCCGTGTAGCCGAGATGGAAGCGCTCTCTGAGCAATCGGAGGACGTTCTGTCCACCTCGGAAGCACGGGAGTTGCGAGCCTGCAAATTAATGTCAAGTACAATATAAAACTCGGCTCCAACTATCATAAGACCCTTCTCTCAGCCTCTAAACATCCCTTTACTCACCATTACTCATGACTTCAACGATGCTGATGATTCTTTCCGAGTGTTTCCTGGCAGCCACCATTCCATTAAAGATGAGTTCTTTATATCCCGCAAACATCTCCGAGTTGGCTCCGCCCATTACATCGATCAATTCTTGAGTCAGTTTGAATGGAGAGGTTTCAAATCCCAGGTTCTTGGGGGATATCGACAAGATATATCCAAAATCTATATGGATAAGATGGCCTTCAGAATCAAGGAGAATGTTGCCGTTGTGGCGATCTTTGACCTGAAATTATACGCTGATTACAGGGTGGCCCAAAAAAATGGAAACTTTTTTCCATGGGTCCTGCCGCGAAAACCTTGAGGTGCAGACAAATAATTTTTCCATCGTTAAATTCTCCGTATTTTTTAGCCCTAGGTGTTTTATTTTCATACCCATATCGCTTGGTTAACATGTTTTTTATGAATGTCAAACAAAGGGACCTCGATTTCCGACCTGTTTCGGCAAGAAAAAGGACCGTGTGAGGTTGATAAATTGCTCGGTGTAGCAAAAACGGTCATGCCAAAAGCCACCAAACAACTCAACGGAATAGTTCGCAATGGTACGCGTTCGGGAAGTCGAAAAAAGTGCACCTTGAATGCTTCTGCCAACCTTGAGGTCATCAAAAAGCGAGTGAAGCAAAATCTGATGGTGTCCATGAAAAATATTGCGCGAGAGACCGTTATCAACATAACAGCTATCTGCCAAATGGCCTAAAATGTACAACAGCTCAAGCCTTATAGGCTCCAAAAAGTTCAGCGCCCTGCGGAAGACCACAAGTTAGTACGGCTCAAAAGACGTCAAAAACTCAGGCGCCGCGCCGCTGCTCGGCGATGAGAAGAGATCCTGTTCATGGATGAGACGTAGCTCAACATTGAGCAGGTCCACAAACGCCAGAATGACAGGAGTTAGACTGTTGAGCGTCATCAAGCACCCGCCATCTTCGAACCCTGTCAAAACCTCTTCCGTCATGGCCTGGGGCAAGATTTTGCGCCAGAGGCAAGATATCCCCGGTTTTCGTGGTTAAAGATGTCAAAACCTACCGAAACGTCAACCATCGGTATTCTGGTGGTAGTGGTGCTTCCGCGGGCTCAGTAGCAATTTATGGATAGAAAATTAACGTTCTCATAAGATTCCGCCCCGGCCGAGAAAGCAAAAAGCGCACGAGGCCAGGAATCGGCTGATTTTGCTACGTCTGCAAAATTGCCGCCTATTCGCCGGATCTAGATCGTACAAACTAAATTTTTTTTTTCAATTAGAGGCGAACGCCTGTACTATACGTCACAAAAGTTTGGGACCGCTAAATAATCGCTGAGCCAAGAACGGGACCGATTTCCCGAAAAAAAGCTGCGGCGTACCGCCCAAAATTTAAAGTCACGTTTGGCGCTCTATATCGCCGCCAACGGCAGATATTTCGAAAATGGTCGAACATGTTATTAACAATGTTCCATGTTACTGATATTAATCATTACTTTGGCTAAATTTGGATAGTTAACTGAAATATGACTATAAATATGAGTTTCCATTTTTTTGGGCCACCCTGTACATAACAAATGCCACCAATCCAATGACAAAACAACAATTCGGCAATAACGTGTCCCATTAAAACCAAAATCCGCATATTTGAAGCATTTTCCATGGCTCAAATATCCCAAATCAAATCAAAACCCACCTGCAAGAAGTAGCACGCCAACGAGTAGGCAGCACAGCTCCTAACAAAGTTCTGTTGTGCTTGTTGAAAACTTTCGCTGAGCCTGGACCCGTAATTTATGAGGAAATGCGATAACAACGTAGGGGAATAAGGTTGAGCTGCATCGTCCAGGGACGGCTTCGACGACAAATTCTTTTTGATCTGATGGAGGGAGCAGGCGTTGGGGATCGGCTCTATCATACCCGAATCAGCCGAACATACCAGTATTTTATAGGGTCGAAGATATAAAGGAACGTTCTCATCTCTCCAGATATTCTAAAAAACGAATCCAGAAAAGAAAAAATTACTTACCTGTAACGTTGTTAGTAGTTGATATGCGAGTAGTTCTTGTCTCAGGTCATCGCCCGTCTTGATAATCACAGGCGTTAACTTCCATCCCTCGAGATCTCCATAAGGCGAGGACTGTCGTATCCTGGCTTGTTTCTCCTCCCAGGGCTCACTCATTGCCGACGCTGAGGGGTCATCAGGGCTGTGGGCTATCTAAAATCATTCATTTTAGCAAATACAAAACTAATTTAAGAAAAATTATATAATATTACACTTGATTAACACCTAAAATACTATAATTTTTTTGGTATTCTTACCCTCTGCCGCCTTCTCCTTTTGAGTGCTGCTAGTCGATTCCGGATCTTTTCAAATTTCGACAACGGTTCTTCTCTGAATTCAGCGTCGGCCGAGAATTGGGACGATAAGTCATCAGAGTCGGCCACGGACAGCGATTCATCGATGATTTTGTCAAATTGAGTTAACTAAAAGTAATCAAACCTCATAAACTGTCATCTTCAATTTCTTCTAAATATCCAAACCTCTAAATTCAACTTACCACATCATCGTCTTGCTGTTCTGGTTCTGTTATTGTCGGTGCAACCATTTGAACCACTGGGGACCTGGGGTCCAATGCGTCTATTGGCTTCTCCATTCTCGCTGCCGCTCCTTCCTCGACTGGGCTGAGAGTTGGAAGGGCAAACGAACTGGCTAGATGGGCGTTATTGGGCGATCCAATATTATACATGGAGCTGGCGGAATTGGTTCGCATTGTACGATGGAACTGAAATTCAACCAAAAATTATACTCCAAACTTAACGAACAAGTCATAACACCCACCACACATTTAAATCGACTTACTTCTCCCTCTAATTCGACCTTTTTCTGCGGTAATTCTACATCCTCAATATTGGAGATCTCAATAACTTCACAATAGATGCAGTAGGGCGCCTTGTCTTTACTGTTGAGGACACATCCTTCTCCATACGGAATCCTGACGATAAAATGGTTGGTTCCATACAGAGGCAGCCAAACTCTCGCGGGCAGATTCAGATTCAACAAGAACAATTCATAGACCAATCTTTTGGATTTATCCTCCTTCGTTGGGATGTCTTTGAGACGATTTCCAATGGCTATTAGCGAGTCCACAAAGGCCATTTCCGGTCGGGTCTTTTGATCCGCTCCACATGAACACGCAACATCAGGGATTGACGAATTTGAGGCTTGAAGACAGCGGCATCGGGAGTCAAAGGCCCTTCCTAAACATCGAAAAATCAAATTCAATGTAAATGCTACTCACCACTACTCAAATCGGCCATCGCGGAGCCTTGATACATGCTGCGGACACTCCTTGTGCTCTCTGTTCTCCTCATATGATACCCATTATCTACTCCATTCATCTGTCTTGGCTGTGGTTCTTCGATCATAGGTGGTGGGGAATCCTCGGAAAGTCCTGGAATTTGGGTAAATCTGATAGATACTCCTTGCTTCTGTCACATTATACAGTAAGATATTTAAAGAAGTGTAAAAATTTTCCAAAAAATTGCGTTTTCTTATATCCAGTGCAAAATATTTAATTTTCGAACCATTTTAGAAACCCAAATCCTAATTCCAAAAACCCACAATCTCTATTTGAAACTCACGAGCATCACTCTGTGACCTATGATGAAGTGCCGCCGATGCCGCGGGGCTTTTCATTAGATGAATTCGATGGCTCTTCATATATTCGTTGATAATCGTTTCCTTGAGGAAGAATCCTTGAGCTTTTTTATGATGAGTCTTGTACTGATCCACTCCGTATGCATCCAGAAGCCAAAAGCACTCCAGCGAGAACTCCATTGAGGTTTTACACCGTTCTATTACATAATTATGGATGGCCGAAGCAACTGGATTCATGTTGATGTACATGGAAATCAGTTGGGGGATGAAGAAATCCACTTCAGAGTTTGGGAATCGGTGCAAAACCTTTCCTAAAAATGGGTATGGATAATCAACCATCAAGTAAATTATGTTATTCTTGACTTTCGTCTTCATCTATACCTAAAATCAAAAAGCAACATAAAATTGAAAGACATACCCAAATACATGATCACATCTATGCTCTCATTCTTATACAAATATTGTAGAGCAATTTCCATGTTGAAATAACTGGATTCGAACAGCCGAATAAGACCTTGAGGCAAATTTTTGGAGCATTCCTGATCCTGAAACATGATTTATTATCGGAGCAGAAAGTCGGAAACGTCTTCCGCAGAGCCAATTCATGAATAATCAAGAGGTTCGGCCATATAAAAAAACAGTTTCGCCTGTCAGAATTCGATATAATATCAGATGTCTACCACAATATAAAAAACCCGCCTTTTCCTCGACTTCTCCATCAAGATCAAGTTGTTTTTGGAGGGCATCAAAGGAAGTGTAAGTCTCGTCCTCTTCCTCGTCTTCCACATTTGCGGTTCCACTTTCTAACGTCCCAATCCCACTTTCCGATCCATTTGCCGATGTTTGGCGTTCAATTTTTGGAGAAAACTCGATTCCAATCTCTTCTTTAGCCTCGAATCCGTCGTCCGAACTCTCAGCCGGCTCTTTCGTTCCGTTTAGAATCTTCTTGTTTCCATTTTCGTGAATTTCCAAGCTATTTTCAGGGATCTTTGAACTTGTACTTGACCTTCTAGTGCCATTAATCGCCTGATCGCTCCCCCTCACTCCTACTGTCGACTCCACACTTTTCTCATACTTCTGCTGTCCTTTCGAGGTTACTCTACTTGCAACTTCCACTTGTTCTTCAATGGTTCCATCCAGAACTTCCGAAGGCATAAAGATTTGATCCGACTCCGACGACGAAGCCGTAGACAGAGTCCGCGACTTCTGCACTGATATGCTTTTAGAGCCCACCTCGGAGTTTGAACTGGTCGAAAAGCTTCGACTCGAAGTGTCAGCCTGCAAACACATCAATCAAAACGTTAAAAATAATATAAAAAACACCTAAAACAATGTAAAAACGTATCGACCTTCGAAGATAATCATTCAAAACAATTTTCACATAAAGAAACACATTTCCATTCAGAAAAAAAGATAACAATCTATGCGCTACACCTTGTTTTACCTCATAATTCCCCCAAAATCTGAAAAATAACAAAGAATTACCAAAAGTCAAAACAAAATCGACCGATAACAAAACGTATGAGAAGGGAATAACCAAAAGAATCAAAAACGAAGAAGATCCCCAGACTAAAAATATTCGGAATTCCTCAAAAGTTTGGAGTGGGAGACGAGTTTTTTCTTCGTCTCCACCTCCCTGATTTGTGAATATGATAACAAAAAACCAAGGAATTAGTCAGCCCAATTAATAAAGCAAAAGGCACGATGATCTAGCGGCTCGCAGCGTTCCTCACAACCTTTTTATACCTCGATCTCCGTTTTAATCACAAATATTATAATTTTAAGTCACTTCATACCTAAAATCACAAAAAAAAACAAAAATCTACCTTATCTTCCTCCTTGAAGTCGGGGAGGTACGTATTATGTCCAGAAAAACTCCCAGAGTTGGAGTGGAGGTCGAAAACATCGAGGATTGGTGTTGTTTTAGGCGATTGTGAGTGATTCGTCACAATAAAACGATCATTTTTGATGGGGAACGCCTTTGACGTCGAGTTTAGGTTGTATGTTCGCTCCAAGTTACATCTAAAAGAAAACGTAACTTTCGCCAAAAGATTTCCAGATGTAAAATACAATATAAGTGATACCTAAAATACAAAAAAAAATGTGAAAGACTTACTTCGGACAGATCCCAGTGCTCGAGTGATTGCAATCCGTCGATGGAACTCGTCCGAACATTTGCCCGTCCGTCACTGCATAAATCCGAGATGTTTTTGGGGGGAAAGGCCAAAAACAAGCGAAAACCTGGATGAAACGACGGCTGAAATTATCTTATTTAAAAAGTTTTTCAAAGCTATAACATCATTCGATAGTTTACAACATTAAAAAAACATGCAAATCCCTCAATAAATAACAAGTTTAAAGGCCAAATTTGACCTAAAATAATATAAATTATGTGAGAAATGGGATAAAAAAAAAGTTTTTATGGCTAAAGGTTCAGAAAGTTGGAGCAACGTCGAAAAAATTTCTTCTCAAAACAAACAAAAGATTGCTGCGCTCGCCCTCCGGGCGTTTGTCTGAGCTTTTTCTCTCGCGCAGACACCTTTATTATCTAATAGTTGTTTTCGATGCTTTCGAACCAAGAAATAGTCCTTGGAAAGGGGGAAAATGATTAAACGAAGGCAACAGAAACCCAAAACCTAAACTTTTTATATTATTCATGGTTCTAGCCACCAAAAGGTCATGGATAAATTATTCAAATCGGGAGAAAACAATCAAATACTACCTCAAAAAGGTCCACAAATCCATTTTATGTGTCTTTATATTGTTTTAGATACGAAAATGCTTCAAAATTTGGGTCTTTTTATCCAAAAAACACCTCAAATATCAGCCAAGAATAGAAAATTAACTTTGTTATCGCCCGCATGGGACCAAACAAAGTCAGGCCGCCCAACCATCAAGCTCTCTGTAAGTTCCAACAATCCAGAAGCAAATCTCCCCCGTAATTCTGGAGAAAACAAAAAAAAAATCCGGGAAAATTACTGGATTTCGAACAAAAAGGTAATTACAAATAGCTCGGCACGCGACAATAACGCAGTAAAAAGGCATGGCAGCCCAGTGAACAACAATACTGAAAAAGCCGAGTAAAAAGTCCCCCAAATGAAGTGGAGTTTCGGCCGCGGGGACCCAAAAAAATTATAATGTGACTAAAAGGATATCAAAAGGAAACGGTTTGCTTCCACATTATCCAGTTTGTGGGTTGAGGAGACCAAGCTTTCGCGGGAGTTAATGAATCACTCCAAAATTCGATCGAAATTCTTATGAAATCGAAAATCAAAAATCTGAGAAAAAGAGGTGGCTAAAACAATATAAAAATATTATTGAGATTCATGGGAGGGTCAACAGAGAATAATATTAATCGATTTTATAATTCGATTGACGAGTTATGACATTCTACTTGATTGAGTTCGCGAGATTTTCCAAAAAATATATTCGGGGAAACAGTTGACCCATGGTAACCAGAATGGGTCAAGTCTTCTTCACGTTTGCAATTATGTATAATGACGACGCTTATGATCAACAAATTTGGAAGTGTTATTATAAATCATTTATAAGTTGTTTTTTTAATCAATGAGAGTTATATTAAACGGCCTTTCAAGTTTTATGAAATTTTGCCTTCAAACTTATAATATATGGTAAACAATGTTTTGATGATTCTGAACAAAATCTTTCTTATTATAAATGGCACAAATGCATTCAAAATCTATCCCAATTACTCTTATACATTTATTATTTCAAAACCGGGAAAAGGGAGATCATTTTACAAGTGTAATATCCATCTTTAGAGATCTAAACTGCCTAAAGTGAGATGAGCTCAGAAAGTAATTAGCCTTGTATTGCAATTAGACAAATACTGATAATCAAAGTGAACTGCTCGAAAGAGAGTGAATTTTGTGTTTATTTGAAGGGATTGCTGACATATCGATCGTAGGCGTCGTCCTGGGGGTTTGATTCCTCGATTGTGCCGTAATTAGCGTTGTTAATGGTGGTCTGATTGAATGCCTCGGTAATCTTGTTGGGGTCTGTGTGCATCGGCAGACCTTGTGGGGCTGAAATATTGAGATATAATCAAGGAAACGACTAAATATTCAAAGTTTGTTCAAAAGCTTAGTATAGCATAATTGTGTGTCAAATTTACATCTAAAAGAGGTCGGTCAACGGTAGATATATGTTTCCTACCTCCTAGAGCGTCTCCATCTTCATCCTCGAACTGATTTTGATACTTGATTCCATCGTATTTCAGAGCTCTGTTAATCCCATACATCGCTCCCAAAACAGCTCCATTGAAAAGAGCGATCAGCACGAAAAGGAAACGACTCCCTGAAGAATACAGTAAGCCCCTCATGGTATAAAATACAGTTTTAAAATTATATTAGCATACCACTGGATGTAATTATCATTCCCCCAATAATTGGGCCGATTCCTTTTCCCAATCCATTGTAAAGAAGGGACAAAATGTATTGGGAAGTGGCTTTCAGATGGGGCGGAGATACAATGGAGACATAGGACGAGGCCATGGACCAGACAATGGCCAGGGTAACCCCTTGGACAGCTTGTAATGGGACTATCAGCCAGGGGTTGGAGAACCAGGAGATCAGCAGAAAACGGATCGTATTCGCGCCGAGGCAGGCGTACATAGTCTGAAAAGGGAAAAATAAAATAGAAAATAGTTTTTAAAATCAGAATTTTTGTCATCAAAAAAATTATGACAAAAAAATTCAAAAATTTTTGTTCGAAAAATCTCAATTTCGGTCTGAAAACAAGTCGGCCCACCTTAACATATCCATATTGATTGATGTACTTGAATGAGTGGAAGTAAGCGCCGATTTCCGCGGCATGGTTCACAACCGAGCAAATACCGAAGAGAATTGGATGACCTCCGAGATCCTGAAGAAAAATTATTTTAACATGCGAGCTACTCACTGGTCGAATGATTACAACACACATTCACACAACGTTCAAACTTTTTATCTTTGCTTAAATCTGATGATCATATAAAAATTCATCACTGTGCAAAAATTTTCAGACTATTTAAAAAAATTTTTGCAACTCACCTGCATATGCCAGAATAGGAAAGCAAAGATATTTCCCGCCCCAATCCCAACACAGACCACAGCCAGCATGTACAAAACAAAGTGGATATTCATCATCGCCCTCAAGGCCTGGATCCAGGCGATCTGCTCTTTGCTCGCATCTGCTTGAAGCTGTTTTCCTCGGGCCTTCTGAGCGATTGCTGGGTCCACCTCTTCCAATCGAGTGTCCATCACCAATCCCTGGACTTCATCTGGCCGATGGCCTTGGCTTGGGCTGAATTTAAATTGTGTGGCCACAGCCATCGAGGCCAAGGCAAAGATTGTGCACGCCACAAAACAGAGAGTGTAATTCTTCTCGGTGGTGTTGTTAGTGGGACAGGGATGGTTGCGGAAGGTGTCGGAGTAATCGAGGCCAATTCCCATCACCAACATGGCCAGGGCCCAGCCAACACTGCCGAAGAGACGGATCTTGCCGAACTGAAAGAAGATGATTTTGATATGACCGGGATTCTAATAATTTGAGAGCTTTAAACCTAATGTTTTTGCCAAACTGTATCCCACTGACCTCTTTTTTGTCCGGCAAAATCCCCAGCGTATATCCATCGGCCAAGGCGATGGCCGGTGCTGAGAACAACTCCCCTAAAGCGACTAACAGCCATAACAACATGAAGGCCTGCTCAACCCCGGCTTCCTTGTAGACTCGGGTACTGTGAGGTGGACTGACCAACACTCCGTATTGGCTTTCTTCGTAGTTACAGACTTTGTCCGAGGTAATGTATTCGGGGGCCTTTCCAATAATCCGATCATCCTCATCATCATAGCTACTCAAATCAATGATCTTGTCAATAATCTCTAAAAGCAAAATCTTTACTTTACTTGTTTTCACAGTGCAATTCCGATTGCAAGATTCAAAGTAAAAACAATTATTTTCACTTACGATTGGGGACATCTCTCCTCCGCCTTCGGCCGAAGCCGGCCGCCTGTTTGATGAAGCCGATGGCTCCTCCTCGGATGATTTCACTGGCCGGTCTCAAGAGTTTGCATTCACCTCCACTGGAATTCTTGTCAAGGACGACACAAAATGGAGTTGCGGGTTGGACAAATCCAACGGCCAAAGTGAAAACGATGAAAGTGCCTAGGGAAAATAAGAGGAGGAGCTTGCCTGCAAAGTATTTTTATTACTTCGGTATCAAAAATTATTTTTATATTTCAGCTGCTTCTGCATACTGCGATCTATGTAGTTTCATCGAATCCGATTACTGTTTTTTATCAAATAATTGTAAAAGAAAAATTCACCTTTTTTGAACTGCTCGGCAAACACACTCCAGAATCTGACCGCCAAGAATTCGACCAATGGTCGACTTCCCAACAACAGACCGGCTTGGCCCGGCGTCATTCCCAATTGTTTGAAATAAACGGCCAAAAGCGGGAAAAGTGATCCAAAGGAAGCGTAATACAACAAGTAGAAGAGACGAACCACGAACAACGACTTGGGCATCTCATGGCCAAAGACTCGGACAGTCTTTTCATCACCAACAGAATCGAGGACAGTCTCCATGACTAAAGGTTTGGCTGGGGAAATCAAAAAAACAGTAAAACAAGTCGGATGATTATGAAGTTGATGTTGACATCGATGGGAAGGGTCTAAAAATTTAGGATTCACTTGGAATCACAGTAATTAGAGCAAGGTGGAAATTACGACACGCATTCCAGTAAATTTTTTTTTCAATTTTAGATTTATAAAGTTGACATAAAGTAGTGGTGACGATAAAACACTATCAAAAAACTATTTTTAATCGGTGGCCTATCCTTTCTCATAGCTTTGGAATATCATCTTCCATCAAACCGCTAAAGTTTAAAAATCCAAAATCCGCAAATTTTTCCAAAAACGCTAGTGCAATATAAAAAGTCACCCAAAAAGGCCCAAAATCGATAAAATACAAGCAGCTTTTCTTAAGCAGTAAATTACTTATATTCATGGCATTTGAACACTATTTTACATCAGAATATTCATGTTTAGAAATAGAAATGGGCAAAAGGTTTGGCTAAAGTCATCAAAAAATAGACAAATTAATATTTAAATTTTGGACGAGAAGGAGGTAAGATTTCTTGCCCGCGGGCCGCTTTTTCGAAGGCATTCAGAAGACGGCCTCAGAATTGAAAGGAAGTAAAAGTGCCGGAGGGAAGAGGATTTCCCATAGAAATTAAAGTTCGCCATAAACATGGTGGATAATCATATGCAAAAAATAGATCTTCGACGACAGCGTAAGTAATTTTATAATGATTAAAATAGATAGCACAAATCCGGCAAAGCAATTTTTGCAAAAATTATTCTAGTGGGCAAAAAAATGTATTTCTGATGTAATTATTCAAACAATAGACAATGGAATAATACTTATCTCAGTTAACTACCAACAAATAACCTATAACATAAATGATTACTTCAGTTTATCGGATTAAGCCTTTTTTGAACAAATTCCCGAAATTTTAGTTTAGAATAATATAATTCGCCCACTCTAATTAGATTTCCAGAGAATAATTAGCAGCAAGATTACTAATGAGCAGTGAAAATATTATATTACATAAAAGAACTCGTACTACATTCAAAAATGTGTATGGTTAGTGCCATCAACTTGTTTTTGTTTTTTATTTTACTTGTTATTGCCAAGAAAAGTAATACTAACAACAAGAACAAAGCGAGTGGGGGCCCATGAGTCCGGGAAATAGTTAACGCCTGCCGTAATAATCATAAAACACGGCAAATTTCTTTACCTTTACCAAGTACAAAATATAATTGGAATTGATGACAAACATTGCTGTTATATATGGTAAAATTATATCTGGCAGCTATGTGGGAGTAAACGGGAATACATAGAATTTCCAATACTTTTTACTGCTAATTTACCCAAAAAACTTCACTTCCGACTTCAAATTCTGGCCGCTCTCAAAACCAAAAACTAACAAGGTCTTTCCGAATACAATCTCTGCTTTTGAAAACCCATCCATAAACAGCCCTAAATTTAGCCATCTTATATTACAATTGCTGGCTGACCACAAATTTGCCTAAAGTAATGTAATTTTTGACGCAAAACAACGCAAAATTGAGGAAAATGGCAATATAAGACCTCGAAATTGTAGAAGAAATAACTGGCAGTCGAAGAAAGCGAGCGAACATATCCAAAAAAAAGTGGCGCCGCAGGGCAAAAATTTCTTTTCACGGCGAAATGCGTGGCGCTTCGGCCGCGGTTAAGGCCGCTTTTTTGGCGACGTCATTCATCGGAAATGGAAAGAACGCATAGCAGAAAATAATCGCCGAATTAGGCCTCGCATTTAATGGGCCATAAATTAAACAAAATTCTTGGCGGGAGAATCCAAAAATTTGAACAAAAATTATGAAATTTCCAAGAAAATTGGGGGAATTTGAGGCGAAAGGGAGGGAGGGGAGTTCGGAAATCGATTCTGAAGCCAGAAGCCGGCTTCGGCAAAAGAGAAAATAACTCTCGACGTTTTCTTTCTGCGAATAAAACGAAAAAAATGGGATTCGAACGGGGGTTTCGGGACAAAAAGCGGAAAATGCAAATACGCAGGGCATGGGGAATGTTCAAGGAGCGGTTAATCTACGAATCCATCATATTTTATACGGGATTATTGACAAATTGGGCCAATTTTTTGTTTTCATTGCACAGCCCGGCCTGGAATAAAAATGATGATTTTTAAGGAGCCCACAATTCAGATGGAAGCAGCCCCGGGCATCCAGCGTTGAATTTCAAACTTCTTGCACCACGAAAAACCATTCAAACTGCAGCGTGCAGAATCCTGTATCTTCTGCACTGTGCAAACGAAAACTCGCCAAAATATTTCCTCCCATAAGATGCTAAAATATAACGCAATCAAAAAAACCGAACGCCTTCCTACTCTAAGCTTTATTGTATTATAATTATCCGCTACATAGTATGAGATAAGATGCTTTTACAACCATTTGTATGAAAGTAATTGCCATTTAGATCACAAGAAGATAGAAAGAAAGGATTTGCTATGAAAGTGTTCCTAATCGAAGTCGCCTTCTACTTCGGGTACGGTGAAGGCCTGGGCATGGTAAATGCTGTTGTGTTTAGCTAAGATACGAAGAAGTGGGCGGAGTTTCATCCACCATTGATCGGTTGGGAGACGATGCTCGAAGTCGGTTTGTTGGCAGAGATCTTCAGCTGAGGTGAACGAGACGTGACGGCCCTAAAATTGAAATAAAATCATCAAGATTTGTAAATTCATCAATCACAATATATTACACCAGACATCAGGCATTTAAATAACATAAATCCAAGTTCAAATAAACTTACAGTGAGACCCAAGAGAGTGGCGGAAGTCTTATCAACGGCCTTGTTCTCTCCCGTTTCCATGTTAATATACTCTTTGGCTTGGCAAATCAGATGTTCTAGGGCGCGAGCTGCCAATTTTGTTCCCATATTTCTGTCGAATGGAGTTGGATTACCGCCTTGTTGGGCATGGCCAAGGATGTTGACTCTGGTCGTGAACTAAATTCACATTTACGTTTATTTCAATCGGTCACAACGCCTCTCCATACATTATACTAAACTTTACTCACCTCTCCCTTTCCTTCCTCACTGAACAACTGCTGTACAAACTCAGTAGTGTAATTTTTGTTGGCCTTCTCACACCTAACGATCAGATATCTTTGAACTCCTTTCTTCATCTTATCCACGATAACTTGAACATCTTGTTTTATGTCATCAACACTGAACTTTTCCTCGAAAATGTACGCATTGTCAGCGCCCGTGGCCAAGGCCGATATCGTGGCCAGATATCCGCAGAATCCTCCCATCGTTTCGATGATGAAAACTCTTCTCTTGGTTCCTGTCGCCGACTGTTTGATCTTGTCTATCATGTGGCAGATCTCATTTACGGCTGTATCTGATCCTAGGGACAAGGAGGTGCCCGGGATGTTGTTCGAAATTGTGCATGGGATCACACAGATCGGGATTCTGAATTCCGGGTACTTGTCGCGGCTCTTTGCGAGGATATTGAGGGAATGGAAAGCCTCGAATCCACCAATGATCAGGAGTCCGTGGATCTTGAATTTTGCTAGAACCTGAGCGATTTTATCCAGATGCTTGTCAGGGAGTTGCTTCTGCGTTCCAAGGAAAGATCCTCCATGCATTACCCAGTTGGTGACGTCATTCCATTCCATTTTCTATAAAAAAATATCAGTATGATACAAATGTCATGTATAATATAGCATTATCTACTCTCTAATCCTTCCAATTTATCTCCAATCTCTTCCTTATACACTCAATTCCCTACTAATTTTACTTTTCCTGTCTCCTTACCTTCAACTGTCCAGTTGCCAACCCCTCGAAGCTGTTATGTACTCCATACACATTACAATGATGGTAAAGCCCCATTCTAACAAAAGATCTGACCGCGGCGTTCATTCCACCAGCTGGTGCACCAATATTCATCACAGCCATGTTAAATATATGCCCTTCAGACAAGTTATCCTTCTCCTGCGGAGTCTTTAACTTGGTAAGCAATCTGTAGGTCAAAAGATTTCTCTGGAAGGATCTCCCTCTCAGTTTAACAGCCGATGCAAAGTCCTTGGAATCCATGGCTTTCTGAACTGCTTGAGTTCGTCGAACACACTCCATTAGGGGCACTCTGACCATCACATTTCCATCAATCGATATTACACATGGCTCTGATTCTGGGGTCATTTCCATTAATGCCAAGGTGGCTTCAGCTCCCATTCTGCATCCAAGAAGACGATCAAAGGCTGATGGATTGCCTCCACGTTGAACGTGACCAAGGACAGTAGTACGAGTATCATAATGGAGGGTGTCTTTGATGACCTTGCACACCTAAAACCATATCAATTAATGGAATTAATTTTCATATATTCTATCGGAAACTCATACAGAATACAAGATAAGCTCTTACCAAGTCAGAACTGATGGCCTGTCCATCTCTATCGATCGCTCCTTCAGCCACAATTACGATATTCAACCGGCATCCCATGGACCTGCTGTGGGCCAACTTCTCGCAGAGAATCTGTCTCCATTGGGACGGTGGTGGCCATTCCGGGATGAAACAGAAATCAGCTTCCGATGCCAACGCAGCAACCAATGCAAGATATCCACAATGACGTCCCATGACTTCGATGACAAAGGCCCTTTGATGACTTTGAGCCGTGGAAACTACAGCATCGTTGGCTTCAATGATTCGCTGAAGAGCTGTGTCCGTGCCAATGGTCATGTCTGTTCCGCAGAAATCGTTGTCAATGGATCCGACAAGTCCAACAATCTAAAATTAAAAAAATCATGATTATTTTGTTATGTAGAATATAAAATGATGCCATGGTATGTTCTAAAACCGAAAAGTCAATTTTAAAACTTTCTTACCTGAATATTAGAGCAAGCGTTGGCTTTCTCATCAGTAATTCTCCCCTGTTTGACCAGTTCCTCGACCAAGGATGGCCATTCTTGTCTGAAGAGATTAGCTCCCGTAAGTGACCCATCTCCTCCAATGCAGACCAAATTTGTGATTTCTCTGGCTATCAGATTCTCAGCTGCCTTTAGACGTCCTTCTCGTTCTCTGAATTCCTTACATCTGGCTGACCCAATGATAGTTCCTCCTTTTTGGATAATATCGGATACCATGTTCCAATCGGCTTCTCTGATGTTATCGCCGCCGTCGACCATGCCCTAAGCTCTCAATAAAAATCAAAAAACCTCCTCCTACCTGATATCCCTCATAGATACAGTACACTTTGCATCCGAGATATAATCCCATTCGAACCACGGATCTGACAGCTGAATTCATTCCAGAAGAGTCGCCTCCACTGGTGAAGACGGCCATGGAACGGCCGGAATACATCAACGGCTTCAAGGTATCGCCTTCACGCCCAGTAATCGGGACAATTGGGTCCGCATTGATGTTGAACCTGGCCGCCGTGGCCGCGTGAAAGTGTTCATCTTCCAAGGATTTGTTCGGCGGATCTTCCGCCATCCTGCAACAATTATAAAGTAAGTAAAAATATTTTTTAAAACACGTGAAAGGCAAATGTCGTAATAAACACTCAATAGAAACCAAAAGAAAAATTCAAAGTCATCGTTTATACTGTAGTAGGTATCAAGGTCAAAAAATGCGAATTCACAATTCAAAACATTTCAAAACGAAAAGTCTAGAACCTTAAAACTCTACAAGTTTTTAATTTAATCCTCGTCTCATCGAATCTTATCAAAAGAAACCGATTTTAAAAGACCGATGACCTTTTTTTTAACCCGGGGCGTAAACATATTTCTGAAGGAACAAGTGTTCTCAAGGTTTATAAATGGAGAGATCCGTATACATTGCAACCATAAATTACGCTAGAAAGACCTTTAGTAATAATTTCGACTAATTTTGCCAAGTGTAATGTAACCAAATCTGAAATTGACCCTAAACGCTCTAATCCTTGGTCGGATAGCTTTCTCACGTAGGAAATTTGAATTCGGCACAAAGAAACGTGCAGAACACCCATTGCTTTCTGAACACGGAACTGGGAGAAAGCCGATGAGAGAAAATAATGGAAACAGAGAAAAATGCCGAAGAGAGACGGCCGTTCCACAAAGTTCAGACTGAAAAGACAGGAGAAAAGTGTGGGGAATGATGAAAGACGGCTCTTTATAACGTCATGGGGATTTATAAACGGTAAAAAGTCGAACGTGATGAACAAGGTAACTTGTGTTGTTTCCCCTTCGATTCATGGATCAAACCATGTGAAGAATGATGAATAAGATCATCGTTACGAGAAAAAATCTCCTTCAGACCAAAAGTTATCAAAAAAAGGGCAAGTTTAAAAATCAGATTTCATCAAATATTTGCCTAGTATAATATAAAAAATTTTCCTTTCCATGTTCAAATCACATCTCAATTACTTGACTGTCAAGTAACAAGTAAAGTACTGCCTCTAAACCTCCAACTCTCTTCAATCTGACTACTCAAGTGACCAAAAAATCACAAAAATCATGTCCGCACCCTGAAAATCTGTTACGGCCCATCGACTTCAAACAAAATTTGTTTATTCTTCGTCTTATTTGCTCTTTTTGACCCCAAATTCTACGTGAAAAGTTTGAAAACTTCAAAAATTTAAAAAAAAAAATATTCGAACGCTCTTCCTACATGGTTGAAGAGGCCGAGAACGGGACTTTTGGACGTGTCTCGAGGGTCTGATGGCCAGAAAAACAAATCAAAAAGAGGGGATCGGCCGAAAAGCTGAGGGGAAACGGCCGAGGACTGGGAAAATAAACGTGTTTTTACTCAAAAAGTGCAAATTATTCCCAAAAAGGCTCAATCCATGACCGAAAACGGATTCCATCCATGGAAATTTATACTCGTTTCCAGAGATTTCCATGGAAAACAACAAGTACAAAGTAGAAAAAACACAGGGAACGGAAAATAATTAAATCCAAAATGAGCAGACAAAAGCAAAAGAGCAGGTTCAGCAATCAAAAAGGAGCGGTATTTCAAGACTTTCAGACTTTTTCGACCCGGGAAGTCACAAATATTGTGATAACACATCAGAAGGGCGTTTATTTGCACGTAAATGATCAAAGTATCGATATTATTACATTATACTAGAAACTGATAAGATAAAACCTGTACATTGCAAGCCAAACAAAATAAAAACGACATTTGATGTCGATTGTCATCATCTAAATAGTAATGTGTTTACTCTGAAGTAAGTAAGTCAGAGAAATTTAGTTGTTTTGGAGATGTCGTCAGAGTCGAAAGTTCTAAATGAGATGCCATCGGAAGGTAACGGGGAGGGGAGGAAGGGTGAGATCAGGGCCAGGATCCAGTACTGGCCAAGACATTGCTTCAGATTCTCACGGAATCCAAGGTTATATGCATAAATGTTCTGGAAGATGTCATGGATAATATAAATTACACCAAGAATAATGAAAGCTGGTCTCAAACGCTTACCAGAAGATATTCCACGCGCGTCTGACCTCTGTAAATGCAGAAGACCTGAGCTGCGACCAAATACGTCACAAACATCAGAGCTGTGACCGAAGAAACGAAGAAGAACACGGACAAAAACTGATAAAAAGTCAGATATCCCATCATCAGGGCCAAATGAGGGACCATTACTTGCCATACGGTTGGAATCGACTTCACATGGGACACTACATCAGTTACGAAGTAGAAATTCCACGTTGCGCAAACAGCCATGACGATCCAGAGATTCAAAATGGCCGCCACAAAGTACCGCTGATTGAAATGGCCAACGCAAATGGCCGCAAACGAACAATGGTGATCTCGACGGAGCACGCAGGTATCACAAGCTGCAAAAAACGGAGATAAAAAATTCAAGATCATTTACTTGAAGAATCCAGCAATAAAATATAAATTAATCTTACATGGACAATGGTATGCTCTCGGAGGGGAATTCAACTGACATTGATGGCAATACCTAAATCCTTGCTTCTGGATGGTTGGGAGCTCGGTATTGAAGCCATTCGGCCCCACTCTGAACATCTGCACAATATTGAAGTAGACGTTGAGAGCGATCATTGTCAGGGGAAGGACTCGGAGGAACCATTGGTCAGAAAAGAGTTCAAACCAAAAACTGAGGACATATGTGATCTCGATGAGGTATCCAAGCGGCAGAATTGTGGTAACACACACTATTGAAACCTAAAACATTTCTTTTGACGTTATCCATGATAAAGTAAAAACATTTAGACAGAATTTGAATAAAGAACCTACAATATCTTGTGTCTGCAGCCGCTTTACATGCTTTTTGGTCTCCTTGATCACTTCTTGCACCGTTTTCATCCGTTCCGCCTTCCCAATATCCATTTTTTCTAAGATCACTTCAAACCCAACCGACGCAAAGAAAATTCAGTCACAAAATAATCTCAAACCTCGTAATCTTGCCTCCTAAAACGTTAGAAATAAGGAAAAACTCTCAGGAAGTATAAGATTATTCATGTTGTAAACAGAAAAATAAAAACCCGAAGGGAATTCGAAAGGAAAATTGGGAAACCCGGAATGAATCATTAGAGTTGATAAAAATAACATAATTTCGCAGCCAAACCTCCTTCTTCGGGAACAAGAATAGCCAAACGGCCCTTGGCCAAGAATTTTCTTTTTGCCAAGTCCGACTTTTCGGGTCTTACAACGAAAAAGTGCGGCATGTATAATATAATATACTGGAACATGCGGAAACAAGTCTAATATTCATAGAAATACAGTCAAGGAAAATTTCCGATATAGCAAGCATAGGTGTTCACTTCAATCTTCCTGAAATTCCGTCAAAATCCTTGTTTACATAAATCATGTATCGTATAAAATGTCCCTTGCAGACTGCAGGAAGTCGGGCGCGAAGTAAACAAGCGGTTTCCGGATTTTTTCCGACAAAAAGTGTTCAAAGTCAAACTCTTGATCATAACCGCGAGAACACGGCATAAATTATTCAAGGTCGTGGTGTCGACCGGCTCTTTCACATTTTTGACTCCGATTTATCGGCTCCCTCATGGGTAATATAATCTTGGGCTTTGCAAACCGCGTTTTTTGTGGCCGCAGGTCGATAATCTTTTTTGGAGCGATATAAACTTCAGAGAAGGCTCGTCGTGTGCCTGACTTGCTCGTCTCGGGGACGGTTCAAACTGCTTGGACCTAGTTTTCGGCTGTTATAATCTATTTCATAATGTTTATTTGAGGTGACCAATTATTTCTTATCTTTTAGGCGTGCGAGCATGCAGGACCAGGACAACTCTCCTCAGACCTCGGAATTGAAAGGTACGTCATTTCCTCCGTTCTTATGCAAATGTCATGAATAAGCGCCTAATTTTTTCTTATTTTTTAGATCCGAATGGTGAGGATGGACAAAAAGATGAGGTATGTTAAAAGTTACATAACAATGTTACTGTTTTTAGGCTAATCGACCGCCGTTCACTGTGAATTCTGTTCTTCATTTTCTCCAAAGTGAATTGAACCGATATGAGATCGAAAGGGCTCAATGGGAAATGGAAAGAACTGAATTAATTGTAAGTAAACTGTTTAATCTTTATTATTATGGATTTAGGCACGAGTAAACTTCCTAAACGGCGAGAGAAAGGGTCAAGAGGAATTGAAACGGGATCTGGTCCGTCGTATAAAAATGTTGGAATATAGCTTGAAACAAGAAAGGTAAGTAAAGGTTATTCTTCTTGATAATTTATTTAAAATTTAGAGCTAAAGTTGCACGACTAACCAATGAATCTAAGGCAGAAATCAATGACGAAAATGAAGAGGAACGGCCAAGAGGTGAGCGTGTTTATGTTGTACATGAGAATAACTCGTTTTTGGAGGATTTTTTGCCTTTTTTGTTGAGCTGTTTCTTTATCTTTTGGTGTGTTTTCAGATGAGCCCTTGGGAGCCATCGAGGTCGATGCAGTGATACCAAATCCTCAAGCTTCACCAGTTTATCGACAAGCGAGGTCACTTTTAAGACAATATCTGAATGAGATTGGATATTCCGAGAAAATCCTAGATGTTAGAGCTTTTAGAGTCAAAAATCTTTTGGGAATTGTTCCCGGAAATAATGAAACTGTTCTCCATGATGGGTAAGCGTTTTCTTTTAGTGTTTATCTTTTAGGACTGACATCATCTGAGATTGGTATTGGATAGTATTAATGGCTGTATTTTAGTTCCAAAGAAGGTCATAACCGCGGAAAAGCTCTGACGGAATCAGAGAAGGCCATCCTAGAAGCCGCGGATCTTCTGAGAAACAATCATGTCAATGATTTCGCTGACGATGCTTCGGATTCGGAAGGCTCTGGGGGAAATTTGGATGCTGAAGCTGTTACCGCGTTGGATGAGTTTTCCTTTCTGAAAGAAGAGAAAAATGGACCATCGGCCGAAGAATGGAACGTGGATCAGAATAGAATTGAAGCCATGAAGGACGATTACTTCAAGAAATTAAAGGAAAAGATGAACAGAGATGATGAACACAAACAGGAAACCAAGGAACAGCAGTTTTTTCATCAGCTAAATGAAACTTGTATTCCGAAAGAGAAGTTGTTGGAGATGAATGAAGACATCAACATCAAGGATGTGGGAGAAGTAAGCTGATTTTACTGGTGGAATATCATATTTTGACTTTTAGTTGAACAGTGATGGGCCGTCGATCCAATGGCGAATTGCATTCACGTTGAGAAGTCATTTGGACAGCGTTAGAGCAATGAAATTCCATCCGTTCGAGCCCATTTTGGTGACAGCTTCTGAAGATGGAACTGCCAAAATGTGGAATTTAGGTGATAAAGATACAAAAGGACAGCAGCCACAGACAACTCTCATGGGAGTTGTTGATTTGGAGCCGAGATACACCTTCAGGGGTCATAAGTAAGTATAATACGTTATGTTTTATTGGACATTGTATTGGGGGTAATATGACTTGTTTTACAGAGGCCATATCTTATCCATGGACATGAACTCCACAGGCGATTCCTTCTACACAGGCGGCTTTGATGGAACAATTTGTTGTTGGGAAATGCCAGCGTTCGATATCCCGGTGTATGATCATTATGGTAAGCAAATTGTGATAGAACGACTGCAGTAATTGTTGTGGATAATATTAGTTGATTTTTTCAGATCGTCGTCTTCTTGCCGAACGTCTGACCGGTCACACCCAACCCGTCTGGTCGGTTGTGTATCACTCATCCTCCAATCGATTGATCAGTGGATCTGCGGATGGCACAATCCGTCTTTGGGAACTCGGCCTGGCCAAAGGAGAAGGTCAGGAGGACCCCCAGATCAAGTTGTATGCTCCACCAACGGTGAACGCCCGACCTCGAGCTTTGGATTTGGTATCGACGGAAACTCAACAACTCTTGACAGCTTATACGGGAAGATCGGCTGGAATACTGGACCTGGAGACTGGCCAGAAGGTTCTCGACTTTGATCTCAACCTCCCAGATGAAGAAGTCGGAGAGATCAATTCGATTATCAGCCATCCCACCATGGCTGTCAGTATTATGGCTGGAGTTGACAGGAAAATCCGGTATTTTGATAACAATTCAGGTAAGAATTAGATTTTTTCGTGTTAAATGAGGAAGATTGTCCGCAATTTGACGTAAATTGATGATTTTAGGCAAACTGATCCGAAGCGCGGTCTCCCACGTCGAGAGTATCTCCACTTTGGCTGCAGATCCAAATGGAATCTACATGCTCAGTGGCTGTGAAGACGGGTCCCTCCGAGTCTGGGATATGGAATCCAAAACGTGTTTACAGGTAGGTGTATCCGGAAAGGGATAAGGAAGGTATTTGAAAAGTTTAGGCGTCTGTGAAGTCGAATTTAAGATGATCTATGTTAATTAATGTCATGTGTAATATTGTTTTTGTCGTTTCTAAAGTAATCTTTTTGCAGGAAATAGCCGCTCACCGAAAGAAGCACGACATGTCCGTGATGGCTGTGGCCATCCACCCCTCCCGCCCCCTCATCGGCTCCGCGGGCGCCGACTCTTTGGTAAAAGTTTTCTCTCAACGCTCCTTCTCCTCCAACTGATACAAGATCCCCATTATTTATTATATTGGACATGTATAAATCTAAATCTCTTTCTCTCTCCGATCCCAAATGTCTTCACTTGTTTTGTGATAGTCGGATGACATTTCTGAATCGCTAATTCTAATTCTACCGTATCCCTTTTCTCGAGTACATTGCAGTATTGTCAATATATATATTTACAGTTTTGATGGTCTTCGAGTAAATGAAAGAATGACTAATGATTTGGGGGATATTTTGGAAGATTTACTGGTAAGGCAAGGGTCATGGTATGGTTATACTAGTCGCGCCGTAAAGTCTGTAGAATTTTGCACAGCGCGTTCATCCCCTTTTACGTCCTGCTACGACTTCCCGTTCTTGCATTGGCGACATCCACTTTTCTGCGAGACATCACACATCCCGCGACGTCTCACAATTTGTCAGGAAAAATTATACTTACTTACGGCACGACTAGTATTGCAGTAGACACCAACGTTTTGTAGAAAATCGATCAAAACTCGATCTGATTCGATGACTCCCTGATAAACTAGCCAAAATGTGCGTAACGTGACAATAGAGAGAAAATTGTCCCCGTAGACGTTAATATAAAAGGTGTAAATCATAGCTCATCTTTTGACACAAAAAAAAATTTTTACTTTCGGTGAAGGCAAAGAAGGTCATGGCTTTACAATCCAGGGTTTTTATTTTGAAACATGGCCACTGTCAAGGAATCAAGGGTCGCGTTACAATTCCAGTCGCTGAAAATAGATTATTTTTTGTCTCGCGGTGTGTGAACTTGCCCTCTCTCGCAGTAAATTCGGGAAAAATCGAACAAAAGGAAATCGAGTCGGAATTTTCATGACTTCTTCGTGTCGACGAACGCAAGCGTAACTGTGCAGATTTACTGTATTTTTTAAGCCCAAGCAAGTTAAAATTTGGTAAATTTTTATATTGTAATAAGTAAAACAATTGTGATTTTGCATATAGTCAGCCTACATTCATATTTTTCAGGATTTAAATTGCAATGAGACATCTTTTGTCCCTATTTTTGGCACTACTGGTTTTTATCCCAACGATAACCGCAGCTCCACGACCTCATCCCCAATTCAATGGCTATGATTCCACTGCTTCAGGCACAATTATGAGCCCATGGGGAGGAAATCTGGGAGATACATGGTCGTCACCGTATGGAAGCTTCAGTAACTCAGATAATGCGATGAATCGATACAGCAATGCTATGGGAATACTGTAAAATATCCGAGTTTTATTGGAGATGTAAAATAAATAGACTTTTATTTTCTCAAAAAATACTGTAATTGTGTTATAAAGATAAAAGTTGACAATAAACAAAACTGATCCTAAATGGAAATTATACATAAGTAGGATTAAAGCTTTAATGAATCTTGACCAAACTTGACCGGTTATGACCAGAGCAGGCTAGGTATTTTGGTCGATTTCTCAAAAACTATACATTTTTTTCCTCTGAAACTTTCCAAATCCTCCTAAAATGTGATAAAAATGTAGTGGAAACTTTCAAAATCTGCGTCAGGTCAAAACCCCAAGAATGCCAGTTTTTTTCGGGCATCTGATGACCTAAAACAAGGTATTTTGGCCGATTTCTCAAAAACTATACATTTTTTTCCTCTGAAACTTTCCATATCCTCCTAAAATGTGCTAAGAATGTATTGGAAACTTTCAAAATCTGCGTCAGGTCAAAACCCCAAGAATGCCAGATTTTTTCGGGCATCTGATGACCTAAAACAAGGTATTTTGGCCGATTTCTCAAAAACTATACATTTTTTTCCTCTGAAACTTTCCATATCCTCCTAAAATGTGCTAAGAATGTATTGGAAACTTTCAAAATCTGCGTCAGGTCAAAACCCCAAGAATGCCAGATTTTTTCGGGCATCTGATGACCTAAAACAAGGTATTTTGGCCGATTTCTCAAAAACTATACATTTTTTTCCTCTGAAACTTTCCATATCCTCCTAAAATGTGCTAAGAATGTATTGGAAACTTTCAAAATCTGCGTCAGGTCAAAACCCCAAGAATGCCAGATTTTTTCGGGCATCTGATGACCTAAAACAAGGTATTTTGGCCGATTTCTCAAAAACTATACATTTTTTTCCTCTGAAACTTTCCAAATCCTCCTAAAATGTGATAAAAATGTAGTGGAAACTTTCAAAATCTGCGTCAGGTCAAAACCCCAAGAATGCCAGTTTTTTTCGGGTCAAGGTGATATTGCACATGAGTCATTCAATGTCCGATTTCTCAAAAACTATACATTTGATTTTTCTGAAATTTTTATGGTTTATTAGACAAGGCTTGAAGTTTAATATTCCGGTTTCAAAATCTGCGTCACCTCAAAACTGCACTTTTTACACCCGAAATGGTATGTTGCCTCAAGTGTAACATAGCTTAGATGTAATTTTTAGTTTTTGGTGATAATTACAAAAATGTTCAACATGGTCGAAAACATACACCTAAACTCAATTTGCACTAAAATACAGCTTCGTTTTCACGATTAGGGCACATCTTTTTTGAGGAAGAAAGTTACAGTAATCCGTCATATGGTAATTTTGGGAAAAATTAAAGAAAGCGAATATTCTATGCCTAGCAGTGATTAAATCTACCAAGTTTCGTTGAATTCTGAGACATCGATTTTAACAATGTCCGGGCCAAACTACGATTTGTAATAAAACGCGTTTTAACAATCCGATTAATAATTTTTTATCTGGGTTCGACGTGCCCATCTCCTCTTGCAGCATTGTCCTGGCTCCAAGTCTCAAGATCCCAAGGCCATTTTGGTTTGACAGAAAAGGTCCAATATTTGTTCAAAATTCAATCAGTAGAAAACGCTGAATCTCAGCTCCAGAGAAATCTAAATTTTATGGATAACGGCGGACTCTCGGCGGAGAAATTCAAAGAGAGAAGAAGGAAGCTTTGAGTCCACATAGGACCGTTTATCTGATGCAATGTTGAGAGCCTCTCATCCTCATGCAGATTCTACATATTAAAACGTTGACTGTTTACATTGCGGAACAAAGTTTTGGTTGGAATCCCCATCCATTTTCTCCCCTTCCTTCATCGACGCCCATCCCTCCAAACTAACCAGGTATGTGTTATGTTATGATGCACTTCAAACCAACATTCATCAGGGCCTGACTGCCGACCGTCTCCTTTGATCGCCACAGACCCGTTGCTTTTTTCTAATCAATTTGTTTATAAAGAAGTTATTGTAATCCATCAATATGTTTGTTGTAAAGACAAAAATCATCGCTTAAATAGTCAACAGAGAGAGAGGAATGCTGACTTTGCTCGGAATGCGTCTGTTGCTGGTAACGTCTTGTATTTTGTTGGGGATCAATGGAAATCCATTCACCAAATCTGAGGGAAGGAATGTAAATCCACAACAGTATGCTGTAATTATGGAGCATTTCCTCTCGGGCACCAAGAATGTTCGATGGGAGACTCGGCCAATGAGCACTTTAGATCAGAATGGTAGGGTGAATAGTATACATGAGACATTGCTTGAGATCAAGATCAGAGTTAAAAAATGTTGTATTTTTACTGTAGCGGTCTGTAACTTACAATCTTGTCTACATATATGTATACTTTGACTGAATTTCAGGAAAGCCAGTCAAAGGAATGGGCAATTCCGACTGCATGGATGTTAATGGCCAGCTGAGGAAAGATGGTGAAGAATATGATAGACCCAGCAAAAAGTTCAAGTATGTCTGCAAGCAAGGCGAAGAGGAGGTCACTGGTAAGCGATCTATGACATCAAGATAACTTTGAAACCATGCTTCAAACTTGTGTTGATCAATTACATTATCCATCTTCAGCTTGTATCGGATCTGAACGCTCGAACCATGCCCGTATTCCTGTTGGCTCCAACGTTGAGGTAAACGGATTCTGGCACAAATGCCAGAGTTTCGAGAATGGATCAGTTGTCTATACTCAGGGTAAGATATATTAACGATGCATTTGTCATCATGAATAAGCTAACTGACATTGCATACTGATAACGGTTGGGGATTTATTCTTTGCTGCCAAATACTATTGCTACCTTCAATTTAGAACCCTCCTGCAAAGACGGATCGGGCAAAGAAGTTCATGTTGGCGATGAAATCACTGTCGGTTATCTCCGTGTCTCCTGTGATGACGGTGGATACAAGACGGTTGGATGTGTGTTCCACGGAAAGGATGGTGAGGTTATCTTGAGAGAGGGAGACACCAAACAAGATGGCAAGTATACCCACCATTGTGAGAGTGTAAACGGAAATCTCGAATACTTTTCGACCGCCAGTGGCTGCACCAAAGTGGATAAGAATTTGAAGGAGGGCGAGACCTTCAGCGAGAATCATTTGCATTACAAATGCGAGAATGGACTGGCTCAGATCACTGGTGAGTATAAGAGATATCAAATAATAAGCTTTGGTCTACCAAACTTATGCTCCCCTTTGCAGGCTGTTATGTTGATGATCACAAGGACCTGTCAATTGGTCAAGACTTCGAAGATAAGGGTGTTCTCCACCGCTGTTATCGTGTTGGCGGTGCAGTTGAGTACGAAGAGTACCCTTGTCACGGAGACTCTTGTCATCCAAAGCCAGTTGACGGAGGTCCGAATGAAGTTCCCGCGTTAGGCCAAGGTCTCAAATCCCCGGGATTCGGGTCATTCGCGGTTGTTCAGAGAGTTGGAGGTTCTGACAAGGTACAATCTCCGACCAGTTTGAAGTTTGACTTGGACAGAATTCTGATGAGATCCCAAGGATAAGGAAATGAAAACAATACTTATGAGATTGCAAACGCCATATACAATATTTGTGTTGGAAAAAATGTAATATAGATTAATAAAGCTCAAGATACCGAGTCATAAAATCAAAAGTACTTCAACAGTTTGAAGAAAATAGAGGTCACGTAAAAATAGCAATATAACTACTCTTCCCTTGTCGACTTGCTAGCCAAAGCATGATCTAAACTACCCTCAAGAGCTTCCGTTTCCTTCTCCCAGCCGATTGCGCAACCCTCCGAACCATCGTAGCGGCAATAAACTTTACCTTTTCTTAATCAAATGAAGTTGTAAAAAAGAATTTAAATTCGTTTTTGTTTACGCCCTCCTCATTTGGAGTGCTCTCTATTCGCCAGATAAATTGAATACAGTTCTGTTGGAGCTGTTTAAGTGAGCGGGGGACTTCCATCAAGTAAATGCCGTTAATCAACCGCAAAAGGCGAGAAAAAAAGATTTTTCCTCAACCCAATTTTCATTTTCTCCCAAAGTAACGGGGAAAATGAAAGGTCTTCTGGCTATTCTGATATTCCTGGTTGTGGTGGAGGAGTGTTTGGCAAGTCATAGACATCATCTGAAGAGACATCGGAGGAAAATCAATCCAAAAAGGAGGATTATGTAAGTGAAGCGTGATTACTCATTGCGCAATCTCCTAATTTCTCTTTTAATGCTGTTTTTTACTGTGGTATGGCTGAGGGATAGTGGTGAGAGTCCGTTTATTCATGAGAGACACTTTATGAATACCTTTAAAGAGCAAAAACTCCGATATTACACTAGTCTAATATCACAATTTTTTTTATCATGAACCCCGTCAAAAAACGTAAAGTATAATACTTTTTCATTTTTTCTTTTGTTTTTTTTTGTTCTTTTTTTTCTTCCAACTTTCGAATGATACACCGAAAAATGGCAAAAAGAATGCACTTTTGGCCATGTTTTACAAACCCTACTACAATATTTGCGAAGTAGCGAAAAAATCTGTTTCAATTTGTCAAAGCCAAACTAATTTTTGGTTCTATTCACAATACAACAGGCCGCACATGACTACTCTAAATGTCTCTCTTTCAGTTGTGTAAATGGCCAAGAAGCCGAAGGAATCTGCACTTGTAACTATGGATTCGTCGGATTGCACTGTGAATACAAAATGTTCTGCAGTACCTACCAACGACACGACAATGGAAGCTGTTTAGGATGTGATCCTCATTACGAGGGCCCTCACTGTGCAGATATTGTTTGCATTAATGGGGAGCGAGCGCCCCAAGCAGTGCAAACTTGTATTTGTAAGCAGCCCTACAAAGGGCAATATTGCGATGTTCTGGAGACCGAAGACGTCTATTATCTTTACAATTCAAAAGTAAGACTATTTAAAGAGCGGTGAGCTTATCCGTACTAACTTCAAAATTCTGTTTTTTACGACCACTTTTGTGTTACCTACCTAGTACAATATAAATTATACCATAATTCTTTCAGGTGTCCATAATTGGACCTCTCGGAGCTCTGCTGATCATCCCTATGATCGCAATTTACTATGGATGTGAGCATTATGCCCGGAAGCGGCAAGTGAAGAGGATCAAGAAGACCTGGGCAGATCAGACAACCTTGATTGTGGACGACAAAAGGATCAAAACCTTATTGTATTAGTAACGGAACAGTAAATACTTATTACCCTCTGATTACCAACTCACGTTTTTCTTATTCAAAAATACTTTTCATTAATTTTACCTACTACAATATCATCAAATTTTAATTTTTGATCACTTAGCCCTCATAAACAACACTAACCTTTAAAAGTGCTCCAAAAATATGGCCCGACTTTGGTTCGAACCTCAAACAATTAAGCGGTAGTGTTATTTATTTGAAATATTTGGAAAGTCAGTTCGCGCAGAGGCCAAACATTTGTGCAAATATAATCTCTGATATATACTCGGTGAAATCTATTTTGATTCTACGGTAAAAACCAAAACAAAAATGCTTGTAAATAAAGTTTTCTTTGTATAAGCTTACGAAATTACATGGTAAAAATAACAAATCAGATCTATATAAACCACCAGATGTTCTGATCTTCAGTTCAATGCAAATGGGATAGAACTTACTAAAATGAGAATTATAACTTTATTTGGACTGACTACGGTGACTTACGGTAAGTATTAGTGATACCTCACCCGACTAAATTACTATAATATATACGAATATCTTGCTCTAACATTTCTACCTTTAGTAGCTACTGCTTTTGGTCCCTACGAGATCAGCAACCCCAATGAGCGCGATGGATCCCGTGCTTCAGACCGTGAGCCACTTCAGGGACCCTTTTACAATGGAAGGAAGATTAGGCAGATCGGGCAGCCCGGCCAGATTAGACCCGGCCATCTGGAAAGAGAAGAACGACAGGCTCTTCCCGGCCCGGGACATCCAGCCAGAGAAGCAAGACAAATTGGAAAACCTGGTCAGCCAGGTCCCCTTGGACCAGGGCACATTGAAAGAGAGGAGCGACAAGCTCCTCCAAGCCCAGGTCATAGAACCGCTAGACAAATTGGAGGACCACCGGGGACAGGCCATCTTGAAGAACCAAGAACAGAACGACAACCTCCCCTTAGACTCCCAGAGAATAGGTATTCTCGGCAGGTTGGTCAACCCGCTCCTCCACCGCAGATCGGACGGCCAGGCCAGCCCGGGCCTCCAGGGCCAGGTCATCTTGAGGAATCAAGAACAGAACGACTAGCCCCATCCGGTGCACGGGAGACTGGACATCCGGGCAGAGAACCTCGTCAAATCGGACAGCCTGGACCTCCGGGACATCCGGCCCGGGCAGTTCGCCAACTCCTTCCTCCAATCCATCCACTACCAGCAGATGACAAAGCCCGAGAAGTTCGTCAGGCCCAGCCCATTCCCCCTCCTCCAACGGGTGAACAATCACGAGATGTTCGACAAGCTCCTCCTGCACCGCCAGGACAACCTCATAGAACGGCTAGACAAATCGGACAACCTGGCCCTCCTGGACCAGGCCATCTTGAAGAGCCAAGAACTGAACGACAAGTCCCTGCTATCACCCTCCACCGAATGGCTCGTCAAGTTGGTCTTCCCGGCCCCGTTCGTCCTTACTGAATAGTTGATAATGGAAAAGTCGATAATCAAGGTCCAAATACATTCATCTAATATCAAATATGTATAACGCCCTAACGTATTGATCGTTTACAGTAAACATCAGATTTTTTACTACTCCATGTACAAAATTCTTTATTTTACAAAATAAATAGCTACTAATGCCATGTGTAATATAATTTATCTCCAAAATCACTGACTATTTTTCAACTTCTTCCTCTTCTTGGATCCTGAGGCCTTTCTGACATTCAAGGCTGGACTAGTTCCAGTCTTCGTGTCGGCCTGAGGTCTCTTCGAAGTCTCCACAAGGGACAGATGCTTATCCCCCGAGACTGTTGGATCAGATGCAGACTGTTTGGTGACATTATCCGAGCTTTTGGTGAGTGCAGTTGCTGTCAAATTGTCCGGACTATTAGGATCTACAGTGGCAACATCAGTTCGAGTCTGGCTTCTGCTGCTTTTTTTGGGCCTTGGACGTGCAGAGCCAAAAACCATTTTCTTTGACTCACTCCTACGCTTCTTTTGGACGACTTTTTTGCCAACTCCAGCTTAAAATGTCATGGATAATATGGGGAAATTCAAAAATCAAAATGTCAAAAAAGGACAATCAAACATTTCTTTTATTTCCTTACATTTTCTTCCTTCATTTTCCTTTTTTCCCTTCTTTTCATTCGATTTTCTCTTCTTTGGATTCGAATTTGAATCTCGAGGTAAACCTTGCGTCGTTTTCTTGCGTTCTTCGGGGGATGAAGTCGAATTGAGCACAGGGGTCTTCTTTTTCCTCTCCTGTTCTGACAGTTGCTCCTCCTGAAATAAAATAAATTCATTCCAACGTTACTAAAAACATCGTCAATCTACTACAACATAACCTACCTTGAGTTGTTTGGATGCCTGTATAGTCCTTCGTTTCATTTCGATGTTTTCTTTGAGTTTCTTCTTCTCTCTTCTCATTTCTCTTTCCACTTTCTTGGCCACTTTTGCCTTGAGTTCGTCCTCATTGAGTCCTTTTCGCTTTTCTTCGCTGAGCCTTCTCTCAATCTCCTTCAATTTCTCGATTCCATATTTCTTCGCGTATTCTGCCTTCAGCTTCTGTTCCAGTTCCTTTTCCTTGGCATCTTTGAGAGCCAAATTATTCGCTTCCAATCTCTAAATAAGCAAATTCACAAGGGAAGTACCACACTACTAGGACTCTCTGATTTTCTCCAAATTTTGCACACACTTTTGCCAATTTCGTGCGGAAAGGAATGTTACGATCAAACCACGATCTAAACCATTCAACTTACTCTGAGTTCGGTTTCCATTTCTCTGGCCAGATTCTGCTCCAACTCTGCCCTTTCTCTGGCCTCCTTCTCCTTTTGCTGGACCTTCAAATCCTCTCCAACAGAAGTGTATCTATTGTATTTGTCAGCCCCTCCAAGTTCTCGTTGAAGTCTCTCAATAATTTCATTGATCTTGAAGACCAAAAAGTTGTAATCCGGCGGTACGAAACGATTGGCAGTCATGAGATAGGCATTGATGGCGAAGAACTCCTTGGGACATCGTTTGAAGATCAGACGAGCTGGGCCGAACACCGATTTTAGGTAACGAATTCCCTAAAAAGCAAAAAAAGTTGACCGCTTCAGCCACTGCAAATGAATATTTGTTCAACTCCAAGAGCTGAACGTTCCAAAATTTCCCCTTTCGGCCACGAAATCCGAGCCGAAACTTGAGCTAACCTCAAATTTGGGATATTAATCCAATGCACTCCACTCATTACGGTCTTTCATAAAAACTACCCTTTACTTTTCTGATGGGGAATGAAAATTTTTGGAGTCAATTCTCTTCTCTTCCGCGTTTTCCTCTTCCTTCTCTCTCCGAACGCCTTTTTTTCTCCACTCGCACTCCTCTTTCCTCTTCTCTCTCATTTTACGTTTTTTATCCATAAAAACACAAAAACAGAATACAGAAAAAGTGATAAAGGCGAGAGAGCGAAGCTGATCGAGAGACAAAACAAAGAAGAAAAATGGAAAAGTGCGATCAAAAAATGAATGTTTAAAATTTCCGGGAATATTGTAAAATCACCTTTGTAGTGTTCCTCTGAGTCCAGGGCAATGGCTGATTGGGTTCTTTGGTGTCGTCATACAATTCCACAGCCACATACATCCATCCGATCAGATCATCCAACCAGCACTGTTCCCTTCCTTTGCAGGCATGCCCTGAGGCCCATTCCGGAGTTCCACGGAAATAGACGGCACTTCTAGGGAGTCTGACCTCTCCAAAATATCCAGTAAACATTCGAACCATGCCCAGATCAAACAAGACCGCAAACGGTTGGGATTTGCTGAGGATCCCCATGTTGTCCGGCTTCAAATCCCGATGCAACAAACCCTGCCGATGCATGTCGTGGATGCCTTTGAGCATGTCCAAAAGGATGAAGCTGACGTGCAGATCCCTTTCCTTGCCCGAGAACTTCGAGATGTATTGCATAATGGGGATGGCGGCCTTCTCCAGGACCATGAATTCCATCCCGTTTCCGTTGTGATCGGCCAACATTCCCTTGTCCAGGATGCGAACTACAGATGCATTGGGGTTCTGAAGACATGATAGCAGCATTAAGGGTCCAATCCAACTATCCGATCGTTTTCAATACGATTATTTTTTATATTACGCATGAAAAAATCATCATGTACAATATAAAAATCTCCTAATATCTTATCAAATCCCTTTTCAATCACTCACGGCCTTCATAACCTTCTCCAAAATAAAGGCCTCCCATTTTGCTGGGGCATTTCCATCAGATTTGGCGACCTTTATGACCCCTTCAACTCCAGTTTGGATGTCTTGAACTGCAAAAACGACGCCAAAAGTGCCTTCATTGATCGTCTTGGTCACCTGCAAGTATAATTTGGGCCCCAATAAATCGTATCTTACATTCCATCGCTTGTTGAACGGAGCGATGGACCTCAAATGATTGGCCAGAGCCTTTTTTTGAGCATCATTCTCTTCAAGATCCCTGCCTTCCTTGACAGTCTGCTGTTTTGTAATTCTCTTCTGCTCGGTCGAGACACAACTCAACTAAAACAACACCAATTTTATTTAGATTCGACTTTAAAAGTCATCTTTTTTGTCGAGTATAATATAAATTTACCTGTTCAGTTTGAACTTTTCTGGCCGACTGATCCGCTGGCTTGGCCGATTGATCTTTCCGGACCGCTGTCTTGACGATTCGAACGGTCGATTTCTGTTTTCTACAATAAAAATATCAACATTTTCCTCAGATGTTCCAAAATCATCATGGATAATATAAAATACCTGCTGGCTGTAGCCATTTTCGACCGTAAGCAAAGCCAAAAGTTGATGAGAATGAGGGAGAGGACCCTCTACCGTTATTTTATACATTTTGAAATCTTTTGGAAAGCCCTTTACCGGCCGGTTTTCCAAAAATGATGTTATCCTTGCCCTTTTCCAAAAGTTGTTGCTCCCAACAGACGTCAGCATCATCCTCAAAACTCATTGACTTCTCTCCAATTTGCAATTTTCTGAAGTTCGGTGGTTCAGCAGTCAACTTGGAGGGTTTGGCGACCTCCGAGATGTCCTATTTGATATTAGCCATCCCAATTTTCATTGTCCAGCTGATTAATTGCTCAAGGAAACGAAAACCAATCGTACGTGAGACGTAGTAATAAAAAAGATACTATCTTGAACGAACATCACTTTTTTTTTATTCGCTATCGGAAATAAAAAAATCGATTTTTGCCACTGGACGATTTTTTGTTTTTTTTTTGTTTCCCGCCATTTTCTTCTAATCTTTTGACGAAATCTCTAGTGTAATGTGCATTTTAATGTCGTAAATATGCTTTTTAGACAAAACGAAAGCGCCCAGCTCAAATCCCCAGGAGCCCCCGATCTGACCCGCTCGAAAATGACTCCAAATCCGAGGAAAAATCAAGAAATCTGTGAGTTTTCCGGCCTTTCCTTCACTTTTTGAGAAAAAAAATATATTTTTGCTCTCAACCTGCTCAATAAAACCTCCAGCATTTGTTACGAATATTTTTTTATAGCATATTCGAATCCCTTTCCGCAAAAATCCGCGCAAAAACTTTGATTCCCCGTACGAGGCTCGAACTCGTGACCTTGGCATCGCTCATTTGTTTATAAGTACCACGCGCTAACCGACTGCGCCAACGGGGAACGGTCTCTGGCTGCCCGGACACACACCAAAAGAGAGCGGGGGTCGGAAAGCGAGAGAGGGCGAGCCGCGGAAAATAAAGGAGGGTGCGTCCTTGTTCAGGATGACCCTCAGGCGATATTATACTCGACATACGATCCGATTTTACAATTCTCCTTTTATTTGATTGGTTTGAGTAATTTCGAAGCATTTTCAGTAAGTCCGAAGGGTCTTCGCAGAGTGCAAGAGAGAGTTTCGAGAGCTCGAAAAAAGATGCCTCGGGGCAAATACCGAAAAATGAAGCGGAAAGGCCAATAAAGAGCGAGGTAAGTAACATTTTTTATGTAATTCACTCCAAATACTTTCGTTTTGACATTTTTATCACCTTTTTTTATTTTTATCACCATTTTTTACCTTTTCTAAAATTTCTTTTAGATTAACGCAATTTTTTTAGAAAATCATGAAAAAAGGACCTGAGACTCCCTTGAAAGCTCCTGAATTTGAACCCCAAGAATCTTCAGAAACCACCGAAGGAATTGCTGTCCCAATTGGCCAATCTGCAGGGTATGTGTATTTATTGAAATAGCGGTTTTATTGTAGATTACTCCGTAACACTATACTAATTTCAGAGCTGTCCCGACAAAAAGTTCGTTGACTGATTTGAGGACGCCTCAGCGTGTTCGATCCGTCACTTTCGTCAACACTCCCAAGAAACCACTGAAAAAGGTTTTATTATGAAGAAAGTACCCGTGGAATGTGATGACTAAATACAAGTATATCTGAATGTTATGTGGGAAAGTTCGTATTTCGGCTGAAGAATTTTTTCTCCTCTTCCCGTCGACGAGTTGATGGAGGGGTAAAGAAGTCGCCTGATGAGGGAGAAAGGTCTCTTTCTGGGCACTGAAATCATACAAAATATAATTAAAAATGTCAGATGTAATGATTGGAGTTACGGAGTTAATTTGGCATATATTTTCTATGATGGCCGTATTACAATTTCTGAAAATTTTAGCTCTAAAAATTTTTCCATAGCCAAGCAAATTTTTTGGCGATGTACTATGGAAGGTGACGTTCAATGAAAATAAGATTTTTCTACTATTATAGTAGGACTAACCTTTTATGGAAATAATGTACTCCTATTTTTCAAATTGAAAAACGCCAAAAAATGTCATATTTTGATTTTTTTGGCCTAAAAATCTCGGTGATTTCCGCAAACCTTGAGATTGTGGCCTCGAATATTTTAATTTCGCTTTCTCCATCAATATCTGAAAGCTCTGGCCCGAGGACAAAAACCTAGATTTTTTTTGTGTTTGAATTTTGTAAAACAACTTACACCTGTTTTGAGTTTCAATTTCCCGAACTCCTCACTGAATTCCCTCTCTTCCGCGAACCAAGAAGCCGATCTTTCGTTGTTACTATGCACCTTTAGTCCCTCCAAATCGTTGGAATGTGTGTGAATAAGTGGTTTCTGGGACATGGAGTTGGACTGAGACCTCATGATGGTCGGCATACCCATAATTGAAGCCGAGAATCGTTTTCGGATCTGCTTTTCTCGATCAAACCCAATCCTCATGTGTTTTATGATAAACCCGACCTAAAATAATATCATAAAATACGGTAGGATGATACGATAATTGCATTGAGTTACCTATTTTTTGGTCCTAAAATCATGTCCAGTAACGAATACAACGTACCAGCAGTCTCCACGCTCCCATGGTTTCCCTGCACTTCCTCCCAGCTTCCCATTCGATTGCCGTTTGGGTCATGCATTCCGCGAAAACATCCCAATATTGTGTCTGGAAGCCGCGGCTCTGCAGTTGGACATGTTTCTTCCCCAGGGTCTGCAGAAATAAAAGTAATTTGGAGTAATTTAATTCGTTCGCAATCCGAATTTTATTCAATTCCGGAAGATTAATTTTAAGTCCTAAGCATGTCATCATTGTGTTCGCCATGCGGTTATTTTGAAAAAAAGTTTTAATTGCGCATTTTATCAGAAAATTATTTTTGATTAGAAAATCTCGACTTACTTGGAAATGTTGAGCCAATTTCTCAACGAAATCGAGGTTTTTTACCACATAATCGAACGATTTCGTAAAAACGGAGGCGTGTTTTCGGAACCTTGGATCGTATTTTAGCCGGCCCTGAGGCACTTTTTCCAAACCAAATATCATTCTCATGTCTGGTTCGGCGGTGAGGATCAGCAGGAAGATCTTGGCTCCAACGTTATCTGCGCCCGTCTAAAATACGATCATTTTTATTTTGGGGTATTAATATTTTGAAAAAAAAAGAATAAATCTTACCTTCCTGGCTCGTTTCCAGCTGGTCTCAATCAAATGTTTTTGGGCCTTATTCAGAATGTCTTGCTGATCCGCGAAAAACGGGCTTAATGGGGGGATTCCCGGTGAGCTTTCTGATGGATTGGGGCTCAATCTGGTCGCCGTTCCCACATCTATTGCTGATTTGGAGTGCTGAACGCTGTTCGTTGGCAATGAAAAGGGATCTGGCGATGGCGCCCGTTCGCTTCTGTATAATAACACAATAATTTATGTTATTTATAAAATTTTTACTTTCTTGAAAGAAAAATAGCTTAAATTTTTTAGTCAATTACCGGATCGAAGGTGCTGCTCGTATCCGGAGTGCCCCATCTTCTCGTCTGGACCTGCGTTTGCTCTTGGGCGAGCTGACCCGATACCTTTTCTCGGCCAAACTTAATTCGGGCGAACTCTGTTTGGCACCCATTTCTGGAACAATTAGCGTTTAAAAAAGGGCGTTAAAGCTGAGTGAAAACCCGCCGCAGCGGACGTTTTTCGTTACAAATCTAGGGTTTCCTCCGGATTTCCGACCATGCAAACTCGGGTAAAATCTGATGGGAATGTCAGAAGCAAAGAGCAAAGTAATGGGAGAACAAACGCATTACGGGCACGCCAGATGAATTTGGATTGTAAACAATTGCGGAATAAGTGGGGAAGTCAGAGATAAAGGTGACAAATCCGAAGAATCTGCTAAAGTTGGACTAATTCCACGAAAAGCTTTCGTTTTCTTGCAAATCCGACGAGAAAGGGCTTTTATGATGAGTCTAATGGCAAGAGAGTTTTGATACAGTAAAGCAAAGTGCAGACATTACTGAAAAATTGCAAAAAAGCCCCTCTGCTAATGTAGATAAGGTGTTTTTCGCAATCATGACCAGTCAGAATGCAGATTCTCTTCAACGGGACTCGAACCGGCATCCGTTTGAACGCGAGACAAACGGTTAACCGATCGCGCTATGAGATCACTTCTGCGAAGGACGTTTGATTTGAAAGGGAAGGGAGAAAAGGAAGCCGAACGGAAGGGTTTTTTGTTTGTTTTCGTCGGACCCGCAACCCGAATAATTCATTTTGAGGCGGATAGAGGAGGCCAAGGGGGGGGGGATGGGTCGACGTCAAAATTGCTTGCGGGTCGATGGGAGGAAGGAAAAAGAGGATGTTGGGGGCACAGACGTCATTACTGCTTAAAGACATACTACATTTGGGGCTTTGTTCGGTCGCCCCAAAACACTGCCCTACTCGGGCTTACAAGGCCCCCGGCGGCCTAAGTCCACGTTCCCAAATCGTTTTTGACCGGATTAGCGGCCAGTGGGGAGCCCTCGACGAAAAGATGAAGTTAATCCGATCCCCCGGCCATAATTCAGCTAGCCGCGACGTGTGCAGGGCTTCATTTTTAGGCAGAAGACAGGTGGTTTTGATCTAATAACACTCGTATTAATTAAATGAATGGTTTTTGCAGTCTGGCAAACAGTTTGATGAAGTCAAAAGAGCAGAATATTAATTTATATTTGGATGGAAACGTTAAAATAAAACAAAATTAGGCATTCAAAACATCTCAGATTTATGAGGGACTAACAAGTCAGAAGAAACCTTTGAAATAGGTTGATGAAAGTAACAAAGTAACACAATTAGAGCATTAAACTTCGGCTTGGACCATTTGAACTGCATAAAAGTGATGAAAATAGATTACAGCTGCAAAATACACCCATAGTATAGCGGTAAAAGTACTTTAGCTACGGAAACTGCGGTATTTTTACTACTTATAGGCCAAAACAACATATAAAAATGCATGCACACACCTCAAATGGATCTTCATAAAAAAGGCCTTGGGGTTTTAAAAAGTTACAAAGGTAAAAAAAAGTAGTTCTAGACGTAAATACGTAGAGCCAAGGCAAAACCTCTTACACTTTATAATGAGCGGATAAAGAGAAGAATCATGTGTAATGTACGACGTGGATGACTAATTTCTGTGGGGTAATCTGGGCAGGGAAAATGATCTTATTGAAATGGATTTTGTTGAAACTGGTCACCGATTTATAACTCTTTTTTACAACCCGGCATTTCTCAGTGACTTTCAACCGGAACAATCCAGAGATTTCTCGGTAATTTTCAACGGAAAAACATTGGTTTTTTGGGTAAGAATGGTCCCACTTGAAAAGTTCGTAACGACTTCAGTTTGCACTTTAAAATCTTGTTATTTCACAGACAAAAAAATAGTCTCCCTTGAAAATACATCTTCCAAAAACAAAGTCTCTGCATCACCTCCGCCGGAAGTTATAGCCTCCGACTTTCCTACAGGTTTTTTTAAGCTCCTGTACATTCCAGATTTTTACATTCCTCTATAAAGAAAGGTGTTTGGATCTTAAGTGCACGAAATTGTTTCTCCCAAAACGTTTTTGCCGAAAATTTTCATAGTTCCTCTCTCTCTGTTTCTCTCGGAATTTCTGTATCTCTGATGTGACTACAAAGCGCAAGCCTTGCGTTTAGAAAACCATGTATGTATATGACGATCTAGACCACGTTTCCTTAATTAAAAAAGCACGAAAAGTTGGGAAATTGTCGTAAAAATTTACCTTTTATCCATAAGTACAAAAAAAAATCCCGCCAAAATTTTCTTAAAAAAATCTTTGTCAAAACACTGTATGATGAGCAAATAAACACCGCAAGATCATGTGGAATGCCCAGCGCAGATTTCTAAACATTCAAAAGCAATCTTCTCGAGCCGCGTACATCAACTTATTTACAAATCTTGTTTGTAAAGCAAATCCCCGCTATTTATTTTCCTTTTCTGGGGGTGGGCCCTGTTTTTGACAGATCCTTTCGGGCCTTTTCCAAAAGGCCCTTATCGGCGACGTTGATAAGAACTCAAAATAAGACCACGAGTGTTTATTGGGAATGGGTTTTGATGGCCCATTTATATTACCCTTCTTATTATGCTCTTGATTTATTTTCTTTTTGTTCTCGGCGTCGGATCTAATCGGATTCGCACATCCAACGGGATTCTGGAAGGAAGTTTGGTCAAGGTGGGACCGCATGAAATCAATGTCTTCAAGGTAATGGGGTCAAAATTTACTTAAAGAGGATCAAATCCAACAAAAGAGACACTGAAAGTTGGGCGTTTTAAACAAGAAGGGGTAAAAATGCGCATAGGAGAGTGTTTACTTTTTGAAGATTACAAAAAAGATGAAATAAATGTCATATCTGTTAATTCAGGGTACGAAGAAAAGTTTAAATTCAAACGTAAAATACGGACGCAGACTTTGTTTGAACTAGGCTGTCCGTAGCCTCGCGCCTGCCAAAATTTCCTTGATTCTCATGTGGAAACGAGAGTTAATTTTTAAAAAAATGAGAAAAGTCGAACAAGGCCCCAAACGGATACGAAAATATTTACATCTTCCTCCGAATGCCTCCGCTACAAAGCTCATGCTTCAAAGAGCCAAACTACCCAGTCAACCTTTCATTCCGCCCTAAAATAACCAACTTACCACACTTTGCAAACCTGTTAATAAGCTTTCAATTATGAAAGTCCAATTTGATTATGTTTGCCTTTTATTTATTTAAAAAATCTTATTTCCAGAACATTCCCTTCGCTGAGGCTCCGTTAAATGACCTTCGATTTCAAAGCCCACTGCCAAAGAAAAGATGGAGGGGAATCTGGAATAGCACTGTCTACAGTCCGGCTTGTATGAGTAATACAACGAGAACAACCTCGCCTCAAAGTGATGTGGACGAGGATTGCCTTTATCTCAATATCTGGGCTGATCAGCGATGCATGGTGGGTGAAATACGATTTGAATTTACCACAATGTTTTGTGATTTTGTGACCAGCGATCTTTAGTCGATAAAAATTCGGTCTTATCAGTCGTTATGTTTTGTATTTAAACCAGATCTCAAGAAGTACTATTTTTTGTTTACATATTTTTTTAAAAAAGCTAATGAGTCAAAAGTTATATTAACATGTCAGTAATAGATACGGTATCCTACGCACTAAGTAACCTTAAAGCTGAAATTTCCGAAAAACTTTTCAACTTCAAAAATGATTAGCGCGCTCAGTAACGTTAAACTGCAAAGTCTGGAAGGCACAGAAGGCGCTTATGTTGAGCTGTAGCCCCATCCTTCCAAAATGCAAAATGTTACATAACAATTTGACAAATCATGCGGAATCCGTCGGAAAGTATGCGGTTAGGCCTTAACAATGCTTATTTGTAAGGCTCACCTAAAGCAACAATGTCTAGGCCAAGCTTCACCTTGTAAAAAAGCCGTTTTAAACTCCAAAATTTCTAGAACCGTGCCTGCCCTGTGATCTTTTACATCCACGGAGGGGGCTTCTATTATGACAGTGCCATCATGTTCAATGAAACGGAGATCATCACCAAATACGCAGTCCATGAGATTATATTTGTGGTCGCTGCCTATCGATTGGGAGTATTCGGCTTTTTGGATCTTGGAATGGAATTACCATCGGCTCCGTATAACGTTGGGGTTTACGGTAATTTTATCAAATTTAACAAAAAAAGAATCCAAATGAAACGTATTTTACAATTAAATAAAATTGCAGACATTGTTCTTTCACTCCGATGGGTCCAGAGAGAAATCGCCAACTTTGGTGGAGACAAGCGTCGTATAACCTTGGTCGGGAACAGTGCTGGCGCTACAGTAATCTCATACCTCTTGTCCAGCCCCGTAGTGGAGTCCGGGGCGTTTTGTCGTGCCTTCATTGGGAGCAGCGTGCCTCTCTTGAGGCCACATGTCACCCTACAGATGAGTGAGATCATCACCAGTTATCTTAGAGTGAGTTTATATTGTTTCAGTCGTCAGAATTAATATTTTGTGTGACTTTAAGATTTTTCTTTCATATTTTTTTAGTGTAAAAGCCGGCTGATTGAGGATGAATTGAGTTGTTTGAAGGAGTTATCAGCAGAGGAATTGGTGCTGGCAACAAGGAGTAACGAAGAAGATTTTGGAGAAGTTGGGCCTCAAACTGATCGATTTTTGCTCCCTATGGGCAACTTTATGAAGATGATGAAGTTTTCTTGGAAAGTAAGTTTTGAAATATTCAAGGTCAAAGCCATCATAATCTGCAGGAAAATTAATTCTTGTCCTTATTTTTTAAAAATTCTTCTTCTTTCAGCCGAAGCACTTGCTAATAATGACAACCACCGAAGAGATGGACACCTCCCGCTCCGATGACATCAAAAATCTTTGTAAATTTTACTCCAATTCCTTTGATTACACCACTTCTCAAGTCTCCGACATGTGTTACAAAAAGTATTCAAAGAAATACATGGATACAAAAAAGGATTACATCCACGCAATTCACACGCAGATATCGCTTATCAACACGAGAGCCGGAGGCCGGAGTTATCGGGGGATCTTTGGCCAAGAGGGGTCAACCTTTCATGCCAATGATTTGACCTATTTGATTGGATTACACCCGAAACAGGATATGAATGAGGATCAAAAGAAAATGAATGTGTTTTATCCAGAAGTTCTGAGGCGATTTGTCAATGGAGAAGTTCCTTATGAAGGTAGGGAATGTTATTTTGGATGTATTTTGCCAGTTATACCTACTACAATATAATTGTAGGTTGGATTCCGACAGATCTTGATGGCAAGAACTACTACTACTTATCATTTAACAATCTCACCAAACAAGTTCCAAAAATGGTGATTGGCCAGATCTATAATCAGCCGGCGGTTGACTTCTGGCTCTCTGACATGGATAAGGTCAACCAGTTTAATCTACCTCAAAAAACCATTCAGACTGCTCATTCATTTGAATCTTTTGAATTTCCATCGAGTTCTCAAGTCAATTTGGAACGAAAGGATCGGGTTCCGATCTTTTGGACGACTCTTTCGATCATCATTATTGTAGCTACAGTAATTTTAATGGTAACTTCGTTGAGATTGTTCTTCAGGTATCATTACTTTGCCGAATATCGGCTTGCAAAAGGGGGAGAGGGCAAGAAATTGCTAATTAAGAATGTTAGAAGGGTTTGATCTTGAGATTTCATTGTGTTGCAATAGGAACTATGATATCAAAAGTTTCGGATTTGGAAGTGAAAATAAGCTGTTTAACATGTCCTAGGAATGAAAATGATACATTAATTTTGGTTGTATATAATGTAAAATTTGCTGTCTAATAAACTAATAATTAATGACGTCATCGTGGTAATCTAATGTAAATTTACTATTAAATATGCTGATTTCAACTTTTTGCCGTGTTAATTTCAAATTATCCAAAAAATTTAACTCATTAGAAATCTGTTGTTAGACTTTTACCGCTTACTTTGCACAGAAAATATTTCTTGTGCTACCTCCTGACTCGGCCGCTCTTTCAATTCTTTCTGAAAAGGCAAATACCCGTTTACCCTCTGGGCATTTTCTCATCTATTGCTTCCTCACCCACCGTGTTTTCTTCCACGCCTATATTCTATTCTTTTCTTGCTCCCAATTTTCTAAAATTACTCCCTAAATTCTCTTGCCATGCTAGCAAAATTTTCTTGTTAAAAAGTTACTGGCCAAACCAAAGAACTTACCCTCTCAAGCCAAAGAACACGAACACTAATATCCCGCTTTCGGCCGCTTTTTTATGGCTTCAAGAACCACTAGAAGAGAGGGCGGAGGAGGAGGAGACGACAGGAGAAAAAGCCGAGCTTTTATTTCGAAAGTTGCTGTTCTCTGCTTTAAATGATGCCATTCTGATAAATCTTGGCCTTATTTTTATGCATAATGAAAGCGGCCGAAACCTCTGCAGCTCATGTGGAGGATGAGAATGTGGCGAGCGTCTTGAACTTGGCGAAAAGGTCGGTCCAAACTGATTGGCGCTCGATCTACGTCACTTCGCTGTTGGCTTTTTGCGTCGCCGCTCAATTCAGCTTGTATTTCAGTTCGTTGTGGCCGTTCTTGCAATTGGTAAGCTCTGTGAAGTCGCTAGAAGCTTCTTTGCTTCCTAAAGTCTTTATTTTGGCTTCAAGTTTGTTTATTTTCCTGAAATAATCCGTCAAGGCCGTCATTGTTCTATTTTCAGCTTGATTCCACCATCTCCGAGAATTTCTTTGGTTATGTCGTCGGAGCCTACAGTTTTGGTCAGATCATTGCCTCCCCTTTGGTCGGATTTTTGTCCAATAAATTGGGCCAAATCCGCCTTCCATTGTATGCAAATTTAACCTGCATGTTCATTGGAAATGCGATCTATTTCAATTTGGAAAACTTTTCTTTTGGCCGAAGATACTGGCTTGTGCTTTGCCGATTGATTACTGGATTTGGAAGCAGTAGTATTAGCTTGTTAAAGGCTTATACGACGACAGCCAGTGTTACAAAAGATCGATCAAGAGCGTTGGCATTCGTTACAGGGGGAGTGGCCTTGGGAATGACAATGGGGCCGAGTAAGTAGGGATATAAAAAAGACGTTCAAAGAAATAAGCGGAAGCAGGAAGAGGGTACTAGTCATGGGTCTATTTTTACTGTATTATTATTAAAATCATATTTTTTTCCAGCATTCCAACTCCTTTTCATCCCCTTGGATTACCCTGGCTTTCATTTCCTCGGCATTTTCAAAGTGAATATGTACACAGCCCCCGCTTACATGGCCTGCTGTATGAATTTGTTCTGTGCTCTGATCACCAAGAAATTCTTTGTTGAAAATTATGCAGGGATAGTGACCTCTGAAGATGGAGAAAAGGTCAGATTGCCTCCCTTTGACAAGAAGGCAATCGTTGTTTGTCACATGACAAGATTCGCGCAGATTCTGGTCAATTCGAATATGGAAACGTAAGGACATAAAATTAAAAATTTTTTATTTCTTACAATTTTAGGTTAGGATCCCCATTGGTTATGGCCATGTTTGCTTGGTCACGCCACGAAGCCGTTGAATACATCGCTGCAGCGCAAGTTGTAATGAGTTTTCTGGCATTTTTGACTTACCTGGCATTCATTGTGTTCAAGCCTGAGAGATTGTAAGTTCGTTTTGTTCTGTTTTACCACCATCTTTTTCCATTTTCAGTATGAGTTTCCGGCTTGGCTGCCTTTTGTCGCTGGTTGGCCTTATAATTTTCCATCTTCTCACGATTTCTTGGCCATTTCTTCCGGGCCAGATCCAAACTTTTCATCAGAGTAACCTCACAGAGACCGAGCAAATTGGATGCAACAGTGCCAGGTTTACTTGGTGCGACACTCTGAAGCCAGTGAATGTGGCTGTTTTCTTCGGAAGTTACATTTTGATTGTGGGAACTGCATTTCCCAATGTAAATATTTGTTTGAACACTCTTTTCTCGAAGATTATTGGGCCCAGAAGACAAGGGACGCAACAAGGATGGTTGCAGGTGTCCGGGGCATTGGCCAGAATGTTTGGCCCAGTTGTGGCAAGGTAAGATCACGATTGCCTACCGTAAATCTGAATTTTCATCATTTTGATTTTAAAAATACGCATGACTACAATGACATTTTTAGTAACGTCTACTCAACCTACGGTCCTCAGTACGCTTGGGGAGTTGTGATCGCGGTAATTGGACTTGTCTTATCTCTTTGGATCGTGTTTTTCGAACGCATGGTGCCCCTACAAATACCCAAAGAAGAGCATAAAGAATTGAATCGACCGCCGTCAGATGAAATTACCAAAAGTTTGACTTCAAGTAGCACTTAATTATACTGCAATATTGACTTATACACTGTAGATCCATGGTTATTTTTACAGATAATGATTGAATTCTTTCTCATTTTCTCTGGAATCTCTTATCCTGTGCTATCTCTCACTTCATCGGGTTGTAAAGCTTTCCATATAAGGCTCAAAGAATGTTAATGTCCTTCGAAGAAATCATCTCGGTCTTACTTACAACATTAGTCACAAATTGTCATAGATCTTGCTAGATTATGCAATATCGGGTTTTATATCGATCTTGAATAAAATTTAGACTTTAAGAAAGCTACAGTAAGACGTTCAGATTTTTATAAAAGCTTTGAAAAGGTTTGAATTTTCTACAACACATTCCAGATTTTTAGGTGGTTGCTCTTCAAAAAAATGAAAATTTTTTGATACTTGCCAGCAGAGAATGTGTTGAAAATGTCAGAAATGACAGTGTGACATAAAGTTTCGCTTTTTAACTTTTCAAGGATTAAAATTGGAATATTCAAATTTTCAAAAATAAATTTCATTGATCTCCCAAAAACTGGTGGTTCATTCCATTCCCGGTTTTTCTCAACATGCGCAAAGCAAATTTCTTGGCCGACAAAAACAGTCGGATATTCCAGTTGAGAAAAAAAAGAGTCTTCAGTTTGGTCCACAAGATGATTAACATCAAAAATGAATATAATCGGAAGAAAGAGGACATCGAGAGAGAAGAATGCTTTGGGAGAGGCTATGACCTTGAGAATGGTAAGGTATTTTGAAGTTTTTCGATAATTCATAGCAGTCATTTGGGCTTAGATATAATTTTTTTGCAGAAAAGCATGTCACACTTGATGGAATTGGCAATGTTGAAGACAAATCGAGCGGAATGTTGCCGTTAATTGAAGAAGTTGACGAAACAGAGGATCAGGAAGAGATCATGGGGGAAAAGAAAAAAACTGTAGGTCGTAATTATAGATTTTTTACGAATTTTCGGAAAATGGGTTAAGTGTTTCTCTCAGAGACTTTGCGCCCAAACTTATCAATATTTAGGGTCTACGGTTTTCAATTTTTTAATCTGATTTCCGCAGAAATCCCGATGTGTGAACGTAAACTTGGCCATGGGTCATTTGATCACGGAATATGCAAAAAAGATGATTAATGTGATCGACGAAGTCATGGATTCCCAGCAGATGTCTTCCTTCCCGGCTGTCAGAGACTACGCTTCAAAAGAGGTAAAATACGCGTTTTTTTTATACTTTAGCCACCAGATGTCCCAGAGTAATACAATCATTTTAGCTGAAGTTTTGGGGCGATTTGATGGAAGAAAAATCAATCTATGGCAAAGAGTAAGCATCGATTAAAAATTTAATTAATGTATGACATTTTGGTGTCAACAATTCAAATTTTAGTGGTTTGTTCCTCTGCAGACGATGTATCAAAGTTATGCGACAAGGAGCTCGCCCTGGAAGTCATTGTCAGCCCTGATCCCACTGGATTTCACACATATTAGCCTGATCTTACATTTGATTCCAGAAGGTGCCTTCAAAAAATCTGAATTTTCTGGTTTCCTCAATAAAACTACTGGCAGTTCTCTTGAAGTACAGGGTCTTACAAAAAACGTGAAGGAAAGTGGAAGGCTATAACTTCCGGCGGAGGCAGCGCAGAGACTTCGTATTTGAAATATGTATTTTTAAAAGACATAAGTTTTTGTCTACGAAATAAAAAGCTTTTAAAGTGCAAACTGAGGTCGCTACAACCTTCTGAAGTAGACGCATCTCTACCCCGAAAACCAGGTTTTTTTCGGTTGAAAATGATCGAGAAATTTCGGACTTCGTCGGTTGAAAATCACCAGGAAATGTTAGATTTTTTGGGGGTTTCTTGATATAGTCTTTAAGAAAACGTCGACAAAATTGCAAGTGTTGGCACTTTCCTCCTCTTTTTCAACATCACCCATATCATACCCCCCAAAAAATCCGACATTTCCTGGTGATTTTAAACCGAAAAAGTCCGAAATTTTTCGATCATTTTCAACCGAAAAAAACCTGGTGTTCGGGGTAGAGATGCCTCTACTTCAGAAAGTCGTAGCGACCGCATTCTGCACTTTAAAAGCTTTTTATTTTGTAGACAAAAACTTATGTCTTTTAAAAATACATATTTCAAATACGAAGTCTCTGCGCCGCCTCCGCCGGAAGTTATAGCCTTCCACTTTCCTTCACGTTTTTTGTAAGACCCTGTAGTCTTTTATTTCTTCAATGTTTGCAAGTTCTGTGAATAAACCTAATTTATGTATGCCTTTCGTTTATTCCATTAGCCTAAAGGGATTTCCTCGAAAATCCAAAGTTTAAGGGCCAAAAAACGAAAAGCTGGAGGTCTTTTCGTATTACGAAGTCTGAGGATACAAACGCGTGCAATGTGCGTTACTTTTTAAAAGAAGTTCTTTTGTATCGAAGAACATTTATGGGTCAAAAATAATATAAAATCTACTCCGTCTGATATCCCCATCTATTTTTTATTTCGAACTTATTTTTACCCATTTTTCTTATTACAAATTTATGAGCCAAAATTGTCGTGAATCCATCTTTTTATTTACACAATTTTGAACTCAAAAAAATTTTATGGTGACCGTAATCTGCAGTAATCCTTTTTCTTAGCCTCAGATATAATTTAAAAATTTTTTTAGAAGGATGTCCCTTAATTCTGTGTCCCCTGAAAGGCAGTAAATCCTGTGTCATTAAAAACGTTTCTGGTTTAAAACGGCTCAAAAAGAGAGATAACTTTCCACTGGAAACCATCGGACCGAAAGTAAAAAAAAACTTGTAGGGGGAGTGTAAGTAACTGAAACCGCGGGACTTGTCGATTTCGGTGTTCATCTGCCGGAAGCCCGAGGGTTTTTACTTGTTTTCCCGGCCTTCCACAAAGATTACGGCTTAAAACGGGGTTTTTGGGGTACTCAAGCGAGTGGATGTCGAGTTTGAGATGTTTTGGTCAGCCGAGAGATGACTTCTGGGTTGTTATGGATTCTGAGGCGGGAAAAACTGGGTCGACGTCGATTTTTTGCTCTATAATTTTTGTAAGGCCAATTTGAAGCTAATTTATTTAAGTCAAAAATTGTAAAATTTCGTATCAAGATTGAATAAAAATTCAAAAATTTTTGTTTACTTACAATTAATGCTTGTTTGCCGAACTTGTCGTCACTTCAACCTGAACTCACAACTATTTTTAAATTTCCCTTTTCCGCGTCAAGGCCCTCTCAAATTCCCCTTACCTGCTCTTACTATAATTACAACATCTTTATAAAAGGTCAAAAAATATTTTGTATTTGAAATCCCTTAGGCGTTCCTAATTTTTGGCTCCAACACTTAGGTCTCCTAATCGACCATCTTTGCCGTTGAAGCGAAAGTTCCCGTGAGCCACGTGAAATGTCACCATACTCGTCATAAGTATAACATAATATGGCGTTGTTTGTTTAACCTCGTGCTTGTTTGAACCTTAAAATACATGGGGGAGTCCTGTAAATTGATTTGTAACGGGTGTCTTAAAAGTGCAGATTCGGGGAATGATTTTTGAACGGTTGAGTCTGGGATTTGATGAAAAACGATGCCAAAAGTTTGATAAAAGCTATAGGGGGATTGTTAAAATGATTTGTGATGGAACTGGGCGTGAATACCATATGTTGAACCCTGTTCCTTTGTCTGTTCCATTCGAGGCTTGTATTTTACCCCCTTTATATAAATATAGATCCACTTAACTCCATATGCATTAACATTCCTCCCGATTACTGCCCCTGATCCGTTTTAATAGCTCATCAGAGATCATAGCCCCTGAGGGCATGCGGCTCTGATGCGAGCATGACATCCCCTAAATACATTGGCGGTTCCATCTTTTTGCAAGAGCAGTCGATAAACGAATAATAGACCTTAATGGGGCGTTCGTCATAAGGGATTCTTGAAAGCTTCTTTTGTTCCGCCGCAGGCCCTGAGGACATAATTCAATTCCAACGTTTAATGGCTCACTTTCCACCGGTCCTCTATATTACGGGTTCTTTGAAACATCAGGAAACATGCTCTTTACTTTCGACATCAGGAAAAAACGGAAATCTGAAGGGAGCCGAAGGGAGATGGATAATATTACTTACAACTGAGGAGGAGGGGCAAGTTTAAGGACCTGTTTTGACCATTTGTAGGGAACAGTAAAAAGTTAAGTTTTATTTAATTGCTAGGCAACCTTAACCTTTGTCTTATGTATTGTCAAAAATGAGGATAAGAGATGGCAACTTTGAAGAATTAAGAATTGTAAGATTTGTGCTGCGATCTCTAAAACGCATGCTTCATTAAAATGTTAGATGAGGTTACTTGGGGCTCTTGCAACGCTCGGAGACAGAATTTTTTTACTTATATTATACAAGAAGTGAAGAGCCAGAGGAGACTCTAAATATTTTATCCAGAATTCACTGTCAAATTTTCGCGCAGTCAATTATTCCTTCACGTTTTGTCAGCATGGCGAAAAATCTTTTGTCCTAGAGCAGTCTAGCCGAAATCTTTATAAACGTTCATCAAAAACAAAGCACCAAGCTCTTTCGTGCTGCAAAAAATTATTTTTTGATGACTGAACCCTTCAAATCTTTAGCCTCTACCGTTTTTCTAATTTTATGGCTCCCAATTAACTGGCTACACTAATTTCACTCCATTTTATCGCTTGTTCAATCTTTATCTCCCTTAATTCACCGCTTTTGTTCTGCTAACAGCGTTTGAACTAGACAAAAAACATCTTTATATGGGCCTTCTTCATGTTGTATTATCTTTAACCTTTCGAAAAAACTTATTTTAGTTATTGTCTGGAGATATTTTTTTGCAATTTTTGAATTGAAAAAACAGATTCAAGCAGCCTTATAAATGGTAGTGTTACAAATCCGTTCCACGTTTTTTTTCACGCGCCCAATTGTTTCCGGAGGGCGAGGGAAGTTGTTGTCTACATCATAAACAGAAGATAAGCTGCTTTTTCCGGCATTTTTTCTTGTCAAGAACTCGAATACTGATGACTATTACTGCTTACAAGAAAGTCAAAAAATGTTCTCCAAACTTATGAGCGCTATTCAGGTTCAAACTGGGAGAAAAAGTTTTTGACCTCAGGGCCGAAGAGTTGGTCCCTTCTATTGAGATGCTCAATAGAAGGGACCAGCGGGATACTGTAGATTTTTTCTGCTTTTTTGGTGTTTTGTCATTTTTTTAATTGAATTCAAAGAATTCAAAAGATGGAGACCAAATTGTCGAAAACATTTTTAAATATGAAATAGCGAAGGGAAGCGTTCACAATTTTTTTTTGGAAAATTTGAGTCGACCGAGATTTCAACCATCTTTTAGAACAGTTATTAAAGAAATAAGGAGAGTAACTTTGACTCCCACATCTTTAGATCTTTCTACGAACACCGTTCTCCTTTCGAATCGCCATAAATCTGATGATTTCCGTCTTCTGACTGGGCCAATAGTCGAATTCGTTTCTGTTTTGTTCGCTACACTCTCTGCTGGAGAACGCCCTCAGGGCACTTGAGGAACTTTTGGGAACGGTAAACTCTTCTCCTTCTTCTTCTCTCCCCTTAAGTGGGCAATTCGATTATTTTCTGTTTCAAATTCCCGCACTCAAAAACTGACTTAATTATGAGTTCAAAGGGAGAACTCGGCCTGTGCCGGAGGGGATAGGCCTGCAGGGCGTACGGGTTTTAACCGTATTAACCTTTGAGTTGGGGGTCTTTTTAAATATTGGAGGCTGTGGGGAGAAACTCGAGACAAAATTGGGGAGGAATAATTTTTACAGTAATTTTCTTTGATCGCAAACACGAAAAAAGTAGTTTGGAAATATATTTTTACTGATTCTGCAAAAAATTGACCTTTTCTTATAAAACATTGCAAAAATTTTATTTTTGAATTTATCGGCTATCAAAGCACTGGTTAAAATTGTCATTGCTCAATATGCGCCGTATGCAAAAAAAAGAGGAGATCTATAAGTTTTAATTCAAATTCTTGGCATAGACGCGAGCAATAACACTTTTTCCATTTTTATTTTTATTTTTTTTAAATAAATCTAAATAATTATTGAAAACGGCTCTAAATAGTGCATCCCACATAGATCAGTCTGAGCTCATCTTCATTCCGGCTTGATTATTTTATTTTATACTTTGATATTATTAATTTGAAAAAAGTGGAGAAACAAATTGAAAAAGATGAAGTCATGGCTTTCCCATCTCTGCCCTCAGGCTATTATTTGCTTCAGGACTTAAAAAACCAATTTGACCTTCTTTTGCTCAGTAAACAACAGCATCGCGATACTACTTTTCAAAACGTAAACGAATTGTTTTGATATCAAAATAATATAAAATGAATCAAGCCTTGATCTATTTATTTTTTGTCTTCCAAATCTTTTTTCATTCCATGGAGGAGATCAAGATTGATCTGTCTAATGCCTTGGATTTTATTTTTGTCATCAGCTCATCCTTTAATTTTCGTATAAAATGTCCTACCAATTACTAAAATTAAGACTTTCAGAAGTGTTTACAAGGTGATGATTTTATGCAAATGAAATTAGCGTTATCCTGGCAGAGGAAAAAAGGGATTTACATCCAAATTTATTTTTAACGAAAAACACAAGCAAAGGGCAGGGAATGGAAAGGACTGGAAGATGTCACGGACTTTCCCAATCTGCGTTTTGACGCCCAGATTTTTCTGGACTCTTTATTAGGTGCTTCGAGTCAGTTTTCCTATTTAGGTAGTTATTGAAATTAGTTTTAGAAAAATTAATTTTCAAAGTTCGAAAATATGCACATTATGACACTTTTCTGTCATAAGTCGTTGTCATAATCTTTTTAAATTTCTGTGGAAAAGATCAGTGCACCATTAATTCCGGAAAACTTACAAAATTGGCGCGGTTGCGATATTGAACGGCTGAAATACCGTCAATGTTTAACCTGGAAATGTCAAAAATTGACGAACCAATCAGCACTCTTCAAGCTAAAAATACTAATCAGTTTGGGAAGGCTAATTGTGAGCGAAAAAGCCTAAATGCCAAGTTTTATCAAATGACTGGCTTTTTCTTTAAAACAGCGTTTTTAACGGAAATATCGCCATCGTCTCATGGATGAGATAATCAAATTAGCTTTAAGATTTTTTTCAGAATAAACAGCTTTTGGTAATTTAGTTAAGAAATTATTATTGGTGAAGACATCCCAGACAATTTTCATTTTATACTCTAAAAAAGAGCTCGACAAAACTGGGTCTTCTGCTTTCTTCTTGAAACATGGTTCATTCGAAAGAATAGTAAAAAATGATAAAAGGATCACCTTTTACTTGTTGCCAATCCTGCCATGTTTTTCTAAGTTCCCAGTTATGTTTTGGACTCTTTATTTCTGTCAGCGAGCCTGACTTTTTGTATGGCAATGGTCACCTATGACATGAAACGCTTCAGTTTATTTATATCAGTGTAATTTCCGTTAGAATAAAGTAAGCCGAAAAATAAAAAAATACTCGCTAGGCAGCACAAGGGTTTTCCAAGTCTTTGTAAACTTATTCAGGACATTGCTGACTTTCTGTTTTTGACTACATTTACACTCTTTAACACCTTGTTTGCAAGTTGGAAAAACATTTTGTTTTTCCTTCCATGTATTTTTGTCTAGAATCTGCACCTTTGTCCTTTCTGAAAGACTTAAAACCCCCTCCCCCATTAGTCACAAATTTGCATATTTAATGCACGTTCAAACTGTATTCTTTTCATTTGAAATTTTGATTATTTGGGTCTGTCAGACCAATCTTAGTCCCTGCAGCGTCTCCTGTTTTGTCGTATCTTCAAGGTGTCACCGAAAATCTTCTTTTTTTTGCTACACTTCTAATTTCTCGTACTTTTTGCAAAACCAAAAAAAACATTTTGAGGATCCGTTTTTTAGAAATTCTGCACGAGATTTGGAAAGAAGGTTGTTGGACTTGTGCCCTCAGGGCATTACTTGTGGAAAAAAAAGTTCAGGTGGAGGCGGAAGTCGCCTTTTTTGCGTATCGATATTCGAAAAAGGGGCGACGGAAGGGGTTTTTTAATTGAGGGGCCAAGCAAAAAATTAGAGGAAATTAAGTCAACATGGCGAGTTCTGATCGTGTTTTTCTGAATCAATTTTACAATTTAAATCTCAATTTCAAACCAAAACTCAAAAAAAAATCTTTTTTCTTGGCCGATCTACGACTTTTACAGCCATTGGCGTTTCACAAAAATTTTTCATATTTATTTTGACTGTGCTTTTCAACTCCGTTTTTCTCCCACAAAAATAAATCGCCAAAATCATCTTCGTCAATCTTCCCTTTAAGGCATGATCGCGGGATTACTGGAGATGACAGCTTGTCTTGTCGCTTATGCAATTTCTCCTGTCTTTCTTAGAACCACTTTTAAGATTCTTTGTTATAATCCGGAAGTGCAATTTTATGTGCAAAAAAGATTACTTTTAAATCTGTTTTTAAACAGCAACGTTTGAAATTTTTACTATAGAAACTGATTTGCCGTTACAATTTAAAACAGTTTTTTTTACATTTTTATAATGACTGGCAGATATTCAAAACTTCTCTGACAAACGTCAAATCCACTGTCAAAAAGACATAGCCAACGGATAATGGCCAAATTTGATTTTTTGAATTCTAAATACATTTTTTTAAATTTTCAAAAAGTAGTGTTTACAATGCAAGTGCAGGCTGTAACGCCGCTTCATCAAACTGCCTGAGGCGTTATTTTGATTAAAATTGGTCAGGCATAACTCCTTTTTTCAATAATATTCCCAAAAAGCCCTGAGGGGATTGGCAGAAATAGAAGCGAAACAACCCCGGGAAATTGTCATTCTAGAATTAATCTGGCCTCAGGGTACTGCGATTATTTTTATGGGTCTACACTGTTTATTCACCCACCTAATTCAACAAATTTTATATTATATTTATCATCAATGATATTAGCCATGACGAAAACAAAAAATATTGGACTTGGAGAATATCGTGGGGGTTCTAATCACCAAAAACATGACATAATTAAATTATGGGAATGTTGGGAAACCTGCTGTTGGCGTCATAGGAATAGGGTCTCAAAACAAATTTGGTTAAAAAGTTAAATTATGTTTAATCGATTCTCACCGTAATCCAAATACTTTAGAAGCAGCTGCAAAGTAAAAATAAACGATGGGTTCGCCAAGTAGAAGTACCAAAAGTTGCTTTAAGGTCATTAGACATCAGTCTTGGGCTGAGGAGCGTTATGATAAAGTGTAATATAAAAGTTTTGTTTAGGATCTAAAACACTGATTAAGGTTAAGGCCAGCATAACTTTACAGCCGAACTGTCATTCTGAAGTCATCGGTTTTGATTTTGAGCAGAAACGAAACCCGGTACAACAAAAAAATTCTACAAAACCCCAAAATTTTTGAGCCCCTTCAAGACTTTTATAACACTTCTAATTTTCAAAAATTGCCCTCCAATATAGTACATGCCTGCCTGCTCAATTCGTCTTATTTCAAACCCCTAGAGTGACACGTTTCTATCGTTTTTTGCGTGTTTTAAAGGCGCTATGTCAAGGCCCCGCCGAACAGGTGGACATAAGTGATTTTTGTCGAGAATGTGAGGAAGTCCGGCCATCATCTCCCCCGGAAACTTTGGTTTGTATTTCTTGCTTTGACTTGTGTTTTGGCGGCTCTTTTTGATGCCCTTAGGCATTGGGGTTTGTAAAGTGAGAAAGTGTTAAAAGATGAAGGGCAGGTTGATTTATTGTTTTCAAATTTGTCGAAATTATTAGAAACTTATTTTACAACGAGAAGAACCTTCTGTAATTAAGATTATGTTATGGTTTATTTGTTTTTGATATAAAAGTCATCAGGCTTGAAGTGGTGAACGAGGATTTTCTAAACTGTCATATCGGTCATAATGACGTCTTTCTCAAACTTTCTACAAATTATTTAAACATTGCATTCTGATTTTTTTCGATTTACATATTCTTTTTTTCCTGCTGATTTGCACGAGCAAAACAGCTGGGAAAAAAATCACAGTCAGATATTGAAATTTGAAAACAGCAAAATTCAAGCTGCTAAAATAACCGTTTCCCAAAAATGTCAAAAAAAATTTTATGACGACTAAATGCATTTAAATTTGTCGTATTGCATTTTCGTTGAAACTGTTTCTATTCTGGTCAAAACTTTTCTTGTCCGCCTACTCTCACACCCTCCTACACCTCACCAACATTATCACCCCTATTAATCTCTACTACAAGATATAATCTTCCTCCCACCGACGTCATCATTCATTTTATGACTTCCCAAGGTACTGCTCCGACTACTTGACCCTCTACTTCTTAACTTTTACGACTTCTTGTTCCCCATTAACTCATCGCTTTTTATCTTCAGCTAATTAACGACTTCAAAGTCCCGCCTCAGGCTTTTGACAATTGTTCTCCACGCCCTCCGGCTATTTGTTAAACCTTTGATTTAGCGTGATTAAAGCAGAGTTTCCTGTCAATTTACTTTGTTGTATCCGACTGTGGAATGCACGTTTATTCGTTTAATTTTATTTTTCTTCCATTAATATTCATTTTAAAGCCTATTTTATTAATAATTTTGACACTTTGGTAAAACACTTAATAACTTTGAGATTTACATATTCATAAGGGTTATAAATATACTCTTTCGCCTCCCCTGACTTCAACTCAGTGACCCCTTCACGTGTATTTATTAAAAATTCATGTTATTCATTCCTATCTTTACTTTAGAGAATCGCCGCCAATGCCTCGAGAAAGGGTTTACTGAAGCAAGGACTTGTTGTATTGGCCAAAGCACACCCAGAGCCTACACTTGACCTCATAATCCAGATTATATTATGACTTATATTGACCATTGTATTACCGTAGTCATGGATGTCTGGTAACTTGAGAAATGTTTTGGTGGATCCTCTTATTTCTTGCGAGCCTCAGGGCAGAGGAAGTGGAGTTTTTTCCGCTGACCCGGGATTTTGTCAAGATGCTAGACGATATCGACCGGTATAATCGATACGCAACTCCCACGCAATATCAGGGAACGGCCACCAATGTGAGCATGTCCATGTACATCGAGGGAATATCCAGTTTCTCGGCGCAGACCATGGATTATCATCTCGACATGTACTTTTATCAGGTAAATTTGGTTTACCAATGTTACGACGATGTTGTAGTAAGCAATTGAAAAATAATCTTTTCTAGGAATGGGATGACCCGAGGTTAGCTCACAATGGAAGCGGGCCTATGCTAATACGGGACAAAATCATCTTCAAGAAAATGTGGCACCCTGACGCGTATTTCGCCAATGGTAAGTCAGCTTTGTTCAACGTTTGATTTGAATCCAATTTGAGAGGAAAAGTTAGTTTCAAATTAATAATTTGTTGTTTCAAACTTTATAAGCGCAACACTTAAGGTGCGATACACAGATTTTCTTCAAAATTTTTATGCGTGGTCTTCTGAATTGCCAATTCTTGAAAAGGTTAGCTCCGATTTGCAAGTTAATCCTATACATTCATGATCCTTACACTTGAGGCCATCAAAAATCATATTTTTCGGTCATACTTCGAACAAAAAAATCGATTTTCGAAGAAAAATGTTATCGAGGTCCTGTAAAACCTTATAAAATCGTTTTATTACTCTCTTATTTTCAGCCCGGTATGCCAGTTTCCATTCCGTAACCGAAGACAACTTCCTTGTTTGGGTCTATCCAGATGGCCATGTTTGGTATGATTGTCGAATCTCCCTCGTGGCCATATGCATGATGGATTTGTGGTAAGATCACATGACCATAAACAAGTTTTCTGTTTAGGAAGTACCCATTGGACGAGCAACAATGTAATCTCAGGATATTGTCATGTAAGTCCTTTGTTTCGGAACCTACCTCCGGATATTCTATACCTAAAGCAATTCCTCATATTGCACTTTAATCATTGCTGTTGCAGATGCCTATCCGGAGTCTCAAGTTCGTCTCCTCTGGTCCACCTCCATCAATCCACCAATCGATCGGGCTGCGGGTATTCGAATGCCCGACATGAGGTTAGTGGATATAAAGACGGGTATCTGCGATGGGACGTACGCCACGGGGAAATGGAGTTGCATGACCGCCGAGTTTTATGTACAAAGAGAAATGATGCACCATATTATACAGACCTACGTCCCGACGGCGCTGATCGTGGTCATTTCGTGGTTTAATTTCTGGTTAGATATTGACTCTGCGCCGGCACGGGTATCACTTTCAATTACCACGGTAAGTCACAGTTCAAGAAAGCTTGTGTACCTTGATGTCCAAATTTCTAACCTCTTCTTTTAGCTCTTGACCATTGCCACTCAAGCTAATGCCGTCAAACTCGCCCTACCTGAAGTCTCATATATGAAAGTAAGTGTATTTCTTTTTATCCTTAACAGCTTTTCTTTCAGGCTATTGACTTTTGGCTTGGTATGTGTATGACCTTCGTGTTTGGAGTCATGATTGAGTTTACAATATGCCATTTTGCCAAGAATCAGGAGCTCAGTATGGGCTCTCCAAATGCTCCAAATCTAATAGTAGACTCCACAATGTCCACTTTATTCGACACTTCTTCCAACCTCAATGATTCGATAAAACGGTTAAAGGAGAACAACGCCGAAGCAAGAGACCGTTTCTTTAAAGGAATTGATCCAAATGCTCTACCTTCAAGGAACGGACGAACCTTAAGGCCGGACGAACCAGATATACACACGATTCAACCGATGCCGGTGGATATGGAGCCAATGCTGAAGAGTCTTAGTTCCTACGGAAGTCATAATGGGGATGCCCGATTGAATGGACTCCGAGATCCCATGTATCCAAGGATGCATTCTCTGGATACGTTGCATATGACCGAGGAGAAGCACAATAGTATAAAACCAACGATGAACCGATTACGGAATCAGGTAAGGACGCGTTATTTTGTTACAAACTTTTGACTTTTTGTGTAAAGAAATTTTCTGTCGACTTTTGCAAAGAAACACTCATGTTGCTTGTGCGATAAAATTCAGGACCTGGACCCGCCAGCAATCACATTAAAGCCCAATTATCGTCCAATTAGACGAGTGCTAAAAAAGCACTTGATCTAACAGTTCAACAACTCTTTAATCGCTCTCCATTCGATTTGATTTACGTCAAACAGCGTCAAATGTTGTGTAATCTGTTGACCCGGACGTGAGATGGTTGTTAGGAGGCGATAAAACGGATCTGGCCGTCTTTTGATTACTTTTTGCAAGAAAAATTGATAGAAAAACATTGAAGGTCTTGAGGGCTTTTCACACGGACCAGGAATACAAACGAACATGGCGTATTGATTAATCGAGATCATTAGTTAGACTGGGCATTCCAGAGGTGACAGAACTTTCAAATATAACTTTTTAAAATTCAAAGGCTCGACGAATTCCAAACAGGAAGAAAAAATCTAAAAACACGTAAATTTAATAAAAAAAAACAAATTTTAGGTTCGAAATCGAGCAATCAGTTGGAAGAATGCACTGTGCAATCTTCGCGGACGTCGGGTTGCCAACAAAATCGATGAAAATTGCCGGTACATCTTCCCCTTGGTGTTTGTGGTGTTCAATATCTTCTATTGGAGCTTTTACTTGGTTATCAACTGAATATTTTAACTTCCCCCCCCTCCCCCCCACCAGCTCTCTCAAGTCTTTCTCAGGCGCCTCTCAAATTGAAAATCTCGGTTTTACTTTTACGAATATTCAGGTCTAAGTAATTTACAACAGAATTCCGTATATATCATTACAACGGTTATTACTCTCTTATGTGTAACGTTTACAATACGCTGACTATACAGTCATAAAAATTTTACAATGAATTTTAAATTATAATAAACACTTTTGCCATCACACTTTACTTTATATTTGACATGTTAAGATTGCTAAGGAGCAATTGTGGAGATAGTAAGAACACTGGAGGCATGACTATTGCTATTAATGTGACTTAGTAAGCAGAACAATATATTTCCAGCGACTAGGGATACGGCCACGATCATAAAGACGACGTGGAACTCTTCAAAGGTTCCGTTTGGAGCGATATTTGGGATTATAACGGATAAAATAATGCACACGACGACATTTACAATCTATAAAGACCGTATATTTCAAGCAGTACGCTAACTTACATGAACAGCCCCGATAAGCCATGTTCCTTGTTGGACAAAAGCCGGGGATTTCATAAATCCACCAGCATTAAATCCTCCCAATATAAACACTAACACAATGGTTAACAGTCTCGCCTCGTCACTCTTCAATCCCGTCGCCTCCCAAACCAAAAGTGCCGCAGGGCCAAAGAAAGCCAAAGAATTGAACATTCTAATTTGCCAAGAAAGAGGCATAAAGGTGATCTTCTGAACCAAGAAACCCGAGAGAACTTTAACAAAGAACTTTAACTTGATATTATTTACTATTTTAACACGCATTTACCTGTGCCGCAATAACTCCACCAACAATTACTCCAGCGTTTTGCATTCGAATACCATGCGCTGACATCAGGAAGAGCTGAAGGAACTGCACAGCAAAAATAACTAGCATTGAATTCGCAGCCGAAGCTATTAAAACTGCCCAGGTTGTGCTTTGTCTCAAGCGATAAGTTAGCCCTGAGAAATTCAATTTACTTCTCGCCATGTTCGATTTACGGAATACTGTATTTTCTCTGAAATCACGTAAATATGAAATAACTTAGTCACTTACTTGTAGTTTACAGTCCACATAAGCCAAAAGAAGGTTGAGATTCCAGCATGTGCATAGAATACAAGCGGCCAACCATAATGTTTTACAAAATATGAACTGAGAGGAATACTCAGCAAACCTGACAATTGCGGAACACCCATAAATATACTCATGAACACACTATTCTCTGCTAAAGTTGACCAGTAAGTCATAAACAAGGCTATCGTCGGGAACAACAAAGAGAAAACAAGCCCTTGCACAAGCCGAATTGAAACCACCAGCCAAAAGTTTTCCTCCAGAATTAACGGATGGGATGCCGTCGCAATTATAGAAGCTAGCGTCACCGTGCTATAGACAGGGCGCGAGTTATAATTTCTAAGGCACCATTGAACCGGGTAAGTAAAGAGAAGCCCTCCAACCAGAGGAGCTGCAAATTTACGTCTTCCCAGTCTTCCTTCAACTTACCTGCATACAAAACGCCTTGCTGTATCGGTTCATAAAATACCTTCAATCCAGCCTTCTGGAAGTATTGAGTCTCTTCTCTGATTTGGGTTGTATTGGATCGTGATCCTGTTGCAAGATGGAGATCGGAAATTGTAATGATTGCAACGTTCCAACTCAAGATACTGTAAAGACAAGAATCGTAATACCGGAATGACGTCACAATCTCTACCTTCCCACCAAGAAACAAATCAAAAGGGATGCCTGCACAGCCACAACCACATTTGCCCTGTTACCGTAACCAACGGACTGCTTACCACTCATCTCGGGACTTGAAACCACAATGAGGGGCACCATCTTCTTCTTCGCATTTATCCGCACAAAGATTTGAATCTGCTCCCATTCCCGCCTCTTAAACGTCAAGCCTACCGGATACACGACTGTCTTAATCCGTTGGTTGCTCTCTTCAAAGTTCTAGAAACAAGAATGTCTTCGGTATTTCGTTGCCTAATATTCGTATCGAACGTCACAATTACGAATATCCGGCGGCTTTATATTTCAGGCTGTATTCCGAGAAAAATACGCCAAATGTTAACTGCACATGTACGGTCCCGATTACCCATCACCAGGGCAGCGAATTATAGTTCTATGGTTTTTAATTTACCTGCAAAGTATACGACGACTTATACTTCTAGCCGGATGTAATACGTTCAGTCCGGACAGGCTTCATCGTGTAAGATGAACCCTTACCGTTATTGCGGCACAGGTCCTTTGATTTTTTCAGAAGTTGTAGAAAAGTTATATTTTACATGAATAAAAGTTGCAGCTGTCACGTTTTAACTTGAAAGAAATGACAGCTGAACCCCATCGAGGAGTGCACGAAAACGATGAATACTAGCGGCTTTGCGTTGTGATATAGATGGCCGGGAATGAAAACCCCAGGCCCGGCCGGCCTTCCAATTTCAATTTTTGAGCACCGCTGACCACCCCTGCCTATTATTTCCACGACAAAACGGCCAATTTACAACATCTTTATTAGGTTATTCACAGGTACACCGCTACTATAATACAAATTAATGAAATATAATGGAAATATGAAAACATATTTGAAAAATAGTTAGCACATACACAAATCCAATCTTGCTCTCTACTTCTTCCTCCTCTTGTTGGCTATTCCATATCCACGGGTGTTGAAGAGCTGAAACAAGTATTCAATGCAATACAAAAAAACCAATCGATATTTAATCAAAGAACCCACATTATTCAAAAGACGTGTGGTTTTGTCGAATTCCTGTTTGTCTCTCAGAATTATTTCGACCTTCTCCTTCCTATTCTCCCGAATCCTGATGAACTTGAGCCTTCGTTCAGGGACACAAAACTCCAACGAACTGTATACATCGTTAGTGACCAATGTCCGGTCAATTTCTGTGCCCTCTAGGTCGTTATGCAGGACGATGTTTCTTCCGACATCGAGCGCAGCATGGAACAACGTCTCTTTTCTCGGAATAACCTAAATAATATAAAACAATACAGTATGACAACATACGAACTTTCCAGTTTTGCATTCCTCCACTGAGAAGAGAGTTCTTATAGGCTCGAAGGCCGGCACATCCAGTTCCCGTGAAGAAAACAGTCGGTCCTTTTTCTCTTCTACTTTTCCGATCTTGAATTCTTCCGCTTTATCCCATTTCTCCAGCATAACGCGCCACATAACTTCGGCGTTGATCTCCTCATTGATTCGGATTTTTTCACGGAGGGCATCGTTTCTCGGACAATCTTCAAAATCAGCGAGCTTGACGGCAGGGACCTTCAGCTGTTTCTTCTCTTCCCTTTCGCTCAGGCTGCCGGAAGTTTTGGACGGCGGATTCTGAATTAGAAAAAGTTAAATGTGAAAAACGCATTTAAAAGTCTCTAAACCACCAAAAACTATGTGAAAGAAATAATTTTCAACTACTACTTTCGAAAAAAAACCATAGTGCACAAGTTACGGTACAAAAATCAGTAATTCCAAAAAATAGGCCTAGAACAAGAACCTCAAGGTAGATCTCTGTCTTCCAGCTTCTTATCCTAATTACTCACAAAAAACAACTCAAAAAACAATGTTAACATACGATATGTGGTGATTCCAGCCGTCGGATGAGGGACCAGTTGTCATTTAGATCGAGGGATAAGGTGGCGGATGAGTTCATTCTGTTGAATTATGCCGCGATGGAGGAACAGCTAACTCTGAGGAAGATCAGAAGACGATAATAACTTTTTTAAACAAAATTTTGTTGATTGGTTCCCGCGACCTTTTCGTATAAAACAATATGCGGGCTGCACTTTGTGGGAATAATTAGGACGCGACTCGAATTTCATTTCTGCGTTTCTTCTTGAAAATTATTTTTTGGTTCACTTATTTATTTTTAGCTGAACCAGTAGGTATTTTCCGCGAATATGGCTGATATCAAGCCAAATCATACGCTCTACGTGAACAACTTGAATGAGAAGGTGAAGAAGGATGGTAAGTTTGTTTGTTGTCGTGTATTTGCTTTTTAGAGCTCAAGAAGGCCCTATATGCCATCTTCTCTCAGTTTGGACAAATTATTGACATCATGGCATTCAAGAGTTTGAAAATGAGAGGACAAGCTCACATTATTTTCAAAGAAGTTAGTGCAGCTGCTACGGCCTTGAGATCGATGCAAGGATTTCCTTTCTACGATAAGCCAATGAGGATCCAGTTTGCGAAGGACGATTCTGATGTGATCGCAAAGGCAAAGGGAACTTACGTGGAGAGGTGAGGAAATTTTGATATTTTTTGTTTGGAATTTTAGATGCAATGTGGACTTCATCAAGAATTTTTTTATACCTAAAATTGTGTCCGAGGCCTTTTAATGCTGGAAAAATGGATTTTTGCCTGAATGAATGTTTATTTCCTTCTATAAGATGTTTTCTTTCAGAGAACGCAAGAATATTGCTGCTCCTAAGAAGAAGAAGCGTCCAGTCGATCAGCCCAAGAAAACTAAGTCCGGATCAGCTGCCGCCCAACCCAACAAGATCCTTTTCGTCCAAAATCTGCCGGAAGACACCACCGAAGTCCTAATCCGAACTCATTTCGCTCCATTCCCTGGTCTCAAGGATATTCGTTTGGTCCCCAATCGTCCTGACATCGCTTTTATCGAATATGATTCCGAAGAAGAGGCCACGGCTGCCAAGAAATCCCTGAACAACTTCAAAGTTACTCCCACCAACGCAATTCGAGTGGAGTATGCGAATAAGTAAGGTCTTGTTGCTGAAACGTGTTAATTATTTGGTTTTTCAACTTCTGATTGGTCTCTTTGTTATTTTTATGGTAATAAATTATTGAAAATACCGAATGATTGATATGTAGATGATATATGTGATGTGCACGGAGTGCACTCCGAAAGTCCAACCCTAGTTGACCGGTCGGTATAGGCCGAAGAAAAATTCCTGCCGTTTCTGAAGTTGGCCTACTCCTGATTAGTCCTGGTTTTGAACTAACTTACTCTCATTTCATTTTGTCGTACTTAGAAAGTGCGTATTTATACATACATAGCTTACTACAAGTAAATCAATCTACAAGCAGCTACCGTAACACTTTAGGCTCCGGAATATCAAGATGAATTTACGAAAATCACATAACTTGGTACTCCGATTGAGACTAGGCACATAGGAGAACATTTCCTCAATCCTACTCCCTTGCAGAAAAGGCCCAGCCCTGTAGATTTCGTTCTTCAAAAATTCTCCAAAGAGGGCAAAAACGTACAGGATGTTTTACATTGAATTTTTCAATCAACACTTCTTTTTTGTAATGTTAGAGCCTATGAAAGCTACTGTAGAAAGTATACGGTAATTTATCTCAAGTAGATGGCTGTAGTTGATACAGTACATTATGGCTTGTTTTACATGTATATATACATATTAGCTTTGATAAGAAGGGATTAAGATTTTTTTTGGCGGAACAAAAACGTTTACTCAGAAGTTTTTTGAAAATAATATTACCCTCATGTACAAGTGGTTTGAGACGGCTTGCAAAAGTACTGTGTGGAAATCGTATGCACTGGAAGTACTTTCTATTACCACAGGGGACACGACAAAAAGGTCGACTGGGTTTGAACTCGGGTTGAACTTTCGGATTACCTATAGTATTTATTTATGTCATATCTTTATAAATCATTTGCTTCCTCGGCTCGCCTGGACTTTTTGGACCAGACGGCGACATTTTATACTGTTATTGTTTAAAGTGGTGTCAAATTTATTCATGTCTGATGTGGTTTTTAACGGAAATAGGTGAGAGAGCTTTTTCTAACCTTTTGAATTCTAGTTTATTTAGCTATCTCATAGTCCCATACTACAGAATACAAAGCTATGCAGAATCCTGGTGTCAAAGTCCATTCTGAAATTTGCAATTAATGCGTCACCCACAGCTTCCGTAATTCCACCTTTCATCAGATTTCCACACTTTTCCGGGCCTCTGCAAACACGGCCAAGTTAAATTGTCGAGGATGAAACCGTCCTCGTACTTTAAGAAATGAACGCTGGGACGTGGGAATTGAACCCACTTTTTAAATGACATAACACCCTCAGTTTTAAAGAGTTTATAAACTGCTAGTCATTTAGTCTCTTCTTACCTTTTTAGCAAATAATGTCATCTTAGATACGACGGAAGACGGGCTTATTACCAACAACAACTTCCGTGATTTCTGCACTTTCAGTTCGACCAGGTCTTTATATAATACTGCCATTTTTAATAGATGTTATTGGCCAATGCCCTTCCAGATGTAATCAATTTGGTACAGACTATAATAAGTACTGTCTCCTCGCTATATATGATTTCATTTTTTCGAGGTTTGTAGGTAATTCCTTGCAAACATAATGGGTCTAATTGGTATGAACTAGTGCATAAAAGTGGTTTGAAGTCCATTTTCCGAGCTTCCAAACTCGATTTGGGGCTTGCGCTGGCTTCTGGGCTTGGGAAGTATTTATTATAAGTGAAGTTGAGATTTAGGAGCTGTCAGATTAAAATTCTTATTTCCGATGCTCTCGACATGATTTTTTTTTTGCAATGTAAAGGTTTAGTTTGTTATTACCGATTAAGTCAGATGTTTTTAATATTGGAATACGGTCACAATAAATAGAAAAGTGGTTTGATTGTATTGCCTCTTGCATATTCCTCTTGAGCACAAGAATTTTAGAAGTCTGTCATCCCAGTTCAAAAATCCCTTATTCTCCAAAAAGCGAGGTCTTCGAAAAGCAAAACCCGATTGATTTCCAACTTTGTCTCCAGGCTCTATCTGATCAGTCCCTACCGAAAGCACCTATTAAAATGTGACAAAATATGTTGCCCTCGCTTTCTAATGTCTTTTACATTTATGCACTTATTAGTGATGCAGTTCTAATCCAGGTAGCTTAGGAAATCAGACGTCATGAAAGTGTTATATAGTGCATCGTGTTATTTACATATTTCATCTTCCTGCGTGTGAGACGACAAGACAGACAAGGAACCAGGAAGAATTGTATCTTGGTTGCTACAATTTTCGTCGGATTTTCAAAATCGAAATGAGTTGTAGGAACCGGTCTCAATGATGGATGGCACTCAGATCTTTCTCACGTCAGGCCTTGACGAAACAGCAAAATTGTGAAAATTTGACATTTTTTTTTGTGATTTTCATTGTGAAAGATCTGTTCGGCATGGATTTTATTTGTTCTATAAAAACCATTCTCTTCAAAAAGATAGGTTTTCTGGCCATCTCTACATATTGACTTTTCATCGTCCATTGATTGCATCTTTGCAGAACATTGAATATCTTAGTTCCGCCAGCAACGTAACTGAGAATTTGCCCTTTTTTCAATTTCTTATCTAATGGAAAGTATCCCAAAAGTACATGTTCCTTGGTTAGAGAATCCAATGGGTTCGGCATTCTTAATAAAGCACCAATTTAATCTTTAAGTAGTACTTTAACTCCCCTTTCGCAAGTGTGTTATTATGGGAAGATATATAATTTTACATTGGTTTAGACACCAGTTAATCCAAAAATTGGCAAAGATTAGTATCCAAATCGGGGGGACAAGGAACGGTTTGGTCAGGCTTTTTACATTAGGGTTTCAGCTTTTGCTCGAACTTTGCAGATCCAGATATAATTTTTTTGTCATCTTTCAGCCTAAAAATCCCGATGGTGTTTGCAAAGCAAAAAAAAAAAGAAAAAAAAAAGTGTCGCGGTGATCACAGAACATTCTGATCTTAATTTTCTCCTAGTGGCATAAAAATCGGAGCACGGAGCATTGAACTTTGAGCACTTCTCCAATAAGACTACGTATAACTTGTGAAGAAACACAAGACCTTTACCTCATCCATTCAAGATAATTTTTTGCCAATTACATATACTTTGGTTCTGTGTACTCGATGACCCTCGAGAATAAGTTTAAGGTAATAAAAAAGGCCATCTGAGTAAACGTTCCTATTGACCTCAGTTTTGCTTGCCCACTAGAGACAATAAACATCAAAAGTCTAAGATTGGGGATGTTCTGAATAGCAGTTCTTAGGTCTGCCGAAGTGCACTTCCGCTTATAAATAACGCCGGAATTTTAGTTTTTCACGCTTTATGGCTGCAAATTTCGGCCATTTTACTGGATTCGCACGTACCTACTGGTTACTTAGGTGTTTTTCTTGGATCTTGTTCATATTCTTCATAAAGCCCATATAACCCAAGTTTAGCTAAAATGTCATGTTTTTTGAGAAGGGATTATGAAGCTGGGTCATGGTTGATTAACTTTTAGAGCTCATCAAAAGTGAAAGTATACTCTCTTACACTTTGTAGTATACTCGTATTTGTGACCTAAACGGGATGTGTGTCAATATATTTAGGGTCCAACTGGTCCACAAACATGTCTTTAGTCTGGTTTTCCTAAAGCCTTTGCGCCGGGCGAAGACCCCGTTAGCAATTGGAATTCATTTTTGACTTTAGTTTGTGCCGTATTTATTACAACTCAAATTTCTTCACAAGGTATACCTTGTACATCTTCTACAGAAGATAAAACATAGTTTGGTACACTTAGGCAATGTTAAATAGTTAGTTTGTCGCATTCTATGAAGGAGGCTTGTTACAGAAAGACTTTGAAAGTTTATAAATAGCTTAAGTTTGGCCTGCACGTTCCTATGTAATGCAATATATTTGTATAAAATTTCTTTATACAACGGATCGCCATACTACGAACTTTGTCTATGACAAATGATTTCCCAAATCCCTAGCGTGACTTTTTATTAAACGACGCTATGCTCAGCGGGCCACTTTCAGATTCCTCACGGATCTTGCGTGAGTGTTCTATACAGTTTATCTGGCATATATTTGAGAAAATTATAATCCGAGTCTTATCAAAAGTAATCAAAATACCCCTATAAGTTTATAAAAAATCTTTGTTCCCGAAAATTTTTTATACAGCCATTTGACTGCTTAATTTCACAAGTTTTAAATAGACTACGGTATTATTTAAAACTTACAACTTACAAAGAGAAGACCGTTTCTTACGTTTCCACTCAGAAATTGCTTTCCTTTTTCCCAAAAGTTTGTTGGTGACAATTCCGTCTCGAGAATATAATTTATTCCACGAAATAAACCTCATCCTTATCCTCCTTCTCTAAATCAACATTCCCTTTTATTTACTTTTAATGTAATTAAAACAGCAACCTTATACTTGAGTGTTACTTAGAAGACGAATTCAAAGATTTGGAGATTGTATTTTTAACATTTGTAGGCTTAGAATTACATCGTGCTACACAAGGATGGTTGCAAGATCTTTGATCTCATAAATTTCAACGGAATATTTTCAGCTTGGAGTGTTTTGTAAGCCCAGTCTTCTTTCCGGTGTCTGATCTTTCCTCCCGGTATTACATGTATTACATTCCTTCCACCTTTAAAAGCCAATTCCCGCCCTTTTTTCCTGAAATCGGATCGTATTTACGGAAATTTTTGACAACATGTACATGTTTACGTCGCCGATTTCAGCATGATTGACAGGTACACAATCACCTTGGTCAGCCTAGTTTTTGGGATTTTGCACTTTTGTGTGGCTATAATGGGAAGTCTGGCACTAATGCGCACCGTCCGAAATTTGCATAAAAACCACAAGTAAGAGCGTATTCATAGAAAATTCAAGTTTATCTCGTGATTTAAGACTATTACTCATTAATCTCCTGATCGGATGTTATATGTCATCAACAGGGACATTAGCATCAAGTGTGGTGCGAGTATTTATGTTGAGCAGTAATCAGTTCACTCTACGAACCAATATTGGATTCAGGATACTGAATATGTTCGAATCGTTGGGTCCTAATATCTTCAGGTAATTTTGATTTTTTGGCAGTCTCTGAAGCTCTATGACATTTTTTTTGAAGAATTTGCCTGTTAACTAAACCAACAAGCTTGACTTCGAGAGCCTCTCTTAATAATACGGTGCTGCATATCTCTGATATTACACTACCGAAAATCTCTTTCAGGCTAACATTTATCGCGTTCACCATCGAAAGAGCGGTAGCAACAAGGAGAATCTACAGTTACGAGCTCAGTTCGCCCGTCCTTGGCTACGTTCTCATGCCACTTAGCTTGATGTGTGCCTTTTCTTTATCATTCAGCTACAATATATGTAAGTAGTTCCGTTAACACTTCCAAACACTAACGTTTTTGTTGTGCGTACTCTTGTGGTTCGATGTAATCCGTCTTGTAAATCTCTAGATTCTTCAGTAAATGCGTCCCTAACAATTCTTTACGCGATCTACATATCGCTGGACACCTTATCCTTGGCCGCGACCTTGATTTTAATCGCGTTGAATCAGAAATGGCAGTCCATCGAGAACATATCAACCTATTATAATCTCAGCATGCGATATCAGGTGAGCTTTCATGTACCTTAGGAAATTTTTTTATTATTTGAGCTGAATTTTTGATATTTTATCTTAAAACAATGTAAAAAATGCTCACAAATTGACTCTTTAGTCGTTTCAGATCTTCGAGAACATCAGAATCCTTCTCTTCCTGGTTCGCATAATTTCCTTAGGATTTACGGCCGCCTTAATGGCCACAATAAGCTCATTAACCATCAGGAAATTGCATTTTACTCATTATACTTACTATGCGAGGGTTTCATACTTTGGAGTAAGTCGATTTCATCAAAACGAGACATCACACTCATTAATTTTAGATCTGGAACATCTACGGACTAATAGCGGGCCTTTTATTAATATACGAACTATGCCCAAAGTTATTATTGTTTGGTCCGTTGAAGAGAAAACATAAATATGGCCTTATCCCACACGACTTGATTATCAACTCGGATCGCTACTTTATCAGACTCAATTCGTCCTGGACGAAAAAAGCTCAAGCCATGAACTTGTGAATTGATAATTGTTCTAAAACACAACTCGAAAAACGGTGTAATACATGTAAATAAATTTGTATTATTCTTTCATACCCTGGGGATTCAACTAGACAACTCTTCCAGACAACCCTCTTTCGGTACAATTTGGAAATACCAATAAAACTGCAAAGAATTACCTGATTTACCTTATAGTTTATATACAAAAACCACCAAAAAATATTCAACAAGTGTCCTAAAAATCGCCAACTCCCCAAGGCTTCGGAGATTCGTCCCTTATCGATCGGTCGTACTGCCAGAAGTTTCGACCGCCATAAAACTGGTCGATCCAGGACGAAGTTGCCTTTTCGATCATCTCGCCCTTGGCACGTACATCTGGAGGTAATGTCCCTTTTTCACGCATCCTTCGGTACCTGCAACAAAATAGAATCAGAACTTTCAACATCTTTAAAATTTTAGGCATAACCGTGTCTAAACATCAGAAGCACATAATACATGATAAGCTTACCAAAAATTGTTGATTGGATGATCTGGACCTTTCCAAAAATAAACCCCAACGTTATACACGATTGTCCACGCCAATGTCGCGCCGATAACCCGAGGGAGCAAAGAATTTGTGGGTATTTGAGCCTGAACCTTGAAGTTTTCCCATTTTGCCTTCTGACGTTTGAAGAAAGCAAATTTTACTGTGCCGGCTCGAAGAACTTTTGGATTGCCTTCCGACATTTGCAGATGCTGGCGATCGAGTTCGAGATCTCGCCAAAAATAATTTCCAAAAAATAATTTTATTGTGACAGAATGCCAGAAAAACGAAAACGCGTCGGGAGAGAGCGGAGGGGAGAGTGGCGCTTTTTTTAGAGCGTCTTTTTTGTTTCTTCGGTTGCGTTCCTCTTCTACGTCTTCCCCCACTACCAACACTAACCGCAGCGACGACCTTATTCACCGTCTTCCATCTCCAATAAGCGCTTTCCAGTGGCATTCGCCCCTTTTTCTCTCTTATGGATAAGATCGAGGTGGGGAAAGAGGGGCAGAGACTGGCCGGGATTTTGTTTTGCTGCCCTCGGGGCACAAGGCCGTTAGCCTCTGTGATATTTTTGTTTGTGGCCGCTTGTTTATTCCGAATGTTCTCGGCGCTCTCCTCTTTTTGCGTGCTCTCTGATCGTGTGTAGACGGGGGAAATTGAGTAGAAGAGGGTCGGAACGTTCGCTTTCCCTCGAGATCTCGTGCTTCTCCTGTTGTTGTTCTATTTCGCGGGTTGTTGATGTAATGCATCGTGATTTTGTTATGATAAACAGTAATTTTACCATATGGTTTTAATTTCAGATCGAGGTGAGAGTTTGAGTACAGATCGGATTAGTGCCGAAATTTGGACCGAAGGTCACATCTCAACTTGAATTTTAGTGTAGTATTGATTAGAGTCCAACCACGGCACGATAAACCAGGCGGAGCAACGTTTTATATTGTTATTGACACCAAAATGACCCGTGTATTACGACGACAGAATCAGAATGTCGAACCTCGTCCCAAGAAGGCGAAGGTCCAGAAGCCGGACAAATCTGAGGGGTCACACAAAATTACGGAGTTCTTTCCAGTCCGGAAAAGCAACAGGATCACCGGGAAAGCATTGCAGGTAATACTTTATATTATTTATGTGTCATTCTTTAGTAAACGAGACTTCTCGTCTTCCTGTGTTTTTTATTACCCAAAACATTGATAAGGAGTCTGTGTTTACAATATTTAACTGTCGACTGTTTCAGCGAGAGAATATGAGGCAATTGGAAGAGATGGTGATGACCGGAGCCAACGAACAATACCTCCAAGTGTCCATCTGTGGCGAAAAAGGACGTGGGTTGATCGCGATGAGGCCGTTTGTTAGAGGGGAGTTCGTAGTGGAGTATAAAGGTCAGTTTTGAATAATAGTTATTTTTGGCTCACGGATAATCTATTTTTATATCGGAGCATGTTTCTTTCGATTAATGTTAATTTATTCTGTTTCTAGGTGACCTAGTCGACTATCAAGAAGCCGTTCGAAGGGAAGTGGAGTATGCCAAGGACCCAAGTATAGGATCGTACATGTATTTCTTCAAATACCAAGAGAGGCGGATGTGTGTGGATGCGACGGCCGAGACCCCATACAAAGGAAGGCTTCTGAATCACTCCGTTCTGTTCCCTAATTTGAGACCGAAAGTCCTGGACTTTGGCCATTTCATCTGTGTGGGATTGTTCGCGATGAGGGACATTGAAGTTGGAGAAGAACTACTCTATGATTATGGGGACAGGACTCGATGCACGGTGGAGAAGAACCCTTGGCTTCTGAACTCGTGATTCGAACAGATTGTTTAGCAACGTAGAGATGATCTAGATGTTGTATAGTGTGACTAATAATCCATAACACTGATTCTCAATGTTTTCTAGAGTACTGCTCTATTTATTCGCCCCTTGCTTTAAGTTATAATTGACCCAAATATTGACTGCTTTTTGAAGAAGATGGTATCTTGTTTGGAATATTTCATGCGAATATCATTTGTGAGATCTTCTCGTCCCCCAAGTGTTCCCATCTTATTCCCCTTTCCCCGCCTAAAAACGCACTTTGTAAGCTCTGTCCTCAGGGCCCAAGATATTATGATGTAAAGGTCTAGCTGTACAGAATACTGGTATAATTATTGTCTTCAAAGTGTCTCTTCTCATCTCTACACACATAAGGGTCGTTTGTTCTTCTGTTCTTCCCACATCTCCGAGGGATATAATTAACGAATTCAGTAGTGCTACCTTAATATAATGTCATATTCCTTGTTTTTTTTGTCTTGTCACCAAAAAGACAATGCATTTCGTACCGTATATAAATCTTGGAATATATCCTCTGATTTTATATTGTCAAGTAAACTAATACCATAAAAATGGTCGGTTGAGAAGATGGGTAATATAAAAGTGGAATTTAATTTTCGACTTAAAAGTTAGTTTTTCCATACCCAAGGTTCAAACTGTAAGAAGATGACAAATAAATCCAAGAATATTGGAGTAAAATACAAATCCCCCAAATATTTACTTCGTCTTGGTTTTCCCGATGGTTTTAAGGAAAATAAATATGATACCCTTGACTTGCCTTACAATTTACTGTTTTCTGACGTTAACAACACTGTATTACCTCGGACCAGACTTGATTTTCCCTGGGAATCAGGGGTGGTCAGTGGGCCGGCCCGTGACGGGCCGGCCGGGCTCAAAAATGGAAAATTACAAACGGGCCGGGCCCGTCACGGGCCGGGCCGGGCCGCGGGCCTGGGGTTTTTTCCGGCCCGGCCCGTCTAAATTACAATGCCAAACCGTTGGCATTCATTGTTTTCGCGCCGGGAAAATTAATTGATGTTGTTATAGTTGCTGTTTCTCAAGTTCTAAAACGTTTACAAGTCTATAGTTCCATTATAAAACCACAAAACTATCACATTGATCCTTTACTAGCTATATCAACGCCTTTTTGCCTAAGTTTTGATCCCAAGCTTGGGCGCAGTTCGCAGAACCCTCTATAAACGGGCCTGCACGGGCCGGGCCCGGAAAAAGACTAGACGGGCCCGGCCGGGGCGGTAATTAGACGGGCCGGGCCGCGGGCCGAAAATCAGAAAAATAGGGTCCGCTGACCACCCCTGCTGGGAATAGTTGTTAGAGAGACTTGACTCTTGTGTCAAGTCTAACGGTATTTATGGGAAAAGAAACGAGAAAATGCGCTCTCTCTCCCGAAAAGGAACCCGTTTCTTTTCCGAAGGTGAATATAGGGGAATGCCGGGAGAGGGAAGCTGTCTTCGGAATATTATTCCCAGTTCAAGGTACGCTTGAGTTCCGAATCATCTTCTGATGTGTTTGGAAGGGACTTTTTGGAACTGTTCCTGGGGATTCCGGGAACGAATGGTTTATTTAGGCTGGTTGGTCGTACGGGGGTGCCTTTGAAATGAAAAGTAATTTTATTTATTATTTCTTGTCAGAATGGGAAGAGATGTTCATTTGTTTAGGGTCCATAAAGGGTGAGATGTTCGACTGAGCCGTTCTCGCGCAAATTTGATGTTATTTTCGTTGAAGAAACATTCTTTGAACAAAATGGAAACCGCCGAACTACCTGAATCTTCTCAGGAAACGATGACTCGATGGTTTTCGGAAGTAATTGAAATCTAATTTCTCGAGCGCAGTCACCAAAGCTACACGTATTTTGAGTTGAATCATGCGCGGAATCTCGTTCACCATCAACAATGAACGCCTCGATCAAAGCGTAATTCAATTCCAACATTTTTTCTCAATTTTATTTGTGCATTTTTCGAATTTACTCTATTAAAACCAGACGAGAAGACAAACACAAGGACTCTGTCCACAGTTAAAGTGCGATTTTTAGCTAAGCTACTGTACAGTCAGACAGACAGTGTACTTTTTAGAGGATGCATAGAGTTAGGACAATCACTGAGACAGAGTTCGAACCCAAACAAAAGACCACGAGGAATTCGCATATAGATTTAGAAGATTAGAAGACTTTCCCGGATAATTTACAGTAAGATGAGAGGCAATTACTGGTTTCCATTTGACCCTGTCCGCCGTGGAATGATGGCGTTCGGCCTCCACATACCACCGTTTCGTTTTAAAGACCATTTTTGAGTTTACATTTGGGGGAATTTACACATAAATTATATTGTTATTGCAAGAGATAACAAAAAAATTACCGTTACAAACGAATGGAGCAAATGATTGATAGAAAAATAAGTGAGAATAAATTACAAACCTATAAAACAGATACAAAATTATCGAAGAGGTGGAGTGGGGGCTGGTCGAGCCGGGATTTGGGGGCGAGAATGGGCGGGTGGTCTAAAAAATGATCGAGATTAATACAAATAATGGTAAATCCATATAGGCAAGTACAACAAATCGCAAAATAATTCGTTCCAGACGTCAAAAACCATCTGAAATCTCCAAAAAATATAATATTTCCTCTAATATAACGACAATATTTCTTCAAAAAAGGCCCAATCACAATCACAATATCGAGAACCATACAGTAACCAGACTCACTACAACCTCTTACCCATCGGGGTTATGCTCTGTCTGCAGTGCTGGCTCTCTCTCTAATGGTTCGGCGGAGGACGCCTAAGGAAAAATAAACGATAGAAATGCAATGTTAAAAAGGTCTGGATGGATCAAGAACAAGTATAAGTGATCAAATAAAAAACAGAGCAAGGGAAATAGAGAGCAGACAAGGACGGAATCAGAAGCAAAACATGGACTGTCATCAAGCGGAATATTATACAAGATGTATAACATTCCTCTGATGACCATCTCTTTTCTCAAAGCCAGACCAACTCAAACTGTCTCCTTTTAATCAATAAAAACCCGTTCCCCGACTTACTGAGGTGGTCCTCCAGGTCCAGGCATGGCATGGCCGGGTGGGGGTGGACCCATTGGGCCTCCGGGCATGGGCCTCGCTCCTGGCGGGGGTGGACCCATTCCCATTCCAGGGCGTGGTGGGACTGGGGCGGGGCGACCTCCTGGGCCAGGTCCGAAACCAGCGCCTGGCGGGATGGGAGCAGGACGACCTCCGAGAGGGACTGGGGATGGGTTTCCTATTCTCATATCTCCCATCGAAGGCATGGCCATGGTTTGCATGTCTCCAATATTCGCGTCTTGGATGATACGGAGCGCTTCCTTGCACGCTTGATACATTCTGATGGTCTCCATTCTTTTCTGGGCTTCGAACGGCGACTCTTCCATCAGGGCATCGGTGTCGTGCCCGCTTTGATAAAGATGGGCTGGGAGCTCTTCCCGGAGAAAATCACTGACCTAAAACAAAACCAAAGTCTTTCAAAATTCTTTCTCTTACCTTGTTCACAATCAGAAGCATGATCCATTTTGGGACCGAGTCACAGATGGACTTAACGACAATTCTCATGTAAGAGTCGACCAAATTTCTGATAGTTTCCACTTGTCTTTCCAATTGGGGGTCCATGCTCTTTTCCTCGGGCACCTGACCATTCTACATATAAAAATACACAAATTACGACAGATTTACAACGATCATTAGTGAAAAGAAAATTATTTTATGAGGAAAAGTTAATTTGGAATTGGCAAATAAATAGTGCAGCTCTATTCCCTTCAAGAATATTTTAAGCCCTCTCAAGCTAAAATCATCGTGCTTTTGAAAGTTGAACACAAAACAAAACTGAATGATACAACCACCACCACCACTACAATATAAAAAAGTAAACTTCTCTTGGTGGAATTGTAAACTGACCTCTTGCTGTAAGAATGACACAGAATTAGACATTCGGACAGGGGACTTACCTCATCCGGGGCGGCTTGATTATTCTCTGGATAGACTCCGGCCCTGAGGAAGGAGGCTTTCCACGCATCCACCTCATCCAGATTGGTGGCACTCAATTCCAGTTGTTTGTAATCTTTGTAAATGTTCCTGAAACACTTATATTACACTTTGAAATCAACAAAAAAAAACAAAAAGCTCAAAGATAAAAAGCGATATTTAATGTTCTGTGACTAAAACGATGTTCAACTAGCAATGACAAGAGGGTGATGTAGCGGATTTAAAAACATCAAATACGACACGAACTGGCTACAAAAACTACACCACATCTATCTCCTACCTCCTGCAAATTTACGACGATTAATCCGTCCACAAAGGCGACAGTATGATAGAAATATTAATTAGTACTACTGTTTACGGCTACTTACTTTCCATCCGGATAAAACAAGGCGAACTTGTGCTGACGAGACATGAAGCCGGCTTCAAGATCTTTCAATTTGATTCCATCTAATTGCAGCATGTATTTCTTTTCTTTCTCCTAAAATTATCAAGTGTAATATAATCAAGTAAGGTCACACACTCCTGTAAAATCCCTCTTACTTCATCATCCTTGTACCAGGAAAGCGTATCCGAAGTGAGGACAAACCAGCAGTCCTTGGATCCCCGGACAAAGCTGATGTTGTGGACACTCAGCCACCCTTTTCTGATCACTTGGTTCCCGAGGTTCTTCTTGGATGTCGCTGAGCTTGACTTGGCTTCCGTGGGATTAAAATCTTCATGATGAGTGTTCATGTAGGCCAATTCAGCATCAACAATCATCGTGATGTGACCTTTGGCACTAGCTTCTTGTTGTCTCATATATCCAGTCACCGTGGATTCAATGACATCTCGGAGGCGAGGGTATCTGGTAACAGCTTCGGCACATTGACGGACGACATTCGCCAGTTCGGTGACCACAAGATCAACACATTTCATGCAAGGCTCCTTCAGACGGGTGATCTGCTTCTTCACAATGGCTTCGAAGGCCATATCAGGGGTGAAGAGACCCACTCTGAAAGGGGAATAATAATTATATTGCACATGACACATCAAAATTCAAATGTTATCTTGGTTATCCTAGTCCAATACAAGTCAGAGCCTCCCATCACTCACCGAATACCGTGGAAATTCCGAATCGCAATCTGAATTTCCCTTCGCATTTCCTTTTCATCGATATTCATCTTGACGATTTCAAACGGGAATCTCTCATGGAAGATTCTGTTGATTCTGGCACCACCACTAAGCTCATTCGTGTTCACTGAGGCAGTGCTGGACCCCGAGATACTTCTCTCCATATCCATTGTGAATGTCTGGATCATTTGCATCAATGCTTTGGTCTTCCTGGTGGGATCATTCACATCCAAATTCTTATATTCCGCGACCTCCTTTTCCATGGAATACAACTTCTTTTGGAGAGTGTCTCTCAGTGCTGGCAGCGTATCTTTGATATGATTGGTAAGCTGTTGATTGAGAGTCTTCTGAAGATAGGGGGTTCCGAGCCGATCGGCCATATGCCGATAGCCGGGATGAGAGAGGAAGAACTTTCTTTCGGCATCCAGAGCGGCCTTGATGTCTTTCCGGCCGACGATATCCTTCTGGGATCGGTTGATGACTCCGACGTATCCTGTAACATCAATACTGTTAGTTTTAGGTACCTAAAACATAACAAAAAAATGCAAAACCTTTACCTCTTCTCAGTGGGAACAGTCGATTCTCCAAGATTTCTCTGGCATCAGTTCCTTCGTCCATAAGATCGAGTTTAGTCAACACACCAATCGTTCTCAACCCTTGTGGATCAACTTCTCTCGCCAATTTCAAAGCATCAGAAGTGGCCAAGTCGGAGTTGGCTGGAGTTACCGCCAAAATCAGACAAGTTTCTCTGGCAATGTAAGTCAGGACCATGTCACGGATTTGCGTTTCAATATCGTGGGGTTGATCGCCGACAGGGACTTTGGTCAGACCAGGCAGATCGATAAGAGTCAAGTTCAAGACATGAGGAGAGAAGACCCTGAGATTGATAGGGACCGGAGAGATACCCTTGTTGGCACCGGTAATACGATCGGTTTCGTCTTCGATTTCTTTCCGAACATGATCAAAATCGACGAATTTGTGGCCTTTCTTGTGAAGAAATTCGGCGTATTCTAAAGAAAATACATAACGAAGATAATTACATTAACCCACCTGCTCGGTCATTGATAAGTTGGAGGATTAGAGGTCGACGAGTTACGATTCCACTACCTCGGGGCAAAAAGTCTCTGCAATTACAAACATAAATGTATACTTCATCAAAAACAACGTCTTTTCTTAAATAACAAGTGACTTTCTGTTTCTGACACCTTCTCCTTCCGCGAGTCGGATGAAGGCGCAAGAAAATGCAGTTTCCTTTGCTTTATCCTCCGAGACTCTAAAGGCCAAGCAATAAAATAGTAAAACTCTTACCTTCCCACAAAGTTCTCCAATACTGAGGATTTACCGGCACTTTGGCCACCAACGACGGCGATTTGAGGAAGATCGAAGTTAAGTGACGTCCCAAGTTGAGCAAATGCATCCTGAAAATATTTAAATTTTATTAATACATCGTCCTGGCCCAAATATTAGAAAAAATCTAAAAGCGAGTCAAATTTTTCTCTAAAGAAACCACGAAAATGTCTAGTACAATATAAAAATTTCTGAACTCACCTGCATACGATTGATGAGCGGGATCAGGGCGCTCATGCCCTGATTGGCCCACGCCATGATTGTCTAGAGTTGGTTGGCCTCTCGAGAGTAATGAATTCCCGGGGATTTACGTCTTCCTCTCTCTGTAAATGGTAAGTTTTTTTGAGAAAAAAAAGAAAATTGGAAATCAATCGGCAAAAAACGAAAGAGACAAGAACGTAAAAAATGGTAGTGGACGGCGCCATTCCGCGGATATTTACACTCAACATCAATCAAGAAATTCGGTTTCCAATTTCGCCATAAAAGGGGGTTCTAATTAGAGGAATCGGAGCTAAATTAGAGTGACGTCAGAAGTTGTGCAACAGTGAGAAAGGAGATGAGTCACACGGAGCTTTCGCAAGGGTCACACATGTTTTTGGGGTGTTGAATTCGTTTAAAATAGAGAATAAAAACTTATTTATATTACCATAAGCTTATCAGCCATACTAATGAATAAAAAGAGCGTGCCGATTATTTTTAGAGGTTTTTGACGTCTAGACCTAAATTACTCCAAACATTCAGTCTCTGGACTTCATGAATCAGGCATAAATAACTCTCCCGTATATCAAATCTGATATATTCCCAATATAAATCAACATTATATAAGTACATTCATTTCCCGTCTGAATCATTCCCTCTCGTAAAATATCGAAAAACCGATAAAAAATCCTCATATTCGATAAAATATCCAACACCCGACGTTTCCTCCAAATTTGGCAATAAAAATAGAGAGACGGCATATAACCTGAGACGAAGGGACCAAGTTGACGCCCGAAAAAGGGCCGGGATAAAAGCAAAGCGAGACACAAGGCTTCCCAGGCATGCCCCTGAGGGCAGAAAAGGGAATCCCACACGAAAAAACAAAAAACTTTTGGGGCGTTTAAGAAAACTTCTGGGGCCGCGGAATCTCTTCAGAAGGCGTCCAAAAAATGGCGGCGCCGTTTTCGATAATCAATATGAGGTCGGAAAGGAAACGAAGATGGAAACAAAGCCGGAGGGTTCCAAACTAATTTTCTAATACGTTTCATTTTTGATAAAACCCCAAGGAAAGGGAATCTTGACTTGTTCAAAAGAAAAGGAGGGAGCGCGATGAAGAGGAATGACATGGAAATACGAAGGGAAGCACGAGGACATGCCGGAAATATGGGGGTTGAGAGTAATGTCGAGGAGGCTATTCAATGTTCTCTTTCTTGTCTTTGCGTGTGTCCATGAAACATATAATAAAAAATGATATGCCTAAATTAATCTCCAAAGCATTGGACACCGTGGAGGAGTTTTTTTTACCAGCCATTAACCAAATGCCAACCCATGTGGCGTCCAGTAGCCCTCTATCCTTTCAAAGACAATTCAAAAAACTTCTCCTTTCCATTTCAAATTTATCGTCGCCGCCAATCGAATTAGAGTGTTTTTGTAATTGTCTACAGACCGGGGAGGGAAAGGATGGAAAAAAACGGATTCCATGGACATTACCAACTACTATTACAACAAACCTCGACTGACCAGTCCCAAAACTAACCTTAAATTCACCCCCAGGAGCTCAAAAAATATGACTCAACAAGATGTTTTACCTTCAACTGACCCACTCCGATTGAAAAACACTCCTTCTGACAAGCCGAGGAATTACGTAGAAACAGGTTAGCAAAGTGTCTCGAGCAGCTCCCTCGAAATGCCCATCACTGACCGAAAAAAGAAATCCTAAAACGGAATGAGTCATTTGAAGATACGAAACACGTCAGTCTGGACAAAAACTTTCTAAATAAACCACAAGCAAAACACATTGATTCGAAGTCCGGAACAGCTTGTTCCCAAGTCAGAAATTGGAGCTAGCAAAGGGTTCTCATAATTCGGAATTCGTATACCTAAACCAAAAAAACGGGACGATGTCGCTTTCGTGGAAAAACAAACAAAACATGTGCAGTACTCAAGACATCATTCGAGTATAGTCATTTTTGTCGAAAAACATAAATTTTCGGAGAAAATAAGATTTATTGTGGCGTAAAATGTTTTCGTGTCGGGAAACAGGAAGGGGCATGGTGTTATTGCAAATAACCAAAGTAATGTCGGAAGAAAAGTTTTTCAGAACAATGAGTTATAATTACACTTGGATCGCTAAGGATACCGAAAACGCTTAATCCCAGAACTATGCAAATCATGAGACGGAAATATAAAAATTTCATGGACATTTATAAAAGGGTAGTGGCAAACCATTGCTCGAACAGTGGAGTCGGTCGTGCGGCCCGTTCTTTCCATCCATGTCCAAGATCTCGCGTACCAAAAATTCGACCAGCACTAAAACGCGTCAAGACCTAGAGAAGGAAGATTGGTATCACGGTACGTCTAATATCACGCTACCGTAATCTTTTTTACAGGAATGCTTCCTCGCGAAGATATGGCGGCCTTGTTGAAGGATAATGGCCAGTTCCTGATTCGTCTCACCGAGCCCAAACAAGGCCAGGTGAGTTTTGAAGATATTGTAGTTGTCATCTGATCCTTTAGGGATTAAGAATCGTCCTCTCAGTCCGATGGAACAATCGCCTGCATCACATGGTGGTCAATGAAGTGGATGGCTTCTTTTACATCGAGGTTTTCAAATTCCCCACCGTCTCCGAACTCGTGATGCATTATCAGAAGACCAAGAAGCCAGTCACTGCCAAGAGTGGTGCCATTCTTCAAAGTCCGGTTACCAGACAAGATTGGGAGTTGAAACACGATCAAATTGAGTTGGGAAAGATGCTGGGAGAAGGAGCATTTGGTGGGGTCTATATGGGCTCCATGAAATACAATGGAAAGACTGTGAAAATTGCCGTAAAAGTGCATAAGGGAAAGGAATTGAGTAAGGAAATGATCAAGGAAATGTGCAAGGAGGCGAGAATCATGAGACGATACGATCATCCGGTAATCTAGACATTAAATTATGTCATCAAATCACTAAAATTTAACCAAAAATTTGTAGAACATTGTAAAGTTCTACGGAGTGGCCATGGAAAAGGAGCCGATTATGCTCATCATGGAGCTGGTCGATGGCGGATCCCTCGACAAATATCTTCAAAAGAATGTGGGAAAAATCTCAAGTTCAACCAAGGTGAAGATGTGTTTGGATGCGGCCAAAGGACTTGAATATCTGCATGACAAGGGGTGCATTCATAGAGATGTAGCGGCCAGAAACTGTTTGGTCAGCGAGGGAAAGGTAAAGATCAGTGATTTCGGATTGTCCAGAGAAGTCTCCGTCCACAATGCCAAGTACAAGTTGACCAATCTCAAACAAAAACTCCCGATTAGATGGTATGGAAGGTCGTTATATTACATAATTTTTATTAGGTTGGCCCCAGAGACCCTCACCCATGCCCAATATTCTTCCAAGTCGGATGTATTCAGCTTTGGAATCTTGATGTGGGAAGTTTTCGCTGATGGCCAGGATCCGTATCCAGGTCTAACGATTGCTGAGGTCAACCTTAAAGTCCGAGATGGCTACCGCATGCCCCCACCTGAGGGAATGCCGGCCAGTGTCGGTGACATCATGACCAAAAGCTGTTTCCCTGCCGAACCCGACGAAAGAATGTCCATGTACCAGGTCGGTATGCGTAATATAATCGAAGTGTGACATAATCCCAGTCTATTTACAATTCGCAAACCTTCCGTACCACAAACTGGAAACCTCTGGTTGTGAGTAACAAATTATTTTCAGATCCGAAAACTCCTGGACGAACAAGTGGATGGATCCGCGAGAAACATCAAGAGCCGCTTCGACAAGGAGAAGCCCGAGGTCAACAACGGTGATACTGTATCTAGATACTAATTTCCGGTCTCAGAAAATGAAAGATAAAGCTTGTATTATCAGATCGATTTCTCGAGATTTTCGTGCCGAGACGCAGCGCGCTCCTTCATGGAATTTTATTTTTCTCGAGTTCCAACTGCTGAAAGTTATTGAAAATGGTTTTATTCGAAAGCCAATGGCATTTGCTTGAGAATGAACCGTTCAATTTTTTAAAAGTTTTAGTATTCAATATTGAATAAATGAACATTTTTTATTTTCGGCACCTTTTACAATGTAAAAGGTTGAGGGTTTGTGCACTTTGTTACCTTTTTATGGGCGAGTTGTTGGTTTCTAATGGTCTTCTGTTAGGTTGTGATTTGGCTATGCTAGAAGGTCGAACGTCGCTTTTTGTTTTAGTTTTCTGACATTTTAAGACTGATACCTATGTCGATGTTAGTTTTCTGTATTTTGGTTGATTTCCATAAATTGCATTGTCATTGAACCTGTATGTCTTGTATTTTTGCCCTCGATAATATAATTTATTCGCCAATACCTGGAGCTATCAAATTCTAAACACCTAAATTTGGTTAATCCAATTCCACACCTAAAATAGACCCAAATTTCTATTTTTACGCACAAGTCCGCAGGGACTTGCTGCGACAGGGCGGCTTTTTATCTCTTGCGCCAATTTGGCGTTATTTACCTTGTAACATTTGGAATTTTCCCAGTTGGCTGGATCCAATTAGTCATGAATAACATGCAAATGGCCGTAGAATGGGCGAGTGGACATTGCGTGATGTCGGGTGGAGGGCATTTTAATAAGTAGGTGTTTTACGTCAGGTCCCGCTAGTTTTTTTAAAGACAATGTTGAATTAGTATTTTTTTGTAGACAAACTGTCATGTCACCGAAAGTCCGAGGTAATTTTTTTTACGAGACTGTACATAATCACTTCCTCGGTGGTCCCTAGCAACCAGGAGCTGTTCCGGAGAGCGCAGGTGACCGCCTCCAGCTGGGATTTCCGGTCCCGCTTTGGGGGCCGACATCTCCCGCATTTGGTCAAAGCCAAAATTTTATGTTTTTTCTTGCATCGGACTCGTTGGTTATGTAATTGGCGGTAAATTTTGACTATTCACGGTTTTATTCGATTTTCGAGAGGAAAAGTCCGGAATGGAAGAGAGATATTCGAATATAAGAGTGGTTTTGGATATAATGTTATATGAATTTCCGTCTGGATTTTGCGAGTTACTAGTTTATAGTGTTTGACGATAATTTTACTCACTTCAGCCACGGAATGGCCCACGGAAACACTGCCAAAGATGTTTTCATTCCAAAGTTACAAATGGAATATCTTGGAGAGCAGGAGACGGTCTTCAAAGTAGGTTTAATGATGTTTTTAAATTTGTTTCTGTGTTTAGTTGTCCGACAAGTCTGTGAAGTCGTACGTCGACGAATCGCTGAAGGTGTTGGTGGCACAGAGTCGACGAAGTGATTTCTCAAAGGTAATTTGTTACCTATATATAATATACCAAGGTTTTTCCCGAATTCAGCGTAAAAGCTTTTTTATATATGGGTTCAATTAAAGTCGGGGTGTTGGGTTTATAACCAATGCTATATTTTTGTTCAATTTTTGCATTTTCAGCCAATTGAGAGCTCTTACTCCTCACAATCAGACTCTTCTCCGCTGTTCAAAAGGTCTTCCTTCAAACATGACGGTGGTAAGTTTTATCAGTTTGAGTTGTGCTATCGAAGTTAGGCTACCGTTAAGAAGAGTAGTATCAAAATGATTTGTTAGTCGCTTTCGTAATTAATTTTGTCTAATTTAGATGGAAGGTCACCCACTCCTCGCTCTGACATTTTCCGACCTCCGAAATCGCCTCGAGAGAAGCCGTCAGCCATCACTCAGAGTCCCAGATATCAAATCAAATACCAGATTTCGGTCAGTTTGTTTTTTCGAACGATATTTTTTGGGATTTGCTGGAGTTTATGAGCCATTTGATGAGACGGTTTGTGTTTTGATGAAGATTATGTGTGATTGACCTCATGGGCAAATATTGATTCTTTGAATCGATTGTTTTATCCATATCACATGACATTTTTTGTTAAAATTAAGGCGTATACTGTAGCAAATCATTTGGAAATGATGTTGTTTTTAAAGAAAAGGGTAAATATAAAATCTGAGTAAACGAAAGCAATAACCTGCCCACCCAGTGGTTGTCGCTAATAAACTGATCGAAATTGACACCGCTGACACCCCGGTGCCCTCAGGGCCGCATTCCCAAGCCAAGGCGACCACTCAGACATTTTCTTTGAGTTTTTTTTTTGGATTGCCCTGAGGAATGCAACAAATCAAGACCTCCGGAAGGACGTTTATTTTCGAATAACCGGTTCGAATGGCCGAGAATAAAAGCGGATAAAGATTGTTTTAAACGCCTGGAGCGGGATTTGGATAACAGTTTGATCCTCGGAACAAAAGCGTTTTTCTTCACCTGACTCTCTCGCGAAACGGTCAAAGAATGAGCAGCCCGGACCGCCGCTTCTTCCTTGAGGCCACGTAAGCCCCGGCCCGATTGGCACCGACAAGAAACGGCCGAAAGTCCGCTTCTTCTCTGCCTTCGGCCCTCCGGCGATCAGCGGAAAGACAACGGATCGGCCGGAGAGAAATGTCTGCCCGAGAGTGGCATTTGGTCAGATCTTGGCTTTTTTGTAAGCCCAGAGCCAGTTTTTATGCGCAAATTCAGGGCGGTTATTACACTGGGCATGTTGTCTACGAGAGATACTTGATGATCATGAAGTCTAGTGTAATCTTTTTAGAAATTGATCGCTTTGGATCGGTTTGTTGGTAAAACAACGCGAATCAATTGCCGTTTTCAAAAGCTATCAATTTTGTTTTCAAATAGGCCTTTGGCCCTCTGTGGTAAAGAGTAGACGTGCCCTTTATACTTGTTATAGGATTGATTAGGTCATTTCTGGGCTCTAAACAAACTTTATATTATACTAGGTTGGCTTGTTGTCATAAATCGAGATATTTTTGATTCGTTTACTCAAAGAATTAGCCCTCTTGAGGTCGGGTAAAGAGTACTTTATGTTTTGTTTTTCTCTTCTTTTTTGTGTAAGCGATATGCCAAATTAATACTAGATTTGTCGACTTTATTCTTGATGGCTTGATAAGAATGAACCAGAAATTGACGAAAGTTCGTTCTGAACAAGAGGCCAATTTGTCAACTCGATTTGATTAGAGCTATATTCAATTAATAACGCTGCCTTCTGTTTTCTTCTCCAATTTGACGCATCGTCTGACATTTTTATTTTTGATCTGTGACCTCTTTATCACCCGAAGACTCGGTTTAGATTTGGTTTATTCTTGATAAGATGTTGCTTTAAACAAGTAACGTTCTTATCGTTCTGTTGCCTGCTAGTGATCGGATTCTTTGAGCGTTGTATTGCTTTCATCATGGTTCAACGTGCTAAACGTCAAGCTTTATGTGTCAAGTAAATATTGGTCTTACGCACATGTTCCTTAAATGTTTTCTTTCCTTTCCTCTTTCCAATTGATTTTTTGACGGGTTTATGGGTTTTTAAAACGATTTCTCCCTTGTACCCATACCTGATTCTTGTACAATAATGAGTCATTTCGCGTCAGAGATGCACCCTCTCTTTATTAAATTCGGTGTTTCTTGACGGTCCTTCCATTACTGGTGAATCTGCGCACCGTTGTTTTGATAGTAACCCCCTTTCCGCATGTTCTCGGAAGGTATTCGGCGTCACTGATTAGTGATTGAGTGCGAGCGGATCTTCTCCTTTCTTTACCCTTAGGCGTTGAATTTCTTTTTTCTTTCTTCCCGATCTGGCGGATAACATTTCTCCTCTTGATCTTGACGTGCCGGTTCGTCTTTTTTCGTCGTTCTTTAGGCATTTTAATATTGTTGGAGTATTTGCTTTTCATTTCTAGTCAGTATAGAAGAAACTAATTTGGGTCGGTTTCTCTTTTGCTTTTAGGTGTCACAAAAGACGAGAATAATTTGCAGAACCCTTTTCCGTCACCCTGTTGGTTTAATTTTAAACCCGTTCGTCTCGATTCAGCTCTGTCGTCGATCATACAACTTACTCTCTTCTCGCGTTTCCTAGTTGTTCTCGATTCTATCCGTTTCCATCATTACTGATTAAACAGTCTCGACGGACCATATTAGTGGGGTTTCTAATGTTTTTCGGTTTAACTGGGTCATCTGTCGACTCGTTCCGTCAAGGGTTAATTAACAATGTTAGATAATGTCCGAGCAGTAGGCGCGTTCGGAAGTGATTCAGCCCAAATTTAGAGCTTCTTTTTTCCCATTGTCGTTGGATTCTCTGTCTCGCTTTCCTCGCATTTTTCTCGTACGATGATTAAACGTTTTCGTGGCCTGTAATTCAATTATGTCATTTACAGCCTTCTGCTATTATAATTAAACATTAGACGCTGACCTTCTCGAGGTGTTTAGCCTCTCCGCCGCTTTGTTAATGCACGGCTACTCATTGCGGCGTAACTCCAACGCACCCAATAATCGTCTTAACGACAACCAACAGGACCTCAACCAGCGACGGAACGGCGTCGATCGAAACCACCAGCCCTTCGAGCTGCGTTCCGTTTACGAGGAACAAGACGACTATCTAGACAGTCCCCGGCTATTCCCTGCCACTGGTCGACAGTCTGTGCCAGGCTTCAGCAAACCCCAGCTGGTTTCGGTGGGAGAAATCTACAACGATACCAGTTCTGGATATTCTACTGCTTCGGGCGCTTCCTCAACTGTCCCATCGACTAATACTTATTGGACCAGAAAAGATAACAACGACTTTGAATTTGTCCCAATTAGAGAGCCTCAAACATCACGCATTCCCGTGGTATCTGGCCCAGAGTGGCGTAAAAACTCTAATAACGAGACATACGGTAAGGAAATGAATATTGTGACGTCAGTGCATTTATAGATCCACCTTCAATTAATGAATTGGTGAATACTTTGGAGAACTTTGACCCTGAACCTCTTTTACAACGCGCAGTCAAAGCTCAGCAACGTGTAGAAGAATTGAGCAACAGTATTAAGCCTCAAAGAAGACCTAATACAGTGCTTGGAGAACCTTACTATAACGGTGACACTAGGACTTTTCCATCTTTTGGAAGGAAAAAATCAAACGGTAACGTCGACTTCAACGATTTCCCTTCGAACCGCCGCGATTCCAAGCGTTTTCCCGGTCTAAGTACAGCTACAATTTCCACGGATACCTCAAAACCCACCGATTGTTCCATCTCTGCATCTACAAATAATTTATTGAACATCGATACCCGTCCAACCCATAGAAACATCGACGTATCTCAATTGGATACCGTCCTTCAGAGTCCGAGCTCCGGCTCTCAACCACCAAATCGGTTGCATTCGACGGCTTCCTTTGATCCGGACAACTTTTACCAAAGTCGTGAGGAGTGGAGAGACCCCTTCTTCAACATGCGAGATCGATTTGGAAATGATCGTGATAATGGAACCATAAACAGTCGCTTTGGAAGAGCGCCATCCTTGTTATCCAAGAGCGCAAGCCAAGGAAATCTGGATTATCAGTAAGAAATCTTCCGAGATTTTTATCGCAAATTTAGAAATTCGGATTCTGATGGCAACTCTAATAGCAATGGAAATGGATATTCGGATTGGTCCAGACCACGCAATTCGTTAGCCAACTTTTGGCTTGACACGTTGCGCAATCACGTTGATACTCCACCGGCTTTTCAACGGGCCTTTTCGCCGAGATTAAGTGCCAGCGAGCGCCTGGAACAATTGCATGAACCTTTGGATGACCTCGATAATCACACAATCTATCGTCGACCCAACGCAATTGATAATGTAGCCTCAAGGCGAGCTCAATACTTGAAAGAAGTTTTTGGCTCCCACAGTCCTTCTTTATCTTCCAAATTGAATGAGTGAGTGGGAGGGCAACGTTTTTTGATATTGTATAATAGTCCGTATTTTCAAATTTATTTTGAGGGTTGGCTGACTTCAAGATTGTGTTGTAGGTCCTTGCCGAATCGAGATCCGAACTTTTCTGAGCTTGATGATGCTGTTGGAGACATGGAAAGTCGTTCTGGATGCGGTCGTTTCCCAACAAATGAAGTGAAATACACCACAACAACGACTAATCCAGACGGTTCAACGACGAGGTCTTATTTCGGACAGACTCGATACACTACGCCCGGAGGGGAAAGAAGAACGGTGGTGACGACCAGAACAACGTCCAACCAGCACAGTCCTTCACCGGACACTTTGAGTGACACTAGTCAACAATCGCTGCTTTTCCTTCCGCATCCTCGACCAAAACACAACATTCGGGAACAACTTATGAACGCTGGTGTAAATAACTTCTTCTCAGGGTTTCCCACCCGCAGACTCCTCAATAGCGCCGCGTTTTCCTCCCCCAACTTCCCGGCCCCAACCACTGGCGGTGTAGCATCACGAGTTTCGGCGTTGGAAAAGCGGTCCAGTGGTACCCCAAACTTGCTACAGCTGGCTTGTGTCCTGAATGGGTCTAATCCCGAATGTGGCGCCCCAATGTCGCCGAGATCTACTGTTTTCCGACGAAAGCCTGTCATTCATGTGGATTATGGCGATGAAGATGACATCTTCAAGTTTCCTGAACCCGACCAAGATTCGGTTGGTTTTAATTTTTTTAACAAAAAAGTATTAGTGAAAATTTTGTGAGAAATATCACATTTCTCTTACTGTAATATTTGGGTATATATCATGGGGTTTTTGTTGGTTTGCTGGACTAACCGAAGTTTGACGCCGATTACTGGACACATGTTTGACATGCGAAAAATGGGTTTTGTAGTCTCCAGAGATTCCGAAACAACGTTTTCTTACTCTTCTCCCGGAACGGCATAAAGTTTCCTTCGTTCAAAAGCTACTTTGTCACATTTATATCGAAAATAACTGCGTCATCGAACATTATTTTTAATTGGATTCTCCTTTTCTCTTTTATCAACCAAATTAAGCTAATCGGAGGCCGAGGCCCATGGCCGCGGTAAATGCTATACTATGGGACGTCCGGCTATACTAATATCCTCTACTGAAATAGTGCCACCCACACGGTCGGACTTGTTTCTTCACGTCGGTATAGCCGAGTGGTCACTTTTTACGACAAAATGTCCCGTCTCCCATCCTTTCCGACTTCATTTATGTTGAAAAGAGTGACATGCAAAGGTCAGTTACGGCACGCGACACTGTTTTATTAGCGCAATATGTTTTGGGATGAAGATGCGCCGCGCAATATCCTCGAAGCCTACAAGGGGGTTCTTTTCCGAATGGGCGCAGCTGCCGTCTCGGGACATCTATTCTTGGTTCCCAAATCGCCGCTAATTTATAAGTTGGTTATGCGCGGATTAAGCGCTTTTTGTTCGCTCCTCTCCCGCACTCCAAGCCTATAACCGGGAATTGTTGTCTATATTGTTTTCGTCAGTCTGAAACACGCTGTAATTCTGTTACAAGTATTGTCGGAATCGTTTGTTTTTGAGTTTCCCTCTTTATCAATTGGTTTCAAGTTTTGTAAAGAGGTGTTATTGATATTTATCAACGTTCCAAAGTTATTCCTTGTCCCTATCTTCGTGTTTTAAACTCCGTATTATGGGTGAATCATATCTGGTCGGCCGCGAAACAATGTGCTCCTTCCGGTCGTGCATTTTATTTGTTCCCCATATCCTTTGATTATGCGATTGGGCCGTTTTTTGCGAAAGTAAATGTCTCGCTTGCCAAATTGACTCTCGTATGTGTTTTTGGGGCTCTGAAATCTTCCCAGGCCTGCGGGTTTTGCAAACCATAACTGATGTCAGCTTCACTTTTTCCCGCGGTTTTTTGCAGAGCTCACGTAAAAGAGGGTTCTGAAGTGTTTTGAATACCCCTTAACATCCAGCGCCGTAAATTGCGCCGTAAATTCTTATAATTTTTTTCAAAACATGCCATATTTACTCCTTGGCAGCCTTTAATCAGTCTAATATCTTGTTTACCTATAACGGGAATGCGTAATAGCGAAGCCTTTGTTCTTTCTCTTGCTTCGTTTCGCAAAAAGCCGTGAAAAGTGAGAGAGATGTGGGAGTGACCATCCCTTATCTCGAGTCCCGGTCACACCCAACTTGAAAGCTCTGCGCCGACGTCTTTACGGCTTTTTCCAGGTGTCCAAACAACCTCACGCACATATTTCCACATATCACGGTTTTGTAGGTTTCAATTAAAAATTGCTTCTTTTATTTATTTTTTCTGTTATAATTCCTGTTTACCGCGAGTATCCCTATTTGAATATTCTTAGGTGTATAATTATTTGATGTTTAGTTGTAAGTGCAATTTTAGTACTACTAAAATGTCATGTAAATATGTTTATCTCATAAAGTTAAAAAGCTTATGGCTTTTCGTTACTGCTTGTTTTAACCTAGTTCTCGAATTTGGGAATGATGGTTTGATCAAAAGGTTATCACTTCTTTTCCTTCGTCATTTGGAAATTATGCTTCATATCTCCTGTGATTTATCGAATTCTCCCCGACTTCGGTTTTTGGGGTCACGGAAACAGTTTCCCTATCCAAAAGTGTGTCCCAATCGTCAACGTCGCACTGGTCGGATAATAAATGTTTGGGGTTGCGCTGATTGAGACGGACTGAGACGAGCTCTGTCCACTCGGAAGTGTCGTCGCTTTTCTGCTTGTCGCCGGTGCGACGCGGGGATTTTCCCTGAGGAAGAGCCAAGACCCGCGGGCCCAAGGTCTTTAAATCAAGAGTACACCTGTCGTCCACTCTCTTAACTTTTCTTCTTTTAATGTTGCAAGCGATTCTTCCTCGGGGTCTGACACTTTTGTGGGATTGGGTTTCGCTCTCCACTTTCCGGATAAGTGGAAGGAAGAGATAGATAAAGAAGAAGACGGCTGTCCACAATGCCCGCAAGTGATTCGCCGAGTTTTGCTCTCGGACCTTTCCCTTCACCTTTCGCTCACGATCAGGGCATCGAACATTTGGATCACCTTTTTATCTGACCAGCTTTAAAAATAGCCCTCCCGAAATACCCCGAGGTCCTTTCGTTCTTCATTTTGATCCAAATTCTTGTTGGCATGAAATTTGGCCGAGGAAACGTTTTTTCCTCAGCTTTGCTCGTCTTCTCTCCCACCGCCGGGCTCTTAATTACACCCTGTGGCGATTTGAGGTCGAATCAGATAGCCTTGCGGTGGTCAGCAAAAGCTCTCTTGCGGGGTTTGAAAACACTTTCTGAATGCTTTCGTTTTGTCTTTTCGGATTTGAGGTGACCGCCGAATGGGTAGGGTGCGGTATTTCAACCCTAACAATGAACCGGGATATATTTTATTGTTTATATGGTGATTTATGTCTCCTTTTTTCTGCCGGCTAATAGCACGGTTGGGGATGTAAATCATGGGTGGGAACAATGGTAGAGAAGAGTCGGATTTCTTCCATTTCCGTTTTACCTGAAAACTTTCGTTCCTTTTCGAGAGATTTCCGGACGTCGGCCACGTCGATTGGGTTCACTTGGAGTCTTGTAAAAGCCGGGATGAGAGCGATAAACCTTGAAGCGTAAGAGTGGCAGCGATCGCGCACGCAGCCCCTGGGGCCTTCTTGTGATCAGGGCTCATTCAGGGGGAATAGGAACCCTTGAAACGGATTCCTTTTCGTTAGAACGTTATCTCGCGCTCTTGGAATTGTGTTTCCAATCTGATTCTTTTATGTTTTCTTACTTTAATAAAACCACCGATAGCCCGTCTCCTTTCCTCGTTCCGACCCAAACCTTTTATTTGGGATGAAATATGCGCGGCTATTCTTCCACAACCGTTCCGTAACCGTCTTTGAGGGCTCTTCCAACTTTGTGGCTGCCAGGTGTTTTCCGAACTTTTTGATGTCCGGTTTTCGACTTTGCCAATCCGATGAGCGCGACACTTAACACGGAAATGAATAGAAGTCGGGGCAATCGGGTTGAAAATTGGATCCGTCCTTCTCACTTTTTCTCAGGGCAATCACTAGAACTTTTCCCCTTTCACGCCGTCCACGCGACCGGTTTCTTTGCAACGACCTTTCCGCGGTTATATTGCCCCGGCTCTCATCCACCCTTAATGTGCAGAAACGCGCTTAATTTCAACTGTTTTTCTTTCTCTGCATGCATTCCTCTACTCCTCTTCTTGATCGTTACGCAAGAGTTTGTAATGCAAACGTGATCGGATGATGTAAGCCTTGTTTTCGAGCCGCATGAAGCCACGTAATTCGATCAGAGCTTTGCTAATTTTCTAATTTTTTGATCTTAACCTTTCTGCAGGGAATGTATTTGAATGAAATTTTTTTGGATCTTTTGTTTGATATATCCGGATATATCCTTCAATTATTCTGACCCTATTCGTTCCCCATTCTTTCAACATCGTGTAGGTGGTCCAGACGGACGCATGCACAAAAAAAGATTAGGTTCTGTGGTATATTAAAATAGCCTCTAATAACCGACGAAGTGTGAGGATTATACCCTTAGGTGGTTTTCGCCCTACTGTTCGGTTCCGCAAATCCCTGGATTTGGGACTGATACCGGGTCTTTGAATATATAATCCAAAACATTTTAATCCCAAAGATACTGTTCAAATATACTTCGTGTCGTTTTTTGCACAGGTTGGAATGCCTTGGCCCGAACTCTGAACGATGACTCGGCCCTTCGCACGAGATGCAATCGGGACTGAAACTCGAATTAAAAATAAGTTTTGGTTCAAATTGCGAAGCGTGCAAAGGCCACGCTGGTCTTCTAAGACCACCTGTCCAGGGCTCCGAGCCCCGAATAACTTATCACGAAACAGGGCGTCGGCATTTTCAGGCCCTGCGGGCATTCTTCGGATAGCATCAGAATGACGGATCATTTAAATTTGGCCCCCGTTTAATATCCGGTTGGAGGGGTATGTGACGGAGGGGGGGGTTTTGTTTTGGCCCTTCCCTCGACGATGCTTTGTACGTTAATTTTGGCTGACGTAGAAGTTGAATTACGCGTCGATTCGTCGTTTCCTTCCTCCCTTTAAGCTGAAATGGATACCCCCGAGGTTCTTCTTGTCTGTTTTTTATCTCCTACCCACTGAAACGCGATTTTATAACGCGCGAATCTCTCGCCCCAATCCAATCTCCCAGCCCCTTGATCAAGAGCCATTCATCCGTGTGCTGAGACAATCCCCCAAAGCTCGGATTCTGTTTGAGATTCTCGGTCTTCCGGCGTTTCTCGTCTCTCCCCAACCCTTGAGCCCGCCAATTTCCATCCAAATTGAACTGTTATTGCAGGTCAGTGGGCTTCTTCGCTCCCCATCGAGCTTCTTCTCTCGCTTTCTCCAGGGTTTGTGACCGCCGTTTTGTTCTTTCTTTATTCGACCAGATTTTTGAATAACGCGTTTTGTTCGATAGCTTTCTCGTTTTCCCATACGCTCGTATAAAGAGTTTTCAGATTCCTCACTTTCATCTTATTTTTGCGTGCATAATTGTCAAATTAATTTCGTCTGCGATGCTTGTAATCCGATGAAAGTTCGCTCAGATATGACTTCTGTGGCATCGGGCTCAGCACTTGCGCAGAAGTGGCGCGACACCGCCAATCGCTACTCCGACTCGGATGACGCGGACTCCCAGCACGAGGAGGGAGTCAGTGAACTCACCAATTCCGTGGAGGATCTCTTGGACTGCACTCTCCCTCCAAAACATACAACTCTCCTACCGAACGGATTTTCCAAAGGTGCCCATCGATTTCCGGTCCTCGAGGCTGATAAGGAGGAAGATATCCAACCAATGCTGTCGGAATGCAGCTGCGAAGCGTCGACCTCCTCTTCCATTGACTCCTCCTCTTCGCACAGTATCAATTCGGCGGTTGTTTCTCCGGCCACGCCTAATCCAGACATCTCATGGCCTCGGCTGACCCCTCGTGTTGTCCAAATAACCGAGCCAGAACACATGATTCGAACGACTCTTCGGCCAAGCCCCACTCGAATAACAGATCCGATGCGAAGATGGTCCGCAATGTCCGTCACCTCTACCGGCACTATTGTCCCAGCAATGGACGCCACAAATTGCGATTGTACATCTCTGGCATGGGCAGCGCTAAGGTCACCAGCATCAGTCAGAAGAAAGCAAAGAAGAGAAAAACACAGCGATGACTCATACAGGAAGATCTCGGCCTCCAAAACTGGCAACTCATCGACGGATTCAGGCCTCGGCTCTTCTTCTGGGTCAGAGGACAGTCATTCCGGGGTCTCAAATCTCACGGCCAAACCTCCAATTGTACGTAAACGACGACGAAGATCTCTGAGTGTGTTATTCGGTTCAATGATGAGGCTAATGTTTGATCCGAACTCGGTCCGAAAAGCCTCAAAATCAACGACTGGCTTGAATGTGAATGGTTTAACGCAGGTAAATAGCCATTATCAACTAATTACTGGCAAAAATATTTGTGAGGTCTTTTCTTTCTTACTGATCTCCGAGACACTTTATCATCTAATAAATTTCCAATTTTTTGGCCGAAAATTGGGGGTTTATGCAATGTTTTTTGAGCATATTAAGTCCTGTCCCCCGGCGAGATTAAGGGCCTCACTTTAACGCCCGAACATTATAACTGATCGAATAAATCCCGGCTCTCTGTCGTCCTGTTCTTGGCTCTCTCCCACGCGTCCGTCCCCTTCTCGACGGCCCTCTTCCTCCAGCACGCACACTTGTGCCCCGAGGGCCTGTTGTGGGTTCGTACGTGGCCTGAATGCCATCGATCGATCCCGGTTTTCTACGAGTTTTTTTCGCACTCATCTCGTCTTATTTTTGCCACACTACCTTTTTCCCGCATTATTCCTTTCGTTTGGGAGATCTTTTGGATTTTGTCTTTGGCCGCCGTTTCCGGTTGAAGGATCGCACTTTGATATACAAAAGTTGGGTTAACTTGGGGCTTACGGGTCGATAATCAACATCCGGTTAAAGTAGACAGACCTTTTTGATTATCTGTCTACAACACCGTGATCTGAAGCTCGAGGCCAGGCCCGTCCCGACCTCGCGGAAGTCGGGCATGTGATGGTGGTGGCCCTGTCAACCGATTGGGCACCACACCCCGGCATCCTGGCTTCCTCATCAGCTTCAGATGACCCGAAAAACCTCACTTTCCCCAAGATCTCGATCGATCGATCTCATAGCCGTTCAAATTCCGGTCTTAAATCGTATTCAGATTCCTCTAAGCTCTATTCTGGATCTTCTAAATCCTATTCTGGCACGGCCAGTAGCTCTAACTCTTATTCAGAGCGATCTAATGGATATTCTCCATCGAGTAGTTCAAGTAATGGGTACTCTTCGGGTGCTTTCAAAACCTCTTATTCTGGCTATTCAAACTCTTCTAACAATTACTCTCGATATTCCACCCCATCTTTCGTATCTGTCCGACATTTATTTAACAATCGGAAGACTACACCGTCGTACGGGTCCAACAATCTTCTGACTCCGACTCTGGCCTCCTCACTCTCCACCAATACTCTCACTTCTCGTCGATCTCCAGCTCCGTACTCCTTCCTCAGCCGGGAAAAGTCCCCATCTCCATTGGTCAGCTATGGAAGTGGATCGAATCTCGTTTATAATCCACCAATACTTTCGGCCTCACTTCGTCGACGAATGAGGTCCATGGGCTTCGGGAAAAGGCAAGGAAAAGAGGCCGAAATTGAGGATGAAGAAGAGGAAGAAGAAGTGGAAGAAGAGGCGGAAGATGAGGAGTATGAAGACGAGAGTGAATTTGAAGATGAAGAGTGGGAGGACGAGTCGGAGGAAGAAGCGGAGGAGGTCAACAAGGTTTGTTTCGGGTCTAATCAGTGTCATAAACTCCAGCAAACTATAAAAACCCCCAAAGTATTTACATGTTAATCAACATAAAGTTACGTAATCACCGCTTTTAGAGACTAATTGCAATCTTTTCAGAATGATCTGGGCGGATTCTCGCCGAAATGGCGCGGCGACGATGCGAACGAAGCGAGTCCGTTGTCCCGCCTGTCCCAGGAGAACGTGGCCAAACTCGAGACCTACACGGACACGAAGCACACTTTCACGTAAGTGCTTTCCTCCAGACATTAAAGGGTCCGGCGAATATATATTTATTGCATTCTTCAGGCCCAGAAGTATGTTCTCGGGCTTGGCTCTCCAAGTGCTCTAGTGTTTATACTTGGCAACGCGGCCGGGATTCGTGTTGAACCCTGTTGTCTTGTTTTGTGAATTTTGAATTGTTTTCGGAACACTTTAATGTTGCTCTTCTGCTATTTCAGGACCGTCGACTCGAAGCCCTTCACTCCCAAATCGCCCGAGATTACCTCCCCGACCCCGAAGCGAGAGCCCTTGACGGATTCACTCCGAGCGGCCAACCTCAATGACTCGGTGTCCACTGGCTCCATCTACTCTCCCAATCGATCCCTCGACTTCTCATTCAAATCTCAACCCTCTCCCAAAAAGGAGGCACCTTCCGCTCTACCTGCCCCAAAACCATCAAAACCCGATATCCAGAAGCCCTCGTTCGCTGGCCGATTCTCGAATGCCCCCAGATTCCACTATCCTGGCGGTCAGCCGATTCCTCAACCCAAGAACGACGCTGTCCGAGAGACCGTCAGACAGTTGTTCCACTCCCAACCTCAACAAGTCCTCGAATACAAGGACATGGATAAACTTTGTCAAGCCATCGACATGGCAGTTTACGCTAAACGGCCCATCTACGAAGCCTGTATCAGACTGAGCGGGCAAAAGCTGAATCCGGAAACAACGCCGGCCTTGACGTTCAGCCAATTCCAAACTTATTGGCAACTGATGACCCTGGAGAATCATGATGAAACTTCTCGATTCATCTACACCTTGGCTGCAGCGGCTACGGGCGAAAGGAAGCCGAGGAATTATCTGATCAGATCGGACTTTATGAGCATGTTAATGGATGTGATCCACACTTATCCTGGGCTCAATTTCTTGGTTAATTCCACCCAATTCCACTCAAAATACTGCGAGGTCGTAGTGGTTCGGATCTTCTGGAATGTGAATAGGTCTTGGACAGGAAGGATCACTGCTTACGAACTGAGGAGATCCGACTTTTTGTCCACTCTGAGGATGCTCGAGACCATCAGTGACATCAATAAAATCACGGATTACTTTAGTTATGAACACTTCTACGTTGTCTACTGCAAGTTCTGGGAACTGGATCAAGACCACGACATGGTGATCAGTCGTGAGGACATGAGACATCACTGTTCTGGCGCTATCCCCGACGTTGTAATCGACCGCGTCTTCAGTGGAGCCGTGGTTAGAATGCCGCCGGACTGCAGATCGTACAAAGGAAGAGGACCTTGTCGAGATCAGCCCCTAGAAACTATAGGATTCGAAGATTTCGTGGCCTTTTTGTTGGCCGAAGAGGACAAGAAACACCCGACCAGTCAGGAATATTGGTTTAGAATACTCGATCTGGATGGAGATGGAGTCTTGTCGCTGTATGAGATGGAGCATTTCTATCGAGAGATTGAGCGCAAATTGACGCAACATGGATTTGAGACCTTGGCCTTCAAGGATATTGCTTGTAATGTAAGTTAAACGACATTTTTCTGAAATTTTTAGTTATTCTTGGCTAAACTTTGGAGTATAATAATATAAGATAAGATAATAATTGGATTGTTTCAGTTATTCGATTCAATTGCCCCTTCAACGAAGGGATGTGTGACTCTCAAGGAGTTGAAACAATGTGGACTTGCCCATCGATTCTTCAACACCTTTGTGAACTACTTGAAATATCTTGAACAAGAGTCGTCGGAGGGTGAAAGGGCCTCGGTTAAGGTGAGAAAACTGATCATTTTTGTCTTTTATTTATTACATATGACTATTTATTCGTTTTCAGACGTCCGGTGACAAAGAACTCTCGGATTGGGACCAATACTGTGCAATGGAATACGAGATCTTGATGAGCGAGACCGATGAAAGCTATGCGGACGAGAATATGTAAGTTGTTTTGCTGTAATCTAATGTTAGAACTTTGAAGGAAGTCTCATCCTGTTTATGAGTTGAAAGCAAAGAATTTGAGATGGAATTTTAGTAATTATTTTTGTTTTTTATTCACTTTGCGCTTTTTAATGGGCTTGGTAGAATTAACTTAAATTTGAGAAATCTAAAGTCGTTTTGAGGCAAGATAGTCGATAACGTGTAACAGAAGTAAAACACGACGAATATTTGGCATTATTTTTGTGAATTTTGACAAAAGTAGTCAGTGAATGCCAATTATAATATAACTTTGTTGTAGTGACGTCGTCCTGGACGATGACGAGACCGAAGAAGAGCGTCCCGGCCATGCGCAGCCCTGATTCCTCCTCAACCACCGCCTCAACGGGTCCTCCAGGTGTTCTGAATCCCCTAAATCTCTACTGTAATATCGCATAAGACCCCCGGCCTTTAATCGTTTCTTGTTCTGGCCCTATATTTCTGTTATAATGACTGTATTGAGTCTATTCCGTGTTCGGTCTTCTATCAGTCCCTTTTCTTATCAACGCCTTAGGGCGTAACAAATGCTCATGTATATTTACGTAACTAGTGAAATTATCTCGACAAAATTTTAATTAATATAAAGTTTTATTTTGAAGCCGGATTTGGAGTGCCGGATAAACAGAAAGCTGGGGCCTGTTTCATCAACGAAAAATAAATAAAATAAACGAAAGGGAAAGCGAGAGAACACCCAAAACACGTTTCGAAGCGAGAGAGTCGCGACAGATTAGTAGAGACCATCTATAGAGCGGCGCATTTATCACAGCGATCGGAGTGACTTTTTACGTCCAAAACGGGGGGTTCTCAGCAGTAATCAGTGGATAACTCGGCTCCCGGTGGTCGTAGAATCACCCTTCCAAAAACCAAATAAAGCTATTCCTTAGAGCTACGTGATATCCAAATTTCATATTTATACTTCAAAAAATGAACTCAGTAGACACCTAGTAGATCGTAGTATTCAACTTTTTTGACGTTTTTTCTGAAAAACGTTATTATTTCAGTCAATTTTTAACATAATGGGATAAAATTGGTACCAGTCGATAGCCAAACGTTTACTCTACAAAACTTTTTTAGAGGGGCGGTTTACTTCAAAAAATGAACTCGGTAGACACCTAGTAGATCACAGTATTTACGCTTTTTTTACGTTTTTTCGAAAAAAACCTTTGTTTTTCACTCAGTCTTTAACATAATGGGATAAAATTAGTACCAGTCGATAGCCCAACGTCTAATCTATAAAAAATTTTTAGAGGGGCGGCTTCTTTTGCCCTGTGGCCTGCGAAACGTTCAATTTCGTGAGACGATGTCTTCTATTTGCGTAAAAAGTCCTTCGATCGTTTCCGAAAAAACCAAAAGAGAGGAAAAGGGCCCTCGAAACGCGGTTTTTTGTGTCAAAAACGGTGGTTCATGACAGTAAACATAGACGTTTCGCAGGCCACAGGGCAAAAGAAGCCGCCCCTCTAAAAATTTTTTATAGATTAGACGTTGGGCTATCGACTGGTACTAATTTTATCCCATTATGTTAAAGACTGAGTGAAAAACAAAGTTTTTTCCCGAAAAAACGTAAAAAAAGCGTAAATACTGTGATCTACTAGGTGTCTACCGAGTTCATTTTTTGAAATAAACCGCCCCTCTAAAAAAGTTTTGTAGAGTAAACGTTTGGCTATCGACTGGTACCAATTTTATCCCATTATGTCAAAAATTGACTGAAATAATAACGTTTTTCAGAAAAAAACGTCAAAAAAGTTGAATACTACGATCTACTAGGTGTCTACTGAGTTCATTTTTTGAAGTATAAATATGAAATTTGGATATCACGTAGCTCTAGGGAATAGCTTTATTTGGTTTTTGGAAGGGTGATTCTACGACCACCGGGAGCCGAGTTATCCACTGATTACTGCTGAGAACCCCCCGTTTTGGACGTAAAAAGTCACTCCGATCGCTGTGATAAATGCGCCGCTCTATAGATGGTCTCTACTAATCTGTCGCGACTCTCTCGCTTCGAAACGTGTTTTGGGTGTTCTCTCGCTTTCCCTTTCGTTTATTTTATTTATTTTTCGTTGATGAAACAGGCCCCTGGTTGTTGTCCCTAACATTATAGGGGCAGACAAGAGTGGATAAGAGTTTGGAAAGCGGAGATCAGAGGAGATTTTGGATAAAGGCAGCGATTATGGGAAAAAGGAGGCAAACGAATCTATTCGCAATGATAAGAAGGCTTTTCAAGATGTTGGAGCACAAAAGGAACTGGATGAAAATCGTCAGAAGGTTTAAAATTTAAGACAAATCGACCAAAAAATGGCCGCTTTTTGCGAACAATCTCAAGAAATTTGCATAAGTCAGCGAGAAAGTCCACCAATTCGGACTATCGACCACTCTCTTCGCACCGAGCCCAATTGTTTGTCGGATCGTCTCGGTGAGCGGTCGGTTGGTGATACATTCATCTCTCTGTGCGTGCCTCCTTTGCGAGAAATCAGGATGGACGTGTTGATGAACGACGCCTTGCTGCAGGCGATGGTGCCCGTGGCTGTGCAGGGCGCGGTGATGCTGGGTGGTGCCGCCTTCGCCCTGGCGCAATGCGGAAAGTCGCGTGAGAAGCCGGTGAAGAAGGGCGACCGCTCGGGCAAGAGCAGGTCCGGGAAGTCCAAGAAGAGTTCCAAGTCCGGCAAGAGCGGCAAGTCGGGCAAGTCGACACGCTCCGGTCGCTCCAAGAAGAAATCCGCCAGCGCCAAGAAACACAAGAGTTCCAAGGTCAGTTTGGATTTTCGGATTGGTCTTAGGTCATAGTTTTTGTGCACCGAGAGTAAATTAGGTGGCTCATAGCTGTGGTAAGGGCGAGTAAGAGGGTTCACCTAGATTAATGGTCATCAAGGTAGTCTTTCTCTAGCCGAAAAAGGCCATTTTGCCCTCAAAAGTCATAATCATTTTCTCATGTTACTTGATGGTTTTTATATTTTTTCGAAGACGTAATACTCGATCAAACAGTTTCTTTTTCTGTACATTACCTACCATTTTCCTCAAAAAACCAACCATTTTCGAAAAATAATTTTTTGGCAAAATCTATTTACATTCAAATTTTTGGAAAATGAAATTTTAATTTTCAGAGTGGAAAGTCGAGTAAATCCGGTCGTTCCGGAAGATCTAAGAAGTCGAGTCGATCCGGAAGTGGCAAGAAAAGATCGAAGAAGAGCTCCAGGTCCAGCAAGGTCCGTTCGGCCAAGGGAAGCAAGACCTCGGACCGGGCCAAGGTCACCAAGAGTGCTTGCCAAGTGGCTGCTGAAGCTGCGGCTCGTAAAGATGAGGTGAGTCAAGCAGTAGGAAGATCAAATAGATGAATTGCAATAATGTATTTTTGAAATTGTTCAGGCCGTCAAAGCCCAATCTCCCCCAAAACCAGCTCGGGAATCCGTGGTGGATGTGGTGAAGAATCTGCACGCCGAGCCCCGAGAACTCCGCTTCCCGCACACTGGTGGTCTCCAGAAGGTGGTAATCTCCAACCCCACTGCCCAAAGAGTCGCCATAAAGATCAAATGCTCAGACAACAACTTGTATCGTGTGAATCCCGTGTACGGATTCGTGGCCGCTAATTCGGATCTGGGTGTGGATGTGGTGCGTCAGAATGGACCCAGCAAGGTTGACAAACTTGTGTTTATGGTGGCCAAGGTAAGAAGTTTTAGAAGTGCTTAGTCTTTAGATGTTTTGCCAATCTTTAACAGTAAAGGGTCCAAAATAAGGTCGGATAGACCGTCTTAGAGTAGAAATTTTGTGTGGCTTTTCTCTTCCCCTGAGGCGACCCTTAGATTCTCTAGTCTGCCATGGATTGTGAAATTTTTCAGGTCTCGCCAAAGTTGGATCAAGCCAAGAAGGCGTTCGAAACGAAGGAATCCCTCCCAATGATCGTCGTCCCGCTCCTCGGATGAACCCAATCTTCGGTCCCAGGGCATCGTCTAATCTTATTTTAACTAGAATTAAAATTTGTCGCCTGATAAACGAGGCTTAGACTTTTGAATTGGCTTTACTTTTATACTGCACATACAGTATTATCGTGATTACTGCATTCTCCGTGTATTGCTTTAAATGATCTATAACTGACTCTTAAGAGGTCTGAAAAGATCATTATTTGCAGTGTTACGGTATATTTGTTTGGTTCTCTCGAACTTTTGGTCAAAAAAAACAACTTGAATTTAGGGTTTAGCTCGGAGGAAACGTTCGAATTAATGGCTTGTGTGACTTTCCCAACCTCAGAGGTCACGTTCGGACCCTGAAGTTCTCTAATTCGGTGAAAGTTTCTGCCTGATCTCTTGTTTTTCTAGATCTTTCTAATTTTGAGTCAAGAATTCTTGCTAAGAAATCCCTCTCAAAGACTGCTGCTTTCCTAATTTCAAGTGCTCTCTCGCATTCCAGGATGCGCCTTAAAAACGCATTTTGTGGCCTAGGAACAGTATGCCTGTAAAGCCCCGTCCCTTGTCATCCCGCAAAGTGTGAACAAATAGATGTAAAAACTCCTCCTTTCCCGCCTCATTGTGTTTTATTATGCAATCATTGACTATAAAGTCATCGTTTATAATATTATTTGTACTATATTTGCCTCCGTTCTTGTGATCTCTGAGTTAGTTCATAAAGGGGGAGGGGGTCAGCATTTATTTGCGCAAACGATTTGCAGACGCTTTTTGAGGGAGTATTCGTTATACAAAGGGCTGAAAATGGGCTTAGGAAGAGAGTCAGCATGGGCCCGGGGGTCGGGGAGATTGGAATTAGATCTTGACGGAGTAAATTAAATAGGAGAGGCCAAAAAGGTATAAGTCAGAGACAAAATTCATCGAAAAATCGCTCCATTTTTTACCAGATGACTTAGTTTTTGGAAGGCAAAATGTTATAACTTTACATTATTATAATAAACATATGGTGGGAATAGGCTATATTTTGATTTCTGAAAGTTTACCTTGTGCTTTCCACGCGCAATCAAAATATTCTCTGATCTTTTTCGACCAGAGTCTGGGAGAAATGAGGAGAGATGGTCAGAAAAAAAACTATTTCCCAAGTTTGATTGAGAAGAAAAAATATTTGGTCACCGTTAATTAAATCACTTCTTTTCAACTCCCAACTACCATATCCTTGACCTTTCATCTGCCGCTTCACCAATTATATTGTTATTGATTGTAATTGATCAGGCCTTTCCAATCACATGACCTCTCATTTTTATGTAAATTCCGGTAAAGTTTTTTTGCAAAGTTTCGAAACGAATGCACAGTTGGACCCTCGAAAAGGAAGGGGAATTGACTCAGATTCGCCTTCTCGAAATCGTTGATCACTCTCGAAGGGAAAGGGAAGCGATAGATAGTTCATCAATGTTTGCTCTCTGTTCTCTGATTTTGGGGAAACAATATGTACAAGATTTGAATGGGTAATGAAAAAATTATTTTTAAAAATTTATGTAATGAGGGTTACCTATATCCAAAAATTTATTTTTAACTTTTCTTCAACTTTTTCCAATTTAAAAAAAAACAATCATTATTTACTTGCTATCAATATGAGCCTTTGCACTAAGCATTTACAATTTTAGGGTACCTTTTTTTAGCTTCCTCATTTTCTTTTATAAAATGTAAGCCTACAAATTGCTCAAACATGATATCATTTTTTTATTTAGTGTAGGACTCTTTGATTGCTGATATTACAATCGTTTCCGCAAATAAAACAGTTACTTTCATCTGATTTTTTATCACCGTTTCTTCCTTTCAAAGCACTTTTTTAAAACTTTTTGTGATAAAATCTGGATCGGAGATCACTTTTGTTCCCATTTTGAATACGTTTTCGACTCCAAAAGCCCTTCAGAGGTGATCACATGCACCGGGAATGATGCTCTTTGTTAGACCAAATACAATAAAATCAATTTTCTCGATTTCTTTCCAATTCAGAGATCAAAAGGAGAAGAAACTTTTTTTTTATTTTAGACTTCAAAAAGTACTGCCTAAGGGCAATAAGAGTGAAAAAGATTACTGCACATATCAGTAGTTTCTGCAAATGTTTGAATTGAAAGGAGAAATTGATTTCAATCGAGTTTAAAATGTTGGGATGACGTCATCAAAAATGAAGAAAATCGGAGATCGCTTGGGAGAAATGAGCAAAAGTTTTGTCAAATTGTTGCACAGTAAAGTACAAGAGACGAAAAGGAATACTGGAGGTTGTTCTGTGACTCATAAGAGGCTAAAATATGATTTTTTCAAAGTTCAAAAATTGAACTTTTAATGGCAAAAAATGCAGACAATAGCCATTGAAATGTTTAGCCTTCGGATAAAATTATAGAAATGTCTGAGACCTAAGGATCTGGTGTTCTTCACAGTTCTAAAAAAATTAAAATATAAAAAATTATTTTTATTTTAATTCGAATTTCAAAATTTCTTTTTATGACGTCATCCCTGAACACTTGTGCAGAATTCTCGACAAACCCTTCCTTTTACAACCGCTGATTGTAATTCAAGGCTCTGATTTATTTTTGTAAGAAGTAACATTAATTTGAGCGACCTTTCTTTTCTTTTCCCATTTCTGTTCTTCGATTTCGAAGACAGTAACTTTTCTTCCAAATATTTTTTTTTCGATGTAACGGGCAATATTTTGCATAAACAGTAGTGGAAACACTGGCTTGGGGAGTTAAAAGTACTTGAGAATATTCGCAGAAAAAAATTATTTTTTTTGTTACAGTAACCTTAGGAAGTTTCTCGCAAACTTTTGCTTTTTTTATTATATGTTTACTGTATGTATTTATGATCCAAACTTACGCGACTTTTTAAAAAAATATTTTTAACACTTGCGTGGGTTCAGAAATTCCAAAAAATCCCTTCAGGGCGTTCGACAAATCGCTAATGAACGTGGCTTTTATAAATAAAATTAATGAGCTTTCGGATGATGTTATCGTGTAATGTTTGGAGAAAATGTTTTCCGGAAAATTATTATAATATATTGTAGTTGAAGTCGAATTGATTGCGTAATTCGGATTACAAAGAATTGTAGAGTTTATGGGATTAGTTTTCACCATCAAAACCATTTTTAGAGTGTAAGAAAAAAAAGTTACACTGAGATTGGGAAAGAAGAGTTACATTGAAATGATAATTGAGTAATCGGGGGTTGAATATTCTACAGTCCTTTCATGGCGATATCAACTGAAATCACCGTGTTCAGATAAGCCTTATTCTCGAATACTATTAAAATCTTGGATTGTTACAATCGTTTCGCGGAAAATAAAATCAGAGAACGGAAAGCAAACAAATTGAAAAGAATTTATTGCCTTTCTCTCAAGAGTGATCAACGATTTGGAGAAGAAAGACCTGAGTCAGTCCGTTACACTCTATATGGTACACTTTGGAGATGTTTTTCTGTCTGATTGTAAGGGTCTTCTGTTAGGAATAAGGCCTCTGTAGGCCATAAGTTTGGGCATTCTTCGGCACAATTCTAATAATTAAAAGTCTAAATTAAGTTTATCCCCAGAAAAGCGTTGTTTATCATCGTATTAATCCCAAGCTGTTTGGCTTCAGGTCGAACCTTAATCCATCTAACGAGACTTTCTAAACGAAAACTGTCTTCATAAAGAAAACGTATATTATAACAGCAAATATTTGAAAAAACCAAGCAAACATTTTTTCAAATATTTTCTTGGTTAAAAAATTTGTTAAGTGTAAAATCATTTTTTCAAGAGCATTCTCTGTGTTAAGAGCACTTGTAACGGATGGTGCCATTTGATTATCTCGTGCCTTTCCTCCGCAAACATCTAATTTGGTTCTTTCTTCTCTTATCAGCACTGGTAGAGTGATGTATGAAAAATTTTATTTTAGACTTGGAAAGTTTAGAGGCTAGAACTATTTCTGTTTTGTATTTTAAGGTACACAATTCTATTTTCAAAGTCTTGTATTTTTCAGTATTTTCCATGAAGTTAAACATTTTTACATGACTTTATTTAATTTTTGCAGTCTTTCTAAAATCAAATCTAAAAATTTCAAATGCCAAATGAAATCACTTTTCGTGCCCTGATTTCTTGAAGATAATTTAAATGTATTAGCGAAGATATGATTACAATCCTGGTCATGTCTTCATGCATAAATGTACAACTTATTGCGTGTGTTGATTACCAAATTGGGCTTCCAGAACAAGAGCCGAAAAATACTAAAGAATGCAAAAAACAGCACTTTTGGTGGTTATATAGCGTTAAGTTTGAGCACATTTTTGTATTGGATGTTATTTTTTACGGAATTTTTTCAAATGCGAAGCACTTCAGAACATTCTAATATATAGCATATTTTTAGCCTTTAAAATTTTCAAAAATTTTAATAATTTGCATTATTTTTGCTCAAGACTTCTATTTTGAGCAAAATGCCTTGAGGGCATTTCCGGGCTTGTCCCAGAATCTCCATGAATTTAGTGTTACCACCCCCATTAATGTCTGGCCCTCCGTTAACCTGTTTATGTTCCTTTTGCCCCACCAGGTTTCGGCCGTTCTTTCGTTTTCAGGTGGAAAATTTAAAGGAAAAAACGGCCGAAGCGCCTGTTTTGTCAGAAGATTCGCCGCTCTATTCTTTTGCCTCAGGGCCGTTTGACCCTGTGAATCCGGTTTTTGAGTCAAATTCTGATTTCCGGGGGCCATTGATTAATTTTTTGGGGAAAACAGAAAACAGGGAGACGGATGAGATAGACAAAATATTTCTGAATTATGAGGGGCTATGGGGTTGTGATGGGAGAATGAATGGGATTTGCTGGTAGTATGGTTGTTCTAGAGTACTTACATAAAAGTTTAACGAAGGGAGTAACTTTCTTTTGTAAATCTCTGAGCGATTTGTTTTATGACATCATTTTTACATTTTTTTCGCATTGTTACATCCTTTTTTGTTTGACCCAAAATCTAAATCGACTTAAATTGTGATCAATCTGCGCATTCTGAAGGTTAAACTGGATGTCTGATATGTGATCGAATATCTTTTCTCTCCGAACGATCGAAAGATAAGGGAAAAGGGGGGGGGCGAAAGTGATCTCTGAAATAAGAAGAGAATTCTCTTTTAAGGACTCTTGGAACAAGATATTTCTTGCAAATACATTGGTTTTGGAGGGAAGGGAGGGAGGGGATTTGGAATGGAATGCCCTCAGGGCAGACAGTTATGTGGTTTCCAAAATTCAAAAATTAGAAAATTTTATTTGTGCAAAAATTGACTTCTTTGTTAAAAAACAAGTAACTAAGTTTAGTTACAAACGGTCTTTTTACACCCCAATTTGTCCAACTTCTCCTTTTTTCTACGTCATCAATCTTCTCGATTCCTAAGACTTGGCCCAACACTATCTTCCGAACATCCAAAAAATATTCAAATGGACGTGTACAATAGAACTTGTTGTCATGAAATCGAAGATTAACATCTTCTTTTGTCATCAGAATTTTTGAACAATATTCTGGCCAAATCTGCCAAAATTTCTCTTTGCATTTCCAACATTGCAGTGAGAGTTTTTTGAAAATGGATTTCCCAAATTTTTGAATGTATTTTAAATTTTTAAATTTTTTAAAAAACGGAAAAGAAAAGAACGAAAAATTTTTGATTTTTTAGAAAGTCCAAAAATAAAATAATTTTATCAGAGATCAAGAAATTATATTTTTAAAAGTTTTTGTTCCCTGTAACTCTACTCTTTACCATGATTTTCCCAAGCAACTCTTTTGGTCAGCTGTTCCGAAGCCCGGAATTCATGGGATTACGTAGGAAGCGTCTGAAGAAACGGGGAAACAAGCCGACGCCTTGAAGACGGGGCATGGTTAGGGAAGAGTCTGGAGTCTTGGCCCTTTTATTGGCCAAATTCTGTTTTTACTGCGTAAATCTGGCAAAAACTTTTTGTTTTTTGCGCTTCAAATTGGCTAAAATAAAGCCGGAAAGCGTTGAGAATAAAAAATAATTTGTTTCGATTACCGTACTGTATTGTACAACCCTCAAACTGTTATGAGCAATTTTTTCGAGGTTTTTTTTATTTATTAAAAATTTTTTTCGTCAGAGTTACTAGAAAAGTTGGGGTTTTTTCCGATATTTGGACGATCCCGAGGGCAGAGGCGAGATAAACATTTTATTCTTCTTCTTTTTTGCACGGATCCCCTCAGGGCATCAGGCCGGAGGAACGAACGGCTGATGTGCCTCCGGGGAAATCGCGAAATTTTAGAAAGAATTTGGCAATATTTCCTCGAAAAATTTGCGAAAACAAGATTAGAAAAACTAACAAAGCGCAGCGCAATACCCACGCCTATTTTTGCCTCGAACCGCATAATATAGTACCATAAATTTATTTGATTATTCGTCACTTTTGGCCATTACTCACTCCTATTTACACTACTATTTACAGGGTTTTAATCTTAAAATCGTTGTAAATAACACCTTTTTTCCAATATTCCAACCTATCCCTCAGGCATTGCTGATAATTCTGTAATTCCTGGCAACTCTTTTTTTCTCTGCACCCTCCTGTCTTCCCACGATCCCTTGACTTTTCGCTGTTTCAGACATCACAATTTTATTTGTTTCCCGGCTCAAAAAAACGCAGCGTCAGAACGTCTTTGCCCTCAGGCCATTTGGCTGATAAGCGCGGAATTTGCATCGATCACACTCCGTAATTAGATGACGGAAAGGGAGTTTATGATGCAAGATTGTGAAGTCAGTCCAATTTGGCTGCAAGGGATTCAAGAAACCCTTGAAGTAGTGATTTTTACAATATAAAATCGTCATTGTTGGGGTGTAAAATCCTCTTTTGCACTGCACCTTCTAACTGTAGATGCAGAGAACTTGCGTCTTATCGCGGAAAATAAAGATTTTGCATCACAAAATGCCTCAAAATCTGTCCAAAATCCCGTATTTTAGGCGCGCCCTCCATCGCCACAACGTTAGCCTTTCTCTCCGCCGCCTCGCCCCTCAACTCGCCCAGAATGAGTCGGCGGATCAAGCGGGCTCGCCTCGACCCACCTGCCGCCAACCTCGCCGGAGGGCCTTCGCTTCGCCGACGGCCGGAACGTCGAGCCGACTCCGCCCCTTCGGCGGTGGGGGGACCCGCCCGCAAACGCCGAGTCCAAAAGAAGAGACGCGATTCCTCTTCCTCACGGTCTTCCGGCTCGCTGGATTCTCCGATTTCCCGCAACAGCATGCACGGTGAGTCCTTTTGTTCTCTGTTTATACTGCAATCGGGGTCAGAGGTACTGTAGGGTGCATTTCCGGTGCTTGTACCACATGTTGTGAAAAGAAACTGATACAACTAAGGCATCACTACGTGCAGATTAAGCACTTCCGGCTAAAGTTTTGATGGAAAAATATTACTTAGCGCTACCCGCAAACACCTTAAAGGGACCGCCTTATCTTCACAGTAATCATCTTATCTATTGCACTATGAGGGAAACATGTCATATCTGCAAGTGAAGTGTGTACATGCAAGAAGCAAAACAAACACCGTATTTGCCCTTGAGTAATTTCCGTAACGTCCAGATCACTTTCCATCCGTTCCGTATATTATTCTTGAAGTCGAGGAACAAAGATTGGACATTCTGTACAAAAATAATGCATTACGCTTAAAACTGGTGCCGATTAATCAGTTGGTACTCATTCGTTGTACACTATTTTTGAGGCCTGTTTTTTACTCATTTTTTGATATGTCATCCTCATGGATAATATAAATTTCTTGTAGTTTGGGTCGAAAAACCGAGCCAACTGCAATTCAACAAACACTTCGGACGGGTTTAGGTAATTTCTAGAACGTTTTTCCCTCCGACGTGGCCATAGAACACTTCTCAAGACCGATTTTAATCCATCTTCATCAAAAAAGAGAAAAATAAGGGAGTTTGTGGGCCACGCTAAGAGGGTTACTCAAGTCACGGGGTGTTGATCTGAGCCTTTTGTAACCCGCAATTTAGGTAGAGTGAAACGTCGGCTAACTGAGGGGTATACGGGTCAAATGGGGAGGTGTAAAAAGTGACCTCTCAAAGGCATTTTATTGAGCCGAAGAAAGGAAATACGATAGGCCAGAAGATGCATAGAGTAAAATGGAGGGCATTACTCACAAGGCACTACATCGACTCAACCACTTATTTTGACAGCTCTCGAATTTGATGATTTATGCGAAAATTATAAAAAATTTTCGAAATTTGGCAAAGAACCTTCATCCTTTTTTATCCGCACTTAAAGTAGCTTTAATACTTTATGAAAATGTTCATTTTTTAGCCTGGAACTACGACGATGAAGGCGAGTGTGGCCCAAAGAACTGGCCCGGCCAAATTGACGGCAAATACCAATCCCCTATCGACTTGAAATTGAGCAAGATGAAGGTCGTCAACTTGGATGATCATTTTGTCTTCGAAAACTATGATAAAGTACTGGTTGGAGAGTTTGTAAACAATGGGCATTCTGTCCAATTCATCCCTGATGCTGGCCAAGCCATCCCCACTGTATCTGGGGGCATGTTGGACCAGAAATACCAGTTTGTTCAGTACCATTATCATTGGGGGCAGCATGAAGGAGGTGGGTTAGCTAATGTTTTTGATTACAAAATATTTTTTCTTTTTAAGGCAATAGAATACAGTGTAAAATTGCCTTCTTGAATAATTTAAATTTTCTGAAAGGCCTTGGGGTCTTACTGTAACAAAAAAAATGAAAAGATCCGGATATTTGTATAAACTTTCTCACTTTTTTCTCAAATATTTGCAAAATTCTTGCTGGTTTTCCAATAAAAACACTTTTCAACAACGAAGAATGCCTTTGTTTTTCGCTCAGAACGATTTACACCGTAGACCAGAAATTCGTCTTTCCGATTTCAAAATTTTCCGGAAATTAATCAAAAAAGGGAAATTAGCTGCTAAAATAAAATTGGAAATTGTTCTCCTGGCCAGTGGTAATTGAATTCGATGGCTGGTTTGGTGCCTGAGGGAAATGCCGTCACCCAATTTGAAGGATTTCCACTAAAACGGGGAAAACATCAAGTTTTTTTGTTTTTTACAAAATTATAATTTTTTGGTTTTTAAACTATAAACTCCGGCCTAAAAAATGCAGCTTGAAGGTGCTAATCACTCGACACTCCTTTGTCTTTCTGTCCAATCCCTAATCGCCCCCTTTTCTGCGTTTTGCCCTTAGGGGGGAATGACGGAAAAGGCTATTAAATCGGCCCTGAGGGCTCATTAACACTTCCAGGTGACACATTAGGTAGAAAGAGGCTTGTTGCCATCATAAAAACCCCAATAAAGCCGGCAGGCATCATGTTGTTCGGGAATTATGTAGGGTAATATTACTCATAACCTTTTATGACATTGTAATTGTTTATTTTCATAGCTGTTGGAAAACAATTTAAAAATAATTTTATGATGGTTTTTATTCGATATTTGAATTGCAGGCTCGGAACACACCATCGGCGGACTCCGTTACCCCGCCGAACTCCATCTTGTTCACCAAGGTGTAGATGACCCCACAAAACTCGCTGTTCTGGGGGTCTTTCTCAAATTGGGAGAACAGGAGAATGCCCTCAGGGCTGAAGTTGACATCCTCCCCAACATTATTGAATGCGGTCAGAAATGCCGATTGGAAAAAGGGGTCCGGCTTCAGGATAAACTCCCGGAGTGCCCATCCAGTTTTGCCAGGTACGATGGTAGCCTGACTACCCCTCCATGCTCGGAAAATGTGGTCTGGACTGTATTTACTGACCCAGTAGAGGTGACTGAACATCAGGTAAGTGTTCGGCAGCGGTTTTGAGATGGTTTTTATAATACCCATAACCTTGGTGTGATGATTTTGGAAAAGAAGGCCAAAAAGAAATAATTTTCACTAAATTCATTATAAATCAGTAAATTAGAACAGCTCAGTATCCATACTGAACATGGGAATTTTTGCTTTTCTCCACCTAGTTCCATTATCATAATTTTCTGAACTTCCTCCAACTTATTCCACCGTGAATGACGTTTCACTCCAATTTCAACCCCAATGTCAACATTTGGCCTTCTTTTTCGAATATTTCCTCAAATTTCCTGTTCCCACGTTCCTTTTTTCCGATAAAAATCTTTTTTTTGCAGCTGGACCTTTTGCGGAACGTGAAAGACAATCGAGGAGCAATCATCCGAAAGAATTATCGACCGGTGCAGTCGTGGAACGACCGCAAAGTCTTTCTGGCGTGCTGAGGACTACTTTAATATACATAAAAACACTAGTAACAGGTCTAGAAAGTGGTAGGGAGGGGTCTTTCATTGATAAAGCCACCAAACACGACTTTAAATCACAAACCTTACAAGTAAAGTGAATATTTTTATTATCTAAACACAATGACAGACCTCTGATAATATAATACTTCTACCATTTCGCATTTTACAGTTTAAGAATACCAGTAATTGCACTATCGTTGAGCCAGTTTAGTAGTAAGTTGAACTGATGGATGTGTCTCGGAAGGTCTCTTTATTTAAAACACTTGCCTCTGCATTCTAAAATACGCGTCATCCGAAACATGTACCCGTCTTGCTTTATATTATTCATGCTCATTTAGTCTCATACAGAGTCTCCGTCGAGGAGTTTTTAATGAATACAGCAATAATAAAGTTCTATGTAAAATATAATACGATAAGGTGGCATTGATTTACATCTTTTTTTCATTTCGACAAATAAGAACCTGCAAGTCGGAGGGGAGAACACGGTAATTTCCGGAAGCATAAAGTTTATTTTTTTTTATAATTTTGATTCTCTTGTTTTTTGTTAATCTTTGAAGTTTTCGCCTTACGCCTTACCCAAATGACCGACATATTTGAAGATCTGTGAGGACAAGACAGAATGGAAAGGAAAAAAGTCTGGATCATATCTGGATCGGACAAACCACTAAACTTCATTTTGAAAACTTCAAAAATTTTTAAAATTCTTGCCACATCCGAAAAATATTTTCTGAGCGATTGTGCTGATTCTGCAGCCAGCCATCCATCCCTAGAAACCAGGAGACAAATTTGTTTTTATCATTTTTTTCCAATTTGATAAATTAAGATTCCAGGGCGCTGCGAAGAAGCAGTTGCTGCGACTACGGTCCTGTAGCAAGGTCAGTCTACGTTGCTACTCTGCACTTGATAACCATACAACCGTTCACTTGACAGTATGGTTCAGAATCGAAGATACACACCAGGGAAGTCTGTGGATTCACAGACTTACCATTACCGGCCCTGACCGTAGTAATTTCCCCAACTTGAGAAAGAAAGTAAAGGACACCTAAAATTTACTTCCTTTGTAAACAACATATGCCCATGTAATGCCATTTCCTTTATATTCCCGTCCTTTGATCAGGTTTAGAAGAACAACGGCTACAAATAAGGAAGTGTGGAACTTGCACGAATCTCCGAACTTAATCAACTTTTAAATCCAGTCTTCGAATCAGCCCTGGTAAATACGGCTTCGTGGATGGTTCATATAAATAATCAAATCTTCAGCAGAGAAATGTAAAGTTTTTTTTGTATTTCTAAGGACAATTACAATGGGTTTAAATGAATTTCTAAAAGTTTGCACTTGCGTTTTTCAAGAAAAGCATGTTGAGTCCCGAGAAGCGATTTAACAGTCATACAAGTGGACACAAGGAAGTAAGACGTTGTGGAAAGTAAAGTTTTCTACGATTGGTCGCATCCTAACTGTAGAAAATTCCCTTTCCAAGGCTGGCCATGTTACCAAAGACGTTTGTTTCCAAGAGAATGCCACAAAATGTTAATTTAACGTTTCAGAAATAAACAAAATTGCGTTCACTTATGACAAACTAATCCTCTCTGACGCTGTTTGTGACATTCCAGACGTTCCTGTCCCTTTTACTATTACAAAAACTTTAATTACCTTCACCCTTCAAATTCCTCTGTTTCTGACACTTTCTATGTCATCAAAAGCGTTAAAAATTTTATTTATTGATAAGAAATTCAATAAAATTTGACTGAAAATAGAATGGAAGTACCCGTATGCAATGAATAACTCTTACAAAGGAGGGTTACAATGATAAAAGGAGTAGCGAAAACAAAAAAAAAATATTCAAGTTGGCATGAATCCAGCGAATTTGTAGTCGAGATAAAGACAGCCGTTGACGACGGAGACCGTCTGGCCGTCGTTCTTCGCTTTTCGTATTAAATCATCGGCCGTGTCGGGGTCCAATTGGCTGGGGTTGGATTGGTAGGAAGCCATCATCGCGGCCGCATGATTAGCCTGAAAATATGAGGGGTTTTGATGATTTAAACTTTTTATAAATAAAGTCCGAAACTTTGGAATAACACCTTTGACATGGGATATATAATTACTTTAGAAAGATTTAGCTCATGCTTTACAACCCCCGGAAAGTTAGACGATCTTTACAGACGAAAGACTATAGAAAGTGAAGAGAGATGGCAGAGAAAGAAACTGTTTTCTTTTCTTTGTCGATTTTGCGGTGAAAAGAAAGTTTCGCTATTATTTTTTTCGGAAAGCACACCAAAAATCTTGCATATTGTAATATCACTGAGAAAATTTTAATTTCGGTTTTTGTCTAGCTTTTTTAGGTTCGGTATAAAATTATTGTTTTTGTAATTATTCAAGCATTCGGGAAACAGCAAGAGGCCCAGATCACGCTAAGCATATTTACTTCCCTGTCCACGTACTATTGTCATCTCTTATTCCCTCGACAATGCATCATGAAGGATTTGTTTTGAAAACAAAAATCTATAATATATGTATAATTCCATATTTGATGGAAGAATGGCTGGCAAGGAAAGCGGCAATAAACATTATTATGGTTGAAAATCAACTTGAAAATTATTGTGTGATGACTAAAAAAGGCATAGTTTCAGAGGATCTCTTCTAAAAATCAACCTTTGTTCTATTTTTTCGGGGTTTTCGGCGAAAAGTCAAAGTTGACATGAGAGAATGCGACTGATCCTCTTCACATGTCCTGTGTTTTCTTTGGCCAAATTTCATTTTCTGAAAATTTCGGGTTCCGCTTCGCAGGGACAAGCAAGATATTCAACAAAAATTTTATGCATCAAAATGATGACAATTTCCATTTTTTACTCTGACTTTACAAATTTTATTATACATATTGTGTATATAAATCAAAATACAGTTAATTATAGCCTCCAAGACATACTTACCAAACAATTTATACTCTTATTCCCACTCTCCCTACTCTTTGTTTTATCCCCTTTAATTTACCGGTCATTCACGTACCTAACCTCGCTATGTCAAAAGTAATTTCTCCGTTAACCAGACGTCCTGAAGTCTCATTGAGCTTTAAAAATGACTCCTTACGGATGTTCGTTACATAATACAAAAGCCATTCAATTTAAAAATTTCATTTTGGAAATAAAAAATATGAAAAACTTCGAAATTCAAGGAAAAAAATTATTTTTCAATTTAAACCGAAAAAGCTACCGTAATAACAGTGAAAATTAAACTTACATTGAGCAGCGCCATGGCGATGTAGCTGGGTTTGTTATCGCCCCCAATCTTCTCGAATTTGTCATCTTTGGATTCGGCACATCCCATTTCTGAAAACCAAACACTTCTGATTGATGGAAAAGGTGCGGTCACGGCATCGCCCTCGATTATTTTTGGCCCCCTCTTCACTCAACACGCCCTCAAGGCCAAACGGTTTGACACGGAAAGTTTCGGAGCGGAAAATGGCCTCAGGGCAAATAAAGGTTAAAGGTTTTTGGGGATGTCAAAACATTCGGAAACGGGTATTCGGGGACGGGATGGGATGTTGGGGTGTAAAGATGTGGAAGAATAGGGCCAAACATCGGAGAAAATGACATTAAATGCCATGACGAGACACTGTCGGTATGGATATGACAGAAAAATATATATAAAAGAAGGGCAGACGAAACGAGACAATTTGTGTAGGAAACAACAAAAACTGAGCGTATAAGAGCCATAGCAGAATGAAGTTGTGAAAATGGCCCGCCGTGGTACTCATAAAAATCTTAATTTATGATTTTTTAAAAACTTTTAAAAAAATTAATTTTTGAAAGTAAATATAAAATTACTGTATAAACAATCTAAAATAACATCCCAGACAGCGTGGAGAGTTACATGCGTGGTCTACCTGCTACATACACGATGTTAAAAATCAAAAAAAGTTCCCAAAATGTCTTTAAAAATTTAAAAAACCAAAAGTTAGTAAAAACTGCAGAAACCAGTGTCTAGAGGAATATATAAGCCTTTGTTTTACCCAAACCATTCAAAATCGTAGACTTGAAACTGGCGAAATCCCCATTACCGAGTGAAAAAAAACATTTTCAACGATACTCGAGGGATGGGAACAGAATGAATGGAGCGTTAAAATATAAATATTTCATGTTGCTAAGGTTCCAAAAAAGTACTGTAACCCCGCAAAAATGTGAAAGAAATCATCATTAAGAGGGTGGGGGAGTTTGCTTTAGGGGGTTTTCAAACATTCATTTTTAAGCCTTTGTTTAAATTATGTAAAATTTGAAAAATCTAATTACAACATACACTCAGAATTAAGACAAAAAATAAATTTTGTTTGGTATTTTTTATGTTCAGAAGTTAAACCAGTTAAAGAACAAACAACTCCAAAAAAATCAAGAAAAGATAAAGAATTTGGCCCGTCAGAATCAGGGAAAGTTCCATTCTGACATGTTGTCATATCTCTGATCAATTATTGTAGGCCGATTCTTTCAAATCCCCGAGAGCTCAGGCCCAATTGTTTTTCGAGAGAACGTAGATCTTCAACTTTAAGTTCAAAATAAGACCTTTATATTGTGCTTGTCATAACAACCCCATGAAAACGAGAGAAATTAAAACTGATGGCAAAAATAATAAATATTATGACCTCATACATTTTGATAGAATAGACTTCATAGAGCCACACAATGTCTTATCCACTGGATTCAGACAATTCATATGACATTAAAAACCAGTTTTCACTCAGTGTTACACATGATATCTAGCATAATGTAACGAAGCCTCCAATTCTTCGCCCTCACAGTGTTTTCGCGGGCACCCAACACAAATCCGGGACCATTCCGTTTCGGCCCTTAGCTCTTTACGAAGCTCTCATTGATCCGAGGATTTCATGCATACATTCGGCCGAAAAAACGTCCAAAAAGCGGAAAAAGGGGCAGAAGTCGTGGGGAAAACACGGAAATCCAATCAAACCCCGATTATTCGATAAATCCCCGGGGGACAGACGATAAATTCCACCAACAAGGTTAGTAAAAATAGAAGTCACCAAAACGTGGAAGGGCATTAAATGTAACCAAGACTGTTATTATTTGGATCTCCTCTGTGTTATTATTTGTAGGGAAGGTTTGTTGGGGCCAAAGGACATCTACTGGGCCATGAGTGGCCAAGTTCAGACATCATGGGAGTGGATTACACATGACACTTTGTTAGGGGTGTATAACATATAGAGTAAAATGCGTGAGAAAAAAAGGAAGTATTGTAGGGTTCGAAGAACTGATGAGAGGTAACAAAAACAACTATACTTGAAGTATGGCCCTGATAGGAAATGCATGGGAAACATTAATGTTGACTTAACATCCTATACAGTAAGAAAAGACAATTATTTTTCGATTAAACTTGCTTTTGATGTCTCAACGACAAGTTTTATGCAATTCCTGAGGGCCTCGGCTGTTTTTGCAAGCCTCAATTAAAAGGTTTCAGTAATTCAAACCATCTGGGAAAGAGTTGCAAGAGTCGAAGAGGCCCTTTAAATGACACGTGCACATATTTTTGAATATGCGTTAACAAAGAAGATACTGTGTAAAAAATAAATGTATTCTAAAAATGCAGCGTCATGAAGGTTTACAAAAACTTTTAGACCTAGTTCAGTTAAATTTTAGGCCCTCTAAAATCCGAAAACTCGTTTTTTTCATTTGCCTCTCTGTCTATAAACTTTTATAACCGTTATAATTCTCCACTCTTAAACAAATTGCAAAAAATGAACTAAACTCCAAAGAGTTTCCATGTTTTGTAACAACAAAAGAGCGCTTAGCGACGGTTGGTGATCCATTTGTTGGATGTTTTGTCCAATTTTAGTTACCACCCATGCCCGCGTCAGCCCAGTCCCATGGCTACCTGCATATCTAACTTGAGAGATTCATTTCTTGAACTTGGCCAAATGACGAATGGCCAGACCGTGTAAACGTAGGCCAACATATCCATTTAAGGTCGTTCTACTCAATTTCCACAAATAATGTTTGGATTTCGGACGAAACAAGTTTAAATCCAGAACATTTGGGGCGGAGCGTAGGTCCGTTGAAATTTTGAGGTAAATTCTTTTTCCTGAAGGTGTTGTGGAGAATCGTCAGTTTGGAAAAATAATTTTAGCCATTTCTTATGCAACAAAAATTGCGCAACACTCCAGCAAGCGGTACATCGATGGCCCGAAAGAAAAAAGCGACGCTCTCTCGAAGACAGAATATCTCAAAGATATTTCTGTGCTCCATACAACGCATAAGTCATTCCAATCTTCATTTACTTTTCATCTGTTTGTACGGGTGAGGTGATTGCTGAAACATGGCTTCGATCATTCAATGGATTTCCTCTGTGAACAAGGCCAGGGACGAAGATTCTTCGGATTCTGAAGGGGTGAGTTGCGTAGGACAAAAAGCCTCTCCCAATTCGAGTTTTATAATTTGTAACGTACATTACATACAATTTAAATATTTTTAGTCCGATGCTTCTTTCGAACGTGTTGAAATCGAAGACGATCTGCACGATGAGAACCTGGAAACCTCCACCGATCCTTCCGATTTTGTGGACTCTGTTTCGATCCAAGATTTTGATGCGATTTCCCTTCGCACGGCTACTGAATTTAGTGGTGATTTTGATATCGCCTCTGTTCGTACAGCTATTGATACGACCCAAGATTTTGATGCTGTCTCTGTTCGTACTGCAGTTGAACCTACCCAAGATTTTGACTCCCTCTCTCTTCGCACGGCTACTGAATTTAACGAAGATGCCGCCTCTGTTCTTACGGCTATTGAACCGACCCAAGATTTTGATGCCGTCTCTGTTCGTACCGCTACTGAATTCAACGAAGATTTTGATGCCGTCTCTGTTCGTACCGCTACTGAATTCAACGAAGATTTCGATGCCGTATCTGTTTGTACGGCGGTTGAACCGACTCAAGATTTCGATTCTGTCTCTGTTCATACGGCTATTGAATTGAGCGAAGATGCCGCTCATCACAACTCTGACATCCAAATTCCCGCCATTCCGACCTCTGTTCACGTGGAGCAACTTGAACCAAAGACTTCGAATGATTTGATTCAAAGTGGACCTACTTTTCACAGTTTTTCTGACGGGATCCAAGACGATTTTGACGCAGTTTCTGTTCACACGGCCATTGAATTGGATGACGATGAGCTGAGAAACCCAAAACCAGCTGAAAACATTGAAGATCTTGCACCAATGCTTGCGTCGATTAAACTGCATTTGGTTTCTGTGGAAAAGGCGAAGAATACGATCGCAGAGTTTGTTGCAACTTTTAAGATGGGGAAAATTGAGGAGGAGAAAAGTGTAAGTTGCAGAAATTTAAAGAGCCAAAGTTTGATGACGCCTATTTTTTAAATATTTTACTTTTTTTCAGTCCGAAACTTCCTTCGAATTTGTTGAAAACGAAACTGCCCAAGGAAAGGAACCGGAGTTGGAATGGCGGACAGAATCATTTGTTCAAAACACATGTGAATCGCTCACTAGTGCTGGAAAAGCTGAAGAATTGGAGGAGCTCGAACAATTTGATGATGACAATCTTTCCGTGGCCACAGGCATCGAACTGGAAGAGGCTTTGCCCAGAAACAATGACCCAATTCCTCAAAATAAGGAAGGAATCGACGCTGTTGCCAGATTGGTTGAGCAATTACGTTTGAGAACAGAGATGGAGAGAGAAAAGAGACGGGGATACGATGAGCCCAGATTTGTGATCGATCGAGGAGAAATCTCGGATTCTACGGAGAGCGAGACTGGGGATGAATCTGAGACTTCGGAAGAAGAATCGGATGAGGATTGCAGTTCTGAGGAAGGCGAGAGTTCAGAGGAAGATGAAGAATCAGAATCCGACGATTCAGATGATGATGACGATGACGATGAGCAAAATAAGGTCGAGGAAATAGTTGCAGAAAAGACTTCAACTGGCACGGAAATTGAGAATGATGACCAACAAATCACTCAAGCTTCTCAAGTCTCCAAGGAACCTCAAAATTCCACTCAACCGCCCCAGCCAACCTCTACAATCAAGCCCTTCCAATATCGCCGTCGCTTCAGAAATGGAAAATCCAACATCCGAGCCATGGCCAAGTTTAGGGCTGTAGAAAAATCGGATTCCCAGACCTTTTTGGAATGCATCGAGTTGTTGGGAATTGTAAGTAAAAATTAGCTGGTAATGAATTTTACTTTTGCTTTCAGATTTTCTTCGTTTTCGCCAGTGGACTCTTTATGGGTTACTATCAAAGGAAAATAATGGATAAGAAAATGGGTAGGTGAAACGAAATAAAGGGCCAGAGTTGTTAAGAATTACTGTTTTAGCTGTAGAGGACGAGTCGAATTTACATAAACGGAGTTTTATTTTCAGAGCAATTCAAATCACCGTACACCCAAGAGCAAGTGAGAAAGATCCAGGGATTGGAGAATATGAGCAAAGATCTTGCCGAGAGACTCCACCAACAGGAAACCCTTTCCCATATTCGTGAAGCAGCACTGGTAGATATGAATACTCAACTCCAGGGTGCGATGAAAGAAGTCAAGGAAATTCAAGAAGCCCAGAGAAATCAACTTGTCACCAACGCCTCTGACAATCCTTATTTTTCCATCGGATTCCGTCTTCAGCCCGCTGAAATCACCGAAAATGGAATTAAAATGGGAGGAAAGCAGTGGAGGTTAGCTTTGGCGTCCTTGGACAAGACAGAGAAGGCCCCGGCCATCAACAGAAACATCATTTATTATCCATCATTGTGTGTTCAGAGACAGGGAAAAGAATATTGCCTTTATCTGTCATTTTGGTATTATAAATAATCAATTGATGTTATGTTAATCAATAAATCTTGTTTTCAAGAGGCTTTAATGACAGTGGGTATCCAACAAAAAATTCAATAGAGAAAACTTAGCGACAAGTTACAACATGGCCACGGCAACCCGAAGTGTTTCCTGGCTCCTTTCGACACTTCGCCCATTTTGTATCGGTTGAAATCAAACAAAATGTCACAAAAGAATTTTTCGTGGGATTTTCCGATCGGGCGACCGACAAATGCATTTGCAAATGTGATATTTTTTCGGAATTATTTTATTTCTTTTGTCAATTTTGACACTTCGTTTGGACGAAGCTCAAACGTGGGCGGGAAACATTTTTCTTCTATTTCGGGTTGCCGGCAACCATGCACGGCTACTCTGTGGCATCATAATTAAGGTCCGGCTTCATCTAACCTTTTCTCTCCTCACGCTTTGGCTATTTTGATATGGGTAATAGTTATTATCACATTAGACTTACCACATCTGTACTGTGTAGATCTGACTACTAGGCCATCATTTCAAGCTACCATAACTTAGTATTTACTATGTATTTTACAAGTTACTAAACGGTGTTATTTTTCATAGTATGTTGCCATAATCACATCGGACTTCTTAATTACTACGAAGTTTGAGGCCGTTCGCTACGCAAATTCCTCCTTTCTCAACCACAGAAATTTTGAAGCCGACAAAAAAACCACAGAAACACAAAAGCAGAGAAAGTTTGGGACATCGCGAAAACGGAAATCTTTTCGGACATTTCTTTCAATTTATTCGCTGCAAAGTGATCTCAACGGAAATATGGCTTCGATTCCGGAATGGGTTGCCTCTGTGAACAAAGCGAGGAGTCTGGGAAACGACTCGGATTCTGATGAGGTAAGTGATAAGGGGCATCTTGCTGGATGTCTTTCAAGGGATCAGAGTTTTATCTTTCTATTTTCAGTCCATCGATTCCTTCGAACGTATCGAAGTGGAGGTCGAAGTTCATTATTCTGAGCACTCAGATGAACCTGATTTTAATCAAACATCGAGAGATAAGGCCTCTGCTGAACCAGATGACGACTCTCAGTCCGTACATACGGCAATCGAACCAGAATGGGATATTGAAGTGAAAACGAGAATTTGGAGTTGGTTCGAATTTCTCAGGAGGACCTCGGACAATGACGAAGCTCGATGCGTAAGTGTATAATTTGGACCTTTTGCAATCGGTTCTATTTACATTTAAAGGGTTTACTGCATTTTGTTAACCATTGCCGTATATTTTAAAAATCGAAATATAGTCAGAATATGTTGTAAAATACTTTTATGGATATGGATTTGAGGTTTTTAAATATAAAATCGTTACAGGAACGAAATCAACTTGAACCCTGTGTCGCTCAAAGAAAAGATGATCCCATACAAAAAGAGGACGCTGCTCCTAGAGTCTTGCCATCCGACGACGAAGTCAAGGAGAAGATCTGGAGTTGGTTCAATTTTTTGAAAAGGACATTAAAAAAGGACAAAGCCGAAAATGTAAGTCCAAAATTACAGAAAACCGTATGTATGTGAGGCTATTTTTGGAGTTGAAAATTTTTTGAAAATTATCATTTTATAGAACCGATTTTTGCCTCTCCTTCAAATTGTAGGCCGTCAAATAAATAATATTTTTTCAGACAGAATGCTCGGAATGCAAGGAAGTTGAGATTAAGGAACCCGATGAAAATGAAGCACAAAACGGTCAGAAAAGTCATGTGGTCGTCTTTGAAGACGACGATGAAGAAATCTTTTTCTACATGGAAACCAAAAGATCTTCTCCAAGGCAGTGGAAAAGAGACGCGATTTTGGAGACGATGAAGAAGATTATGGCCCAAATTGACACTTTTACAATGCGAACAGTCGCTGACGACGGAGTGGGAGTCCTTTTGGAAGGCTGTAATTGCGAAAATCATGAGATTTGTGAGCATTATGAATATTCCGAGGACTCTGATGACTCGGATTCAGACTCTGGGGATTCAGGGGATCGTGACATTGGAATTCAAAGGAATTCGGAGCGTGTTATCAACATAAAATACGACTCCGATTCTTCTGAATCTTCAGCAGAAAGCGAATCTGATTCAGAGGATTCTGAAGATTCGAACGACGCCTACAATTCCGATTCGGAACGTTCCATGAAACCCGATTCTATAGACAGTGCCATTTTTAAAGACGATGAGGAAAGTTCTGAGCAAGGTGAACTTAAAGATTACAATGCTTCTAATGTAAGTTTGAAACGAGCGTATTCTTTTATTTCTAGGCCCTTTTGGTTTCGTTTATCTTGGCTGGAATGATGGGATGTTACGGTGCTTATAAAATCATGGGTGAACAAAGTAAGTTGGTGATATTAGTTTTCAAATGAAAGATTTTGAGAGATTAAAAGTGCGGAGTAGAGACTGCCTTAATTTTGATGAGAAATGGTAGAAAGGTAGAATAAGATTTTCTAAAGAAATTAGAGATAGTCAGCCCTGGTAAAACCGACGTAATTCTCGGGCATTCCAAGTTTAATATCAACGGAATTTTTTATTTTAAAATTTGCAACCTTACAATGAAGGTTTGGCTATTCTGCAAAGCGCAAATTCAACTTTTTAGAGAATGACCAGCGCCGGAGATAAGACGATTCTGAAAGATTCCGCGAAAATTAGGATCACGATGATCGTCATCGGAAAATTTACGAAATTATAGGAAATAGAACGACATTAGTAATATTTTTTCAGAAGAAAACGATGCCCACAACACCAAGGGATTAATGACGCAAGTTCAGCGATTGGAAAGGGAAAACAAAATTATTTTGGAGAGAATAAAGGAATTGGAGGAAAGCCAAGCCAAAATTGGAAAAGCACAAACAGAGGAAGAAAACACCAAAGAAACTACCGAAACATTTGGCAGATCCGAAAGTTCCGTCAACGACATCCAATTTCATGAAACTTAAATCAGGAAAGTCGGTTATTACCCATCAATCTCCGCTCAGGATAGATATCTGACTCGTAATAAAGAACACTGCACATACGTTGCTGTCTTTGTATTATACTTTGTTGAATAAATTGTTATTTTGAAAATCGATGGGGAAGTGTTCCTGTGCATTTGCAATTCGAATACGAAAAACGAACAACTGTGCTTCTACAGCATATTTTCCTATTATAAAAACTCTTTAAAAAGTGCACTTTTTGTCGCAATAAACGCTCCATTTGTTATTTAGAAGGTCCAGTTTCAATTTTGTTTCTCTTTTCACGAGTTTTCTCTCGGTTTTGCTTCCAAAGTCTTGTATTTCTCACAAAAAACAGTTTTAAAAACAGGGGTTTTTGTTTTTTGTTCAAATTTATAGTAAACTAGGTTAGTTTCGGCTAACATAAGCCTAACTGTATTTCGATTTTTGAACGTTATAAAGATCGTAAGCATAATCGATAGTCACATTTGGCACTCTGTATTTTCAAAATTACTATTTTTTGAAAAAACTTTGGCGGGAAAAATATTTTTTTTCGTCGAAAATTTTATTTTTTTCTTCATCCAAGAATTATTCGAGACCTCGTGGTGGAAATTACGTATCTTTCTCTTATCACGCTAGCACATGTGGTCACCTCTCGTCTTTTGCGATAAGAAATATTGAGGGCTCTTTGAGAGCGCCGAACTTCCCTCGGAAATAATTTGAAATCAGCTGTTTGGAGGGCAGAGGACAGCTCTGACTTGCACTGCCATGTGGGAAAGTGTATTTAGAGGCAAAAAACATTCGAAATGACAAATCTCCTTTCAAAATATTATTTATGGGAGGTTTCTTCGAGTTTTCCATTGGATCACCTACTACAATATAATGTGGTCGAAAAGGTCAGCTATGCTGGCAATCTTTCGGGATATAAACCTCTTTACTTGTTTATCATCTCATTTTCATTACAATACTGGTTAAACGGACGTGTCTTAACGAGTTCTTGCGAAATTTTTGATAAAAATTGTGTAAAACAATGTTATTTTTGATGTTTCTTTTTAAAAACACTCTGTTTTGAAGCTTCTGCTCATAATCGACGCTATCTTTAGCAGACATTATTCAGAGAGCTGACCCTCCCATATCCAAATCTTTCTTTTTGGCATTAGAGAGCTCGCATCTGTCCGGCCCTCGCCTTTTCTTTTGTCGCCCCTCGCGGTTTATATGGATTTTCGCGTGAATATGTTAATTTATTAACTTTTTCCATTCACTTCAGAGCACTCGAGAACTTGCAAAATGGCTTCGACTATGAAAGATCGCCGAGATTCCGAATCTGTAAGTTGATTAGTCCAAGTTTAGGTAGTATAATATAAAAAATTAAATAGAAGCATTATTTTTGAAGTGAATATGCAGTCAAACGTTAATAGAATTGTTTTCAGTCCAATTCCTCGTCGTTTGAGAACGTTTCCATGGCCGGATGTTCGGATTTTGATATGGATGAGGCCTCAGTTTCCACCAGATCCGATCCAGAACACCAAATCTCGAATATCCGGGAAACTGATGTCATGGAGTCATCTACAGTGACTGCGACCGAGCCCGAAGCCTCTGAAATTGAGGCCAACGCGGTCATGGAGACCTCCACGATCACCGCTATTGAGCCGTCTGATGATGAATGTCTTGTGGAAGATCTAGATAACACAAGAGATGGAGTCCCTGACATTCCTACTGAACCAGAATCTGAAGAGGACTCTGAGGAAGCAGAGGGATGCAAGGGTGGCTACTCTTACAGTGATCTGAGCTCAGATGAAAATGAAAAAGATTTGAATGACTGTGCAGATGAAAGTGGATGTTGCTGTGAGAAGATCGACTATGCTTCGGATGTATTGAATGAGAAGGTTAATGAGATCTTGGCGAATGTTATCGAGGGCGCTGGAGAGACTGTTCAGAAATTGGAAAGGGTTAATAGAGACCTCCAGGAGAAGATCGAGACTCATGATGCCATTTTAAATATCAAAGAAGAAAAGAATAATAATGAGCAGTTGATCAAGTTCATGGTGGTGAGTGTTTTGGCTTCTTTTTTCACATTTAGGTTGTCAATAAAGACGAAAATTGGTGACTGAAGATATTTATGCCTAGTACAGTGTAATTTGGCATTAAAGCACGTTTTTTCAGGTTGTTGGTATTGTTGGTGTGATCGCCGTTCTGATTCCTCTTTATATGGCACAAAACGACCGTAAGTTGACAATTTTTGAAAAATTTATTTTTGGTACCTAAATTCCCATGAATTCAAATTCTTTTTTTAGGCAGAGAGGCTGTGGTACTGAAACAACAACTGGTTGAAGTCCAAGAGACCGTCAAGACTCTCCAGAAAGAAGTCTCTCAGATCCACAAAGATATTCAATATTCGAAATACGAAGAGACCAAAAGAGCCAACATGGAGATGATCCAAAATGTGACCAGAGGACTTGGATTATTCGCGAAGAAGTTTGCGGAAAAGGCCATGAATATAACCAAGAAGATGTCGACTTATGTTCAGAACAACTTCGACAAGATTCCCCAAGTGGAAGTGGTTTCTGTAGTTCGTCATGAAGTTCAAGACGAAGAGCCGGCCAAATATCCATCCTTCTGTTTCTCCAATCTCTTCTTCCAGGAGAAAGATAAGAAGACTTGTATTCTCTTCAAGTTATTCCGTCTTTGAGCCTCCTGAATCAACTTTATCATCAACTTTTCATATTTAAAACACCTGTAATTATTCCTTAAGGTGTAAATATTTTATCAATCTAATTAATCGTCGAACGATTCAAAAGTTATTCTCTTTCTCTACCCTTTACTCAATCTTCTCATCTACCTTATGTATATTACTCTCACAATTTATCTCATACCTCCTGTTTCTACAGGTAAATATCGAGTTTTGGCGGCATCAGGGCAGTTGTCAATACTGGTTTTTGAAGAATCCTCTAGTTCAGCGTAGAATCTACATAATACTCAATTTATTCTAATCATTTTTTAATTTTCGTGATAAAAAATTGATTTCTGTAGAGAAAATATTCAAAAAAGGCAGTTTGGAAGAAGAAATAAGAATTGTTGATTAAAAATGAGGACAAAAACTCTCAGAAGCCAATGTAGATCATGCTCCAGTTTCTGACAGAACGTCTAAAACCAGATCAAACTCGTCATTGTTGTCATCATTGAGAGGTGGGAGTCGAAACCGCGAGTCTTCAAATAGAAAGCGCGCCTCCTCACCACTGAGCTATTCAAACACGTGTCCCACTGCTCGTTTTTCTCTTCAGAAAGGGTCCTTTTATTCACAGAAAAGGGGTCGGAAATAAAACAAATTGAAAAACGTGCAAAGATAGTTGAAATTACACATTCAAGGGGTACCAACAATCTTGCTCTTGTTTAAGTAGACACTGGGCACTGGTCGATTCATCCCTTTCAGCAGTTGGACCGTGTTTTGGCCCGTCTTTTCCCTCTCAAAATCAATCATTTGCCGCCAAAATCCATTATTTGGAGCGATCAGTGGCCGGGCTCTGTAAACCATGGCATAAAGTTATAAAAAGTTTGATTTTAAAGCTCAAAGCTTAGCGGAGATTTTCTTCTTTTTCTTTCCGACTTACTTGCAAACAACAATATAACTTTCTTCCAGGGAGATTCCTTCGCTGATCATGAGGTATACCATACATAAAGCGGCCGATCGGCTCACTCCTGCCGCACAATACACAACGGTTTTGCCTCCCTAGAAGAGAAGTTTTAATTGTGATTTTTATCAAGTATACATAATTCGATGATTTACAAAAATTTTAAAGATTTTTATTTTATTTTTTTGGTTGCAAAGAGGCAAAAAGGAGAAGATTAATATTCCAAACATATGGCTAGGTTTCTTTATGACTCTCATAAACTTGAGAAACATGGAAAAATCCGTGTTGCATCATAAATCTGAGGATATTAGGCTGAGAAAACGATGTTTTAAAAGTGTAACACAGGTATGTAAAGTGTAATATGATGCCATAAAGTCATTTTCTCACCTTTTTCTTGGCCTGCTCGATGAACTCCGCCGAGCTCTCGAAATATTTGTTCAGCCTTCCCATTTCACTGTCATCAACTGGTACATCAAAGTACTCGACTCCTTCGTAACACTTTCCCTTGGGGATATTGGTGCAATCCACGACGTAATTGATCCCCAGATCTTTTAATTTCTTCTCCGTGATGGCTCCGTATCCGGCAATAAAGAGATGGGGCCGGATCTCGCAAATCGAGAACAACATCGCCGGCCGTTGCGGCTTTTCTTCCGGTTTATGCGGCGCCACAAACATTTTGCCTGGGGGAAATTGATACGGGGATTAAGGCTTTCGAATGTTTTCGGAAAAAGATTTCCAAAATTCTTTTCCCAATCACCGAAAATCCCCTCGGGCCACCTTCTTTTCTCTCTGCCGCCTTCTCTGTGGTCCGATTTTCTCGGATTTTTCGAGAAATCCCCTGCTCTCGAAAAGCCCAATTCACCTTTAGAAACGCTGTTGACAATACAATAAACACTGTCAATAGCCAAAAAACACTTGAAATTTGACTGTAAACTCTTAAAAAGCCAGGCTGACCCTTTCGAACTCTGAGGTAATTGTTTATAACAAATATTTCTACATTTGAATCTACAACAACAACAACATCATGTACAATATCATGGCAAAAGATATGAGATTCCCGCCAACACCACTCGATCTTGCCTGAGGCGCCAAGAAAGTGGCTTCTGCCTCCTCGGAATAGCCGAGATTCCGTCGTTTTGGACCCGTATAACAGAATTTTCGGCTTTTACAAATACATTCCTGGAGGTCGACAGAATCGTGGAGCCTGCAAATAATGACATTACAAGGCTTCTTCAGTAATATTCAGTATAAATAATGGAGTATATTACTTTTTACAAGTGTTGTCGCCTCGCTTCTCCATCACCGAGTCATCCACGGCTCCCAATTTCTCCGCACAGCCACGAATTGTGAAAGAAGAGGCTAAAATACGATTTCAATTACTGTTAGATTAACCCGACGACCCTGTAAAAAAACTTACCGGTGTTATGATCGGTAAGAGTCAAGGTTTCGCAGTAACTCATTGCGCAATCTTGTTTCCGTAGAGCGCTGATATTCCGGGGTTGCGAACAATCAGGTGTAATGAATTCTTTGTTCGGATACTTCCCTCTCCTGATGTCTAGAAGATTCTGAATCGCCCTCTGCATCTCTGGACTGACTGATGACCAAGGAGACATGCAAGTAAAGCACCAATTGTTAGTCGTTTTTACATCCACAGACGCAGGCTGAAGATCCAATTTGGCTGGAGATTGCTGCGATCTCTGCGGGAGGGAGCGGAATGTTGTAGGGACTAAAATACGAAAATAATTTGAATATTCTGGGCCAAAATTATATTGTACGTTATACTAAAATCATGATTTTTGAATTTTAACATTAAAACCCTAATTTTAATCTTCATTGATTGTTTTCGAATACCCTCTTCCATTATCGACCAAGCTCTTCCCTGATTATTCATGCAATTTCTATCTTTTTTATGCAAAAAATGTTTACCTCCATCTTACTAAAAAGACCTTCGTTTAATCAAAACATTCCTTTTTGCAGGTTTTAACCAGCTAGGAACATTGTTTGACCGTTCTCTGAAAGAGGGCGAAAGAGAGCTCTCTGATGGAAACCCCACTGGTAAACATCTCTTTTTTTATGCGCCCAAATTTTATTTTCAGAGTTCCTTTTTCACAGTAAAGATTAGTCAGTGTTATTGTATCCCAAGTAAAACTGGACTATTTTTTGTTACATTACCCACCCAAGATTTGGGCCCAAAACAGTCTCGAAACGAAAATGTGGCGAGAAAAACGTCGAAATATTTTTTGCAAAAAGCTTTTGGCAACAAATTTGGTAAACAAAACCGAATCCAACCCAATACTTCCGGTACTTTTCACTTCTTCTTATCAGTTTTCTTCCGTTCCGCTCTATTTTACACATCTGACATTGTATTAGGTACAGTTCTTTAGTTTCTTCGAGGATTTACGTAATAAGATGAAGATTTTTAGGTTTAAACTGTGCGCAAAATGGCGGTGGACGAAGCCAGAGCCGCGTTTGATCTGTTGATGAGCACTGGGCAAGGCAGAGCACGTCAAGAAAAAATAAAAGAAAAACGGGCGCCCAATGAAAAAGCCTAGAATTTTTTTTGGCATTCTGCCCTGTGCAAATCCGTTTTTGTCCAAATGGTTTGCAATATTTAGACATAAAGATTAATAGTAAATCACAAGATATTGATATCAATAGAAAGCTCGAGAGCTGCTTAAGCTAATAGAACCAAAATATACCCATAATCGTAGTATTTTGACAGTTTTCCATGGCGAAGAATACAACGTCTAAATAAAAGTTTGTATCGACGATACCGACTCAGAGAGCACTGGAAGGAGGTATAGGCTCCACGTCAAAAAAATCCTTAAACTGTTCTTCGAGTATCTACACCGGTCCCGTCCCGCTTGATGGGACAGTTTTTTTGATATTTGGCCTTGAAATTTGCACTATTTTTAGCCTAGCTCGAACCATGTTCAGAAAATGCATCACGATGACACCCATTTAGAATGTACCAGCGGTATAAAAAACAGTTGTATACGACTAGTAGTACTCCCTAGAGTTCCCATAAAAAAAATTAGGTTAAAAGTTGTTGTTATGTGCAATTTGGATGACAGGTTTTATGATTTTTTTTTCGCTGTGAGAACCTTTGCAATGCCCGCAATTTCTTGACGTGCAGAGCCCTTCAAAATTATTATTTTGGCATTCACATTAAGGTATGTCTATGGTTTTGTTATTTTTTTGGAATTTTGGGTATGAAATGTGTCAAGTAATGAAAGGATAGTTTGTATTCATGTAGACGATTTCAGAGTCTGGCTATTTTCATGACCTTTATGGACCTTTTGATCAATGTTTTCCCGGCGATGTTAGTGAATATCAACTTTCGCATTATCCTCTTTGCAATTACACTGGGTATGAGGATCCCCGCTTTATATACCGTCCTTGTTCCAAAAGTCAAGTATCTCAATGGGTACAAGGCACTGTTGGTAAGTAGTTTTTTTAAGCTTTAAATGGTTTTAGTTGATCACTGTTGCTCTCACCTTCGCCACAAACTGTGCCCAGATTATTGTGAATTTCACTTCAACTAACTGCCAAAAGATTCCCTTGCGCAATTTCTTCGCCGTTTCTTCGGTGATCTGCCCTTTGGAGTTGGTGGTTTTCATGACCATTAGCCAATACATTAATTTTGTGGCTGATCAAGGAGTAATTCCCCCTCCCACTGGTCCGAACGATCCTTCTGGAGCCAGCGAGTCGCCTGCCAATGAGAAGAAGATGAAGGAGGAAATAAACGAAGTTATTAACACCTCCGGCAGCCTCAATACCTCTGTTTCCGATCCAAATGCTCCTTTGTTGGCCTAGTGGAATGTCAAGTTGTTGTTGGGTCTTTTTTTACTTCCGTTGAGTCACTGTTGTTGTTGTTGTTATTGTTGATTGATCTTATTCTAGTTGGCAAGATTTACTTTTCTTGACCCTGATTCTAAGCATCTCCAAAATTTAAAATCTATAACCTCTAGTACATCAAATTTTGAGTTACTTTAACCCTGCGTTGTTTCTGTAAGTCTCCCTAATAAACTTTTTCTGGTAATGTTGAAAGTTTTTCTTACCCTTCCGTTCATAATTCATTGGACCAACATAAGGATCATAACCATAATGAGGGGTGTATCCCACATGGCCATTACTGTAGATATTACTAGGGTTACCAGCAAAAGGGTTCTGACCTCTCATCTGCATCTCAAATACTCGACTTTCCTCTTGTTTCAGCTGAAAGTTCACTTTTATTTATATTATTCATGATTATCTTCTGATTTTTTGGTCAAACTTCTTCTTAATCTTATGTAATTGATTGCGCAATTATGAGTTTATTGTTCGGGGGTTTTTCAAGACATTCTGTAAAAGAACTTTTCAAGGGCCATTCAACCGTAAAACGATTGATTTTTGAGTAGTCTCCTCACAAACATTTTTTACTTTTTTGTAGAATCGAATAGGATTAGCCCAAACTCATTCGGTGCACCCCAGTTTAAAGCGGTCTAAAGCCTCGCGTTCAGGTGTAATCAGCCCGAAAGTGAAGGTTAAACGTTTGATTCTATTGTCTGCGGATTCGGGGAGCGATTCACAAGGAAAAAACGCATAAATTACCCGAAAAACGGATGGGATTGACAATTGAATCAAAAATAGGGGGTGGAGAGGGTGACTGATGGGAGGAAAACGTAAAATACGCGTTGGGAATTACAGAAAAGCGCAAAATCATCGTGGATAATATCGAAAGAAATGGGCAATTTATGAAAGTCGAGGTAAGATTCGTTGACGTCGATGAAACCAAAATTTATTACCTGCGCGATCCGCCGCGACTCATCGGCCTCTGTCCAAATCTCTGCGTGGATCGCCGTTCCCAGCGCCGCCACCAACAAGGCCAATCGCATGTTTCGGGGCTCGTTTCAAGCACGCATTAGACCATTGACATGCGGGTCCGAGCCTTGGAACTACCTTCCTCGCCTTCTCTGAAAATGTTTATTCTAAGGGCGAGAAAAGGGAACGCGCGAGAAAGGAGGTGATAAACAGGGAAAACAAGAATCATATCGAAACTGGTCCGCTTTGAACCTTTACCGCATCATGGAATGGGGAGGAGGGAAGAAAGAGTAAGGAAACGACTGAATTTGGAAAAATGGTGGGGGTTTTGTCAAGGTGGCCTGTAAAAGTCGGGGTGGTAAGATCGGAGTTTATGATTGGTCTAGGAGAAGGTCAACTTTTTGATGTTTTTGGCAAAATGAAGGCTGTAAATTACAAAGACACAAGTGATTAGAAAGCTTTTTTTGAATCAAAAATAGGATGTCTCAACTTTTCGAGCAACGAAAATCCGAAAGAACTACCATAATCCTATTCATCGGGCCTCCAACTTTGTGGCCACTCAATGACTAACAAAGAAAAGGCTGATTCAAATGTTTCATGCGGCTTCGAAGCAGAGAGCGGTCGCATAAATATTTGTAAGCTACACCGAGAGCATTGACCGCAATTAATTTGAGCGCCAGCCGGGGGATACGTGGAAAGCAGAGGGGGTATCAGATCGGGGAATTGAGATGGGGAATGCGGAAGAGCAAAGGTCATAAAATTAGCACATTTTAGGGAGACATTACCGTACCAGACAAGTTGATATCAAAACTATTATGAGTAATAGATCACAATCCAAATTTGATGACTAAAGTAATATCCAGTTTATTTCACAATCAATCCGCGATTTCTAAACCACAGAGATCTCCAAAAAGTCGCATATTGTCAAACATGACTTATCCCTGAGATCCCTCGCCTTTTTCACAAACCATAAAAATTTGAAAAGCTGACAAAAGGAAACAGATCAAGTATAATGTGATATTATCCACGGAGATCAGCCATCCATGACCAGTCTGTTTTGACGTAACCTCATAAAAGCGGGGGGAATTGATGAAAAATATTCGGGGAAAAAGGATAGCCAATGTCCAAAAAAAAATTCAGATGTTCAGACGCCAAAAAGAAATAGAAATAAGTAAGAGAAATTGGTAAATTTGGGAGAAATCTGAGGTGGTTTTCGTAAGATGGGCTGTAAAAGTGGTAGTAATAAAAACAGAGTTTATGATTTGTCTAGCGGAAGGTAATTTTTTATGTTTCCAGTAAAGTAAAGGCTGTCGTTACAAAAAAGTATCGCCAACGTGATCTTGGATTTTTTTTTGAGTCATAAGGGGCGTTTTTCGAGGTTTTGAGTTACATAAGATACGAACAAGTTACAAAAATGACCAGTTGACATCTTCAAAAAACTATATTAGTCGCAAAAAAGACGGCCATTGTCCACAAAAGATTCAAAAAAATATTCGGACGCCCTCAAATTAACTGGGACGCTCGCCTCTCACATTTATGGACGACCGAAAAGTCTCGAGCGTCGCAAGAGAAAAGGGACAGTCGAGATCATCGGGGACGACCTTGGAAGGCAACGTTCAGACGTTATTATAGCGAGAGAGGTCTTCCGCTCTCCCGTTTTTACAACGAAAATAGTTTTGTTGTAAACTTTCACTGAGCAATTACCCGGCTCCCTCCCCACCTTACTAATACCTCTATTCTTTGTCGCCTTTTTTCCTGAATAACGCACCGGTCAGGGGAAATGGGGAGGGAAATAAGGGGGCGCGACACTCCAGAAAAGGTCACTGATTCAAGGGAGCTCTTATTACGCGGGTTTCGGGCACCGCGCATTCATCCCATTTTAAAAAGTATATCCAATATACGGATCAAGATACCGCGACGACTGACGGGAATGGGAATAATCGCGGGAATGAGGGAATTAGGCGAATAAGGATGCACTTTTAAGAAAACAATGTGGGAAAGACGCTAAAGAGTTCACACATCTAATTGTATTCTAGATTAGGTCAAGTTTTAGACGCAAAGAATAAAAACACATACAAAAACAACTACTTTAATGTTTATTCACACCCAAATCCCCGTAAATTAACACTTGAACCACAGCGATGCAAATGTGTTGTTATTAACTCTGAATCCGTTGAACTTGAATGCAAACAGAGTGCATTTCCCGTTACTTTCGGGCTCGAACATGAACCCAACACAACTGTCCGTCCTGGCCTTGTTGCACAGATTGCGGCAATCCGAGTCGTAATTCACATACCCTGCGGCCGAACCTGCGGTAATCGAGCTGGCCAGGACATTCTGAGTCTCTTCGCGGTAACCGTGTGGACATTCATCAGCTGAAATGAACATGTAAACAATGTTAAGATCGTTTCATCCAAATGTTGCGTAAACTTACAATACTCATCACTGTCATCTTCGTCTCCTGAAGTTGTGAACTCTTCATCCGGTTCTGTAACTTCTTCTGGACGTCCAGTAGTCAGTTCAGGATAATCTCCGGTAAAGCCAGCCTCTGTAACCCCTCCACTTCCTTCTGTAATTCCATTTGTCTCGCTCTTAGTTACTCCATTCGTCAATCCCTGACTCGCTCCGTTGGTTAGTCCCTCTGTAGCTTCACTGAAATCAGTTATCTCTTCGTTCACGGTAGTCAGTTCGGGGTATTCTACAGTACTTGCAGCGAGATCCGTAGCTTCTGTCAACCCATTTCCATCGGTATATTCATAATTTCCTGTTGTTATATCAGCCGATCCTTCGGTCACCGGGAATCCTCCAGTTGTAATTGAAACTTCGGCATCCGTTACTTGATAATCGCTGTGAGTGGACATTGTGAGCTCTGCATCCGTGACTTTGCCCGTTTCTGATTCGGTTGGAGTGTAATCATAGTTACCGTAATCATGAAGCTTGGTGGTTGTCTTAGTTGGAATGTAAGGAGCAGTAGTTCTGTTGACAACCTTCTTCGTTGTTGGTTTGTAAGTCCATTTGAAAGTAGGCTGTCTTCGAGTTGTGACATCTGGGACAGTGACTGAATAATCTCCGAATCCATCCGTTGTCGGTTCACCTGCAAGTTGAGTGGTTTCTGGGTAATCATTGTTGGACGTGACTTCTGAAGGGTCTGTTAGTTCCGTTCCAGATTCAGGTCCACTTGAGGCCAAAGTTGTCTCGATGCCTTCACCGGAGGACTCTGTGACCGTTTCACTGGCTTCGGTAACCTTTCCCGGAGATTCTGTGATTGCTCCTGATGATTCTGTAACGTCTCCACTGGACTCTGTGACCTCTCCGCTGCTCTCTGTTGCTGATCCTTCTCCGCTTGAGGCTTCAGTAACATTGACTTCTCCACTGGCTTCTGTCACGGCTTCAGTAATAGATGGTGACCCACTGGCCTCTGTAACTTCACCGCTGCTTTCGGTAACTTCTCCAGATCCACTACTTTCAGTTGCCGAGCTTTCTCCACTTGAAGACTCAGTAACAGCGCCGGAACCGCTTCCTTCTGTAACATCGTTGCCAGATCCAGAAGAGTCTGTTGGGGATTCTGTGTAGCCAGTTACTTTTCCGGTCGATTCATCAGGAGCTTCAGTTGTGGCCAAGCCAGATCCAGAAGAAGCAGTGGTTTCAAGGCCGGATCCAGAACCAGAATTGTCTGAAAATAAATTTTATTGTAAGTAGACATCAGATATTTTTTATTAAAAAAAAGTATAATAATATTACTCCTGTTGTCATTGAGTACAATGGATACCGTACCAATGCCGCAGTAATTAAACTTACCGGCAGCCAAGGTTGATCCACTTGAATCTCCTGAGGCATCCGTACCCGAGGCCCCAGACGAGTCCGTGCTGTCCGAAGCGGGGCCAGGTGAGGTCGCTCCAGAGGCGCCCGAACCAGTTTCGCCCGAGGCATCGGTGGAGTCGGACTGACCGCTGGCTGAAAACTAAACTTGACTGCTGACCGTTTTGTTCCCCCTTTCGCGTGAATGGACCCCAGAGGGGAGGGAGAGAGATAGATGGTTGATGATTCGTATGTTATTCATGGATTAACGGAAGAGGAAGAAGAGACCGCCGCTTATGAATGCATTTGTTTTTTCTGTCAATTTAATCTTTTTTTATAGAACCCCATCCCATGATGGATGTGTCGTCTAATTACGTTTCGGACACCCGCACATATTCTTGTTCGGCCGCCGCGGCCATAACGAGACTTGTTTTGTCCGCGCGTTTTTATTCAGCGCCGTCTTGAGGGACTTTCCGGGATTCCGCTAGTATTATATCGTCTGAATTAGCATACGACATCGCTGGTGAGGGTCTTTTTTGAAAGGAAAAAGCGGATTTTTAGTGTTATTCCTAACAAAAACACTTGTACTTAACGCCTGCTGAGATTGTGGTTTGTTGTGACTGGCCCACTTGTTGAGTGAGGTTGAGTGAGCAAGCCCCATCTCAAACCCCTGAGGCATTTGTCTTTGCAAGTGGGGATTTGTTACCTTTTTTACGGACTTTCGCGCCTAAGTGCTCTTCCCATTTCTTAACGACCGCTTGTTTCCGGACCTTTTTCCCCGATGCCCTGAGGCCAGGAAAGCGACTGCTTAAACCGGCGGTTCTGGATCGGGGTCAGAGTCATTCTCGGATTGCGTGACTCCGCCTTTATGCTTCAGAAGGCCCGGCTTTTGTGTTCTTCACGGTGACATCCCTTCTCTTATGTCTGGTCCAACAAAGGATTGGTCGGTCCACTCTCTCCCCACTTTTTACTCGAGTTAACGGCTCTGAGAGTTATCTTGTAGGTCGTTGTACTCCTATCTGATCGTATAAAAATAGCCGGAACGATGTTAGGAAGAGGAGTTCAGATTCCTGTCACTTCTGATGGCAAAGATCAGAAAAATATTTCCTTGGAACCCCTTGCCCGGCTCCAGACGCCCCAAATCTCGATGCCTTATATGATTTGGGCCCTCAAAATTTGATTACCACGCCTTTTTCGGGCAAAAGTCGTGTCCCGTTCAATTCTCGCTCACTCTCGCCTCATTTGGGCCCTGAGTTCGGAAGCCGAAATTCGGGCCCAGAAATGAAGAATTCGGTTTTTATATGCCCGCGGCCGTTTAAACAATCCGAAGGACTGCACTTTGTTGATTTACTGCTCGCAGTTACTTAGAAGTCGCGTTAATTGACTTCTGGTATCGACGATCTTTTTGTTACACCAAGATTTTACTGCAATCAACATATTTTTTTTAATTTTGAGATCTCCGTGGCTCTATTTTGTACTGTAGGAGCCAATAGTCCCGTGTTATGTTGTTGATCTTCCTCCTTTTTATTCGGCTGTTTGCAGTAGTCAGCACTTTGTCAAAACGAATTTTGAATGTGAGATGCCAAGAAGCGGCGCGCCTGGCTTCTGAATCCCCGAGAGACGTCACGAAGATTTTCAACGCCTTCTCCTCGTTAACCACCGCCTTCTTCGTCCGACTCCCCGGATGTTGCCCATCATAACCATGCTGTTCGTCTTGCTGGGCCTGGTTCGGGCCCAGCCTTGGCTTTCGCCGGATTTCCCGGTTCGTCTAATTGACGACACCATTGATCATATGACATCCAGATTATTGCCGGAGGCCACTGTCTGTCGATATTGTCTGTGCGATCGTCATACGTTGACGGTGACTTGTGCGTCGGCCAAATTAAGACTAAAGACGCTGATCTTACCTCAATGGGCCGAGATCTTCCATGCTTACAATGTGTCGGTCCCCGAGTTCCCTCATTTTACTTATCATCCGGGACTAAAGGTAAGCCAGACAAACCGCGCATTACTTATCTTAAAAGCAGGGCCAGAGGTCATGTTTTCCGTTTTTCCTACCATAACCTTCGTGAATAATGTATAAAACATCATGCGGTTTGTATTGCAGGTGCTTCGCATCAACAATTGTCATCTGAAGCACCTCCATCCCCTTTCATTCATCCCATTGCCCAATTTGGAGACGGTTCATTTGACTGACAATGAGATCAGCTCTCTTCCGGAGACGTTGTTCAGGAGACTGGTTCACCTGAGAATAATTAATCTGGCCAGGAACAAAATCAATAATCTCGATGATTTGGAATGGTCATTGCCTGAGGGGCTGATTCTAGAACAACTTCATTTGGATGGGAATCCAATAAAATTGGGGAAATCCGAGAGCTCAATCCATTCATGGCCAAGAACAAGACAATTAAATCTGGCCAACGCCAATGTTATGCATGTCAATTCAACTCATGTCATTTTCCAAGTAAGATCTTCCTTGAAATCGTTGTATTGTCTGTACCATAAGTATTGACTCTAATTATCTTCAGGATTCCCCCTTATGCCTCCAAGAAGCTTGTCGGGCCCTGAGGCTATCCCCAAAAGTCTGGGAAGTGATGCATTCCCTTGATCTCTCCGAAAACTCCAAAATTCATCTTCATCCATCGGCGTTTGAATCCTTGACTAACCTCAGTTCTCTTCGGCTTGCTGGTTGTCCATTATCTGACAATATTCTGACTTGGCTTGACTCCCCGACCAACCGAATCCGCCATCTCGACCTTAATGATGCAAGATTTGAACTTCAAATCAAAGAATGGCGATTCTGCGCGCCTTCCTTGGAATGGCTGGATATCTCCGGGATCGGGATCTCTTCTCTCAAAGTCCAACCCAAATGCTCTAACCTTCAATGGTTATACGCGGAGAGGAATAATTTGGAAAGAGCCGAGATCAAGTCCCATTCTTTGGTGGGGATCCATCTCCGAGGGAATAAACTTCAAATCTGGCCATTGCCAATTGGCCAAGACGCTTTGCCCTTCAGCAGATTGACGTATTTGAGTTTGTCGGATAATCTAATGGACACAGTGCCTCCTCACGCTCTCCATTCCCTTCCTCAACTGGAGATCTTGGACTTGTCCAATAACCGGCTGACCTCTCTTCCTCGTTCCGCAATGCCGACGATGGAATTGAAGCTTCGGAGTCTGAATGTTTCAGACAATTTCCTCGAAGAATTCAAACCGCCGATCCTGCCGTCTCTGGCCGTCCTGGATTTGAGCAGTAACAACTTAAATATGATCGACAACGACTTCTGGATCTCGTTGCCGCTTCTTCAACGTCTTCATTTAGCAGGAAATCCCCCTCAAATGTTAGTGGATTGGGAGTCGACAGCCATCCGACATTCCACTCAACTAATGGAGCTCGATTTATCGAATATGGGACTTCATGAAATCCCTGTACTAAGTCAGCTAAAGCATCTGAGGTCGTTGAGGTTGGACTCGAATAAGATCTCGTTTTTGGATGGCTCGAGACTGCCAAAATGTCTGATGAGTCTGAGCAGTCGCGGCAACTTTATCCATCTTTTGGGCAACTTTAGCGAGGACCAATTCTCATGTCTCAAAGAGATGGATCTGGCCAGGAACCCGTTGAAATGCGACTGCTCGTTAGCCTTATTGTCGCCGATTTTGGAACATCAGGCCGGGTATACGGTAAGTTTCCGAAATTTTATTTTTTATCATCTTTTTCTGAGTAGAACACTGTTATAAGACGGGGATAGTAAACAATGTTTTCGAGGACCCTGTTGCGAGAAAATAAAGGACCCATCAAAGAAATGCCATCTCGGATTATGACATTCCTACTTCCGTTACTTTATACTAGCCCATCGGAGGGGGCCATAAAAAACATAATATCGAGTTTTATGCTTGATGCACATTACTTCCTTACTACAGTAAAAAAGAGAAATTTTGAAGTTTTGAAAGTAAAAAAATTGTTTCCATAATGGGTAGTCTTCAAAAATTATCGTATATATTGGCTGGATTTGCAAAGATCGGGCTAAAACTTTGAGAGATGGAGATGTGGTCTATATACAGAAACCGTGCCATATACAGCAGCCACAAAGTCTAAACAAAAACCGAGCCTTGCCCTCTATGAAATTAGCATCTAAGATTTCCTAACTTAACCATCCCAAATTTTAATACAAACACTTTCCAGGACCGAAGTGAATATTACTGTTTCTCGGATAACTGGCAACATCCCCTCAGGGCATATGTGGAAAGCGCCAGATTCTGCCAAGATCAATCGGATGAAGACCGCTTTACTCCGCTGTTACTCAACTTTATGGGGATCTTAACCGTTTTCATTGTTTTGGCTGGTCTCGCCGTCTTTTTAATGTTCCGATTCTGCGCGGTTCTCAGTAAAAGAGTGATGCCTTTTGCTTACAAACCAGTGCTTCAGTCTGATCTGATTGTAGACTTGTAAAAATAATTGCCATGTTGTACATGTACGTAATGTTCGGCGCTTTTCTTTGTTCTAGTCTATTCCAATAAGCTCTCTTATGTAAAATACGACTTTGCCTATGCGTTTTTCTTTACGGGTAGTAATAATAATTGTTCTTAACTTACTCTAGTTCGCTCCTTACATTTCTAGTCACTCTGTCGACAAATAAACATCATAAATAGACTTTGAATTGACCAAAAAATACGGCCTCTTCTTCGCGGATATTCCAGGAAATTCCCCAAATGGCCACAATTTGAGGCTTATTGTTTGGAAAGAGACAAGTAAAGTGGATTAGGGAAATGTTGCACAAGGGGTCATTTTGTGCAAAAAAAGGGAGGGAAACGAAAAAAGAAGGCTGGTAAAGTTGGGAGATGACTTACCTGATCCAGATCCCGAACCATCTCCCGAGCTCGACCCAGAAGCCGAACCAGAACCGCTCTCCTCACCGGAGCCAGACCCTGAAGCCGATCCTGAGCCACTTTCTTCACCAGAGCCGGAAGCGGCGCCTGATCCAGATGCTGAGCCGGAACCAGAGCCACTTTCTTCGCCAGAGCCGGAAGCGGAGCCTGACCCGGATTCATCCCCAGACCCTGACGCTGAGCCTGAAGCAGATCCCGAACCGGAGCCACTTTCTTCGCCGGAGCCATTTCCTGACGCAGAGCCGGAACCAGAGCCACTTTCTTCGCCAGAGCCGGAAGCGGAGCCTGACCCGGATTCATCCCCAGATCCTGACGCAGAGCCAGAACCAGAGCCACTCTCAGCTCCAGACCCTGATCCAGAGCCGGATCCCGCGCCAGACCCTGAACCAGATGCTGAGCCGGACCCACTTTGGTCGCCAGAGCCGGAACCAGATCCCGATCCGGAGGCTGAACCAGATTCTGCACTGCCTAAAAAGAAACGATCGTTTTGGTTACACGAAAATCCGATCTCAAACTGTAAATGAGTTCTATATACGACGAATAAAAAATGAGTATCGTCGGGCGGAAAATCCCTTACCTTCGGTTGAAAAGAAGGCAGCAGTATACATCTCGGTTGTCGATTCAGTTGTTCCTGAAATACAGTTAATCACTAAATGCGATGGATTAGATACCTTTCGTTCCTGCTGACGTCGTGCTTTCTTCGGTCGTACTGGATTCGCCTGAGCCTGACCCAGAACCTGAGCCCGACCCTGAGCCAGAACCGGAGCCTGAACCCGATTCTGCACTGCCTGAAAATTAAAGAATGGTCTCATCAAAAGCTTGTTAGGAAACCGTATACGTATTATAGTAACCTAAACTTTTGGAAACCGAAGATTTTATGAAACATAGGATGTAATTAAAAAGTAACTTTGAGGTACCTTCGGTGGAGAAGAAGGCGGCCGTATACATTTCTGTCGTTGATTCTTTTGTCCCTGAAGATGACAACGTTGATGATCAGTGAGTGTAAAAAGACGTACCTGTGGTCCCTGCCGACGTTTTTGTTGTTGTGGTTGTTACCGTTGTGCTTTCCTCAGTTGAACTCGACCCCGAACCTGATCCCGAGCCGGAGCCAGAGCCCGATCCTGAACCGGAGCCGGATTCCGCGCTGCCTGAAGATGACAAATGATAGTTATTGGAAAGATGATGAAGACAATACGAAGAGATATGGATGAATTACCTTCAGTGGAGAAGAAAGCTGCCGTGTACATTTCAGTTGTTGATTCTGTTGTCCCTGGAATTAATTTAATACGATTATAAGAATGGAACCGGTACTGTTATACCGTTGTTAACTGCTTTTGTGGTCGGTATTGATTTCAGTGTTATTGGGTTTAACGACACAGTGATTGGGTTAATCGGCGCAGTTATTGGGTTCAACGACACATTGATTGGGTTCAACGACACAGTTATTGGGTTTAACGACGCAGTTATTGGATTCAACGACGCAGTTATTGTGTTCAACGACACATTAAATTGCACCAAAAACTCCGTTGTTGTAGTTGTGGTCGCTGCTGTAGTCGTTGTGGTGGTGCTTTCTTCTGTTGTGGTTGGCTCCGAGGTTTCTGCACTGCCTAAAATGGATTCCATTTGGAATGAGAGACAATAAAAGAGTGCTAGAGAATTCACAAGATCTGATGACCCACCTTCAGTAGAAAAGAAAGCGGCCGTGTACATTGGCGTCGTTCCTTCCTCGGTGAAGGTTACTGTAACATACGCATTTCCCATCCTATACATGATCTACTTACCCGTCATTTCTTCGTAATCTGGATCCGCTGACATTACAGCTGGAAATCAATAATATAAACTTTGTAGTTTGCAGTCTACTGAATAATAATCAAATTTTTCCTAGTGAAAAAAATTGCCCAGAAATTGTTTTTTTCGATTTGAATAAAGAACGTCATCATGACAATTTGATTGACTGAAAAATTCATTTTGTAACGCTAACGCTAACCTTAACTTATCAATTTTGATTTGAAAAAATTTAAAATCTGTAACCTCTAACCATTATGAAATACGACTCACCCGCAAAGGCCATTGCGGCCAAGACAGCTATCCGAATAAATGTCCCCATTTTGAAAGTTTCAAGTTCCGATCGATAGCCAGAACTTCATCAAAAAACCGATTGTTGAAGGGGAAAGAGTGAGGGAGACAGGTAGATTCCCGATATTCCCCCTCATTCTGTGAAACCGGATCATTAACGGCGGATTAAGAGCTCTGATTGGATTAATCGTCGCGTTCATATAGAGTTACATATCTGATATGTGTTCCGACCGGGGGTTCAAGTCGGCGCTTTCGACTCGTTTACGGTACCTACTGGACACGTGGGATTGCTCCAGGATTAGGATTAAGTGGGAATATTACACATCGCAACAACTTTAGCAAGCTTGAAGATCAACTGATCTTACACTACGTAGACATACGATGACATTTAAAAGACGAACTTCGTAATCTCAGAAATCCGTCTGATTTTTCTTGAACAATTTAAATAAGGTACCTGTATATTAATAAACTTTTTTTCCTCCGAGACATTTTTGGTACAGACTACAAAATATTGGATGAAATTTCACAAAAAATGATCCCATAAACTGAAAACATGTAATGTTTATTCGATGCAATGGCACAAAAATTACAGTATAATACAAGACGTAATCAGATTTAATCACCAGGATCCTCACAACGTTTGTGATTCGATGAAAGACAATAAAAAAAGACTTTTCATACCGCGTTTTCTCAATTTTGCTGCATTAATTATGTGCAAAAAGACGATAGAAACATTGTGAATGCGTTGCTTAAAATTTTACAATCTAAGGGTGCTATCCAACGACTTCCCTAATTCTGTTTTTTCCGCGACAAAACGAATCGCTTCTTCGGAGGAATCTGAGTCTTCGATGACATTAAAGGGGGGCGACACGATCCCCAGGAATCTGTTCTTGTCGTAGCTATCAAAATCCTGCAAGAAAAAATCAAAATCATCAACTACAGTATAATTCTCAGTCAAGAAACGTTAAAAAATTATATTATCAATGGCCTCACCTGGATGTAAAGTGTCTTTTGTTCGTTCCAGATGACTATTTGCTCCCCAACTCGGACTCTAAACTGTTTCCGGTAACTTTTCATAGACAAATCGTCCAAAAGACTTCGATGGTTTGACGCCAAATCCATATAAAAATCGGTTACAGCCGACCTCCCATCATGTTCCTGGTCTTTCTGCCAGTTAATTTTTAACGATTCTGATTTGCGAGAGTGGAAAAATTCGACAAATTGTCGTATCCCGGCATTCGTACAGACATGGCACGACAGAAGGCTCAGTCGTTGGAGATTCGGACAGCTCTGGAACAATAAAAAGAGTCAAAGAAACCCTTCAGATTGCTGTGTTGTAATCTAAGCTTTATAAGTAAGCCCAGTCCCACTTACCATAGCCAATTTGAAGAGGATCGGATCGGTAACGGCGTCACATTCGATGAATTTGACTTCCGTCAGATTTGGAAATGTAGATGGAGTCAAAAGATTGGTCAACAACCCTTCGTCCGTCAAGAAACTCACATCCAAGACACTCAGAACCTTGGAGAATGAGTTGTAGAATCCTCCCATCGCATGAACCTCTTCCACCAGATATTCGTCTTGATCATTATTTTCTTTTTTCTCTTTATCCGAACTTGGCTGCATGATCCCCAAATGAAGGCTAATTCCACGTCGAGCGAACTCCGAGGACATTTCAAATATTCGATATAGCGGGAATTCAGGCCGACGAGGGAGAATCGTCAACGAAACCACCGACAATTCATCGCTAAAACGTGTTTCATCGTATAAAATGTCGTCCTAAATATTTTTTTCTAAAAATCAAGAAAAAAAGTGTCGAAATCTCTCACCCAGTCAACTCGAGCATGATGTTCAAGAAGTTCATGACCTCTCCATAGCACAATTCCATGCGCAGCAGCCTCAGACTCCTCAGGATGTTGTTCATTTTCACAAAGTGAGCCCTTATTCTTCCGTCCAGATGAAATGTGGCCAATTTGAAGGCCAAATATTGGAGATTCGGCATGTTCCAAGCTCCAATCGCCTCGAGAAGTTTGAGAAAATTGAGAGCCGAGTAATGATTATGCGACATTATGAGGCGATTCAGCTTTTTCAGAGGTTTTAGGCGTTCCAGGAACTCGCTGATCGTGGTTTCCGTCCTCGATTGCCAGTCCAAAGTGGTCAATCCAGCCGGGAATTCGGCCTTTTCGTCCAGATAGAAGCTGTCCAAGGTCAGACTGGAGAGGCCTCGGAATTTTGGGAAATGCCCTAAGGGCATTCCCGTGAAGAAATGATCCTTGGAGTGGGGTCTCATTCCAATGCATTTTAGGTCGGGGAGATATTCATGGACTAGGCTGAGACCAATGTACTCTTGGTAGGGGTAGATGTCCAGCGATTTGAACTTCACGTTACAGTCGGAGAGCTTTTCTGAAAAGGGTAAAGTAATAAAAGTCATCACGTTACACGTCAAAAATGGGTTAAAAATCAAATTTTAGGCAAAATAAATGTGTGGTGAAGACGGATTTGATAGATTCTCCTGAGAAAAATAAAATTCGACCTTAGTTTTGGTTATTAGATGACTAAATTTGCCTAAAATAATATGGAAAGGGCCAAAACAAATAGCGTTGCTTACCCAAAACTTGTTCCAGGAAATCCAGCCGGCTAAACCAAATTTTGACGGCGTAAGGAGCATCGCAATGCAAGAATATGCTCCGTAGATCGTCGATTTCGGATAGTTGGACAAATTCAACTCTGAAAAAGTGCCTTTTTTATTTATTTATTATTCAGTGCGACAAAAATTCTTTTAAAATTTGATTCAAAATGGAAAAATTCCAAATTCTGATCGTAAAAATAATACAAATCAAGTGATACGATCGTAAAAACGGTCGATTTTGGTGTAAGCACCAAATAGGGACCTTATTGTCATCGTTTTCGCATAAAAGTTTTAAAAAAGAATGAACTCACTTTCCACCACTCTGAATATTTTTCTCCATTTTTTCGTTCAAAATTTCGTATTCGAAGATATTCATCACCGACAAATCGTCGAGTGGAAATCTTCCATCAGTGAGCAGGGAATTCCAGCGTTTGCAGACCATGGAAGCGCGGATTCGATCGCGGAGTTCCAGGTTCTGGAAAATCGAATACATCACGTGCCAAGGGACATTGTTGAAGGGGTTCTGGCCATTGAGGGAGGTGTCGATGACTGTGGGCGATATGGAATGACGGTCTGAAAGGGGAAATTATATTATTTAGAGCAAATTTAGACCATTTTTTTGGTGAAAATCAATTAAAAGTTTTGCAAAAATTTGATAAATTTTTTGTGCCTAGAATTTTCATGGGTGGCTATTATAGCGAGATTTATGAAAAATTATTATGGAATTTTGCGTTTTTTATCGAAAAATTCAGAAATCATAAATGTTTTCATAAAAAATTTCAAAAAATTACCGTATTTCAAACTCGAATCCGAACTTCCCAAACTGCTTCCAGAATCGGTCCTCACCGATCTGGTCATGAATCCCGACCCACTGGGGACGTTCGGGTCGATTTCTGGGGGCGGGGAGGTGGGCGGCCGGGGTCCCTTGGCCCCTTGCCGAGGTCCCCTTTGCGCGATCGCTGCCCGAAGCGACATCTCCTCGTCTTCGTATTGGAATATCTTTCTCATTTATGAAAATATTTCAAGTCCATTCGAGTCGAAATAATTTTGCACAATGCTGAGGCCAACCCTTCCAAAGCGTTAAAATAAAGTCGTATTTTGGCCAAAAATTATTCGAAAGATAACTTCAGAAGTGGTAGTAAACGTAGTCCCAAGTTTGAAAACAAAAAAAGACTTCAAGATCCCCCTTCGTTCGCCTCCAAAATCAGCTGGAATACCTGTTCTTGAACCCTGTAATCAAGACATTCTTAATTGGGAACAAAAGAAAAGTAAAATCGGGAACCGTTACTCTGCTAGAGAGCCTAAAAGCAAAAGAGATTATTTGTAAACGTTTTACTATGTTCGGGAGAGTAAATTGAGGCTTATGAAAAGGGAAACCCATAAAAAAACAGCATGGATAATATATTTTTAATCGAAAAACTCAAAAAAATTGAAAAAACAAGCAAGTTGGGACTTAAAAATGATTATTACATAGCAAAATATTGTTAAAAACAGTAAAAGTAAGATCAGAAGAGAAGTATAGAGAGCTGCCCCGGCGCTTTGTATGTTACCCACCCCCATTAGCCCGCTCCTAATCGCAAATTAAAAACGCGCCGAGTCGATTACAATATTCTGGATCCAGAATTTGTTTTCTCAGTCAAAAAACAAAATGGAAACATGGAAATGGGCGATGGATTCCGAGTAAAATCGCCCGGTAATCCCCCTTTTTTCTTTGTTTAACCCTCAGGGCAAAAGACTTTTTTGAGAAAATAAGGTCGAAAATACGGCCCTGAGTCTGTGGTAGGGAAACATGACGCAGAAGTGAGGTCTTGAAAGATTTCTTGATTCAAAAAATCTAGGTTTGAGAGTCGGGTAGTATAATATAATTTTGGTCGATTTTCCTCAAGGGATCCTTCTGAATCATTGTCCCGTGTCTACTACAGATCCCTTAGCCCTTCTCCTTCGTTATCACCCACTGACCTCATTCGACGGCCATCTGCCTTTCCCAAAAACGTCGTTAAAAGTCGGGATTTCAGAGATTTTTCATCGCCAAACCGGTTTTTGGGCGACGAAAAACGTCGATGGCGCTCGATTTATTGCGCAACATGTTTTTTTCGGATATTGAGTAAGAGTAAGATGGACTTGCAAGATTAACTTGCCCAACCATGACGTATTTTACAGGCAAATCTGGATTTTTGCCCATAAAGTCATCACTATTGATGATTTTGTAAAAGTCCCAATTTTTCCGAAAGTAACCGAAAATCTTAACGTTTTTTTGAAATCAGAACCTCTGAAATTTAAGCGAGAAGCGCGCATAATTGTTTTAGACACTGGAAACGAGACGCGTAATTAGAAAAGAACGTACTCAATGAGGGGGAAACGAGTAAAAAAGTAGTAATTCTGCGAGAAAACGCTTCACAAAACATCGCTCAACTATAAGTTCATGCAAGAACAACATCAAAAAATAGTAAAATCTTTGTGAAATTGTTTTACTTGAAGTGCAAGTTGACCAAAAATAACATGATATAAAGAAATACAACCCTAAACTGGCGTAGTGTTTTTTGAAGGGAGAACCACAAAAAACTCATATTTTTAGTATTCTTCTTCTTTAAAGATACGAGAGATCCCGTTTATCTCGCCATTTCTAAGCCATAATTCCACTTTTTTATCAAAAAATGCCTCGGGAAATTGGTTTTTAAAGCCGGGAGTTGGTCAAAAAAACAAAAGACAGAAGTAACAAAACTTCGATTAAAAAATAGTTTTAGTTGTAAACAGCCGTTTAATCAGCTGGAAAGAAGTTAATTTTCACGGGTTCTTAACCAAAAATCATATCCGGTGGCAAGTGTAATACAAGGAAGTCGAAATAGAGTCAACCCAGTCCTTGAACCTCGCCTTCTTACTCCTTAAAAGAGCCCCTCAGCCCTTGAAAACCGCGAGAAAAGAGCCTCTTAAAAGTAATAGTAAGGGTAAAACTAGGGAGTCAAGAGTAATGTAATGTTATTCAAACACGTTCCTGAGGGGAAAGCAAGACCCGAGAGCGATAAATAACTGAACGGGACTTTCTGGATCGGATCCGGAAACTTTTTTTTCGGGCTGGAGAATAAAAAAACGATTTTTGTGGGCCCGGAAAAAAGGGAAAAGAGGCCATCGCGAAGTCTTGGGACCTCCGGGCCTATTCCCCTCTCTCGCCCTCGCTTTCTCCCTCCCATTCGACTCCGATATTAAAGTAACACGCAAAAGAGAGAGCGGCGAGGACTTCTATTTATATTATATTATACTAGACATAAACATTACCGAATGTTGCAAAAACGCAGATGGCTTCCGATTGGGAAGGGTGGGGGCTTTCCGGTGGGGTCGTGGGTTTTCGGGTCGGGTCATGGAAGGGTGGGGTTTTATTGTTTTACATCCCTTTTCGTTGTAGTCATCGTCAAGACGTTGCGCAATCTTTCGTATTAAAAAATGCGTCATATCATAGCGAAAATAGTCCGAAAATCGGACAATAAATGCTCCAGAGGGTCTCAAATATACATTGCTATAGCATTTTTTACCTTCTCCACTTCTATGGAGAAAAACGTAAAAATTAATAAAAATTTGGCGTTTCTCCATAATTAAAGTATTTATTCTACAATCTATTCCCTCATTAATTCGGCCAATTTTGAGTCGACGGCAAGGAGGAAGTCCTCGGTGTGGAGATAGGTTCCTTGGCGAGCTCCTTTGATTCCATGGATACAAATGGCCAGATCTTTAGTCATCTTGCCGCCTTCAATGGTTTGGATGCAAGCTTTCTCCAGCGTCTCGGCGAACCTGGAATCAAAAATATGAGCTAGTTCAAAGAATCAGACTGCTCCACCTAAGGCAGATTTTCATTACCCCCCAAAAGTCTTACTTTTGGAGCTGATCATTCGCATCCAAGCTGGCTCGGTGAGTGAGACCTCTTGACCACGCAAAAATCGACGCCACCGGGTTGGTTGAGGTAGGATTTCCCTTCTGATATTCTCTATAATGTCTGGTCACCGTTCCATGCGCAGCCTCGGATTCGATTGTTTTTCCATCCGGGCAAACCAAGACCGATGTCATTAGTCCCAAAGAGCCATATCCTTGGGCTACAATGTCGGATTGGACGTCTCCATCATAATTTTTGCAGGCCCAGACAAAACCGCCTGAGGATTTTAAGGTTTGGGCTACCTGATCGTCGATCAGACGGTGCTCATACCAGATCTTCTCGGCTTCAAATCGTTCCTTGTATTGGCTGAAACATAGGTATTAGTAATTTCCATCAAAATCATCAATTTTTACCACCAAATTATTTATAATAGGCATCAAAACAAACCTCTCATAAATTTCCTGGAAGATATCCTTGAATCGTCCATCATACTTCTTAAGGATCGTATTCTTAGTGCTCAAATATAGAGGCCATTTCTTCATTAAGGCGTATTCGAAACAGCACAGGGCAAATCCTTGGATACTCTAAAGTAATACAATTTTGTAACAATTTGATCGAGAAAGGCTATTCTCTCACCTCATCTGTGTTGTACATACCCATAAGGACGCCACCGCTGTCTTTGTATTCAAATACATCCGTTTCTTCAATAGATCCATCAGGTTTTGTAACTTTAATGGTAAATTTGGAACCTTTTGGAACTACAAGATCTGTTGCTTTGTACTATAAGATTAAAATGAAAACTGTTACTGTTAAGCTCAAGTAACACAACTATTGCAAATGTTTTACCTGATCTCCGAAAGCGTGTCTGCCAATAACAATGGGCTGAGTCCATCCAGGCACCAGCTGAGGAATATTATTGCAAAGAATCGGTTCCCTGAAGACAGTTCCCCCCAAAATATTTCTAATGGTTCCGTTCGGACTCTTCCACATTTGTTTCAGCTTGAATTCCTTGACCCTAGCTTCATCTGGAGTGATCGTGGCACACTTGATTCCAACATTGTACTTCTTTATGGCATGAGCTGCTTCCACGGTGACTTCATCGTTGGTGGCATCTCGATTTGGAAGGCCGAGATCGTAATACTTGATGTCGATGTCAAGATAAGGCAGGATTAGCTGAAAGGAATTCACTTTAGGGAATAAAATCGAACTTGATCTCTATTAAAAAATTAGTTAAAAAATTGCGTTGGCCAAAGATGACAAGACCTTTTAGATTAAAATTATCACAGAAAGGTCTCTAGCTTTACCTTATCCTTGATCTCCTGCCAGATGATTCTGGTCATTTCATCGCCATCCAGATCGACCACCGGGTTCTTGACCTTGATCTTCGCCTGTTGAGTCGAGCTTGTGGCCAAGGAGCGGGCCACGCCAAGGAATCCGACCGATCGCCGGAGCATTTCGACTAAAACCCCCGAAGATTATGCTGAACCAAATTTCATTTCAAAAAAAATATAACTTTATGTGCAAAAACAAGCAAAATTTCATCAGACATGTGAAAAAAGGAAGTCCACATGGTCGGTGATAGGCAACTGATAAGGAAAAAGTGGACGTTGAGAGGTCACACGAAGAAGATTAGGATGCCTGAGGGGTTACGAATTTACCGTTAGAACAAAAAAAATGCTTTCTGCTAATTCGCCAAATTTATTGTACAGATCACGTAAATCGATTATTTAAAAAAACACCTCCAGGAACGATCAATTTATCGTTGCCTCATCAATCAGTATGCAGAAAGTTGTCAGAAGCTTGCAAAATCTTCAAAACATCCGGAAAATCCACATTTTTCCAACAAAAAAATAGTCCAAGTCCCCAGGGCATTCGCTGTTTTTTTGCACGGAGCACGTGGGGAACGGGCAAACAAGAGCCACGAACATTCCTGACGTATATTCACGGTAAAAAAGATAAAGAAAAAAGTGACCAGCTGCCTAATTCGATGATTTACACTGCAAGTAAGATCGGAAATCGAACAAACGACAAAGACCACGTGCACTCTGGGAAAGTACGCCAAGTTTTAGAGCCGTAAACAAGTAGGATCCAATTTTAATTGTAATAGTATTTCAGAAAAGTAAAATGGAAACGTAAAATCTCGAGGAAATTTTCTAGACAATTCAAAAGCCGATACAACTGGAAAAGAACTTCCTAATCAACCCACTGAAAAAAAGAAATACGAAAGAGACGGAAATAAACGACCGACCTGATAAATGATAAAATTCGTTGAGAAGTCTGCAAAAACGTTCATTTCCGCACAAAAGAAAGTAGAATCGTGACTAAGCAGTCAAAACAACAATCTACTCGTTTCTGACCAGACACCATTCACTAAAAACTAGATCTAGCACCTTATTTTATACTATACTAGAGATGATCAAATCGAAAATGGCTAAACTCCAGAAACAATGACTAATCGATCATGGTTACATTACACTGACCATTTGTTGAGCTTGATTGAGTGTAATTGAATACGTAAACGGCATAAAGATCACACAACGTTTAGAAACAACTAGAAAAGCGGAAGTCGAGCTCTAATTGCGCCATTATCGATCGAATTTTTGTGACACTTCGCTCCAAAAAGGTGGTCTTAAAGATACGATCTTTTCACCCGATCATCCAAAATTGAGCGACTTGATAAATGGTGAATTGGAAAGAGTAGACAGTTATCTCTCTGTTAGAGGTTCAGAAATTTGTATGTGTTATTCAGTCTTTGAGATATTCGACTTCAAACTTCCCAAAATTGAGAACTTTGCAATGGCCTAGCGGGCGACGTTTAGTCACGAATCCTACAAAAATGGGCGATCAGCACTACAACATCATTCTCAATCATCATGCAAAGTTTCAGAACGTTTTCTGGCTCGAAACTCGACTTATTGAGCCATCTTTCCTGCTATTATAATGATTGAAATCGTTGCCCGGGCTTTTCGCAAAATGACAAAATCCGTGGCATTCCGCAACTAGAGATATTTTAATTATCAAACTCATCAAACATGGTGTTTTTGAAAGACAAACCAGACCTACTATAACAAGAAAAATTCACTGATAGGGTCTATACCTTTTTTCTGTCAAGATTTTGTTCAATACTGGGCTAAATTACAATTTTTGTAATTTCTCGAAGAAGCCAAAAAAACATTATTTAACAGTACGCCAAACATTTGTTTTCGTGGCGTGACGCGACCAGAATTCCGTGAAAAAACGTTGTGTCAAATTAGCGAATAAAATTGGAATTCTTGCAAAATTGGAACACTTGACACATTCGGTCAGGTGTCTCTCCTGAATTTTTCCAAAAATATTAGCAATTTTTTGGACAATATTTTTTTTTACAGTGCGCGTTTCTTGATTGTTTATAGTTAGTTCACACCTAGTTTACGGATAATTGCGATTGTAAGTCAGATATTTCTTTATTTCTATATTATTTTGGGTCTAGAAATGGCCACAAATGAGCCAAGCGCTGAAGTTGGTGCTGAAATTGTTAGAAAGCTGACAGAAGCTCAGTTGCTCGCACAGAAGGTCATTGGTCTTCGTCAATCCGTGATTGATATGGACAATAAACGTGCAAAGCTTCGTGAATCTTACCATGCCATCAAAAGATCCGAGAGATCTGAAGGAAAAAAGAAGAATTATGTCTGTATCTGCAACGACCTCATGGTTCAGTATCCAAACGAATATTTGTTGAAGACGACGGATGAGGACGTGAAGAGATTGGACAAAATGATTGAGGAAACGCGAAAGGAAATCAAGGAAAAGACGGGGAAATTATTGGAATTGGATGGAGATCGGGATCTTCGAGAAATGGGCTTCGAATTAGAGGCGATAACTGATAAAGATTTTGCTGATGGTCTCCAGTAGGCTTTCTTTTATCCATTGTTAAGTTTTGTACATAATTCAGTTCAATAAAATTTATTCTTTTCAACGATTAAATTGTATTATCCATGAGAGATCGTCTAATGTCGGTGCTTATATTCTTTACAGCAGATTTGTGTGCATTGTTCCATTGTTTTGAAATTATTCAGCGTTCCTCCGCATCCTGAGTATTTATATTCGACACAAGTGTCAGTGAGAGCATTATAACCAAATCTGATTTCAGTTCCATTGCAATGTCCCGGATCTCGGGGAGCCGTACAGAAGTTGGCGGGGTTCTAAAAGTTGGGAAATGGGTATAATGGGATCTTTATGACCTGCTACTTACCTCACAACACACACTGACTCGATATTCAACACTCATATGACACACGAACCCGATTGAGCAGCTCTTCAGGATACCACAAGGTATCGGTTTCTTGGAATGGGGGTCGGTTTGGGGTTGGCCATGGGGACAGTAACTTCTATGGGCTGAAGAGGCTTTAGGTTAGTAATTTAAGGCAAACTAATTAGAGTTTTTGTGTTCTCCTTACCTGGGCAAACATCCTCACAGGCGGATTTGGTCATGAAATTATTTTCATTCCCTTTCCCTCCTTTGAAAGTGAACTCTCTGCAGATGGAGTCACTCGAATCGAAGTAAAATCTCTTGAGATGCTCCTTTCCGTGACCTTCTTGCACTTTTTGTTCACAAATATCAACTTCCCCTCGAGGACAGCACACTTGACTGTCCGAATTGGATCCGGGATGACAGAAATGGCTAGCCGGACAGCCCGTGAACTTCTCGGTCGGCTCACAGGTCAGTCTGTTGCCAGTGGAATTAAGGAGAGGTTCACCAGTTAGACAGGGGTTCATTTCTGGAGAGAAATTATGCTATTGTAGACATCAAAATATTTTGTGTCATTAGAATTGAATATAAAGTGAGAAACAAGAGTTCTTACCAGGACAGACCTGCCTGCATGCCTCTCTGCTCAGAAAGTTGTTTGAATTTCCTTTCGCTCCCTTATAGTAGAACCTGCGGCACATTTGAGCGGTCCCATCAAAGGTCCATCTTTCCAATCGAAGTTGTCCTTCTCCTTCGCTGGTCTCAAGATCGCATGGGTGACGGTCTTAAAATTGAGAAAATTATTGATGAAACCAAATAAGGATAGCTAGAAAAGAGACTTACATCCCGGACAGCAGTTTGTAGTCTCCGGAGATCCCCCAACGTGACACCAGAATCCCCTGGGGCACTCTTGAGGTCCTCCACAAATCATAGGCTCTCTATTGATCGGGTCTTGCAATGGATCGCCCTCAGGGCAGGGATTGGTCGAGGCTAGAGATTGAGAATAAACACTCAGAACATGAACAATATTAGGTCAGTAAGTGTTTAATAAACACAAAAAAACGGCAGAAAAAGGCCAACAAAGCACAGTGGGGTTAGGAAACATAAGATCGAGATGAACGTGAGATTACAGCGTAATGAGATTCGAGTTAATATACACCTTGGCAAACGAGTCGACAGTCCTCCAAAGTCAAGAAGTTGTTCGCATTCCCCTTGGCGCCATGGTAGTTGAACTCCTGACATTGACGGCTCTCTTTGTCGTAGTAGAAACGCTTGAAGTTTGCTTGGCCTAGGCCATTGGCCAACGGCTGATCGCAGGGATTTCCGTCTAAAAAGTGTTATTTTACCAGGCCATCAAATGCTTGAACTTAATTTTTTGAAGGATTAGAAAAAATGTAACCGGAGATTTTGATCCCGAATGATAGTAAAACACAATACTTACTCTTTGGACAGCAGTAATTGAGACTAGACTCGCCGATGTGACAGTAATGTGTACCCGGACATCTTTGGGTTGGACTACAAATCTTGGGCCGATGACTGACTAATAACGGTTGTCCTGAGCCACATGGGTTGTCAAAAGCAGGACAGGCGGCTCGGCATTCATCTTGGCTTAGGAAGTTGTTCTAAACAGATTGAGAGTTATCCAAAAAATACCCGGGAAATTTTAATCTCATGGATAATATAGATGTAGTTCAAAATTTCTCTCGGGCTCACCTGATTTCCTCCAATTCCTCGATAGATAAAACTGATGCATTGCCTGGTCCTTTTATTATAGTACCATCTGGTTATCAACGCCTCCCCAAATCCTTCGACCATCGGAAGATCGCATGGTTGTTTGACTAAACCTATGTAAAATCTAATTTAATCCCTTACCTGATGAGCAGCAGACTGTAGTCTCTGGAATCAGACCCACGTGACACCAATATCCGTTGGGGCAGATGTCCGTTGGGCTGCATTGTCTCGGCTTCCCATCCACCGATGATAACAACAAGTCCCCACTCGAACACGGGTTAGTGCACTCGGCTGTAAAAGACACACGACTATGGTGATCACTGTTTTAGGTCGGCGTAAGCATTATAGAGGACGATTAGGAATGTTATGTTAGACTATTAACTTGATGCACAAATTCTAGAGACTTTCGATGCATAAATTAGTCATCATTTTCTCTCAAAGTTGAGTTGCTATATAGATTATCACTACAAGCTAGAATATTAGTCTCCACTTACTTCTACATTTCTCCTCACACGCTTCTTTTGTGACAAAGTTGTTTTGATTTCCCTTGACTCCTCGATAAACAAATGGTTTGCATTCATTGTTGCATGACTTATCCGAAGGATCTGAATACCATCTTGTCAAACTTTCATTCCCTTCTCCATAATCCAATGGGAGTTTACAGGGATCGGCAATAGCTCCCGGGCAACAAGCAGTGGTCTCGGAATTGGATCCAATATGGCACCATTCTCCCTTTTCGCAGAGATTTGACAACGGAGAGCATTCTTTTCGCTCTCCGTGATCGAAACTCGATGGACAAGGGTTATTGAATTCTATAATTAATTTTAGCCAAATTATTAGCGGCTTATACTTACTGAGACATTGTTTCTTGCAGTCATTATAGGTCAAGAAGTTGTTTTCATTCCCGGCGATTCCCTTGTATAAAAATTCGATACATCTTTTGGCAATGGGATTGTAGTAGAATCTTCGAAGCTCGGCGATTCCGTTTCCCAAAGAAAGGGGAAGATGGCACCGATCGGTATCTGAAATTCCAAATTTCTCGCCAAAACTTTAAGAATATCATCCTTGGTACATCAAGAGCAGCTTTAGTAAGAGCCAAGCGAAAGATGGTGACTTACTGGAAGTTTTCTCACAGCAAACATTTTTGCTCTCTCCAATGTGACAGAAGTATCCAGTAGGGCACACGGAATGGTTCTCATCAGTAGGGGTGCAAGTTTGAACACTGCCGTCCCTGGTTTTGGCTGGAGTTCCTGTTGCGCAAGGGTTGACGAACCCGCTGGACCGTGAGATCTTTTCTAAATGTAAATTTTAAGTTGTAAAATTAAATTTTATACCAGTTAACATTATTTTTCTCACCTTGAGATCCCTCACAAGCCTCACTACATTGAACATTAGTAATGAAATTATTGGCGTTCCCTTTGAGTCCCTTATACAGAAATCTTTTGCAAACTCCATCAAGATGGTCGAAATACCATCGGGGAATCAGATCTTCACCTTCTCCATTCACCTTGGCCATTTTGCATTTGTCCTCTAAAATTGATGACGTTTTAAAATTTAATATTTTTCATTGAATAAATTACCAAATTTGATGATAGGACAGCAAGTTGTGGTAGCATAAGAAGCTCCAGTATGGCACCAGTAGTCTTCCGGACATCCGCCATTCGGTTTGACCATGAAATTACAGGTCATTGGAGCATCATATTCATTGGTCAGAGGTCGACCACTCGGACAGGGGTTGATTTTGCTGTCTAAAATATTATACATTAGCGAATTTTAGAATAGTCTTGCCTGGTCGATACGGGATTCCCTCAATTTCGGGTTTTTTTGATGGCCTCAAGTAGGTTGATGCCTCTATTTTTGGTGGGTATGTTCCTGTATACGGCGGTGGAGTTGGCATTTCCGTTGGCGCTTGAGTGAATGGAGGGGGTGTTGGAGGAGTCGTGGTTGTGGTTACAGTAGTTGTAGAAGTTGTTGGATAAGTTAACGGAGCCAAAGTTCCGCGAGTTCCAATTGGGACGATTGGCTGGGGTGAGGGCATGGGTTTTAGGGGAATATTGGGATTGGGCCGTTGGACAAAGGGGATCTGGACGTCTAAAAACTTTCAACTGTAAGATCTGCGTTGTTTGAAACCAAAGCGAGGAAAGGGAGATGATGTGGAGCTTACTTATAGGCCGATAAGTCCAGCGATACCTGGTGTTTGGGACACATCTATTTACACAATTTGTCCGGACTGGATAATAGCTCTGTCTCTGTTGTTGTGGATATGGATAATAGTAATAATACTGTTGTGAGTCCACTAAGAAACATAATAAAGCCAACACCAACGCCCTCATAGTCCCATGAACAAGATATTTCAGCAATTTGTAGAGTAATTTATAGTGTCAAATAATTTAGTGTCAGATATCTAAAATAATATAATTTGATATCAAACCCTTGTCCAAACTGCCCGATCGCCTTTGACAAAAGTGAATCAAGAAGCCCTGAGGCGTTTTTCCGACTCAAAAACACGAACTGGTACAGTACAAAACCCCGGTCTCCCTTCCGCGCAAATCGCCGCTCGGCCCAGGGGAAGTGCGTGACCTGACGTGTGAGTGGCGGGATCTCGATGACCCCTCCTCGATCCCCCATTGTCCATTCTGTTTGTTCATATCATTAGCCGGTTAATTTGTGTCACGTTTACCTTATTTTAGGCCGATTAAAGCCCCGTTTAAGGGGGGTTTGGGGCTGGCGGAGATGGGTATGCGGAAATTTGGTCATAAGTAGTGAACAAACTTACGAAGATTGATGACCGAATATTTACGAAATGAGTAAAGGATCCGTTCGGGTTTTAGAGTGATTTTTGGAATAGTTTTTACGAGGTTAGCGAATTATGATGACTAAAAATAAGATTGGTAGGTCATGAGCTGAACAACAGTGGCTGTTTGGCAAGCCTTACAAAATTTTACAGCCTTTTTCTTTTAATATTACTGAGCGTTATTGTTTCATCACTTATTTTAACCTTTTTCATCCACTTTATCTTCTCCAATAACTACACATATAATTAAATCCTTTATTACACCCGTAAAAGTTCATAAAAAAGAGATCTCAATGTAGGATGATTAGTAAGCAGACTTATTACAATTATGACTTGATTATCACTGACTACTGTGCATTTTTACAATGCTTTCTACTATAAATCTTATGTTATTCATCCATCACTTGATACTTTTGCTCTCAGTTTTCAAAACCTTGATAAAGTCTCGTGGATGGACGATGACGGTAAAAGATTGACCTAGGGGGATGGCATCCATCTTCTGAAGGGCTTCAGAATCCCTTGACGATGGGTCTAGAGGGTGATCTTCGACTTCTGTTATAATTGACGGGACTTGTTCCTCTTGGATCAGAAAGCTCCCCATTTTAGCGGGCAATCCGGCCATCGAAGCAACAGAACCAGGAAGAATGGATTCGATGCGGTTTTTATTTTTGTGCAATTCAACGCCTAAGGGCAATTTGCCTTTGTTGGGTTTTCGGAGAACGAAACTTTGACCAAATGGAGTCGGATTTATCGTAAGACGGACCTGAAATTGAATTTGAATTAAAATTTGATCAAGAAATATATTGGATTATCATTTTTCGAGAAGATAATGGTATTAGGGAGAGACGAAAAACACAATAACATTAAGAAAAGAGGAAGAAAACACCAAAAAAGGGTGATTCAGGGGAAAGGAATGCTTTTCGAGAAAAGTTTTAGATTTATTATAAGGTAAACAGCGTAAAAAGTAGGAGTAAACTTACAGGAATCCCCATAGGACATCCGCAAAAGAGATCCATCAAATCGGAATTCGAGTTGACCGGTTTCCCGTTTATGGCAGCCAAATGATCACCATAATGTAAGATTCCGCCGACGAGACGTTGGAGTTTGGGCTCCCAACCAACAATCCTAAAAATTAAAAATATTAAAAACAGATTTTATGAAATTATAGTAGGCATTAGAAGTCATCTTACCATATTTTCCCAAAAGCCTTGACCATTTTCAGACTTTCTGTGCAGAATGAAAGTACTAAATTGACTTGTTTCGAGTTCTCATTCGCAACATCGGTCAAAGAATTGTCATAAATCTGGTTGTTATTGAAGGCAGTGTTGCGAAACAACCCGTAATACCCATAAATATCAGGCTTGAGTTCGTGAGGATCGTTCTCTTGATTTGAATTTTTGGAATTCATTGAATCTCGGTTTGAACTTGATGAATTGGAATTGCGGTTGGATTTGAACTAAAAACAAAATCTATAATCAAAAATTTTGAGTTTGTTTAAGGACACACAGTGTTTCTAAAAACCTTTTTGTTCCCCAAAAAATCCAACAAGTTTTTGTTGAGGAATTTTTTCCGTGACCGCCTCTCCCAATTTTCCATAGCCTCTCGCAAAAAATTGGTGATTATATGAGCTGCTCTTTGCAAAGCACGAGTCTAATTTTGAGGATTTAATATGTGCCCAACGCAGAAAACATAAGCCAAAATTGAAGGGAGATCCAAGCATCTCACTCCGAACACTTCCCCCCTGAAAAACTTCCTCATCCTCCTGTCTAAATTAATCAAAACTTCGTTCCCAAATTCAATTCTACAGTAGCCCCTTACTTCTCTGCTCGTCTCCACCATATCGACGCCACTGTCGTTATTGATCTCCGGGAGGCTTGGCAGTGGGATGATGGGCTTATCCGCGAACTTTTTCCCCTTTCCGAAGTCCAATCTCCCAAAGCTCGGAGCCGGCGATTGCGGTGATTGTGGGCAACTGAATGCCCGAGGAGGTGAATTGAGGGTACTGGAGAGGCCTCCGGCATTGATGGGCATGTCCAAAATGGTTTTTCGGGCTGAAATATATCCGAGATGAGATTAAATACGAAAGTAATCGAATTGGGGACAAGGAACGGCCAAGAATGTCAGGATGTTCCCGGAAAATGAACGTTCTTCGGATCCAGGAGATTGGGATCTGCCCAAAAGTTGCGAATTTCCCCTTTCCGGAGGGCATTTTCTTTTTATTTCCGTTAATTCAGATAATTTACGTCTTTTTTAGAGTTGCTATTTATGGCTCTGAAACGGGTTCGAAGGCTGTTTTTAAACGACTGGGGGAGGAAATAGTCCAAGAGACTAACAAATAGAAAATTCGACTCGAAACTTGAGCTGAAACGATTAATTTCGCCCATTTTTGCGATAGTTGGCATGGGTAATATAAAATTTCTGATAAAAATGGTTGCAAGTTGATTGAAAAGCAAGAAAACTCACTCCTAATGGGTCGAGGAGAGCTGCCCTCGGGCAATGATCGAACGGAAGTCACAGATCTTGGGCTCTGTCTCCACATGTCCTCATTAAAAGATCGGGAAGGTATCAACAATGGTGGAGATTTTGGGAAGGGCAAGGGCTGAGAGACGCGGACTGGATCGGCCGAGTAAAGATTGGATTCGGAAGAGTCTTTCCTCTCTCTGGGCATCGTATTTGATGACAACAGAGCCCGAAAGTCTTCGGTCAGAGAGCTGGTCTGGGTTTGGTCGTCCAGGGCCAGCTCTGATTCACAAGATTTCTGCACATTCCTGATGCATTCGATCCATTTATCACGCTTTAAACTAAAAATAATGGTAGATTAGACTATAGTTTTATTGATTTTGTCATCAAATTTGATGATTAATATCAAATAATTTCGTAAAAATGAATAATTTGTCATCAAAATCATAGACAATATAAAAAAATGTTAGGCAAAGCTATACAAATGTTAATCTGATCACCATAAAATTATAATGACTCTAAATGGTATGTAAATCACCTACGAATTTTCTGCCCTCAGGCGCCATCTCTTTTGTCCGACTTTTTTGAGCTCGAATGTACACGAATCAACAACATTTACGTCGGTATCCAGGAGATCCATCAGCTTCACAGGTTCATGTTTCTCAACATCCAGCCTCCGGGCATATATTTCGAGAAATGGGACTTGGCCATGCACACAGAGGACGACAGATTCTCCATTAAATGGGGGCATAACATAAACTTCCCCGCATTTATAGCCATGTTCACTGAATCGACGCTAAAATGCGAAAGGAATTAAAGTTTAAATACGAAATAATTGATGTAAAATACGATTTAACACCAAGAATCTGTACTATGCATGACGAAAACGTAACCGTTGATCTCTCAAAACAAGGGATCCAAAGGTGAAAAAAGGATTATAAACAGTTATTGTTTGGAAAACAGCGATATCCGATACTTTTTGGAGAAAAAATGTTTACGATTTTTTATGGAATTATGCATCCTTTGATTAGAAAAACGCTCAAAATTAAAAAAAATAATGAATTTTTAAATTTCTTAAAAGAAACTTCGCGCATTCAAAATTTCCCAATTCAAAAAAAATCGCGCTTTCAGCTGTCGCCCGATCTCCAAAAACACTTTTTTTGCCCCATAAAAATTAGCAAATAACCCAAAAAAGCAAGCCTTACCTTGTTTTTGATGAAAGTGACAATACTGCTCAAGCCTTGGGAATCGTTCAGCCTGAGGGTATCCTGATGAACAACTCGGATCCCATTCATTCTCCCTCCAAAAACTTTTCGTTTATGGCTCCAAAATCGACGACTCAAACTCAAAAAAAAGAGAATAGAGAAAAAGAAGAGAGTGGTGAGAGAGCAAGGGGAAACGAGAGAGTGGCCCGAGAAAGAGAAGGGGAATGATCGGAGAAAAAATAAAAAAAGGAGATGATTCAGCTGCCTCTCAATGGGGGGCTTTCTTTTTTCGTGTTTCCGAGATTATTCACAAGAGTTTGTAAAGACTAATGAGTAGTTTTGAGACAAGTAGAGTAATATAAAATAAGTAGTAATATTAGAAAGCAGCCTCGTTTTGATATCGATGATTAACACATTCCTGAAATTCGAATTAAAACCGACTTTAATACGCCTCTTAAACAGTATTAAAAAAGTTTAAAAAAAAGTTGGAAACTGAGGAATTAAATAAAATGGGGGCTAATTTTGAAAGTAAAAAGTCAAATTGTTTTTTTTTACAGTCGTAAAATAATTTCTCTGCCAAAAATATTCTTGGTCCAAAAAAGAATGACCTTTTCGCGCTAATAAAAGACTTTTCGTAATTCGATCATAATATACAATAGATAAAAAACGAAGGAAATGTTTGAACGGCAAGGTCAAGAAAAAGAAGATTCCGTCAGCTGTTCGATCAAGAGCAAACAGAAAGAAAGGTTTGATTGGGAGTGTCCGAGCTTCAAAATTTGCAATGTCATTTTGGAAAGTTTATGGCAAAATGAAAAACGAAAAAATTTGAATTGAAATTTATGAAAGTAAAACTCGGAGTCAGATTTGGACAAAATTATGGCCAAAAAATCTGGAGAGATAGGTCACATATCAACGAATTTTCAGCCTTCTCTATCTAGTCACAACCGAGATATTGCGATCTTGGGAGATGAGTGATCATAGAAACGTTTTCTTTAACTGAAAATATCGATGGTTTCTGCAAACTACGGTCAACAAATACTGTAAATGTGTTAGAAATCTGCTCCAAGTTTTTGCCAAGATTCCTCAAGATTTGAACGTATTTTATCCGGCAAATTTAAATCTCATACCAAAAAACATTCCTAAAAAAATCCCAGAAATTCATAACAACAAGTCCCCGAAATAAATCCTCATGATCTCGGATATCATCCTTACCCTGGCCAGCTCGGGGTTATCAATTTCCTGCTGTTTTTGGGACTTTTCTTGGACAGCGACCGGAAGAATCAAGAGATCAAATCAATTATTATATTCCAAAGGGAAGCGGCAAAGCGTTTTTAGCAGTAATAATCATAATAAAATCAGAAATTATTAGTCATCAAAAATAATGTTTACCCAATTTTGCAATAAAAATACCGTTTAGATTAAAGTTGTAAGAGAAAACTGATAGAGAATTTTGGAAAATGTTACGTTACTCGTTAACTTTGATAGTAACCTTGATAGGCGTCATAAAAATTTCAGTGATTTATGATCAGATCTAAAGTATAAAGTGTATATTTTTACGTTTGCTATGTTTACGTTAGTCAATGATGTCTTGAAAAATCCGAGTAAAACAAGTAAATGGACAGAAAAACAATTTTTGATTGATGAAATGAATTTTCATTTCAAAAGTTTACTTATTTTTCAATTTCTTTCGAAAACTGTCGTAACGTTACTACATATATAAACCCAAATGATCCTATACTTTTTGAAAAAGCACAAATCAACTTGCTTCGCCTGTATTCGAGTGATCTTGTAAATCAAAATGAAGATTTGTCTTATTTTTGCCATATTTTTGATGGATCGTACCATAGCTCGTCCTCAACTTGCCGATGCTTCGATTTCTGGGAGTTTGCTGAATAATCTTGCCGGAGGCCCTGGCCGAACATCTGCAGCTTCATCCGCTTCGGCTCCATCAACAGCGGCTTCATCTCAACCAGCTACGGCCCCAGCTCCCGCGGCAACGCCCGTTTCCGCTCCAGCATCCTCAGTTACAGCCCCAGCCGCCTCTGCCGTCGCTCCATCACCAGCCTCTCAACCCGCAGCTACTCCACTTGCCTCTCCGACCTCCAATGCTGCTCCATCTCCTGTTGTCGCTGCTCCTGTCTCCCCTGTTGATACCTCGGCCGGAATTGGCACTTCTGCTGGAGGTGTTCAGTCAGCAGCCCCAGCCCCAGTTTTGAATACTGGAAGTGTGATTGCATAAATTAAAATTATATATAATCTTTGAGACTTATGTCATGTAAGCATCAATAAAAAAATATACCTACTCTTGCTGCAAATTTCATTTTTCTGAAATTTTACTACTGTAAACATAGGCATGCCTCGTTGTTTTCAATCCACAAAATTTAACGATCTTTTTTACAACACAGTCAATAATACCCGCGACTTTGGAAGTTATTTGTTCATCGATGAAGCCAATTTTACTTTTCATTTTCTTGATTTTTCTAAATTCAATGAATGCCAGCACAATCGAGACGCCTCAAAGGCATCATCAACAAAGACCAGTGTACGATTACTCATTTGGACCAGCCAGATTACCGACAATCGTCGCTCATCATAATACAAAAAAGTAATTTTACAAAGATTGTACCTATTGTGAAAGAATAAATGTTTTAACCTAGACACGTTACTTCGTCATGGGGCTGCCTATTGTAATCTTTCGTGAGCTCCAGTTTTGTGTTATAATATAGTTTTCGTAATCAAAATCTGAGTATTTCCCTTTCCTTGTCTTATTTACAGTCAAAAGCTGAAAAGAAGTCAACCGTTTTGTCAAAAATTTAAAATTAGACGCATGATCTGTACAAAAATACCTGCGGTCCGTTTTGCAGTTTACCATAGATCCTGTAAACGTCCTTGCTTTCTATTACTATTACAAAAAAAGAAAATAAAAATCGAATTTACAAAAAAATCGTTTGCTTCTAGAACTCCCGTTATTATGAATGCTTTGGTAATATTATTATTTGTTATGCTATTGTCCAACTACTCGATCCAGAAGTCGTTCCACGGCCCCACACCGACCCAGCTCCGCGGAGCTTCCACTTATTCATTCCGCCCGGCCATGGAATTCAACGGAACGGCCAATATCTCCTTCGGCCAGATCGAATGGATCGTCAACTTTCGATTATAAATTGTTTTCAGACTCTATAAACGTTTTTACGAGATTCTGCGACATTTCTTCTTCACATATTTTGATTGAGTTTTTCCCGCCGCGAAAACATTTTCCCGCGAAAAATTTATTCGAAAAAAATATTTTTCGGATTTTTTTTAATTCCGGAAATAAATTCGGAAGATTTTTGGCTCCCGATTTGCGCAATCCCCTAATCGAATATGTCCTCTGTAATTGAGCAAAAGGGTTATAAAGTTACAAAAGAAATCGGGAAGGGAGGATATGGAGTTGTATATAAGGCCACGGATAGATTTGGAAAGGTCGTCGCGCTCAAAAAAAGTGATATCAAGGTGAGTAACGCTCATTCCTTCCTTCTTTGCTTTTAGGCAAAACTTAGAACTTGTTTCCGTCAGACTTCATTGTGGACACTTTAGTCAGATCTTATACTGCGAATATTTTAGAAAGGTAGAGAACAAGGGCTAGATCTCCGAACGGAAGCCACGTTTATGAAGATTTTGAGTCAAGGAGACTCTCCAGAGCGGAATAATTTTGTAAAATACATTGATTCGTTTGACGATGGAGAATATTTTATATTGGTCATGGAATATGTTGAAAATGGGAGTTTATTCGACTACGTGAAGAAGGAACCCATGTATTTGGATGCTGGTAAGATTTCGAGCATTTTCATTGGTCTTTAGACTTGAGCCCAATCTTTTCTCATTCCACGCTTGACTGTTACCTAAAATTAAAGGTTTTTAAAATTTTGTTGTTTCAGCGGTCTACGTCACTCTACAGATAGTCAACGCCGTCAACTACATGCACGACAAAGAGATTATGCATAGAGACCTTTCCCCCGGCAATATTCTCGTAGTCCCGAGAAAGGATAGTCGATCAAAATTTATACCAAAAATTTGCGATTTCGGCCTAGCCAAGCACATGAAGAGGCCTAAGGAGAAGCATTTTACGGTTTGCGGGACGCCTCAGTTTCAAAATTTGTAAGTTTCGTCTGTTTTCGGTATTTTAAGTATCAAGTACAATATAATCGATTTAAGTATTATACAGATTTAAATTTTTTGATGCCTATATTTTCAGCGATCACATGAAAAAAGGATATGGCCCGGAGGTGGATTATTCGTATATCGGAGCTCTTCTGTACTTTATGCTTACTCAGCAGCCCATTATTAGGAAGAATATTATGGTGTCAGTTGATGAGATTGAACGAAAAATCGAAAGCCACACGGCTAGGGATTGGATATGCCAGTTAGTTATGAGTGACAATGATTATGAACGGGCTTTCAACAGGAGGAAGAGCATAACAACACCTGAAGGTATATTGCACTTGAGAAGAACATGAAGAATTTGCTTGGATTTTTTGTTAGTTGACTCATGGGATTATTGCATATGTAAATTCAAAGCGTTTCAGAGATCAGATCTCAACTAAAAGCTATCGAATGCCGTGACAAAAGCATTCCAAGAAGTCAGACAAGCCAAAGAAGAAGATCGACCAGTAGAACCCTCAGGGAATTGGAGAATAGAGAGGGGAGATATTCAGAAGATGCGAGAAGGGATCGATTTTCTGATATGGAGCGATACAGGGACAGAGAACGATTTGGGGAGAGAAATCGGTATATTGATGAAGAGCATCGGGAAAATAATGGCTATGCAGATGGAAAGGAACTGTATCATGAACCTCCAAGGATATCCAGGCCGGAGTCAAGGGAGCGGCAACGGGCTGGGCAGGTGTTAGAGGTGGGTTTGAATTTGTTCGCATGTATCTCTAATAGTTTTGTTTTTGGGTATCTAAAACGATGTAACTTTTAGCTTGACCCTCTCCGTCGGCAACCTTCCCGACCTCCAACTCGAACAGACTCCCATCGTCGACTTGATAGCGTAAATGTTCCGACAAATGTGGAGACTCGAAGAGATCGACGGTTATCTTTGAGGTCAATTCCAACTCAAGATCAGCCTTCTCAGCCCCGGTATAAGTCAGCACCCGGTCAAAAGGTTGCCCCATGGCCATTACCTTGGAATATGAAGGAGCTGGAACCGATGAATAATGTTTTTACGCAACCGGGAAGAGTAAGTTTTTTTTCGTTTCGGGTAATATAAATTTCAAAAAAATAATGTTGATTTTAGTGTCTGCTGACAATAAACGGCTCTTACAAGATTACAATAGAGGTCCACGACTCTCAGGAAGTTGTAAATAGAATAGTGGTCCTGCACGATGTCTCCATGCCATCTCAATTTATGACTGTCCATTACCCATCTGGAAGGTCGACCCATCACAAGCAGGCTTTGAATGACCCTCCGATCCCTATCGGATCAAAAACGAAAGAGATAACTTCTTGCAGAGAACTGGATCGTGATCCGGACCTCAGGAAGATGTACGAATACTGTAACAAATTCATATTGTACTGTAGAAACAAACAGGCCAGATATAAAGAAGATGATCGGATCATTGGACTGATCGGGGAAGTCAAATGGAGCGGAAGGGTCGAATTGAGGTGGGGAGAACGTTTGGTCGACTTTGATCGGGCTGATGAGGACCTGGTGATGAATAGTATCAAAGGGGGCAACTTTAATGAAGGTACGGTCATATTTTGGATATTTCTATTGTCTGAGTTAAGATGAACTGACGATATTACGAGACTTTGGCCGAGGAGTCCTCAGAGAAGATCGACGGTTACAAAGGCGGATAAAGATGGCTCGGTAAGGACCTTATTTTTTTATTATTTTATACATGACATTATTTTAGAGATCTTGGTCTTATTCCCACAGCTAGCACTGATGATAGAAGAAATGACGAAAACAGATACCGGTGATCTCAAACGAACCTCTTATTTTGTGCCCTTAGGACTCTAATTATGTACACTACTCGCTACCAACTTACAATAAAGCTACTACTTTTTGACTACACTGACTCATGAGTGTCTCCCTTCCCTTCTGCACCCAATCTTTCACCTTCGAATCGCTTTATCCCGTTCGCAAGTCTAGTTCTTGAATGGTGTATTCCCCATTCAAGTTGTTCTTGTCCTTCCCTTTCGCCCGCAGGCATTTTAAGCCGGCGATTTGTCGGGATTTCTCGGTTCCGGCCCATCGGACCTCGACTAAACCCACCTGTCCAGTCCGCCGGCTAATCCCGCCGCACTCATCGGATGCTTTCCCTCACAAAACTTGTCGCTTTATTACAGTCGGTCTGACTTTTAACATTGAAACGGTCGGAAAGAGTAAAAAGTAGAGGCTTAGATAAGGTCCATGGTCCCCAGAAACGCCATGTTTGGGTTGGCTTGGGTGGGAATAATGATTGGACTGGCTAACGGTAAGAATCTTCGGAATGCCTTGAGTTTTTGTGATGGATAATATGAATTTTATATTACACATAATAAGTCATATAAATTTGATGTGTATTAACTAAAACTACCTCTAGGATGTTTTCCCTTGGCAACTCAGCCCTTCTACGCTCCCCCTCCAGCCGTTCCCCCCGCAAGTTACTATTATGTCCAACCTCAGCCCCAATATCAAGTTCCTTATTCGAGTCGGACTCGGTTGGCCTCTTCAAATCGAATCTATTCGGAACAAAAAGATGATCTCCCAGTTTCATCTACAGGCAATGATTGCCTTCAGAAGTTTGAGAATCACAAACTGATTTGTGCCGAACCGATTGAACGGAGAACCGAGACAAGTGAGGATGAATGTCAGCAGTTGTGTGATTCTGTTAACTGCAAGAGCTTCCAATTTGATGCAGCGACAGCTAGTTGCGATGTGTTCCAGGTAAATTTGGGATAGGTATTAACAAAGCTCTTCTATGACAAATTTATTTTTTGGTCCCTTTAGATTTATTTTACATAGGTTTGGCGGTACTGCAAATAATAAGAAGATATCTCATCTCGGTTGCAAGATAGGTTAATGGCGGTTGTATTTTAGCTCGACCATCGCCACGGAGCTCCTAGATATCCATTTAAGGATCAACAGAGCTTCAGGCAGAAACGAGATCGTCACGAACAACATACGGCTATCGGGAAAGTGAAAAGAATCTTCAAAAGAATGGCAAACGGGATTGATGACGTCATGAGGGACTCTCTCCGGCCATTACCGTATGCCCGATGATTTTTTTAATCGTACTCTTTTAAAATTGATTTTTCAGAAATGGACAGTCAATTACAGCCTACTGCGACCCTTCTCTGGTCACATCCCCAGGTTTCACATTCACCCTGGTCGATGAAGATTGCAAACTCTCGATCAAAGAAGGCCTCATTCAGAATCAAAATCTCCAAAATGAATTCGACGGAGCGATAGAGTCCTTTAGCAATGAAAATGGGGCAATCCGAGGGCACAGCCACAGGAATGCCGGGCCAGGCCCAGTCCAGACGGTGATCCCGGAAACTCCCGATTGTCCGGATGGAAATAAGGCCCGAATTCAGCTGATCGAAGGGATCAGTTTGGTGCAGGCAAGGGCTGTCACAACTGTTCAGTTGGATACTCCGGAGATTTGTCTTCAGATCTGCAGAATGAGTGCGGTAAGGGAAAGAATATAAAATAACAAAAGGTCATTCGTGAGCTAACTAATATCTTTTGAATTTGATTATGTACCTATTTGAGTAAAATTTTAATAGGCAGTCTAATTTTAAGGCTAGAAAGTATCCATTTAATATCAACTCTAATGTAATCTCCTTTTTGGCTCGTTATAGATTACTAGAACCAGTCTTAAATTGAGCTTCTTACTCTAGTTAAACCCCTTCTAGCATTTGGACGGCACCCGTTTCCAGAAAGCTTGTAAATCGGCGGTTTTCGATCGGTCCACGGGTAAATGCACGATCTACGAAGAGGTTATCTCGCCGAATGGAGATCTCAACTACAACCCCAACCCGAATGCCGTCTACTTTGAAAAGTTTTGTATCAGTGGTGAGTGATCCAAGTGAATTTGAGTCTCATATTTAGCGGCCGAACTTCCAATTACTTGTGATGACGTCATCCACAGGATTCCTCAACATACTCTGGATAAACGGGCCATTGGAACTGGTGCTGTGGTGACGACGGCCACACAAATCGATTGTATTCGGCAATGCATTACGGCCAAGGCAAGTGAAAAAAATTAAGATCTTAATGTTGCGTTATATTGTACATGATTTTTACTCAATTTATTGAATGTTTTCCTCTAAGTTTTCCATATTTTAGCGTCGTTTGAACTTTGAATGCCGTGCAATCTCCTATTTCTTTGATTGGCCCTCCGAAAACTGCTATCTCAGCCGCTTCACACGGCTCCAAAGACCAGACGTCTACGTTCCGGAGAGAAAAGAGCTCGTGGATTATCTGGAAATGCCTCATTGTGTGAACACGTGTAAGTTTACATCTTATCACATATTTTAAACAGCGAAACTACAGAAAACTTTATGTTTATTCAACCTTATCCATGTACATTACACCCGACTTTATTTCGAAATTTTCTTATAACCCTCTTCAATCTCGGCGACCCGTTGTTTTCCGTCCTAAAATACGAAAATTAATTGGAAATAGAGTCAAAATATCACTGAAACCTACCTCAGTAGTGAGCCATCCGGCTTTAGCGGCCATTTTAAATCCCATTGCATAGACCAAGAAGAAAGTTAACTTGTCAGTGAAGGCACCGGGACGGACTCGAATCATGTTTCTTATCAGGGTCTCAATGTCAAAGGAATCTCGATGTTCGCATTGTTTCATTAGGGTGATCCACAGCGACATGGCGCAAGGTCTGAAAGGTTTTAGTTTTCATGATGACTGTCAAGTATAATTATTCAAATTTCTCAAACTGATAACCACATATTTCTTAAATTTTTCGTTTTTTTTATAGTCTGTCAGTCATCAAATTTTTTTGAACGCAATGTTGCAATTATCGCCTAGACAATGAACTATGATCGGTTGAATCGTACACCCTTACCGTTGAATTGCATTTAATCCCATACAAATCACCGGCGGGATAAAAGAATCCGCAGCTTTCTTGAAAATCGCGTCTTCCTTGGCCAGGACCATCTGCAATGCGCTATACAGCATTTCCAAATCCGGCCATTGGTCCAGTTTCCAGTCGTAAATATGGATCAAACTGATCGTCTTGTTTTTGTCATCCTGCGCTTCGCTGACTGCCGCTCCTGACTCTGGGTCATCCTTATCCTTCTTCGGCATCGGATCCGTGGAAGTCAAGAGGATCTCATAAACCGCGAATCCCTTCTGGCCTTGTTTCTTGAGACATTTGACGGTGAATCGGCCGTTCAAGAAATTCTGCGATTTATTCTCCTCGCGGGGAAAGAAATTGAAACATTTTGAGCGTTCCGTATCAGAAAAGGATTTGTCCTCGACGGTGCAGATGATCAGTTGGCAGCCGTTCGTGTAGACCTGTGAGAATTAAAAATATTGTTCTTTCTGTTTAGTGTAATAATATAAGTTTTGAGCCCAAACATGGTTTAAAAAAATAGCATAAGATCCCTTACAATCCTCCAGAATTGACCGACATTCGCAAAATTAGGTCCTTGCGCAATGATAAAGTCCTCTTCGTTCGCCGTGAAATAAGTTGCGTTGTAATAATCTTTGTCGCCGGCTATCTTCGTACTCAACTTGACTCTTAGCCTGTCAATAACTGGGATCGGAAGCCGACTTCCATCCTTGTCTCTCTTCTCCAAAAACGCGGCCATTTCAATTCTACTGTTGCCCATTACTCCATCAAATTGTGATTGGCGCGCTGTAAGGTTACGGGTCTTGGAAACGGTTGTGATGAAATCTTTGGGATTCTCACCAATGTCTTCCTGGAAACGTAGGGATAAGGCGCTTATTTTTGTCGATTTTGAAGTTTTGGGCCTTACAACTAATCTTTCAAATTGAAAAAATAACGTTCATTCTCAGCGATTTCTGCATAGCGCGAATTAAAAATCAGGAAAATAGGCTCACCTTTCCGAACTTTGCTTTCGGAGTAAGTCCGGAGGGTCTTCGGATCGACCTCTTTACTTTCATTTTCCTGAGATCCGACCGTCTGAGAAAGAAAAAGTTGTCGAAAAGGCAAACGATACAGAAATCTTCAAAATTCCTCAAATCGAAATGAGGATTTTAGGTTCGAAAAAAAATTTTTTTGGAAGTAAAATTTGATTGAGTCTTTAGTTTGGCAACGGGACGACGCCTCTTCGGACTGGAGTGAATGGAGTGATTGTGATCGAAGCCTGACCAGAACTCGTTGGAGAAACTGTTCCAGTTGTAACCCGCGCCGAGAAAGAGTCCCCTGTATTTCAAAGACCTCATTGAGTGAGGAGTTTCCCCAGGAATTACTCAATACGGAATTCGGTGAGACTTTTTTGTCTACTACAATATAATTTTTAAAAATGCCTTTTAATTTTTGTTATCCATTTTAATTTTAGAGCCAAAGCAAGTTGCCCAGACCTTCGAAGATGCCCGCAGATTCAAAGCAGCAGGAGTGCGAAGGTCTGATGACCACGAGGGAAGTCTTTTTGGAGATAATGACTATAATCATCAAGATGAAGTCAGTTATTTCGGGCCTCCACACAAGGTGGAAACCTCGGGTTTTATTCAATCAGAAGGTGAGATTTATGTCATATTCATCTACTGCCTTTTTAAAAATTAAAATCTATGATTCAACTCTAGTTTAATGTAATGATGTAATGTTTTCCCAGATATCATCCATCCCCAGCCCAACATCTTTAATATCCAATCGAATATCAAGAAGATTCGTCCAGAAGAAGAGAAGAGAGGATCTGGCAGAACCTCGGACCTCCCGGCCAAAGAATCCTTCGAATTGGATCCAAATGAAGCCGCTCCTTTCGCGCCGCTGAAGCCGGACGATTTGGATTTCCTGAATGGACTGGATTCTGGAGAAATGAAACAGCTGAAGGATGCTCAAAACGAAGCCGAAAAGGAGGCCAATCGAGAGGTGCGAGGGTTCAGAAACGAAGAACAACCCGAGGATATCACTCTACAAGAAATCAGACGGGAAGGTCTCAATATTCGAAGGATTGATAACAAAAAAAGACATGAATATGACAGGGAGGAGCACAAAACCCAAGGAGAAGTGAGCAAGGATGATTTTGAAACGAAAAAAGAGGAGCTGGATGAGAATGGATGCAATCCCAGGGTAAAATGTTGCCCAGTATCCTCTGGAGCGACCCTAAAGGGATGCATAATTGGATTCAGGACAACGGAAAATGGAGCAAAGGCCACTTGTTTGACTGATAACTGTATTTAAAATGTTATATAACCTCGTTTTGAAAATTCTTTGATAATACTAAAGATGTATCTATGTTATAAACAACTCATTTTTTCAAGACAACTCTCTAGCATGTCTTATCTGTTTTATGCATAATTTATTTCTTCAAAACAACCCTTCCCGCTTCTTCCTCAACAACATACTCAGAGAGATCGAGGAAATCGTCGGGCAGATCGAGGAAGTTCCAAATCTTTTGTCCCATCTCTTCATTCGCTGGGAAGTCGATCCATCCAACATCGGAACCCAGCTGAGATGAGTATTCGGAGAGGAATTGGGTCATGAAATCAGCTCTTTCGGTGAACGAAGAGTCCACAATTTCCTGGAGTTCGTCAAAGATTTGGATGAGAACGGCGCTTTCAGTCCTAAAAATAAAAAAATATTACAATTGACCTACTACCACATAACCTACGCCCTCATTTTTTTAGTACTCCTAATTAGACTGATACTCTCCAGGCAATCATAAATATCGTCGTAGTTGACATCTCCTTCATATTCACAAGCAGGAGACAAAAAATCATCAGATAATTTTACATTCTCCTTCGTCGATCCTGACGCAGATCTTTTTCTCCGTTTAGTTCTTCCATCCAGCACATTCAATGCTTGGGTTAGCACTTCAGACATGATGTTCATACCCTTCTTCTTAGCTGCAACACTCCTTGTGAGCTGTCTCATTTCATCTAACGCTTGTTTTTCGGTTCCTTTGATACCTAAACATCAAGAATAAAAAATAAATAACTTACCCTTTGCTTCATCCGTTGGAACTTTGCCTTCTTTCAACGCTTCCTTCCAAGGTATTCTGACGGAATCCGCTTCCCTGACGATATCTCTCAGGCCCTCAAGAATAGCCATGATTTCTTCAACGGAGGTATTCGAAAAAGCATGAATGAACGTCTCCACACTAAACTGATTGCAATTCGTATTTCGCAGCCTCGAGAATAGCGCGGCCAAGTCATTTGTGTTCCAGTTTGCAGCGGGTTCAAAGGTTATTCCCTCCATTACCTGAGTTATTGCTTCGGAACGTTTTAGGTATGCAAGATGGGGAGTTTCTTCTTGTTCTTCGGCGGATTGTTGTGAAACCTAAAACAAAGGATATAAACTCAATCGAAGCACCGCAATAGAGTTACAGAAAGCAGGATTCCTCATATTCAACTGCATTCCAGTGTAAAATTTATATTATCCATAGTGTTACCTCAGAAACGCTATCCAGATCCAAAATCTCGGTATCATTTCCTAATGTCGTTTCTTCAACAATCTCTAAATTTCCAATAGTTTGATCAGCTGTCTGACTTGTTGATGGGAGTTCTGGATCATGAACGTTCATCCGTTCTTCTTTTTGTTCTCTAAAACCGAAAGAAAAAATGTAAAAAGCCAGTGAACTTGCCTTGCAGGAACGTTAGATGGGCCAGGCTGATCCATTTTGGATGAAGATTACTCGAATTAGCAAGCAGTTGAGAGAAGTTATCCAAATTTGGTTTTCTCGCGCTTGCGAAACAATTTTTCAACAGAAAAATATTTTTAGGACACGTTTAATCGTATAAAATGGCAGAAAAACTTGAAATTGCCGCCAAAAATTTGGGGTGACGTAAGTTGTGGTTTATACCGGTATACCGCAGGAAAATATGATAGCTTTGTTCGTTATAAGATAAATATTTTTTAGGTAATGACATAGAATTCTTGGATACTTTTAAATTTTACAAAACTTTAGAACCAATTATGTCACACGTGATCTCAAACAATATCTAGGGACTCTTTTCGACCTTCGTCAAACAATTCATGGTCCCATTGTTGCTTGCAAAGTCCTTCAGTGCTGAAATAAACCGATTTGATTGAGTATAAAGCTTTACCGAAATTTTTTCTGTTTACAGTCACCATCCGAAGCCCCGTAGGACGGCCGGTATCCCAAATCAACGACGGCGCTGTTGTGTTGTCGTAGTACACATACGACGTTCCATTAAACCATAGCCCAATAACCGCAGAATTTCCAGTGAACACTAGAAAATTGATTTTAAATCTTGTTTGAGCCTAGTGTAATATAAAATAACCTTAAAAAAGCGTACAAGATACCATTCCGTAGACTAATAGATGCACAATCTTAACTGGAGTCCCATTGGTCTGATATTGACTGCAGATGTTGTCTCGGACTGTCTGATATCCACTTTTGTTCGTTTTTATAATGGCCAAACAATACCAGATGTCATTGTAGACAACTGGAATGGCGGGAGTCACCTCGGAACAGTCGTAATTGACGGATTCGGAGATTTCTGCAAATTTATGGCAAAATTATTTGCATTTCGAAATTGATTTTACAAAAAAAATATTTTTTGCACTGTGCAAACTTATTTTTTTGCAACGGCCAGACAGTAAAGTGAATTTATTATTATGATATAAAAATTGATTTTCATTAACTTACGAGCTCTAGTCATCGTATAGATGGTTCCATTGTTAACCGCGCCGACCACATAATAGCCCAATTCAGTGTCATAAACATTGGAAGTCCGCGCAGTGCAGTATCCACTGTTTGCATCGTATTTCAGATTAGAGACTGACGAACAAGTCGTGTCGCCGTATGCTGTAATTATTAGGTTGGGACGAAAGTTTTCCCCTTAATTTTCGGGGAAAAGTTATGGAAGTTGTGGAACTTCCTGGAAAGTTCTATCATGTGACTATGTAAGGGTGAGTTGATAGCATATAGACTGATATGTAACTTGTCCCCATAGCGCTCTCCAAACGTGGAAAAATTTCCGTCCCAAAGTTCTGTTTCGATGCGTCAAATTTTAGAATACCAAAACCCATGGAAGATATAACCGAAGTCTAGGATGTTATAGGCAAGGACGTCCTCTTTTATGGCGTGGCCAAGTATTGGTTCCAGAGGTTCAAAAAAGGAGTTAGACGACCAAGTTCTGGCGGCCATCTGAGATAGATGATGACGCCCTAAAAGGCTTAATCGTGAGCTATCCCAAATTGCCATTACGTGAACTTGGAGAGCTCTTTGGGTTCTCCCATACTACCATTATGGACCATCTACATCGGTTGGGAAAAGTGTGGAAGTGTGGTTAATTTGTTCCGCAAGAACTTTCGGAGTCACGGCTTATACTGTTGCTCCTAATTTTTGTCGTACCGCCGCAAGCTGACTTGGCTGACCAATATCATTACAGGGAACCAGAAGTGGGTGATGTATGTAAACCATACCCGCAAGCTTCAGTAGCTTGAACCCGACCATCACGGTGAACTAACCCCAAAACCTAAATTCACCCAAAAAAGATTGTTGTCCGATTGGTGGACTTGTATGGGAGGTATTTATTAGGAATGGCTCCCTGATGGTAAAACTGTCACTAAATAACAGAATTATCGCCAGTTGGACCGCTTCGCCCAAAATGCTAGAGAAAAATGGAACAAATCTTCCTCCTTCACGACAACGCCTAGTACCGCATTGCAAAAATCGCTCGCAAAAAATTCAGGGAGAATGCATGACCTTTGCTGCCCTACCCACACTACACCCCAGCCTTGGCACCTTCTGATTACCATTTGATCAGATCGCTAAGCTACCGTTTGGGAGATGTGCGGTTCGATTGTTTGGGGGACCTCAAAACAGGTCTTTCTGACATTTTTTATTATATTAGGTTGTATAATAAGTTATGACCATAATTTTCTAAAATTCCTAAAACTTTAATGACGCTTTTTTCAGAGTTGAATAGCATACCGCTGGGTAGGGTGGAGACAGTAGATTACAGGAACCATTAGCACATCGGCCTCCGGCTAAAACATCGGAGAAAAGAAATTAAGAAATGAGGGCGTCCCAAGGTGCTAAAGCAAAAATACGCCTTAAATCTGAGAATTCCGAGAGGCTAGAAATGACAATGCTTCTGTAGGACACTAGAGGCGTTAATTTTACATACGCTGCGCAGGATCAACTCTACGTCCCCCACTTGAGCTTTACTGTTCAAAATATAAATTGAGGTATACCTTCACTGTTATGCACCCTGATTCGTTTCGAATTAATCCCACCTCAAATAACGTGGTTCAGCTGTAAAGAGTCACTTATGAGTTGCTTTTTGATAACCTACTCAAATCAGAAACTGCTTGTATCAGGTGACAATAAGGAATTTCATTAAAATCGTTACATTTTGAGGGCCGCTGGACTAGAGTTCAAAACTTTTATTGAGTACGCCCTAGCGCCATCTTGTGAAGAACTGTTTTTGGTGGTTATATACACTACATACCTCGGCGAAAACGACAGTATATATTCTTAAAGTTTGCGGCGGTTAAGTTCTAAAAAATTTAAATTCAATTGGATGATCCAAAATTCTGCTAATTCTTAAATTTTTCTGGAGATTCCAATTACTGCATGCTCCAAAATTTGCCTGGTGTGACAACAGGTATGTGATCTCGTATTACCACGAGTTATAACAATAGACAATAGAAACCCCGGGCGCTAAACTTTTTAGACGCTTTTTCAGGCGACGGCTTCGGTAACCTTCCGGAAAAACAGCTCATAAAATGAGCTGTCACTGATACCTAGTAACGATGCTGTGTCAGCGTCTTCTACGACCCTTGAAGATTACAATAACACCAATCCGAGACCAGCAGCGGCTGGCTGAGAGACGTGACTTGAGTTATTTCGTACCCTGCCAAAATCGGGGCGCTTCCGAGTTTTTAGCAATAGAAAATCGCGGCTATGCCGTAAGACTTTGCAATACGCACTAGATGAAACTTCGATAAGCCCTCTATTAGTCTATAGGTATGTTGAACTAAGGAGGGATCTGAGCTAGGAAATAATCGACTTCAAACTTTTGCAAGAAAATGGTCATAACATATTATACAACCTAATAAATACCCCAGTTTTTAATCTCGCCAATTGAATCCTTGGCGGAACGTTGGCAATACGTAGTGGATACCGACGGTGGATGTTATGTTTGGTTTCCCGTTACAACTGTCAAAATAAATTTGTTTGGAAAAAAACAAGAAAAAGGGGAAAACTTTCGTCCCAACCTAATAGAATTCTACAGTTGTTGGTAATACTGTATTAAGCAATGGGAGTTTCCGGTCTTACTGCAACATTATTTATCTTACTGTAATCGCTGATTAATTGCTGAGCTCTTACTGCGGTAGTGCATCCACATCCTCCTCCGTTGTCTCGCAAATACCAAACAAAATGGGCCTGGCCGGTGGCTAAAGGCAAAGATTCGAATTACCCTCAATTTTTCTTTTTTTTTACGCAGATCTTGGCAAAAAAATGATTTTTCTGAGATTTTCTAATTACCAATGAAGCTATTTCTTTGGAAAAATAAACTATATTTTTAGGTCAGAAGTTGGAAATTGACCATTTTTTGACCTAGTGTAATATAAAATGATTCTTACTCTGAGCTTCTTCAGTTCCCAATACATAACTCCTGATCCCCGAATAGCCAATACAAGTTGAATTGAGATCATAATAGATCGCGATTATCTTCTGATTACTCCCAATCTGAGCGCACTCTTCCAGCGATGTTACAGTAATCTTCTCGACCACTCCAGTCGCCACAGGCACAAATCTGGTGGGAAGTTGGCGAAAAGAAGAGGTGAAAACAATTTTTAGGTTATAAAGTAGTACTATTACTAGAAAATATACAGTAATCATAGGTTACCGTAATACGACAATAAAGTAGATGTACCCAAAGTTAAGGTTAAAAAAAATTAGAGAATATCCGGGTCTAAATTTCGGTCGCCAGATCCCATGGATACCACGGGAAGACTGTATTAAACTCCGCTTCGGACAATTTATGGCTCTTTTTTATTGCGGATAAGAATGCATAATATGGATGACAGAGGACTCATGCGGAATAAATTTACAAACGGTAGTTTAATCTTTCGATCAAAAATTCATTTGGCCACACAAACCGTGCACTTTCGCAAACAAACATATGCACTGTGCCGTTCCTTGGAGTCTTGAAAGTTCCTTTTTTCGCACCGTGCAATTTCCAAACCACCGCCCAGTGGAAGCTTTCACTGTCTGTTTGATTGACTTTTTTGCACAGTGCGGAGATTTTCTGGGTTGCACAGTGCAGCTTTCTTTTGTGCTTTTTTGTCGTGAATTGTCAGCGGCAAAATTGTCATCCAAACGCATTGTGCAAACAGAGATTCGTTCCGGGTTTCTCGCACAGTGCAAAAGGTTTTTCAGATCGCTTTGAAAGTCTTGATTGCACGGTGCAGTGGCTCATTCTTTTGGTTTGCACAGTGCATCAAAATAAACGAAAAGAAATTTACGGCTTTCCACTGTGCGAAACGAAAAAGGGCAAACGTGGAGAAAATTGAGATTTCATGCAAACCTCAAAAAGTTCAAAAATGAAAGTATTTTCACGTCAAATCAAACTCTTCACAAGATTCCGAAGCGGTTGTCGCATCGTTTTGATTGTGAAGAAATGTCTGTAAGTCGTCTTTTGTCTAAAATAAGGCCTTTAGACCATCAAAGCCAAGAAAAAGGGGAGAGCCAGTAATGCGGCCGAGACTGGAAAGGAGCGCAAATCCTCCAAACCCCGGACTTCGGTAGCCCGTCGCAAGAGTTCTGCTGGGAAAATTGGAGTGGAAAAGGCCAAGGAGAGCAAGGTGAACACAGTTTCTGGTAAAATAATTGAATTCTATTACAGCCTGCGGTCAAGCAGATTGCCAGTTGCCCTAAAAAGATCTCTCCAACGCCGGCGAAGGTAGGTTTTATCGAATTTTGCATTGTTTTGGACTACTTTTTGCTTAATTCTTAATTTTTAGCCGCCCAAACCAGAAGTGAAGCCAGAAAAGAAGAAGCCAGCGTCCCCAAAGAAGCCGGGGTCTCCCAAGAAGTCCGTGGAAGCGAAGACGAGTACCGAGAAGAAGAACAGCGAGCTCTCGGAGCCCTTGGACACCTCTCAGAACATCAAGTCCCTGAGCAGAGACGAGACTCCCTCGGATGGCCTCAGGCTCAGACCCAAGGAAGAGGGCCCGGTCCCGGAACTCTAGGACGGCTGCAAATCAAATTTGCTGATGATTCCACGTTTTTATAACGAATAAAAAATTTTTTTGTAAGGTGATGCGACATTTTCTTTGAAGTCTCATTTCCGGTGGCGCGACAGTCAGATTGTCTTCCAATTTTCCATATTTTATTTATCTAGGACGTGCATTAACTCCTCAAAATCTCAGGCTGTGATTTGCAAGGACAGCCAAAGAAATTGTTTTGTTGGAGAGTGTATGGAAAATGAGGAGAGGCGGCCAGAGAAAAAATCACTCAAATCCGGTAGAATTTGATTTTCTGCCTAAAAATTGCTGCATTTTGAATTTTTTGAAAAGTTTATGTAAAAGAAAGCGTTTTTTGTGATACTTTTTGATACCAAAATCATTATGCAATCTCTTTTTTAAACCGTTTTTTCTTTATTTTGTCATCAAAATTTCAATTTTACTGTCATCTTGCCTACTCCAATGTCCGGTCGTTTCCTCTTTATTTTTTCCCTTTTTCCCTTAATTTTTTCACGCAATTTTCAAGCAGTTCGATTGGATACCGAGTGTAATATCAGGGTTAAAGACGCTTCTTCCTCTCCTGTAGATGGGTAAATTGGCATTTAAAGTCATCATAAGCGTCTATATTGTACTTGGTGTCAAAGAAAATTTATTTTCAGAGACTGCCGCGATGCCAAAGTGACTTTTATTAACCATGGGCGTTACACGAACACCTGGCTGATTGTCAAAATAACAGGCCCGACCAGTATTGTCTACGGAACGGTCAATTTCGACAAGTTCAGACCGGGAAAAGTGCGGATGGACAAGATGGATCTTGCACATGGTCAGTTGATTTTTTTAAACTGTTATTTTATTTTTATTTCTAGCCTTAGGCGACTGCAGATTCGATCCCAAATTCTTTACATTTTTTGTGGACGAGTCGACGCTTTACCTTCTGGTTAAGTGTGGAGAGTCCTACGGTCTTCTGAGGAGTTTTATTTTCAAAAAATTCATCATCCACACCGTCGGCCGGCCAATAATTCCAGTTCAGTTTCGAAAAACGGGACTTATTCTTGGAATTGGACTTCCATATGGGCCAGAACAAGTGTGAGTTGAAGACTTCTTGAAAACAAAATATTTTCTATCGGTCTGTCGGGAAAATAACGGCGGATCGTCGCGCTTCGGAATCGCTCATCATCGCTTTGCGACTGCAAGCCGCGACTTGGGATTTGGTGCGCGATACCGGCGAGGCGAGACATTTTGCTGCGACGATCCGCCGTTATTTTTCCGACAGACTGATAAAGTACGCAAAAATGATGACAATTCTTAATTTAGCGAGTTTGGCAAGAAGGAGACGTATTTGTTGACGGCAATTTCCGGAGGAGAGCCAACCGATGTGACCTTTCTGCACGATCTGAATCAACCAGTCGAAGAACCGGAGTAAGTCGGAGATTAAGGAGAAATTGTGGGCTATTCAAATTAATGATGGGTAAAAAAGATTTTTGATTTAATAATTACCTGATCGTCTCGCTTTAAGAATGCTGACTTATAGGTTTGGAGCAGCAGAAGATGACTTTAATTTTGGTTTATTGTAACATGATATTTTGATCTCAGGATAAACTTGAAGAGGATAAAATAAAGTAGCTAGCGAGAGCGGGCCAAAACGGGTCGATAATATATGATATGTATTTATATTCCAGCGAGTTCTTTCGATTGGAAGGAGATGCACACCAACTTGTGAATATTGTTGAGCTTGACGGAGGGCAACAACTGCCAGTTGTATCTTTTAAAAAGGACCAACAGACCCTCTTCAAATGGGCCAAGGGAAAAACACGTAAGATCATGTTTTATATATTTTTTTGTGCCCCGAGATACATATATGTATACGTACACTGACCTAAGATCTATCTACATTTACAGTCTGTGAGCCCATCAAACATCAGGGTGCTGACTATTCCATTTATGGATGTATGAATGTCAGAGCGGCAGCTGAAACTGAGACTGTCGAGTCCTTCAGATGGGTCAACGATCTCGACGATTTGGGATTCGAGTTTCTGGGAAGAGGTTCGGTAAGAAAATGAGGTCATTAAAGCACATCTTTAATCATAATTTAATGTTATTTTATAGGACCTATCCATCTACAAGAAACGAGACATCATCAATTGCAAAAAATCCAGTCAGCGGTGAGAAATCAGGATCAAGTTTTAGAAGTTTTTATTTAGAAAAAACAACTTTATCACCCTGTTTTTCTTCACAATCACCTTCGAAATGTGGAATTTTACGGTTGTGATTACGTTATTTTACTGCGGCAGATCGATCCATAAGAGGAAACAGGCCAAAAGACGTAAGAAATTTATAGTTCCGGCCAGTCAAATCTTTTGTCGATTAATTTTTGATGACATTTTAGGTGCCCAACGAGTCAAAAAAGCTGCGAAAAGAGCCCGAGAACGGAGGGAAAGACAAAAAATGTATGAGCAAAGCGACAAAGAGACCGAAATGATGCCACCGGAATAAGATTATGATCGCTGAGCGGATAAATCTCATTTACAATTTAATCTTTTTATACAGTAATTCAAGAAATATTCAAAAGTGGGTAATAATTACATATAATCAACTGCCTATGACTTCTTGTCGACCTTAGTTAGGCAGTTTATGACATTTTTGTTCGTCGCCACGTCTTGTAATGCTGAAAGGAATGCAAATTGGATTCAACTTTTTGTTTAAAAGTGGTCCCTAACATAATGTAAAATGATGCCTTACAGAGGTTCACCCTGTCAACCGTGACCATACGGAGGTGCGCTGAAGTTGGATACCCAGAGTCCCAGAGGATGTCATTCGGGAGGGTTGAGTTGTCGTAGTAAACATACTGGCTTCCGTTGTAATAGATTCCAGCAATGGCAGCAGTACCCGTGTGAACTAAAGTTATATAAATTTAATGAAACTTTTTGAGGCAAAAAAATACGGTATATTAAAATGAAATATAAACTATAATTCTTAGTTCAAACTACAAAAATTATATTGTACTTGGCCTTACATGAAATCAGCCCATAAACCAAGGGATGAACGATTTTGACTGGAGTCCCGTTGGTCTGGAATTTTGCACAGGCGTTGTCTCTGATCAGAGTATAGTCGGAGCCGCTCGGAGAAATGATTGCGAAGCAATACCAGATGTTATTGTAGACAACAGCCGGTGAAGGAGTGACCTCAGAGCAATCGTAATTCACTGATTCGGATATTTCTGGAAAGAGAAATTAAGCTTATCCTTCTTGGAGGCGACCTTCTTGGAGGTCAGTTAGACTTCTACAAATAACCTTTTTAAACATAAATTTTGCATTGTTAAATGATAATCATAAATGGGCCACTAAAGAAATTCACATTCTACAAACAGCATAATCTGTAACATACGTGCCCGGGTCATTGTATAAATGGTATCATTTTTGGTCGCTCCGATGGTATAATACGCGAGTTTGGTCCCAAAAATACCCGTATTCTGGGCACTGCTCTTCCCAGTGCAATACCCGCTTACTGGATCATAGGCCAGTCCCCATCCATTGTAACAAGTGTAATTTCCATAAGCTGAATGATCATTTATATCATCCATGACGTCATACCAAAACCTACTGAATTCATTGAGCAATTTTTGAGCGCGCACTGCGTCTGCGCATCCACAGCCTCCTCCAGTGTCCCGGAGATACCACGCGAAGGCGTTCGTGCCATTAGCTGAAATTTCATACAAAAATTTTATATTATTGTAGCTATTAATATCACTAAATTGAAAAAAGTCCCACTTTGAGCGACAACAGTGCCGAAATGATAACTCAGGACTCCATTATATCCCATACACGTCCCATTTTTGTAATAAACTATGGCCACAATCACAGCATTCTCTCCGATTGAACCACATTCTTCCGGCGAAGTTGCAGTAGTCTGATTGATCAAGGTTCGAGGCCATGGGACGAATCTAGCCGGCAATTGTCGGAAATAATACGAAGCTGAATCCACATTGTGATAAAGAGCGAACATAAAGGTCCAATAAAATAGGATCATCGGGCACAAATTGCCATGGATAATACAAAAAATGCACAAAGTACTGTAAAGTAGACCAAAAGGAACGCGACTAGAGGGAGGAGAGTGATTCCACAAAAGTTGCCGACTCAAAATCCATGGATACAACTGGAATATGCGAGAGAATCCGGGGGATTTGTTTCTTTTTCGGATACTCGAATTGAATTTATTGTCCTCTTGTTTGAGATGATAAATATTCCAGTGATCCCGACAACAAATTGTGGCACACGTGTTCCAAAGCTCAAAAAAAGTTCAAGGGCACATGAATACAGTTCGAAACGTAAAGAAAGTGATCCGATCTCTGAGAATTTTTACATTTTAATACAAATTCAACAAAATTGTACAGTACCCGTTAGTATGTATATCATATGTCGTCCTCGTCGTATTCATCAAAATCTCCACATCCAAATTCGCCCTCATCAGCATCAAAGTCTAGGACTTTTGGCAGTTTCAGCGCCTCTTTATTATCTGCATTTTCATTCATTTCTGTTTGAAATTCTGGGTTATATTTAGCCTCCCAAGCTTCATCGGCCTTCTTTACCGTCTTCAGGATGATTTTCGATAACAAATGATCTTCAGACTTGGCTTCTTTGACTAGATTTAACTTGGACAATTCAGAAGTCATGGGGATGTCATCTTCGTCAAAGATATCTTCGAGTTCATTGATGACTGGGGGTTCCTCTCTTAGAATCTGCATCCATCGATCTTGTTTTGCCATTATCCGGCCATTTATGGTTGATCGGTCAGTCTGAAACAAAAAAATTCAAAATTTTGCCAGATTCTCTTCGATTCAAAATCCTTCACCGTTTTAAAAATTACTAGTCATCTCTTACCTTCATGAAGTCCTCTTTCTCCATGACCAATTCATGACTTAATTCTTCAGCCAATTGCTTCAGATTGGAGTGTTCGTTCACAAATATCTTCACATCCCTCACGCATTGATCTCTTTGTTCTCTGTCGTTCACAATATTCAAATATTTCTGGCTATCTTGATCCACTCCACTCACAATTATATTATTCATCCAGATCTGACCATTGTCCTGTTGACTGAAGACGATTCCTCTTTTTTGGTCGAGCATTTCACAATAAAAGGCCCTTGGGACTTTAGGGATTTCATCCACCTCGGCTTCTGTCAATGCTGGACTAGTGGTAAAGTTCTGTCTGCAATAATTGACAACGTTTTGTGGTGGAGGGACCATTACATTTGGGCCCATCGAAGACCAAATCTGCTCTTTTTCGTTCAATCCAATGGCCCAATGGGAGATTCCTGGCCGGATAAAGTTGTTCCGGACAATGTAATCGTAAATAGTGATGTTTGAAGACTCATCTCGGAAAGGGCCCATCTAAAAATTGTAAATTTTTATAATCATCAGGTACCTAATAAAAATACGTCAAATTTTTAGCTCACAATTTGCGTATAATCCCCTCCATTCATATCGAAATGGCTCATAGAAACCACGGTTCTTCCGGGCATTCGTCTGTCAAAAGCGTGGATCTGTTGGAAGCTGGTCACCAAAAAGATTTCTGTACATGACTCCACTGGCAAAAGATGATAAATGCACTCGCGACTATTGATAAATTCCACTTGTTCCTCACTGAATTGCAAAATAGACTTCTCAGCGTTCAGTTCGAGACTAAAAATGGGTTCCACATTCTTTTGGCCAACGCGGAAATCGGTTTGGAAGACTTTGTTCTTAGTGGCAAGGAGAATTTCGGCTGGGCAATCAGTGGGAGCAATCTGAAATTAATCTAATCATATTTAAACGGACATTTTGAAAAGAAGGATGCGGAAAAAATTAAACTTGAAAGTTCAAAAAACACCAAAATTATATTGTACTTGCCTTTCTGATTGGCTCTTCTGTTTTTACTCTAGTGAAATTCGAGTTCGCTGCAACTTCACCGAAGAAAACCTTGTCCCGTGCATCGATGATCGCAATCTCATTCATATACGGAATCTTACAGTATGACTTTATTCGATAATTCAGAACATCCGCTACCTAAAGCAATATAATTTATAACTGAAGACCAAAAACAGCAAAGAGTACTGGTGCTCTCTTACCTCAATTTCCTCTTCGCCCATACAATTTGCCAGTCTAAGGCCATTCACATCCCTTATAAAGAAGAAATCTTTGTTTTCTTTGCCAAACGATCCAAATTCAATTGGCTGATGAGGTAACTTTAATCTTTTTACTGGCTCCATCTCACCAACATGTAGAAATCTAACCATCTTACGGGTCTTCTTTGACAACTTGTATGTCAAATTATATTCCAGCAACATATTTGAGGTTGAATTGTCATCAACTGTCCATAGTTTGATCACATTTTGGTCCTAAAAAGTAACAAAAACGTCAAAAAGTACTTACAACTTCTTTCTGAGTAAATAACAGGTTACGATTCTGATCATCAAACTGTTTTTCGGTTTCAGGAAGTTGTCGGATCAATCGTTTTAGTCGATGAATATAATCTTCTGATTTGATTTGCAATATTGGAACAGGTAATCCCAGAGGATAAGGGAATAATAAAGGCTTCCTTCTGAAGAGAGCGTTGTTATGTTGAGGTATGAATGGGAATCCGAGATCTTCTGGGTCCGCCGCTGGGATTATCCCGCCATAAAGTTGACTGGCGACCGCTGAAAGGCCTGTGTAAGGCGGTTTTGGTTGGAGGTAGGACATCCCCTGAGATCATCTATCTAAACACAAAAAGACAAAGGTAAAAACAGGCATCTTCCTAAAATCTTGTCAAGTACCACATGTTATACTACATATTAATCGAAAAAATAATTAAATTTCGCAATTTATTCAACAAAAACATCCTAATTTAACAACTTTGTCTCGAGTTTCTAGTATAACAACAGATTGGCTATCTTCTTAAAGGTATCCACGTTCACATTCGCCAACTTCTCCAGGTTCTGATCGTGTCTTGTTGGCTCGTACAGGGGCAGAGCTGGAAAAAATTAAAAAATATATCGATACCCAAACGTATATTCAAATTGGGCAAGGAATAAAAGCTACCTTTCTCAAGCCAGACCATGTTTTTAACACCTTCCGTGTTATTCAAATCCAGATTATTCAGTTGAACCACAACTAAATCAACATTCCCTCGATCCAACTGAATGGCCTTGCCCACGATCGGTGTCTTCAATTCTTTTTGTAGACCATTTCGTTGAGATTGAGCCAAAGCCAAGGTAAAAGCATACATAATAGCTGAAGCCGCGTTTTGGTCACTAAAAATGGAACACATTATTATTAACCATGACATAAAACACTTCTTTCGTCGACTGATCACTCAGAACCATTATAAAAAGAAAGAACTTCTGACAAAGTCTAAACTTTCTATCAACAATAATTCTCAACACTCACGTCGTCCATGGATACTTTTGTCTGAGGGGTTGCGACAAAAATACACTATCCAAATGAAGATTGAGCAAATTCCTTGGAACCACAACGGTATCATTGTAGATATTAGTCTTCTTCAAATCAATCAATGGAGAGATTGGATATACGTCAGGGATCGCTTCGGATTTTGTAGCTTCAACTGCACTTTCATTCGCCAAAATTGGAACTGGACTCGTCCTTTGGATCAAAGTGGGTGCAATCAAACGGAAAACAGCTGGAAACTCGGCTCCAAAGAGATCAGCGGGCAAGTAGGCACTTAGCGATTGGTTGTAATCGGCTCTAAACGCAAAACTTATAATGTACTAGATCACTTACACATTGTCCTCAATAAAGTGACCTTTCGGTGAGCGAAGAGCAATCTGACGGTAGTATTGAGCCAATATCAGCTGACTAAAAAAATTTAGAGATTAAATTCATCTTACACTTCATGAGATATTTTACCTTCTCCTTTCAACGGGAGTTCCATGAAGTCTCTGTCCCTGCACCCAGAAAATAATCGGATCATGCCACTTCTCTAACGGCTCTAGAGTTGGGTCATATCTCTCTCCACACATTATTCCATCTTTCACGATCTCTTCCAGATTCTCCGGAAATACCATCTTATCCTTCAGCAATATTTCTGGAAACGGCTGAGGCTTCGTAGATCCAATCAATGCGCACGCTTGGTCAACACCGTCACAAAATGGAGCTTCATTCTCAAACACGAAAGCCTTGTGAGCCTTATAGAGAGGATGCTCCTAAAATACAAAGTCTCATTGGTGTCAGAAGAAATCTAAAAATAATAAATCAAATGCTCACCTGAATGGACGGCTTCTTAAACGCTGGATGATCCACTTCAAAGGTCTCTTTCGGCGAGAGGAAGTGAGGATCGGTTGGATCGTGCACTTCTACTCCCATTTCTTGCAGGTTTTTGTGAACAAAAAAAGGTGCCATGTTTCTTTTGTTCCTAGCCGTCAACATCTGCCTGAACAATAACGTGTTCACCTTCCCCCATTGCTTCAGCGCTTTATACTTGCGATAGACCATCTTACCTTGGCCTCGAAAACAATTCTCGAGATTTTTGCAAATGAAAAATAATTTTAGAGAAAGACTTGACGCACGTGGAATGTGTCGACTGTTGCTCTCTAGATCATGGCCAGGGGAAACCCGGCGCGAAAACATTGAATACCAAACGCCCGGTGGCCACCCCTGGTCATGGCCATGGTGCACCATATTCGAAAAGAGGTATAGAATGAAAGGGTGTGTTGTTAGATCAAAATTTTATGTTATTATTTACTTTTTTCGAGCATTAATAAATAATTTACAATTAAATTCACAAATTTAAAGCGATTGGAATTGCAGATTTGTGTGGAATTCATTATGAATTCCTCTCAATTATGCAGTGCCTTGGATAGAATGAAGCTGACAGATAAAACAAAGACAGGTATAAAATTCCATGACTGGTTTATGTGTTTCTTACAGCTCCGGAACCGGGACTAACTGAGGGTATGCACCGACTGGTCGCTCGGATCTCGGACATAAAAGCAATGGAACACCAACTAAAACAGATGAAATTTGACTTGGATGAGATGCCAATATGCAAGTTGTCATACTGTGATTAACCTCGCAACTGCTTCAGCTGATATTCGGAAGAAATTCGTTACGAAATCTTATCAGCTACTTCGCAAAATAGAAGACCTTATTTTGGAAAATTCTTCAAAGGATGCCTTGATAACTGCTCATAAAGAGTATTACAATTTTGTTCCTCACATCGGGTAGGTTAAGAAGACAGTCTACAATGAATCCCAAGTCCTTTACGCATGCTTGAAAACCGCCAAGGTATAATGCAAGAGGCAAATTTGGTAAAAGCCTTATACGTAGGAATGCTAATGTACGACGATTACATTAAAAACAGTCTTTCGTCGTCATTACGGGCGTACCAGCTTATGCAGTGCGAAATCAGAGAAGTTCCCATTAGCAGTCATCCATGGATCTTAAAGTCACTTGAGCAGACTCATGGACCAACTCATGACTTCACATTGAAGTTCAAAACTCTTTACAGCATCGAAAAGGACGAAAACTTCATTCCGGAGTTAAAGAACAAGTAAGAAGTGACCCAACTCCGTGTAAACTTCATTTTCAGTAGAATGTTATGGCACGGCAGTAAAACATGCAGCTATAATGCTATCCTGAAATGCTCGCTAAAGAAGCCTCCAAAGCAAGCACCAGTTGTAAGTTACAAAAAATATATGATTTATTGCATATCCGTTTATCAATCGTGTTTAGAGCGGGCATTTGTTTGGAAAAGGGATTTATTTTGCGGATTGCTCGACCAAAGCCGCGCAGTACTGTTGTTGCAAGCGTGGGGAGACCGGCTATCTTATGATTTGTCAGGTGGCACTGGGAAAGGCTCATAGAATGGCCGAAGGAGACTATGACGCCACCAATCTCCCGCCAGGTTGCCACAGTGTTAAAGGTCTGGGCCGGAGAAGGGCGACCGTATGGAAGGCAGTGTATGTTTGAAACAGAAAAGGCCAATACTTGTCGGTTTAGGAAGAGAAACAAACGCCGAGTTTTGGTGCCATTCAATAACAAGCCCAAGGTTATTGCTGATGGTGATTTGGAGTATCATGAGTATGTCGTCTATGACAGACGACAAGTTAAGATGCGTTTTCTCGTTGAAGTGGAGTTTTGTTGAATTACATACATCTTTTTTTGATGGAATCTTTTAGTCTTTCATTATTGTTGATCTCATTTTTTGTATTAAACCGTGCTGTAACAACGTCGTTTTAGTTGTAATTGTAATATTTCAGTTGACTGCAGAACGCAATTTGAATGACCCATTTTGCAAGCACACTATTTATTAGGTTGTCCATGAAGTAAAGACGTTTTCGAGGGGGGCAACAAATTCGGAAGTCAATAAAAAAGGTAGACAACAATACAATTTCGCAATATTGCATAGGTATTCATTGTACATATTATCACCTTTCTATTCATCAATTATACCGTAAACGAATTATTTTGATGACTTTAGACGTTCAAATAAGAGTTGAGTTGTCTTGATCGGGACGTTTCATGTAGAATGAACGCGTTTTTGGTCATTTTCTGGACTCTCTTCGTTGCTGTGAACTCACAACTGGACGATGACTTATCAATGGACGCTCTGAGTAAGTCAAAATCACACTATGTACGCAAATTGTTGTTTCAATTTTTGTATAAGTCAATATTTCATTATTCTTTTGGCAACTTAATATTTTTAGTTCTCCAAGGAAATGAATATCCCAGCACCATACGCCCAACAATACCTGCAATTTACACCTATAATCCCGACCCTAATCATCGCACTCCTCCCCCAATTATTGAGATTCCATTTTACCCAGTAAACCGACGTCCTCACCGCTACCATCCCTACCGGCCTCAGCGTTATAACCCGGCTCTCCTTGGCCCTGTTGCCCCTGCTCCGATTCCTCGTCCTCCTTCTCCGCCTTTGCTTCTACCTCCGCCGCCACGTGAACATCAATGGAATGGACCTTATAGAGGACGGAGAAGAAGTATCTAGAATAAATGTGATTTCAAATCGGAAAATTATTAGAAATGAAACACATCACAAAAATTTTAAAGTATAGAAGATCTATGTGTATTGACCTATTAAGGTCAATTATTTTGATTACGTTATTCACAGTCAATATAAATTTTGAATTATCTGCATCTCTCCAGACATTTTTTAAAGAATGAGGGCGTTTTTGTCTATTCTTTGGGTTCTTGCCGTTTCTATGTCTTTCGTGTTATCACAGTCCGACACTGAATTTTTGATGGACGATCTAGGCAAGTAAACTATCAGCACTTTGATATACAAAAGGCTCGCCTAGCCAAGAGAGATTTAATTTCAGTACTCCAAGGACGGACTTATCCAGATTTGCATTTCACACCGCCTCCTGGAGTTGTATGGCGTCCTGGCTATCCCCCTCCAAGACCCATTTATGAATTCCCAGAGCATGTACCGACCCGACGACCACGCCCATTTAATCCACTGCCACCAATCCCAGAAGAGGGTCCTGTGCAGTTTGTTTAAATAAGAGATCAATACATTTATTAACTAAAGGACAGTATGCGTCTGAAATAAATAATCATTTTTACTGCAATACCACGAAGTAACCAAAAAAAAACTAGCTGAAAACGTTGTGTATTCGCTCTACAGTGTAAGGAACATCTTGATGGTCCAACCAGCCAACCATGAGCTAAATTTTGAAGAATTGGCAAATTGCTGAGATAGGGATTGACAAAAAATTGTTTTCTCTAATATCCGTTATCCATCGTGTTGAAGGCCTCGGATCTTGTTGTTACCTCAGTACACACAAATTCTGGAACCCACAATTCTCCCCTAGCGTTTGGAGAAGGCTCCAAAATTTTGGTTAACTATGCGATCGTAATTCCTAAATTAAAATCGAATTATTTGATTATTGAATGCGCTATTTCCTGTCCATATAAAACTTTTATTTGTTGTTCCACACTGAGCATTTTGGACAAAATGAACACGTTTTTGTCCATTCTTCTGCTTTTTTTCATCGCTGTGCCCTTAGGGGCGCCACGATACTATGGTGGCTTGTCTATGGATGATCTGAGTAAGTGAATGACAGAGTTTCAATGTCTCAACAAATTGCTGACAAAGAAATTCAAGTGAACTCTCGTCCTAAATATTATCGAACATGGTTGTTTATTTTCAGTCCTCTCTGACATATCACCTACACGAGCGCCTAGCCCAACCAGAGCTACACGACCGCCTTCTCCAATAAATATATTCACTCCGCCTCCCTATGATCGCCTTCCTCCGGCCTATCCTCCCGGTCCTCCTCCACCGTATTCACGCTATCCCCCGTCTGGTCCGCCTCCTCCGTATGATAATGGTCCGGTTCCTCCACCGCACGACCCTCCGCCGTATTCACCCTCTCGCTATCCCTCTCCTCCACGTAATCGACCAAACTATCCTCCTGGTGGATATTGGGGGAAATGAAATTTTAAGGAGAGAAGAAATTAAAATGCAAACAAGCAGTCTTCTTGCAATTCGCTGCAATAAACAAAGATTTTTTACTGCGTATGAATATACTTCATATCATATCATCTGAACCCGTAGAATGCTGATTAAAAACCTGATTGCGAACTGTAATGTCGCCGAAATAAAGCAATCGTGCAAAGCTGTAAACATTCATACTTTAGAACTGCCTTTTATCGGACAGGGCCCATTATTTTGTCGTGAAAATAATGAGCCCTGTCCGTGCGACAACCGCGTCACCGTAATGAGAAATGCACAATGTCCCAGAGATACCGTCAACTGTGTCGTGCGCGACAGAGGGCTCATTATTTTTTCTGACACTAATCGTTGATCAGAGACTAAAATTGTGTCGCAATCAGAATCTCTCAATTTAGATGACTTAGAAGCCCCAAAGTTCAGATGGACTATCACATTTAAAACGAATTATTTTGATTAATAAATGCGATATTTGCTCAATATAATAGTTAAATCATACCAATCCAGACATTTTTGACAAGATGAGAGGCTTTCTGTATACCCTTGTGGCCTTTTTTGTGGTTATAGTCTCAGCTGTCCCACAATCCGATGATGATTTATCTATGGAGGATCTAGGTAAGTAAAAAACACACTCTTAAAAAGGTTCATCAGTTTCACCAGTTTCTCTTACCCCATTCCTTTTTAGAGCTCCGAGGCAACAAATACACAACCACCTACTATCCCGTCCCCGATCATATTCGATGGCACCCTAACCGTCCCTCTCCGTTACCTATTTATGAATTCCCCGAGCATCTCCCATTCCAGGCTCCCGGTCGAGGTTTTGTTCCTCCCATGAATCCACCGCAAGCAGTGATTCCTCCCCGTCGAAGCCCTCCTCCGCCCTTGCAAGGGCCCTTGAATCCCCAGCTTCTTCCTCCGCCGTTCATTCCTCCTCCTAATAGTCCTCCCCCACGCCGTGACGGTTCTCCTCCGCCCAATCCACAACCACCTCGTCCTGTTTCCCCCAATCGTAACCGATTCTGGTTTCCGCCCTAGGAACAAAGGAATGGTCAAGCCCACACTTGAGGCATGAATTTATAATGCAAGCAATAAATATTTTAGAGCTCTTTGGGCAATTTATTTCTTAAATTACGATTACATGACAAAAAAAAATTTACAAATATCAGAAAGTTAAATATGTTGTCGAGATAATTGCCGGAATTTTACAGCACGATCTAAAATTGATCAAAAAATCTTACGATCTCGTCAAAAAATTATTTTCCAATACAGTCCAATTTGCATAACTGCCAAACTCGATTACGAACAATCAATATCAATTAAAGACATTACCCTATATAAGATGGGTTATACATAATATAGAATGCAAACAGAAATATGAGAGTGATATTGGTCATCTTCTTTGCCATTTTTGTGGCAAACGCCTCACTTTTTAAATTAAATTACCCTAATTCCATCCCGTATCAACCTTCAATCTATGATTTGAGTAAGTCATTTTTGTATTTTACTGTGCGCTCTGTATGATTCTGTCCCCCAAAAAGGACTCTTCAGACCTACAACAAGCCTACCCTTGGCAAACAAACCCCAACCCAGGCAATGGAAATAACAATGGAGGATCCAGAACACCTCCTCGATCAAGGCCACCGAGTCCCGTACGTGGTAATAATGGAGCTGTGGACGCGAATGATCTAAATAATCGACTGCAAGATCTGGCCCGAGGTGGCTGGAATCAAAGATCAAGTCGAGGAGGAGGCTGGGGAAGTGGCGGAGGATTCGGAGGCGGTGGAAGAGGTTGGGGAGGTGGCGGATATGCTGGAGGTATTGGATAAGTTGCTCGGTGGATCAAACAATAATTTTCCCCAAGATTCTTCCAAAATTGAAGACTAATATAATAAATGTACATCACTATTGTTTGTATTCCATACTCGAAAATTTTTTACAAAATCATATAAAGCACGCTGACATACTCATCGTTTCGGCATCCTGGAATCATAGCTTGGTCGCAATATTCTTTTGGCGCGAAAACAAAATTCAAACCCAAAAAAAATATTTTTTTCGCAATTTTCTCGATCGAGAAATCGGCGAAAAGCAGATAAAAATGGTCAATCTTCGAAGTCAAGCCAAAAAGAAAGTAGCAGAAGCGAATAAGGAGAATGAAGATGTTGTTGCCAAGAAAGCTAAGCTAGAGAAATTCGTCTCCGAGAAGGTCAAAACCAAAGGTGAATCGAAGAGTTTTCAGGTTTTTATTCCATTTTTAGTCCCTAAAGTTATCAAACCCGATCCAGAATGCCCTGTCCTTGGATTCAAAGTGTATCAAAAGAATGGCCGGATCTACGATGCCCTTCTGAATCAGGTAATTTATATTGTACTTAAGAGTTTCTTCTTTAGACGAACATTTCGATGAACAACAACAAGTTCTACTTGCTTCAAGTTTTGGAGAGTGAGAAGGGGCCAAAAACCTACAAGCTTTGGTACAGATGGGGTAGAGTTGGGTACAAGGTCGGTCTTCAACTTGCTTATGTTATTTAGGTACCTACTCAAGATAATTCGAATATATTCAGGGACAAACAAATCTCCGTGAAATGAGTTTGCAAGGGGCGAAGAAAGAGTTTGAAGAGAAGTTTCATGCCAAAACCAACAATGTTTTTGGCGAGAAATTTCAAAAATTTCAAGGGAAGTACGATCTGATCCCAGTAGATTACTCTCGACAAGACGAGGAGGAGCGAAGAGATGATCTCGAGGACGAAAGCGTCCCTTGCACGTTGGATCCAAGAGTGAAGAATGTAATTGATCTGATTTCGGATCTAAAAGCAATGGAGAAACATCTGAAACGGCTTCATTTTGATACCAATAGGACTCCTTTGGGTAGGTCAATATTTTTTATTGTCTAATCTTGGATTTAGGTTGCATTTTAAAGGATCAAATAAAAGTTGGATACAAAATCTTGAGTAAAATCGAGAAACGGATAATAGGTAAATCTTTTGGAGGAGAATTCCACGCGTTGGTCAGCGATTATTACACTAAGATTCCTCATTACTTTGGGTAAGTGGCTTTTTTTAGTTTATTGGTCTTTAGAATGCGTCCGCCTTCATCCTTGCAATCACTTGAGGACATTAAAGATGAGTTATCCCTTTTGGAGGCTTTGGTTCAAGCTGAAGCGATTGTGGATCATACCAAGAAGGAGATCAAAAAGATCAATCCATCTGATAGAAATTATCAGAGGTTGAACTGCAAACTGGAACCAATTAGTAATAAACACAAGACCTTCAAGATGATTGAGAAGTACCTGAAGAATACTCATGGCCCAACTCACAAAGATTACAAAATGAAGGTAAAAAATGTATTTGAGTTGGAGAAGGAAGGCACATTCAATACAGGGATTGATAATCAGTAAGTCTTAGTCACCTTGATTTGATTTTAGGTTATCTTACTCATTTGATTAAAATTTTAGCCAACTTTTATGGCATGGGTCCCGATTGCTGAATTGGTTTGGAATATTGCTAAAGGGCTTGCAGATTGCCCCTCCGGAAGCTCCCATTGTAAGATTTTCATCATTTTTTGTGATTTAACGTAGTTGTCGTCAATATGATAATTTGAAGAATTTTTGTCATTGCTGTGCATGTTTCTTTCAGACGGGCCATATGTTTGGAAAAGGAATCTACTTTGCGGATTGTGCCTCTAAATCCGCCAATTACTGCGATGCCAAACATGGAGATATTGGTTTCCTTTTGTTATCTCAAGTTGCACTGGGAGCTCCTCAAGAATTGACCAAGGCCAAATACGAAGCCTCGAACTTGCCTGAGGGAGTCCATAGCACAAAAGGAATTGGACAGATGGAACCGGATCAGAAGAAGAGCGAGTATATTACACTTGATGGGACCAAGGTGAAAATTCCTCTTGGAAAGATTGTCGAAAAGGAAAAAACCGATGAGTTTGAACTTCTTTACAACGAATATGTGGTATACTCGAGAGAGCAGGTCAAATTAAGGTATCTTGTGGAGATTGAATTCGAAGTTAATCAGTAATTTATATTGTTGTTGTAAGTAATGTTGGAAAGTGCAATAAACCGTTTGATATTACTGTTTGATTCAATAGTTTTATATCTAGAAGTTGTTACAGCAATGGGATGATTTTTTGTTTGACATTTTGTTCGGAAAATCAATTTTGGCCTTGAGATTTAAAAAAATATATTTTCTCAATTTTTTTCGGGTACAAAATCCACAGATTGAAGATGGAGAAGACCAAAAAAGAATACTGGACGATCCTAGTAATTGTTCTGACATATATCCTAGCTGTTTACTGTTGTCTGGTCGAACTTCTTCTTGATTTGTTCTGTGATTCCAGTGCATCCGAGAAATTTCGTCGATGGAAGGAGAAGACTCATTCTTCAGGTGCTGAAGGAAGTTCCCAGAAGTATGCTCTAATCACTGGAGCTGATGGAACCATTGGAGTTTATGTACGTCACTTTTTTGTTGTTCTTAATTTTAGACCGTCATTGATGAAATGATATTCGACATTGCTCTTTACAGGTGACGGAGTATCTGGTAAGTTTGGGATATGAGGTTATTGTTCTGGGACTGAGAAAGCCCACAATTCCCTCGTTGAAAGACAACAGCCAGCTTTGTTTTATCCAATGTGATCTTCTCCATGACGAATCTCTGAATAAAGCGATCGCAGTACTCCAATCAAAGAATCTTTCCAAAATCGACTTGGTCGCTTTTGTCGCCGGAACGATGCTTCATGCTCCACTTGACGTTAGGTTAATTTAAATTTTACTTTGCTTCTTAGACCAAAGATTCAATTGATCCGCATTATGCGATCAATCTTCTGGCGCATGCAAAGATCATGGAGAAGGCTCGGTCTTTGTTGGAAAAGTCGGAAAGTCCCGGAGCTGTGTTTGTTTCTTCATCAACGAGCCGGCTGGGAGACGTTTCGGATATTGTTGTAGATAATGGTATGTTTTACTAGATGGAAAATAATAAACCAAGTTTTTATGATCCAGTCTAAGTTGGGTATCCTTTCAGACCATGCCTTCCGCGACTACATCAATGGTTACAAGTCTTATGCCGACTCCAAATTGGCTGTGAATCTTTACTGCAAAGCTTTCTCCCGAGAATTACAAAACGAGAACTCGAAGGTCAAGTTGATTAGTGTTCATCCAGGAGTCGTCCCAGGAGGTCTCTACCGATCTGTGTTTCCGCCAATTAAAATGTTCATCAACAAATTCTTGCCATTTATTTTGAGGTAATCTTATATTATACATGATAAAACTTCCATCTAGAACTCCGCAAAGGGCTGCCGCCGAAATCTTGGAAGCCATATACAACGACAAGTTCAATTCCGGAGATTACGTGGAATACAATCGATCTGCTGGGTTCATGAACTACTCTGACAGTCAATTGGCCAGTTTGATGAAGAATATTAGAAGAGAAATCGGTTGAAAACATTGTTTCATGTATATTATATTCAATTTGTATGTTATTTATTCTTGTATTTTCCATATTTTTATTCGGGTTTCAATTAAAAACGAGCATTTTTCCTGGTGTAATATTCGAAGCGTAATTACCAACTTTGTAAACTTTATTGTAATTTGGTTAGAATAATTTATTCTGAACAAACATTACAGTAATCACGAGCTATAAAAAGAAGAGGCTACAAGAATTATCCGTATTAATCTATAACAACATATTTTGACGGCGTCTCGGCTGTTCGATCCAATTTCTAGACCTTCAAAAAATATACCGGTAGAACGGGGACGTGACTAAAGGCTGGTTGGGTGTTATTCTGGGTAATCTACATATCTGATCACGCCCATGAAGTAAAATGATTGGATTCAAAGGGATGGTTCAGGAGTTGCTGATCTCTCCCGCAATAAAAGAGCGATTGCAGCATGAATAACGTCGGGACAGGAGACAAAGCAGACGTTCTCTTCGTTGGGGATCATGGCTCGGACCTTCTCCTTCAACTCGGGTTTGGCTCCAACAAAAATGGACATCACGTTCTAGAAAGATACGTTATGTATGTCATCAAAAACGAAATCCAACTTTGTGATAGAAAAAAAGACAAAGACAATATAATTTCAAGAATTTTCCGACTTTCCCACGAACTCTTCTGAGTTCGATTTATTCAAATTTCAAAGCCTTCGAGAGGGGTGGAAACGGCGGAGCGGCCCATTTACTGCGGTGTGATCGGTGTGGTGTGGTCGATTCTTTCACTGATCCACGTCTTTCTCTTCAAGTAAGGTAAGCCCGGCATTTTACCAACCAAGCTCTAATTGTCATAATTCCGATGTTACTTTACCTTATAGCACCCAGTGAAATATAATAGTCACAGAATACTCTTCCAGGCTTCGACTTGTGCGGCTCAGGATGCCAGACTTCGAACTCAAGCTCGAACCAACGGACAAGATCGTGTTCGCAGGCAAGAAGTTGGGCGAAGAGCCGAGCAATGTGACCCTCAAGATAACCAATCCCAAGGCGGATCGGATCGCCTACAAGGTAAAATGCACCTCCAACGAGATGTTCAGAATCCGGCCCCCCGTCGGGGCTCTCAAGGCCAACGAGTCCACCACAATTTCCGTGAGTTATCAGTCCTAATTAACCAACCAGTATCGCTTCTTTATCTGCTTCCTAGTACAATCACCTCCCCATTTTAGCTGGTTTTCAACGCTGGGAAGGCCGTCCCCGACAGTGGCAAGCACTACTTCGCCGTCTACTATATCAAGGCGGCGGATGAGAAGAAACTGGCCCGGAGTGCGTGGAGCGAACACAAGGGAGACCCTGAGGGCACAAAACGTCTGTATGTGGAGTTCAAGAAGGACGGTGCTGCTGAGGATGAGAAGAAGGAGGACAAGAAAGAGGACGACAAGAAGGAGGACAAAAAGGAAGAGAAGAAGGAGAAGGAGAAAGAGAAAGAGGAGGAGAAAAAGGAGGAAAAGAAGGAGGAGGAAAAGGTAAAAACAAATCTTTATGCATTAGGTCTAGTACAATACTTCCGTTACCAGTTCTAATCTCCAAAGTTTTAGAAGGAAGATGACAAAAAGGAAGAGAAGAAGGAAGACGAGAAGAAGGAGGATGATAAGAAAGAGGAGGAGAAGAAGGAGTGAGCGCCGTTCTGTTCTTGAATAAACTTACTTGAGGATTCTCTTTGGCTGCGTGTTGAACCATGGGGAGATCGCTGGAAGTGTCTCCACAGATTAGAACTCGGCCTTTCGATAGAGATTCGTCTACGGTTTCGATCAGTCTCTCCACTCCATTGGCTTTATTCCAAACGGAGCCATCATTGTGGACCACGATTTCGACTTCTAACTCGGTTGAGGGGTCAAAGTGAAGGGTCTGCAATGATGGATAATGTAGGAAATAGTATGAAACAGGTCTTATTGTACCTAAAAATACCTACTCTGTTCTCGGGATCTATTTTCGTTATCCTTTCCTTGATCTCGTCTTGATATTTATTCGAAAGTTCTGGATGAACATGTTTGCAAACAGTTTGAACTCCCAATGTAAGCCGATCCACCTTCCTCTGAACTCCACTCCCGACCAGGCCGAACTGAGAATACTCCCCTGTTGTCAGCAGGTTTATCATCTAAAGTTCGAATTCAATGTTAAACTGGATGTTTATTTTTCTACCTCATCATTGACCTTCTCGAGTGCATGTTTGCCCTCCAGTGGGATCCCATCGTCATGAACAACTCTGTTCCCATTCAACCACCATTCTCTTCCCCAACTTCCACTGAAAACAACATTTCCATCAATGGGCAGAGCCGTCAAGTCCAATATCCCGGGTCCTCTTAAGGGCCCCGCCGTCAGAACTGCTGTTAATCTCGTACAATCCTTGGCAAACCGGTGCAATCCCAAAGCACTGTAGATGGGTTGCAAATTAGTTGCATATTGACTACAGTAGTCCTTCATGGTTCCATCCCAATCAGTGATTACAATTGGTTTGACGGACTGGCCTTGAGAGTCGACGACTGGCACTACAAACCGCTTGAGGAAAGACAGACAGTTATTGCACTCTTCTCGGAACTTGTCGACAGAGACGGGGTGATATGGCTGAAGGATGGAGCTGAGATCTACTTGATCCAACGCAGCTGTGATTCCTTGAGATTCCTGCAGACGGAGAAGCGATTCCAGATATTGGAGGTCCTTCTAAATCAAAGAACAATCAATTCTGCTCTTTCATTTATCTAAATTAAGAAGAAATAACTTTAAAAACATACCTGAAGGCCGATAATCTCATCTTTAACATTAACACTGAATTTTCCACTAGGTGCCAGCATTTCCCGTTGATAATTTTTGGTGTTATTGTCGTTGAGAACGTTGTATGCGTGACGGAGAAGGTTGATCCATTCACTTTGAACTGGATTTGTGCCTAATATTGCGGAAACAATGTGTCTTCGGACTGCTTGCATCTAAAACAATATAAAAAATAAAAAACAACTTTCTTCTCTCTTACCTGATACATGATGGCTTTGAACTCCTCCACAGTGTTGTGCAGGAAAGCCATTTCCATAAGAGATCCAAAACGGAGTTCTGAAATGACAGTACTCAATTACTACCGTATTTTAACAATTATTTCCAAAAGTTTCCTTCTAAATCGTCTAAAACGATCGCCGATCATTAACATTATTAATTCCAAAGTACAAGATCAATCGGCGTTAAAACAGGTTTTTCGTTTGTTTACGAAATTTCCGAGATCACTTTTTCAAAGGAAAAACAAGATAATTTTGCATACATGAACAAAAAACGTGAGAATTTAGGGGTAAAAAGAAAAGGAAGGCAATTACTTATGAAAAGTGGAAAGAGAGCTTTCGATTTCGATTGGGGAAGAAGTTTGAGACGATGCCAATGATAATATCGAATGATAACATCAACTTTTCTCAAAAAATTGACCAAAATTGGGTTAAAATTGAAAAAAAAATTGGAATAGTTAAACGAGAAAAATCTACTAAACATTAATTACGGTTCGACCGTGTCTGCAAAACGTGAGTAAAAATTTTTAGGAATTTACATGTGGGACATGCCAAAAGTGGTCACAAAATTTTTAAAAATCTGATAGTCGCACTTGGGGTACTTCCCTTGTTGATTATACACTGCATTTACTATCAACATCACCCACCTTCGTCACTCTGCCGACTATCAACAAAGTCATCTGGCCGTTGTTGGGATACGACTCCAACTGTCATCATTAATATAACCGAATAAATCAAAGTGTAGTAGTGAATATTGATGGACCGAATGTTGTTTATTACGTCCGTTGTGTGTTATCAATTGAATGGCATTCTCTGAAGGTTTCGTATTTATAATCAAATCGTCTTTCGATCACGTTTTTTCACGCCGAAACATAAAAAAGGGAGGTCTGGCTATTAAAAATCTTGACGCAAAGCAAAACCACGTGACTTGAATAAAGAATGACATTGTTTGAGGTTTTAAATCGAAGAAAGGGATCAAAAAATGGAACAAACAAGCGATTGGAAATGTTTTCCTAGACGATTAGGTCCCGATGGCAACTTCGAGAACCAAGAAGTTGGTAATTTATAAGGAAAGACACTAGGGGCTGATAAGAAATCTAATTTTGGCTTTGTCAACAGCTGATTGGACAAAAACCAGGAACATGTTGATGGTTGATGCTAGATCATATAAGGTACAACACATCTCAAGCTATCTGCAAAAACACTTCAAACGCCTTATTGAGAGGATTGCCTCTTTTACTATCCGTCTTGAGAGTGCTTACCCTTCAAATCACCCCTCTCTGATAAATAATACAAACCTATTATGTAACATCTTCAAGCGATAAGACACTCCCATTAATTCTACAATGCGCTAAGAATGCAACCTTATTACCACGAGTCAAGCATGAAAATCAGATGATATTTGCGATTATATCTGTGGAATAAGCGATCAGGTATGAATCCAAGTTCAAAAACAGACAGAGAACGTGAGAATACAAAGAAAACTGACCTTTGGGTGCAGCCCACGTCAAACAGATTATCATAAATTGCGTTTGACGTAGGGAGTTCATCAAAGACTAGATGTTTACCTGATTATATTGTACTTGACATCAATAGACTTTCGTCAAAAATCGATGTTCTTATTTGAAGAAGACGACGGGCTAGGACAAGAAACGATGTCCTGATCCACAAATTTAGGAAAGAATTAAGAAACACAGGAATCTATTTACCTAAAAATTCAAAAATCTTCAAATTATTACCCAAAATCTTCATTCTCCTTCTTCGAATGCTCATTACTAGCATTCGGAGTCTTTCCAGCCCAAAAACAAGACCAGTCCAGTGTAACCCGCCGTTGCAAGTACAAGATTACCGAGAACGCGGTCGTCAATTGGGAAAACCCATTAATAATCGAGGCTCGGCTCTAGCAAACCCCAAAAAGCACCCGACCGACCTTCTTCAGCGCTTTTTTATCAGCCATATCAACTTCCCCAATTGATTTCATGTGAAGGGCAGCGACGCGACACAACTGACCGCCGGCATTACACAGCAATTTCCCAGCGAATATTGTTTAGGGGGCATCGAACGACAAGAATTATAATGGAGTGGAAAGACGGGGCAAAAATAATCGAATGGCGACTAAACATGAAAGATTAAGGTCCAGAGCGCAGTGCGACATCGCACCGCGGACTTTACACTTATTTTTGAACAATTTATCTTCTCCTTGAAATTTACAACTTCAAAATCGAAAAAAATCAAGTACAAGATGGAAATAACCCCATATTTCAGAAAAATTGCACCCTTACCTATGACAAGAACTTTTCGATTTACATCACTTTCTTGCAATGCTTTCTTACCAAAATTTCAATTCCCAAGCCAATTTGTTACCTAAAATCTGGTCGAATCGTAAAATAAAAAAAAACTCTTAAACTTTTACGGAAAAATACGTCAAAAACGTGATTCTCGAGAGTCCTCGGCCCCAACCGTCTGCAAAAAAAGTCGGCCGAATTGTTTTTTGCTTTTCTTTTGGCCGGCCGAGAGAGAAGGAGAACATCCTTGGCATTCTGTTGCAAGGCCAAACAAAAGTGGATAGGAGACGATTTAGAACTGCAGCTAGCTACTAGAGGGCAACAAATACTATTTCCAATAGATTCTAAGTCTATCGGCTTGGAATCACCTGACAAAAACCACAGAAATGGAATCATCCGGAAGTATTCGAATAAAAAGTAGTTTTCTTGGTAATATTCGTGCAAACAATGCTTGAAAACGACTTTAGGAGAGTCTGCACTTTGCTGATTATGTACTAACATTTGGGAGATAAAACGGGCCTCGTGCTTCGATAACGATCTCATGTATAATATAATTTGATTCATTCTAGGGCAAATAGCCTTTTCCAACTCTAAATGAGAACTTCATACTTATCGCATTTATTCAGTGCCGTAAACAGATTTATTTGATGTCAACTCCGTATCTTTCATCGCATCCAGAGGAGAGATATGGCTCTGGGGAGGAGCTGAGGGAATTGGCTGCAAGTTCATGGGCGCAACGCTCTTGAACCAAGACCTTATATTTCTCTCTCATGTGTTTTTTGTAGTAGACTCCGCCATCGTAAGGAGAGGCTGGGACATCAATGGCCTCGGCGATTAATCGCTGGATTCTGGCCGCAAATTCTTCGGCCGTTTCTCCGGATGCCCGAGTTTGGGCCGGGAGATAGGTGACGTCATAGACTGTGGCCCAAGAAGTCAGAAGCCGAAGAAGGTAGAATACAAAGTTGTTCTCACACCAGAAGGATTCCCCAAATCTGGCATCTTGTCTAAAATAATATTAATTTTATTCAATCTTGCACTTACTTTATGGCTATAGGATGGACCTGAACATTCTCTCCAAACACTGCTTTTCGGAACTGAAGGACCTTGGTGTTGTTTGTGCAATAACCTTCGGGAAATATGAGTACCGGACCTGATGACTAAAATCAGTTTATTAATATCTAGCATAAATCGAACTACTTCGTCTTTTTAGATTTTAAACTTACTCTAGCTACTCTCAACACTTCCTGTTGGAATTTTAGTCTCTCCTCAGGATTAGTTCTTTCGAGCCACATCGACGGACATAATCTTTCGACCAATCTTTCAATCGCCCAGATAATACCGGTATGTTTTTGCCCGGTAACTATATACAAATGGTCTCGATCAGACGGAACGTCCGCACATATGATTTGAATATCATTGGGAGAGAGATGATTGGACACAGCGACTCCAGGCCGAGCTGGTCGGTGCTGGACATTATGATATCTGGCAACGAGACCTGTTCCCGCCGTGTACAATCTACAATAAGTCACGGCTATAGAGGTCTTCTGTTGGCTGGAGAGGTTGACAAGAAACGCCAAGATACAACAGATCGAAACGTAGAGGAATGAGGTCAGATAGAGAGCCAGCCGAACCGGGAAGATGATTCCAATTCTGAAGGCAATGGATCCAATGTAAAGAACTTGAAGATGGGGCTTGTTGGTCAGATGATTCCACATTTCCTTCGTGAATTCATACTTTTTAAACTCAGGGTTTAATGTAAACATGTCACTGACATCATCCTGAAATCGCCAGCTGAGATCTGATATTATCCATGGTAACAGTTAGGACCATTTTCTTACTTGAAGAATAGCTTGAATCCCAGACGTAGTTAGGTCCATTTGGACATCGAATATGTCCTTAGGGTTCTCCTTGACTATTTCAAAGTCGCTGAATCTACTTTCGACGCGTTTGAGGATCCCGCTGAGCGAAGCCGTATCAATCATGTCCTCCCAAGGATCCGTCTCCCATAATTCTTGTGGATAGACCTGAAATTTGAGGCATGCACATCTTAACTACTTGTTCTCAACAAATCAGCAAGTAAGTTTTGGGTAAAAATCATCATCTTTTCGATGATATTATCCATGATGACCGAGTAAAACAAAGTATAAAAGACATGTGTTTTTCAGCCGTTTTCCAAGCCATTTCAAAGTACAATCTTAAACTCTCTCTAATGACTTTTGTTGCTTAAATTACTGAGGAATTAAACAGTTTAGTTTCGGCCTGTCTTCACCCGGCGTCTCTTATCTAATTTTGATACTGATTCCATGTGAAGGAGATTAGTTTCTAAGTATGTTTTTGACTAGTTAATCTGCAGTAAAAATATCACCTAAAAGTTCCGAAAAAGAGAGCAGAGTTCGACAATTCCTGTCAATTATAATGTAATTACTACTTTAAAGGGATGAAAATTACAAACGGAAGTGCTTACATTGTAAAAGGCATCTTGAATCTTGCGGACAGCATTCAGATAGCGATGCGGCAACGATCCCCAGCTGTATCCGAAGAGAATTACCAAAGTGGTCGAGGCAAAAATAATAAACTCGGACCAGAGATAGGCGGAAAGAAGGCCACAATGAAGCATTAGAAGACGAATTGGAGGGGATCGAGCTAATTTACTGAACTGTCATTGAGGATTACCTTGGGCTGGCTGAAATCACATCAAAATTATATTATCCATGAGAATTGATACCTAAAATCGCAAGAAATCGAGCTTAATACGCCCGCACGCAAAGATTATATCGAATATCGCTCCAAACACTGTTCTGGGAGGAGTGATAACTCTTCTCGAGCAATTATCTTTCGCGGATTCCCTCCGTTCGAATCGAAAAAACGGTGAGGCAGTCGTCTGGGAGGGGTGATCGATAGATAAAAGGGTAAAATCAGATGGAAAAGGACGGGATTTGAGGGGAAAAGAGTAATTGAGGGATAAAACGTGACTTACTCGTGATGGGGATGACCAGACACTCGAGAATAATCAAGAAAACGTTGTTTTTAGAACAAAAAATTATTTCTAGATTTTTGAAAATGTCCAGAAAATATGTCATCATGACCTAATTAAAATATGTTTTTTAGACGGTTCGAGGAAACTGGATCCACTTATCACCAAAAGTCTGTTAAATTTACCAATCTCCCTTAGATATCAGTGAAATTCGATAGTTTTTTGGAGGTATCCAATATCAGCTGTCCGATGGAGGCAAAAAATAACATAAAACAGCGAAAGTTTAACTCGCGACCTCCAAAGAACTGTCATCGCCCTCTCTGACCAGCTAATTTGTGGAAGAAACACTGTAAATAAACATAAAATGGAGTTAAGAGTTCGAAAGAACGTAAAATATATTACACCTGACAGGAAAAGGGTGATTGATGATTGTAAAACCGTCGTGTTAAAAATGTTAGCACGAGACTGCCATTTTAAGAGGGGTTCTGAAATTCCTGCTCTGAAATCATCAATTACAGTGGGTAAAATAAAAGTTTTTGAAGTTTCCGTTCAAAATTGATCAATTAAAAGCGGAAAAAAATAAAGAGAGTTGTAAAAATAAAATTTTTTGCATGTCTAAGCGACGCGAAAGCTGAAGGAGTTTTAGGAACGAGCTGATTCATGAAAAGTTTCATCATTATTTCTCTAAAATAATGTTGAAAATCATCAAAAAAGATAAAATAATTTAAGAAATGGCTCTTAAAGTGTAAAAAGGACTGTAAATGATGCCAGCAGTAAGAAAAAGTGTAAATAAAGGGAGTGGAGTCCGAAACCCTTATTTGGGAACCCCGAACCCGCCAACGTCTGATCGAATCAGGTCTTCATTGACAAAAAATCGCCGCGGAATTTGCAGGTGACAAATTTAAGACAGGGAAGATTCCGAATCATAAGGCTCCCAAGAGAAAACATTAGATTAAACGGACAAAAAAGACCCATTACGATCAGAAATGGTGACTTTTGCCAAGGAAAAGGTCGCGACGAATGATGGACAAAGGAGATCGGGCTGCAAAAAAGCCAGGGACTTTGAGCTCTTTATCCCGGGTTCGGAGAGCGTTGGAGCGCTTGTTCAGAGAGTGCCGACTATATTACACTAGGCGAACTAAAATAAACTTATTTGTTAACTAAAAAATGTTTGAGTGTACCATCTGGAATGATGAGTGTACTCTAAAGTGATCTCTGATCAAATGCAGATCCCAGTTTTATTTTTTTATCGGGGTGAAATGACCACTTTCATACGCTGATGACAATTCAGTCTTTATCAATAAAAAACAAGCCAGCAGTTAAAAAAATCGGGTTTCTCATGGTTAGTTTGTAATCTTACAGTAATATAATGACAAAACACGGTTTACCAGGAAGTAATCGCAGTCTCCAAATCACGACAACATTCCTCGATCTCAATGCGACCATCAGGATTATTAAAAATGCTCCATCGTTGTGGTCTGGAATAATATTTATTTTCTCTAATATTATTTACAAACAAATTGAGGGAAGATTATGCAAATAACAGCTGATAAGCCGATGGCAATGGGGTTTGTACAGGAAATCGAGGGCTCATTATACTCTAATATTTTTAGGTCAAATTTATCGTATAAATCACGACGAGACGGCAGACCGATCATTCCTCACCAATGGTTCAAGGTCCGATGATACACGGGTTTGGGCCGTTCCCCGTCGTGGTCGGCCGCACTCTTCTTCCTCAGAGTCCTGTTTATTGTCGCTTTATCGGGCTCTTTTAATGTGTCATAAACACAATCCATAATCTGGGTCCACTTGGTTCGCGTGAAGAATAGTCGATAATCAGCCAGCTCGCTGATTGCCCTCAGGTCTTCAAGGGACTTGGCATTCATCACATGGGTTTGTAATTGAGTATCTGTGGTTATTAATTGACGCCATCTGGCTGAAAGGTAATTCTATGAGTAAAAATATTAGGATTGAGCGCGAGTAAACTCCGCCAAACTTGAGACCTACAAATTTCTTGTTCAGTCAACTTCCTTGCGCCAAATCCTCGGATCTGATCAACAGAATGGCCTAGGAGATCAGCTGATTTTTTGTCCATGGGCATTTGTTGGATGGGAATCGAATATTCACCTAAAAATAGATCATCTTTAATTTTAATAGGCAATTAATTCTGTGTTGGCTCTCCAAAGTTGAATACCTTCTATCGAGCTCTCCGATCGGTTGTCTCCACCTTGATTTGCCATTAATTTTTGTAACCTGGTCTCGGCCGATCGATAAATCTCAGTTATGGACCGGACCGGTGTTAAGCATCCTTCAGCCAGCTCATTCTCATCCTCATCCCTCTTTCTGTCTATTGTTTCCTGAGATTTATTCCCGGTTTTTCCTCTGAAATTATATTATACTTGGTTTTTGATGACATAATCTCAAAAGGCCGGTATTCTGGTACAAATCTAACTTTCATACCTTAAAACTTTTTCCCTCCACTCTGCATAGCTCTGAGGTGTCCTCAAAGTATCAGTTTCATCCACTTGGCTAGTCGCCGCACTGTTATTTCCATTTCTTCTGAAGGCCTCACTAAAAACTTCGTTCGGCCGATGTCCCGGTAGGCCCAAAACATCTACCGCTCTCTCCGTCTCATCCTCGGCATAGGTGGAGGATACCCTGGGATGCGACGGCTCGGGTCGGGGCGCTGGAATCCGCTTGTTCGACCTTTAAAGGGCAGTAATTATAGTAATTATTGTGGGTCGGGAAGCCATTTCTGGATGAAAGTTTTTGTTGTGTGTCGCTAACATAGGCGTAAATAGCGATCGCTAATTGTGATCATAACTTTGTTGACCGTTAATTTGGCGGGAAACAAGGGGTTTTTATTGTCGTAGAAATACAAATGTTGTCAATTATATTGTACTAGATGTTTTGATAAAAAATTTTTAATAAACTCACTCAAAAACTTTGTTCTGCCGGAAGTTTGGCCCAAGCAAGTAATTTGCATGCCCTGAGGACTTGGCACTCCACCAAGGACCATCTTCGTCTTGATTTGTCACTCCTAAAATCACGAAATTCGAAATTAGACAAATATCAACACTTATTTTAAGGTAAATAAACTCGTAATTTACCGTACTCCGAAAACAAAAGAATGACAAAGAAACTAATTACCCGGCGAAGCAGTAGTGGGAGTAGCCGTGTCCATGTTCAGTCTCCCTCCATCGCTTTGTTTCTTCCGTTGATATTGCGTTAAGCAAATGTACAGTATCAGAATGAATACTGCGACAATTAAGATGACAAATGCGACAAGAAGAATGCCCAACAAATTGTTGGAGGCCTTGGCCATCTTCGCCTGACGACTGTCATCAACTTCCACATCGACAGAGGGATTTGTATTCACAGGGGGGTTGTTATTGAAGAGGGAGTTGTGATTTTCGGAGGGGTTAGAGATGGGATCGAAGATGGAGGGACGGACGGGATCGGTGGGAATGGCCGGGGGAGGATTCCCATCCGTTATGAGGCTAAAAGAATTTTAAATTTATTATAGGCACAAAGATTTTTTAAAAGTTGTATTGAACATGAGTACAAGGTAAAAAAGATGAGATTTCGAGGGGGAATATCGAAGGGTTTCTTCAAAATCTGAGTGTTTGCTCTATTCAGAAATTGGGAGAGACGGCCAGAGAAAAAAGGCGATTTTGACTAGAATCAATAGTAAACCTACTTTTTCTTGACATCAAAAGTGGGATTGACCTGAGGCAATTTAAACTCCTCGACCTCCGGCAATCCGAGGACACATCTGAATGTAAAATTGGAGTCATCTTGGAGAATGAGACCCGGGAATTGAGCAATGCGGATCGAGTTTTGGAAGATACCATTTGTCGTCTAAAAAATGCACAAGGATGATTCATCGAAAACTGTATTTTAGAAAAAATAAAAATCCCTAAATTTGCCGAAAAACGTCAAAATAAAAAACTACCTCATCTTATGGTTAGCCAAAATTTTTCAAAAAAAAAATCTTACCAATTTGGTGCCACAAGTATCCGCGACTACCGATAATTCGACCACGTATTTCAGTTCTCCATTTCCCTTCCGCCGACACTCACTTTTCCCGGTCTCCCCAACTATAATCCAATCAAAAAACTGCCCGTCGGGCTGATATTCTTTGGCAAAAACTATCTGGACCAGCACTTTGTCATAATCGCATTTGGGAATTACTTGAAATAGGATGTTTCGTTAGTCATCAAAATTAAAATAAAAAGCGTATAAATTATACTTACTTTGTATCTTAGGGTTCTCCGCAGAACAAAATGTGAGGAACAAAAGTAAATACAAGAAGAGGGTTACACGATCCACCATCGAATATCCAACATCAAGAAGGGCGAGGTCCTGGGAATTGCAAATTTTCAATTTGGAAAAGCGGAAAAATAATTGTAACAAATAAAATCGCGGGATGAGTTTATGGGGATCAGTGTATTTCGAAAAGTAAAATTTCTTGACGCAGAAATCGCTGTTGCAGAAATCGTCAACATGTTTTGGTTGCACGTTGGTAAAGAATTTGAATTTTTGCAATTTTCGGTTTGAAACATTTACGGTATAAATATAGTCTTCAATCAAAAAAAATTTCTCCTATCGAAACGCACAAATTTTTTTTCTCTGACTAACTCTTCATTTTCCGTGGTCTCTCCCTCTCTTTCCAAAACATCGTTAAATTTGTTTTTGCAAAACTTGAGTTAAGTTAGTGAATAGTGGCCTGTGTATAGTAAATACGTGAAATTTGATCAAAATCTGCATAACGCGGTTCCATTTCTACATAAATTTGGACACAGAAAATTACGCTAGCGTATTTTAAAGAATCGCATCATAAAAACTGGTGCTCTTTAAAGTCCATGCCTTCAATAGTGGTCCGGCTGTTCCATACCCTCTTAAACATGATCCTACGTCCTTCAAAGCTCCCGCAAATCCAGAAATTCCGGATTTTCGTACATCCGGCCTCCTTTTTTCCTCTTTAACCTCCAGAATAAGTATCTGAATGCCCAAAAAAATGCGCGAAATTGGATCAAAAAACTTTCTTCTTCATGAAGAGACCCTAAGGAGTGATTCCGGTAATCCGCGCGGAAAGTGCTGGGCGGAAAATAATTATTTTTTCATATTCCCAAAAAACACCAAAAAAGGAAGAGGGGATTTCGAAGGACTTCTCGGAACGGTAATGACTCTCCCCGACCGCAGGCACCCCTATTTACACCGCCCTCGGCTGACCCTGAATTTCTTTAAGGTTGAGGGAATGCGGGACGATAATCTTGGATTAACAATATCGCCCTCTGACTTTGCGAGGATAAACAGAATCGCGATCTGAGAAGAGGAATTGTACTGGGAGATGCAAAAAAGATTCAAAGAGGAATAATCTTTTCAGAATCAGCCAAGGGAATCTCCTTTTTTAGGGAGGAGCATCTGGGCTATGACATGATTTGATCAGATTTGGGGATCAGGGACGGAATGAGTCAAGTGTTACGCGCGGAGGAGAGATGACAAAATTCCATTTTGTCACTTATGCCGTTAAGATTTCTATAGAGTACAAATATACTTCAAGTAAGTCTGGCTTATCATATCGAGAAAATTCAATGTAAAGTGTGGATCACAAAAAAATGGTCCACGCTGCCAGTCTTACATTTTTACTTGCCAAAAAGTCTCAATTACCCAGCTTCACAGCCCAATAAATAACCCGACAGATCCAGAACTGCCCGCAAACAAAGGCCTGACCTTTCCTCCCCCAAACAGCAGATCCGAGTTCATAAGCCGTCAACTTTTTATGGCCCGACTCTTCGCCTCCCTGATTGGCGGCACTACCAATTATAGACTGTCCCGGGAACCCTCCCTTTTTTCGAAAAATTGCGCCCTTGTTTGGGTCCATCGGATCGTTGAATGAGTGACCGGAAACCGGCGGAGAGGGGGGAGAAAGGGGGAAAGCGAGTTCACACCCAAGTGGAGGGCGAACACAAGTATCCGCGCCATTGTCAAGCCGATTTCCGAACCAAATCCGAACGACTTTAAACATCCACAATAAATGCCCCGAGGCTGCAAGAAGGCAGAATATGAAACGTGCTATGGATGAGGGAGTGTATTGTAAAAAGAGGAACGAAGGGAAGGGCAGTGGATTTAACACAAATTTAGAGCTAAAAATGAGTAATGGGGGAACAACAGAACATTTCGTGCGACGAGAGCCTGAATAACGGCAAAGCAAAATCTTCGACTTTCAAGAATTGCACGGTGCACCAGATGGAGTACTCACGCAACCCTCCTATTGTAATACCCCAAAATAAAAATTAAAATTTTTAAAAGTAAAATCCAGAAGTCGACTTGACCTTCACTCTACTCGATTCACATTACGAATCACTTCCACCTTCATCTGAACCCTCCAGAATTACCGTGAACCTCCGGGAGAAACCACGAAACATCCGAAGACTATACAATGAATCAAAACAGAGTAATTACCGCGATCCGCCCGAGCAAAAACTTTAATTATGGCGCCGAGCAAACCGGTAGAACCGAAACATCCAGGAGGATATTGCGGTTTATACGCTAACCTTCGAGGATTACGCAGTTACAAGTGGTCAATTTAATCCCAAAAAGAGGCGTTTCGAAGGAGATCTTTGGTGATTTATTCGAACAAAATGTACAAAACGGAGAACCAAACAAGTATTTACAATTTAAAAGCACTTGATCATCTTTTTCACCGGAAAAAAATAAAAATTACACATGCATTTGGTCGCATTCATAATGGACAATATAATTTTTGACCTCAGATCCTAAGTTGACCCATAGATCACAAAAAGAGGTCAGCCTGTCTTAAAAAGTTATACAATGGAGACTAGAGCCCATAAATTGGGATAATAAACTCGGAATTTCCTTAAAGTATCAAAGCTTCCCCCGGGGATTGCCCTCAATTAATATCCTCCTGGTGCCCGGAAGTAATGAGAATGGGGTTGGAAATGTAATTGTAGGCTGATTCGGGAACAACGTCCACAAGCTTGTCGCTATTGGCCTTGGCGTTGTAAAAAAGCTGAGATCTTGGCCAGGAAATAAAGTCATGGGAGCTGATGATGTTAACCATGGAAAAAGGGGGCTTACTGTAGTCTCTTGTTGAGAAAATGGAAATTGAGGTCTAGTGAATGGTACTGAAGGAGGTTGAGGTTGTTGACTGAAGATAGCGGCCGGAGTGGATGTAAAATACGGATTTACCATGATATTTGTCGACGATGTCATCGAGAGTAAACTCTCGTCATTTGGTAGGTTATTTATTGGGTTGGTAGGTCGAAAAGGAACTGGTGGGGTAAACTGATACCAATATGGTGTCGATGTTGCCAATTGGAAAGCCTCTGACGATGATATTACGCTTTCTAAAAGATGAGGATATAGCAATATAAATATTTATTTCCACAACTTACTTTCAATTGAGCTCCCATTAAACAATCGCTGATAAAACGGAACCATGGGTACTCTTTTTGTAAACAACTCCTCGCCACCCATACTGGGAGTGACATCATTCCCGTCGATTTCCTCCTCTTCCGTCTGATCTGTTGCCCGTCCAGTGAAGAATGGATAGTTCTGGGTAAATGGCTCTTTTTCAGTCTCGACTGCCTGAGGGGTAGAGAGCGGAACTCCCGGATTATCTGGCTGTTCATTTGTCTCTTTTGCCTTCGGCCGTTTCGACGTTACATCCCACGGTAAAATAAAAATGAGAGATGGGGAGAAGGTTGAGATCTCTTCGTCTGTTTCAGCGATATCAGAAGCCCCTTCGTCTTCCAGGGTGCCTGTCTCGACTTGATCTGATGTGCTTTGGCTATTTCCTTCTTGACTTTCAACTATAGGCGGTTCAGTGGAGATTGTAGTAGATTCCGAAATAGTAATAACAAAATTAGTCGTTTCTTCGGATGTCACAGTAGTCAGATCTTCCTCCAAAGTGGTTGTAACCTCTTCCAAATTCATCGTGGGATACAAAGTGTTCTCATCATTACTGTAACTTCCGCTACTGCTCAAAATTTCTTCTTGTAATCCCGTCGCTCCTTCCGGAGAACTCGCTTGGTATACTGTAGAGTGGCCCGTATTCCCGGGTGGTTGAAAGTTTATTCCTTCAAATAAATTAGTAACATTTATACTGAACAACAACGAATAAGTTAGTGAGTTATTAGTGAATCAACTTATACAGTAATATCGCAAAATAAATTCAGATTAGTAGTGTTAGATTCCTACAGCGTTATGTCGAACCTGCATTTGGAGTTGTGGGTAGTAAAATGGCAGAGGGGAGAGTGATCTGAGCGTTGGTTGTCGAACTTGTTTGTAAAAGTTGCGGGCTGTCGCTGCAGGAAGTCCCGATATAACTGATGTCATCTACTATCACAAAGCCTCCAGAATAATCGGGACTGTTGTGGACAAAGTTGTCAGCGATTATGTACATCTAAAATACAACATTAGTTATTGAGAAAGGGTTTTCAAAAACGAAGTAAACACTACCTTAAACGGCCTTCCGTTGTGATCTGGGATCGACAAATAGACGGGACCTGGTTCACTTTCGGATAACATCGTCGTGCAGAAATAGAAGCTGTTGTCACCCAGTATCATCGTGCAGAAATTGACCCTCACCAAAGAGGAACTCCAATAACTAGAAGGGAAATTACATAATTCTACGCAAAAGTGCGACTTTCACTTCTTGGAAATGGAGTCTTGTGGATACAAATTTTTCAAAAAACATCAACCATTATTACCTTGCGTAAAGTCACCGCCGAAAAATGCTTTTCTCTGGCAGTCTCCTCATTTTTATACGTTTTCAATTGCAAAAATTGTTCGAGTATCTCACCGGGCTCGTAGTAAACCGTAAACTAAAATTTTAAGGAATACTTGGCCCACAGGAATCACGGATCACGCACACAAAAATTTAAAAAAATGCGGCGCCTTCTTTAACACTCTTCTGCTGCATGAAGATGACTCAACATCGATTGATAAAAGAAAAAACAAGACCAACTTACTTCAACAACAAATGCCCCGGTCCTTCCTGGCACGGAATCACGGAGCTCTCCAAAACGGCCCTTGCCTTCGGGTCCAATGGATCTTCCGTCAACGCTATGGCATACGATCCATCTAAAGCAATGTTTTTTATGTCATGAAAACGTAACACCAAACAAAAACTACTTGAAACACAAAAATCTTTTGTTCTGATAACATTTTCTAGTGTTTTACTTACTTGGAGGAATACTAGTGCCAGTGGCAACTTGTAAAACAACTGCTTCGATCGGGAGTTCACTCTGATACCATGGCAAAGAGCTGTTATCACTCGTTTTCCACGCGCATTCCATTCCAAAACTAGTGCAATTCAATGTGGATTGGTCCTTCGGATCAGAAAGGGCATTCCCATTTACGTTCGTGACCGGCGCATCCCCATTTTGCATAAAATTATTAGCATTTGGTAAAGACATCCTTGTCGCTCTACTCGTAATTTCGCTCTCATCTTCCTGGCCGACCAGCTGATTCGATCTGAGTTGGGCTAGTCTGAGAGCCGAAGAGCAGGATTCTAAAAGATCTTAGCGAACAAAGACGGGATCTTACCCGAAAAATGGAACAGAGTTACCAGTACAAATGAACATAGGAGATTAGAGGTGATCATGTCGAATAAATAACTTCACAACATTTTAACGAGAGCCTGAGGGGGAGACTGGTCGAGTTATATAGCGTTATTATTCCTCTGCCTACGTTTCGTAGGATAATCTCGGGTAAAAACAAAAAAGTTTTTATTGGATCAAACGCGAGCTTGTGTATAGCAAGTGCAATCAAGTGCAAGATTGGGGGAGAGGCGTGGGGATGGGGGCGGCGATGGGATCTTCTGAGTCGGGCGGAGGCGCTTCGTACAGGGTTTGGCGGGTTTCGACCATCGCTTTCACATCAGGCTGCAATTATAACATTGTACATCATCTGCTTGAAAAAATCCTCTGTCTACCGTAATATTAAAAACATTTCTAACATTCCTAACCTCCAACATACTTACCGAATCAGGGACAAAAGTCACCATCCGGCATTTGAGATCCTTATCTATTCTGAGGGCAGCGGAAGCATTTTTAAACGTGTTACCGTACACTGGGGCCGAGAAAATGGTCACCAATTTTCGATCGTTGAAGAACCAAAATCCATCCATACAAAGCTGATGAGCTCTCAGGATCATTTCCAATTTATTTACATTCAAAAGCTCGTCAATTACCTGAAAAATATTCTAATAACCCCATCGTATCCTTCCTTACCCGATTTCCGAAACAGAATCCAGAGCCTCTCGTACTGGTTCTCCAGAAATTTATGTCATGTTGAGGGTCCGCCCAAAGCATATCGTTGATGATTCCCTGAAAACAACTTGATAAAACTTAAGGGGCGGTTAGGTCCCCAGCCCTTTTTGCCCTGGACGTTTCTGCCCTCACAATTTTTTAGGCGAACTGAAAATCGCCAAAGTATAACGGATTTGATCAAAAGAAGCTGGCCTGCTAGCCGGGGACCGAGTGTAGTAAGAATTGCGTCTGTGGGGACAAAACCGGTCTGGAGACAAAGACGGCCAGGGAACAAAACTGGGGTAGGAAAACCACTACAAACTGGCCAATCAACCTACCTTTGACGGGTTTCTGATTGGTTTACTTTCCTTTTTGATCTCTTCTAAACCATACATTAGAGGAGATAGACCCCCGTGCATGCAAATGATCTTCTTCTCAATCACAGCACCAGCTGGAAGAACGTTGAATACCCGCTGAAATGAAAAAATAACCTTTACAAATTTCGTGGATAAAGATAATGCATAATACATAAGGTGCTTCAACAATATTCCACAAATTCGAAAACGCTTTGCGGTATATTTCTTTGAACCTCCTGTAAATTTTTAAACGTAAACTCTCACTTGAAATACTTCCCAACAAGTCTTCGCATAAGGTAAGCCAAACACCTGTTCCAATTCATCCATAAATCCGTATTTCTTGTTTACTCTTCCGCATTCGTGATTCCCTCGGAGAAGATACATGTGCTTTGGGTACAAAACCTAAGACCAATTCAAAAACCAAAAAAGTACTCACCTTATAGGCTAACAACATCATAATGCACTCCAAGGACATCCCTCCCCGATCTACATAATCGCCAAGGAAGCAGTAACGAGTGTTGGGTGGTCTTCCAAGCAAAATGAACATGTTGATAAGATCATTAAATTGGCCGTGAATGTCTCCGCAGACGTAGAGACCGGCGCGGATGTCGATCAAGGCGGATTCGGGAGACAGAAGATCGATAGCCCTCTTGCAGATAGTTCGAATTTCTGACGGTGTATACCTGAGCCGATGGACCTAAAAATAAAGGATCAAAAGATGTCATAACTGAATCATAACTAAGTGCTAAACCACGAAAAATCTGAGAAAACTTAATCACTTACTCCTGGTTGAACCTTCGCGTAATGTCGATCCAAAAAAGCGCCGATATCAAAGTTTTCGATGACTTTATCCTCAGTTATGCAACTTGACGTAGTGGCTCCGATCGGTTTGCTGAGGGCCTTGCTCTTCTCTGATTTCGCTTCCTCTTCGTCAGTTTTTAATTTTTTGACCGATTCGATCTAAATTCTTAGAACAATAAGAGCGCTATTACTTACAGACGACTTCATAGTCGGATCTACAGTGATAGACGGGTCTTGTATTGCGCTATTCTTCTTCCTCGTGCTTCCTTTTGTAACTTTTTGTCCATCCTTTCTCCTGGCAAAAGTCTTTGAGGATTGCCTTAGCCTTTTCGAGTCCTGAGTCACATCACAAACGGCCGTAATTGTCCGAACTGATCCCTCGGTGTTGTTAATGCTAAAACAATATAAAATTCACGCCGAATATTACCTTTGTTTGATGGAGGGCTTCCTTTTCGGGGCCTCATCTCGAGTGAACAAGTTGTTTCTGCCGATTCCACTCTTTTTTCTGATTATCGACGATGCCACGCCAGGTGCGAGAGTTCCCGGAGATGGTTCAATCAGGGTGCTCACTACATTCTGCCGTTTTGTGACACCAGCATTGCCGGTGGGAGACGGAGGGATCAGATGACTAGCTTCTTTGGCCGGACCCGAAGACATACCGACCAATTTCGGATCAATAATGCAACCAAATGCGAGAAAACCAGATATAAATAAAAAGGACTAATTTATGCAGACCATTTATTTCGAAAAATGGTCAAAAATAGAGATTCTTCCCTTAAATCTCTCCTATTGACTTCGCCCTCCTCTCTCAATCTTGAATTGCTTTTGTCGACAAAGCTAAAAAAGAATGGATTAATCGCTTCAAATCAACTTGCATTATCGATTGTCCAGACTGAATTGTCAAAGCTTTGTTTGTCTGCCATTTGAATGTCTACTTGAACACTATGTTCACCTTCATTTGCAGCCGTGAAGAATATTGTGTAGATTTTTGACTTGACTCCATACTTTGTCACCGTCTCTTCATTTAGCAATAGACGGAAGATTTCTTTCTCTTCTCGTGAACAATGGAGCAAGATGTCGCCCTTTAGGTCCATGCTGGTCCAAAAAGTAACTTCTTGGTTGCAAAAAACCTGGAAAATCCATAAATACACATCTCGATTTAGCAAAAAAAAGAGAACAGATCTTAAAATCAGAAGTACAATCGAACCAAAAGCATCACCACGACAGTGCCAAAATTTTTCATCTTTTCCCTTACAGACTGATATAATATTTTTTAAAAACTCACAGGGGGTACTCCCCGTCGGTGGACGGTCAACCTGGCTGACCTGGGAGTCAAAGATGTTATGTTTTGGCTGCTATCCGGGAATTCTGTTTTATACCATACAACTTTTTTTGGAAGTAATTCTCCCAAACTTTCATAGAGCTCCGCTTCATCCAACGTATTACTTATAGGGAAAGATGGATCTTCCAGATCTTCAGAGGTATTCCCGGATGCGGTCAAACCTTCTTCTTTTTTCCACAGCGCAGTTTGACCTTCTTCACTTGTGTCCAACGTGTCCGTTTCTGCAGTTTCCGCTTTAATTTCTCTCACGGGAAGCCTGTCCTTTATTTCTACGAAGTTGGGAATGTATTGTTTTGTTCCGATCTTCTTGGAGTTGTCTAACTCGCATCGATTTCTTCTTCCCCTGGATCTTTCTTTAGTCTTCCCTTTGTTTGGCTGGTTTTTGATTGACAAAGTATCTTCTTCACTTGAGTTTTCCACCCGCTTTGTCCACGGAGCCGTCTGGAGTTAAATAAAACTTTTAGTATCTGGGTTAATTTGACTAAATTTTTTAAAATCACGTCAAATTTCCGTCATTTTGGCTAACAAAAAGTAGAAATTCGGACTTATGAAGCTTTTGAAAGTAAGTTTATAAAACAGTTTATGATGAATACCGTTAATATTGCCGTGGCTAAATTTTAGCTTAGTTCATCGGTCGTTTTGACAAGAATGACCAATTTAGTTTCTAAAAATTCTAGATCCTTACGACTTTTCAGCGTAAATCGACAAAAAAATTTCCAGAAAAAGCAGGGGATAGCACCCGAAATTTCACAAAGGGTATAAAAACCTTTAGCATAACATCAGGCCAACAAGATTAGGCAGTAAAAAGGCCTAAAATGATCAAAAATAACGGAAGAAACGCCGAACTTTTGTATATTTTAGCGTCAGAACTGTCCTAATTGTCTAAAACGTTCAGTACGATACACTTTACGCTAAAATTGCCATCACGACAATCAAAACTTGAGACGACTAACAAGTACAATATAAATTTACCCACCATAAGCGTTCGTTGAGACCGCCTTGGGAAGAACATCTCGGTGTCTGATGAGAAGACGTTGTCGTTGCGTTCTTCTTCTTCAGTTTCTACAAAAAAATCTCGGGGAATTTGCTTATCCAATACACGCAATGACTCAACGACACTGCGAGGCTGTGATCTGTCAGTCGGCTGCAGCGTGGGAAAGGGTCCTTCCGAGATCGAGCCTGATGTCTGTGGTGCCTCAGAAGAATAGGACCGAGTTTGAAGTTGTGATTCCTTTGGTCCATTCCTTCTGCTCTCCCCACTGGTTGGTCCTTCTCCTTTGATGCGCCTTACTCGCTCTCCAGACCGTTGCGTGCTTTTTAGGCTTTCAGCAGATTCCACGGAGAACCTTCCCTCTAAACCGTTGGTCGTCTTCAGCTCATGTTTTAAGGGGTTTTTGTGGCTGACCTGGAAGCCATTGGGAAGCCTTGAGTCTTCGCTCGAGACCGTCGTCGTCATGGTATTTGCAAAACTTCGATGGTTTTTTTCCTAAAACAACATAAAAACAAATATAAACAATGACATACCTGATTTGATTTGTCCATTTCATTCTTGAGGTTGGTTTCCAAACCAATCGTTTTCGGCAGACGGCTTGAATCCAGACTTTGCGAGGGTCCTTCGTATCCATTTCCTGATCGTGGAATCTGAAAAAAAAACATTATTGCAGACACCATTGTTCGAATTAATCAAGAAAAGATTAAAATACGGCTAAATCAAGCAAAAATCGCCCAAGTCTTCTTGAAAAGTATATTACAATGGCAAAAAGGTTTATTACTATGGTCAAAAGCCTAAAAATTGGACAAAATAACGGAAGTAGCAGAAATTACCTGGTTCGTTCGTGGAATCCGAGGAACTGCCATGGACTTCAACATCCTTGGAATTGGATACTCAAGTTTGCGATGTAAGACGCAGGGATCCTAAAAATATTAAAATTAGCAAAAAATCCCCCTGCTTTAAAAATGCTCCGCAAGATTAGGTAACACATTTATGAAAAACTACCCAATTTTGCCGTAATTCCCTGTGAAAGCCATCCAAAGCAGTTAGTAACTTACATGAAGTGGAGACTTCTTCTTTCTTAACAGTATTCGAGGTATTTCGCTGCCCTCCATCTTATTTCTTTGGAAAGTACAATATTGTAGACGGTAGAAGATACCTTACTACAGTTTTAGGAAAAATAAAGAACGGATCAGCTCTGAAAGCCCCGAAGGGACAATCGATTGTAATCCCGCCAATGGCTTTCAATTGGACGACTTCCGCGTGAGATTCGCTTGCAAATTGCAGTCTTTCGGCGTTCTGCGCCCGAGGGATCGTATAAAAACAAGAATTTGAAAACAAAAACCCGTAAGTTCTTGTCAAAGTGTAGTCGCAGACTAATTTGACTAGTTTACATTTGAAACCTTGAGAATATTCGAGAATCAAACAATTTTTTTTTATTTATCCCGAATTCGGTGATTTCGCTCACCCCGTCAAATTCATTCTGTCGCTGTGATCGGTTGTGCGCATAGCTGTGGTCTTGGCGATATCTACAGATCGAATCTGTCACTGCCCGTTGAGTTTGCTCCCCAGCTCGGTGTTCCTTGAGGTTCAATATCCCTTGAATTTTCGGTAAGCTAACCAGATTGTAGTAGATGCAAATTTAATGCAAAAATGAAAAAATATCCGTATCCGCAAACGTAAAAAATCGTTAATCACTGCCAATTAGTCCGAATTTTGATTTCCCCTCAGGTAAAATGGGAAAGCCAGAGGCAAAGAAAGAGGAAAAGAAGCCGGATGAAAAGAAACCAGAAGAAGCCAAAGCCGAGAATAAGGATGGAGGTTGGTCAAGTTGTCTGATTATCGCTTACTCCCTTAGGTCCTCTCCCGAACAAGCCTGGAGAACCCGAATTCAAGCTGAAGATCGAACCAGAGGGTCCTGTCATCTTCAAAAGCGATAAGATTCTGTCTGAAGCTGTTCATTACGAATGGACCCTTACCAACAATACTGGTAAGAGACAGGCTTTCAAGGTAAGGAACAGGATTTTCAAAGCGTTACGTCTATTTTGACACTTTAAATTTGCTTTGCCTTGCCAATAGCCTTGTTAAAAAAGGCCTTGTTTTAGGTGAAGTGCACCTCGAATGAAGTGTTCCGAGTCCGTCCTCCCCTCGGATTCATCGAAGACAAGGAGTCCGTCAAGGTCAGACTGACCAGTGTTGTCAAGGAGATCGCCGCAGCTAATCGTCACTTCTTCGCTCTTTATCATATGGCCTGTGAAGATAAGAGTAAACCTCCAAGAGCAGTTTGGACTTCAAATGTGAAGCCTGATGGAGTGAAAAGACTGCTCTGTCTCTTCCAAAAATCCGATGGATCTGATTGGAAAGTGGGAGAGAAGGGCCCTGGAGGCACGATCCCTCAATCCTTGATGCAACAGCCTGGAGGTGAGACAATATTTTATTTAGGAGTAGTTGATATCAAGTACAATATAAGTTCCAGGGAAGGAAAAGTCAAAAGAAGACAAGAAAAAGAAGGAAGAAGAAAAAGCGGAAAAGAAAGAAGAAGAAAAGAAGGAGAAGGACATGGACAATGAAGAAAAGAAGGAAGAGAAAGATAAGAAGAAAGATGAGAAAGTGGAAGAGAAAGAGGACAAGAAGGAAGAGAAAAAAGAAGAGAAGAAAGAAGAAAAGGACGAAAAGAAGGAAGAAAAGAAGCCGGCCAAGAAGTAGAGGACCCTTTGGTTTTTACAGTAAAATTACAGCACAGTAACATATATAGTTTGAGTTTGGAATTTTGTATTTTACTTGTTGTCGGGTATCAAAATGACGATTTGAATGGAATTTTCTTGGTTTAAGTATGATCTATGTGCACATTAATGTCATCCTCGTCCGTTGTCATCTGATCCCTTCACCCCCGCCTTTTCGTACTTTTTACTCATTTCCTCACACAAAACTGTTCCATTTCGTTTTGGTCAGAGGATTTCAAACGGACATTTGTCCCCCCTTTCCCCTCAAAAGTGTCATTTCAGCCAGGTCTTCCGATTCCAGCTCGGCTTTTAATTACTTTGCGAGATTTGCGAAATTCGTAGAGCCAAGAGGGAATTATCGTTTCAAATTTCTTAGTTATACCTCCTTGATCCTAATGTAAAAGTAATTTTTTTGTTCTTAAAAGCATGCTCTATAGATATAGGCCAAGTTTACATTTCCAAAAATTTTAGCTTGCGCTTTACACATCCGAGATTTTGAATGGTTTTTGGAGGCGAGGGACTGTGGAAAATGTGGAGAGACGGACGGAAAAAATGATGATTAACCACGTAAAAAAGAAAAATTTCGGGCAACCTTCTAACTAAATTTCTCAACGATCTCAGCAAAACTCATATCCCCTGAGGGCATTCCTTTGATTACTGACTTTTTGGCCTTTGAATTTGGCAAATTTCCGGCTGTAATTTTGTGAATCCGAGGTTAATTTGCACATGGAAACGGCGTCGCGTGACAAAAAGCAATGGGTATTATTAGTGTTTTACTCATAAAATCCCTATTTCCTCCTTTTTCTTCAAGTTTATTCAATCTCCGGGCATCGCTTACGTATTTTTCGAAATGGCAATTACTGTTTCCTGTGATTAAATCATGAATAAGGTTACATAAACGTTCCATGAGGAGGTCAAATGGTTGGAATTATTTTCTCTGCTGACCGTTATGTCATCCATCAATCAAGTTGCAGACGAAAAAAGTTTGTGGCCAACGAAAGATAATAAAAAATAGTCGTTATCAATCGATCGCTCAAAAAATTTCGGCCAAGGGCTTGGTTTAATAATGGGGTTGAGCTGGGAAAGAAATGAGCTCAGATTTTTGTTATCTAGTGAGTATAACTGCTATAAAAGGTAGATTTTTAGGACATGGATATTAGTTTTCTATATTACTATAAGCAAAATTTGATATTGTTACCTTATTTTAACCCAATTCTACGCCTAATTTTTATCCAATTTTTCTTATTTCGTCTATTCGTTGCCTTCCAATTCCCATTTCCCTCCAGGGCATTAATAGAATATATTGTGCTTCCAGAGTTTATTCCTTTCCCCGTTTTTTCAAATTTCTGTTCATTTGGGATGTCTTATCTCCTTCTTTTCTCCTAATTTGCAAGTTTTGCCTGGGGCCATTTTAATATAAACTTGCGAGTAGACTCGCCACCTTTTATTTATCTTCTTTTATGGGCCTTTTTCTCGAAATCCGCGCGGAAATAAAAACTTTTTTTTTCAAATGCCCTGAGGGTCTGGAGACGGGAGAGAGGGAGCAGACTCCGGCCCCGTTCTTCAGGTCGTGCCGTCTCGGTTTCCTCTTTTTTCGCTTCAAGGTTTTGTCAAATTTGGAACAAATATTTTAATAAATTTGAATAATTAATGAATTCGTAATTTTATGAAGATTTTACTGCAAAATAAATCCATAGAAGTAGCGTTGGACCATTTGCAGGCTGAATAGACCCTCATCCGTCGTTGTCTGCTCCCGTTTATGGCCATTATTCTGCTGGCCACACTTTCCTGGAACTCCAATTTATAATACTCTTGTTACATCGAGCATGCTCCGTTTATGGGCTTGAATGCTCTGTGAAGATCACCGGGGTTACTGTAATTCATTCTTTTCAATTGAGAGTTCTTTTCGGACCAAAATATTTTTATTAATTTCTAATTTTGAGGTAAAATTTTTATTATTCTTATAAGATTATTTATTTGTCTTCACTGCCAAAATATTTCCTCGGGCAATATTTGCTTATTGTTTCTTATTCCGAAACATCAGAGTTTACTCATACACGCAGTTGCTTTCACAATCATTTTTAACTCAGTAAATTCGAAGAAAAATATTTTTTTTGTCTGGCTGAGAATAGGTGTCATCCTTTTGTCATGTCATCGCGTTCGAAGTTACAGTATCCTTTTGTCATAATACGCATTTTCTGCTAGAATAACTGATTTCTCGACCTTACTATTTTAGTTCCCTCTTCTGAAGCCAAGATAATGTCGTTGACGTCGCTGCTTGTCGACAACGTCTATTTATATGCCTGGCTACATTCCCAGCCATATTTCTAAGCAGATTCCACCTTTATTTCTTGACCTTTTCGCTTTCGGCCGCGGGTTTTACGAGTCTCGGCCGCAAAACCCCTCCGGCAATCCGCTTTATGAAACTTTACAGATGGCCTGACCTGGTCCCGGAATGTCTTGTTTTTGAGTCTGGAGGGCATTGAAAAATTCCCGGTATTTTTTATATTCAATTTTATGGTCATTTAGAGAGAGGAAATTGGAGAATCGGATATGAAAAGTTTAACAAAACTAATTAAATACTCGCAGTAATCTCGTTTTGAGACATATGGCCTTGAATTATAAGCTCGGTTAGGGTGCCTAATCACTTCCAGAACTTTGGATCACTTTTTTGAAACGTTTTTACTGCAAAAATAGTTTATAAATAATTGAAAATAATAAGAAAAGACATTTGGAACATGGGAAAACAGTAGTTAAGCAGTATTTACGACGTAATCGAGTATGCAAAAATGGTCAGGAAGGTGTGGGATATTCAGTCTGTCCATTTAATGTTTTAATTTTTTGTTTTGAATATTCAGATTTTCTGACATTACCATTTTTTACAAGAACTAAACCAAACTTTGCACAGAATTTTCTCTCTTCTGTAATTTATTCATCACCTCGATTCTCTTTTTTCTCCAAAAAACCCTGGCATGCCGGAATTTCCCGCTTTGAAGTCTTTTTTTTGTCCCCATTTGGCAATTTCGGGGGTCCATTCCGTCTTGGCCCCCTCACGTGACCCCAAACAGCAAATCGCTTCTTCCGTTTTGAGGATCTAGACATTCAACGTCTCAATTTTCGAGCTTTACTTGTATTTGCCCTGAGGCGTTTATGCGTGAAACAGAATTTGTGCCAGAAAGAAGGAGAATTGGCCTTTCTTAGGCTCGAATTTGGATTTGGAGACCGAAGATTAATGTTTTTGTGGACTGTTTTTGGATTTTAGGTTTTGCATCGTCTACTTATGAGGCTTTAAAAATTTATTTCAAAAATCCCTCTTTAATTTCGATTATTCTTTCTTTTAAACCTCTTTGTCCTTTGCTCAGACCGAGCAAACTGCGCGGAGGAAAACGGGAAAAAGGCCTTAAGCATATTAATTTAGACAATGGGCCAGCCGTTCTTAGACTAGCCACTCGCTTTTTTCTAGATTGTGTTCGAATATTTACCGAAAATGATCAAAGCGTTCTAATTTTTAAAGCTTTTTTGTAATCTTGGTCAAGAGGATCAAAATGTTCCAAATATTTTCGAAACAGCTGATTGTGGGAGGTAATAATAAATATAGAAGAGATTGTACTGCAGAATCTGGTATTTGGATGTACATATTGTGTGAGGAAAATCCATTTTGAGGTCCTTGGCCAGGCAAAGCGTTAGATCTTCACACAACTCTGGCCAACTTTAAATTTAAATTTTTAAAAATGTGGTCGATGATTGGCTCAAAAAAGCTTTCACCGACAACCTTTTTTCTTTGACCTTTGCCCACTTTTTGTGCAACCATAAGTCTAAAAGTTACGTTGAATATTCCTGTCCTTGCAAAGCATGAGCTAAATTTTTCAGAGATTTATTTTTGGTCTAGATGAAAGACACTCGCAAAATTTGAAGAAAATCCCCACTTTTTATTACGAGCATTCTCTATTGCGACATCATTGCTGGTCCAAATTTCAGAAACCCTCATAAGTTTCCTTTAGTGCTTCTCGTGTATAAAAGTTATTGATAAATTGCATATTTTAGTCTATTTTCATTACTATTTTATCCAGGCTACACTATTTTTTGAGTAAATAAATTTGATAATTTTGTCTGCGGTGAATAACAAATTCTTACGCCTTCCTACAATGCTAGGTGGGCCACTCGAAACTCCCTTCCTGTTTTGGTCAATATCCAAATTGGAAACCGTCCCAAAAATTTTTCTAACTTGATGACTATAAAATGATGATAACGATTTTTGTGGAATCCATTATGGACCGTTTCGGGGACAATTTTTTTCCAAAATCTCGAAAGTTACTGTAGACTGCATCCTTAATCGAAAATCTTCAAATTTTCCAACGGACCTCATTTTTGATAATCCAAAACGTTGGAGGGATTCATTCAGAATTGACTGAGATATTGACCAAAACAGGAAGGGAGGGTCGAGGGGCCTACCCTGTACTTTCCCAAGGTTTTGCGCGTCACAATGTCGCCGCTAATCCAATCGAATTCGCTTTTTCAGCTTCAAATGAAATCCATGGATGAATAAATCTCTCAAAAAAGATAATCCCGAGATATCCAGAAAAGGTTGGTTTGCGTGTTAGGCGGCAAATATCGCGGATTAATTTGCGAAAACATGGCCAGAACTCGCACAATGTTTTACAGACCCAAACAGGTTCTAAATGCTGGGAATTAAAATTTAAAGTTTTGCCATTTGGTCGTACTCTTTTTGTAGGGCGGTTAAGTTGGTTGTAAATTTAATTTTGGTGACATTTGTTGCCAAAACGGCAGTTCCAAACTATTTTTTAAACAGTTTCAGTTTGTAGATTGGCCAATTGGCCTTTATTTTGGCCATTCATCCCGTCCTAGACCAGCTTTTACACTTCGGAAAGCTTAATTTGGCCTCGAGGGTCTAGATAAAACCGATTCGATTAGAGGGCGGATATAACCAGAGTTCGATTCGGGGTGCAATCCAAACGTAGGCTTACATTTTCAATAGGTAAAGCATACTTCGGACATCCTTAAGTATTTGTTTGGACATGACGAATATCGTTTTTTGGGTTAGGTTACTGTAGTCTTGATCAGTCTCAAAAAAGTAGGGTATTTTGCAAGATATTTACTAAGTATTTCGAACAAGAATTTACCCGTTTAAGGTCCAGTACATCTACCTTGAATTGCGCCTTGGGAAAGGAAATGCCAAAGCAATTTTTATGTCTTGCCGTAAAAACAGCGTTGGCAAAATTGCATTTGCAGTAAAATAAAATAATTTTTAGTAAGTAAGACAAAGAAATTCTTTGGAGATTTTGCTTCCCACGCCGTAAAAAGCACAATTCAAAAGTAGCTGTACTGGCCGTTTAATCCTCAGAATCCTGACTTTTTGAATCTTCGAATTGCTTTGAGCCCGAAGCTTCTTGAATTTGCCCTCGAGGCATGGGGGAGACGAGGAACGGGACCACGGAAATTGGATTTGAAAAATGTGTTAAAAACGCGCTCTTTCAGCAGCGCCATGCCCTCCGACTCCGAAGTGATAATCAGCGACGACTTCGGCGACTCCCAGTCTCCCACCACCACCCCAGCCCACACTCAAGTCCGCCATAAGGTCCACATGCCCCATTCCCACGTGGCCGCCGCCCGCGAGTTCGTCAAGCGCAAGACCGTCTGTCGCCGCACCCCGATGACCGTCTTCCAGGTCAGTGTGCTCGGCCTGACACTGTTGATCATCATCGTCCTGTGCGTCATCTATCAGACCTGGCTGACCTCGGTAATAATCTTTTTTAATTAAGTGATTTATCGAGGAAAACGTTGAAATTGTGCTTGTCAGTTTCATAAAATTTGGCCAACTAATTGTTCACAAAAAGTAATCAATTTTTGATACTTTGAGCTTTCAATTTTCAAGGCATTTATTTGCGACAAAAGGCTATAGAAACTAGCTCTATTTTAGTGAGCGCATCAGATAGACATGTCCCTAAAATTAAACTAACCACAACTATGCATCAAAATCCCTGTGGGTTCTGCAAAGCGAGTTAAAAATTACGGATTGATTTCAGGCTCTATCGGATAATCACCGACCACACACCCCAGACGACGAAGAATATCATATGAAACTGGTTAATTACATTAATAACCCCAATCATCAAAAGGATTGGAAAGTATGTAACTTTAATTGGATTATCCTGATTTTTTAACCTCTAGAAACAAACTTACCTTATCCTAATTCCAGGCTGTTTACAATAAATTCGCGGCTCGAGGAATGGACGAAGAAGAGGACATGCCAAACGAAAAAAACAAAGAGAAGGATAATGAGATCTTCAACATCTTCAAGGACAATAAATATGCCGTTTTTGGAGACACCTTGGCCTATCTGCCTCGTCTTGTCAGTCGAAGGGATGTTCAGATTCCAAAGAGTTTCGATATTCGGTTAAATTGGCCTCTTTGCTCGTCGGTGCATCGGATCCAGAACCAAGGCTCTTGTGGGTCTTGTTGGGCAGCCTCGGCGACTTCAGCTATCGCTGATCGTATCTGTATACAATCAAATTACACTCAACAGCCCCAGATCTCCATCAAGGACCTGCTGATGTGCTGTCCTCATTGCGGAACGTAAGGGCTTTTTATTAATACGGAGAAGTTTTAAATTTCAATTTTGTCCGTTTATTCTTACATCTACAACAATACCACTCTTTAATTTTAGCTGTGGTGGAGCCACTTGGCCCCTTTTTGCCTTCACTTACTGGAAAACCGATGGGATTGTAACTGGCGGCCAATACGGCAGTTTCGAAGGCTGCAAACCCTATGAAAAGTCGGCTAGTTGTGGCAATCCCTGTCCCACAGACTACTACACAAATCAAATTGATGACAAGTTCTGTGAACGTAAATGTCAGCCTCTGTATTCGAAGACTTACGAGGAGGATCTGCTTCATGCCCGGGAGGCTTATTGGATTAAACCCATTCCAAATGCCGACGAGTACTTCCCCGATTACATGAAGAGGGTCAGGGCGATTGTGGGCGATTGTAAGTCTTTTTAATGGCATTTTATTGGAGCCAGACTTGTAAAAGCCTTTCTTCTGAAATTTTTGTAAATTATTTTTGATAAATTGACGTTGAGTTTGTATTTTCAGTGGATTACGCAACATTAATCAAACGTGAAGTGTATCTAAATGGTCCCGTGATGGGTTGTTTCCCCGTATACGACGAGTTCCAGCATTACAAGTCAGGTATTTACAACAAGACATCCCCCGACGCCAAGATGTTATACGGCCATTGCGCGAAACTGATTGGATGGGGCGAAGAAAACGGAATCGAATACTGGACATACGCAAACACGTGGGGTCGAGATTGGGGAGAGAACGGTAAGGGATTAAACTAGAGTATTACACATACATTTCTAATTTTACACTCGGATATTGAGATTGATCTACACTTTAAAATTCAAATATTTTTGCAAAAATTGTGGGATATAATCGAATAAATAATTGATTTACTGAAGCCAATGATAAATCTGATATCATTGCAGGGTTCTTCCGCATGAGGCTAGAGAACTTGCCGGAAGAAGTGGCCGCCGGAAATATCTGATAGTGTTTCAACGAACGTCAGAACATTGGATGTGTACATATACTCTCATCTTTCGAATAATGTATTACTAGTTGGTTGTTTATTTCTTTTTTCTTTTGTAAAAATAAACGGAAAATATCACTTCTGTCGTCTCTTGTCCTTCATGATGAGAGAGATTGTGAAAATTGGAGGATCCTGGCAAATCACAAATCATAGGTGCCCTTTCTCTGCAACCTCAACGGGCATTTTTTTTAGAATGGAGATCGTTTTTTTTATCAGCTGAGGAGAAGTTCGTGCACTTAGAACGTCACAACAACCAGGAAAGTCCGTCCGTTGATGTTTATCACGTATAAAAAGCGACCTTGGCCTTTAGTAATGAGCTCGGAAAAGTTGAATGGAAGGTGACTTTCACTTTTGTTTATTCAATTTTCATGATTTTTTAAATATTGTCCATTTTGAATTTTGCACAGAGAAATGATGACTTTTCGCATAAGGCTGGAAAGACTGCCGAATTTTAAATTTTAAGAATTTGCAAAGAAACCGAGAAATCTGCGCTCAAAATCCAGCACGATTAGGATGGTTCAATCTGAAGTCTTTTTTCTATATATTCCATCCAAATAGAGTACAATCACTACGCAAAAAATCATTCCCCAAATATTTGTTTTTCATCAACAACACCGGTCCCGATGTTCCCCGCCCAATTATCGGAATCCTTAACCCCGTCTATGTATACATTATAACAATCGGTTCCCTTTATCGTTTCTCTTATCTCAACGGGTAATTTCCCGTTTCATTGAAGCGTGATATTTACATTTAAACCGATTCCCTTCAATCAGTTTGTTTTCCAATTTCTCAACAGTTTCCCTTCAAGAAATCTCGTTCAACTGTGCAATTCCATTGATGGACTTGCGTCATTCGGCACGTGTTTTGATCATCCATCAACAAGTTTGATTACTCAGTGATTGATCATTTATTGTTAGCTGGAACCCCGATTTCAGCGACGTATTTAGGGGATCCCCGGCGATGGAGATTATTAAATTATTGTTTAATTGCGAGTTTTAACCAGGTTCTTGGGAATTGCAGACTGTCCTAAGATGTGTAAAAGTGGAGACTAAACCCTGATTGACTGTCAAATCAAGAGTGTTCATAGTAGATTGTCTTTTAATTTAGTTATGATGACGTTGATGTTCAGCACGGATAGAGCATATCAGCCAAATCTTAACATGATCTGAGACCCGTCCTTAAAACGCTCTGTATTTGTAAATTCTGTTCTTTTCTGCGCTTTTCGACTCGTCTCAAACTGAGCTTGTTCTGAACTTCCTGCCCTTTAATGATTTGCTTTGTAAAGTCCTCGATAAAACCACTAAAAGAATCCTTTTCGAATAGTTCGAATCCTTTCTTCGTTATTTTTGTCTACAGATCCGGAAGAATTTTTATTTCCGTCCGTGTATTTTTAGAGTTTTGTTTCAATTTCCAAGAATTCCTGGCTTCGGATACACAATAAAACAGACGGTGATTCCCAAGATGGATACCAAACGGATTGAATTTTAGTTCTCAACATAACTATTCAATCTTTTAATGTCATCAAACCCATTCTAATCCCTCTCTTCTCCTGCTTCCCTTTTCTGTTCTCTCCGTCACGCACGATTAGAAGTCAAAGTTTTAAGGGGAAGTACGCCGACTTTACAGTTGGACTAACCTCTCCCAGGTCACATGAAAAGGTTTCTTTCCTTTTTTTTGCAACTTGAGAGGTTAATATTATTGTAACATCGAAACGCCCAGGGAAAATATTACACTTATTCTATCATCTGTGCGTTATAAAAGGGCAAACGAACAGTTGAGCTCCTTCTCTTTGAGGTTTCGCTGATTTATAGGGGAGGTTTGTCATGTTTAGAAAAAAGTTACAAAAGCTAGGAAGAACTGCAGGGATAGTAAGCGTCTTGAATTACTTGTCCCCTATAAGTCATCATTTTTAATATCCCTAACTAACATGTATGATGTAAGACCCACCATTATCACATGCCCTTCAGCTGGTCTCTCTTGACCAGACAGATAAAAGCCCTCGGGGATCCTTCTGGTCAATTTTGAAATTCGGAAGAAAGTTTTTTTCTCTTTGACTGATAAAAGATCGATAAAAAAAGAGCGGGGACCATTAATTAGAAAGGCGGGTCAAAAAAATAATGATTCCTAGAATGGGATCTTCCCACAATCAATCGTTTTAATGAATTCATAGGTACTACGTTAAGCGTATGTTCATCTTTTTGCAAGTCTTTAAGATTTCAGGTCGGAATGAACTTTGAAGCCTCTAAAACAATATGATTGTCGACATAGCGGGTCGGCGATTTAATGATCCATCTGGGGTTTGTTTGCACACAAACCTGAACACCGATAAGATTTTATTGGACTTTATGGATCAAAATTTATTTTATTTTACTTTAGGCATCTTTAGAAAAGTCATCGTCTTTCATCCAAAGGTCAGACAGATCTTGTCAAAACTTCGCTGCTCTCTGAAAAGATCGCTCTTTGTGGCCGTTTTGTCAAACACTAGCAATCATTTGTCCGCACTTTAAATTTCCGCTTCCCCAAGTCAGCGTCTTTCTTCTTGAACTCGACAAAAAGAGGGAGAAGTTGAAAAGTTAAAAGTAAGTTCGTGGAAGTCGAGGAACGTTCCCAGACCTGTCATTTTCTCTAAGGTTCTGGCCCTTCCTCTGTGTCCTCAGCGGGATTTTCTTTCGAAATTCGGCCACCTGTTTCCACGTGTTGCAGGAAAAAGAGAGGGGCAACTACTTCGAATTAATTTTAGATTTTTTCAAAATTATTTTTAACAATCTCATCAGCAAAACTCCTACCTTTGTGGGAAATGGACTCGTTGGCGTGGTAATTGGCCACGGCAAAGGTTTAGCGGAGGTGTTGTTCGAACCATAAACCATGTTATTTTAGGTCAGCTAATGGCATAATTCGTAAGGGCATTATATTGGGGATTACGCCAGCTCTTATCTAAATCTTGGAGCCTTTATAGTGGGGTTTACACAATGATACTATAAAATGTATGACTTGGCCATAATTCGTCCCCATCTCTAAAGAGCCCAAATAAATAAAAAACCCGAAGAAATTGGACCCACTCGTCTTGACTCTCTCGTATAACTCGCACGTCGCGGAACGTTGGCCACCCGCGCTTTTTTTTCTTCTTCCCCTTCTCCCGTGCTCGAAATTCTTTTTTCGGCGTTTTAAGCGCGCTTTTAGAGGGGTTGGCTGCGGGCTTTGGACTATGCCAGGATTGGAGAACACATATCTGAATTGAAGATGGCCTTGCTTGACGGAAGCCATGAGTGTGTATTACACACGCACAAAAGATTCCTCGAAGGTCTTCGTCTGTTCGCACAAACCGAGGCTTTCCTTGTAATTCACATCAGATTTCAGGAGTTTCTTCGAGTTTTTTTTGGTTTCTTGTCGGAAAGTGTCACGTTTTGTGGAGAAACAGGACATTCGGGGCAGGACTCATTGTGTAATCTTCAAGCGTTTTTCATTTTGGACCTGTTTTCCCAGGATTTTTTTTATTTTTTCGCTTTTTCTGCATTTTTCTCCCAAAGAACGCCCGAAGTCGGAGATCGTCGCTTTATCTGTATCTAGCTGTTTGCACGCGTGCATTCAGTTCGTTCTCGGAGGATAGGTTACCCCTAACAAATAGGTTACCCCAGCGGATAGGTTACCCCACCGGATAGGTTACCCCAAGTTTCGGATAGGTAACCTCGGAGGATAGGTTACCCCACGGATAGGTTACCTCGGAGGATAGGTTACCCCGAGGATAGGTTACCTGAAAAATTTTTTTTTTTTGAAATGTTTTCGCTTCGGGACTTGGAAAAAAAGGACTTTTTGTGAAATTTGAAAAAATTTTCAAATGTTTTCGCTTCGGGAGTTGGAAAAAAAGGATTTTTTGTGAAATTTGAAAAAAATTTGAAGTGTTTTCGCTTCGGGACTGGGAAAAAAAGATTTTTTGGAAAATTCAACAAAATTTTGAAATGTTTTCGCATCGGAAGTAGAAAAAAGGGTGTCTGACTGAATATTAACTGTGGTGTCGGCAGCACTAAAATCTTGTCTAAAACCACTGGTACCACCTGGTACTATATAGTACCACGTGTTTTTGGGCTCTACTAAGCACCAAACTATCAGCATTACTGCCTCATGGCCAAATTTTCACTTCTCACAAAACAGTACCAGTTGGTACTATATAGTACCAAGTGTTAAAACGTGTTTTTGGGTTCTACTAAGCACCAAACCAACGCCATTACCGCCTTACGGCCAAATTTGCACCTCGTACTAAATAGTACCAGGTAGTACTATTTAGTACCAAGTGTTAAAAATGTGTTTTTTAAGCAGTACTAGGCACCAAAACAACACCATTAACGTCTAAAAGTGTTATAAGTCGAAAAATTTTCAAAAAGAATCCCTAAAGGCAGTAAGGTAACAGAAACCCAGTTTTCATATTCAGTCAGTTCATACTCAGTCAGCTCGAAAACCTTTCAAATTTTTTTCAATTTTCACAAAAAATCCTTTTGTTAAAAGTCCCGAAGCGAAAACATTTCAAAATTTTTTCAAATTTCACAAAGAATCCTTTTTTTCAACTCCCGAAGCGAAAACATTTAAAATTTTTTTCAATTTTCACAAAAAATCCTTTTTTTCCAAGTCCCCAAGCGAAAACATTTCAAAATTTTTTCAATTTTCACAAAAAATCCTTTTATTTCAACTCCCGAAGCGAAAACATTTCAAAAAAAAATTTTTTTTCTTTTTTTGGTAAGGGGTAACCTATCCGTGGGGTAACCTATCCGGTGTGGTAACCTATCCGTGGGGTAACCTATCCGGTGGGGTAACCTATCCTCCGAGTTATGTGTTTTTTGGGGTAACCTATCCGGTGGGTAACCTATCCTCGGGGTAACCTATCCTCCCCAAATCCATTCAGTTCTCTTCCGCGTGTCCAGCTTTTTTCTCGCGTTCGTTCGACCTTATTTTTGTGGCCAATTACGAATTTTGATATCTAAAATAATATTATTGCAGCTTTCGCTCAGTCACTGAACTTGTGGTAAAGCTGAGGAGAAGAAAGAAATTTTGTGGGACAATTTGTTTACCGTGAGATTGTGAAGGTAACGGGTTTCTGGAAAATGCCGAGAAATTGAAGGATTTTGCAGATTCCAAAGCCCTAAGGGCACAGATTGTGTAAACAACCGTGAACGTGGTTTTTGGACTGGGAGTCGAGTGTAAGTTCTTCTTTTGCAAAATATTTATAAGAGAAAGGTTTAGTTTGTTCCGTAAATTTTTTTTCTCCTAGATTTGGTCTTGTGCAATATCGGATGGTGTCCAATGTTTTGCATGCACCCTTACTGGCACTTTATTTCCCATTTTTCAGCGTAAATTTAATTTCCGACCTTATCCTTGCCCTTGGAGGACCGAGATTATTGCGTTTCTGGCCTCCGTCCGCCAGCTCCTCTGCTTTTCCATATCAGATATGAACAAACAACCCACCCCCGCCCCGGAAGTCGATGAAAAGGCCAAGAGTGAGGAGCCGCCTTTGGTTTTTGTGACGGTCCGTCAACGGAGTGCGGTTTCGAGACGCGCGGACGAGACGGATACCTGGGGAATTGATGAAATTGATGCCAAGGAAGAGTGTAGACTGATTCTGAAGGATGGAAACGCAACTGTAGGTGAATTAGAGTTTATTCGGGTTGGAGTTGTTATCGGTATTTCCGAGTTGCTTTGAAATGGCATTATTTTAGGTATCAGTTTTGTCCCGGCTGAATACCTTCCGCCGGAATCGAGAATTATGCGATGTTGTCCTCTTTGTGAAGGAGCGGGAGATCCTGGCACATAAAGTTGTTCTGGCTGCTCTTTCCAATTCACTTTTGGATATGTTTGTGACTGACAGCGATAACCGTAAGTTCTCCTAATTTTATACCTAAAATCTTCCTTATTTTTAGCTGTCAAACCGGCTAAGTCGGATTCCGTTTCAAACATGTCATATTTCGAGTTCAACCAAGGAGATTACGAATGCTTCGAAGCGTTGGTTGACTTCGCCTACACTGGAGTTTTAACGATTAGCAATAGGAAAGTGGCAGATCTTTATAAGACGGCCTATGCCCTTCAAGTTCACACCGTGGCCATGGCCTGTGCTCGACATCTGGCCGAGAATCTGAGTTGCGGAAATTGCATTGGAATTAGAAGACACGCCAATTTCAATAATGATTCTTTCCTCGTGAACAAAGTGGATACTTTTATCGCCGAGAACATTGAGAATATCATATCCGAAAGTGTCGAATTCACTCAACTTCCTTGCGTCAAACTGCGGATTATAGTCCCAAAACACGAACAACTAAGTCACGATGCTGGAGTTAATTTGGCCGAGAGATCATTGACTTATTTCCAGAGATACCCGAAGATTTCTGATCGGGTTGATCAACAGATCGAGGCATTGGTGCAGAAAGTAAGTTTGGCTGTTATGAGTAGTGGTCTTGCGCATCTAAAAATCTGTTTTTGCCATTTTTGGGTATTATATTTGGTCTTCAAGGCTTCCTGAGAGTTTTTTATCTCAAAATTCCGTCTTAATCTTGAGAAATCCATTCAAAACAAATCGTATTCCACACGGTATCGAATACTCAATCTTTGTTTGTCACCGCGTTCTTTGCCCTCTCTAATCGACCATTTTTCAGTCCCATTTGTTGTTCGTTGAAGAGGATTTGAGTCTGCAAGACTGTGCCGAGATGGATGATCAGAGTTCCGTGGGGTCCTGTGATGTGGTCCAGGACTACAAACGTTCCAAGCAGTCCAAATCGTCCAAGTCAGCTGGCCACAACAGGTGAGTCAAGTCTTTTTTTTTGTTTTCAAAATTCGGAACGGCCGAACACTCGTTTAAGTCACGTTTTGATGGCCCAACGTGGGTTGAGAAGAGATAAACAAGAGCTGAGACGTCAAATGTATGAGAAAAGAGCCTTCTGGAAAGCGTTTCTTGGGTTTTTGATGACTTCGTCTCGTGAAATATAGGCTTGACATAAGATGACGTCTATCCAAGTGTATTTCGTGGTTGATTTCAGCCAAATAATTGGAGCCCAGCCTGTCCAACATCACGTGACTGGTGCTCTCCCAGTGAAGATTAATGCCAGCAGAGTTGCCAATGCCAAATATGCGTCGAATGAGTCGCTAAATTCATGCGCATCTTCCCAAACTGATGTGGAAGATGAGATTGAATCAAAATTGATTGCTGTTAATGAGACTTCGAGAGGATTCTGGATTGCTCTGGCTGTTTTATACAAGAAGTTGGTGGTCTTGAGCATCCATTTGACTGATGATGAGGAAGTTGCCGGATCCGGGGACTCAAACTCGGCCACTCCGCCACTTCAAGATGCCAAGAATTCAACAAATAATAATACAATTATCATGACCAAACAAACAACTGATGTTCAGCAGAACTCTGTCCTGGCGAAATTGGCAAGTTGCGTATCGGTGGCTAGAAGTCCATTACCCGCAATGAGTGTGGCCAGATGCTCAGTGGGAGCGGCGTTTTTGAACGGGAAAATCATTGTTTGTGGTAAGTATTTTATAAATTTTCGGTTTACACGTTACATTAGAACCTTTATCATTCGTGATGGTTAATGTAATTCCAGGTGGTTATGATCGAGGAGAATGCCTCAAAACAGTAGAAGAATTCGATATTTCCCTGAATGAATGGAAGAGACTCCCATTGATGACCTGCGAACGAGGTCGTTTTGATGTGGCCGTTTCTGGAGGAAAGGTGTACGCAGTCGCTGGATCCAATGGAAATTATGACCTCAAGTCCGCGGAAGTCTACGATCCGAAGATCGAGAAATGGGTCCAAATCGCACCCATGGCCAAGGCGCGGTCTCATAATGGATGCGCTTCTTTGGATGGATTCATCTATAGTCTGGGAGGATCTAACGATCAAATGGCCCTAAGGGAATGCGAGAGATATAATCCGGAATCTGGAGTCTGGGAAGCGATTGCTCCGATGCAACAGGCCCGCCAACAAGCTGGCTGCACTTCTTGGAGAGGAATGGTCGTCTGTGTTGGTGGATGCGACAGATGGAATTGCCTCGAATCAGTAGAAGCGTTTGATCCAGCGACTGGACAATGGAGAACGTTGGCCAAGCTGACAACTCCGAGAAGAGGATGTGCTGTGGCAGTAGTTAGAGGTAAGGGAATCGTTGCTTCGGTGATATTGTATTTAGATTCTCTGTATGTGATTGGTGGTCATGATGGACAACAATCCTTGAATTTGGTAGAGGCTCTGGATCATCCAAATGGCCACTGGAGAACTGTACCGTCGCTTTGCACACCTAGGACGAACACTCATGCCGTCGTAACAGCTGGAAATGCCATTTATGTCATCGGGGGATTTGATGGAAACCAATTTTTATCGACCATGGAAGTCCTAGAGAATGGTAAGATTGGCCTTAGGCTTTAAAGCTGTGTATCCTAAATAACGTAAAAATATTTACGATGAATATCTCCAGAATCTATCGGATGGCGTGGATGGATCCAAACCCGCCTTTCCCAGGACCTTGTTGAAGAAGAAGAAGAGGAAGAAGTCGAACATCCCGAGCTCTCCAACCCAAAAGAACGCTCCGATTCTGCCACTCCACGTGCTGCCGTCTCAGTCAACTAATTATTTATGCGGGAACGCCCTCAGGGCATTGTTAGATTTGTTAATATATTTTCTTTTCACACCATTCCGATATATTGGACTTGGGTCACCCACATATTTCGAACAGTTAATTCGATTGATATCAAACACAGTAAATATAAATGTAATTATGATTCATCGGCTTTCTGATTGAAATTTGATAACAAAAGAGTAATTCGAGAAAAAATTGATAGCCCCGTTCTTGCAAGGTGATGATGAAATGATAGCCCCTTTCTTGCAAGGTGATAGAACGCATTATGGTTAAAGAATTTGTTGCATACTGTGAAAAAGCACTACGCAATACATTCATTGCGCAATAAGGAACAAACATTTTCATTTCACATACTCTCTTCACAAGCTTCACCACGAAAACAATTGTTAAAACAATCTTTGGCATAGCGTAATATAATAAAATTATTTTGGAGAATAAAAGTTCATGCCATAATTGCAATATTTTCTATCTTGACCGGTGTCTCGAATAAATTTGTGACGACTATGACGGGCTGAAAGGTATAAATTTATATTTGCTTTTGTGGTCCGTGTAACTGAGGGTTGGTTCATTTTTGGAAAGGCGAAGTTCCGTGTTGACTCATTTCTTCCAGCCAAGAATGAGGGTTCCCCGCAATTGGCGAAAGGTTTTCCAGACACTCTTCAATTGGAAAGTGAGGGTTTACCGATATAATTTCCCGGTGATTCCTCTTGTTATTGTTGGAACAATATTTCTGAATCTTATTGGATTCACAGACTTCTTCTTCGAACGTAATTTCAATTCTGGATTCAGATGGGCGAATGTAGATGTCAGAAGAAAGGTAGGCATTTGTTATATTCTTTGTTTTTTGGACTCTTTCCTCTTCATTGGCTTGTTTTAGGTAGTGGATGAGCTAACGGGCCATAATCTGTCATCCGAAGGGTACATAAATGATCTCTCCACCTTCAAGTTACACTCCAGTCAATTTAAATGTGATTACAATAAGACGTCGCTTTTGATCATTATAAAATCGGCACCTGATCGGATTGATGTAAGTACAATGTACTTTTCTTGCATTGTTCCCAAATTTAGAGACGAAATGCATATCGGAGAACTTTGCTAAAGGTGAAAACATATCAGAAATGGAGAGTACGAACAATATTTGTTCTTGGTCTTGAAGGAAACAAAGTTAATCGGGTTGTTTCTGAAGCGAAAGCTTTTGGTGATATTGTTGTTGGAGATTTCCTGGATCATTACTTCAATAACACATATAAAGTAAGAAGATGGTCTTTATCTCACTCATTTTAGTTGGTATACTCGATCAAAACAGCTAGAGAATATTGTGACGAGACTCCATACTTAATCTCGTTAGATGATGATTACATGATTAGCATTCCCAACATCATTAACTACTTATCGAAGCACACAAAGAATGAGCAATTGTATGCCGGATGGAGGATTGATTCATCGCCATTTCGATTGAGATTTCAACGGTTTTCAGTCAGTACAAGGTGATTTGTATCAATTAGTTTAGGTTAGCCTGAAGGAGTATCCATACAGCTTGTATCCCCCGTATATCACTGGAGGAATGGTGATATTTACTCCTCAAGCGGTTAAAGAGTTCTATGCGGCCATCAAATATCTCCGGTTCTTTAAATTTGATGATGTTTATGCAGGCAAGTATAATATAAATTTGTCAAAATGCTTGATATTCATGTAAAGTGAGATTATAACTTCAGGTATCATCGCGTATTTCCTCGGCTATAGTCCGCAGATGTTGGCAACAACTCCAGTTTCCCGAGAATACAATGATTTTGGGGACAAATTGGGAGAACATGGATATTCGGTCAAAGAAATTGAAGAAATGATGATGTTCGTGAACAAGGATGTACAAAAATAGTATACGATCTTCGAGTCGCTCTTGCCATAACTGACGCTCACTTATTTTGCTGATTTACGGGTATAGACTTTCTAAAATGACGGTAGAATAAACTGACTCTTTTAAGAAAACATAGTCATAGAAATCGTATAGGTCAATGAAAGTAGTGTACATGGGTTACATTGTAAATGAGGCTGAAGTACTCTAATCGATATGAAAGGGATATTTTGGGCAACTTTTTGTCTCACTTGTCTTGCAATTGAAATTTCGTGGTCCACCAACAAGGGAGGGAGAGCCAATTGGGTTAAACATTGCTGAGGTCCAAAAATGAACGGAAAGTTTGAGTTCTGTGTGATTAGAATTACGTGCGTTGTTTCTATTACGAGAAATATTCGCTTGTCATCCTTCGCCTTATGCATAAAGCACACACTGTACGAATTCTTGAAATATTTCTGGAAAGCCGGAATAGCGATAACTGAAGGAGTTCCGGGATCGTCGACCTATCCAATTGGAATGACGTCCCGAGTGAATCACACTCTTATTTGTTTATCGTAACTTTCTGAAAAGCTATGATTTCCGAATTGAAAGGCTTTGTATAATATACAAAGCCTTGATGAACTTTAGAACCAATTCAGCCCATTGAAAGTGTTCAAATCAATCTCATCACAAGATGTCACCTTTTCACACACTCGCCCTGTACTTGGCAATCTTTTTTCGATATACGAAATTTGCATAACTTCCATAAAAATTATTATTTTCGAAATCTTTTATATTCTTTCCTCTTTCTTCCACTATCTGTTCATACGGGTGCTGTCGATTTTTTTATCCGACCATGCGCTGGAGACGTTTGAGTAGGCGGTTGATATACGCTATGTCCCAGAAGATACGACGATGTTGGCCGATAGTAATTTCTCTTTTTTTCCTCGTCTCCGGGCTCTGGATTATGGCTAGTGGACTTGGAGTTGTCGACTTCTTGTATGAGGAGGACTTCACGGACTTCAAATGGTGCGATGTTAATGTCAAGGATCAGGTCAGGCAGTACAAATTGTAGAATTCAATTTTCAGTAGAGCAGTTTATATAATACTATTAACTATAGAAGCATTATCTACTACTTTTTAGGTTCAAAGAGAGCTAAATGGAGGGCTTCCAGCTTCAGAATATTTGGTTAATGACATGGAGAATATCAAGATGTTTTCAGATCCTCTAAGGTGCCAAGAAGCTCGAAACGACACTCTCCTAATCATTGTAAAGACAGGTGCTGATCGTATAGAGGTATGTATGGGTTTAAAACACGATTTTTGAGTCAGGGCATCAGCGGTGGGCTTAGGAAAAAATCGATTTTGAGATTTTTGGCTTAAGACAGTCGGTAGCACTTGTGGAAGAAAAGCTAAAAATAGTTTTGCCTAATTATCCCCGGAAGGCATATTTTTTTACAAAATACGTTTTTACACTTCAAAGCCTCTGGAGGCCGATAGGATTCGACCACGGAGATTAAACCGGGCATACAAGGGTTTTTGACACCGAGGAATCTGAAAATCGTAGCATTTTTACCGTCGGATTACTGTAACATGGTCATACTGTAATCCGGTCGATAAAAATCGACGATAACTTCTTTAGATCAAAAATGCCACAGGATTTTATTGCAGATTCGGAATCAGCATAAAATTCTGCTCCGGATACATGTAAAATATGTTCAAAATTCCGTGGCCCAACCTCTGTAGTATAGTGGTTGTGCGCCAGGATTATCAATCTGGCGACCCTGGTTCGATTCCCGGTGGCTGCAAATGGCAGAAAATGGACTATAAAAGGGCGGAAACTTGGAGAAAAGGGAAAGTAAATTACAGAAAATTAATTTTATGCTACTTAGGACCAGTTTTAAAGTTTTTGCACGAATTCCGCATAAATTACGGTTTTTATGGAAAACGCCTCACAGCATTCGTAAGATCGCCCCAAATGGCAACTAAAGAGTTGTGGTGAATCTACATAACGCTTGCGAACCAATGTTCATCATATCCGCCGAGGAATGCAATATAAAACAAAATAAAACAGTTATTTAATTTTCAGATGGAAGGACGCATGTTATAGCCCCGTAGTTTAGCCTCTGTTCCTTACCAACTGAGTCTCCATGTAGATTTATCATTAGAACGTCCACGCGCTCCGTTTTTCATGGGATACGCAAGACGGCCTAAGTTTTACAAGCTGTGTGATCCCGGTGCTATTAGGGAATCTTATATGACTTTTTGTGAATCTTATATGACTTTTTGGTCAAATATTGTTCTGCTCGATAAACCTCGGCCGCAGCTCGCCTTCTTAAAAACCCGAATTTGAAAGAAAACCCAGGCTATCCCAAAAATTTAACCAAATAAGCAGAAATGGACTTATTTTCGCAGTAGGAAGCCTCAGTAACCCCTTCTGTAAATTTTAACCAGATTGCTCCACTTTCCGGAAAGCTATAAGGCGTTTTCCATAAAAACCGTAATTTATGCGGAATCCTTGCAAAAACTTTTAAACTGCTCCTAAGTAGCATAAAATTAATTTTCTGTAATTTATTTTCCCTTTTTTCCAAGTTTCCGCCCTTTTATAGTCCATTTTCTGCCATTTGCAGCCACCGGGAATCGAACCTGGGTCGCCAGATTGATAATCCTGGCGCACAACCACTATACTACAGAGGTTGGGCCACGGAATTTTGAACATATTTTACATGTATCCGAAGCAGAATTTTATGCTGATTCCGAATCTGCAATAAAATCCTGTGGCATTTTTGATCTAAAGAAGTTATCGTCGATTTTTATCGACCGGATTACAGTATGACCATGTTACAGTAATCTGACGGTAAAAATGCTACGATTTTCAGATTCCTGGGTGTCAAAAACCCCTGTATGCCCGGTTTAATCTCTGTAGTCAGATCACATCGGCCTCCAGAGGCTTTGAAGTGTAAAAACGTATTTTGTAAAAAAATATGCCTTCCGGGCAAAATTGGGCAAAAATATTTTTCGCTTTTCTTCCACAAGTGCTACCGACTATTTTAAGCCAAAAATCTCAAAATCGATTTTTTCCTAAGACCGGGCCCCACTACTGGCTGACGCAGTGACTCAAAAATCGTGTTTTAATAGTTTTTAAGGTTTACCTTATTTCTAACTGCATTATCTGTTATTAGGGTTGTTAATTTGACAGAATTTTTCACAATGACGTAAAATTGCGTCATATTGCCATCATTTTGGCTAAACTGTAGATTCAGCTATACGAAGCTTTCACACGCGAGTTTAACATACACTATGATGAATACGTTAATAGTAGTCGTAATTTTACTTCTTATTTTATCGGTCGTTTTGACAGGAAGGAGAATTTAGTTTAGTTAATGAATGTTTGCCCTTCTAAGGCATATCACGAGCTATTCATTTATAAGTTTATTGGGTGTTCAATAACAGGTCAAATACAATAGATTACAATTATGATATCTAAGCGGGTCACATACGCATGGTACACAACGAATCTATTGTTCGCCCGTGGGTTTTGCTCGTACATTGCTGGAGCGTCCCCAGAAAACCTTACGACCCATCCGGGGAGCTCGGCCTGGTATAGGATAAGTGGCTGGCCTGCAGCGAAAGGGGCCTGTTTATAGATAGCCAATTGGCTATTTGACAGTACATATGAACCCAACGAATCCGTAGCGGTGATGTGATGGTCTGTATATGCCATCACGCTCCCGAGGATGACGTTGACCCTCCGTGTGAACAAGAGGGTGAGTGGGACAGCTGTTGTCCGAACTACGGGAAGGCCGTTGACCTGATAGCTCTAGGGGCCCCATTTGGTTGTTGAACTTCTCGTTCTGGGACTGGGGGCTCGGCTCGTTCCGGGATCGGGTCTTCCTGAACTGCAGGTTTTACGTCCATGGCGTCATTTGGCGGTTGGGCTGCCCAAGCCTCAATATTGATCAGCGCCTCCTCAATTCCATCTTCAGTGTGGTATTACGAGTGGCTGTAGCGGTACAGCTTCTTCGTTGAGGCTAAGTGTCGATATGGATTTGGACAAAGACATAGTGCGTTCGTCTCTACAATATAAAGTTTAATATGACAAGGAAAGTACTTGTATGGGGGCTCCTACTTTTTGACGGGACATATCTCAAAAAATCAGAAAAAATGTGCTGATCAAGGATATATAGATCTTAGCTGCCCATTTTAGGTTTTTAGGGGTGAAAACTCAATCGGAAGTTGACTTAAAGTCCTATATGAACCCCTTTTCGCTTAATTTTTCACAGGTTTACAATTTTTATTTTGGCTTAAAATGATGTTTATTGAGTTTCTAAGACGTAATAAGACTGTCTTGGCCCAAAAATTTATTTTTCCGACCTTCAACTTCAAAAAAAGTTGATTCAGCCCAAAAGGGAAATCGAACCTGTGCGGCGTCACCCTCTTGATTCCCAGACTACGGCACTAACCACTCGGCCACACCGCTCTCTTCCGAAGGAAGAGACTGACTGCGCTTTTTATCGTTTCGAATGCCTGCGCCTTTTGTAGGGAAATTAAGCCAGTTTTTGGGCATTTTCACCCCTAAAAACCTAAAATGGGCAGCTAAGATTTATATATCCTTGATCAGCGCATTTTTTCTGATTTTTTGAGATATGTCCCGTCAAAAAGTAGGAGCCCCCATAAAAGTACTTTCCTTGTGAGAATAAAAAAAATAAACAAGATCGCGTCCGTTCGCTACCGCTGTCCCAGCATATAATAATGAATGCGGGGCCGGAGCTTGCTCCTATAATCATTGATATCAGTTTTATCTGTTATCTTGTCTTTCTCAGACTTTTCTCTGCGGTCGCGGGAGATGCGGTAGTCGTAACAAAGGACGCCTTTGATCTCAGTTGCGTCAATGCACTTTTGTTCGTTGGAATCGTTTTGCGATTCGACGGTTCCTGTATACAAGGGTCCGTCCGGCGTCTTGTACCGCTTGACGTGGTTGAGGTGAACCATAATTGGCTTGTTGCGTGGGTCGTCCATGCTCACAATGGTACAATGAGGGGGACTAATATCGATGACCCGGTAATACCCTACCCATCTTGGTAGGAGTTTAGGATGACACAATCAACAAAAACTTTCCAAAAAAGTTCAATTTGACAATCAAAATGTCAAAACAATTTGACATGATGAATATGACGGCAACTCGACAACGTGACTCAACACGTTGTCGAAGTTAACGACCCTATTTATTACACTTTTCTTTCAGCGACGGAATGCTTATCGCGCAACATTATCGAGGATAAAATCGAGGGCTGGATGGAATATACAAACGGTATTCGTAATGGGGCATCATGGAAATAACATCAACACCTTGATCGAGGAAAACAAAAAATATATGGACATGATTATTGGAGATTTCCGGGATCATTACTACAACAACTCGTATAAGGTAAGTCAACTCTCTTCATCTCTTTTATTGCTATTTTAGTTAATTTATGCTATGAAAACGGCCATGAATTTCTGTTCGGAAGTCCCGTTTCTCCTCTCACTGGATGATGATTACATTATCAATATCGATAATGTCATCAGATATGTGAGTGGCCGAGTAAAAGATGAAAAGTTATATGCTGGATGGAGAATGTACGGAGAACCTTATCGATATCGATTCAACAAGTTTGGAGTGAGCGAGGATCTCATATTTTATATTGTTTTAGTTGACCTTGAAAGAGTATCCGTACAATTTATTTCCTCCGTTTATAACTGGAGGCATGGTTTTCTGGTCTCCGTTAGCTGTCAAAGAGTTTTACACTGCGATGAAGTACTGTAAAATGCACAAATTTGACGACGTTTGGATGGGTAAGCCTTTATTTTCAACTTTTGAGCCTTTTATTCTAATTTGTTTAGGAATCCTTGCTTATCTCCTAGATTATCATCCTCAATCACTCCCTGAAGCCAATGTCCATCGAAGTAAGGACATAAAAACCCCGTCTTTAGATGGGAAGCTTGGAGAACATGGGTATTCCGCATCAGAGATTGCAGATTACCTTAGATACCTCAATTCGAACACATCTCAACCTACAGATCTCAGAACTGACGCCCGTAACAACTGAACAACGCATTTATAAACATTAAAGCGTTCTGAAACCACGTTGTTTTTATTTTAGAAGTCTCAAAAGATTAGATATATTACTTTGTACACTACAATGGATATGTTGCTTTTTATTCATCGAATGGATACTTTTTATGATTGACCGCTGAAAGGCATGGATCCCCGCGACATGACTCGACTTGCTCTTTCATTCCGCTCTGGCAGGTCCTAAATATTACCGTAATTTCAATGCAAAAAATATTTTGGTTTAGTCATCATATAAGGAGACCCTCAGGTTTTCGTACATAAAAGATGAAAATTGTTCTTACCGACAAGGGCACGTCCTGGTCCTTCTCCTTTCCCCCTCTCCGTCGCACGGTGCATTGCACTGAGTCCATTCTGTCCAACTTAACCATTCACAGCTGTCCAGCGAGTCCAATATCTGATCAATCTTTTCATCCTCGTCCTTATTATTATGTCTCTTCGAATTCCTTGGTTTCTTTTCCAGCCGATCTTGCAGAATATCTCGGCTTACAGCCAAGACTGCCGCCGAAGGTTTTTTATCCAAATTTGGAGCACTGCAAGCTGTTTGCTGGACGGAAGGGCCCATGCATTCACAGTTTGTGAGGAGAGCCTTAAGTCCAACGCATAACCGAGTCCTCTTTCTCAGCAGATCTTTCCCACAATGACCCCAATCAGTCCATTCTGACCAGTAACAACTGAGGACGGGATCTTCATCTTCTTTGGTCAGATCTCGGTTCTCTCGCTCCGAAGACATTGGCTGATCTCGCTCTTGAATTTCACAGCCCTAAAGAAAGATAAATGAATTTTGATTATGATCAGTACAAGGTAGTGTTTTACTGCTTACAGCTGGAGTACAATCTTCTGTTTCCACGTCATCTCCATCACATTCACATGGAGAAGCTCTTGCCACTCTGCTCTTCACATCGTAACTCTGATCTCCTCCTGAACTCTCTTTTTGTTTACATGCTCGAGTTCTCGCTTTGTGACCCTAAAGTGATCAACATTATCCATGGCCATCTTAATGCCAGGACATGTCATTTCTAATATAACCTACCTTCTCGCAAGATCCTCTACAAGTATTCCATGGTCCCCAACTTCCCCATTCGCATTTCTGATTAGCTAGCATCATCTGATTGACCGCCATGACCAGACTATCTCTGTCATTGTTATCCCTGGCTTCATAACTTGTGATCTCGGTCGAAGATCCTTTCCCTTTTTGTCCGCTCTTGGAATGCCCACTGACTGCTGCTGGTTGGACTTGAATTTGACCGAATGGTTTCCCTCCTCCCTCTTGTTGTCCCTTCCCCCGCTGTCCCGTTCCCAATGCAGCTCCATTTCCGCAGGCATTTCGAACTTCTGAAGCGTCGCATTGATCAGTCTCTACTGCTTTTCCAGGACATTCACAGCCCTTTCCAAACGGACTGGCTAGGCTTGGCCCTGCTGGGAAACCCGTTCCCAAGGATGCTCCAAATGGTGATGGGGCCGGGACTCCAGTGAATGCATTAACCGCCTGAGGGTAATTATTTGTTTGTTGACCAATAATTGGCTGAACAAAAGGCTGATTGGCATAGATCTGAGGGGCTGGTGCTGTTAGATAAGTACCTGGCTGAGCGCCAAATGGAGCTTGCCGTTTGGAACGACCGATCTCTTCAGTGTACCGTTTGACGTCTAAAATTATGCAAAAAATAATCAAAAGGGATCAAAGTGAGCATACGGTCATGCTGCGGAGGTCTTGCGTAGATATTGATGTAATTCGCCGGTGCTGGCGGCGGTGGTTCTCCCGATGAGACACCCAAGGCGCTACCTTGACCATGCGTGTGGAAGGGAACTTGAACTTGACAAGAGCGACTTCTGTAACAAATATTAGATGTTACATCAAAATCGCATGTCCAAAATAATCCCAAAGCCTTTTCTCACCGCAATCTCTGCCCCGAATGACAAGGGTTGTTACAATCAGTCCAAGCTGACCAGCTACTCCATTCACAACAAGGTCCAGCATCGCATTCTTTTTGTTCGGAATCAGCCCCAGGGCATCCTTCTGGGGCATCTCGTAACTCCAGAACCGTCGCTTTAATCGGGGCTCTTCTTCGTTCGGCCGCTGCGCTCTGAGTGACCTCCAGAACTTGCTCTTGTAGCCGGGCTTTCTGTTTCGTCGAGCGATTCTTCTTGGTCGTTGTGCTGTTCTTCAATCGTTGGGCGCGCTCAATTAAACGGGCTTTGATCGCGTCTGCAATTATAATATAAAATGTGAGTCAGCGATGCTGCAATGTTACACAAGAAGCCCTGCAGAACTCACCGTTGTCATCAGAGCTTCCCTCCCGGCTGGATTCAGTCACCGGTTCCACTTCCGGCCCATCATTATCATCTTCCTGCTCCGGTGATGGCTCTGGTCTTAGTCCATCTAAGCCGGCTCCTCCCAATTCTTCATCACTTGGTAGCACTGCCCCAGGCAACACATCATCCTTGACACACTTCCTTTTCCTTGAAGTTAGTCCTCTTCCACAGGACTCAGAGCAAGTTGTCCATTCCGACCATTGATCCCAATACGGACAGACCGCCTGCTGACAGAATCTGATCTCCCTGTCGCCTCCTGTGCATCCAAAACCTTTAGGTTCGCATTCTCGTTGTCTGGTTTGTTGCCCATGACCACAAGTGGCACTGCAGCCAGTCCAAGACGACCAGGATCCCCAATGGGGACAGGGGTCGAGTTGGCAGGCTGATTGATCTTGTGCTGTGCCTTCGCAGAATGCTGAGGGCACTCCTTCGTAACGGCATTCCCTGAAAGAAAATATTTCTATTACTCCTGGCCAAAAACGAATTCATACAATTGTGGAAATAACGTACCTTGTTCTTAGCCGTGACCCCTCATCTCCACAACTCTTTGAGCATTGTCCCCAAGGTGTCCATTGAGTCCATTCTGGGCATGGCTGTGGGTTACATAGCAAATGTTCTTCATGGGGTCCAAGACAATCATCGCCCAGTCCATTCAAACATTCTCTCCGACGAACCTTCAAGTAACCCATCCAATTACAAATATGTACTCTTACTCTTTCCCCCATTCCACAAGTCTTCGAGCACTCTGACCATCGCTCCCATTGTCCCCATGTAGGACAAGCCTTGTTTTCACATGGCTGATGATCAGCCGAGGGTCCCTTACATTCCGCGGATCCAGGAGGAATGCATTCTCTAATTCGTCGTTGAACCCCTTGTCCACAAGTTGATGAACACTCTCCCCACGGTGTCCAATTAGTCCATTGAGGGCACGCTTCTTCCGCACATTCCCTGACATCTTCCCTGGGTCCAACGCAGTCTTGTCCGTTCCTGCAAACACGAGTTCTGGTCTTCGTTCCTCCTCCGCACGAGGCTGAGCATCTTCCCCATTCGGTCCACTCACTCCACACATTACATTCGGGCTGAATACAAGGTTCATCCTTGGATGGATCTCCTGAATATACCATATTATATTGCTCTTGATGATTTACCATCACAATCATCTTCATTTCCAGTAGAACAAGTCCGTTTTCTCATCCGAACACCCTTTCCACAAGTCACGGAGCAAGTCCCAACAGGCAGCCACTCCGACCAGGTTGGTCTCACTTCTTTTGGAAGTTCAATTCCCGCTGTTGGCCTGGCCGCACCGTTTCCACATTCATATGGAGGTCTTAATGGACTGCAAGGATAGGAAACACCACTGGGATAAGAGATAATTTGAGCTGGATAGGCACCTGGAGGCTGGATTGGAGCGCAAACACCATCTACAAATAATCTACATAAGAAATGAAGTATTTACTTGGACAAAGTCCGCCAAATCCGGGTCTCGCAAAGCCCTGAGGGCCTGTGAGATAGGCTCCTTTATTCGGATCAACATTTCCAGCGAATGCCGACAAAGCCTGCCCAGCCCCTTGCTGCTGTCCAACGACTGGTTGAATTGGCCTGAGGGGTTCTTGTTTCCTCGGCACAGGAGCTCCAGCATCTCCACCATTGGCATTCAGGTCATTGTCAAAATTCTCGCTACTTGTTTTACTTTTAATTTTACTCCCATTGAAGGGATATAGTGGTTTCTCTGGAGCCAGATAAGTCTCTTTTCCAAGGTCATCTCTTCGTTCAAATTGTCCCGAAATTCGTCGATGGATTGTTGGAATTCCGTTGAGAATTCGTCGAAGAGATGGGCTCAGAGTATCGAAGAAATCGCGAGATTGATCCGCCACCTTTGATGGACAGGAATCGAGTATTTCGAATATTGTAGATTGAGGCTCATGGCGTGAGACTTGCCGCAGAAGAACGTAATCCGTCTCGGAATTCACATTATACAGCTGACACAAGGGTTTATGGCGCTAAAGTAAGGTTAAAATAATGATCAAAAAAATTAGGTTTATTAATGCTCAAGTTAGACTTTAGTGGAGCTTACTTTCGACTGAGCTTGTATATACACTACCGATTTACAGGACTCCCAGCTCTCGATACACCTTTCCACGCAATCATTTGGACTGGAACTCTCAATTCGCTGATAAAATCCGATTTTCTCGACTGCGAAGCCTTTCTTCATACATATTGTTCTTTTGGCATCTTAAAGGCGACATAGCAGAGGTTAAAAGACCAAGACAGTATAAAAAATATTAACCTACCACCAACTGAGATCAACAATAACACCAGGAAAGGCACCGATCTGAACATTTAACTCATCTAGGGTGGCTACAGCGACTGTAAACAGAATATTAACTTTGTTTGTGGAGCCTTCTTTAAACGTCTCTTCGTACGAAACAACAAGAAGTTGGAGGTGAAGGTCGAGAAGAAAGTGAGGAAAGGAAAAAGCTTTGAACGAAAATTGAAATCAAATTCGTAAGAACCTTTTATGAAGAGGCTGTAATAAGTAGTGCCCTTCAAGCAATAAAGCCATCAGAAGGCCTTCATAATGAAGTTACGACACTTGATATTATTTTAGACATAAGTTGAAAAAGGATGATAAGTTGAGAAGAAAGGTCATGGAGAAGGTGAGGAGTATAATGAGGAGGTCTTTACTGCATTAATCACACAAGCATGACCACGAGATACGAAACTTGAGGAACTTATAATTGCATCCGAGGAAGACCTTAGCCGAACAAAGATGAGAATTGGTAAGTAAAATCATGGAAATCACCAACGAAATGGAATCCGAAAAGAAGACGGAGAAGGCACAAATCAAGCTGAAATGCGGTCAAAACTTTGCAGTACGAGATAAAACATGCTAGGAATGGAGAACTAATCCTCTGTTATGTCATCCGCCATCGCAACGTCTCGCGATTAGCCGATTATACTCCGAGCAATTAACGCATAAGAGAAGGCGCTGATCAAATTCAAAAAACTTCTGAAATTACGGAGTAAATGGATGAAATGAAGAAGCTTCGTATCTTCTTTAAGCCTTTCTGGATGGATCAATTATACCTCGCCGTCGCTTCGTCTTTCAGGTTGGATCTACAGAGCAAAAAGCAACCAAAAACAAATAAAGAAGGAGAAGGGAAACGCACGATGTTCCACTGACTTTTACCGCGTCATTTGGCAAGTCTAATATTGTGGTAAAGATAGAGTTTGGGTTACCCCACACACCAAATACTTGCAAGGAATGAGGTGTGGAACCATTGGAACATATTCGTTTAAGAACAACAGAAGCTTTCCAAAATTCTAAAATTTCACCTTATTTCAGACCCTAAATTTACATAAAACTCAAAAATCAAAAACGAAACCGTTGACTTCATTCTTTTTTTACTTTCCTATTACCCTTCGGCGACGGGATGGGTCGCACTTGCTCGGAATTTCGGCTTGACTTTTGCCAAAAATCTATCAAAGAATCCACACGACAACAAGCTGGTGGAATGTCGGGAAAGCAGGCTCCAAATTCGGCAAAAGAAGACACTGCGGAGGAAATCATCAAGATGAAACAACTTCACATGATGTTCGACAGCATGGTCTCCAAAACTGGCATCAAATACAAGCCAATTCATCTGGTCGGAAAGGGAGGCTTTGGCCAAGTTTATGAATGTATGGTCATCAAAAATGGAGTCACAAACAATCGAATTCCTGATCTAGTCGCTTTGAAGACCGAGACAGTTCATGAGATTGGAATCGAGGTAAGAAAAGACAACATCTGTAGCAATTGGAGATTGGTCCCTACATTACCCTGGACTTACCTTAATTTATGTTGATTTGATGCCTTCAGATGGCCGTTCTGCGCAAACTCCAAGATCACAACCATTTTTGCGATCTTTATGATTATGGATACATCTCTTCGAGTGTGGCGTACATTGTCATGACACTATTGGGGCCCAACCTTTCCAATATCAGAAAGCAGATGCCCACGAAGCAATTCACTGTTTCTACTGCAATTCGGGCTGCATTACAGGTATTACGTGACTTCATTGATCCATCAAGCTATCTATAGATAACGAGATTTTAGATCTAAAATCTCGTTATGAAAAAAATCGTAAACCAAACTTTGTATTTTATATTTCGAGTGGTAGACTTAACTCATGAGACAAGTCTCCCCATTACCGTATCTCCGGATTTCACAGAGAGTTTACATGCGTAATATTACATTTTCAGATGCTAATGGCAATTGAATCACTTCATGGAGCTGGCTTTATCTCTAGGGATGTGAAACCTAGTAATTTTGCCATTGGGAGGCCAGGAGGAAACAAAAGAATGGTGTACATGATTGATTTTGGAATCGCCTTGGTCTACCGAGATGAGAGAGGGACAGTTAAGTTGAGAAAGAGCCAAATCACTTGGCGGGGAACCAATCGATATTGTGCTATTGGTCACCACAAAAAACAGGCAAGGCAACATAAATTTTATAACTTTCGTTAGTCGAATGTCGAAGGTTTGATAATTTTTATAGATTCCTTCACCCAAAGATGATCTGGAGAGTTGGTTCTACAGCCTGATGGAACTGTGCATGGGAGAGTTGCCCTGGCAACATTTTGGGAAACATCAGAAAGCCGAGACTTGCAGGATGAAGGAAGTTGTCCGGACCTCCAAAAGAGAACGTTTCCTTGGCTCGGCTCCATTCGAATTCGATCAGATCATGGGATTGATCGATAAAATGACTAGAGATGGAGTTGTCGAGTACCATAAGGTAATTTGCTCAACCTTTGCATAAAAATTGACAGATTTACGCAGCCCTGACTCGATGCCTGATCAGAGATGGGATCGATTTTAAGGATCCGTATGATTGGGAATTCATGCTGCCGGGATACGATGCCAACTCGAACAAGGAAACTGGAGGAAGTACAGTACCCGTCGAGAAATTTCTCAACAAAGTTTGATTGACTAAGGACTTATGGCACGCCAATTTTGAAACCCTTGTATTGTACCTTGAAGGATGGGCTTTCATAATCCGTAAAAGTTCTAAAAATCGGAGCGTTTTTTTTTTTGAAAAAAGTTCAATTTTATTTTTTTCCAATATAAATTGACGTGCTATGGGAATAAATACTAGGGTTTTAAAGTAATAAAAACATTTGTCTACGTTTAAAGTCGTTTTTCTCTGTACGTCGGTTTTAAGTTTTTTGTTATAAGTGCTTGTAATCAAAATAAGGTAGGGTTCGGACGGGGTATATACCCAAATACCCGAGAGGCCGGGTATTTATGGGTATATTCAAAGTACGTTTGCATTCAAAAAATGTTAACTCCAATTTTTTGTCATAAAAAAATCAATAAATGTTGACATTTTGTCATAACTTGGTTCTAAGGTCGAAAATTACTTGGCCGGAGTCGGAAAATTAACAGAAAAAATCGAAATCTGACTGCCAAATATTGGATTGCTAAACTTTTTCATTGTTAAAGTACAAGTTTTGTTTGTTGTAGTTGGGAAAATAAAGAATATCACTCCAAACATGATTAGGTTAATGAATAAGTTGCCACTTATTCATTAACGACTTCATATTGGTACTATATTGGACTAATTTAGGCTAATTTTATAAATACCCGCATGATGAATATTGTCTGATCCGAAGTATCAGAGAGAGGAAAGGAAGTCCACTGCGATTCCGAAGTAATTTATATTTTGCATTTATTTATTTATGAGTCTGACTTGTCTCAGTGACAAGTCTCCCCCTTTCTGGATTTCCCCGCCATTTCAAATCGTCCAGAATAAGGATGGCTAGAAAGGGGAATATTGTCATCATTATTATTCAGTTAGTTTTTTGTATCTTTTTGAAGGAAGGCGTCGTGTGAATTTTGTTGTTGAAGATAAAAGAATTTGGTCTGTAAAAAGCTTGGAGTACTCTCTTAAAAAGGTTGTAGCCATTGGGCTTCCTCATCATTCGTGATTATCTGACAGTTTCGTTGTTAGAAGTGGACCGGGATCTCTCAACCGGGTTACTACATCATCACCGACTATTCAGTCGGCCTCTGCATCAATCTCCCGGCCTAAGAGAATCATATTCACTCCGAGAACTACCTCGGCGACGCCGCAGTACACTCAAGGCAGTCGTCGGGGTAAGTATTTTGGAGTTTGTTTCCGTCCGCCTTTAGGTTAATCCGAGTCTGATCAGCTCGGCAGCTTGGAAGCGGACAAATATATCCGAATTTTCCGAACCCTAAAGCCTAAAGGAAAGGAATCGGATCAATGGAATGCCACAGTTTTTTTTTCGTGATGGGACGTGGTGATAGGCGGGATGTATTTTCTTCAAAAAATTTTTGAAAATCTCGCGTAAAATTTTTAAAATTGTTGTAATTTTTAAATCTGTTTCTTTCTTATAAGCTTATCGAGTTTTGCGAGTACTATTTACGTAAATAGTGCAGAACGATGAGTCTGACTATGGATGATGTCCGGCGTTTGGCGTCGATGACTCCGCAAGAACTCAGAGAACGTTGTAACAACGACTTGGCTGTTCTCAACACTCTCAGAAACGAAGTTGATCATGTAAGTTGTTTGTTATTCTTTGTTTTAGTTTTTAGTTCGTCGAGTTGTAAATTGGCCAAATTTTCAGCATGTAGAGACGGCCAAGAGGCAGAAAGCTTTTGAAGAAGAGGCCGTTACTGGTCTAATTGGAGACCTGCAAAAGGTTGCCAAAGATCGTGCTGAAGTCAGCAATAGGAAGGAAGCACTTGTAAAGGAGGTCAACACTCTGCGTGCCCAATTGTCCGGGAAACAAGAGCAAGTTAAGGTCAGACTACAGAAGAAGTTAGAGGCTCGACAAGCGAAAGAAAATGCGTTGAATGGCCACCGGACAATTGGGGAATTGGAAGACCTGAAGGCCCTCTCTGATGCCAAGTTCAAGGAGTTGACTGAATTAGAGCTTGCAGTGACGGAGAAACGCAAGAGAAATGTAAGATCTATATAAGAATCTGTAGTGTTCATTCGGTCAATTATCTATTCTCAGGCCGCCAATTGTGTTGTGAAAGTACTATATAACATTTGTTTTTTTATTTCAGAAGCAGGTTGAAGTGAGTATCAAAGAGTGCGAGATCCGAATTGCCGAGAAGAAGGAAAAGGTTGAAGAGCTCCAAAAAACCGATTCTTGCTTGGGCGAGGACCTTGAACAGTTCGAGGAAAGAGCCGAACAGCTTCGTGTTAGCATCGAGGTAAGTAATTGGATACTTTTTATATACTGGTTTAGGAAGCCTCCGCCAAGATTGCAGACGCGAAAAAGAAGATGACGGGTGAGTTCGTGGATGACCGACCACGCTCATTGTTTGATGAAGTAAGTAACCTTCGTTGTTTTTATTTGGTACTCTAGGTGGTTGAACAGAAGAAGCCATCTGAAGATGAGTTTAAAGCGATTTGTTCGGAAGTCCGTAATCTCCGCCAAGTGCAGGGGGCATTGAAAGCGGATTTGCTTAACCTGGAAAGTCATCCGATTGCCACTGGACGTAGAGCATTGCTTTCTTACGGTATGCATATGATTCTTATAATTTATTATTGTTTTAGATACTATTGTTGGCGTTCTGAAGAAGACTATCTTATACTTGGACAAGTTTATGAATGTAGCCAAGGGGTTGGAAGCTTTGGGCAGGAATCCTACTGTGATTTACAAGTTTTCGAGAGAACAGATGGATGACATTGGCCATTATAAGTAAGTTCCGTTTATATTGTTCTGCTTTATGTTGCTGGTTGCAAAATCTAACAATTCTTTCAGTTCTGTTCTACGCACGAGCAGAAAGATTGCTGAAGAGGTTCTCGGCATGGCGAAGAAGCAAATGAATCAATTATCGAGAAATCTGGAGGAGAACAAAGTTAATCATGCTTAATATAAGGTCGTCTTTATTTTGTAATCCATTCCGGTGGCTAATAGTTTGTATTGTCGTAGAAGATCTCCAATTTTGTATGAAGACCTTGTTATGTCTATTAAATATATTCTAATTTATGAACGCTTGTTTTTATTTATGTTATGTTTGGTTTTATTTTGCTCGAGAATCTAAAATAATATCACAAATTGCGGCCAGTTCATCAACTCGTTTCCTCTCCATCAACACCCTTTTATCGTCTCACTTTGGCTCTGAACCAAAACCCACAGCAATCTGGTTTTTTTTCTTTTACCCGATCCAAAAGATTCTGAAAAAAGCGGGAAGATCTTCTTCCTTTTGGTTCATCCTACATTTGGAAACAATACAAGATACCACATTCCGCGGATATCACGGAGTAAATCGATCATTCCATCAATTTTTTTTGTTTAGTAAATACTTTTTTTGGAAGAGACGGAAAAGTAAAAAAAAGAAGAAGAATTGGATTACGGTAGGGTTAATGAATAGGTGAGGAAGTAACGGGAATTGTTAGGCAAGAAGTCAGCTGTTATTAGGCTTCTGGCTAGATTCATGTACAAAATTGTAAAACTTGAAATAAACACTCATGGAGAAAGTTGGGACTTTTTGTCAATGAGTTCACTATTTCGATCCCATCGTTAACCATTTCAAAAACCTTTTTTTAGCTATCTCTTGTTTGTAAGAACATTGAATACTTTTGTATCAGCCTAGATCAGCTGACTCGTGTCGTATTTCCCACTCCATGCCACCCGTTGAGTCGTAGAAATACCTCTTTATGGAGGTTTACAGTAGGAATCGAAATTCCTCCGTTTTTTAAATTGGGTTTCAATAATCATTTTTCTTTAAACTTTGTCTTACAGTTGTTTTTTTGGTGTCTTTCGAAGAGCAGAAGACGTTTGTTTTGCGCCTGGCTTGGATTGTAAACATAGACATTACTACTACCTTCCCCTTGATTTCTTTCCATTTTTACACCAACTAATTACGGTAATCTTGTCGAAATCAACGGGAATATAATTAGGATCAAGGACCTACCATAACTTTAGGCTGATCTTTGAACTGTTGGAGGTTAGTGATGATGTAGGATCACCGGTTTGTAGGGAGAGAGAGTTGACCATTCGGGTCAAGGGTTCGCTTGATGATTAGGCATTACTTAGACGAGCAAAGGAAGGTGTTTTTGTTAAAGTAATAGCTTTTGTGACCAGTGATTGAACAGTATACCTGCCACTGTCTATAAATCGCCTGCTTATTTATTAAAACATCAGTTTCATCATGGGTAGTATGGCAATAGTACAATATCTGTTTGATTCAACAATGTCATTTCGCGATATATCGTAATAAATAGATATCCGCACTTTATACTTCCTCATCCATCAACCCTTCCAACCGCATCAACTCAAACCGATGACTGTTCTGGACCATCGCGTTTCATTGTACAGGTGCTTTACTCCCTCCTCCACCTTTGATTAACTGTAGTTGGTCTCAGTAGACAGTCACAGTGAATAAAAACGTCGCTGGCGGATACGTCGGTTGCGCAACTGATAATTGACAGTTTTTTTGTAGCGCGAAAAGAAATGAAATCCGGTTGATTTTCTTTTTTTTCGCGCTCTTTGCTCTCAGTTGGAGGGTTTTGAAGGTTTTTAGTCACCGGTTTTCGTACTCATTGGAATAACTTATATTATTTGTTGAGTAATATGGGCTATAAAGCTGACGGAATGAATGGATTCTTATTGTTACTACATTACTTTCCTTCTTACGTGGTTATTCAGTCATCGCCTGAGGGGAAGAGGAGGGATTGTTGCGGGTTTTGGATAAATGTTGCCTTTTAAAGATTGCTATCCATCTTTTTTGCACTTCTACGTCCTCATTACATCATATTCTCACACTTATTTTTGCACTTTAACATTGTGTTACCGTTCGATTATGACCTACTTTAATACCAATTTTAAGAAAGTCATGTGTCTTCTACAGTACATTGATAGCCAATCAGAATGAAAACTGAGAGGTCACACTGAAAGTATGGAATTACAACGAGCAATAAATCAAAGTCTGCCATCCAACTCGGATTCCCAACTACACTTAAGTGAGAACTTTGTCAAAAGTAACGTCAGTTTGTAAAAAAAAATGGTAGACGATTGTTTTAGTGGGTGCATGGCATATACATCTAGAGCTGGGTTCTTCGAGAGAGCAGTAGTTGTGGGATTACAACATGTAATCAGACAGATTTATATAACGCCTGTAAAACGAACTCAGAAAATTTTGAGAGATGAGGCCTAAAGTTGTCGATAAAGATAATGAAATTATTTCTTTTGCGTACCGATTGATACAGAAGAGTTCCTAGTGGGGTTCTTCTACTGCAGAACAAACTTTTTCTCCTTTTGCTCTCCCAAACTTCTAGATTTCCGATTTCCCCACATGACGTCATTGTGATGAATATTCTGACATCTCAACTCTGACCTCTGATTGGCCACTTTGTCAATCCCTGACGCCTCCCGTTGTCATTCCTCGTCCTTGATCAACCCGCGTTTATGTCGGCGGGCTTTTGCAAAGCCCCCTGAAGCGTTTTTTTTTCTGATGCGCGTAACCGTGTCGCCCTCGCGTTTTTTTGATTTTCAAGTAAAGCCTCTTCGTTTTTTCGCGTGTACCCTGAGGGTTTCTTTTTTTTCGGTTGTTGTTGTTTGTTAATCTGAAACTTCTGAAGGTTGAACAAAAAAAGAAGAATCGGATTTCCGTCGATGGGGAGCCTGGAGCGATTCGGAGTGGCGGGTTCTTCGCTCAAGTCTGAGGTCGATTCCATGGATGGGCCGGAAAGGGATGCTGTAAGTGATCAGAAAATTCATAATCACAAATTTGTGATTCTTTGTCTCCAAATTGTTCACCTTTTTGTATCATACTTTTCGAAATTTTAGGCTGAATTCATGGCGGAGTTGCGCGATGAAAATCCTGAGACCTATAATATGTGGCTGAAGATTGTTTCTCGCGATGAGTTTCATGAGAAATTTAGGAGGTCCTTTATCTCAGCGTTATGCAAATTTTGCATCAATCGGAAGTAAGTTCCCCTAGCACCGCATAAAAGTCATCTTATGTTAGGCAAATGGAGCTGGCGAGATATCGAAGGGATTTTGTTGCGTGTGTTTTGTCATATACCAAAGCAGATATTGGTGTGGTAAGAATCTTCCACTTGATATCCGTATACTTATTCGAACGTTTTTAGAATCTTTTTTGCGACAAAAATGGCGGTGGCTACCTAAACAACAGTCTAAAATCTCGTCGTGCCTATAGAAAACGGCTGATGGAGTCTTCTTGGCAACAACACACCCCGAATCTCCTCAACGAAGCCTCTTTTAACACCCTTCTCAAGTCCTTTCAACAGTCTTCAACACCTTCTTTGGAGCTTCAGAAGTTCCAGGCGGATATCTCATTGTTAAATCAGTCAAATCCCTCGGCAAATCAAGGTCAGCTGGAGAATTCGCTGAAAGGTAAGGCTGGGGAACTGTCAGAAAACCTGTATCCGTCGGAAGAATACGATTATATCTTGGTGTCACTTCCTGCGATCGATCGAATCCCTCAAACATCTGATTGCATGATCTTCTCCATCTTTTCTTTTTTTTACTTTTTCGATCCTTTTTCGGTGTTTCCAGTTCAAAACCCGATTTTACGTAATAGTAGAAAAAAGAATCTAGAAGATGCGATGACAATTACCGCGGCGTTAAGAGAACCAAAAAAAGGTTTCGTTTTTTGGGAAATCAGGAAATCAGAAACAATGGGAGACAAATATGGAGGGGTAATATAATGTAATATAAGGGAGAAAGGAATGAGTAACGGGGATGGTAATCTTCGACGACATTGTCATCAATTTTTGTTTTCTTTTTCTCAAGTTATCGCATAAAGAAAGGAAGAAAAACAGTCTCTAATTGAGAATTAACATATTTTAGAAGACAAATCCTCCCTCTTCAATAACCCCGATTTCCTGGCCTCGATCAATGTCTTTGTCAGATATCGACGACTCTCTCCGGAATGGCGGGATCTGGAGGTAAAGCAAACAAAATTCAATCTCCACGCATTCTCCACTGCTCAAACACTACTAGTCGTCTTGGTAGACAAGTACCAACTCAACAATCATGATGATGACTTTGTTCTCAGGATCTTTGACAGAGAATTCAATGAGTATATTGACATTGAAGAGGATCTCCATCAAGTAAAACTGATTAATCTGGGAAAGTACGAACTGATACATCGATTGAAGAGAGATGATGACAGTAGCGCTACAATCTCTCCTCAGCCGTGTTCAACAAGCCAAGGGAATGTGGCCTCGTCTAGTTCGAGAGATACGCCAAGTTCAACGAGGAGTTCCACTCCACCGTCAAGTTCATTGGCTCCTGTTTTAAAGGAGATTCCCGAGGAGCCAAAAGAGGTATTACAATACGAAGAATGTCTTTTATATACCTAAGCTGGTAGTCATATAAAATAAAATTATGACTTTTCTCTTTCTAGGTGAAAACGGAGATCTTCCCAACCCCAAATCTACTGAATTCCCCCATGAATTCAATGCTGCAATCATTTCTGAAGAACATCCACGAAAATCACACGCCACAAATCGAGCTTCCCAAGTCCGCCTTTATCCAGAATCTCTTCAACCTAGCCAACCAGGACCAACAACTTAGTTCAGGATCAAACTAGATCAACACAATCTTGTTGTAAATACGGGTGATAAAGCCGCGTGAGATTAGACCAGTAAATTGTTGTAGAGATTACAAACCAATCGAGATTAATCAATAAATTTATGTTGTTTTTAGCTGATTACAATGTACTATATGTATATAGATATGTGTATGTATTAAATGTGGTCTGATAAGGTGGAAGTTGCACATTGAATTGCATGTTGAACATGGGAAATTTGCTCGAGCAATTCTTCGATCACCTTTAGTCGCTGAGGCACGGTCTTGGCGGCAACGAGAGCGTCCAACTACAAAAGAGAATTTTTTCTACGATCAAACGTGCACAAAGTCATCGTTAAAATAAAAACGTACCTGATCATAGATTCCAGGCATCGTTTTCCCTTCATAACTGTTCAAAGAGCTAGTTGAGAACAAAACATTTCTCTTTTCTGGGGATCCAGGGATTCCTTTCGGTCCAATGAAGCACCGTTCAATGGCCAGAAGTCGATCATTCAGAGCCCTTGTTGTTAATGTAAAACCATTCTTCTTTTTCTCCTCTCTGACTTTAGTTTGAAAAGAATCAGCCAGTCTCACGAATTCTTGAGAGTTTCTGATTAATTTTGAATTCTGAGAGATTACAGGGGCGATCTGAGGGATACGCTTTGACAACGAATCAATATCTCCTTTCAGATCTCTAACATAAGTGTCCAAGAAGCGGTGAGCAAACAGAGATGCGTTAATTGGGACAACCGCGGGCTCAGCGAACTCTCTAGCCAGCTGCATCCAGTATTTTCCAGTGGCGGCATGCACCTAAAACAATATCATCAGCCATGTCATGGATCACGTAACATTGGTCACAACTCGATCAAAACTCGCCGAAAAATTATCGATATCGAACAAATGCTCGTTTGTGAATGGAGTCTCATATAGCGAATGATACAAGGCATACGTGCTATCCACAGACCCGTCCTCTTTCAATCTTCTGTACTTGATATCAGCTGCGGCAATGCCCAAGAAGGCAATGAACGTTTCATGATCACTTCCACCACTTGGAACATTGATCTTGGGGAAATCCGGATATTCGTCAAAGTTTCCTGGCTCTTTGTGGATCCTAAAAGACCAAATCATACCATATTACACTTGGCATACCAAGTATCATAGACTGTCTTTCTTCCTTCCGCCAACTCTGATTTCACTGGATTGGGGACCTTCTTGGCAGCTTCAACAACAACCTCGTAGATGGATGGGACTGCATCCACACTTCTGAAAACATAACATCGTCATGCATAATACAATTTAAAACACGATTTTTCTAAAAGTCGAGCGCAGGTCAACAACCCTGGCTACACGAAAAATAAAACTGCTCCAATTTTCTTTAAACTTGGAAAACTGTAGCTACGTACCATTCTAAGAAACTTTCCCGTTAACTTTTTTTCGAAATCTTACTGTACTTTGGGTTACGGTAACATGACTCATTTTGTCATAACTCGGGAACCAGATGTCGTAGCGAGACGTGGTCTTTACCAGTGTGTTCAGCGTGCCGAAAGATGGCTTTTTGTTAGCTACACCAAGTTTCTAGGACCCCGGGAAGTGGCAAAAAAATTTGAATATTTATGCAAAAATTCAAAAATATGCAAATTTCTCGAAAATTTAACCAAAATTATGCTCATTTTTATTTCATATTTTGAAAGTAGAGGTCATAGCGGTTTCAACGGTGTAAAAAACTTGAACGCGCGAACCGAGCTGTCTGAGAACGGGCTGTTTGAAGTTGGGGCACCCACCCACGAATGAGCAAAAAATTGAAGTAAACCGCATAAAATCGTTGTTAAATGGCAAGAATGGAAAGTAAATTTTGTTATTACATCGTATCGGTCACAATAGAGGATTTCCCACATAATTTTCATAAATTTGCATATTTTGGAATTACTTGCATTTATTGTCAAAATGTTGTAAAAATATACCTTAATGAAGGATTTGGGAAAAAATATTGTTCGCTTTTGCTTAGTACCTTCCAACAGTCATTTTAATGTAAAAAACTCAAAATCGATTTTTGCCATGTCCACGCCTATCTGGCGGCTGATGCACCCGTAAATGCAAGAAATTCCAAAATATGCAAATTTATGAAAATTATGTGGAAAATCTTCTATTGTGACCGATACAATGTAATAACAAAATTTACTTTCCATTCTTGCCGTTTAACAATGATTTTATACAGTTTACCCCGATTTTTTGCTCATTCATGACTGGGTGCCCCAACTTCAAACAGCCCGTTCTCAGACAGCTCGGTTCGCACGTTCAAGTTTTTTACACCGTTGAAACCGCTATGACCTCTATTTTCAAAATATGAAATAAAAATGAGCATAATTTTGGTTAAATTTTCGAGAAATTTGCATATTTTTGAATTTTTGCATAAATATTCAAATTTTTTTGCCACTTCCCGGGGTCCTAGAAACTTGGTGTAGCTAACAAAAAGCCATCTTTCGGCACGCTGAACACACTGGTAAAGACCCCGTCTCGCTACGACATCTGGTTCCCGAGTTATGACAAAATGAGTCATGTTACCGTAACCCAAAGTACAGTAAGATTTCGAAAAAAAGTTAACGGGAAAGTTTCTTAGAATGGTACGTAGCTACAGTTTTCCAAGTTTAAAGAAAAATGAAGCAGTTTGATTTTTCGTGTAGCCAGGGCTCTCCAAGCTTATAAAAAACGTGTTTTAACTCACAAAGTTCCATTTCCCGAGATTAGATCAACGTTCAACATGACGACAGCTCGATCTCTCAAAATATTAGCAAATTCTTCAACAAATTCATTAGATCCAACAAGTCCATATTCCTCGGCATCCCAATTACAGAACACAATCGTCCTTTTTGGCTTGAATACCCCATCATTCTTAGCTTGAACCAATGCTTTGGCGATACCACTCAGGATGGCGGTACCACTATTAGGATCAATAGAGCCGTACACCCAGGCATCAAAGTGATTTCCCAACATTACATAACGATCCGGCTCGACCTCGCCCTTAATATAACCAATCACATTGCGGATCTCTCTAAAGCAATACAAAAATCAGTTAAAAAAATAGGTAAATCATGTCAAAGTCTGTTAAAAAGTGAAATTACTTCTTTTCCAACGTAGAATGAACGTCAATCTCCAATTGTTCATCGTTGGTGAAGCCAGGGCCAATCTTATAATTGACATTTAATCCTCCTTGCCATTCTTTTGGAGCGACACGCCCTTTCAACCGTTTGAAAATCTCCAAAGCATCAGAATAACTGAGCGGAAGCACTGGGATTGATGGCAGCTGATAGTTGTTTTTGATCTGCAAAAAACTCATTTTACAAAATAAAAGACCAGTAATCAGACCTACAGCCACATGAACTTGCCTGTTCAATCGTTGTTTTTGAATACAAGTCCTTTCTGGATGGATAAAGTGGAGTCAGCGGATCTCCATCGCCCAGCTTCAACGTCCCCCGTTGAACCCCATGAGCCGGCATGTAATCTTTGTTTGGATAAACATTCTCTAAGCTACCGTAACCTCAATCATAATCAAATTTACCTGGTGCAATTCCTGCTTCTGCTGCTTCATGCGGATCCGAATACAGGATGACTCCCACAGCTCCAGCTAGCTGAGCAAACTTGATTTTGTTGGCTCTGAAGATCTTCCCATATCTCACAATAGCGATCTTCCCCTTCAGATCGACCCCCAATCCTCTAAGTTTCTCGAAATCTTCGGCTGTTCCATAATTCACATAGACTGGTGCGCCCTTTGCTTTGCCATTACCAGCATAAGCCAGCCATTGGATATCAGCCCCAGGAGCTCCTTGTTCATTCGGGATTACAACGGGACTTCTGCCAGTACTTTGGAACACCTTTTTGCCCTGAGGGTTAGTTATTGTTACGATATTGGGGTTAGAAAAATTGGGGTAGCTCAGCAATACTTCATATGGTTTGAATCCGACGTCTAAACAAATATTATTATCACAATGTTTGCATCATCCTACCTTCAAGCCCATATTCCTTCCATTTCTCGGCAATTTTATCGGCCAATCTCAAATTGGCTGGAGTCCCAGCAACATGAGGTTCGGTTGTGAAGTACCTAAGGTTCTGACGGATGACCTCAGGATCAATATAATCCAAAAATTCCTTTCCGAAGATATAAGGAAGTAGTATAAAAAGTAATATCAGCCTCATCGGAAGCCCAATTGAACTGATTTGTTTATACAATCGCCAACTTTTGAATGACCCTTCGAAAAACCGATAGTCTATCTTATCAGTAAAAAAAGGCGCTCAGCAGGACGCTGTATATAATTTCGATTTGTATGTTCGTTACATCATTTTTATACCGAGTTCTACTTGTATAATCCTAGAAACCCTCAAAACAACAATAATATTTCGCTGGTCATATTGTTTTAATTGTTTTGAATCATAATCGAAAAATGATTCGGACGCTTTTCATAGTTGTGGTAATTCAATCGAACTATACATCAATTTACAGTGAATATAAAATTAGGAATAGAGGTGGCAATCGGGCCTGAACGTATCTAAAAAAGTCCTAGGGTTGGCCTGACCGCCTCGTCTCACCGGGCGGGCGAGCGAAATTTGCAGGTAAATGAACATTTTTAACACCAAACAAAATAATGCACTTGTGCAATGGGGATTAGATTAAACGTTTTTGGCTTATACCTTATTTTCACAATGTTTAAAAAATATCAATTTATCATAGTAACAAAGATTCTCGCACTTATAATAAAAACCGACTAAAATAATAAAACCATTGATCTGTTCAATCCGTCAGAATGGGCAACTGAGTCCTCTAGATCAGGCTAGCGGGCGTGGGAGGGGGCTGGGCCGGTATATCTGGAAAAATTCCATTACACAAAACATATTGAACTACACCCATTTTCCTGCTTCCTTACGTCAAAAATTACCTAAACTCGTAAAAAATTTTTACGAACTGATCTATGTAAATTAGAAAAAAATAAAGGACATAACTTTTCATTAATCCCTATGCACCTTGTATGATCCATTCTACACAACAAAGAAACAAATTTTTGTTTTCAAGACCTGCCATGTGCGGTCCCGCAACGGGAGCATTCCTTATTTTTGCCCTGGCTTAGAGAACCTCGCATTTTACTTTCTTGACAACATTTCCTAACGACCCGTGCCTTATATCCCCACCGTACCCTTCAAAGCCTCCATCATTTTAATGGTATTAATTTCGATACTTACATGGTGTGGATGAATTGCCAGCTGATTAGTCGGATCAAATAATTACGATGAGCGTTTTCAAACGTGTTTCCATTCATTCTTCCCGAGATGCTTACCTCGACGTCGGACAAGATGCAGTCGCGGCTTCTGTACGACTTCTCGACTATATGCATAATCGGATGTGGCATTGGAATCATCGCAGTTTCATGTAGTCTCTGCAACAATATTTGGTACAAGGGTAAGAAAACCATCATTAACAAGATATTAAAATAATGACATACTACGATGAAGGGCGTTGGTTCTTTAATCAAATCCATGGTTGCGCGATGAGGTAAGCTTGAAATTTTTCTTGAGTTTGAGGTTCAAACTGCAAATTGCTTCTTGCCTTCGGCGATGTCTGTGGATAATCGTTATTTTGTTTTGATCCAGAATAATTTTTTCCAGGTGGGATTCCTTGAAGATTTTTATTGTATATTTTTGATGCTAAGGTAGTGCGAAGGCATTGTTGATAGCAGTTTTTTAAGGATTTCGAATGACAAGAACAGCCAGTAATTTTGTTGCATAAGCTTAGGTATACAATATGGCGTTGTTGCGTAATGGAATTTGTAGTAGTGGCATGGAAAGAATATTTTCATCATTCCTAATTATATTCTTGCGGAATGGTCGATTTTTTAATAAGAATCTTAGCTTATCTTCTTTTTTCATCCGTTTTTCTCAATTCTCTAGTTGTGAGGATTTCTGTGGATTGCGAATTTGAAGTTACTAGCTTTGCGCACAATAGAGAGCAAGGGTAATAATCACTGACGACAAATATTTGATGTTTTTAAATTGCGAGATGTCTCATTTCATAAATTTGTTTCTATCGAATTCTGAGTAATCAAATTTTTTTCAGACCATGTCGTCACGCAAAGGTCGTTTTCCTCAATCAGAAGATTACATGGTTAATTTTGAAGGTACATAGCGAGAAAACAATCGAATACGCTACCATCCATATTAATAAAGAGTCGGTTGGTCAGAAGGAAGCAAAGGAAATAAAATTTCGAAGGGTTTCGTTCACACACAGTAAGTTTATGATTATTTTATATGTTGATATTTAGGTTTGCAATGATTAGGCTTTGAAATATGAAACTAAAAGATCTTCTTTTAGTTCTACAAGACAGATGCCACTTCGAAGCTGAAAGATTCGCCGCATTTGTGGACAGCGACATCTTGTACATGCTGGCTTTATGTGGAGATGATCACTACTTTGTACGGACTTATATCTACTCTACTTTTCGCCTCTACACTCCCTATAATGGAATGGTCTTTTTTAATAAAACTCGAGAGTACAACGTCTTTGGATTGGGTGTTTATAATCAATATCGTCGCGATTCTTTTATCATTGAAGCCAAGGAGGATTCGAAGAGTATTTTAGTCAGGAATTTACATTTCTTACACATGAAAGAGACGATGGAATTGAAGACGGATGTATCGGATATCTATATGATCGAGAGTACGGGTGTTTTTTGTTACTTGGCAGTCAAGAGTGGTGATCGGAAGATGGTGAACTTCTACCAATTGAAAGGAGACCGGAAATTGGACTCATATAAGGACAAACAATGATTTGATGCTTGTTTTCAGTTACTCTGACTACTATAAGGTGATTTGTTTTAGATGAATGTTCCCCATTGACCTTTGAACAACCAGAATATTCTCACTTTGCTTGTATTTCCCATCTGTCATCACCTTCGGGCCTTGAGGAAGATTATTTTTGGATGGGGAGTCGATTAATCAATGATGCCTCACTCCAGGTTGGAAATGTAAGTCTAGGCATGTCCATTACTGTAGTTTCTTTGTTTTAAGACCCTACCCGATGTCTACAGTGATCTGGAAGAGTGCGTAGAAAATTCTGACAAGTAAGTCATCATGTGCAATATAAATTCTTATAATTTTTGGCCAAAAGGTATTCGAGGCTTTTCTTTATTTTAATATTCATACATTTTGCTTCTAGAAAGGCTACGGCAATTTCCATCCTCATCCCTCTGATTATGGCGATATTATCTATTACATTTGTCACCGTTATAGCATTTACAGTCGGAGTTTGGCTGAGAGAACGAAGAGTTCTTACTCAATGTGAGTCTTGATTTCCTTGGCTGTGGATGTTTTCGACATAATATTATTGTATAATTTCAGATCAAGAAACTTATTTGGCTACGACTAAAACTATCCAATCCGTGTCAAATGGAGAAGTAAAACACTCTGAGAAAAATGTAAAAAAATAAATTGAAATTAGTTGACTTGAATCTTGTCGAATGTAACTCCTCAGAATATAATATTCTCATTTTTTTTTCAAAAATTTACATATTCCAGTGTGAAATTTGCAAATTACCCTTGAAGTCTGAAAATTTTAATTTTGTGTTTCTCAGAACCCTCGAAGTCGGTGATGTTTTCCCCTTTGTTCTTACTGCTCTTCACTCTTTCCGGTGTATTTCCCAGCACGATGCTTCGTTTGAATTTGGATTGTGGATTCCAACTTACAAGTTTAAGAAGTCCCTTAATTGTTGGGTAAGTGTAAATATAAAGATATCCAAATTGCCCTAGGCCGTGTAAGGACGTGAAGATGGCTTCCCTGGATAAGGACACTTGGATCTTGGTGAAGATTAATGACACTAAAAAACTACAGTATGACACGGTCCGGCCGAGAAATGTCATCAGTAAATTGGCAGGCGGCCCTGTGAAACTGGAGTTGAAGACGATTGATCTGAGCAAAGGTATGCTGGGAATACGGTCCAATACGGTTACTCTAGCTTTATCAACCACGGATGGATGCGTTTTTGACCAGAAGGTCTTCACCATGGCAGTCAATAACCAAATTTTTTATATGTTGGTCAAGTGTAACAACGACAAGTTTGGTCTTCTGAAGACGATCATTTCACCGGGAAATCTTCTCTTCACACCGTACAGAAGTCCGGTCTACTTTACGGAGAAGATTGAAAACCAAATGAGGATTTTTGGATTATCGACCAAAGAGGAAGCACGAATTATAACCTATGATCCTGAGGCCAACAAACAAACTGAGAGAGAATTACACTCTATAAGTCATCCAGAAGAAAAGCCAAATGAGATTTTCAAAGGAAGAGCGTTTCAATACTCATATGGGGGTGCAACTTTATTATCCGTCAGAGATCACATGGAGAATAAAACAAGGTTTTTGATAAAAGAGGAAGGTTTAGGAGGGTTCAAAGAAGGTGTGTAGAGCTAAATGATGTAAATCGCACGAAAACAGCGATTTGGAGTTGCGATTATATCATTTTAGCATGCCCATCCCTGAATTTTATTGATGAAGCAGTCTTTGCGTGCATCCTGGATCCACCCGATTATTCTGATTTCCCCTCAATGCAATGGGTCACACGTCCAGATCAAGCAGGAATGAGGTTGTGGCACGATAAAGGAGTAAGCAAAATGTTAATTTCAACTAGTGTATAAGACACATAAGAAGGGACATGAATTATTTCAGGATGTGGATTACATTGCCAAGTTGAATACGGAGATTAAAAAATGCAGTGACGTCACAACAAAGTAAATTTTAAGATTTTTACTTCGTTTTTAATGATTTTATATTATTGTATGCAAATTTCTACTTACCTTCAGAAAAGCGAAAATTTTGGCAATTGTTTTTGGGCTCTGCCTGTTTGTTCTGGTCAACTTTGTAATTCTTCTGTTGACATTCTCCTGCATCTGTTATTGCCGGAAAAGAAAGTTGTATCGAAAAGGTAAGCGGATTACTGTAGTTTTTCTTATATTTTTAGAAAGCCAGAAAGCCAAGGAAAAGCTGAAGAATGACAATAAGACGGCCAACAAAGAAGAGAAGAAGGAAACTTCCAAAAAATCAGAGCCCAAATCGAGTAAAAATAAGTAAATTTATTTGAAATTTGGTCTTGGAATTGTTTTATTTTGCAAATTTTAAACCTCAATGTTTGGTCTACTTTTAAATTTACTTTGGCTTAATCTCCCGTATGCTTACTCCGGTGACACCTCTATTTATATGAGGATCAACTCGGATTGCGAATTTCAATTTACAAAAAGCAGTTACAGTAATCAACATGGGTAGGGGTGACTTGGCTATTTTTATGACAATCTTAGACCTTGTAAGAATGTAAAGATTGCTTTACTGGATGACGACTACTGGTTAATTTTGAGAGTAAAAGAGGACAAAACTTTGGAGTATTCGACTATGAATTGGAAGGGCTTAGACCGCAAAAAATACGCTGCAAGTCCGTATATCATCCAGTTTGAGGCCTTTTCTGTTGATCATGGTGAGTGAACCGGAACATAAGGTTTTCTAATACTGTAATTTTGATGTTACAGTCCTTCCAGCCAATTGTCATCTCGATCCGAATATCCTGACCGCCTTTGTGGACCTCCATATTCTTTATATCTCGGCCAGATGCAACGAAACTTTAGCAGTTTTATTCAGAGGCCTCGTCACAACAGAGTTGATCTTAATCCCCTCGGGCGGTGTTCTGAAATTCTCCGCGAAAGGAAGTCTCAGTTCATTTGGGACTTTGGATGGAATGATCCCGTCGATTATTTTTGAGAATTACGGGAATTCATGCCAGAACAGGTCTATCGATAGACTGGATATTAATGAAACTTGCAGTGATGCGAGTGCCATGGAACACAGGGGATTTAACAGGATTGGGAGTGGAATTGAAGTGGCCGTGAAAATGAAAGGAGGAGAAACAGTCTTTAGGAAATATGATATAGAATCATGGAGTGTATCGAGTAAGTTGAGAACTACATATTTATTGGGTTTATTTATTTCATTTACTATGCACAAAAATCGAACTGATACTTGTTTTAGTAATTACTAAAACAAGTTTTTTGACGGGGGTTTTTTTAAATTGGTATATTTATTATTTAAGGATTTTTATCATATTTAGTTACGCGTCCGAACATCAGTTTACCTTTTTAGATTCCTGTCCTGATATTGAAACCTCCATCGAAAAAGAGAACTCTCTGTTTTTCTGCACGGAAGATACGAGAATATCCAACAGCGAAAAGCATTACAAACTGGTCAAGAGATTACCCTTGGATTGCTCGGAAACTTTGGCTAGCAATGAGGTAACCATTTACATTATTTTATATTACCCTATTGATTCTGTTTTTAGAAATGTCATCGGATCGCCAAGAAATGTGAGAAAGCCGCTGGAGGGTAAGTAAATAGTGTCTTTATTGATTTATCTTTGTATTTTAGATCATTTGGAGTGATTGTTGGGATGTTTGTGATGTGTATTTACACTTTTCTCAACGCAACCTTGGTAATGGGAATCTTTTCGATGCTCGTAATCCTCAGAGATCGAAGAAAAAAGAAGAAGAATTGAAGCGATCTAGTCTGCAGATGTACATATGTGAATAATAAATTTTACTTTTTATGTCCTTCTGTGCTGTTTTTTCGAAAAACGAATAATTTTCTCTCTGTATACTAATTCCTAATTTGTCGTAAGATCCAGCCGAAATACGCCCATTTCACTTTAGATTACATCTACATCCATTCATTTGTTGTGAACATATTTTCCTACATTTCCGTCCTCTGACTTCCGGCTTAAAGGCTTGGCCAACGTTTTATCTCCCCATTTGGCCCCTCTTCTGGGCCCATTTAACTTGGCCATTATGCCGTCCTATCTTCCCAATCTAGTCCTCCTACAGTACGTCGTATGTCTGCTCATCGCCAATGTGGGACTGCTCATGTTGTCGCGTATTTTGTGGGCCGTATTTGTGAAGAAAACAGAGACCCGACTGAACATCCATCTGACGTTGCATTGCATTGGATGGATGGTTTTTATGTTGTCATCTCTTCCTCTGGTCATGTACACCCTGTCCTTTTGGAAGGGCCGTGCAACTCTCTATCACAGCAATTGGATGTTTTGGACGGGTGTGTTCAACATGTGCACTTCGAGTGTTTTGTCGATCGTGACCTTCTTTGTGATCGTGGATCGGTGTCTGCAAGCCGGCTTCCCGGATTCTTATAATTACAAGGTCAGAAAAGGTGGCCTCCTGGTCTGTATCTTGTGCACATTGACTGTGTGGGCTACAGTATTTTTCTTTATGCTCTCGGAAGGCCCCTTTCCTAAAATGACACGTAAGTCATTTTATACGATCAAATGTTTTTTGGGACTAAAATCAGGTGGCTGTAGATAAAAATCGACGAAGAGATGGATATATTGATTGTTTTTGCTAAGTTTGAATATTACTATTTCGTATTATAGATTGTCTCTCTTTCGGCTGCATGCTGACGAACGAAGGCGGTCGGGCCCAATTTCTGGTGCGGATTATCTTCGGCTTCCTGAACTTGGCCACGCTTCTCATCTTCATGCTGTTGGTGGTGCGGAGTGATCAAAAGAGGGGACAACAATATGCAGGGGCAGAGATTGTAGGTTATTTTCATGCTAAAGGCTAAAAAAAATCTGGTAACAAAATGACAAAAAATCGATAACGAAATTTTTCGATGTTTACCATTTTGTAAAAATGGTTTCAATTGATGCCTAAGTGAATTTTAGACCAACGTCCTTGCCCGAAATGTAGTTGTCGCCGATTTATGCACCAACTTTTTGTTATCGGTGGTCACTTTTTCCGTCGATCAATGGACAACAATCGAGTTATCAGACTACCTTGGGGCATTTGTGATGACCATCTCAAGCTTCGATGGGCTCTTAACCGCGGTTGTGTACACAAGAACACTCGCATTGTAAGTGAAATCACCATTTATATTATCCTTTAGAACTGGAAGTATCCGGGACAAGATCAAATCCGTGGTGGAGCACACGAAAGACGAGTTCTTCTAAGATAATATAGATCCGTTTGCTAAAGTTTTTATCTCCAAGATCGGCGATTTTCCGATATTTCTTACCTTGTAATCTTATTCATGACTCCTTTGCTTCCCTTTGTTCGTGACGGTGAGAAATATAATAAAGAAGGCGGAAGATACGACCATAACACGATCATAAAGAGCGTCAGATTAATTGGGCGTAATTGTTGCGTCAGGGAGAGAAGAAAAGGGACCCACCTGCGGAGCGGAATGCCCTGAGGGGAACGGAGGGAAAGTGAGAAAAAACAGAAAAGGAATCTGAAGAGAGGTTCTGGGAAGGGGCTTTTGTATAAAAGGCCGATTGCTTGAGGGCTTTTCGTAACAGTCGGAGATGGTTTCAGCTAAATCAGCCGGTTTCTTGGCTGTGGGATCTTCCCTGGCCGCTCTCATTACGGTATTTATATATTTGCCGGCGTTGATTATGAGAATTGGCGAGATTAATGCGCAGGTAAGGCCAGAGTATCACGTATAATATTATTTTTTTTGAAAAAAGGTGTAAAACACGTTTTGCAGTTGAAAGTGGACACAGAAGAGTTCCGATCGATTGCTGACGAAGCCTGGTCTGATATGTTGAGAGCCAAGAAAGTGAAAGGATTCATGAGACCTCGTCGTCAGGCTTACGGGGAGGCTAAAGTCTATGGAGAAGTTAAAGGATACGGGGAGGCCAAACAATATGGAGGAGGGTACTCGAAGCCTGAAACTTATGGGACTACCGGGCCTTCTTGTTCTTGCAATGCCCAGAACAGTTGTCCCGCTGGTCCTCCAGGCCCACCAGGAAAGGCGGGAGAAGACGGAGTGCCCGGCTCGAGAGGCCCGGCTGGAGCTCCAGGACTTCCTGGAAATGCTCCACCAGTCACTGTGGATCCGGTAAGAACATCTTCACAGTTTCCAGTAACTCTGCTTTACTTTTATGTTATTTTATTGTTTTTAGAATACGGGATGCCGTGTCTGTCCTCATGGTCCTCGTGGTCCAGGTGGTCCGGCCGGAGATGCTGGAATTGACGGACCTGACGGCTACCCAGGCCCTGCGGGAAGAAATGGCGAGAACGGACGTCCAGGATACCCTGGAAACGCTGGCATCCCCGGAGAACCCGGAGCTCCGGGCAAATCGGGAGAACAAGGCGCCCCAGGCAAGAATGGAGTCCGTGGTCAGAAGGGGCCGCCAGGAAGGAAGGGAGACTCCGGACCGCCAGGACAAAAGGGACCAGAGGGATATCCTGGTCCAGACGGAGCCAGAGGAAACGATGGAGCTCCGGGACCAGCTGGACCACCTGGTCAAGTAGGTGCACCTGGATCGGAGGGTCAACCCGGGGTCCAAGGCCAGACTGGAGAGCCTGGCGAAGATGCGCAGTATTGCCCATGCCCAAATAGAAGTTCGGGAGTTGACAAACCCGCTTCTTATGATTCCCAACCAGTTCAGCCAACTTATGGAAATGGAAATTCGGGTGGTGGATATGGAGGAAACTCGAATGCCGGAGGCTACGGAACTCCCGCTCCGACCTATGAAAGTCATCCAGCTCCAGTTGATCAGAGCGCTTATAGACGTTTGGTATAAGCAAAAAAAAGCTATTTGATGTTGTGCTCGATGAAGTGATATACCTGATAAATCAGATATGATCTTACAAAACAATTGCATTAACATTAAAAATAAAAAGCCGGCACTTTATGTATCCTTCCAATATTAGATTACATTTTGTCGTCCATTTTCTCCAGAATTTTTAATAAGCATGTACATGGGCGTGAATAGATTAAGGAATTAGATTACAAGTAACGTGTGTCGCTTGGATACAAGCTCTATCACAAAACAGTTCGAGTTCAGAAACCTTATTCATGTTCTAATTTCATTACTCTATTGCTACAGCAATGACGCCGGCGTATCTTTATTTGAGTTAACGCCGTCTCTATGGACATGGTAGATGCTTTTACTGAGAAATTATCCAATATTCAGTTCGTTTTCGGCATTTTCCTCTGCTTTCTGGGCATTTATCACTACTGTGCGCAAATTTATTGCGTTTTATTTTTATTCAAACGACACTTGAGGCCTTATTTGTTCTTGGTGAATATGATATTTTGGCTGATTTTTATGGTTTCCAATGTGCCTTACAACATTTATATTGCGACAAATTATAGTGGTAAGTTTGCTGGTGCAATGTATGTCTGCAATGGATAATTACCTAAATGTGTCTTTTGAATCTTGAAGTTTTACTAACAATCTGCAACTTATCCCTGTATCAGTCTCTAACAACTTCGGCTCTCACTTGCAAGTCGTAGCATATATATTAATCAATCTTTTTCCGAGAGACTACGGTAACGGAGGAGAGCCGGCTAGGCAAAAAATCCTCTTAAATTTATAAAACACGACTTTTGCTTGAAAGGGCAAGCCGAAACTTTCCGATAGTCCTTGAGAGGCCCTACTCTCAAATTGACCCGAGTTTCAGTCAAGGCTTTATTCATCTCTAACTTTTAGCGACCGCCGAAACATTAGACACGAACTGGCTGTTTGCCTCAGGCGTCGTTCCCTACCTCTGCATACCCGCTCTTTCCTTGTCGATCACCATGATAATTTTGGATCGAATCGGGACCATTTTATTTCCCTTTGATCATTTTAAGATCCAAAAGTGGTTAATGATAGCCAGCATCCCAATCATCGCCTTTTCATGTTGTGTGGCCCTTTTCACAATATTGCCAGAGATACCTTGGGGCGAGAAAAGTGGTGAGTTATGTGATTTTTGAGATGCTAATCGTAAATTTAGACAAACTCCAATTTTTTTTAACACGTTGAAACAGGAAGCCAAAAATGGCGGTAAATTTGAAATTCAAAAATATGTTAATTTGGCATTTGTTTTTACTTGTAAAACAAAGGTTACAACCAGTAGCTGCTTAAGAAATCTTTCGAGGCACGTAAAGGCTTCATAAATTCTGTTTTTTGTCCGCTTAAACAAGAAACACCTGTTCAAAAAAGAGTGTAACTAAGATAATATAATTTATTTCTTTCCAGACTGTATGGCCTTAGGGTGTTTGCTTCGAAAAAACAAAGGGATCCCGCAATTACTGAGTAAACTGGGGCTGGGGATGATCAACATCGGATGTGCCTTCCATTTTCTCATTTTATTCAGACAATCGCAGAGACGGAACAACAAATCGGAACTCTGGAAAAATGTAAGCAATAATAAAACTGGCGGAAAATAAAATTAGCAATCCTTTTGTCGTACCTTGAGCGCCTCTGGTAAAAAATGAAAAGTCTAAAGTGCATTGTGAATATTCTAAACGGGAGAACTTTTATTTCCAACCATTTCCAGGTGACCAAGATGACGTTCCTCCTTTTCCTCAACGAATTATTACTCAATGTACTCCCCAATCTGGCTATTCTCATAATTTATTTTGTAAGTCATTATAATACTGTACTTATAAAACTTAAACATATATTTTTGTTACAGTATACCCGAGTGCCATTTGCTGAACTTGCGGGGCCTTATTTGATGACTTTGACTTGTATCGAAGGGATCGTTACAGTACTCTTTTATCAGAATTCTCTGAAGAAACGGATCGAAATTATAAATCGAGAACGAGCGAGGAATGTGTCCATAAACAGAATTGGGACAACTGGCACTAGAATTGTTGCTTGGACTTCCACAACCAGAACACACAGTAATTTCAAAGGATCGCTGTCGTTTACATAAAGATTGGAGATAATAAACCTAAAATCTACCTCATTTACTCTCAAAAAAGGTCTTATTCCAGTCTGCGAACAGAAATTTTATGACTAAAAGTTTTGTTACAGTAACCAGCTCCTATTACGCTCCAAAACTTCCCTGCCAAAACATTGTTTTAGGCCCCGAATCCAAGCGGAAATAACATCTTTATTGTTGAAAAGGGGCCAATGAATTGGCCCTCTTTTGTTTTTAAAGAGAATAATTGAGAGCCATACGGTAAGGGGAAGATTTGTGGCGCGTTATACGGTTCGTCGCTAACGGATAATGGGGGAATAGGCATAACCCGGGGCTTGTTATCTCGGTTTCGTTGGATTTTGCCTTTTTAAAGTGTGTAAGTAGTACTGGTGATGGAGTACTGTATTTGCAGAAAGGAGAAGAAGTTCGAAAATTGAAGCGTATGCCTTGGCAACCCGTTGTCTTAATTCTGGCCAAGTTTTAGCCTCATCTATAATGACAACTTTAGTCATTGCCTTTCAAAATGTTTTTTCCTCTTGATTAGTGCAATTTACCTCCAAATAGACGCATCTGTAACCGATTCCCAGCACTTATTGCGCAGCACACATCCGGCTTTCATCCCCCAACGACATGTTCACTTGACGGCCATTTAAACGCTCTTAAAGCCCGTTACCTTGTCCTGACATTGACTCGAAAATGCGCGGATTTCCGTTTTCTTAGCACTTCAAAATCATATATTTGATGGCAGGTATATGGCCTGACATATAAATGCTCCGTTTAGTGGTTTCAGTCTGTTTTTAGGCCGCTTTTATTTTGTCCCGGGGTCCTTTGGCCCAAGGCCATCTTGAGGTTGTTATGCAATCGGAATGGTGGTCCCAGGAAGGGAAATTGATCCAAGGAAGAAGATCAGCTAATTTCAGGACAATAGAAAGGGAAGCGGGGATTAATTGGGGGAGGTTTGGAGGGCAAAAAAGCGATATTATATTTGGGAACGCCATGGATAATGTAAAAAATGTAAGATTGCGCAAATTTCCTGGATTTATATTATGCGAATTTAGGAAACCCCCCTTTCCTGCTCTCCATTTGCATCTGTTTTTGAAGATTTGCAGTATTAAATCTGCCCTCATGATTCATTTCTCATAATTATTGAGCCAATTATTTCTCCAAGATAAACTTCAATGAAAACTTTTAATGGGTTTTGGAATAGATTAGAGAGAGTTTCGCTTCTCATGGATAATGAGCTGTTTAATGGGCACCGGGAAACAGAGAGTTGCAGCAACATCAAGAAGAAAGAGAACAGGTATTCTCTCCCTCGCCCTTCTCAGCCGCGTAAATTCTCGGCCCCGGGACTGGGAACCGCCAGAAGTACCAAGGAGAAGGTGGAGGAGGTCTCTAATAATGCCAAATTATTCTAATCGCCAGAAAAAACGTTGAAAATACCGAGCATTCGCTAAACCTTCAAAAAAATCTTGATGTGTGACATCCAGATTTTATTAAACTTTGGCCATTATGTTTCGGCCAAAACTCTCGACTTTTTAAGAGGTATATCTTTCCAGACCCTGCTGAAATATTCAAAAATATTTGCAGGCAAGAGACTATGGAAAATGAAGATTTTTTTTCAATTTTGTACGATACAGGTATATAATAAAAGATTTAGTAGTCAAATTAAATTACCTCCGCTCATAACAAATTCCCATTGTAATAACAGATCTGTAGTATAATTACAGCCAGCGCCTGGAGGGTTTTTCGGAAAAGAAAACACCGGAGTCAAGTGTTTATTTTAGCCTTCTAATTACAGTAACCCGGTTTTTGGGAGTTCCGGCGATTTATTGGGCTGTAAAAGAAACTGGGGTAATTTCAGGCTACTACAGGTAAATTTATTTAAAATCTAATCAATTAGTTGCCGATTTGTCGGAAATTGAGTTCGAAGTGGTTAGTCTGGTCTACCGTAAACCCCCCATATCTAAGCTCCTGTAATGGACTCCCAACTTTTTACGAGTTTTTCCCCCTCGATGATTCAGTTCATTTCGCACCTGATTTGACAAATGAGTTTATTCTTTTGTCGGGAGGGAACGGCTTCCTTCTTCTTCCTCCGAGGTGTCTATTTACCGAGAAAATTGGGCTGGTTACAAAACAGAATTCCATGGGACGATTAAAGACGGCGGCGCTGACTCTGGCCTTGACTAATCCCATTCCCCCCATTGTCCGCCGCTTCCGACGCGCGCACCTCATTTATTTCTTCAAGTTTGGGGGGATAGAAGTCATCGAGGCCGCCGTTCAAAGGATTGTCATAAGTTTTAATGTACTCAGAATTGGTCTGGCAATGCTTGTTCTACTGTAATGCCCTCTCAACATATAATACTTTGGGATAAACCATAAAAAAGTACCCTTAAAACTAAATCCTTGTTTATATCATCTTACCGTAGGTTACTAAAAATTTAAGTCTAATACATTTTTTGCCCCTCTATAACCCTCTACACTTACAGTAACCCCTCCAGAATTAGCCCTTTTGCAAGTATTTTTCGCTCCAATTTGCCGCGCCTTCAGATTCCCCAATTTCCGGCGGCCAATTTGAAAAGAAAGCGGCCATTGGCGTGACAGTTGATGAAGGGGTCCCAGACACGTCAAGGGGCCATCTTCCCCGCCTTTTCCCTCTCTTTGTCTTTCCGGTGGCACCGTAGGAAAATTGAAGGGCTAAATGCGGGATTTGGATGGATTTGAGAGGGAAATAATTAGAATATTTGAGGGGAATCGGGAAGTTTGGATCTTATTTTAGATTGGCAATTTGCTCTAAAAGAGAATGTTGCAATATGAGGACAGTGCTGTTAGAACAACGACACAGTAATCATCGGCAGTATGGTCATTAAGTGAGATTGCGCTGGAATAATGTCCACTTTCGTTCATTAGGCCAAATGAAGTCCCCAATCATCGGTTGGAATATCCGATGTTCACTGTTGCATGACATGTTATTATAACCGGCCATTCGCTCCGTATCTTCCCCAAATATTTCTTCCCAATTTCCTTTGCGTTACTCTTTGATTCTTTGCTTTTATTTCGTCTGATATTCACGTATTCGGTGTGCATAACATTTGTCGAGTATTAAATTTTATTTTATGATGAGAGACTGGAGAAATGAGGAGAGACAGTCAGAGGAAACACAATCTTGCTTTATCATCGCAGAGCTGGCGCTGAAGTTGAAAAAATCGTGCTCCATAGGACGTCAGTCAAAAATTTTGCAAATTTGGTCTTAAAAAACCCGGCCGCTTTGGCAAAACGCGTTCTGGAAGTCTTCATCTCCGGGAATCCTAGTCTTCATTTATCCCATTTTTTTATCATTTTTTTCTGACCTTTAGGACTTCAGTTTCCCCTTTACTCAATCCTTCGTTGATCCTACTATAACAATATTTGTGCGGGTAATTGGCGACTAACTCTTTTCTTTCTTCGTTTTCGGAAACTCTTAGAGGGAATAATAACTTCGCCCCTACTAAGTACAGCCAATTACCCGTGAAAATCAAACATTTTTATTGGAATAAAGGGATTTTCTGGGTCACTTTCCAAGGCGCGTTACAGCGATTGGTTTGTTCAGCGCCATTTCGACGCGATAATGGGCGGGGTCGATTGGTGAGAGATTGTTGGGGAGCCGGGCACTTCCACAATTCCCATTCTCAGTTTACAAATCGATCGTTTTGAGGTATTCAGGTGGGATTTTAGGATTACGGTAACTTCCGATCAAGTGCAATATAAAATTGGATAGATTTGGCTTGAAAGCTATCTCAATTAAGACCCATGCTTGTGATATTGGTCGTAACACGCTTCCCTCTGTTTGACTACACTTGATTTGGTTAATCTAAGTCGGTTATCCACTCCCCAATCCAATTTATCCTCTTATCCATGTCCAGCTTAAAACTTACGCAATCCGAACCCGCTCTCTTTTTTCGTAACTTTGTTGGCCAATCCTCACTTTAGCGACTCATTACGGTCCCCAAAGTGCCGATTCCCACAAATTTTGGGCCGCTTTTGGCCAATAAGCGACCATTTTCGGCCTATTTCGCCCGACTCCGCCCACTTTTTCACAACTTTTTTTCTCGAGGGCATTGAGCCGAAAAAGGCTTGGAATTGTCGCCAAAATAGACTAAAACCCTTTTCTGGCCGTTCAAGGCCACAAATGGGTGGACTGAAGTTAGACTCCGCCCTCTTTTCATGGACTAAGTGAGTCGAGATTGCACAGTGCGGCGTGAGCGGGGCTTAAGCTAATTTCGAAAAGTTTTGGAGATTGGAGGCTTTTAGCGACGATCCCCTGAGAGCATTGAAAGGGTTTTAGAGGGGTTAGTGCAAGCTCAAACTGGGCCGGGACAAGATTGAGTAAATTTTGAAGGATCTTCCCGGGTTTTTTAACTACTTTTAGAACCCTTGTTAATTGGAGGGTACTGTAACTTTTGCAAAATATGAGGTTTGGCCTTTAGCGTCGATTGTAAGCCATGATTTTCCTAAATCTCCTTCTAGATTTGTTCTGACACACCTTTTCTCCCCCCTACCGTATCCCCTTCGCTCCTCTCTAACTGCCTTTGTAAAAATGTTTTGTTTGGGGAGTTTAATTGCGCCCTTAAATTGTCTCTTCAACAGTCACAAAATGATTGTTTTAATGCACCTGTGGGGCGAATCATAAAGAGAAGCGGAAACATTAAATTAATATACAGCGGAATGGAGATTTGTTCCAATCCAATGCATCCTCTGATCGCGCGACTCCATTGTTTCAAAAAATTTGGATGGAAAGTCATTGCAAACAATTCTACCGACTTTTATTTTGTCATAATTTGTTTTGAGCGTCAATTTTTAGGTCGGAAATTTTAAAATTTCTATTTTTGTATTGTAGTGGGTTCATAAATCCCCGATTTTTTCATTAACGGAGACCTTTAAACACCTGTTGCCTTAAACGAACGATTGCGCAATTAATTTGTCCATCAATCCTTATCTGATGTCTCCGATATTGTACTTGACATCCTCTGAATTCCGAAAAAAATATTTATTTAAACGAATTTAATTTGCAGATATGAATCCCTCGCAAAGTTCGGAGATCCTCTCGGCCTTGGGTATGATCGATCCGCGATACCTGATCAATCCATTGTTTGCGGACCCTGCGGCGTTGAACTTCCTTCAGAATCATTCCGCCTTCCCTTTACAGCAGAGTAATGGAGGGGGGAAAGTTCTGAATAATCTGAATCAGAACTCGTTCAGAATCACGGATTTGATCGAAAAACATCGCTCCGAGTCGAGTAGTGGGAGCAGCGACAAAGCCAATACTAGTGGGGAAAATGGTAAGAATTTATATTATCCTTGGCATCAAATATTCTAATTTTTCAAAAATTAGGCCAGTCTTACATTCAAATTTGAAAATCACCAAAATTAAAGTAAAATCGCACATAGCCAAGTCAACAGATTTTTTACAATTTTAAAAGATGTAAAACAACAAACTGTTCGAATGGAGCACATTTTTTGCAGTTATTCAAATTTCACATGTATGCAAATTAGAGGCATATTAGCCATGCAATGCTGGTCCTTGCCCAATTTGTCACTTACTCTCGCAGTAATTACTCTTTTTCGAGTATATTATCCCAGATAATGACACCTGTTCGCCCGGTTAATCCCCTTTGAATCGCCTAGACGGCGCCCCTCGAATGGCGCCGGCTCTAGCGTAATATAATCTACTACCTGATTCGATAAAAATTTATACGGTAATCGTTTTGTTTTGAGGTCAAATTTGGGTGGCGAAAGGATAATATTTATTTAAGAGACGATTGGTTAAAAGCCCCCGAAAAGAGGGGTTTCATACGGTAAACGGGGAAGAAAAAGAAACAAGAACATCTTTGCTGCATGCAGTTTGTAATCCAGAAACATGTGCAGTTTTTAATTACTGGTTAACACTATTGTTTACAATTTAAAAAAATTTTTTAAATTTTTTCCGGGGTGCTTACCTTTGGGTTGATGTTTAGCCAAGTTAGGCAAAGCGAAAATATTTAATTAGCACCCAGTAATTATGCAAATTTGTGCGACTTTCCTTCCCAGCATGTAATCCGAATCCCTGCATTTTACGGGCGGATAATCGCCAAAAACACAAAAAGTCAAATCTCGGGCCGAAAAAGCGGGCTAATTGGAAAATTGCGCACTGTAAATCGAGACCGATGACTAAAAGGCTACTGTATATTTTGTAAAGGTTTAACTTTCCTTATGCATTCTGTATTATTTTAATTTAATGTTGTTTCAGATTCTCTGGAAGACGAGGCTTCGGAAAATGGAGGATCTTCAGAAGTGAACTGGAGTCAAGACCATCACAATACGTCGAGGAGCCCGGCGTCGACTCCGGGGATTCATGGGAATAAGAAAGCCAGGAAAGCGAGGACCATCTTCACTGACAAACAACTCCAAGAGCTGGAGAGCATGTTCGAAAAACACAAGTATCTCACAGTACCCGTGAGAATGGAACTGGCCCAACGGATGGGATTGACTGACACCCAAGTGAAGACCTGGTATCAGAACAGACGGTCAGTGATTTTGATGTCCTTAAGATAAGGTTACTGTAATTTATGGTATCAAAACAGACAGAAAAATGTTTTTTGACCTTAAAAGGACCACGTTAAACTAACAGAGGAAGTATCCCAAGCCCGACGCTCTGATCTTGATAAAACTTGGCACAAATTTAGAATAATTTTTCTATGCTGACGTTCTGCAGAAAAGACCGAGATTTTTAGGTCGAATTTTATTTCCTGGCAAAGAAGTGACCGAAAAGCTCATTTCTGTGACCGCTTTCCATGTCTCGCGTACTCTTTCGGGCTAAATATCGTTGAATATCTCGACAGCCCTTTGAGAGCACGAAACAAAACTTTCCGAGATTGATACGTGTCCTATGCCCCAAGAATGAGCAAAGTTTACAGAAAATTGGAACGTTGCACTTGGGGTACTTCCCTCGCAAATTAGTTTCAACTTTTTTCACAGTAAATTTTGTTATTCTCTTAATTACCGTCCCCAATTAAGCCTACCGTATCCCCGCTCGCACTCTCAATCACATTAATTCTGTTTATTGTCTTTTCTCATCCGATTACTCGTAATATTGACTCTACAGTACATTAATTTCCCATTATTTTTCTTTCATCATGTGAGTCACAGGATGAAGTGTTGATTTTCATGGCAAATTTAGGCTCCAACTTTTTAATTGTAAAACAGACGCTTGATTTTAGGATGAGATTTTCAGATTTTTTCATACTGAAAAGTTCCGAAAAAAAATTTCTAGCAGTCCCATAATCTTTCCATAATCCCAGATCCACAAATGTCGCTGGATTTATCTTCTGATACTGTGAATATAATATATTCCTTGACCTCGTAGCCATCTCCAAACCTTTTCCTTTTCCCATTCCAATTCGATTATTCCCCTCGACCTTCCCCCAACCCAATTAACCTCGAATTACACATTCAAATATTATATTACTTTCAATTAATTGTCTCTTAATAATCTCCCCGACGTTAATTTATTCCGCCAATACCGCCATTTGCTTTCGCTGATCGCGTGTTCCGCCGCCAAAGCGAAGAGAAAAGGAAGCGCCGGAAGAGGGATCGTCTTAATTAATGGGTATAATATAGGACTGGGGATGTCAACAGTCCTCCCAATTAACAATCTAATTAAGCAAAACACGGCGCTAATACGGTAGGGCGGCTTTGACAGGACTTGACTGGATTTGGGTGGTCCAAAAATCATTTTTATTATTCTCGACTCTTATAAGTTTAATAAAAATTTTATTTGACAAAGAAGAGCGCAAAAAGTTCGGCAACAAGTTACCCTAAAATCGATGATTTTTGATATAATACATCATTTTCTAACCAACGTATTTCAGTACCAAGTGGAAGCGTCAAACAGCGGTCGGAGTGGACATGTTCCAGGAGCCGGGCAACCTCGCCGTCATCCAAAATCTCCTCCGCACCAACCCCTATTGGTCGCAGCAAGTCATGTCCAATCCGGCCCTTTTTCCTTTCCTTGGCCAACGATTTATCCCTGGCCTTCCCCAGTCCACTCCCAGCTCCAGTCCAGCCTCTACGCAGCCCAATCCGTTCATGTTGTTCGCTGGCCTGAACCCGCAGATCTTCCAAAATATGACTGCCCAGAATCAGACCCAGTCCAGCTCGGCCAACCAGTCCAGCCAATCGAGTCCGGTCCCGCAGACCTCGGATCAGCCGGAAAGCCCCGAGGCTAGCGAAGAAATCGAGGAGAAATCGACCGGTCAATAAGTTAGCATGACTTTCTATTCATTCCAAGTGCTTGTTACAGTACTCCTTGTCCATTTTATTCTAAAAAAGTGTTCCCGCGGACACCAAATTCTTCGGTTTAAGAGTATTTTATTGTAATTATTGCGTTTATTTCATCACCCAAATATGGAATTTTGAATTTTTTTGATTCCCTCAACTAATTATTCGAACCTAAAGAGTATTTTCGTAAATAAATTGATCTCCTCAACCGTCGAAATGCGCGTTAAATGGCGGTTAAATGGCGGTTAGTTGGGCTGACCTTGCCCATTCTCTTCGCCCATATGGTGTCAGCGGGCGGAAATGATCATGGATGGAGATGTTTGGGGTCTCGGAAAGCCTTGAAATGACTATTAAAAGGGTCACAAACTCGATTCAGTTTGTTATGAAAGCAAGCATTTGACAATCCTACAAGATAATATATGTAGTAGATTGCGCTTCAAAAGATGACGTCATTCAGAAGAGAGATCCCCAAGGCACAGCTCTTGGGTGTGATTCAGATGTGACACAACTTTTCATGTGAGGCAGATCGAATATTTGTTGTGAAATTTTCTGAATAACCAGCGGATAAGTTGGAATGGCGGCAAATTCAAATATTCGATCTGCCCCAAATAAAGGGTAGACAAATTCGGCACACATGCCCTCTGTGACCCTCATACCAATGTTTTAAAATTCTAGCTCACGCTTTACGGGGACTTCCGAGGTACAATAAAACTTTTCGCTATACCAGCGCCATGCTTAAATTAATGTTTTCACATTACATGAGCCCATTTCCGCTGAGATCGATCCATAATATGCCTTGGAGATCCACTTAACAGGCTTGTTAATCCGTGTAATATTAGACTTATATTAGTCTTATATTAAGCAATTCATTGACACTTACCCCAGGAGTTGCGTAATACAAAAGATTAGCGACGGAAATGCACTTGACGGATAAATAAAGTGGGTGTCCAAGGCAGGCGGGAAATGTTTGCATGATCTTTGCAGAATTTGCATGCAATTTAGAGGGTATTTAAAAAATTTATTGTAGTGTGCAAAAATGGATTTTTTGACAAAATAAATGGTTTAAAGAAATAAATTCGTATAAAATCTCTCAAAAGGAGGCGACCAAAGATTCTGATGGCCTAAATCAACGACAAAACCAACGATTTTTACTCGACGTCGCCTAATTTCATATGTTTTGCAGCAACCGGACCATCTCTAATTGTCATTCATCCAGAGAATTTACCTGCCCTATTGTATGAGCATAGTAATTGACACTTTGTCTCCATGCCCAGCCAACCGAGATCTCTCATCTTTTGTCTTTTTAACCCCGAAAAAGGATTTATTTTATTTTTACGGACAAATGAATTTCAGGTAGAAAAAGGGAGAAAATGGGGGAAAAGATGTTTGAAATTTGCATAAATTATGAGCACGGAAACTGAGGAGGAAGTAGAGAGTTTTGCGACCATTGCAAAGCTGAAAGATTCCGAACAAAATCACTAAATTTCACAGCAAAAATCAGATTAAAATTAGGAGTGAAAAAGCTGAATCTTTGTGCCGATTGCCATCCAATTTACAGAACATCTTTTTCAGTATGTTTGGTCCTCAAATCTCGATTATTTCTCCTCTTTCCGGCATAAATCGACTCCATTTTCTCGACTTTAATCGTCCCATTATTTCGATTGACATTGAGCTTGCGCAACTCGACATGTTATGTTGTCCCGGGAGAGCGATAGATAAAGATCGTTGAGGTAAATGCACCTGGACTTCGTCCTCCTTTCGACCTCAAGAATCTCGGATCATTAAAAATTACCATAAAATTTATGTCTCCGGTCGTCATAAGTGGTCTATTAGGGGAGGGAATCAGGTGAAATGGCGGTACTGTAATGAGGAAGATGTCATCGAGAAATAAATCACACAATCATTCGTTACTGTAGGTGATTTGCAATGACTTATTTTCTAAGGTTTTGGTTTCTTGAGCTTTTATTCCCAACAAATCTCGCCTTCCTTGTTTCCTTTTCAGGTGTCAGATAAATGCCCGTTGAAAGAGTTGTTAAATACGGGAGATTCTGGTTGGATTCCCTTGAATGGGGACTTCCAAAGACTTCCAAATGGGACTTTAACGGTACTTAAAACAATGGCGTTCCCAGGATTTTATGCTCCAGAAAACGTCGTGCAATGTTTTTGCAGTTAATTTTGGCCATTTTTTAGGGTAATCAACCTCAAAAGAATACTGTGTAAAAAGACATTACATATTCACAAAAGATAATGACATTTATCTCCAATTGAACTTATTTTTCGGAAAAAAACTCTAAATTTCCTTTAATTCCGGTTAAATTTCCCTAATTCAGGGCAATTCGAGCCTCAGCGCTGGATAAAAGGGAAATCAGAGGCCCAAAAACAAGTCCCTAAATCAAATGGAAGTCGCTTCGATGCCTCGGATTAGCGGGAAAACAATGGCCGGGCTTTGTTATATTATTCTTGATACCCGATGCCGACAAAAAAGATAAATCATCGATTGATGAGGCAGGAAATTAAAACTTGGGATGAGATTTATGGCCCTAAACGTGGCCGGATATAAAAATTTAAAGGAAATAAAGGATACTGTAATTTTTACAGCAAAAATTTTTTATTCAAAGGTTCTGAGGAAATAAGCAAAATTTTCGCTGATCAAGAACGTATGGAAGAAGAAGGGGAAGAAGGAGAACGCTCACAGAGGCAAGGAGATTGACAGCAAGTGGAAGAAGATGTGGTTCTGCGACAGGTAGTGGAGCCCACGTGGCCGACTGAAACATATAAAGATCGTCACAGAAGTTCACAGCCTTCTTTAAAAATATGTCGATATTTGGAGAGCGAGAGGTTCCAGCGATTTTCTTAGTTTTTCGGAAACTAAACTTTAATATTCTGTTTGGACTGTGGGACGAAAATCAATCTATTAGAGTAGAAAGATACTGCCAAAACTTTTTATTGAAAAAATAGTGCGTCTCAAATTTCCTCCTGTCAATAATCAGATAAAGCCCATACCAGGAGTACTAAGATCCCGTCCAGTCAACAATGAAGACGTGGAATGGGACCTTGGAGATGTCTTGAAGGACTCCGGACAGGGCGCATTCTTCTCGCGGTGAGATATCTCCAAAGAATTGGGAATCGCCGGTTCTGTTCCGGTTAAGGTAGAATGGCGGATCTTCTCTTTACCGAGAGTCTTTAAATTCTCATCTGAATCGACAAAAGTTACCAAGAAAACCTGCAAAGGCCAACCTGATGGGGTATTCTGAAGAGATCTCGATCCATCTCCGCCGCTGGTGTCATCATTGTCAAAGAATCCAGCAGAACGAGCAGTTTGCAGACCTTCCTGAAAATAACGCAAGATGATTATTCTAGGGAGATACGATGACATGCCAGTTGAGATAATGATATTGGATGATGAGACATGGGATTCGGAATTAATCCGACTTGATTATCGCATTGAATTACCTGCGAATTCTTCTCAATCTCTCGGAGAGTCAGCAGAAACATGGCTTCGATCTCATCGCAGGCTTGCTTCTGCTGAAATCGCACTTGTTTATTATCGAAAACGGGAAATGTAGAACTACAGCTACCGTAATTCTTACAATATCGCGACTTTTCTCAATGATGAAGTTGGAATCCGAATGGCCATTCCAATTCGGGAATTCATGCTCTGAAGCACGATGATTCCGATCTTGTTCCGTAGTTTTGGGCATTTTCTACCGGTCGAGTCGCTTTCAAAACAGACTGGATTTTGATGAAAATAGGGCAACAAATGAAAAAATTTTAAAGAATTTATTTTTGAGGTAATTTTATAAAGTTTGGTTTTATCACAGCGCCTCCGTATTGGTTTGGTCGTTGTTCCTCTGCTCTTCCAGAATTCTTTGTTTTTCTGCCATTCTTTTGGCACAACGAGCATCTAAAACATGTGTTATCAAAAAGACAAAAGCGGAACTGTTCCTTACGTCTTTTGGCCATGCGTTTCTTATGCAAATTTCTGCAGGCATAAACAGCGATGATAATGGCGATGATATTCAACATTTCGAAAATGTTGACAAAGAAAAGAAGCGTGATAAAGGCGACCCTCCTAAAAATAAATATCAGGCTAAAACTGTTGCCTACTGTTTACTCGTCCTCTCACATTTGACCACATCTTCTTCCTTGTAGATGGAAAAGCTCTGTAAAATTACGATTAGAATATAAATGTGACACTAGCTCGCCTACAGGGCCTTTTCCAAGGATATCCACAGGAATATCATCCAGGTCGTTCACCCATTCGAAAGATTCAGTAACTTTTTCCGTCAGCATTATATCTGCACATCCATAGATGGAATATTCAACTTGGTCATGATTGATAGAGGAACACCCATCTAAAAAGTAAACTTTTAGATAAAAGTGGAACAAAATGTATCGGGATATACGCTCCAGATCTTGTATGTAAAAATTTTACATCTTACCTGGCAATGGGCCCCCATTCAGATTTTTAAAAACGGTCTTTTTATCCACTTTCATCGAGACAATCGGAGAATGCTCGTGTAGCAACACATATTGAAGATTAATCCCCGATGGACTGGCCGGATCAGCAGTAGGGTTGTTGATGTCTTGAATTTCGTAGAGGGTGCGGCCGGGCTTTCCATTCTCCGACGTTTGCAGAAATGAGAGTCTGAGATAGGACAATCACTTTAATGCTACGCTTTAAGTCATCCAAAAATGGAACTTCTGAATCAAACTGCAATATAATGAAACCTGCCTACAGCAAATTATTCAGAGATCCTAAAAGCTAATTTCAGGCCAACAGAGACAAGCCAAAATTATGTATTATACCTTAAGGAGTGCTTAAGGTATTATACCTAAGTAACTTATCCACTTCAAAATCATGCGTTTTAATGGTTGAAATTTGAAACAAGAAAACCAATGTTTAAAATCTCCAAAAAGGTAAGATTAAACTGAAATCAGTTGTCTCCAAGACTTTTTCGTATGATCTGAAACGCAAGCTGTACCGATTAGCAAAAACAACTTTGGCAAAAACGAATTGGCGAGCTTACAAAGATGACTTCTCTTACCCGCTCTCGGAAAATGGCAATCCAATCCCAACGATCTGATTCTGCGGAGTGTTGTGCAGTGCATTCACACGGATTAATGGCCGGGATGGAGTGTAAATGACATAATCCTGGAGAATCGGACTCTTCAAAAGGCTATACGAATCTCCACATTTGGCTAACATGTAATGAGTGTTCCCATCCACAAAATGAGTAAAGAAATCCGGATCAAATTTACAATCGCCCAGGGCTGGAAGTAAAAGTAAAATAATCAACCTGGTTATCTCTGTAACATACCGTAATCCAGAGACACTTTTTTAATAGTAACTTTTCCTTCTTTTAACTTGTCGAAAGTCACAGTGCCGTACATTACAGAAGTCGAATCAACTACCTTCACAATCAGCCAGGTCTTCAGGTAGTTGTCGTTGGAAATATAAGTCACTTTGGCATCCCGACAGTCACTGGAAGGTACAATTGTTGTCATCAAAACATAATAAGCATACCCATCTGCAGCTATCGATGTCTCGGAAGTGACCCTGATATTACATTCCACATCTAAACGAACTACAGTATACCCCTTTGTCCAAAGCGGCAGAAACGAGAGGAAGATAATACAGGAGGGAAGGAAACGACCGCACATTGGAATCAAAAAATACTTGAAAGAAAATGAAGCCCAAATTGAAGCAAGAGAGATTGCAGAGAAAGTACGAACTTTAAAAAATCCTAATCTTAGCTTCCTTCTCGTATCCGCCACTACATAAATGGTATTATTTCCAGATTTTGTTAAGGATTTGACCGCCTTGTCGACTTCTCTCCATCTGCCCATAGGGTCTCCGTGTGATTTCTCCTCTCAATGTGTATCTGATGCACATTGTTCGGACCTCAAATGTCGGGCATCCAAGTGCAATATTAATGCGGATTGCCGATTGGGAGAGATCTGTAGAGACGGGAAAATCCATGGGTGAATGCAAAAGGGATACTTTGGGATTAAGAATAAAAACCCAGTCAAAGATGGTTAATATTACCAGAATCCAATTTATTTTTATGTCCAGTTCTTGGAAGAAATATACATAATATTACAATGTTTGAAAAGTGATTCCTTCTTGTCTGAGATCATTCAGGCCTGCAGCAGATCTTTCGTTTTCCCTTTCTGATTCGAACACAAACTTCCTCCGGCCGATCGCAGAATCCATCGACTTCGCAACGCTGACCGGTCTCCACGTATCCCTTGGGGCATTCTAGACATCGTTTCTATCCAATGGCCAACTTACTATTAACTCCTTTACAACAAACTTTGAGACTGGGATCACACAGAGATCCCTGAGAGCAATCGGCGGATCTGAGACACTTCAGGATCTTCCCGTCGCTGTCCAAAATGGGCTCTCCTTTATTCCCAATTGTGCACTGGAGTCCTATAAAAATATTCATCAACGTATGTTGGTTGTTTTATCATTTTTATGAAATAAAAGCTGGCCTACTTCTACATTGTCCGTCGACATAAATGAATCCATTCGGGCATTTGCAGATATTCTTGGTGCATTCCATATCGGCACTCTCGAATTCTGCGCGATTCAAAGAGCTGGAACTCAATGGAGGGGACTTCCCAACACATTGTTCGGGGAGCTAAAGTATTTTCCAGTCAGAAAAGCTCGTTAGACCGAACTCACGAAGCAAGTGTCGCCGTAATAGGCGATGGGATAACATTGGCCGTCGATATAAACATCCTCGGGGGATAAGCAAGGCTTGGGGCAGCATATCTGAAACAAAGGCTATGTTGTTAAATAAATATTAGAAAAGTTAATCAACAGAAAAGCGACCTGCCCTCTTCTTGGTTGCCACATTATCTACATGACAGTAGTGATCCCACGGGCAGTCTTTGCAACCATAATTCGGAGGCTGACTTGATGGATGGGAGTGGCCAACGGGACAAACAGGACGTTCTGGAGATGGTAATGGACAGCAGAACCCCTAAGGAAAAATAAAATTGATCGGACATTGTGGTGACCCACTTGAAACAGATCCGCTTGCTTTGGGATATCGAATATTGGCACGCAGTAATACTGATTGGGGCAGTTCTTCCCCTTTTGGCTCTCGTCCACAGCGTCCATGAACACCATCGACTCAATCTCCCGGCTCAAGGGCTCTTTGTAAGCCTCGCAGCTCACAATGTTATCATCGATCTTTAATGGTTCCGCGTGATTTACGCATTTATAAGCTAAAAATTGTTACAATTACTGTCAGTTACTTACAAGTCGGTTTACAGCCGCCTTGGCCATCTCGTTGGAAACCATTTTTGCATCTGCATCCACCGGAAGTGCACTCGCTGAAAGCTGATTGACAATCCATGTCGAATTTGCAATGTTCCTAGAGTAATCCAAGTATAAATAAAACACATTAAAAGTAATTACTTTTAATCTTCTTCGAGTTCTTTTGCATGTCATTGAACCCTTATCCAATGTAAATCCCATTGATCTTACACATTCACATCTACATTCTCCATCCTCACATTCACACAAAGCACCTCCCGCACACTCCTGTCCTTCTTCGCATTCCTCGCCAGGCGTTGGTTTATTGGCCCGAGGCAATGCTTTGGCCCTTTTCACTTCTACACTCTGATCAACGACGGGTACTGTAACTTCATTCTCGGTCGTTGGTTTCTCTGTTTCAAGCAATTCACAACAAAATCCAGTTGTTTTCTCACATTCCGTGGTCTCCGGACAAGTTGTGGGAGGGGCTTGGCGGCGTTGGCAAGCGACTGGTCGATTTGTAATCGGCTCAACAATCGGCTGGCGGGGCGAGGGACAGATACGCAGCTCTAAATCAGAAAAATTAAAACGCAGGAAATGAAATAAAAATAAGAGAGGAGACTAAACTTACTGTTGCAACAAATGCCAAATGCTGGATTACAAATAGCCCTTCCCATACAAGGGATGTTCTCATCGCACAACTCAATGTATCCCCCAGAATTTCTGGTGGGACTTCCGCCGCCGGGACAGTAATCGGCTAGAAATAAACGCATCAGTTACTACACCACGCCTAAAATAGAACATGAGACAGGCTTACTCTTTTCCCCATCCCGATCCGAGATCCCAAAGCATCCCTTTTGCATTCTCCCATGGATTTTCCCGTCTCTACAGATCTCTCCCAATCGGCAATCTGCATTAATATTGCACTTGGATGCCCGACATTTGAGGTCCGAACAATGTGCATCAGATACACATTGAGAGGAGAAATCACACGGAGACCCTATGGGCAGATGGAGAGAAGTCGACAAGGCGGTCAAATCTTTAACAAAATCTGGAGATAATGCCAATAATGTAGTGGCTGATAAAAGAAGGAAGCTAAGACTAGGCATAAGTAATAGCTAAAGCCCTAATTTAAAGTCCAATATACCCCATGGATGCGGATAAACGCGATTTGTAAAGCTTTCAGGTCAGTCTAAAGCCAAGCTGGATAAACAATGACCAGCAAAAAGAGTTCAAAAATAGAAGTAGTACTTTATTTAGCCCGTTTATCGGAGATTTACATCTTTGAAAATAGACTAGGATTACTGGAACTATTTGTAGTGAGCAGCGACTTTTCTGGATACAACTAATCTCTGAATTTCACTGGTTCCGCCATAAATTTGGAGGATTTTGGAGTCGCGGAGGAGCTTTTCCACTGGATATTCGGTGTTGAAACCATTTCCACCAAAAATCTAAAAGCGAAATTTATTATTTTTTTAAAACTTTTCACGTAATAATATGTACAACCTTACCTGAACAGCTTCACACGCAGCTTTGAAGGCACTGTCGGTACTGAAGACCTTGGCAACTGACGAGTAATAAGTTGCGTCTTCCGCCTGAGCATCCACTTTCCTGGCAGCTTTCTCCACCAACAGTCTCGAGGCTTCTAGATTCACAGCCATATCTGCCAACTTAAAACCAATCCCCTGAAAATATTATTATCAATAAAACCTCATGTTCAATATAAAAATTATTCAATAAAAAATATAATACCCACCTGATGATCAGCGATTGCTTTTCCGAAACACTTCCTGGTGACAGCATATTGTCCAGCTTCATCTATACATCTCTGTTGTACCCCACATCCCATGGCAGCAACAATTGGTCTCGTTCGGTCAAAGGCTTTCATGGCCAATAAGAATCCTTGGCCCACATTGCCAACAACGTTCTTAGACGGAACGCGGACTCCTTCCAGGTTAAGACTACGGGTGTCTGAACAACGTTGTCCCATGTTTCTTTCCTACAAAAGATAACAATATCAAAAACAAAGTAATGATCCAAGTGTAATATAATAGAAGTAAAGAGTCACCTTCTTTCCAACACTAACTCCAGGCAGATTTCTATCCACAATAAATCCAGTGAAAGCCTTGCTTGGAGACGCTTTTGGATCGGTTTTAGCGAGAACAAAATAGTAAGAGGCAAGACCACAATTCGAGATCCAAACCTTTGTTCCATCAAGAATGTAGTCGTCTCCGTCTTTGACTGCCTTTGTTTTGGCATTCGCGACATCCGAGCCAGCATCGGCCTCAGTCGTGCAGTATGCCTAAAATAAACTGCTTAGAATATTTGACAAACTGAGAAATAATATTCTTCACAACAACTTACAGCAAGAATAGGCTCCTTCAAACTCCATCCCATATATTTTTCCTTCAAATAATTACTTCCAGCATATAAAATAGGTATCTGAGCCAGCTCATTGACCATCAACGAGGTTCCAATCGCCGTGTCTCCATAGGCAATCTCTTCGTAGATCTTTGTTTTGGCAGCCAATGTCAGATTCAATCCACCAAATTCTTCGGGAGTGTCTGTGTTCATCAGCCCGAGGGCATGGGCTTTCTTTACGATGTCCCATGGATACTAAAACAATCGCAATTCAAAATATCAGAAGATGAATTGTATAGTTGTAGTAAAACAAGTGAATTTGAACAACCTTTTCAGCGAGATTTCTCGGATTTCACAGGCAGAAAAATAAAATTTATTAGAGAAGTCTATAAAATTCATCAGCGCGACGCGTAAAACGAGAGGTAGGTCCAGAAAAGCTATATTCAATTCATGGGGTAAAGCATGACACTTATAAAAAATAACCTCGTCTTTAATATGGTATTCGTGGAAACATCTTATTTTCCCTCTTTCTCAAGTCAAAATGACCCATTTTATAAAAGCGAACAAATATTTCCTCTCACCTCCCCGGTTTCGTCGAATTTTGGTGCATTTGGAACAATCTCGTCACGGCAGAACTTTCGGGCAGTGCTTTGAAACTCCTCTTCGATGGCCTGAGCTTCTTCATTCTTCCGGATCATGGAGATTGACATCCATCTTCGACTGAAAACACTGGGACGAAGCAACTGCAAGGATCTGGACATGGCTGCAAAAGAAAAATGAAAGAAACATCGAAAGATTGGAAAAATGGAAGTGAAATTGAACCGACCACTCAAAGAAGCAACTGTTCGCGCAATTTCAGGTAATAATTTCACGTTTCCTTATTCGGGTATAAGAAACACTATGGATAACATAAATTCAATTCAAAATGAGGTTTCCTAACAAGTTTATTAAGGATAACAAAAATACAAGTCCAAGATAAAGAGTGTTATCTGAAATGGACATGAATTTGATAACAAACCAACGAAAAGTATAAAAGAAACAGAAAGAAGCGATCTTTTGATCGAAATGAGACGAAAAAGCTTTCAACGAACACTCAATGAAGGATCATTTTGGAACGTGGTTGCTCCTTCGTTTCCCGTATTCTTTGGGCAATCAACTCGATGATTTAGCCAATGAAATCTTGTTTATGTTATTCCTATTTCATCTAGTATAGCATTAAAGTTGCACATGTTGCAGGGCAATATATCGAAATAAGAAAACGCTTTGATTTATGAACAGGTCATCTGATTTGAAACAAGTTTATTTCAAGAATAATGTTATTATTATCAGGTATTTACTTATACTCTTTTATGTACAATGTATCTACAACACAAATAAATTAGGCTTTTGTGATGATCTCCACAGTGGAGGCATCGTTTTGTTCCATCTTGACGTGGATTGAGGTGTCATTGCCAAACGGAGCGGTCAAGTCCAAGGGTTCTGTCCCTGAGGCATCAGACAGTTCTTCGGGGTCATCTGATTGTTGGGAATCGATGACAAAGAAAGTCCTGATGGGTTGGATGACTTCGGGTTCTTCTGGGATGGGATCATCGGCTTTCTTGAACTTGGATCCTTGTACTTCCACGCATTCTCCCTGAAGCAACGATAAATAACTCATAATGGACGGTTGCAATCATGGGCAAAGTAATATTATCTTGTTCCCTAAAATCCTGTATTTATTTTTTTTACCTTTTCATCCTTTTTGTTGAAGTCCAATTTGAGTTCGAATCCAGGTTTGCATTGACAAGTAATACTCTTCTCATTACAATAAGAGTTGTTGACATAGCATTGTTCCTCTCGAACTACAGTATCCAAGCAAAATCCTCCCAAGGTTCCATTGGCTCTCTCGTCGACAGAATCCATGAACACGACTGTGGTGAGATCATGACATCTTCCAGCAATGTTCAAGAATCCCTCTGGACATTGTTGTACGCACTTTGATTCATGGATCAGTTTGTTGTCGAGACAAGCACAATATCCCTTGAAGCATTGAGTTCCATTGGTCCTTTGATTGCATTGTTCATTGTTCTCACATCCCTGTTGACCCACAAAGAACACTGAAAAGGGTCAGCGTTATGAAGAACCAATAATCTTTTCGCTTTGTCATCCTGCCATCACTTACTTCGTTTGCAAACTCCACTGATATTGACTGTTCCTGGTGGACATCTTATCAGAGTAATGTTGTCAGGCAGAGCCAGTGCTGGAATGACCACTGACACGTTCTTGACCTCATTGTCTCCATTTCCATAGGGAACACTCACTGAGTTGGCTCCATCTTCTGGTGGAGAATAAGCGGGCATCTGATTTGGTGGTGCTGGAGTGGCCTTGAATACTGTCTGATTATCCAATGGGACTGTAGTGCAACATTGAGCATTTCGGCCGTCTGGATAATTGGAATAACAAGTGAATCCACTCGGGCATTTGTTCCATGTAGAACAGAGCTGGGCTGTCTTCGTTTGCATATTGAGAAGAGGTTTGGACCATGGAGGACAACTAGCCACAATATGGGCAGCATTGGGGATCTCCAAAAGACCCTGAGGGGAAATGTTGGGGAGGCCTTGAGCAACTTGTTGCCCAAGTTGTTGTCCCATGATATTATTGAGATCCGGAGGGGGGATTAGATTCTGTGGGAGTTGGGGGAGTGCATTCATTGGCTGCATATTATTCATCATCATGTTAGGATCGATTCCTCGGGGTGGCATGGCTTCTAAAACGAAATCATCGAATCTTTTTATGTTATTGACAAGACGGGGATCCTCTTTTCACCTTCCCCAGTTAATCTCTTAATCTTTGTTAGACTCCCTTCTCTACACTCGCTCTACCTCCGTTCACTAGAATCAAGAATGGCAGTCCCATGGCCAACTCACGGTTCGCATAAGGATTGGAATTGGTGTTGGGCTGGCGATTGTAATGTCTGAAGGGGCCAGCGCTGAACTTGCTCATCACGCTGTTCTGACTGGTTGTGTCCACTGGCGCACAGCAATAAGAGTTCTGCTTCTCCGCACTATAGACACATTGATAGGCAGCGCTTGTGGGGCATGGATTTAGGGCCATATGACAAGTTGGGGGCTCCACCGAATTCAAGGGCATGTAGGGGACTTGAGAGGGGGGACAATATCCTTCATATCTGTTGTCTGTATTCGTACAACAAACATGAGCGTTGGCCATTGTACTGCGTTTGCAAGTGTAGCCTCCGGGACATGAGTTAAGTTCGGGATCACACAACATGTTCTTGTTGGTCTCTGAAAAACGATTACATTACACCTGAAATAAAAAGGGTTGAAAGTTGGTGTTTATGAACTTAAACTCTTACTGGGGTCATAATATCCATAGCCATTAACGCATTCAGGACTCTGATGATCCACAGCTGAACAACAGATGTGAATTCCACCATTCCTGGCTGGAACGCAGTCATATCCGGTGGGACAGGACTTCTTATTTGGTGGGCACACTAATGGTCGTTTTGCATAGAGGAAGGGTGACTGTCCCACAGGACACTGAGCAGAAGAGGGACGACTTTTACAACATATGGCCCTGTCCTTCGATCCCTCACAACTAAAATAAAGCCATCTCATAAAGTACAATATAATCGTACCTGTATCCCTCAGGGCAGTTGTTTGCCATCCAATTACACCCCAAAGGTTTTCGTGATCCCTCAACCAAGAATGGAGTAGAATCAGCTGGACATCTATCCCATGCAGGACAACAATAATACTGATCATCCGAAGCCATGTCGCATTCATATTCCTCTGGGCATTCGTCATCGCGATCAGCTGTGCATTGCTGAGGAACTCGCGATCCTAATGCAAAGTAAGGAAGAGCTCCATCTTTACATTTTGGGACTACTTTAGGAACTTTAGAGTATGTTGTTGTAGGTGCTCCTCTAACACAGCAAATATCGACCCCTTCAACTGTTGATGGAGAACATGAAGAGCCGCGCGGACATCCAGTCTCATCGTCCGAGCATGTGAGAACTTGTTTCTTGGCGATGTAATAAGGTCTCTTTTTCTTCTGACACTTGGGAGTTGTCTTACAACAAACTCCTCTGAGGCCATTGCCCAAACAAAGGTATCCTGGGGGACATCCTTCGATCTCATTGATGGTACATCTCTGTCCATTTCCTTGAAGACCCGAGGGACATTTGGGCGACATATGCTGTACTTGTTTCATGATGGATAAAGAGCTCAATCGACGGATTCCAGCATTGGAACAACACATGTAGAAGCCGGAGACGGTTCTAAAGCAGAACATGTATAAAAAGCAAATATTGAAGAGTATTCTAATAATTGAAGTTGAATGTTTACCCGCTCTGGACACATTGGAAACCTTGCGGGCAATTGTCATCATCCGGGAGACAAGCGACATGAGAGTCTGAGCCTGGGATAACATAAGGCAATCTGTTGCTAGGACATTGAGCCGTGGAACTACAACAGATATGCTCTCCGGTTGAGGAAATCACGCAAGAAGAACCCTCAGGGCAAGAGTTGATCGAAGTGGGAGAGCAGGCCTAAAATAAAACAAATGAAAAAAGATTGACTGGATACAAGCTGCACATAATTTTAAAACCCACCTGATTCCCTTCCTTGGTCAAGAACGGGGTCATACCTCGAGGGCATTCGCCAAGTTTATGGACGCATTGTTGTTGGCATGATTCTCTATCCGCAAAACGATTCGTCGTTCCTCCACATCCACTGTACATGAAAGGCATACAGACCTCGTCGTGGCTGTCATAATACCAGAAGGTTCCGGGCTTCTGTGCCAAACAAGTGTGTCCAATACTCTTCGGGGCGTTACAAGAAGTCTCGGCATGGGGACAACAGTATCCTTTGGTGTTACACCAACTTCCTTTTGGACAAGGAACATTCGGGGCACATCTCTTTACATATTCTCCATCTTCGGACATGGGAGCGACTCCATTACAAGCTAAAATAAAAGGAAATCAAGAGGCTTTCCCATGTTTTGAACAATGAGCTCATCATATGTCATTTTCTTACCATTGAGAGCTGTTGCTTGGCAGGATTGCTGGCAATCTTCCTTGGTAATGAAGTTATTTCCACTTCCTCCACACCCATAATATTGATATGGCTCACATCTTCCGCTCTCGGCGTTGTAACGATATCTCTGGATGGTCATAAAGGTACCAAAACATGCTTCTCCGGCAGTCGGCTGGTCTCGACATAAAGCTTCTAAAAGCGAATTTCGTTAAAAGGCTGAAAAATAGCCTTATTTCTCTCGCAATTTTTTGTTCATTCGGAAAAAGCGTTTTTTTTTCTTCCGAAAGAAAAGCAAAAAAGAAAGGGCTTCCGAGCGTGAGCAGCGTGGCGCAGTGGAAGCGTGCTGGGCCCATAACCCAGAGGTCGGTGGATCGAAACCACTCGCTGCTAATCTTTTTATTTTTACTCCTTCTTGTAATATTTGTGTTGTTGTTGTGATTGAAATGTTATGACTTACCCTTATTTGAGCAACAGATGTAACTAGCTCCAAACAGAGGTTGTAGACAAGAGTAATGAGATGGGCAAGAGTCCGAGGCTGATGGTGAACAGGTTGCAATAGCTGGGCCGGCCTTCAATCCCCGGCCGGATGGACATTGATTGTCCAAGCAGAAGCCCTCACACTGTTCTAGCGAGTCAAAGTTGTTCGAGTTTCCTCCACATTGACTGTATTGGAAGGCTCGGCAAGATCCAGTGGATTGGTCAAAGTAGTAACGAGTGGTCGCGGGGATTCCGCTGGCTGCACATTGACGTCCAGAGTCACGAGGCTGATTGCAAACATGTTCTGAAAGACTGTGATTACAAGTTTGAAGCTTTAATGTCAAGGAGTTTTGAGGTATTCTTACCAGGAGCTGGGCAGCAATATTGAGCGCCGTTATTGGTGACGCACTGGTAGTTATTCGGGCATGGGTTCTTGTCCGAACAAGAGGTGATCCCTCCCAATGGCTGACCAGTCGGACACATTCCTAAAGTTTTGTTGTTAGAATAGCCTGTGGGCATTATTGATTGTTTCACCATCAGCTTTGTTGCCAGTAATCGCACTGTAAGGAAATTACAAAATTTAGCCTTCACCAAGTGAAAATTGGTCACTCGTGAGAGACAGCACAGGAAGAACACACAATTACAGTGCAAATACCAGTATTAACATCAAGAAATCAGCAATTTCATACATGATGACGTTACGCGACCACATCAATCACTCGTGTACAATGTAATGATTGATACTCACCTTTGGTTGGGCAACAACGCCCATTCCGACAGCTATGCCCATTGGGACATGGATTCGAAGCCGAGCAAGGATTGGGTTGGGGCAATGGAGGATCGCCTCCACAGACATCTGATGGGGAAGTTGAGGTGTCAGAGCAACAGACGGCTGTGTTGAACATTGAACTGCGAGTACAGACAAACCCATTTGGACAGGTACTACAACAATTACAGATTAATCCAAATTATCACCAGTTTCCGTAACACTCACCTTGGATCAGCCAAATTACATTGAACATGGCTTCCACTGTTGGGATTTACGTATCCCGCCGAGTTCAGAGGGCATCCATAGTCTCTTCCACAACATCTCGTCAGACTTCCACCCACCAGATTACAGCCAAATCCAATGGGGCAACTCCCAGGAGTATTTAGAGCACAGGCATGGGGGATTCCAGTCAAAGGCTCGAAGAAAGTGACCTGATTACCCGCGCAAAGAATACTGTCTTGGATGCTGGGCTCCACCGTGTGCTGACAACAGTAGGAGGTACCAGTCCGGGAATACAAAATACAGGCGTAGCCTAAAATATTATTTTTGGGATTTGATGCCAAGTATAATATGCTGATAACTAAACATCTGATTTTCAGATTTCCTTAAAATTTTTCACGCTTTCTAATAAATAATAGTGCCAAGTTACATTAACATTTGCACAACAAATTTCGAGAAATTTCCATTATATTCCACACGACCTACCGTCTGGACAGCTGGGAATTTGAGGGTTGCAAGCGACCGGTGCACCCAATTTGGTCAAAGGTACCCCTCCACTACAAATGTCGTCTGGAGCTTGGAATTGAGGCTGTAGGAAAGGATCAACTTCATCTACAGCATCTTTCAGAGGTTCGTCCCTTGCGGGCTCATCTTTGACGGGGATCTTTGGGGGAGGTGTGTTTTTATTCAAATTCTCAAAATCGCAATCTCCTTTTGTCGCATTAAACTCCTTGCCTGAGGGGCAATCACGTTTTGCTAACGTGCTAAAATCAATTTGCATTAGTATCAAGTGCAGTACATTCAAAGTGTAACATCAAACCCCCCTTACCCGTCTGTATTACAGTAAAAGTAACTGGTTTTGCTCTCTGGATTCTCTTTCCGTCGAAATTCCTTGGGATCGCATTCTGTGGCTGTCGCAAAACCCACATATATTAGCTGAAATTACAGTAATCCTTCGTGTTAATCAAAGACCTACCAATATCAGGACATGACCCCTTATCCTGAGCATCCTCTGAAAGCAATTGAAATAGTCAAAAAAGTGTAAAAAGTAATGTAAATACAATAGTTAACGCGATTTTGGAACCAGAATTAGGGACTGGACTTCCGTCCGCGCAGTGCAAGGGAAATGGATGGACAAATAGAAAGAGCGACTCCGGAAGATGACCGGAGACTTCTGAAGTCAAATATTCAAGTTCGCGGGGTACGGGACGACGTCGGATCTCACTTTCATCCATTATATTGTCATAGGCACTGAGATAGAAAATTCGAGGTTTGTCGGTAAATAAGTGCAATACTTGTCAAAAAAAGGTTTAGCCATTTTTTTCCTGCTAACCTGTAGGCTATTTTCAGGTGTCTCCAATGCGAATTCGTATCTCCTTGACCCCTGAAACAACGATAATATCGAATTTCCCAGATCAGAATCGGGAAAGTATCGGGTTGCAGTAGAAGTTTCTACAAAAAGTGAAAACTCAAACTGATGACTAACCGAGTAGTGACCAGGAGATCATTAAAGGTTGTTTTGAAATATTATAATAACTTTTGGCGATGGCCACTCCCGGTCTGAAAAAAGGTCGAGAGTGCGCGAAAGGGCCTTAAGCAAACAGAAGCTCAGACTTGGGGATAAAAATAAAGACGGCGTGGTGTTTTTGAAGACGATTGGAGGGAGAGGCGGGGATCGGTCAACTTTCTAAATTGCACTTGACACTAGAAGAAGATATTTAAATTGGAATTTTTTGGATGAGGAAAGGTGATATAAAATGGTCCGAGAATGATTGATAACTCTAAGAGAAGGTTTCTGTTTGGGTTTAGCCTCATGCAAAGTATAGCAGCAAAAAGAATAGCGATTTTTTGAAGGAAAGATGGAATAAATTTAAAAATTCAATTTTTGTCATCATGGCTACAGTAATCCTTTTTTTATAATACGAGAATTAAAGGCTGGAGTTTCGTCCACCGAGTCTATACATACCTTTTATTTATTGGTCACCGATTTCGTCAAGAACAATAGAAATCAGTAGGTCCTCTCTACCGTAACCCTCTTCCTTGCTCAAGTCCCAAATTACTCTACTTTTTGGTCCCACCACCGCCTCGAAATACAAGCTCATCTGCTAACCGGCTCGCTGACTGACCTCTTGAACCACCTCCAGCTCCCCTCTTTAAAGTATTTGACAGTAATTAACTTTTTTCGCCCCGGAAAGTGCGAAAACCGCGCGGAACAGCGGCCGCGACCAAATCCGCTTCCAATTTCAAAACTCTTTTTTGGTTTTGTTTTTAGCGTTCAGAAATGGGGACCAGTTGAGAGGTCGGTCGTGCGAGGCTGATTAGCTAATTGGAGGGCCTAAGGGCTCGGCTTTGTTTGATCAAGTTTTCATATGTTTGGCGATGGATTCGTTCAGTCCGGGAGATCAATCGGGAACGGGGTCTGCAAAGGAGGAGCTGATCTGCATGGAGAGAATCAAAAATTAACCCAAAGTGCAGGTGCTTGGCTGAACTCCAAAACATGGGATGCTAACAGCACAAGTTTGTATATAAGAGCATTTACAAAAGAAAAAAAAATGGCTAGATTTGTACATTCTATACAAAAAATGCGAAAATCGTACAAAGAAACAAGTAAATATAAGATCTTCACAACAAATGATGTCATTATCGATGGCCTTATTTTTGTTCTCAGCAGAGATCCTTTCGTATTTTAACTTGTTAATTTTCTTCTTTATCGTAGTCTCTTTAGCTCCGAGGATTTTCTGCTTTTTGTCGGCGAAATTTTTATTTTTAGCGATTCACTTCAAACTGATCAGATTAAATATAACCCCTCCGGCAACAAGATTTGTTTGTTTTTGCAATGAGTCATTCGACAAACCGAACACCAATTTCATTGCAATTCGGGGTTTTGCAAAGAAATCTTTAAAAAGTAGTCATTCAGATCATAAAAATTTATTTCGAATTCGAATACACTTTGCAATTATTGTTTAGTTTTGAGATTTTGAAGTCTTGGGTGTCCGATTGGACCGTTGAGATCTCTGATTGCGTTGGGAACGCTGAGTTTTGGGCTGATCGAAGGTGGAATTAAAGGAATCGCGAAGACTTTGCTGAAGTTTCCGAGATTCTTTGGCCGTATCCGAGAAGTTTTTGCCAATGCCAAGCCGATGGAGGTCTGAAATATTCAAATTTAATCCAAAAAATTATTGAATTTCTCATGGAGAATATCATTTACCCATCATATGGCCGGTATATCCAGGTGCGGGTGTTCCGTTTCCGTAATATCCTTGGTTGACTTCGGATTCGACAGCATCCGCAGCTTCTCGCGGCTAAAATATGCAATGTATGAGATGTATTATTATATTAATCATGACAGTTGATAATAAAACATACTGGTTCTCCCGTATTGGGTATGTTATTTCTTTCCCGATGCCTCCGAATATTCCTCAAAGCCTGTCCTTCACTCCACCATCCACTGCCCGCTCCATTTAATGCGTCATAATCTGGGGGGATATTCAAATTGGCCGCCCCTCTTCGGGTATCTAAACATTGCAAAATTTGTTAAATTCATGATGGGATATCCTCGGATTTGTTTGAAATTTGGCTTGTTAACGCTTGCTAGGACAGATATCAACTGCTGAGAATTTGGTTCATCCATTACAAAGGAGAGTCAAAGTATTGTGCGATTTCAGGCAAGAGAGTACGGAAATTGGGGAGACGCGGCCGGAGAAAAATATTTTTTCGATAAATTTGTATAATTAAAAAGAAACATTGCGGTTCGTTATATATAATATATAAATATATTATTAAAACAGATTCCCAACTTTTAATTGTTTTATCCAAGACTAACATGCCATTTTCTAAAGTCATCCCTCTTACCGCGCGGAGTTTTTGGTTCCGATCTGGCTCTTTTACTCCGAGATGTCCTCGACGCCCTCGATCCTGCTGATCTCCTTGTTCGGGAAGTCCTTCTCCCAGTCCTCCCATTCCCATCTTCATCATGAATACTTAGCCTGTCTGTGTTATTGGCAAGATCGTGGACTGAGCGGCTTCGGGAAGGGGGCTGGTTCTGGTTTACTGCAAGCAACAGGTTTACGACCTTTGGATAAGTTTTTTCTGTTGATTTGGGCTTATTCAACAAGTAGCAAGAACATTGTAGAGGTGACTCAAAAGGCTTGAAAGAAGCTTTTATAGTTTGTAGAGTACTTGAAATGCTTCGCAACCAAGAAATCTCTTCCTCGCGGCTTATTTCGCAACTTTAAAAAGTCGAAATTTGGCAAAAACCCTCTTCGGTTATGTGGAAAGATAGTGAGAATAAATCAAATTTGCATTACGTAATAGTATTTTTCTTACCATTTAGCATACTCGGATGTACAGGTATCTGAAGGCTGGCTGATGAGGCATCCAATGCGGGAACGAATTGGACGGGGATTTGAAAGACGGGGCCATTCATTGTTGTGTTTAAAGTATTCATTGCCTGCGGGTATTGGGATTGGGCTTGTTGTGAGAGCTGACTGTGCGAGGTCTGGCCATTCCTCTGACTGCCACGACTTCCTCGAGTTTGCCGGGTTTGCCTCTAAAATATTGCGTTGAGATGTATAACGGATCAGTCGTTCGCCAAAAAAAACGACAGAGGAGGTAATACGGCTAAAGTCTGTCAAATTTGCTATTGGACCCTTCGTTGTAGAGAGAGTCCTTTCCGATTTCAGTTTATTGTAGCAGTTTAGACTTTTCAAACTGGCCTCAAAAAAGAATAAAAATATGTGAAAGGTGAGCCTCTGAGCAACTTACTCCCTCCGTGACCACAGGATTCCCTTCCGAATCGTATTGGTAATTTATTGATGCTGCTCCGGTTAAGGCTTCTGTCGGCTCGGCATGCTCAAGTAATGTTCGGCTAAAATGGAAAAGCATTACTCATTCAGATAAAAAACTCAATTGTTAGATTGGGTGGGTATGCGGAAGCCCATAGGCAATCTATAACACCTTTTATAACCGCTCTTGGAACTCCAACATTGCCAAGAAGCCGCTCCCTTTCCATTCAGCCCCTTTATTCTCTGAAACAATGTCGGCGTCTTACCTTGGAGATTTGGCGGACCGCGCGGTGAAGGCGCCTGTCCCATCGTGGCCGCGAAAGTACCGTTGGCCCACCAGAAACTTGTCGCCCGGCTTGTGGCCCATGTAGCCGGTGATCGGGGAACTCTGCCGATACGACGCACCCAAATCATTCATCCTCGATAAATGCAGGCCGAGGATATGGGTTTCGGAAGAAGGGGGAGAAAATAGAAAATTCAGAGGCTCGTAGCAACCGAAGAAGAGAAAGAAATCGAGAGTACTAAAAAGGGACGGGAGGAAACACCTAACTACTATATACTACCATCTTTTTACGATTCCGAGACCACCGAAAAAAGTTGTGAGCATGGCTGACAAAGGGCTGATGAGGACGAACAGAGGTGTTCAGAATTCATAAACAATCGGGAAAACGGCGTGTTTGATGAAAATTGGAGGGTATTGTTTTTTGATGGAAATAATAAATAGAAGTAAAAATTCCGAAGGGGAGTTCCAATAGCGTAACAATTTCGGCGCGGGAATACCGACGACGTTTTGAAAGTACTAGCTAAAAGTCTCGTGTCTGTTTTATAAAATGCTAATCTCTATCTGTGCCAAGTTTAATCGTAGGATATGATTTGCACTTCAAGTTCTTCCCCTTTTATTTAGAAGACATCGAGAATGGAGTGCAATGTCAAAGAGAAGCCAACATAATCCTTATTTTCTACTCTGGAATATTGCAAATCTTTCGTTATATTTCAATGTTCTGGCAGCTGCTTATTTATTCGGTTTCCGGATGATTATAGCCCCAGGAACTTGCTCACCCCCTCCTCGCCCAATTTCACACTTTCAATGCCGCGAGTGCAAATGTTCTCTATTAAAAACCTGGTTTATTGTAAAAATACTTGTCAAGAGACCGTAAAACAAGTGGATTTGTCATTGCCGAGTTTCCCGAACCTTTCAGAGTTGAAGGTAAGGCCGTTTAGAGAAGTATTCTTGCAAGAAGATGACTCAACGGAGTCCGAATCTGAGGTATCCTGGCTGGAAGAGGAAGAGGAAGTTTCTGTCCGTTTTATTGCGTCCAGACGTTTGAGGAAGATTAGAAATGGAGCGAAGAGCAGGTTCAGGCCGCTCATGAAGAACATTGTGCTAAAATTATGTTGTTTATATTGGCAAGGCCCATAAGAACTTACTACTGAAATCCAAAGAATTTGACAAACGGTCCCGCAATGAATGGCCCCACTCCAAAGGCCACACAAACTGCTGAATCTCCAATCGCATAGACCGACCCATAGGCCGAAGAATGTCGCTTGTCAACCACAGCCCCAAGCATCGGGAACATGGTAGAGTCGACCATCCCCACTCCAACTCCGGTCAATCCAATGGGGACAATCAGATAATAAACATTGGGGCAAAACGGAACAGAGATACCCGCAATTCCACAGATAATCAGCCCTAAGATTGTGCACTTCCATCTCCCATATTTGTAGGTCAAGGCTCCCAAAAATTGAGTGTTAATTAAATAGCCGAGAGTCTGAGGGAAGAAGACCAGGCCTTGGACAACTGAAGAAGAATCCCATCTTTCAATCATCCACAAAGGAAGGGTCGGCTCCATAATGGAAATGGTCATGTTGCTGACGAAAATAGCAACACTTGAAATAATTACGTAGGGATCCAGAAGAAGGGTCTTCACATTAGTACCCTTAACGTCTTCTCGTTCGATTTTGGGACGGAGCATTATTGCTTGAACACCTAAAAATACAGCATTTTAAAGAAGGTTTGGTACAAAAAATTTAAGCATGATGAGAAGTGGAAGGAATCTGTCATTTGTGACCTACCTCCGTCAACAATTGTGAGCAATGCCAGAATTCCAAAGGGCAACAAAAGCCCCCCATAGTGATACAGTACCCCTCCATATAGCGGACCAACTAAGGAACCCAATGCCAATCCGCCTAAGGCCGTTGCTATTGCGCGACCCCTCTCAGATTCATCCGTGTACATTTTGGCGATCAGACCAAGACCTGCAATATCATTGGAGGTTCTTGGTTTGAGCTGTCGATATAACAGAAGAAATCTTACCAGCCGTAGTAGTAAAAGCCGACCCAATTCCTTGGACCGATCTGGCCACAAACATTGTCCAATATTGTTTGCTGAATGCAAATGTTACGGTAGAAATAATCAACAAAACAAATCCTGAGGACATTACACTTGAATATCCGATCCTAAAAAAGTCAAATCAGTCTCAAATTTGACTTGACGATTACTGCATTTCCAAGTTATTTATGTAACATGATGATCTACCTGTTAGTCAGAGGACCCGCGATTAAATTGAAGACGATCTGGACAATGGATTTGGATCCAAAGAGAGCACCAACTGGAATGCTCGTCTCAGAGTAAGCGACAGAATTGTTGTCGGCACCATGCTCTTCAATCCACAGTTTGGTCAGATAATCAGGGACAATTGGCACTAAAATTATAGGAGTTATATAACACATGACATTTGATATCAGAGAAAATTATAGACAAGAATCTCAATGTTTGAATCGTGATGACAATTACAGTGCTTTAGAAGTTACTGCGTATAAACCTACACCATTACAGTACCCTCAACGTACCAACCACCGTTGTGAGCATATAATCGATAACTAAGGCCACATAAATGATAGCAATGACCGTCTTCCGGCTGTGATTGTTAACCGTAAATTTGGTATTTCTATCATTACTTGGGGCTGCGACCTGAGACATGATGGAGTCGTCATAAATATATTCAGTTAGTGAACTGAACTCAAACTCTTGCTTTCTGAAAAATAAATATGAAGAAAAAGATTGCATAATCTGCATATAATCAGCCCTGACTGACTGCAGGAGATAAGCATAAAAAAGGAATTCAAGAGGCCAAGCAGATTGAGGACACGGTAAGCAAAAAGGGAAGCGCTTTGAGTCTTAAAAGTAGTCGGCAAGTAATCGGAAAACACACATTTTCTTTAAGAATTTATACAAATTCAAAAGATAAATTTCGCCGAAATGAAATATTTGTTTATGGAGATTAGAAATTACAGAGAAATTAGGTTTCGTAAGGTGAAAAGGATTGATAAAAAAAAGTTCTCTGGAAATAACTGGCAGTTATGGAACGAGACGTGTGCCTCGACCGGGCCAGGCAACTTTCAAACGAGTTGGGCCTGGCCGACCGTCATCGGCCATGTTGAGATTCTTGCCCGGCCTTGCCCGGAAGCCGTGTCTTAACTCAAAAAAACCTTTTGCTTGGAATCGAATATAATGCAAATTAAAGGGAGTCGTTAGTAAAGAGATGTACAGTCCTAATTGTAAGAGCTTTCGAGCTTATCAGAAAATCAAAAAAAATTTAATCACAATTTAATCCTGGGGTCAGACTAATGCCTCTAAACCCATGATAAGAACTCTTTCCAGAAAACTTTACAGCCTACCGTAAACATTCCTTATCATTTAAATAAACCTTCGTTCAAACTTTCTCGATCAATCTATCATTACCGTTCGGTAACTTTTATTGGAGAACATAGCGTTGTAAATTTAAACCAAGCATAATGAATGCTGTTATTGCCCGTGATGAGCCCAAAAAATATTGTAAAGATGTATAAAAAAAGGGTGGTATCTTATTGTTAGAGGTTGGTAGATAATGATAAAAGACAGTAGAACTAAAATTATGTGCATTTGTATGCCTCGAATCTTTTATAGAAGATCTTCCGCATTCTTGACAATAAATTTGGAGAGGAATACAGGCAGGAGATTAGGGAGCAAGGTGCTTCTAGTGTAGTCATTACATTCAATCAGACAAAAAATAAAAGATAAGTAAAAGCAAAGTATAGAGACCGGCAAAATGTTTGGGCATTTCTCAGAGTTACTGAGGTCTTCTTTTTGAGACCTTTGTAAGATTCTCGGATTTAAATATATCGGAGGCAACAAGTCCTTTAGAATTGGAAAATTACGGATCGTTTGAAGGTACTGTCATATGGTTGCGAAGTAACGAAGGCCAAAAATATTCTTTTCCAGAGAGAAGCGGTAATCAATACCACAATAACATTTGCAAAATTTTGGAAGGCGGAGGAGGAGATAACCAGTGTGAGAAAATCCGTTTAAAACTGAGAAGATAAACCGCTTGAGGGCATGGGTTTCTCGAGCTTAAGAAGTGTTTTCGAACGGAAAAATAAAGGTCACAGAGAGGTCACGAACATCTCGGGACTTGATTTTGATCTGCTCATTAGTTCTTTTCCTTTCAGTTTAAAAAGATTTTTCAAAGTACGAGTTTTTTGGGCAACTATAGGTTAAATCATACTGTAACCAAGTCACGAGAAATTTGGAAAACAATTCGCTAAACAATTTCTTTACAAAAAACCTTATTCTGGGTCAGAACACTTGCATTTTCCCATCCAGTTTTAATCAGATTGTTTTTAAAAGTCGCAGTTTTAGTTTAATAATTCCTTATATATCGCTGATATCTTTTGTCTGATCAGATCGATTGATCTTTTCTCCCAACGCAAACATTGTCGACGATGTATGAAAGTTCCACGGACCTCAGATTGAACTCAATCTTTTTGTTAGACATTTTGAAAACAAAATTAAATCAAACCCCGTTCTTTCGCTCGGCGATGACGTGAAAAGTCCGCGATTTATCGAAAAATCATTAAAACGATTATGTTTTCTAACTGATAACCCCAGTTTCATAGACAAATTCAACTAGCGAAGTGTCTGTATTGGAAATTTATATGTCACATAATAAATATTTTAATATATTGGAGAGATTTCATATGCTTAAGCTAAGAGATTTGAGAGATTTGTTGCTGGCATTGTATAGTTCTGAAGGTCGTCGTTTCCGAAGACTTAATTCGTCAGATTCCCCAGTTTTGGTAAATTCAACTCCATCAAATCCGATGGATTCATCGCTACCGTTACTTTCCTTTCCATCTGATCCGTCTAGATTCTTCAAGAGAATCATAAACGGAATGTAAAGGAGATTAATTCCGCCCATGAAGAACATGGCACTAAAAAAATTGTTTGAATCGTTGCACCATGGACCTTTAAGAACTAAAGTCACCAAAAAAGGTCAATTAAAAACTTACTATTTAAAGCCGAACCATTTGACAAATGGCCCAGCCAAAAACGGCCCTGCGGCAAAGGCCAGGCATTCCGCGGAATCGCCGATCGCAAAAACCGAGCCATACGCCGAGGAATGCCTCTTGTCCACGATTGTCCCCAGCATGGAGAACATTGTAACATCCACAATTGCTATGCCCATTCCAGTAAAGAATACGGGGAAAATAAGAACAAACCTATTGGGACAATAAGGGATCACAAATCCAGCAATTCCAATGATCAGAAGCCCAGCCATCGCAAGCTTCCACCGACCAAAACGATGAGAAATGTGGCCAAAGATTTGGGTGTTGATCAAATACCCTAAGGTCATAGGCAAAAAGGAAACCCCTTGCTCGGCCGAAGAAGAGTTCCAAGTCTCGATCATCCATAGAGGAAGAGTTGGCTGGATACTCGACACTGACATATTGCTGATGAAAAGAGACCCAATTGTAATCAAAATATAAGGATCGAGAAGAAGAGCTTGTATCTTCGGCCCTTTCACATCTTCCCGCTCACACTTCGGCCGCAAAACTATTGCTTGAAGCCCTGGAAAATAGGTAAAACACCAACAGAAACCTTGCCTCCATCGATCAAGGTCAGTACAGCTAAGATTCCAAACGGAAGTATCATTCCGCCATATTCGTACAAGATGCCGCCATAAGATGGACCAATCAGACCTCCCAGTGCCAGTCCACCAAGTGCTGAAGCTAGCGCTCGGGCCCTATCAGCTTCGTCGGTGTACATCTTTGCGACGAGGCCAAGACCTAAAACGGTCACATGCGATAACAATAGAAAAGGTAGGTATCCTCAGGAGAGAGGCCCAGAAAATTTTCCGAGTCCCATCCTTACCTCCAGTTGAAGTAAAAGCAGATCCAATTCCTTGCACGGATCTGGCCAAAAACATCATCCAATACGCCTTACTGAAGGCGAAGGTTATTGTGGAAACTGCCAAAAGCATGAATCCAATAAACATCACTAATGAGTAGCCTATTCTAAATACAAAACATTGACCATGGCGCAAAGAAATAAATCGTATCTTACGCCAAATAACCTACCGATTTGTCATTGGACCAGCGATTAAATTGAAAATGATCTGGACCACAGACTTGGACCCAAACAAAAGACCGACAGGAATACTTGTCTCAGAGTAGTCAACTGTCTCGTTCTTTTTTAATATTAGACTACCGTCCTCTATCCATAGTTTTATCAAGTAATCCGGGATAATTGGAACTGAAATCAGATAATAAAAACAGAGATGTAGTAAGATTTACCAACAACAGTCGTCAACATGTAGTCAATCATCAAGGCCACATAAATGATGACCACAACTACTTTGCGACTTCGGTTGTTAACTGTCACCTTGTCTTTTATTGGGGGATCTGAAGCTGGCTGGATTTGAGCCATGGTTACGCTAAAAAGGCACAATTTAAAATTATTATAATTACAAATCGAAATACACGAATAGAGCAAAATCTTCTGCAAAAAAGTTTGGCTTTGGTTGAATGAACTTGTAAATTATTGAAAATTGGATTTCATCAGGGTCTAACCGGACTCGGATTTTGCATAAATTATCAAGCAGCTTCCGTCGACAAACGAAACCCAAAAAATTTTCATTGCCATGAGGGTGATGTCACCAAGAGCAAAGAAAATTGCCTAATGCCGCATTAATGGTCATGTAAATATTACAAAAGTTTATCCGAACAGGATAAACTTCTATAAACTTTCAATATACGCTTTGGCTTCCCTACAATAGGTCTTGCAAATAAACTACAAAGGCAAATGCAAATCCTCGACCTATTCTAAGAGAACAGTAAAACTTCGTCAAAATCAACGATAAATTTTGATTTATTTCGTCGACAACAACAATATTATATACAGTAATCGAGTGCTATGACAGTGTTAATGACTTTAACGACTGGTTACTGGGACTATTCACTTCCGAGGACCTTCTGCTTAGGCTGATGTTATTCATCCCTTCAATGTCCTTAGGTGTTTCTTCTGTTTTTGTCTTATTCTCTTCTGTATTCGCTTTACTATCAGTCCTTTCCATGGTGTCCAATCGTTTGAGGAAGATCAGCAAAGGAGTGTAGAGGATGTTGATAATGCTCATGATGATCATCATGCTGACAGAAAAGAAAGTTTAATTTTTTTTAAATTTCCTCTCTCGTTACCCAATGATCAACTTACTATTTGAATCCAAACCATTTGACGAACGGCCCAGCCAAGAAAGGTCCCGCAGCAAAAGCCACACAAACCGAGGAGTCCCCAATCGCATACACTGATCCATACGCCGCGGCGTGCCTCTTATCGACTACAGTACCAAGCGTTGGAAACATTGTGCTGTCTACAATTCCAATTCCCAATCCTGTTAGTGTAATCGGAAGCAGTAAAAAGTAAATGTTGGGGCAGAAAGGGATCATAATGCCGGCCAATCCAATCATAATCATCCCTCCCATTGCGCATTTCCATCTGCCAAAGTTATGGGCCAAAGCGCCGAATATTTGAGTGTTAATTAGATATCCAAGAGTTAACGGGAAGAAGACGAGGCCTTGAGCGACAGAGGAAGAGTTCCATTTCTCGATCATCCACAGAGGAAGAGACGGCTCGAGGACGGAGATGGCCATGTTAGCTATCAAAATGGCACCAGCTGTGATCATTACGTACGGATCGATCAGGAGCTTCCCAACATGAGTTCCTTCTACATCCTCTCGCTGAATTGTCGGTCGAAGAATAATCGCTTGGAGGCCTCAAACAAGATGACTTCTGTTTATTATTCTGAGTTCTCACCTCCGTCGATCAAAGCGAAGACTGCCAAAATCCCAAAAGGCAACAATATTCCGCCGTATTCGTAAGTTAGACCTCCATAAGCTGGGCCGATCAAAGCTCCCAAGGCGAGACCTCCTAGCAATGTTGCAATCGCTTTTCCTCGTTCCACTTCGTCGGTGTACATCTTGGCGACCATTCCAAGACCTGAAGGATAATTTATGTTTTTTATAGAGATATTATTTTGCCTGCAGTTGAAGTAAAGGCTGATCCAATTCCTTGAACAGAACGGGCAAAGAATAAGGTCCAATAAGCCTTGCTGAAACCAAAAGCGATGGTGGAAACTACAATTAAAATGAATCCAACGAACATCACAATAGGGTATCCAAGGCTGGAAAGTTATTAAAATTATATCGTACATGTGATGATAAATAAATCGTCGAAGAAGGGCCAAGGTTTTTAATTGACTCACCGATTGGTCAAAGGCCCGGCAATCAGGTTGAAAATAATCTGAACTACCGATTTGGAGCCAAAAAGAAATCCGACAGGGATGCTGGTCTCAGAGTAATTGACCGTCTCGTTCTCTGCCAGTACAATACTCCCATCTTCGGTCCACAATTTAATCAGATAATCCGGTATAATTGGAACTGAAATGAAACAGATTCACTATAATATAGATTCAAATCAAATAACACTTACCAACAACAGTAGTCAACATATAATCGATCATAAGGGCCACATAAATAATTGCGATGACAACTTTTCTGCTTCTGTTTCCGATCTTAACTTTCGCTGGCTTTGTTTCCGTAGTAGCAGTTGTTGTTGTAGTTTCTGATGGCTGTATTTTTGTCATCTCTATCTAGATTGATTATATTATAGTAGGCAAGAGGAAACAAAGATGGTGACAGTAGAAAATATTATAGAATAGAAGGAATTTTAAAAAGCCGTCGACAACCGACGGGTTTGGGAGGTTTGAAAATGAAGATTTAAACTTTTTAACACAAATTTACAAAAATATTTTATGATAAAGATCTATCGAGATTTGTTTTCTGTATCAACTAAACCAAAAAATTTGTGATCAACTAGTCTTTCTAGCACTTCCAAACATTTAAAACCGAATAGTAATCAACGACAAACTGATCTGCTTTCCCAAAAACGGTTACAAGTTGGATCTCTTTATTCCATTTGGTATGATCGACTACTTTTTAAGCCCTCAGGGAACGAGAAATCACTCAATGCGCCGATAATTTATTCAACTTCTCCTCAACATATTCAAAAGACCAAAAATTAGGGGATTATCTCGAGGGGAAGGTTGTAGGTTCAGAGTTATATTCGATGGTCCCCATTTTATAGCCTTTCCTCTATCCATTTATCACATCATCTTTGGTCTTATGATATAAAAAATTTAAAATCAAAATTTGAGGATTACTAACAGAAAATTAGAATGTTTTGGTTTTGAAAAAAATCATTTTGGACACTCGAGAACATGCGTTTTTAAACTGTAGGAAATTGAAAAACCAAAGAATGAGAGTTCAGTCTGAAGAGAGCTTATACTTGGCTGTGTTCCGTATAGCTAATCAAGGGGGTACCTCGGAGGTGACTTTAATTTTCTGTGACATAATCTTTTCTAATCATCAACTTTTTTAAAAGCAAGCTATATAGAAGCGATTAGCATCCAGAATACACCGCGTAAAGGGTGCCTTAAAAAAGTTTTACCTCTTAAAATCAATTAACTCAATCACTATGGTCTAATGGCTACTTATAATGTCTGATCAGACCTAATACAAATACGCTTTAAACCCAAATTAAAACTACATTACTGCAACGACAACGACGATTGACCCCCTTACAATAAAATTATTTTGTTTGAGAATGCTCACATTCAGTAACTGAGTAAATTTCGGTGAAAACAAGTAAGTGTAAATAACTGTCCTATATCCCAAATAATCAGATATAAATCTTGCACTCTTGTTTTGACAACAAGCATTAGTAATGAATGTTTTTTGAACCCCTTGTTTTTATCGTATTTTCAGAGTTTCAAAAATGTTGACAGGAATTTTGCAGCTGTTGATCTTTTGATTGCATCTTTGTTAAGACGGAATTAATATACAAAATAAGGAAACGTTTAAATGGGATAAAGAAATGGCTTCTTTAATTCAAAGTTTAGCTTTTTTGGTTTCCATTTACAAAGTTCTTTGATGATTACTTTTTACCATATGAATTTAAAAAAATTTTTAAATAGCAAGTCAGAAAATACTGCTTACTAATAACAGTTGTACTTATTGTTGTAAACATTATTCAGCGAGTTTTGTTGACCATTTCTGGCCGGATAATTGAAGCCAGTATGGCTGTAAAACTGGCCAGAGAAGGTTGTAATCTTGTACTCTATTTATGATTACAAAATACCTCCTTTCCTTGTTAATTCAATGTACACAGAGGATTTCTCATGTCCATTAGAAACATTTCAAATTCTGATGACATAATCTCCGGTACTCTTTATCTGATCCTTTCCCATTACGTGCAAATCTTGTGAAATCCATTTTCGCAAACACAAAAAAGAGCGATCTCCGCAGATCCTCGAATAAAAATATAAAGGGGACCGATCAGATGGCGATAGACAGAAAGCAAAGGCCAAAGAACTCGGCCCTTTCCTAATTTATTCTGGCTCAATGAGTTCCCAACTTATAAATCATATCGAATATTGCGTCGGGAATGCGCTGCAGGTAGTTTTATATTTAATTGTAGGCATTTTAGAGAGCTTTTGGCGGCATTTTAGTACATGTTGCAACAAGGCTTTGGAAAAAGTTCCTTAATTTACGTTTTGCCATCTTTTCAATTCAAACTTTTTGACAGAAAGCAATGTTTTTTGTATTCCTGGACTAATTTTTCTGATTGAGGCGTCTTTTTGGTACTGTACCTCCTTCGGATTCGAAAGATTTGCTCAAAAACGGACCAAATTTATATTCTCCATCGCTGTTCGAAATGGAAATGTAAGCAATAGGATCCAAACACATTTTAATTTCAATGTTTACAGAGTATTCTGGTCTTTTCCAGTCCCAACTCCCCATCCGAACCCAATCTTACCCACCTGTTATCCATCCATGGTGATTTTGTCCACAAAATTGGATTAAAAGTGGATAATTTGCGGAAATTTGTTCAAATTGCTGATCAAAAATCGATAAAAATTATTGAACAAGTTGAGAGCGAACAAGATGAAAATGGGGAGATTCTCCAAGCGAGAATTCAGGGGTCCAGTGGTCATATCGAATATGAGATTTTTGAAAATGTCAATTATAATGGGGTGTTTCTGCCTGGATTTGAGGAAATTCAGAATTTTGGATTCTGTGAATCGCTGTAAGTACGACTAATATCCTTTTTTTGATTTCTGAAAATAAATTTTTCTTTGATGTCTAGTATAATCTAATTTCCAGCCCTCCAATTTCCATCTCTGGCATCGATCATTTTGTTGAAGCCCACGAATCCGGGAGTGTGGATTCGGTGGTTGATTGGTACAATAAAGTCCTGAAGTTTGAGAGGTTCTGGTCGATTGATGACACCCAAGTTCACACCGAATACAGTGCCTTGAAAGCAGCTTTGGTCGCGAATAAAGAACGGAACATCCAAGTGACGTTGGTCGAACCAGTCCAGACCGAGAAAAAGGGGCGGGGACAGGTGCAGGTAAGGCTGGATTTGATGAGTTTGATTTTACAGTAAGATTCTAACCCAATAAGACACGGCATAACGCATTTTCTATTTTTCTGAGGTCTCGTTGAGGAGTAAAATATTATAAAATCCTTTACTAGGCGCGACATAAAGTCCGTAGAATTTTGCACAGTGCATTCAACCCTTTTTTTCGCACGCACCGCGGCGGTTCTCCGTTTTTGCACTAGCGACATGCACTTTTCGGCGATTGCACCCGCGACGTCGGCGAAAAAATTCTACGGATTTTATGGCGCGACTAGTACAAAAAATTCGTTTTTTTTTGTAAATTTTCGACGGGGACATTCTTGTTTTCTCATCCCATTTCTCATCTTTTTCCATGGCCTCTCGCCCGCAAGCCTTGTTCAAGATCTCGCATTGATCCTGTAACCATAGGTGCCTGGAGAACTTGCCCACTTTGAATCTACTAAACTCATCAAAATCACGGCCTTTTGTTTTTCCAGGAATTCCTTGACTTCAATTCGGGCCCAGGAATTCAACACATCGCTTTTGTCGTCGATGACATCATTGAGGCTGTCGCGGAAATGAAAAAACGAAGCGTGGAATTCCTCTCGATTCCCTCTGAATATTATGATAATATTGAAAAAAGGTTGGAAAAGAGTGGACTCAAGATAAAGGAGGACATGGAGAAGATCAGAGAGGGCCAATTACTCATTGACTTCGACGAAAAGGGATACTTAATCCAATGCTTTACCAAGCCAGTCCAGCCGCGACCAACTTTTTTTATCGAAATCATCAAAAGAAACAATTTTAATGTAAGAACAACATTAATTTAGTGCTTGCTATTACAGTTTTAAAGTTATTATACAATTTTTCAGGGATTTGGAGCCGGCAACTTCAAGGCTCTTTTTGAAGCCGTGGAATTGGAACAAAGAAAGCGAGGGACCCTTCTCCGAGACTAAATTATCAATAAACTCGATCTGACGTCGAATTCCCCCCGTTGTGACGCCATCCCCTTGAGGCTTGACGTCAGAAAAACAAAAAAAAACACTTTAATTTGAACGCACGATGCGAGAAAATAAACGGGAAAAGATGCACTGTGCAGTGGAAGCTTTTTTTGTACGCTCTTCCGTATAACTACGTTTTAAAGCGTTCTTTAAGCCTAAGAACTACGATAAAGAAGTGTCATTTTTCCGTAAATGTCACGACAGGGTCTTGTTTTTCTTGCACTGTGCACAAATTTGTCTTTCTTGCACTGTGCAGGAAGGATTTCTGTTTCCCTCATTCTTCTTCGTTTTTTTGGCCATCTTGAGAAACAAATGTCGCACGGCCCTCGAATTCCCCTGCACAGTGCTGATTGTCAGACCCATCTTCAAACTTTTGTCGCTTGTGTTTTCGGTTCTGCCATCCTGCCGACCGGCTCCTGCGATCGCAATGGAGTGATCAATTCGCTTCATTTTGTTCGGCGAATGCGCGATACCGAAGATTTGCGACACCTTGCCGACATTTTTCGTTGAAAATGAGATCACGGACAGTCACGTTTCTTCGGTCGCTCCGAGATCGAAAACGAGATTGGGGTCGCGCAACGAACTTTCGGGGGCCGTCGCGAATTCTGCGAGATCACGCGACATTCTCAGCTGAGTCTTGCCGCGTGATTCATCTGTTTTCCCAGATGACGAATTCCGAAAAGTGCAACCTGAGCGACGAGGTCCAACAGAGCGACAAATCCTCTGTCCCTTTTCTTTTCGCACAGTGCGGAGCCGTGCATTCCTCGAAACCTTCCAGAATCATCGCGATTGTCTGGATCTTTGTCGCCAGCCGCTTGAGACTCATTTCTTTCTCCCGCACTGTGCGTTTTTTGAACGGGCAAGACTTCGTTCCGGTTGAAGAGAGCGGAAAAGAAAAAGAAAGACCACAAGAATTTCGAAATCGTCTGTGCACTTGCAGAGAAAACGAAAAGACTGTGCAAGGAAGAGAGGGTCCGGCGTATGAGTAATCGCACTGTGCCACCATGATTTCGAAACATCGTTGAGAAGCGATGGCGTGACGCACAGTGCATCAACTCAACATTAAAGGGTGCGGCCACGAAAGAGTGTGGAAAATTAGGAGAACCCAACAGAAAGATTATTGGAGATAAGTAGGGCGATAAAGATGCCCGCGATCAGAGAAAGGAAAAGAGTTCTGCTTTTCCAATGGGCACGAGAAAATAGTTTAGAGAAAATCAGAGAGTGGGAAGAGAAGGTGGGAGAAATTGGAAGAGAGTGTGCCGAAAGCAGAGACGAGGCGAAGAGAGTGTGGACGAAGGAGAGGGCGCAGACTTTCTCTTGTTCGACGTCTCACAACTTTTTCCCGCTCCATGAAAGACGCACATTTTCTCCTTTTTTTGTGTTTTTGACGTCCCAAATGTTCTTCCAGAGGTTTTCAACGTCCGCTAAAACATTTTTCCTCATTCTAGATCAATATTCCATGCCGTCCTCGTGTTTTTACACATTTTTATTGGGATCTTATCGGAATTTTGCTTTGTAATTGAGATTCTCCTTGTTTTTTTAGTATTTAAAAAAAAGAAATCGAAGTAAAAATGATATCGAGTAGATGATGCAATCTTTTAAGCAAAAATTTGCATATTTACTTTATTTTTTATGGATTTTTGTTGTTTCGGCTTTTGGATGACCATTTTTTCAATCAGATTTTAGGTAATAACCAAGTATAATATCGAATTTTATTGAAACTTTTTGAAGGGTAACGTAGAATTTGTTTTACTAAGATGACACATGCCTGATCGCATGACCTTTCTTTTAGGATAAATCAGCTTTAAATGTAAGTTTTAATTCCCTCGATGTTATCCATGGATATCCGAAAGGATCTGAGGTTTATTGCCGACAATTTAAATTACATATTTTACTATAGTAATTGCTGACTCTATATCATCTGTTAGAGAATTATGCGTCAATATCAATGTTGGTGATCTCTGACCTTATTTTAGATGAGGTTTGCAAGACTTTTTGATTTGCTGAATAAGAAGCGAGTGATGTGTTTTGGAATGTTCTAGACCATCTTTACAGCATTTTTCTCTTCGTTATCGTTTTTACAAACAATTTACGATTTTTTTAGATATAAAATTATATTATTTTAGATATTTTTGGTCTCCATATTGCTCCACGGTTCTGTTAAAAGTAATATCCCGGGTTTTCATATCTCCCGTGATTTTCTGCGCGTTTCGTTTTATTTTGCGCGGTGTCCGATAAGTATTTAACGCGAGTCACGTTTTCCTAAGGGCTTAATAAACTTTTTCTTTCAGATTCCCGATCGAAAGCTTGGATTGCCTCATCTTACTGACAGATTATTCATTGCTATTTAGTTTTTCATTTATTCCTACCCTTTTTGCTATTTTTTGCCGAGAAAACCTTTTCGTTTTCCCGTCCATCGGGGAGTATTATCGAGAAGATCGAAAGTCCTCTCAGTCCGTGCTTGTGGCGCGATAACGTTGTGTTATCCTGCTCAACCGAGACATTGGTTTGGGTTTATCTCGCGTGTTCGTGTGATTTTATCAGCCGGCTTGACAGGTTGCCCTGAAGACATAACTTTACTCACGTTATGGATTTTGCAGCCTCTTTGTTTGAGCAGTTCGTCCTCGATCAGAGCGCTCGTTTATTGCCGCTGAGTGAGAACATCGCAGAAAGAAGCGAAAAGATCTCCGAAATCATTTCGAACCAAAGTCCAGACGAGAAAGAAAACGCCTGGACTGAGTCTATGGAGTCCGACTATAACAAGGACGAGAACCGAGGCATCGACAAACCCGAACAGCCTCAGTTCACTGATCTCCGCACCATGACTCAACAACCCCGAGGATCCCAGGGAAATGACAACTTCGAGGTAAGTCCTTTTGTTATTTTGTTGCTGTTTAGGTAGGTATGCATGGGGGCGTTGATGTATGTGGGAGACTAATGGTGTTCAAGATTTCACAGCCTTGAATACCATTAAACTTTGTTTCGGAACAAATATTCTGCATAAATATATATTTTGAGCAAATTTCATACCCAAAATCTGTTCTTTGATCTATTTATGAGCCAAAAATACCCATACAATACATCCACATTGCATTAAATTATACTCGTTTTCTAGCGAAAGCCTTGGTTATGGCGAAGAAATGAAGTGGTGTTGGTTAATTGATGAATGTCAAGAAAACACTGTCTTCTTGTTTACGTAAATACCCTATGCTGATATTCTCAGCCTTTTAATCTCCAATAGAAGCTGGATTAGAGCCTTGGATTATATAATTCATGTTTTCGAATAGTGATAGGTTGTTTTAAGAAGTCATTTAATGTCTAATATATTTAAATGACGGTTATAATGTCATCAAGTAGGAGAACACGGATTTTTTTATCTATTTTAGTTGTTAAGATGGGTAGGATAATATTAATCGCAGAATGATGACATTCCTCCATACTATTAATTAACACCTCCAAAACCCCTCCGTAATCTCTGTAATGTCGGAAAACAGGCCCCATTCCGGTTCTCTGCACTTTTCGGCTCGAACTCTGAACGTGTTGAGCATGTTGGAACTTTTGTCGTCAGTACTTTGACTTTTGTAATGAGGAACTAAAATTTGCAGTTATGAAACTTCTATAGTTTTACGGGGTATTTTCTGGCTTCGGCCTTCCAAATTTCCGTGTTCTGCGACAGGTGTTAATGGGGAGTCTTGCGGCAATTTTGGCGTTGTAGCCGCACCGAAATTTGTTCTTGATGTTCTTTGTCACCTCCCCAAAACCGGAGGATTTGCCATTGTCTCCATTAGAGTAAGTGAAATTTTAAAGCGCATTATCAAAACACCATAAAATTTAATAAAAATTCTGCCGACGAATTGCCGACACAATGCGCTCCTCATTCCCAAATACCGTATGGACTTTTTACTCGGTGGAATTTAGGTAAAAAATTTTTAGGTCTTTTTCAAATAATGTAAGCGTTACTCGACAGTCTGACGTGTATTTTTTGTGGAATTTATCACCTGACATGGGGTTTTAGGAAATCTCTGTAAAATTCAGATATCTTCGGTCTACGTTACGCGTTCAGTCTATTCAAAGGCATCACATAGTTTCGAAAATATCTCGAAATATTTCTGACGAAAAAGCAGAAAGTAGACAGTATAGACAGTATTTATCTAAGTATAACACGGGTATCAACTATATCCTTGTCTTTGCCCTCAAGGCAAGGTTCTAGTTTTTAGCCTGTTGGTTGCGTATATTTGGAGAGAGAAGTTTTCGTTTAAAAAGTACACGGTACAGGATGTTATTGTAGTAATCTTGGTTGGCACTGAATTCTACCTTGATTTAATTGTAGCCGGTTAAAATTTCTTTCAAACCAATATATTTACTGTAATATTTTCTGGATTTCGCAAGGTTTTCAAGTAATGAGTATCCATGGCATTTTTCAGTGTATCTTCCTGAATTCTCGTTCCGGAAGGATATTGTGTATTTTGAGGCCATCAAATATTCCAATTGCTAAGCAGCTCAGGGGCAAGGTGTAGGTGGCAATGAGTCAGATGTATTGTGTTCTACACACACAGACTACCAAAGATATTTGCGGGGGATTCAGACTTTGTTGCTTTTCTGCTAGTTTTGTAGCCACCGTATTGCAGTCCAATTTGTAGGCATCGTAGCATTTGACATTCAGTATTCTTGCCTTTGGGCCCCTTTTGTAGCTACCATAATCTTTCGTCACGACTTTGTAATAGCCACGTTTTACTCTCAGGAATTCAATTCGAAGCCCCTAATCTATCTCGGAGGCTTTCGCTAAAACCCATATCCGTTGATGTAAGAAACATAATCTAAATTTCGGAACAGTTATGTAATCTCTTTCTCAAAACAATCTAAATTTTGACGGCCGGGTACCAATGGTGAAATATTTCATGTCCTTGTTGCTAAAAGGAAATGTCGAATGGTCGTTTGCGCCCCATTCAACGTTTTAGACTGAATGCGTAGACTTTCAAAGTGCACAGATGTTGCGTTGTGCAATTCGGAAAGCCTTGAATAATTAATGAACGGTGCGGTCAAATGTAATACTAGCCCAATGTTAGGGAGTCTATAGAACTGAATGACGTCATTTTGCAGGAGAACATTATCTTTAAACTTTGCACACAAGTCAGGCATACACCACATAAAACCCTGCGATTTCATGAAACTAAAACACAGATCAGGTTGTTGTTTACGAGAATATTTTTTTTTGAGAGTAATAATAGAATCTTTTTTTTCTAAAAATGGAAATGAATCTCTGAATCATTTGACGTATGTTGGGTCAGGTGTAAGCATAACTAACTCATGATAAGTCACATTATATAATCGATTTGCATCGGAAGCGATGAGGAACCAGTTTTCTGATCTAGACTATGTCAAAATTATAACAAGCATTTCTGGCAGAACAGTAGACTTCCTGGAAATTTTTGTGAAAAACTGTTGCTTGCATCATCTTGACCACTTCCGTGTTGTCTTATCTGTCTATAAAACAGTGATTCGCCGTCGCTTTCCCGTCTGATTTGACAAAGAATTTTCTGTGATCAGGTAGAAGATGGATGTACTTTGTTCTCCTATTTTCGCTCTTATATCTAAATAGACTGCCTTTACGATAGGATGACTTTTCTCTCGCTCGGTCTCTGCAACAGGTTATATCATTTGCGTAGTCTTATCATCACAGTCTTCATCGCGACCTATCTTTTCGTATTCAAGAGGGTTCTGGGTTTCATCAATATTTACGACAGAGAAATCGCATCAATCATCACGTGGTCTAAATTTAGAAGCGGCGACTTATTTTTAAAGATCACACTCTGTTTTTTCATCAAGTTACGATTGGGTTGTTATTGATATGGTTAGATTTGCGATGGTTTTAATAGGCAACTTTTATTACGCCTCTAATCAATGCTTTAAACGATCTTTGACTGAAGCCCCGACTTCAAAAAGAATTATTGATTGTGTTTTTGTTTGTTAAATGAGCGGAATTTTGAGTATAGACAACTTCACTCTCCCTGTTATTGAAAAAGAAAAAAACGAAGTTTAATGTCAACTAAAAATACGGTAACCTATTGCCTCAATTAGGGATGCCGCCATTAATGAGAGTTTATTGGATTTGAGAGATTGCTGTTGCAGTTGAGCAGGCTTCAAGAATAGAAATGGGTTATTTGTCATAGGAGTAGTTGAACACGTGTTAACTTAGATCAGAAACATTTAGGCGACAAAGGCGTTAGAATGCATCACTTTTGTAAAACCTAAACCATCTTTGTGGGATTACACATCAGTATCCGTCTCCTTCGCCGACATCATCTGGGAATTTAATCTCAAAAATAAGATTTGGTACTTTGCTCATTTGTTACCTTTTTTTTGAAGGTGTTCTTTAGTTTGCCCTTTGATTATTACTCCGACTGTTGCGCCCGTCAAAACATCTCGAGGAAATTTTATTTCCTTATACGTGTGTACTCGGGAATTTGCCATAAAATTGTAGAATACATAACAACAGGTGCAAATTGGAGCAGTTATAAAGTCGCCATGCAGGAAATTGAATAAATTGTAGAGGGCATACATTAAAAGGCGGGGATTTTTGTATCGGGAAACCCCGATATTACTGTAAATGCGCTCACCGTATATTGACTAGACATTAATAATATTGATAATTTGGCTACATGCGAGCGGTCCAGTTAGCACGATACGCATTACAACAAAACAATTCACCGAGATAAAACATTAAAAACACTACTTGTAAAAGAAATTAAAAGGGTTCGATTCTGCACGGAGTGAAACAGATAAACTTTGTTTACTGTTTATTGTTGATAACAGAATCGGTTCAAAAGTGTACGTGATCTTTTTTCGAAAGTCTGTTTGCGCACTACAACGGAAATAAACAGAGCAAGTGTCATGGTAGTATGACCTTCTTAATACTAAAGCCTTTATGACCTCAATACATCGGTTTCCACATACCAAGCCGTCAGGAGACTACTACGTAGCCATCCGGTGACATGTTTTGTCTCCAAATACATGCACACCTTGTTTATGCTTCTCCAGGGTTCTCATTTCCTGCTTCGTTGATTGCCGTTATTTGATTATTAATCCCACCAGAGGCGTCACATATTACGAAAATAATTGTGAGTTTGATACGATTGTTGTGTTTCCGTCTCCGTCATGGGCAACCCACTTCTTCTGAATCTCCCATATTTTTAGCAGATATCTACGCAATCTGTGGGGATTAAAAGTTAAAAATGGATTTGGTCCAGCGGATATTGAGTGTAAATGAAAAGTGTAATGGCATTAAGCCCCACCAAAACGACACGGTGATTAGGTCATCAAACCGAAAGGAGAATGCTTGTAGCCATCTGCGTAATCCGGGCCTGTAAACAGAACGCATATTTGTTTGTGTCATGTGTTGTCGGATTTAATAGCCTTACCTGATCTCTCCCTAGTCATCACGGCGATTCTTGTTGCTAAGGGTTATCCAGACCAGGAAGAGGAAACATTGCCCCCAACATGAGTAAATGTAGGGCGTCCTTTACTTTCTCTTCGTCTGAAGCCTTGCAGAATTGTAGACGTGGCGCTCGAATTGGTCATTCTACAAGGAAATTGTCGAGCGAAATTAAATCTTTAAGCAGGAAGTCCTCCAAAAAAGATTTGGATTACATCCGATGTAAAAAAGTTTAGGGGCGGGTTCACTGGCCCAAGCGCAAAAGAGGAGTGGTTTCAATAACCGTATGTAGATGTATTTATATGAAAACGTAGGGCATAGTTGCATTCGTTGAAATGTTTTGTTGCGCGTATTAGGTTCTAAATTTATAGGCAGGGTTCATGTCCGGAGTTGGTTTGGTTGTGTCTGGCAGAGTTGTGGTAAGTGGTTCAAGTGTACACCTTTTACTTTCAATAGATTGTAATTGGCAAACCTAGAGATTTCATAAATTTTTGGTGTATTTTGCCTGTTGATATTGTGTTTTCAGAAATTAGGCGTCTAGTTTATATTTTCATTATTGTCGAGGTAGTAATATTTCGATGTTAATTTTGTGGATCTTTTAATCACGAAATAGGATAGTAGTCCTTGTTGAATTAACAATTTGTTGTAATTACGATACTCGTATGGATATAGGCTAGACAGGTGATTCTAACGGCCCACCGTTATTTCGTGTATTGTCTCGAAAACCCGCTGTAATTAGACGCTGTGCGTTTCATGTGAATATAGTCCATAAATCAATTCTGTTGCCCCTTTCAAATTCTCTCCCACGAATTTTTTGCTTACTTTGTTTACCACTATCTAAGAGAGCAAGAATCTGCAAGGTTGTTTTGTGGTGTTTCATTCTTTGTTATAAAAATTCCGTCAAAAACATCCGACTCGTCGGAAAGACTGGCCCGAAAAATTGAGTCAGAGATCTTTGGTGCAGGGGCAATGCTCTCTTTTGGAGAAAGCTGTAAACAAAAACAAACTCTCTTGTTTTGTCCAATGTTTCCGAGGGTCTCTTGTTTATGGCGAGGAGAATGTTTGCAGGATCAGTGATCAAAAAACAGTTTTGAAACATCAGGATGATTGAAAGGCCATCGATCACATGTAAATCTAGGACTTGTTCAAGGATAAATTGTCACACGGCTCTACTAGATGGTTGAGAAGACTTTACTTTACCGTAGGTAACAATGCCGCTCTCGCCACGTTTCCTCCCGCCTATCTTGTTTGTCATGGCACCGCCTTGTATTTTTGACCAAATTCATCCAATTGCCCTTTAGTTTTAACTTATTCCCGCCCAGTGGCGGCTAATTCCCCGCGAACAATCTGGAAAAAGCACATCAATGTATATGGTAAACAAACACGTTTACCACTTATTTTTGGTCACGTGAACCTTTGCGAATTTTAATTTTGGATCCCTAAAAATAAAAAGGGCGGTGCCTGGGGCCTAGTTGTTTATCCCTAGAATGTTTCCCAAAATATAAAAGAATGGAGGCTAAGTCTTTTCGTTCCAAAATGGTTACAATAAGGCTTCCCGCGTTCGCATTCGTCTTCCTCATTTTGTTGTTCTTGCTCGCTTCCAATCTAGAAGTCGTATCCATGAGAAGCAGTATTTTATAGTCTCTGCCCTCCGTCTTTTCTAGGGAATCAAAGCTTAAAACACAAAATCACAAAGTTCTGTCCTTCAGAATCCTTTTTCTGGTTTCTTCCCGCTTCTTGTTTTCTCTGGACTCTTCCAGCGGTTAGTAGTCTTTTTAGCCTTTTTCGTTGAGTTTTCGCGTGACTCACAAAACTCTTTGGCGGTCTCGCTCTCTCTCCCTGTTCCCTTTTTCTTATCTCACGGGAAATGGGCGGAGAATGGGGAGTTAAAAGTTTTAGGATTAAACTAAAAAGAGCAGTCCAAAGCAAATTATTATCACGGCGGTCGTACTTTTTTGCGCTGCGAATGGAATTCGGGGTTTAGTCGATTCATGGATAATATTACACTCATTTCGTTGTACAGTTGGTGTACTCGGCGCACTTATCTTGAGGTTCTATTTTTCACGTTTTCCGACGCAATCATATGTTCCTCCCCGATGACTCATCCCGGTTTTCTTCCCATCAAAACTGATTTTTAAATATTCTTTGGGCGATGGAACTGTTTATTTGGTTCAATTGCCGGTATTTTGGGATAATTTTTATAGGGTTTGAATATTTTGGTTGTACTTTTTGGGAATCCGGCTAATTCTTTGGGAAATAAGTGGGGAGTAGACATTTTCAGTTGTTGCTATCGAAAATGGTGGGTTTTTAGACTAGAATTTATTGAAAAGACTGTTTCTAGCCTCGAACTTGATATAAGTCACCCGTTTTATTGTAATTCTCGCGCTTTTGTCGCATTTTGTTTCCGTAAATTCCTCAACGACCTCTATTTTTGAAGGCTTACTGTAACTCAAATTGTGCCTAAACTCACAAAACCAACACCACTCGACATAACCAAGGCCAAGGCTTTAAACAGAGACCATTAAGAGACTTACACAGTCGCTGAACACACCGTCAACCGGCTTCATGTTTCAGGAGTGGGCTTATCAAGACTTTGATTTATTCGAATTCGTTGGCAAAGACGACTTCGAGGACTACTCTCCGGGCCCCGAGGACTCCACGAACAAGGACGACGAATCCTTACAGAAGGGCGATTACATGTACGCGACGATGCAATACAATCAACTCGCCACCGACCAGAACATGTTCGGTCAGCCCGCCATGATGAATCCCACCAATGACATGACCAATGGATTTGTAAAAGGTAGGTAAATTACGTCAGTAGTCAAAACACGGAACAAACTCCCACATTACGACATTTGAAGAGTTTTGCAAATTAATTGTACGAAATTATGAAATATGGGCGTTTGTTTCGGGTAATGGCACAGTTAGTGATCGCTTGTCGCACAAAGCTACGTCGTGCACCGTCTTTTTAATCCATTTCCTTGAAATTGTCAATTGCCCTGAGGGCTTTAGGCTCCAAAAAAGCTGCCCGGAACACTCGGACTTTATCAACCCGAACTTGCAAATGTTTACTTTTTCAATCCTTTGCGGAAAATAACCAAAAAAGTGCAAAGGGAAAATTGTCTCCACTTCCTTGTTATTCCATTCCCCATGGTTTTACGTGCGCTTCGCAAAGTTTGTCGCAAAAAAAGAAACGGTGATAAGGGAAGGGACTTGTGGCTAGACCTTGTGACATTAGACGCGGCTAGAAAATACTAGTTAGGGCAGAAACTTTATATAAATGATTGTGTTTCCAAAACATTGGACAAAAAATCGTCATCGGGGTGTTTCTGACTTGAAACTAGATTAGTAATGGAGTGGTTGACAGAAGGTAATGTAAATTGTCCTTGACTGATCTCTCTAGACTGTATAGACAGTCCAGTTATGTATTTTAAGCTGGCGTTTGTCATCTCCAGACACGGATGCCCTTTCCCCAAAACAAATAAAAAAAGAATTTGATAAATAACTGATAGATTCGAAAGCACTTCTGGGCACGACAACTTGTCTCGGGAGGACATTTTACTATGTTCTACCACCTGAATCGAGTCTCTTGGCTTTTGTGCCCCCGTGATTGATCGTCTTCTTTATCGACCTTTAAAGGTGTTTTTCGTCTGTAGTAAAAATGGTAATGTCTGCTTTGCTGATAAGAAAAAGGTCTTCCGACTTGATATAAAGCTGATCTAGCACCTTAGTGCAAAGGATTAGTGCCAGCATAATTAGCGATATGTGATGGGATTAGGGTCCTCGGAATGTCTGTTCTGATAAGCTGCCTCGCTGATAAGTACAAGATAACCAGAGAACCATTGCCTTGGGTCTTTCCTGCGATCTTTGGAACTGGCCAATGGCCAGTGTAAAGGGGCGTGGCGTTATTAATCGGCTGATTAACAGCACTACTTCCCGTGTCGGTCCTCTCTTTCTCTCGCGGCCCTCCAAAACACCAAACACCTTCGGGAACACGTGCTTTCCCGTGACTCCGCCCCTTTTCCCGCCTGCTTTCGCGACTCGAGACTCTTCCACAAGGTTCCAACCCTTTTAAAAACAGGGGAATCCCGAAGGGCTCTTTTTCTTGTTAGTTCTCACAGTTTCGCGGTGATAAGAGTGACTGATCGTGCTCCCACCCAAATTTATTGTATTGTACTAGAGTCCGAAGCACTCTCTACCACTTCTATTCACTACTATTGACTTGTCTAGTACTCATCTAGTTTGATGCTAGCCCAGGAGACCATGGCACCTCTCTTTTTTAATCCGTCCGGCCAGCATCATCTCTATGCACCATTCATGAATCCGTTTGGTACGTTAATACAGCTTGAGTTTACTGTTCTCTGTCCTCCCCGGGTCATGCGCCCGCTCTCTTCGCTGTTCTTGATGTCCTCCTGTTTGTTTGCCTCCGCAGGATATAAACATGTTTATCGAAAAGGGGTGTGATTTAATTATCTACACTGTTTTTGGAACGAATTAGCTCTGCATTGTAACCTACAATAGTCAGCACCTCTGTCCAATTCTCATCTTAGTGCTTTGATTCTCTTATCCACTTCCTTTTACTCTCATTGTCACCGAAAGTACAGTTACTGTTCTAATCCTAGGCATAGGATTTCTCGTTTTCACGTACACTGTACTTTCTTTCCACATAAGGAAAGTCCAATCTGTTTATCAGATTCTTGCCTTCTTTCCCCAAATTTGGGCCGCCCTTCTCAGAAGCAGAACAGGAAGGGGTCAAGTGTTTCTTCCCAGTTCCAAGTCTTGCTCTTTTTGTATGTTTTTGTTTATTTTTTTCAGGCTCATGACTTGAGAGTATTGCGAAATCACGTTCCTTTCCCCTTTTATCACTCCGGATGACGTCGACTTGAGGCATTCGACAAGTCTTGGGCGGGATTGGTCGATTCCTTAGGGTTCTAGCGATGATTGTAGTTCCGGTGTCTTATATGGGTTGTGATTTTCTTTGGTATTGGGATCTTTTAGTATTTGTTCGTTTGGAATCTCAGGGTTTGGCCAAATGGTTATGGGGAGAATAGTTTCTTGGTCTTTGAAATCGATGATTCACGTCTGTGTATTGTAATACGTCATCACTTCCGACCGTGTGGTTGTCGTTTCACTTGTCTTACCTTCTTTTCGGTTACTTATTTTATCTCTAGCGGCCTTTTCATATATTCTTTATTGTTAACCTCTTAATTTCAGACGAGAGATTCACCTCGAGTGCTGCGTCGACCTCGAACTCGTGCATGAACGGAGTTTCCCAGCCCAGCACCAGTCGTATGTCCGCACAGATCCCCCAGGCCCAACCTCAGGCAGCATATGGAGCCAGTCTTCGCCAGCCCGCAATGCCCTCAGGCACGGCCTCTTTGCTCGGCTCGGCCTCGTCCTCTCCTCAATTGAACAACAACACCAATATGTACAACATCCCCATCAAACAGGAGCCCAGCTTTGATAATATGGTGAGTAATTTATACAGCGTTTGACTTTCCTTTGGTTGAGGGGGTGATATCATAGGAATGTTTTTGATTTTGTGAGAATTATGGGGCATTTAGCCGTGGGTTTTGCTAAGAGGATTACAGAACGTTTAGAGAACATTAGATTTGGGCTTTGTGTAAGTTCAATTATAGACCAGACCATGTAGGATAAAGTGTTTTGCACTTGTTTGCATAATTTACCCTATTTTTTCAGTATGACGCATCAGACAATGAAAGCCACTACAGTTCTGGAACAAATACCGGCTCGGCCATCGGAAGCATGAACAAACCTCGCAAATACCGGATCAAGCCTGAATGTGAGCGTGTGAAACCAGAATACAAGGTGAAGAGAGCCAAAAACAACGACGCCGTCCGCCGCTCCCGCGATAAGGCCAAGAGAATGCAGCAGGAGAAGGAGAGTCGCCTCGACTTTCTCGAAAAACAACACTCGGATAACACAAAGCTGATCGCCGCTCTCCAGAAACGCGTCAACGATCTGGAGCGTGAGCTCTTGCGCGTCCGCAATCAATGCTCGTGTGGATCGGCGATGAATGGAGCCGCCTCCTTTCTCCGCCGTTAAACTTTTTGCCTCTTTTTTTGTTTCCTAGGCCCTTTCTCTAGGTCTACCGTAGTCTCTCCGTAGAATCCTTTATGTAATTACTATTCTCCCTATTTTGCGACTGTTACTTCTCCATCCGTTGTTACGTTCATATTGTAAATTTTCCTTAATTTATAAACAAAATCTTATCCCAAAATCGCACATCTACTTTAAAAATATTAATAATGTCTAGATATTGTGTCAGTATGACTCAATTTTTGTTTCTAACCAAGAGCCGATGCACAGTACTCTCAGGCGCTCGTCTAAAATAACTCAGCACTTCATATACACTCCAAAAAAATTCGTTTTTACATGTTTATTTCGCTCCGAACGCCGGATTACGGTAATTTGAAAGTCTCTCCGAGCCTGATTATACTCTCCCCATACTGTTCTCATATATATTGTCAAAGTTTTATATTGTATATTGTTTCATTCATTATCAAACGGTTTATATTTTTATTTGAAAGAAAATTTAAAAACCAAAAAAATAAATGTAAAATTTAAACGGAATTCGGATTTTTATTGAGAAGATCGTGGATGATGTGGGGAAATGGAAGTTGAAAGGACGAAGAAGTTGTCGAGCACTTGGCTGGCCATTTGTAGTCACTAAAAAACGGAGGAGGATATTCGGAAACCTCGACTTTGTACTTGGCTCTCTCCCTTTCTGCGCTCTTTTTTCTTGAAAAGAAACAAGAAGACACTCGAGAATTCTTATAGTTCCATATTACAATAGAATTTTGCTATAGAAGAATGTAATTTATCCTCTGACTATTACGCAAGACTTGAAGAAATGGGCAAGAAAGTGCAGGCCTTGTTGCTAAAAATACAAGGCTGGCACTGTTGATACTATTGCCGAGTGTTCATTGAGTAATATCGGTCAGAAATTATGCATTGAAGACATAACTACTGTATGAGGAAATGAATACTTTTTGATTAAAAATTTGTCAGATCTCTTCACCTTTTCTCATGTTTTGTTGAAGGCGCCTTTAGAGATAAAAGGTACAAGCCGTTGGGAGTAAATAAACAGTAATTCCACTGTAATGCGTTTACAGCCAAGATCAGATGTCCTGTTTGCAATATCTCGGCTAATTTGGTCTCACAATTAATTAGAGTACCAGTAAATACCGTATCCTCCGCTTCTAGAACAAAATATTTGATGGATTGTGCAATGTAATCGCCTTCCGGAAGCGGATTTCATTACAATCAAGATAATGGAAATAAGTATTTTCTCGATCTGTGATCCGCTTTCTGGCCGCAAAGTGTGGCCATAAAATCAACGAAACGAGAATTGACGTTATTGCCCTCGGGGCATAAAGGAATCTCGAATATTCACAGGTGGAATACGACAATTTTGATTTCATCATAGCAATTTTACAGTAATGCATTGCCTGGAAATGAATTTATATTGCAATTTACACTTAAGTAAATCGACGTGACTTTGAGGAAACATCGTAAAAAACTCAAAACTAATGGATTCACTACACTCTGTCAGGTACAGAAATTGTTCATGTAGCAAGAAATACATAAAATATAATTTTTAGGGCTTATTTTGTACTTCAATTGTATTCCAAGTAAAGCCCACGTACAGTACTGATGTTTGTTACATCTCAATCTGTTCTCGACCCTCGTCGCAGCGACTATTAGGAGGTAGAAACGGGTTTCTAAAGACTATGAGCCCTGATGGGATCTATAATTTTGATTATAACAGAGATCAACTGATGATGTAGACAACAAACGTTAATATGTTTAGAAAAGCCAGGTTACTGTAGTAAACATGCTTCGATTATTGGTTGTAAACCCACGAAAAAAGTGGGGATACGATCAGAATCGGAAAGCATTCAGTTTCATCACTTGTTCATTGAATTTATTTCGTTTATGCAACATGGCGAGTATTAAGTTTAAGTTTAATATATACATGTTTATTCAACCGCACATCCGATATGATTACCAACCAAAAAGTCTGGATCTAAAATAAAACGACGGTAGCGCAGACGGAAGCACAGATGCCCCTCATAAAACATTCAGATGAAACCAGAATTCCCAGTATTCGGCGAAACATCAAACTCCAAAAATATATTACTGTAACGGGGGTGACAATAATATTATTCCCATTTTATCGGAATTGCTTTGAAATTGAAATACAAATCTTGAAAATTTGTGATCCGTCGTCATTTTAAGAATATTTGGTCAGTATTCTTAAAATTTTGACTGGTGTTTTGCATCGACAGCCGAGATATTCGAATAATTTTAGATAAAGAGAACGGCCAGGGGAAACCCGATTTTATGCAAAAAACATCGAAATTGTTCAGCTGTGTCTGCAGTTTGGAAACCAAAATCCTGTTTTCACTATGTAGATGTTACTGTAATCCGCGGTTACGATAGCATTTCTTTAATTTTATCATAGAAAGCAATATAAATACCCGCTATCTACTGCAAAGAGGCCAACTTTTGGCTGTTCTTGAGATTGTTTTTGCATTCAAATGTTTACAAACACTTTGCGACAAACAAAGTAAGGGCTGAGTAAGTGACCAGAAACCATCGACCAGGATGTGCCCGTAAGCATGTTTTCGGCCCCTCTTTTCTCTTCGATTGTAATGTCGGCCTTTTTTACTGTAGCAACATTCCTGTCTCCAGGCGTACCTGAGCAACTTCGACCCGCCTGAAGCGGGTATCTCCTCCCCTCTAGCTACACCTCATGTTGTGAATTTACTCGCATTCGAGCACATTTACAACATAGACAGTAAGCGCGATCTCTGGTCCGCAGTTACACTTCCATTTCGAATTTAATTATTCGTTTATACGACTCCAGTCATCAGCCCGTCTGGAAGTGTAATATTTCTTAGTAAATGCGGCCCGAAAACAGGTAAACGCATGTGCTCTGCCCGCGGGCATGAAGCTTGTTTTGGAGGAGGAAGTGTTACAAACAAAAAACATATGCCTAAGGACATTCTCCGTTAAACACGAAGTGTAATTGTAATGGCGGAACTAATTATGGTTCCCAATGTTAGTGCCGTAGAAAACCGAACAACAGAGAAAATCAGCGACCATATCAACTGCTAAGAATTCGCGGAGAGACCCGATTTATTAGACAATCCCTGCGGAAATATATAAGATCTGCAGAGCTAAAAATCTCGGTGGCTGCAGACGGCACGTAAAAACTCTCTGACAACTCGTTTAAATTGTGATCAAGATCTACCTCAATTCTCATCAATATCTTCGTTATCTAAAATTACCGTATTCAACTAATAAATGAGGCCCTCTGGGGCTCTCAGGACCGTTGCGGATTAGGCCGGTTCATCAAAATTAGCTCTTTCAGGCGGATGTGAGACAACCGGAGTTTGCGTCGACCCCATCTAATCCATGACGCACATAAAAAGTATTACTGCAATACTCTAAATTTAAATCGCCCAGTTGATATCCATAGCGGGAATCCTTGGTTCTGCAAAAGCATGGTGTCTGAGCATTACAGGCGACAGCTTTGTGACGCACTAAAATACGAAAACACAAGGCGTCATGCGTGTGTTTGATATCCGCAAATGAGAGGGCATTTGGAGAAAACAAATGGAGAGATTTCTGTTTTTAGGATATCGCTATCTTCTGCCAAGGTGGCCTAGATTGGAAGTACTAGATTTCTTCCCATCAGTTCCAATGTTGGCTGAATTGCAAAGAAACTAGAGCGCGTCGTAAGAGGCTTTGTTTCAGAGACCGCGTTTGCAAAGCATACTGTTATTCCAATCTGCCAAGTTTAATAAAAACATCTTTGCGCCGAAATTATAAAACATCGAATACCCTCCGCATATGAAACTTTATTCCTTTTCTGTTTCCTGTCTAGTTCCTTTTCTAACTCCGGAATCTTGTGTGCAAAATAAGCGCAAATTCCCACAGGAAATCCGTCTAATCACCGTCTTAAAATGATATCACCCCGACTTATCATGCTTCCAGAGATTGATCCAAAGTTACTTTCGCTCCTTTTACACACTTCTTTTATCTCATTAGCATTATTATAATACCATAATATTGTACTTGCCATGTTTTCTCTTTCATTATACTTTTTGTGCAAATCAACAACTTCCGCTTACGGAGTATTACTGCAGATGTACAATTAGAACGGCACGTATCTCCGCATCTTAATTTCTACATTTCCTCTCCCATTCTTTAATAAAATACGTGCCGTCTTTGAATGGCCACTGTGATTCTCAATATTCCCTAAGGGGATTATCCTCGAATTCCTTAAAAGACAATCAAGTTGTCTTCAAATTTATACCAGATCAAGAGAACAACAAGATAAGCACATTAACATTCCCCCCATGAATACAAGGCCAGTTCCTTATTAGTGGACAATGGAGTTATACTGATACGATTAGATGAAATATTATAACACAAAGATATCAGTCGGGGATTCTCTAAAAAGTAAATTACAATTGTTTACAAAAAGGTCAACATCGCATATTTCAAAAGGAAGGTCCGAAGAGCAAGTCATCCATTTGTTTATGCAATATCAAACAGAGTTCAAAATTTGTACAATTCATTGATGATTTTAGGCTCTTAGTTTGCAGAAGGCATCATAATTTTTGTCAAAAGTTGGAAAAAGACTTTTATGCGATTTGCTGTTTAAGAAATTCGCTTCGGTTGTGCAATGTTTCTGCAAAAAATTCAAATTTTCGACCAAAAATTACGAAGACCTGGTAAAAACCATTTTTCTCTAGCCGGTTTTCTTAATTTGGCAGTCTCTAATTCTTTTGAATATCTCAGTCAATATTTAAAAGTGCGAGGAAACAGTTCTCGGGTTGGTATTTACAATATAAGCTCTTGTCAGTAAAAAGGTTTATAATCTCAATACCAAAGCCGTCTGATATCATACATAATATTTACCATCCATGATACATAAAGAGTCTTAATATCAATATCGAGTTCAAAACCTACATCCACACGCTTCCCGAGTTAATTATTTATCCCAAATCCATATCAATTTGCAAGATTGGAGACTTTTTACTAAGCCCTTTACTATTTTGAGTTGATAATCCGAGACAATTATCCGGAATATTCCATTTTGAAGAATGCCGGAGGGGATAATCCGTGAGGGTGGGTGTAAAAATAGCCTCAGGGGCAGATTAGTCCATCCTGCTTGAGGAGAATAAGCCGATTTATGGCCGCGGGGCCCATCTCCTCGCTGATCCGATCAAGCCCAATTTTCCGTTTTCCAATTCTGGTTGTAAATAGCCTCAAAAAGTAATAAGAAAAAAACGAGTTTTCCATGGAAATTTTTAGGAACTCTTTGAATTGCAGGCAAAGTCTCTCATCAATTTGTGAAGAAACGCTAAACATACATGTTACATATACTGTATAATAAGAAGTCATACGTATAAATGGGGTGCTCAAATTACAGGCCACAAATGAAAGAGACTAATCTTTATTTTGGAAAGGAAAGTTTCCCATACAGACATTTGAAAGCTGAATTATAGTCATAATTTACGAGGAAACGCAATTTTTTTAGCGCTTTGGAAACTTCTCAAATGATGGCTATCCGATGTTCCTCAAAGTATGAGCATTCATTATGTCTTTTTATTTCTTTAATGCTTTCTCAAAAAAGCTAGTTTTTTAAAGCTCTATGTCATATCGGGAGTTCCTTTTCTCATTTTTATTGCAAACTAAATTCTAAAAAAAAAATCATCTAAAGTTTACTTCCTTGAAGAAAGAATTGACGATTACTCTTTCAAATTTCCATAGAAAAGTCTCAGCCAAAGAAAGCTACAAAATTTGAAGTCCCATTTCGAAATATTGGATCAGTCTTCAGAAGCCGGAAACTTTCTCCGTGCTGTCCGCAAATTCTAAAAAAACTACAGTAATCCAACCCAGGTTGATCATCGAGAACATAACAACGGTCGAAAAGTTAGGAAGAGATCCCATTCTAATCCGCCTAAGCCAAGCAAAACAAAAATTAAATTGGAGATTATCCCCAATAAAAGGGATCTCGAGCACAAATATTATTGTAAACAAGGCTTACAATCCCCGGTCTGGAATCTTCCGAATAGAGTAAAGAATTAGAAGAGTAGCTTTCCGATTTTATTCATTGTAATATAAATAGTTACAACTGAAAAAAGGAGGGTTACTGGTTTAGCTCATATGTGAACCGAGTCTATTATTATGGACAATATAATATCTTGACAATATACCCTTCTCTCCTTCTTATTGATCCATGGGTTCATCAAAAAGGGAATCAATGGCTCGTTGAAGATCATTTTTATACTTCTTCAAGGCAATTGTGGCCTTATCTGGGTCCATTCCCATCGAAATTAACTCCGCTAGTTTGGCTGAATCCACTTCCTCGCTGGGGCCAGGTGCCTGTGCTGATACTGAAGCCGAGGCCTCTTGCGATTCCTCATGGTCATAAGCTAAATTATCAAAAATATTACTTATCACCAATAATAACTCCCAAAAATCAGCCAAAAAACTCACGATTTGAATGTCCCAGTCTTGTAACTTCCTTTTTATATTGTTCTTCACCCAAAAATGGCACTTCATTATCATCCCCAAGAACCAAAACATTCCTTCGGAGATCAATTATACATGCATTTGGACGCAAGAATGACAGTCCGAGCAAAATTTCCACCTTCTGTTCTTCTAGGACATCAAATGGGCAAGTAATGAACGAGGATCCAATCTGCATCTTGCCTAAATCAAGAACACCTTCAATTGGATCAAAATACCTACATGAATGGATTCTCCCGATGATTTTACTGTCTCCGCCAATCCCATTGGCCCTTGAAAAGAATCTTTCGTCCACATACTCATAGATATTGCACTTCTTGGCAATTCTAGGATTGATAATAGAGTTTTGGGCACCTAAAATGGCAAGTATAATAAAAGAAGCTCAAATCTTTTCAAATTTGACCTTTAAAATTAACTTACCCGAATCGACCATGGCCAATACTTCAACTCCGTTGATTTTAACGTGGATATGAAGAAGTTTAACTGGTATATAGGCTTCAGGGAGATGTTCCAATGCATATTGATATTGATCTTCGATGTTTTGAATTTTAATCTGCCGAGCAATGTACTCTTGGGCCTCGGCACTGGTTTCATCTTTTAGAGCAGCCACCAAACGGTCCCTTTTCTCAAGCATTATTACTACTTCTTTGTGGAAGTTTTCTGAAAACAAATATAAATCATGAGGATGAATACTACAAAAAAAGATCCAAAGAAATCAATTTCTTACCAAAGTCATTAGGATACGTTTCAAAGGCATTAGCGATACTAGGCGCTGTTAACTTGAATCCACGAATCGCATGAGGATCCGCTTTCAACTGTTCCCACATCTTCTTTGAGAACGCTTTAATATCAGCAGTTGATTTTGAGGCTGGGCCAGAAGAAGACGAAGACTGACCCAACTTTTGACTAGACGATCCTTTCTTTGGCACTTTGATAGCCGCGATTAGACCTTTAAGATCAATCTGGCCCGATTGAGACGCTTGAGGAAGCTGCCGGACATGTTGTTGAGTAGGAGCTTGAGGAATAACGGTCTTTGGAACAGCCATCAAGTAAACCAACTCATCATCACTAAAGCCAAGAGTCTGGAAATAAAACAAATATTCTCCAAGAAACAGCCAGACGATGGACTGTTACCTAAAAGCAAAACAAAAAAACACCCCTACCTTTAAACTCTTCTTCAATTCAGAAGGGACCACTGCAATCTTCAGGTTGGTGTTCGCAAGGACAAAGTTTTTATCTTTCCCCAGCTCAATCAGACTTGGCCATTCTTCCTTGAGCAATGCCATCAAACTTTCCAACTCCAGATCTTCACTCACATCTTGCAGCGAGATCAGATCGTTGAAAACAACTGTAACCTTCATGGATAAGGTAAGAGAAGTCGACTAGTAGATTTTCAGGAAGAATGATGAGGGATTTGGCGTAAAGTAAGCGCAAAATTGGCTTTTAAATTTCTTTTGAAGGTGCAACAACCGTGTAAAATTGAATATCACCCATTTTCTGTCAAAAACGCTCGAAATTGACAAAATGCCAAGGGTCCGTGGCGTTCATAGTTTTCGTGGTGGGACTTTCAAAACATGGTCGATTTTAAAAAATACAAAACGAATTTTGATAATTGGGAACAAAAAACTGCAACAAATACAGAGAAAATCCACCGTCACTTTTGTACTGCTCCTTTTTTACTATTTGAATGTTCAAACATTGTACATACATTATTATCACAAGCTTATTTATAATAGAAGTCGACGTATTGTTTGCATTGCTGCCTTTGTGACCAATGACATCATAATTCAAGTTATTTCGACCAGCAGCACAAATCTATGCTAGTTCAGCGAACTAAAACGATTTCCTTATTGGATTTGACGGCGTGGATGCCCTGAGGCCAAATTTACTTCGTTTGAGTTAACAGTTTGACTTCGCCTTTTGTTACTCGCTTCTCAGCCGAACACTCCCCCCTTTTTAAACTCTCCTCAAAAAAGTGGACATTATTTTCTGATTTTAACAAGAAATGAGAAATTCGAGCACTATACCTATAGTAAAAGATAAAAAATAAATGGTGCGACATGTTATAGGGTGAAAAGCGACTGTAAGAGTCTTCTTACCGTAATACTGAAGATGTACATTTAAATGTAAATTACAAAATAAATTGTGATTTCGAAAAAATATATAATAAATTTCGTAACGAGAAGGTTGGTGCCATTTTTGGAAAGTAATGTTTTCTGACATTTGCATTTACATTTATTTTTGCTGCTATAATTATTCTAGAGTTTAAAATCCCTTCAAAACTACACTTTTTTGCAGTTTACACTTATTTTACCTTCAGATTTTAGTTCTCAAAACCTTATCGTTAGAATCGCACTTTCCATCGTGAAAGTCGCCATGCTAATCGCGACATAAAGTCCTGAGAAATTTGCACGTGCATTTTTACCGTCGCGACAATTCCCCGTTTTTGCACTAGCGACATGCACTTTCGCGCGAACTTGCCACTTTTTTCGCGCAACACCCGCGACAAAACGTGTCAAGACTTTATGGCGGGACTAGTATTTTACAAAAAAGTTCAAAATCAAGGGAGTGTTACAAGAAGGGAGTGTTCGGCCTCAACCTGTTACTCGGATCAGCGAGTCTTTCGTAATTTAAAAATGCAGTAGGTACGTAGACTCGATGATGTAAAAGCATCAGAGAATTCGGTTATGTGGAATATCAAGGATGGGTAATAAAAAAAATGGGAATCGAGTTTTCGGGCATTTCAATACGTTTAGAATTGAAAGAAAACATATTTTATGTTGGGAGTTCTGTCATGCCTTTAAAGTAGTCATTTTTTCGATATTGCTGCTTTATTTAAAGACCATTACACTTAAAAGGCCATGATTAATTTCAAATATTATTGTTCTCTTTCACTTGTTAAGGCAATCAGTTCCTTGTCCCGGGAATGTATTATCCAGACTGAAGGTTCCAGCATCGTATTCCTGAGTGGGTTCGCCCTCTCTGTTAACGATGGATTTGGGAAGGAGGACATTAAATTTGATGTAGCAAATGGGAGTGAGAGCATTGCAGTTGTGGTATCTGTAAATATTTACGGTCTAGTCTTCTGAGCGACATTCCCATTAATTATCCAATTCTCATTAGACTCTCGTCTACGTAAACTTACATGTTCAGTTTTGGGTCCATTGTGGTGATTTCATAGGTGTAACCCTTGAGATGGAAGACGCCATCCTCACCGGTGACAACTTCGGCGACCTTATCATCCAGAGTCCAGTCATCCACATCGTAGATTTTGACTTTCTAAAGAGATTCGATGACTTTTCTACCTTGTTTTAGGCGGTTGACATAGTAGTGGAAGTTCGAATGCGGTTCTCACAAATATCATCAGATCGTTTTAAAATTTCGTACAGATTGTCTAACTAGGCCCCATTTGAACCGACGAAAATTTTGGCGAATGGTGTCCAAGTATGGCAGAGATATTGAACGATATAGATCAAGAAAAGTGAGAAAAAAGTGCTATAGAAAACCCTTTTTTAAATCAATCAGATATGTCTAAGAATATGCTAACTGTAATCTGAATTTAGGGCACGTTCTAAATCTCTAAGTTCCCTTACTCCTATATAAAGATTATTTCTTACCACTCCCTTGGCTGGCACTCCATTACAATTCACTTTCCCAGTAACCGCGACCCATTGTTTTGGTCTGACCTGTGCCGTAATTACAGTAGAAAGTACTGCCAATACGAGAAAAATCTCATTCATCTTGAGTCGACTGTATTTAGCCTATACTTTACTGTTTATATATTGTTTTCTCGAAATGTCATCGCTTTTGTTGCATTTCGAAAACAGGAGTCAGAAGATTCGAAGCAATTGTTCTATGAGATTTGAATCACCAAATCTATTTTATTTATTTTGTCATCAATCAAATTTTTTCATTTAGATTTTCCGCTGACTCATTAGAAGTTACTGTATTTGCTGGATGACGTTTGGTTGAAACTGATAAAGCGTATGACAAAGATAGATGAGATGTTATTTCTAAAGGCTCTTTGCTTTTAGTTTGCGTTTTGCCAGAGAAAAAAATAGAAAATTTGCAAGGAGTTTTAGTTTTTTCTGGCCGTCACCCATAGTCTATCGCCTTCAAAGGTTTTTGAATATCGTATGTTGTCTTCTTTTGGAAAACATTAAAAATAAAATAATTTAAAAATTTTTAAGGCTTACTTAATACATAGACTAGCTTACGAAAGTTTCCAAAATTTGATCGCAATCGAAGAATCGCGTCTTGGTTATTTCCCTACAGAATATTGTAGTAATTTTTGCCCAAATCAAACCAAATGATTTCTGACTTTTCGTGACTATAAGAGTATTTTTTCCTCTGAAAAGATGACTCCGCCACTTTCTAATCCCTGCTTCCCATTGTCGGCTAGACTAATATTAATAAACAAATTCTCAAAAACCATTATTCGAATAAAGAGCTCATTAACAGCGGAATACATAGTAAGTGGTGAGTGGTTATCGATGCATCTCTGCAATTATTTATGATGTTATTTAGGATTTGAAATTATTTTCAGCAATAATTAACACGAGAAGAATGCTGGAGTTGCAATTATTGCTTTCCTCAGCTCTATTTTGTATTTTAGTGTTTTTTTAGAATTTTCTTGGTCGATGTATCGTATCTTGGAGGGTTCCCAGGGGATAATTATGTGCAATAAATGAGGGTGGAGTAGAATTGACCACTTTCTCACAAAAAAAAGTAATGGGAACTTGTAACAGAGAACTCATGTCCAGGTGGTTGCATTAAAGAAGGAGATTAGACGGACATGTGAGAGACGTTTACTATAACATTAATTCCATGTCCTTTTAACCTTTTTTTAAAGTTTTTTGACATTCGTTTTCAGCTTTGTAGATTAGGTTGGCATAGAAAGAGATTCCAATTTTCAAAGTGTCACTTGACATTTTCAGTTTGCAATTACAGAACAAGTTTTGATGACAAAAAATCTTGTTTGTAATTTGAGGTTAAGTAATATCGTTTGCTCCAGATATTTGCTGTAAAAATGGGTCAAAGGAAAATAAACAATTTTTTTCTTTCGCCGTCTCTCCTCTTTTTCGAAAGTCTCTCGCCCGCAAGGCCTAGTGAATATCTAGACGGAAATTGATAGATCAAACTGGCAAAAAAAATTACGGCCGAGATGGATCACTTTTGTAAAAAAATGCAAAAATTTGAAGGTAATGCAAGAAGCTCTACAACCCGGCAATTTATGTCGATATAGTGCAGAAGGTTCTGCAAAAATGGGTGTTTTGTAAATCCTTTGTTCCGGATTTTTTTTGTGACATCCTGGCTTCGCCCCCTCCGTCCGAACACTTCAACTTGAATTTGTGGGAACTTTGGTTACTCGAGAAGCCCTTAGATTTTGGTTTTGTTTTCCTTTTTGGTCATGCAATGTCTGGAAATCTTAGTTTTGTAAAGTCTTGTGTAAACTAGTTGTTCTTTACCTTCGGTAATCGAAATTTCGAGTGAATTCGCATATTATATGCCTTTGAAAGTGATGATATTTATGGAATTTTTCGACATTACAGTAACTCATCAATATTCTGTATGTATTATTGTTCGTTCTTTGCTAATCTGGTTTAAATTATTTCCATTTTCTCGTCATTTTATCGGCGCCCTCCAATTTCTGTTGACATAGCCGTGTTTTCCAGCCGACGCATGAATCTTTTATATTTAAAATATTATATTTGTACTTTTGAAGACTGGTGTTCAAGCCGGGGCTTGGCTTTCGGCTTAGAATTTGGCTGTGGTCTTAAAAGTTGAAATTGAAAAATGAATCGGGTTTGTGATTTATTCTACAATTAAACATTGCCAAGAACGGTAGCAATTTTTCATTCGAATGAAAGCGATTATGCTTCGCTTGAAGTAATTGAAGTGAAGGGCCATAATCGTTAGCCAAATGGTTCAAGTATCCCATAGATCTAGAAAAGAGTTGCCCGATTAGCCAAACAGGTTGGAATGGTACACATTTTTAGTAGCCAGCCTACGGCGTTCTCTTTAGGAGAAAAAGGGGAAATTTGCCCTTTTGTTGCGCGCCAAATTCAAACCGCAATTTTAGTGAGGTCTTCAGTGCTTACCTCTTTCTCTCCTAAAGAGCAACTCCCCTCAAACGGACGCTGTTTTCAGAGCTAGTGAGTGAGGTATTTGGCGGCATTTTTTATGCATCCAAGAAGAAATGGGAACTACTTTCGGCCGCTGGATCCTGTCTCGCACTATATTTGTGCCATAAATTGACTCCTGAATGTCTTAGCTAACTCTTTAATGAGCCAAAGAGATTTTCAACGAACTTTGCAGAGTAGGGACATCCTAGAGCCCAAACACCTTCTTCTCTTTTCTTGGGTCCGTTTTGGGTATTTAAATTGGATAATTGGAGGATTTGCAGCGAATTTGGATTAATTTGCCTTACTTAGGGCACTCTGCTGCAGATGTTTATTCGACACTGCGCCATAAATATTTGGAGCGACGTCAATTCACTCGGAAATTCAAATTCATTTATTTTTGGGCCAAATTTCCGGCCGCTGTGGGGTCCATTGGATATCTTTAGGGCTTTCGAATTCATGGACAATATTCGAAATCCACTCCGATTTCTGCTCTTTCCAATGAGGAAATGCGGAGAATTTAGAATGAGTATGTTCATTGCTTTGCTGAGTTACTCCACTACCTAAGACAACTTTGCTCTACTATTCAAGATGTTTTGAGTTGTTTTTATGTCTGTTTGATTACCAAATCTCGTCTCTGAGAACATTAGGCAACAGTCTGTAAACAGATGTCGTCGAATGTCATCAGTCGGCATAATCCCGAAGAATCCGCTTTCGTTGTGGAATATGATGTAAAAAGGCCGACGTTTCGCCAAATAAATACCTAGGCTTTTGTTTTTTGCAAGCCATTTCCGGTCTTTTCGATCTTTTCTCTTTGATTACCCTACCATAGCATGGCCCGAGAGCATTGCAGTGAAATGGGAAAGCATTTTGTAATAAAAGGTTCGAAATGGCATTACGTAATTTTTGGAGTATTTTTAGGAAATTGAGACTGTAAAATTAGAAAAGTTCTAAAAAATTCCAACTTTTTCGTACAAAGACTACTTGAGCCGTATTATTTTTGGAAGCACGGGTAGTCAGCAGAGGGCCAAAGAATCTTTGAGAATGAGAGACTGCAAAAAAGGAGGGACGGTCCGAGAAAACACGTTTTCTGTCATTATTTTTGCCAATTTTTTGAAGCTGATTTTTATGAGTAACACAAAAGTCGACACTTGTAAAATTTTCTTTTCTGACTATTCAGTAAATTCTAAATTCTGTTTTCATTATCCTTTTCTTGCCTCCGTGACTTTTCCAGTCTTCCTTTGTATGGGCTTGTACAATCGAAGCCCTTTTAAAAAAATAGCCCCAGAATATACCATACGCGGCTTTGCGGATTACAGCTGGATTAAGGAAATGTTAATTGTCATAACAATTACTCTTTGGTCACTACGCGTAGTGTGTTTTCTGGACGTGGCAACATATCCAGTTTCTAATTGTCCGATATAGCGTAATACGTGACTTTTACTAAAAAATAATTTAATTTTAGCTGATGCCGGCTGATCTCGAGCTCCCAGATCCTAAACGTCCGTTTTTGCCGACTCCCGATATTCAGAATCTCTCACGATGTAGCTGTAATAACGATGATGACATACCTCGGAAAGAAGTCACTGGTTTCAATTTGGTGTTATTGGCGTTGGAAAGATTTGTAAAGCTGACAGTTATGATGTTCGGTGTCGCCTTGGGTGTCAAAGGAACTCTGAGGGCTACTGTGAATGGGGTAAGTGGAATGCCGTGCAGGTTTTGCACTTTTCCTCTCCAGACGTTTTTTAAATTATCCTCCTTTAAACTTCTTTGTGGAAGTCGCTCAAAATTAGAGATTCCAGGTGAAAAGTGTAAAAAGTGCTTGCATAAGTTATAATTGTAACAGTACCAATGAATAATTAACACTTTCAGAACGAGATGAATGCAATCCTTGCCTTCCTCAGCACTCTCTGCCCGTTGTACTTGACTTCTGCATACATTTACACCAAAATACGATCACTAAAAAATTGGAATGCGCTCACAATCAGGGTTCATATTTATACGCGTAAGTTGCTGTAAAAAATATTTTCAACTTTACAATTGAAGGCGACCAATAATTCCTTAGAAATCATATACGCATTGTGAACAATCCGGGTTTAATCTCTGTGTCCTCAGTTTTAACCATACTGGATCAAACTGTAAATATTGCCTGCATTAGCTTGAGACACATCCGGGACTTTCGAGAAAACATCATCTTTCTTGATGATGTGTAATATAAGCTGATAAGAGAATATCATCCGGATACTGTTTTCAGACGTCTTCCTCGCCTTCTTCGCCATCTTCTCGGCTTCCTGCACCGTTCTTATCTGCATTATGTTGGAATTGAATGGGCTAGATTCCTCCGATTATTGGGAGGCCACGTTTTGGATGGTCCACGCCTTTTTCTGGGAGACCATCACCTGGATTACGCTTAGGAAATACATCATCCAACTGTGCAGTAAGAAGATACGACTGTGCCGAGTGGAGACGATCGACTCCGAACTCAGCACCGAGATCGAACACCTAACTCAAGATGCCGATTTGAATGTGTAGATGACGATATTCTAGTCAAAAGGATGCTAATACTGGTCTCGCTCAACCATTACGCCTCAGTTACCAATTGAATACAATGAAATTAGTTGTGTAATTTGGATTATTTGCAAAGATCTCAATACCTGATATGTACAATATAATAAACGCTCAACACATTGGTTCGGGAACTGAGATGACATTTAAGGTTTCTAACTAAATCACAGTATAAAAAGAAAAATGGAGATCGAGATATGCTTTTTTGAACCTATCGTCCTGAAAGTGGGCATCTGGATTGGGTGCCAACACTCTTCGATGAGGTCTCTCTTATATAGTGTTCAGGTTTTATCACCCATTTCATAATCTGGCGCGGTGGTTTGTGTGGAACCTACAGTGGATGGGATACAGGCTCGGCTTTCCACTTTAAACCATAACGTCATCATGGAAAGACAGACCAAAGACAATAATACCGTCCTCAACAAGTCCAACTGATAAAAAAATGGAAAAGGACCACATGGGAAACTTATTGGTGCCAGAATATAATTTCAACAAATATAAGAATTCCCATTTTTTGCCGGACTTGCAAATTAGTCGAGATTTCTGCAATTTTTTTCTTTTTGAGCCCTCCTACTTCAAAAATCAATAGTGACATTCCGTCTTGGCGCATTTGTTTCACTTTTTATTTTTTATTTTATGGGACAGTGGAAGATGGGGAAATTGAGAATTCTCTCACAGTAAGAGTAGCTTCTGTTCATTCCTTTCGATCAACGATTTTACTGTACTGTTCCGCAAGATTTTTATATTGTTTTAGACTCGATTCAAAACAAATTTTCCTGTGTATTGTACGATTTTTTAAAGCTGTAAATACCGCCGAAGACTTAGGTTTTAATTTTATGGCCTGCGCTTGTATTTGATGGCTTTGATTTGAGATTTTTATTAGCTAATACTGCTTTAGTTTTAAATGTCGGAACAAGTTCAGCAAGAGGAACCGATGGACGTCTCCGCTACATCCGAAGGAGCGGAGAACCAGGTAAAGAAAATTATTGTCCTATTTCTTGCTTTAGGCTCCAGTAAAAACAGAGTCCTTCACTCCGCAAGAGCCCACACCTCCAGTCAAACAAGAAGATCAATCTCCGGAGAGGCAGAACGTTGGATCTCTTGGGACGTCATCGACACTGCCTGCTTCTAAAGACACTAAGGACAATTCAGGGCCTCCCACAGCACCAAATTACCATTGTATATTTACGCTGAATGGGCATTCCAAGGCTGTAGCTTCTGTTAAATTTAGTCATGATGGGAACCTAGTGGCATCGGCTTCAGCAGATAAGACTGTCAGGCTTTGGAATCCAATAGATGGAAAGAGTGAGAGAGTTATTAGTGGCCACAAACTCGGAATCTCGGATTGCTGTTGGTCTTATGACTCGAGATTAATTGCAACTTGTTCTGACGACAAATTCTTGAAACTTTTTGATGTCGCCTCGGTAAGGATAACATAATTCCATTCGTAATCTTTGGAAAGTTTTGTTATAATGTTATGGTTTTAGGGGAAATGCCTAAAGACCATGCGAGGACATCAGAATTATGTGTTTTGTTGTAATTTCAACCCTCAGTCGAATCTCTTGGTATCTGGGTCTTTCGATGAGACTGTCAGAATATGGGATGTGCGGTCCGGAGCTTGTATCAAGACATTACCTGCTCATTCCGATCCTGTGAGTGCTGTCAGCTTCAACCGAGATGGTGGAATGATAGCAACCAGTTCCTATGATGGGTTGGTCAGAATCTGGGACACGTCTAATGGGCAATGTCTCAAAACTTTGGTCGGTGAGTAACCTTTTGGTGTATTCCTCTTGGTTGGTCTTTGAAATTGATGATTGTCTGTGCTCAATTCATTGGGAATACCAATTTTATATTTCTTCAGATGATGAGAACCCACCAGTTTCATTTGTCAAATTCTCCCCCAACGGAAAGTACCTTCTTGCTGCCACACTGGATTCTCAACTAAAATTGTGGGATTATAACAAAGGAAAGTCGCTAAAGTCATATTCTGGACATCGGAATGACAAGTATTGCATTTTTGCCAATTTCTCGGTTACCGGAGGAAAGGTAGAATATTTGATTGTTTGATTTTATGCTTTTAGTGGATTGTAAGTGGATCGGAGGATAACTGTATCTACCTATGGAACCTGCAGACCAGAGATATTGTGCAAAAATTGACTGGGCATACTGGTATGTTGTTTTATATGAATTATATTCTTGGGGTTAGGTCGTAAGAGTTTTGTTATCCGTGATGTCATTATTGATGATTATTCTCTTTAGATATTGTATTGTCAACCGACTGTCATCCCACAAGAAATATGATTGCCTCAGGTGGTCTCGAACAAGATCGCTCCGTCAAGATCTGGGTCAGCGACTTCTAATGTATCTAATGATCAACTCTCTACCTTCTCAAGGCCCATTTACAGTTATTGGTTCACTTTCAAAAGTTTTTATATTAATTTTGTGCTTTGATCTCATCGCGGGAAGCACATCCAACGTTTGTTTTTAATGTACATGTTTTACCTTTTTATAATGATAATAAACTAATGATTGTGCAAATTTGGAGGTTAGCGGCATGGTCACGTTCCATTTATTACATTGGTTATTATTATTTTTATTAATCTATTCGTAGTTCTATTAAGAACTGTCTTTCTTGACTCTTTTAGCTAGGCAGGGTAATATTATTTCCAGATCAGGTATTCACGCTAATCTCGCTATGTTCCAGAGCTTTTGAGATGTCATCCAAGGAGAAGAAGAAAACCGGCACTTCAAAGCAAGGAGACATCCGACTGCCCGATCGCGTAAACGTGGGCAACGGGAAGCTGAAACAGAAAAAGGTAACGGTTTTTTTTGAACATTTGGCTTGAAATTTAGGGGTTACGTAATTTCTAATGACTATTGAACGTACTGGGACGATCTCCTCTGTGAATTGGGGTTGTAATTCATGCCCGAAATGGATTTTGTAGTCCCCTTCACTGAGTTGTTTGATGATTTTGTCACTCTCCTCGTTAGTTGTTGGGCTCTCCATAGCAAATGCCTTGAAATCCATGAGATTGTCAATGTTTAACAAAATTCCACGAAGTACTGAGCAAGCTGCTATCTGAAATGTACGAGTTGAATATTGTTTTAATCTAGGTCGGTGGTCGTTTAGCAACTTACTGGGTCGTTTCCTATTAGAGGTCCTACAGACAGAGTCTCTCCATGTTGTTCTCTGACAGTGCCAAGTGCAACAATCCGATTCTCCGTCGTTAAGGCCACCTGTAGGTATTGTTTATGAATTCGGTAATGTCAGAACTTACCAATGGATAAGATCCCGGTTGTATTAGGAGGGCTTTTACCACGTGGATGATATTCAATTTTCCGACGTACTTTTTGAGGTACTAAAGGGAGAATAAAAAATAAGTTGTTAACTCACTTTCTCGATCTCATCCCATCCAACGGCCGATGGATGTTTAAGGATGAGAGTTGGATCATTGTTTAAGAGTAGCGGTCTTAGTTTAGTTGTTACAACCGTTCGTCTAACAACTGCGTAGTCTGTGATCTTGTTGAAATGATGGACATCGGCGTACTTCTTGGTCATGGAAGCCGCTAAAATTTATTTTTATTGATTCCTCTAATGCATTATTTCTGTAGTATCGAAGTCTTACCTCCAAACAAAAAGGTGTTGCCTTTGCATCGAGCTTTAGCTTGGTCAAAAAGGTAAACTCCAAGTCCCCTTCCTCGGTTCTCTTTGGTTACAAAGTAGCAACCAATCATTGAAATGGTACTGTTGGGTCCGTAGTAATGGACTACAGTAATACAACCGAGGATCGCTTTTGATTCTAGACGTCATTACAAATTGTTAGGACTAGTTGTACTCACCTTTGTCGACAGCCACCAGTAATTCGAAGTCATCTCCGAAGGCCTCTTTCCAAGTCTTGTAATCGTGAAGAGAATTTAGCCAACTCTCGGCTTCCACAATTAATTTACATATTTGGATCCAATACTCGTTAGGAGGATTAACAAGTAATTCAACGGAATCGGTCATTCATGTATTCTAAAATCTGCGGAATTATTGATTACAACTTTTTTGGCCATGGCGAATAAGAGAATTGGTCCGAAACGTCTTCATATTACATAAAAACAAACAATAACGATAAAGACACGAAAAAAGGAAGCCTAGTAAAGATCCCAGCCGTCCTTGGCCAAGTCTACAGGACTTTCCGTCGTTCGGGAGATTCAGACAAAGAGAAAGAATGGCGTGGTTTTCTTTCCGAACGTCCTTTTCCGCTATTTTTTTGCGGGTTTCGTTACAAGGAATCGCTTTAAATTGTCTACTTTACAAGAAAAAACTCCTTTCTCAAATTTCACAAACAAATAAATAAAAAAAGACAACAGGAAAGATTAGTAAATGTTGAAAAAAAGACAATTTTGACACCAAGGTGAAATTGATTATGTCAGAATTGGTTAGGGCAACCTGGAATCGTTAAAAGTCTAGTGTTGGGAAAGAAAAGAACTTAGTTCCCCTAGTTTTTTGGGTGGCTTAGATGTTTTTGGAAGGGTTTGTAAATACGCGGGTCTTGTCGGGTGTTGTCCCCTCCCAAAGTGCACGTAATACTCGGAAAAGGGCGGCTCGAAAGCATGGACATCAGAAGACCAGGCCAATTCTCAAAACTCAAATAGAAAATGAGGCTTGCGACGACTACTTGTTAGTCCTTTTTAAGGTGTTTAAAAGGGTCAATGGCTTAAAACTACAAATTTATGTTAAAAAGTTGCAAAATTAATGACAATGGTGTAATGAAATTTAAATCGCAGTAATATTATTTTACAAAACAACCGCAAAGAAATGGAATTCCCCACAATTCTGGTGATTTTCCCTCTCAATTCTCTCGCCTCATCTCCATCTCGAATGACAAACAGGTGTTTTGAAAGAAACTCGGGGAAATCTCTTGGAATTTTGACTCAAGACAAGGAAATGCCCGTAATTATATTGTGGATTACGAATTGGTTATACTAATTACAGTCTTAGGGTGTTGCACCGATTTTAGACTAGAAATCCCTGTTATTAGTAATGCGTTTCTTCTGGTTGTTAGGATTGCAGCTGTTTGTTTGCTAGAAAAACTGTTCTCCACCGTTTTTTGGATCTAAAGCTTGAACCTTTTGATAACAACTTTTTGAGGTCTAGGACGGTGGAGCGAATAGGATAACGGTGAGATTGAAGGTTTCGAATTCAAAATGGAGTTTATTTTGTTTTGTTTTCTTTAACTCAGCGTCACTGAACAAATACATGTGTGGAACGTTTTCAGCTGGACGACATACGTCTTGATAAACTCTTGGACGACGCCCGGATTCTCCAACGAGACCTCCTCACCTTGCATGTGGCAGTCCCACTCAATGAAGAGTCGCCCCTGGCCGCGTTTCCTAATTTTCCTGGTATTAATAGATGTGCGATCCAAAGAAGAAGGTCGTCTGCTATCGCCATTGAAACAACAGCCGTAGATCTTTCCAAAATGGCCTCGTCTTCATCGAATGGCATGGAATTCCTCAAAGGTGTGATGCCGGACGGCGAATTCAGCAGCGAGTTCGCTGCAATGGCAGCTGCTTCTATGGGTAGGATTATTTGAAAAATTATTGTATATTTATTAAAATATAATATTGTAAATTTCAGCCTTTGATCCCAAGAACACCAGGATTATCTCTGTGAATGGGCTCCCCGCAAACACCCGTTCCTCCGCCCATCGTCTCCGCCAAGAATACCGACGACGACGGAAGGAAGAGATCCACAAAATCCTTGAAAAGGTCAACGAAATTCCCCAAGAATTCATTACCGCCGTCAGAATCCGGCGTAAGTATGTGGATCAGATGAAAAAAAGGTTTGGCCGACATCCCCAACCCACGTTCGAGAATCTAACAGACACCACGGATTGCGAGGATATCACATCGGAAAGCGGGGATAGCCAGGACGAGGAGGATGATGATGATTGTGGAACTACGGACGTCTACAACTCGAGTAGAATCAACGGAAAGACCCCGACCAAACAGAATGGAAAGGACAAAACGAATGGAGAAAAGAATGGGAATGGAAGTTGCAGTAAAAACGACAGCATATTGGACCTGGACTCCTCTGATGGAATGCTCAGATTGGTCCAGAAATTGGGCGACGAACTCCAAAAACACGACAGTTGGCAAACTCCAGACGCGCTGACGGCCGTCCTTTCTAGTAAGCTGTTTTCGCCGAGTATGCGTGTAACTGCTTCTATTCTTTACATACGGATTTCTTATTAATATTTTGTTGTAGGTATGTCGGATGCGAGTCGAGCGGCCAAGCCCTCAGTCCCGCCACCTCAAAAGACCAAGATCAATATTCGCGCACCATCGGCCATCACAAAGAACCAGGCCAAGAAGAATCCTCAGTCATCGAATAAGAAGCTGGCTCACAAGAAGAGTCCCCAACCAAAGTCTTCTGCGTCGACCTCGGAATCATCAGAATCTGAAACGGAATTTGCGTACAGTGCCGCCTCAGCTGGTAGTGTATGGTCAGAATTGCAGGTACTGCTGAAAAGCCTGGCTTCGGGACCACCAGAACCAATTCAAAAAGCGGCCAAGAGAATCGTCTTTGATAAGAGGTAGGATCTTTAAAAGAATTGATGATTAAATGTATGATTTTTATTCAATTTCAGATTCCTCAACCTCGCAACTCCTCGGAAGTTGCCCCCGATCCCAACTCGCCCTCCTCCAGCTCGTCCTCGTCAGAAGCTAAGCTCAGAGAACGCTTTGGAGACCAAGAAGCGCTTTTGTTACCAAGCAATCCATCAATATGATCCCATGAATAGGGATCTAGTCAGAAATCTACTGTTGATCCAAAAGCGAAGACAATATAACGGAAATAGGGTGAAGCCTCATTTGATTGTTCCAAAATCATGGATGAAGAACTCCTTCAAGGAGAAAGTGTCGAATGTTTACCAAATTGGGGATGGCCCGTACGGCCCCGCTTACTTCAATCGATTGTTGCAAATGAGAATTACTGCCCATGAGCTGTGGGTGGATGAGAGAATGATTAGTCGAGGAAAATTTTGGTGGGTTTTAAAAATATATCGGACTTGACTTGTTATTATACATGATCAAATTTTATGAAATGTTTTTAGGTTGAAGGCGATTAAAGCGATAGAAAGACAAAGGGTCCAGCATCCGTGCCCATGTCGAGCCGCCGATGCCTTACTTTTTCTACATAAGTTTCTAAAAGATGTTTCCAAGGGATTCTTAACTTATCTCTGTGACCAGCCGGAAGTTAAAATTGAACTACCATATCTTGTCAAATTCTATGCCAAGTTTCGAAAGGCAGAACGGAGTCTATGCTGGGCCAATCTAACCAATGAATGCAATGAAGAAAACTTCAAATGGAGAACACGGGGACTGCTGCAGAGACTAAAGAAATATCATCTCGACTTTTCAATGGATGCCTGTTATTCTCAAGGATTGCCACCGTTGAACGGAGACTTTGCGGCATTGGTTAACCTCTGCGAGAAGTTTGAGAGATGGTAAGGAAGCTTTGGTTTGAATATATTATGTTATAATTTTGCAATAGTGGCTATAAATATCGGGCCGGTACCCGATCTTCCACTAATGGAATCTAAGCAAAAGCTTGCTTTTTTCGAACTGTTTCTTTAATTTTACCAAGTTTGGTCACAAACAGCATCCAGCTCTCAGTTAAGTTAACCAAGGTCAGCCGTAATTTCTGCAAACTTTGGGGTTCCCATTACGAGTCCTTGAAAATCGAATCTCCTTCCAAATATTATACATGACACAATAGACTTCAATAAAAAATATTTTCAGTGAGGTCCTTCTCCATCGTTATGCGGCTTCGCGCGGATTCAGAGTCCAAGTTCTCCCATGTGTGGTGGATCCCAATCAACAGATTACCATTTATGAAAAGATGGATTTTGATACCACCAGTTCTCACCATTACAGTGAAGAATCGGATTCAGAAGACCTGAGTGAGCAGGTTACAGAGCAAGAACAGAGATTGAAAAAGCTCCAGGAGATGTGTCCACCTGACATTGATTTGTCGCTCTTGCAGGATGAGGCTATCTCAAAGTTCTTGATTAATCGGAACCGAGATCTGGAAGGCCTGGATGCATTAACGGATAAAGAGGAACAAAAAGAGACCAATCAGAAAATCGTCCAGAATCAACAAAAGAACAGTCAGAAGAAGAAAAAGAAGAACAAAAAAAGGAAACGCTGATCGTCCCCATGGTACCCCCTTGTTTAACATCAATTTTGCCTCTCACATTTCATTGTTATAGATGAACCGGCTTTTTTATTATTATTATCATGATTACATCTCACATCAAAGATCTAAGATCCCAATGATTGATTGTTACACCGATTTTTTGTTGACAACGGTGATTATAAACACATTACCCTGTAGAATCGGATGGATTTATAATGAAGATTGGACAAGTTATAGTCTAGTCGGGATGTTTTGAGGTTAAATAATATTGATTTATGTATACGGCGTTATTTAGAACAAATTGATTGACATTGTTCCCGGGATGTGAATGTATTGGGACTTTCGGTGCTCTCAGGATTCCATTCATAGGAAACACACTGCTTTCCATCAAAATACCAGCGATCTAACCAACCACCATCATCAACTTTCACTGAGGAAGGGTCACATGTGAATTCTGAAGGGATGACGGTCACTTTCGAGGAATCTTATGACAAAATGTTATGTAGTACTGTTGCTAGAAATTTAGAGATAATAATAGATAGGATTTTTGCGCAATTTTTAATCGAAAAGTCGTCAATCTTTTTGGAAAAAGGACTACAGTACTAGTCGGAGAGAAATGACAAACAAATTTGTTATAAAGTGTTTCAAAGATGCAACGTTTAGAAAGCCATACGAATATAAGAAGAGCTGGCCCTTTGTTTGAAACCCACCCACCCTTCCGTGGACAGCATAATCCTCCACCGGCTGATATACCACCAATACATTCGAAGTTCTTTCCACAAGAACCTGATGAATCAGTGTCATCACAAACTATTAATTGGCCATTTGCACCTTTCTCGGCGACTAAATAACCAGCTCCAGCTGGAAATGGACACGTTTGTTGGGCTCCAAGACTTCCAGAAACTAAAATCATTTTGTTCTTAACAAAACTTGTAATGGTAAAATTTATGTTTTGGACTCGAAAAAAATACAGTAAGAAGAAAGATTAGGAATAAGTAGTGAGGGTTACAAGAGCTGAAAACACTCACCAGCATCATTGAGACTAAGACAAACCCATCCAAAACTTTCACTTTTCCTTCGCAGAAAGTCCTTTCCACAGCGACAGCGGCCTCGAGAACAAACCGCCTTAGGCCAGAAGGTCTGACAATCCTGATTCTCTTCGCACTCCTTTCCCGTCGCCAAAGAATGAATTAAAATGAAGGTGAATAAGAGGATCTTACACATGCCCCACTTTCTCTTATTTATCGCGCTTTGGCGGGTGTCGCGGGGGGAGAGAGAGTGATGAGAAATCAAGGATTTGGAGGCGATTCACAAGAACTTTGGATTACTCGCAATTGTAAGATACCCTGTTTTTTACAATGCAAGGGTATTCAGGGAACTTTTAGCGTTTACCCCCGTTCATTTCTTACGAATACCGTACTCCCTTCCACAATATGTTTTCCACAAAAGCCTCACTTGTTTACAAATAGGAAATCTTTTTGTAACAAAGAATTTGGATAGAAATTTCAAAATTTAATTAAATCTTTGATCTTTATATTTCCTATACAACCTCCAAAACACGGTCGATCGATGTCCTAGAACCCTCGGAAGGAAAACAAAACATGTTTGGAAAACAAAAAACAAAGCGCGGAAATCACAAAGAAATGGAACATCTGGGAAGAGCGGGGAATCTACTACAAAATCTCACGTTTAATCTCCTCAAGACGCTAAATTACGTTAAAAAAAGAGTTAGCAATGGACTGAGAGGGTAATACAGGGGTGAGCAGGAAGTAAAAATCATAACTGAGACCGAAACAACAACAAATTCTTTCATGATGACTAAAATTTCCGCAAAAATTAAAGTCAGTGCGTAATATGAGAGTGAAGAAATAAGACCGATTTCGGGATTTTAAAAGGACGCTAAATTTGCCTTTCCGTGCTTTTTTCTCAAGTCGTCCTCATTTCTTTCACGCTATTTTTTCAAAGAAAAAAGTGAGGAAAGCGTTTTTCGCGATTTGCTCCTAAAAGATCGGTGCGATCTTATCTCTTCGCTCTCATATAATTAAGAGTTTAAACTTGTAACTTTGGGTAAATTAGGCCATGTCTAATCTACAATTCCTAAAAAATAAGTCCAATTTTGACTTTATAATAAAACTTGAACTTTACCTTGTCCTAGACCACTGATAATCAACTCTTGGCAGCAATTTTAGGAAGATCATTAAAATACGATAAGCTAGATTACAGCACCGATAAAATGACAAATAGAAATGCCACGTGAATATTTACTCCACCGTGACATTCCTTCGCCCTTTTTTTGCACTTTTAACCCATTATTTTCGATAAGTTTATATTGACTCATAGGTTTTAATAATGTCCTGATTCAACGGCCAGACAGTTGATTCGTCATTAAAGCGAGAAATGACGGCTTTTCTTAATTGAGAACGTGCTCGGCTCCAAGTCTAATATCAGGTTCCGGGTTCCCTTTACAACAATGATAACACAACTTCCGCCACGTTTAAGCCACATGTAGGCCTTATCGGGAGACGCATCGTCAACTGAGAAATTATAGTCTCTGGCCTTGTCTGGGTATTGTCTGGGAGATATCATCATTTAAATATAGTTCAGAGATTACTGTAACATTTCTTTAATTTTTTGGTGTAATCGAAAAATGTTAAGTCCACTGCATTCTAATGCCCTCTGGCAATTGAACAAAACTGCCGATGAAATAAGTCATTACTATTTATCTATCAAAACTAATTACAAAAAACATAGAAATAACAAGTATAACATTAAGGTATGTATGACAAATGAAGATTGAATGAGTCAAGTAAGAATGAAGTATTTGATACAGAGATTGTGTTCACGGTGATAAAAAGTGAGTCTTGGAAGCTGGTCAGTCATTTCCCGTTGCCACTCCAGTATGAATCCACTAAAGATTGATTAACATTAGTCAAGGAGTAAAATAACATAAGTAAATGAAAGTGAAGATCCTTTAAGGATACCACAAACTTACTGGTCGATTCGAAAAGTTGTTCGTAGCTATCCCTGTCGCGGAGTTGTTCCTGCAATCACGTAATAGTAAGAGTTGTGCCATTATCAAAACATTTGAGTCATCATCAACTACAGTAACCTCACAAATACTTACAAAAACATTCTGCCCCTGACCGTCCATCGTTTGCAAGTAGAAGAAACACAAATGAGATGGAAACAAATCTGGGACCAGATTCGGGAGACTGAAATCAGCAGAACTTGGCCTGTAAACAGGCGGAACACTTGACACGTGGAGAGCCACACTTGACACAACAAGGAAAATATTTTTTGTTTCTCCAAAAATCCTAGTTTTAGTTATTTCTAGTTGTTATTGTCCCACTTGTTATTCAAAATGGCCGTAAATGCAACAGAGACCGACCTGAAGACATTCCGCGACTTTCTTATGCAGTATAACATGGTCACAGAGCAGTGCTTCACCTCGTGCGTTCAGGATTTGACTTCAAGGTAAATATTCTTTCTACTTTGACATTGTTTTTTAGGTAAATAAGCGTTTCTACTTTCCCTCTCTTATTATTTTACGATCATTTTATGTTATCTGTGGCACTTATTGTATAGCTATTTTGAGGTTATTAACTGTTCACAGTGAAGGTTTTTCCATTTGACTGTTAGGACGACTTAAAATTCATATTGAAGCCTAGAGAGGTTTTGAGACCTCTGAAGTTTAATGCGATCTCTGACAGTGTTTTGACCCGTCTTTGCCATGAAGAATATAGAAAGAAAGAAGTCGCGTAGGATCGGTTGGACCGGGGAGATTTAATCGGATAAGGTAGCACAAAATTTAAGATGCCTTTGTTTTCGAAAGCAGTTCGTCCATATTTTTCATTCCTTTACAGTGTTCAGTATTCAAAGATTGATCAGATTTTTGTGTTTTTTCCCATTTTTCTTCGATTACAATACTGCGTTTTCCCGACGCTGATTTGTAGTCTATGCCTCCCACATAATTGCATAATCCTGCCAGATTTTGAGGTAGTTCATTTCAGACAAGTCAGTGATAAGGAAGAGAGATGTGCCAAGAATTGTTTGGATAAGTACCTCAAGATGACGCAGCGATTGTCGATGAGGTTTCAAGAGCATCAACTACTCCAAGCCGAGTCCCAAGGGGCGCCAGTTCAGCCTAAGTAGACGCCGTTGTTATCCAAGCCGTTTCTCCAATGTTTGTTGATTGTTTTATTGGCGAACAAGACCTTTTTTAGGAATTTATTAATAAAAAGAAGGATAACAACGCAGGTCGAACCTTATTGCATTCACAACAATGTAAAGGCTAGGAAACGGATTCCGAGAGAATCGCCAAAGAAACGTCTCCTTTAGCAGCTTCATATTCGGCCTCAGTTTTGAGTTGAAGGCGGCATTTATTGATGACATACTCATTGTTGACGGTGCCATCCTTGTGAGAGTAGATTGATTTGGCCGGGTTCAGCCTTCTTGGTTGAACACCTTCGTGGATCTTTTCCCATTTGATGGTTCCTTTCTCGAATTGCACAGTGAATTCGGCGGCGACTCTTTGGAGTTTATCACTTCTCACGAGTCCCTTCTGATACTCATTGCCCAGATAACGGTTGTAGGCATATTCCCCATCCATATAAATCGAGCCAAAGAACTGGAAAGATTATTTACGTAACTTTTTTTTCTTTGCGACACAATATATAATCATAATACGATATATTTATTACACTTACCACAAGCTTCTTTCCTCTCTCATCCTCGTCAACAATTCTGGTATGGATCGGAGAAATAACAGGAGTAGCAGCGATGACCTCGCCGTCCGTTGTATGAGCGATGCACTTAACCCATAGCCCGACACTGAGCTTCTTCTTGTATGAAAAACTTCCTCTTGCAGTCCAGATAGAAGAAGAGTTGGCCGTTACTTTGTAACAAATTCCGAGGATATCCAACAGCTAAAACTAACATAACAGAGCCAAATCCAACCTACAAAGTTTCCAACAAAGATGTAATTGTTCTTAATCGACGAGATTTTCACATCTTTCCAGGAAACAAAATGGGCGTCGCTGAAGGTTCTGGAAATTTCACTGGACATCGATGACATATAACTCTTGTAGAGATCCCCTAAGGACGAAACCATATAAATTAAAGTAGAATAAACTCACATTGACTACTGGCGCTGTTGTTCATGACATTACTTTCGTCTTCAAACACCTCATCCAAAGAAACTGCATTCGATCTGGCTTCTTCCAGGTCTAGACTCCCGTTCCCGTCAGACTTGACGTCCTCTCCGACAGAACTTTTGATCGTGTTCTCAGTCTGAATAGTCGAGGTTGACGGAATAGCTGCAAAAATACGAGTGAACCCATCCTTCTACCAAACCTTACATCATACACACATATACGAAAAAAATTACCCTTTCTCTCTGGAACCTCTATTTCGATCGTGGAAATGGACTCAATATCACTCGGAGCAAGCGAAGAACCCTCGTCCTGAGTACTTCCTAAAACTGGAGAAGAAAGTAGTCCGTTCTTACCATTTTCTTCTTCCTTTCTTTCGGCCAATCTTGATGAGATTTCGGAAGTGTGTGGAGTTATAGTTCTTCCTCCGAATGGGGTGCTGACGGTCTTTCCATCCGTCTTTCGACCTAAACCCAAAAACTGCAAGTGAAATTGAATACATGGGAGGTGATTTATACCTTTCGTTTTCCAATCCAGCCATGATTTGGACAGAATTGGGCATTTTTGGAGTGAAATTTAAACCTTACTTGGAGAATATCAGCCGAAATTTAGCCCAAATTTAAGTTTGCACTGAATTCGCCGCTTTTGCTCGATTGAAAACCAAAATTTATAAATCATCTCCCATACATTGTTAACAAAAAATATTAATCTTACTACTCGAAGCTCCCGATGACGTTGCAATCTTTGATGACCGACTTTCTAAAGTAGAAAGAGTAGTGTTTAGAAGGCCAGAAACAAATTTTGAAGAGTAGTTCCTTGGGTCATGAACTTCCGGGAACTAAATTAATATTTAAAAAAACAGACCGCCCTCTATACCTTGTGGAATCCTTCTTTGGGGTTTAAACTCCAAGTAAACGCAACGAAATACTGTCGCGGCATGTAATCGGGATAATAAAGAGCTTCGAACTGAAATAAGAGAAGTTAAAAGCCGAGTATAACAAGCACTTTCAATATTAATGAGAACTTACCGCAAAAAGCTCAATCTCCGACATCTTTTCGAACTCTTCAGAGAGATGTTTGGGAAAGAGGATCCTCATCGCGACATCATCATCAAAATAGGCTCCAAAGTGGTCGTTGTCAGTGATCTTCACTATATCACACTTCATACAAAACCCGCGGAGGACAAGAATATTGTTCTGGAGATGCAGCTTCAGTGACAAGATATCCGGACGGAATGGGACAACTTGAAGGATTCTCACATGGGATCGGTTGTTCAACTCGGTGGTCTCCTCAATTATGATCTCCACTATGGAACCAACCGTAAACTTCTGAATGTCGTATACATATAACTGAGCATTAGATTAGGAGATAATTGGGCAAATTAGGGGAGCATTCAGTGGGTAAAAGAGAAAAAAGATAACAAAAACAATAGAACAAGGTAGACTTACAGGGTTGATGAACTCCCGATCCATCACCCATTTGTTGAACCGTTTGGAAATGGTCAAGAAACTCTCATAACCGCCCTCCGTCTTCGCCTTCTCCACAATGATGGCTAAGACAGCCAATCGGACCACATGCTCGGTTGCTTTCGGTCTTCTGGAGCCCACTCCAATAACCATGTTCTCCATCCTCTAAAATCCCACGATAGCAGCATTAGACCTTACGCAAAGCAAGTTTTTGATTACATATTACCTAATATCCCCAGCCATACGTGATATGAGGTAATACCAAACAATACACCATCTTACGCAACCTACAATATCATAAAAATGCTTACCTTGAGGATGTGGTTGCTGGGAGTGTCAAATCTGTCAAACCTGCCAAACATCTTGCTAGCATGCTAAAAGTAGATACACTAATCAAAACTGAAAATCTACAGGGTGCGCCAAAAAAACCCGGACAAAAATAAATTGGTTATAGCTTGGCATAAGGGCTTCGTGGTAAATGGACAGAGTGAAATTGGACACACAAAAAAATAAATAAAAATAGTGAAGCCGTGCTATACTATAGCACCGCGCTGCAAATTGTGGCCTATTGTCAGACTGAAAACATGACCAAAAGGTTTTGGAAAAGTAAAATTTTTTGCCCTTGTACCGTTACAGCCCGCAGGGCAAATAAAAAATATTTTTTTGGCGCGCCTTATGAGTTCTCGAGGAAGTCGAAACGTTGCAAAACTTCGATGCGGAAGAATTGCCTAAACTTCCTGTCGTATAAAATGTCGCTTTCATCTGCGCCCAACAACTGGAACTGTAAGTCATCAATTGAAACAAATTCAAACCGTTTTTTAGCATTATTTATTGATTATATAGGACATTAGAAGTTTTCTGAAATAAATAAAAATACTGTAAATCTAATAGATTGCTATGAAAATCCAGAACCTGATATAAAATTATGTAGAGCTATGCAGGAGGACTAATGGTCGACGATTCTCAGATTACCCGACACGATCTTGTTCTCCAACACTGCTCCAGAAGGCACATCGATTCTCTCACCGTCATTAGCAATGATGATTACAGTACCCTAAAATGAGGTTAAAGAAAAACAATATATAGTATTACCTTTAGAACAACGCCCTTTCCAAACCAGACATTGCCGGACACAGTGAGATGGTCAAGTTCAAGAATATCGGGGATCCCTTGGAATCTGTTGAGGAAATCTTTCACCTGAAAAGCAAGGGTAATATAATCATTCATAAGGAGCGTCAACGTTGAACTATACAAACTGCTTACCTTATCGAAGGAGCTTCCAAGTTTGACAAATGGAGTAGTTTGGAATTGTCTATAAGTGCTCAACGTGAGCTTTCCATTTTCAATTTCATAGAGATTAGACATCAAAAGGAGAAGATCGGAGGTCTTTTTCACGGGCAAGAACCTCGATCTGGGGACGTTGACTCCACAAGAGTTCCTGAAGTTCTTAATGGCAGCTCCAGCAGCAGTTTCGAGTTGAACAACATCGATTCCTCTGTCCAAATGCTTCGGGTTTACAATAACTTCCATATCCAACTCTGAGTTCTCAACGACCCTCTTGATGGCTTCAAGGTTGGCCCAAAGGTTATTTGTGTTAAAGATTCTGCAATTTGTAAGTTGTAGAAGTAAATCTCGTCCAATAATAACAAGTTCTCACTATCAAGTTTTAACGATCCGCGGCATACCTGAACTTGGAGACGCTCTTGAACTCGTCCGTGTATTCCTTGGGTACCTGAGCAATCTCAAGAAGTCTTGGATTTCCTTCGTACTCAATCAAGGTACCTCCCTTCACATCAGCACGGGTCTTATCTGTGACTTCCATTACGAACTCTGGTTTTCTTGGGTCGGAATGAATAAAGTTCAAGATGTTCAGATCCACAGTAGCACCCAGGTTGTCAATGTTGGACAAGAAGACATACTTTTTTCCCTCGTTGATGAACTTATCCAGAAGGCCGGAATTCTTGAAAGATTCATAGAAATTTCCGTGACCTGGTGGATACCAGCACTCAAGATCATTATCCTTCACATCCTTGGCGACGGGGAGATAGGTCTCCTTATCGATCCTGGGGTACCGAGATTGGCAGAAAGCGTGGACAGAGACATCAATGTTAGTGTATTTGCGGAGGAGTTTGTTGGTGTCATCGTCGGTGTTGAAGGAGTTCATCAGGACCAACGGGACGCTGACCCCATAAGAACGGTTGAAAAACTAAAAAAAAAACAGTCAAGAAACACACTCTAACTACAGTAACTACGCAAAACTGACCTGGATTTGCTGAAGGGTCAAATCAAGGAAAGTTAAGTCGTTTCTGACGGAGATGACGGACTTAGGGCCCTTGCATCCCATGGATGTTCCCAGACCACCATTCAACTTTACAACTACCAATTTGTCCAGAACTTCTCTGACATCTTCATGAGCTGTCAACTGAGAGTACGGAATGACCGTATTCTCCTTTGGGGGTTGAATTTTCTTCCAATCGATAACTGTTTTTCCACGAAGAAATCTGGCAAATAAAGATTTGAATCCTTTCAGTTCGGAGAGCCAGTACTAAAAAAATCATCTTATCGAGAGCCCGTCACATCGAAATCTTCATTTTCAAAATCTTACATTAGCCTTCTCATCGCTGGCAGTGGCTAAAAGACGTTCAAGTTCTTGCTCGACCAATTTGTAGAGTTCCTTGGTGGTGGAAGACTTCCATTCCTCAGAGCTCTGAAATTGATACGTTTATCTTTTAGCCAAATAAGAAGGTGCCATTATATTTTTTCAAAATTTTACTCCATGGTGCACTATTTTCTACTCTGGTTTTTTTTGTATCCTGCTGAAACATCGTTCAAACTTTCAGTTTATTGTTTCGCTTATCCACAAAACAAGTAAACAAAAGATAAAGGAATGGAATCCGAGGATTCACTTACTTCGCTGACCGAAGTCAATCGCTGAGCGGGTCGATGCGGCATCTCGTGGATCTCTCAGCGACTTTCGGGGGATCGGAAGCACGTTCTGGGAATTATAAAAGTCTCAAGAAATTCCGTTTCGCAACACGCTTTAATATTTCCGGAAGAATGAGCTCAGCGACATATCGCCTTATCACCTCCTATCGAGAAAGGCTTATCATTCCACCGGTTTCTGATCCCGCCCCCGAGAAGGGGAATAGAATGATTCTTGCAGATTTATGCAAAGAACAGGTCCAAGAGTCCAATAACAATAGGAAAACTGGATTACCGAGGCAATAACTAGTGATAAAAGAGGCAGAAGTTATCACAACCATCAGACCGAAAAAACAAGCCGATAGCGATGAGAATGTACTGGGAAATTCCTCCCAGCCATTCTCGCTTATTGACGCTAATATAGAAGAACGGGGACGAGGACGTAATGAGATCATTAAATCTGACCTTTTGCAATTAGCAATCAAACTGCTGGGTCAGCAACAAAATGCTGGGTTTTACAATTTTGCACCGTGCATTATGAAACTGTCAGAATACTGATAACATAAAAAGGATAGAGGGCGGGAAGAAAAATGCGAAATGATTTTCACAACATTTCGGCGATAACAAGTAATAAACCAAAAGTTATCTACTAAAGATTGCTGAACAACACAATAAATACCTTGTTCAAGATGCCTCATCTACATTCGATTAATGAAGTAGAGGTTACATTGGGTGGAGCTTCGAAACTCCTCACAGACAAACGAAACCACAAAAGAGACGACACAACATTACATCACCTAAATTTCTAATCTATTTATATAATCACCAACTTCCGAGAGATGTCACAAACCATTAAAATAAAAGAATTCTAAGCGCGAAAGAGTAATAAAAACTGTTTTCACAGCCAACCGGCAAAATTTCTTGTCCTTGGTTACCAGGGTCAGTTTAAGGCGGTATCACTCGTCTTATCAAACGATCAACTTTCGAAAGAAAAAAACAAACAACCAGAAGATGGTAAAAGGACAGACAACTCTTACTTTGATCTTCCGAAAGATGGCAAACGCCATCAAGTAATCGAAACAACTGTGCGGCAACCGTATTCAAATGGCAAACAATATGACTGTTCAGAAGCCAGAAAACAACCTTGTTTTTGCATAGTTAATACAGAAAACAAGCAGCGGATACTCGTAGATGACGCATAGACACTCCAGACGTCAGATCGCAAAGCCTGACCTCATTCTGACTTTGTTCATTAGTAACAAACCACAATGACACTATGTGTAATATGGATGGATCAAGACGAAAAACGAATGTCTGTCTTGTGAAAAAGGCAATCACAAGTCAGAAAACAAGCTAGAAAATGAATGTTTGCATCTTTTTGAGGAAGAGCGAGGAAGGCCTATGCTCTGTTTTTTATTGATCATCAATACTAAATCAAACCACAGAATACAGAATCTAATAATTTTTGCAAGGGAAACTACGTCTCCCAAGACGCATCTCCTACTTTATCTGCAGGCCCACCATTTATATCAAGTTTATGATTCAATATTCAAAAATTTCCTACCTTATGCCTAAGTCTTTCCATGCTCACAACTTCCTTTAACGATAACTCCCTCGACAACCTTACCCTTTTATAACCCCCACTCTTATTTCCACCTCATGAGAGCACATATCAAGCCTATCAGCCGGTCACAAGTCCAGAATGAAGCCAAAGTCGCTGTGTCAGAGATAAAGGACCTTATAACAAATAACTAAGGTCGACAAAAAGTCAGGAGCCAAATCATTTTGGAGCAGTGATAACAAGGGCAAATAAAAGGGTTGAGGGAATCTGGTCGGCCCCACAAATCATTCGAATATTCAGTTTACGAAAATAATTTTCCCTTTTGCTTTTATAAACATTCAAAATCGGGTTTAAAAGAGGCCTCGGGATTTGAATTTGTAATTTCTGTGTCCTTTATCCTTTGTTTCCACGTCGCAAACGCGTTTCAAATATTGCTAACGTGGGTTATAATCGTCCGAAATGTAAATGAAACTACATATAGGCAGACCAAACAGACAAATATCTAACTTTTCATTATCCTAGGTGAAATTAATCTCGAGTCCTCCTTATAAACTTAATGTCTGGTCATTAAACTGTCAGAAAAGTTCTAGATTGCAACAAAAAAGAAACTATCACTTCTCGCCAATAAAAATTAACGTGTTCTAACGTGGAGTCATTTGTAATCTCCCAGGAAATAATTGTAACAACAGGCTTCTTTAGTTGGATGAGGATTGTTAACAAACCAAAATGGATGGGACAGTTTCCTCGTGACTAATCGAGGAACAACATTCCTTTAAAACCAAACGGTTTTTGACCAACTTATCATCAATACAGCCCTTACTTTACATCAACAACTTCCAGCTAAATCAATCATCATATTTTCTATTTCTACGTCTAATCGTCTTCAGGCTTCCCCAAATTTTAATCACTTTGGAAAAACCTTTCCATTAAATTATGTGCATCATGGTTCACATCCCTCCGGAACTGACCTTTTCCTGTGTGGAATGGAACGTCTCATGTGTGAGAAAAGCCTTCGAGATAGAGGATCGGTCAACGTCTCCAGAAGCCATGGTATATTCCAATACGCTGAAAGTTGAAAAAATTTTTGCGATAGAAACATAAAATGAAATTCAAACTATGGGAAAAATTATTAACGGAAAAAGAAGACGTGTCACGTTCAAGGTCCTCAAAGAGTAAAATGACCCGTTCGAACTTCGAAGAGTTCGGAGGCCAAGGAAGTCCCCCAAATTTCAAATATCACGCAAATTTGAAGTTCGGAAAGAAAACAAATAAAACATAAAAACAGTCTTTAGCAGATCAATCCTCACGTTCCGGGCTTTCCAGAAACAAACAAGAACCTCCCCATAGATCACCCATCTTTTGCCCGGCAGCACTGTTATCAAAGGCTCAATCCAGAACTGATAAAACGATTTCTTCACGATAGCAATGGGCTTTTCATATCGCGTATCGTACGGATGATCTTTAGAGCCTCGAAGGCAAAGGATGAATGACAAAATACAGAAGGAACAGTCGACAGTACCAGCGTAAAGTTCTTCAATGGTCCCGGAATAATATTATTCTTTGCATTCACCTGGAGTAAGGAATTCAACCCACATGGAGCTAGTCAATAAACGGACAAGCAAAACTTATATAGTTTTTTGCCAAAAAAGAACGGAGAAGCGAATAAAAAATTCTTTGGAACGATTGTTGGCCAAGAAAAAACATTTGGCATAAAAGCGTCCGCGCAGCCTGCAATTATTCGACCGCGAGCCGCGCCCGAATTTATAAATTATTTGACAAAAAGAAATTAGGGTTTTGATATCGAAGTTTTACAATTAGATCAAACTTTGAGGATCCTACAATACATCTATGGCATCTACATCAAAGGCGTTGTTGTGTGAGGCAATTTTAGAGGATTACTTCGGATATTATATTTGTGAAGTTGGTAAAAGCCTTCTAAAGTCAGATCAGACCTTCAGATCTATTCATAAAAATGTCAGAACTCAATGCAGAAGTCTCGATGTGAGCTTGTGTTTAATTTTCCGTAATTAGGTTTGGTTTATTCGTTTTATTTATGTTGTTTTAGGTCAAGAAAGCATTGGTTGTTCTGGAGAATTACGATCTTCTCGGTTTTCGTCTAACTCCTCGAGGAATAGTCTACAATATAATTCCCGACAACGTGATACGGTTTTGTCGTATATTTCGGGCCATAAGAGCAATTAAACAGAGATACCTTGATATTGGAGAAGCAATTGCGGAAGAGGTGTTCAGCAAAGGAAGGACGACATTCCAGAACTGTTCCGATTCTTTAGTTGCCCGGCTGAACTTGGATCCTGAGAAAGTATGTTCGCTTGCACTTTTTGTTTTATTGTTTTTAGATAAAACAGGCGTTTGGACATCTGGTGAGCGGTCAGATCTTGAGGAAGGTCAATGATGTTGTGTCCTCCGAATCTGGTGTTCCTGTGTTCGCCCAAACAGCCCAACCATTTGTTTTTCGTCCTCCTAACTCTGCTAAGACAAAGATATCAGAATCAGGAGCAACCAAGAGATTGGCTGAAGAGTCAGAGTCCATTTCCGAAGACGTCTGGCAGTTTAACTGGAATCGAGTAGATCACATCCTTAGAGATGAACTGGTATTGAAATGCGTAAAGGAATCAGAAGAATATGATTCGAAGGATGCGCTAATATGGAATTGTCTTTTACAAGTGGCCGATCAAGGGACCAATCTTGATACGATTCAATCTGATGCCATTGCTGTTCAAACTGTCTGCCAGTATCTAAAAGAAGAGACGGGAATAGCTCATGGATGGGAAGACGTGGACAGAAGACTTGCATCTGTTGCCAAATGTATCGAAACACCGATAAGAAGAATGGGAGACACTGGGGGAGGTCTTTATGTTGTTGGTAAGGCCATCAAAACGTTTTGTTTTATGTTTTAGATTACTATGCTGCCTTCGAATCTCTTTGTTACGCCCATGTGGAGAATGTTATCTTAGAGTTAATAGACGAAAGAGCTGTTCGAATCTTCAGATTGGTCCGAAGACATATAAACATTGAAGAAGATCAGTTGCCAAAGGCTGCGATGTTGGCATCAAAGGAGGCGAAAGAGATTGCATACGCTTTGTTAGAGAGTGGTTTCATTCATAATAGAGTAAGTCTTCATTGTAATCATACGTTTGTCTTTAGCCAATCGCCAAAACGAATGACTTTGCTCCAGCCAGAACTTTTTATTTTTACTCTCATAAGATGCCCGAACTAGTGGATACAATGATAATCAAGTCTTTGGATGTAAGTAACTCTTTTGGAGAATGTGATGCTTTTAGGCGATTAGAAATATTTGTTGCCGGCGGATCGCTGAGGTCAAGAAGAATGAAGTGTTATTGACAACAGGGGAGAAGATGGATACGATCATCTTAAGCATCCAGAACGACGCTAGTCTCACCGAGGAGGATAGAAATGCTCAGGTAGGGAATAAAATTGGATAGATATTGTGTCGTTATTATTCCTTTATAAAATCGCGCTTGGAGTGCATAAAGCTTGATAATATCATTATTATGTTACCCTCTTTCTCTTTTATTTTATCCTCTAGTCCTAAAATAATTTATTTCAATGCAGACCCAAGAAGTGAAGAACATGTACATGACCGAGGAGGACAAGAGGAATCTGGAAAGGCATCGTAACAGTCAGAGGCGACTCCACTCAACCGAGATCAACCTCGAGGAATCGTTGTTTATCTTCCAACTTTGCGATCAGTTCCAAAAACTCAAGTCCCGCTCGTTCGCAGCTCAGTTGGCCAGCAAAAAACGACGTCGCAACGTCGAAATGGGTGCGTAGAATAAAAGCCGAGATACCGAAAGCATTGCGTCATATGTTGTTGTCGACCTTGTTACACATTAAATTGTTATACCCCTAAAGAATTCATGGAAAACAGATCCACGTCCGGCCGAGACCACCATTCACAATTCTGTCCAATGTGATGCAGTATATAACCGAGTTCGTGGAAGAAATCGCGCTCACTGTACTCCTGAAAACTCAAATTTATGAAGTTTATCGGATGTCTAGTATAATCAGAATAGAAAAAGTATACCTTGTTTACGACTACAGCCATTTCCAGCCCATTATCCAGCCGTACTAGCATCGATGCAGAGCCCGGCATCCTCCCGTCGTGCTGCCAGCCATTAAAACCCATCACATTTATGGACCAGCCTAATCCATAAGTGCCATTGGAGGCTGCAGATGGCTTCACCCATTCCTTGAGTGCCCAAGGACTTAGAAGATCGGCTCGATAAGAGAATCCATCTAAATGGGACATCATCTTGAGTAGTTCGATGGGGGAAGCGATCCATCCACCCCATGGGCCGGTTCTTTCTGGCGGAGGCATCTCGTACGGATTGAAACCGACCCGGTTACCACTCATGTAGTAGAGAACTTCTCGTCTAAAAAGCAAAAATAAAGATCCAACAAGTGATCGTATTAGGTTACGTTGTGGGGGAAAAGCTGATTTCGACCGAAATTATATAGTATTATTTACCGTGACTTCTCCGCGATCGTCGGCCTAGCGATTTGAATTTCTTCCACCCCCACTCGATCCCAGACGTATTTCTTCACGAATTCCTCATAACTCATCCCCGAAATCCTCTCAATGATATGCCCAAGTAATTGATATCCAAAGTTGGAGTAGATCCAGGTCTTTCCCGGTTTGAATACCAATTGTTGTGATTCCAGGACCATCCCAATCAACTCGGCAGTTGATTTGCGGGGTTCAATCCAAGCCGGATCGTTCTCGAGATTATTCCATCCGCCTAAAAAAGGGAAGTTAAAATTTTGAGAGGCGATTGGAGTCTTGCCGGATGTGTGTTCAAGGAGATTCCGGACGGTGAGGTCAGTCACAAAACGACCATAGGGCTTCTTCCTTTCGAATTCAGAGCCTAAAAACAAACTTCAGATACTGCCGTAACCTTACCGAACAAAGAGTCAGGTCCGAAAACTTTCTGATCCAACCGCAGTCTCCCCTGGTCCACCAAGCTCAAGATGGCGGCAGCTGTGATTGGTTTAGAGACTGATCCGACTCTAAATTGATGCATCGGAGTGACGAGTTCTTGTCTTCGGATGTTACTGTAACCAAAGCCTAAAATTTTATAAAATCATCACCTTGAGGACATACCTGCCGCAAATTTTAATCTCTCATTCTTGGAGATGGCCACAGAAAGACCGGGGATGTCCAGATCGCGCATAAAATGTTCGACTCTCTTCACAATGAAGTCGAGTTGCTCTGGTTTGAGGAGGTCGGTAGTGCCCGGGAGATAAGTTGTGGGAATGCGACTGAAAAAAATAAGATGATATATCATGATAGGGCATGGTAATAAATATATATTTTGCGCAGTAGAAAACGAATGATAACCGTATAAAATAAGTTCCAAATTGGGTCAGACAAAACCCGTAACAGATATTGCGCAACAACGAGATATAAGGGACTCTCTCGTTGTCTGTTCCGAAAAATAACCCAAAAGAAGAAGAATGCGCCCAGCTCTCGGGCGGTTTCATGTGGCTTGCAGCCTTTGTAAAACAGAGTTCCGGGCCTTTTGGAAGACCCAATGGACAATTTTTGGAAAGCATTGCTAATGCTAATATACAAATTTTCTGTGATATACGAATAGTTTCGATGGGCATCACTTTAGTCATCGAAAACTGCCACCTACCTTTTATTAGTCCAAATCTCTGGTGGATTTGTGTATCGAAACGAGTGGAGATCGCTCCACAAAACCACATACGTCACCTTCTGTTCGGGATCTATATAATGAGAGACCTGTCTAGGCAGCCTTGTTCTCGCCGGGGGATTACTGTATTGCATTACTTTCTTGTGAATTGCTTGTAAATCAGTCCCCCATTCAATTGTGTGCCATTTCTTCGGCTGATACTCCCATATGGCAGCACATAAGACCTAAAATTGGACTGTTGGACATACAATCCTTTACCTACATCATTCCCGTTATTAAATACTCTAAACTGAATCGCGATATAACCCTTGGCCTTCAAAGCTTTGTCCTTTTCCAGACATTCTGTCATCGTTAAGCCGTAGTACGCTTCGTATGGAGTGTTGGATAAGGTCGGTTTAGACCACACACCCACATATTGGGCTCTGTTCTGAAAGGCGTATTTGAATAAAGGATGAATTTGTTACCCTGACACTGTAGCCACATAAACTTGTCAATCGATATCCTTCACTTTCAAATCGAACTCTTTGGATTTCTGCTTCGCGAGTTCCCGGAAACCAAATCTGAAGAAATTATTTTAAAGAATAATCACAAAACTCACTTTAAAAGAGATCCCGGGTATTCTCTCCCAATAAGTGGAAAAAGTCACCTTTCCTTGCCCATTATCTTGACCACAGAGTTGAGTAAGCCCTAATTCGACCTCTTCATTCTCTCTAAAAATAATCGGTGAATCTCTGGATCAATATTTAATTTGTGGCTGACTAGTGCCGCTTACCTGGCCACTCTCATCAACTCCGTATAAGTGTAAGGATTGGGTTTGAGGAAGACCGGGCCGCTATATTTATGCATGATCGCGTAATAAAAGATGTCCGTTCCTCTGTAAAAAAATCCCATCGAAGCCAGACGCCCTCCATACATCAAGGAGATGGCCAGAACATTGTCAATGGCGGTCTCATTGCCTGCGGCCAATACCCAATCCCTTTCGTGAGGCGATGGGGGATGTGCAATTTGGAGGTCTCCGGTGAAGGAAGGGCCTGGCTGCAGCGGCAACTGAGTCAATGAAGTCTCAGCGCGTCGATAAACGGTCGAGGGAGTGGGCTCTCGGGTCTGGCCTTGATCTGAATGTCTGACTTGACCCGAGGGTGCGGTCTGTTCATTAAGAAGGGGGAATTCGATAGGAGATCCGGGGATAGCCTGAGGGGAATGGACGAATGGGGTTGGAGGTGGCATGGAAGCCGGAGTGGCGATGGGAGCCATGTGCGGGGGAGTCGGTCCTGAAGGGAAACAGGCATGATCAGCGCCGATGCTAGCTGTCTGCTGCTTCAGGGCCTGACTCTGGGCCCATGGCGATGGTGGAGTTTGGGATTCAACGATCAAAAGGAAGGAGGCCAAGAGTACGAAAGACCTCCACATCGCATCTTTCATCAAGTTGACTCCACGGCTGGACTGAAACGGCAGAATGAAGTCACTTGGAAGCTACTATAATACGCGTCCCAACCCCTATTAATCAAGGCCCTCGACCCTGTTGAACCAGTCCTCCAGGGGTTGTTTGGCTAGTTGATTATCAGTCGGAACGTGGGTCCTAATCCTTGGTCGAAAACCCCACAACGAACGACGGAATTACGCGTCTCAGAATTGTGACGTCGCGGGGGAGAAAACGAGCCGCGCGGACACAATAACAACAAAGTGTTTGTACATGGCGAGGCGGACAAAAGACGCTGGCCATTCAAATAATTTATTTTATTAGAACCTGAGACTTAACTTGTATATGTACAATAAAATTCTTTGTTCCTAATAATGGTGATGGTCGGTGAAGGGAACGGGAAATAAGGATGGGAAATGGACGGTCTCCAAATTTGGCTAGACTTTGCTTTAGACTAGGCTGCCTCAGCCTTTTCATCTACATTAGTCAAAAGTTACTAGTAATGTCACTTGGGTTTGGTCAAAAACATCAGTTCATCTATCCATTTCTCGTCCTGAATTCCTTGCAAAAGTCTTCACGTAGCATATAATGACAAGCACCACATAGTATATAAATCTTTTATCACCGGAATGCCTCTAATAAAAATTCGTAGACTGAGTTGGTGATGCCCCAGGCAATCAAGGACCGGGTGAAGTTCAGTTGGACCCCTCGAAAGAGTTCCTTCACAGAGTAATTCCTCTCCTTCCATACTATTTTAAATATCCGGAATGGAGACTGGAAAGTTGTACCGAGCTCAGATTGCAATCGATGTTTGACCACATTAACCGGGAAGAAGATTGTCGAAATTGTAGCACCGAGAATCGCACCAGACACAAAGTTTGCTAATATTGTTGCAGCGGAAGACGTACAATTATGAAGATTCAATTCTTCAATGAACGACCGCCTCAGAGGTTCTCGCAGAGTGAAGAATAAGGAGTTGGAAAGGCCGTTTCGGAAGATGATTATTGATAGTCCCCGATAAAACTCGTGGATTCCAAAGCCATATACATATCGGAAGGCATCTTGTGTGTTGCGGAAGTGATGGTTGTAGGCATGAGTTTGTAGTAGCACTTGTACTCGTTCCAATGGACATAAAGTCGCTTCAGTTGCACCCGCTGATAAAGAAAACAGATCAGAAAGGGAAAGATAATTTTAATAGGCAGAAAATACAATTGACGTACCCAGAAACGCAGCAAGTGCATGCCGTCGAGTCAGAGAAGAAGCAATACCCGGCCTGTCTTGAGCATTCAACATTGTTTTGTACTTATCAAACATCCCGAACATGATTGATCTTGTAGATGTCCTCATGATCAAAGGTGGTAAAAGTCCGCGATACAGCAGCCCCATTCCTTCCGTTTTCAACTAAAAACATAACGCAACTGAAATATAAGGTCTTACTTGGGTTACAGCATCCTTGACTGCCAATCCGAGAAGTTGTTGGCGGAAAATCAACTTGCTCTGTGGGAACAGAATGATGGTCTCCACACAGCCAGCGCACCATCCACAGTAAAAATCCACATTGGCAAGATGATGGCCCGACGTTTGTTTATTGTCCATCAAACCCTGAAAGTAATAAAATAGACATTAAGAATAAAAAATGTCAATTCCCATGTCACAACCCGAACAGGTAAATATTGGCTAATTACACACATTAACCACGCAAATGCGCTGAAAAATCACTTACTTCTAAACCATAAATGCCACAAGAACCACCGCTATCAACAACTCTATCAATTTTACAGTTTTTGATAAATATTTTACTTGCAACAGAATGCCAAACGATTATTTTCGTGTTGAGACGAAGCTTCAAAATAATCATAATCTTTTATCAGTTTGAAAAAGGAATGTGTTTGTCGTATGATTCAGTAATATAGACATAAAGAGCGCCTGAATTTCAAAAGATCTTTCATCAAATACATGACTTTAGTAGGAATACATTTTCAGTTCTCCCAACTGGTAATTTAGCGGTTTTATTGCAGAGGAAGTTGGTGATTTTATGTGGCTTATGTGTTTACGGAAGTTAGGTGCAATCTCTAGTCATCGTTTCTGATATTTTGGTGTTTGCATATGTTTATGTTTGAGAAAACCGCAGGGGAGATCGGGGAAAATATCAAAAAAAGAGCATTCCTGAATGGAAACCAAAGCTATTATAACATTCACAGGACCCAGCTGTAAGATTCTTTTTGTCACTCCTTGTTCCATTCCCCGGAAACCGCTGGTTTACCGAATTTTCAATTTTTTGCAAAATTATTTTAAAATTTATTGTTAGTACTCGATTACTAATTAAGAGTTTCCCAGTAATTCTGTTCTACTTTTACAAGATTACAATCCAATCCACTTATATTTGTCCTCTTTTCCTCCGGGAGAGTAAATAAAAACAGGATACAAACGTATATTTTAGAGAGTCGCGGTTAAAATTCGCTTTTTTGATCGAAACATCGGAAAAAAGCTAGGACTTTTGACCACAATTATGGGAATTTGATACGGGTAAAATACAACTTGTTACAAAATGCTGTTAGTTTGAATAAGCATAAGACTTTCAAAAAAACTCGTAATTTAAGTAAATTATTATATTATCCATGATGTTTTGATGCTTTTTCCCCAGTTTGCTTATTCAATTTTCTTCTGAAACTCTAAATATTTCTGTTTTAGATCAATTTCGAAGTTTCCTATGAATAATAACCCCGAGGCCTTTGTAATCCATGATTATTTCCCTTTCAAAAGTCTAGGTTTTGGAAGAGCGATCAGAAATGGTGATAATAATAGTAATATCAGCATAAATTATGTTTCCCAAAAAATACGTATGTGGGTCTTCCTCAAGGCCCTGACATCTAAGGAGCACAGTTTTATGGTTTCATTCCACATCTTGATTACATTCTTCATGCTCTTTTAAATGGAAAGGTAGTTAGACTTTGGAGAGATCTGACTCTGAAATGTGGCGCAACACATCGACATAATTCTTACTGCCGTGCAATTTCACTTAAAGTATTTAAACTACACTTGGCTTTAATGAAGCAAGTTATATTACACTTGTAGTTTTAGCGTGAATAACCGGTGTTTATTCGCATATCTTGGCCGTTTTTCTCTCGGAACGACGGGAGACTCCCCTTTTGAGGCTTTCTTGGGCTTTTTTTACACCTGACCAGGTTTCAAAACCCTCGGCGAGTCATTTGAAGGGCCGTTTTATCAGGAGAAAGTGGAATTCAGCTTACGTAAATGGGTGTGGAGTACGTCCGATCCGTCCACGGGCTTCTGAGCATCATAATACTGGTAATTCTACGACCTTAAATAGATGCAAAGTCGTAAAAGCAAGACTTCGCTATAAAATTAGATATAAACTATTATTTTTGTCGCTGGATATAACTTTGAATACGCATTTAGCTACTCGGATCAGCCTCATTATTTGCTGGCTACTTTGTCTGGAACGAGGGGACTGTCTACTTTTTGTTTTACCTTGGAAATAAACCATTGGTTACTTTGGTGTTGATCTTAATCACTGTTTGTTGGTTTGTTACTGCTCTTATTTTGGCAGCTCAAATTATCGGAAAAGATCTACTAGAGCAATTGGGTAAAATCAGGGTAAGTCTCGAGCCATTTTGTTGGTTTATCAGGCCCGGCCGTATGCCTTTGACCAAGGATTCTTTCGGATGACTGAAATTTACGGAAATTTTACGAAAAATTTTAATTTTTAATTTGTTTTCCATGTTATGGACAAAGATTAGAATATTCTAAGTTTAGTAGTAATGTAGGAAGATTTACTTTTTATTGTGTAATATTATACATTTTGATATGACTTTAGGTCTTGATCGTCCATGCCCTATGCGGTCTGTTAATCCTTGGTGCCGCTGTCTGTAACTGCTATTACTTATCGAATACAGCGAAAGATCACTTTTACTATCCTCGGATGATAGCAGTAGTCGTAAGTGTTCAAATCATCATTTTTTGTTATTACTTTTGTCTCATTTCAGGTGTGTAATTTCTTAATGTTAATCGCATATGTTGGCCAAATTGTGTTCGTGGCCTTACAGTAATTGTATGTGCACTGCTTGTAAAGAAGATATTGTAAATTACCCCACTTTGTACCCGTTTATCAGTATTTTTATTTTTTAAAATAAACCATGACTAAATAGTCGTACTTGTTACTGAGTAAAAATTAATTTGTGTGGCCAAGACAAGGCCATGATGAGGTCGTGGCCGGAAGGAAAAGACGCATGCCCTAAGGGGAAGTTGGCTTTTCTTTTGTTTTCCCTGATGGGATTTGGATCGGCCTTCCGAAATGCCCTCAGGCATTGCGGAAAAAACGACTTTTAAACGGGGTTCTGATTGATTTCTGGCACAAAAGCAGCTAGTTTACGTTATTCCAACCATTGTTGTCTAACATAACACCACTTTTTGATTGAAAAGGAATCTGTTGTACTTCAGTATAAGGTCAGCTTTTGAAAGGAATCCCCTTTGTTTGGGGAAACATTGAAAAGTCGTAAGTCTCGACAAAGCTCTAGAGTATCAATCAAATAGCCTTAGGGGACTCTACTGGTGTCGTTTTAAGCATTCGAAATTCGCGCAGAAACTTTTGGGACGACTTTTAATTTTATTAATTTTTTGGGAAACCGAGGAAATTATCGTATTTTAGAATGTTTTATGAGCAAAAATTAATCATCCATAATTTTAATGTGACAAATTACATCTAGAAGTTATTGTTATAGCCCAGAAATACAAATGGCCAAAGACGAAATAAATTTTGCGTAAAATACACTTAAACCGTCCGTCCTTTCCTTGAGGGTCTCATTTCGTTATTCGAATCTAACTGAACCAAGAAGAAGGCCAAACCTTCCAATTCCGAGAATCCCCACCTCAAGGCTTCCATTGGGCTAGTTTCTCCTCTTGCAGTCCACTTTTACCCCAAATAAAAGTTGTTTCGGGTTTATCCAAAACAAATATTACAACATAAATTGTTTTATTTTCCGTCCGCCGAATTGGGTTTTTCTTCTCGAGTAATTTGGAAGCCGAAGAAGGCCGCGGCCGAAATGACACGGCCGCTCCCTTCCACTTGACATTTCGAGGATTTCCATAGGCCCCTGTTCAACTTGACTCACGAAATATCACATTTTTCTGGTGATTACATCATTTAAAACTTTTATCAACGTTTTTTGGGCTTCAATCGCTCTAGGGAATTATCGGGTTTAAGGGGTTCGGATGATGCGAGATGTTGGATGCCTTAGGGGAAACTTTTCCAACAGCGAATTTCGTGGAGAAAACAGTGTTTCCTTTTAGTTTTGTTGAGATTTTTACATTTGTTTACTATTTACAATCTAATTTCAGCAAAATGTCATCATATTTTGACATTCTTCGTGGCGAGAAGGCCAAGAAAGTTCGTTTCTTTAATGTTTTGAGTGGTTACCTGAACTCCGAGAACATATGTTTTGATCTCCAATACCGGTGTAATCACATCGTGAAGGAGAAGGACTGGATTGGAGTGTTCCCCGCCGGATTCCGGAAGCCCAATCTCGACTTTGCGGCTATAAAAATGGCGCCGCCGCAGAAATCGGGGAAGAAAAGTAAAAGTTACAGCGAAATGCACAAGATTGTATTCAAGAGCGCCGAATGTAAGGTAAGTGGAGGTGTAAATCGGGTAATTGGAGGGCTAAATTCAATTCCCACGGCCTAATTTTTGGGTGGGAAGGCGCTTACAATACTATGTATTTAGGGTCTCAGATAGACTAAAAATTTTTGTTTTGGCAATCCAGGAACAACTTTTTATATTACACATTCTGATGCAAGTCGACTGTGAACTTTAAGTTTTCTACCTCCAGAAGAGGGTCGATTACATTATTCATGAGCCCACCCTTCCCTCGGCCCTTTTCCAATTAAATTCTTCTTATCTTTTGTTTTGGACATCTTCTATTTATGGCCAACTTTTACTTGCGTGAGGTCTGAGGGATTATCTCTGAACATGCGACTAGAAGTTGAGGTAGGGATGTGGCTCCGGACGGCTTTGTGGGAGCTTTTGATGTCTACATAAAGTTATCACCCTATTTTAGACATCTGAAAGAATTGTGAACGCGAATGAAAGGGCTATGCACAAGGTTGGGGCTCTTACAGAATTTTCAAATTTAGATTCCGGATTGGCCTGTTCATAAATGCTTACAAATAAAAAATTATTACTGATAATTTATGCTATAGTTTTCGGTGGCCAACAAGAAAATCAATTATAATTTTTGGCGAGAGACTATAGAAAACGAGGAGAGACAATCAAAGAAAAGATGCTTTTTCAGTGAAACGTGATTTTTGTGCTACAAAATGATTTTTATGAAATTCCACTTACTTTAGAGAATGAATTTCCTAGCCACCCCATGCACGATACTATGAAGCGATCCATAGTATCGTTGACTCGAACAATCGCTGACTCGAAAAGTCGTAGCGTCAAATTTTTTGAATGCTTTTGCCCTACAAATGTTTGCGGTTATTGTAAGTCGTGAGTAAACACCTCATTATCTTTTTAAACGCTATGATCGCACTTTTAGTCACTCTTTTAGTATTACTTTATCGTCTAAAAAGGTGTTTGATGTCATCCCAAGAAATCGGTCAACTCTCAACCGTGTCATAGCGACGATCTCGCTGGGGTCTTGACTTCCTTTGGTATCCTAGACAATAATTAGATTCCTTATGAGCAGTTTACCCCGTTTGTTTATTGTTTTTTGCACTTTTGGGATAAATAATTTCCTCCTATCTTCCAATTTCCCGTATTCGAACGCCTGAGGGCATTAGAATTCAAACGCGATAAGATTTTCACAGAAAATTTGAGTCAAGAATCTAGTAATTAAAAGAGAAAATAGAAGTGTGTTTTGACAACTTCTATGTATTCATAACAAGAAAGAGGAGGAGATGAAAATGATATTTCTGTTTTTCCTGAGGGGTTTCTGCAGCACAGTGCGGGGGAGAATGGGGGAAACGGAATATTTGTGCGAGGAGGATGGTCTTTCAAGTAGATGCCTGGTTTTGTATTGACAGTAGACATAGTAGCTGCGATTAGCGGCAATTTACGGGGGGTATTTATCACTATCTGGTCTTATGATTCTTCCAAAATTTTTGGCAGATTTGTAAAGCCGGGCTTGTAAATGTCATAAAAATGATTTATGAGTATTTTACAACTTCTTCCAAAAGATATTTCAAAGGGAAGGAATGCCGTCATGATGCTTTACGTTGCCCATAAGATCTTTGTTTTGCCATTTTGCAATGTATTCAATTATCTAATGGCCTATGGTCTCCATAGTGCACTTCTACTGCGTTGATACTGCTGAAAGAGTTCTGTCAGTTTCTTACCGCTAACAAAGTACTTTTGCTAGTCTGAATTTCTCTGAAAGTCATCAGAAAGTCATCCCAGAGCAGACCGGCAGTTTTTTATAAACCCGCGAATCAGAATCCCGGAGCCGACGCTAAGCGCCTCGGGGGATCTTTTGTCGAGCGTCTTTTGTCCTATTGTTCGGCCCTGAGGGCACTCCGCTCCTTCTTCCTCCCGATTCCCACCAAAGGGAAGAAGGTAATCGGAGCCGTTTTTCGCCGGCGTCGGAACCGACTTTTTCCCCGACGCCGCAGGGCATATTGTCTCTTTGCTGGGGAAATTGTCGTATTTCCGGCTGATGGATGCCCGCAGGCGAAGGCGTCAGAAGTTGGAAGCCCCGGAATAGATGTTATTCTTGGCCGCTTATCCTTCGGCCGTTTCGGCCGCTCCTCTGACTTAATCTCGTTTTGGGCCGACTCTTTGTCCTAGCCAAATCAAATTTGTCGCTGATTGTTTCATCGGCTTTATTGCACTCTTAAGGACTTACGATTTATGGGTGTCATGTTTTGCGGACACGTCCTCAGGCGTCGTGTTTTTTCGAGAGGTTTCGGCGGATGACACTCTCCGCGTTTAATTGTTTTTCCTTAGGGCAAACGAGAGGGCGATGAATCTGAAAAAGAGTTCCATTCGAGACATGAGCCTTATATTATACTTGCTACATTACACAGAAAACTTGCCGTTTGGATGTGCAACGTCCTGTGTTTTATGTTATTCTCCCCTCAGGTCTACGTAAACTCATTAACTTGACTTGTTTGTAGCCGGAAGTCACATCCGGCGGTTAATTTCCAGATATTTGATGCTCTTTTTTTGGCCTTTTATTTCTCATGGATAATATAATTTTGTCAAGAGTCCTAACGACATTTGGTATAACATAGTTTTATTAAGCAGATTATGACTCCCTCCCCCAATCAAAGGCCGAGTTGTAATCGCCTTCTCTCCATTGCCTCAGGCCCGCAAACTTCTCATACTTTTCCATTTTTCGGGAAGTCGCGCGCTCTCGTTTTTGGCCACAAATTTGGCCGATAAAAGGGGCATTTCTGCGGAAATAAAACGATTATTATCATATACACGTACATTTTGCTCTTTCAGCTTGCTCCACGCAACTTTTATCAGATCGCGTACATAAATTCAAGCGGGAAAAGTGTCGCGACCAGTGCCATCTTCTACATTGAGAGTGGCCATATGCCGAAACAAGCAGTTATCATCCAAAATCAGCCGGAACCCGGGATTCTGAGTCATCGTAAGTCTTATCTTTGAGTTTTTTAGAATGGTGACGGGATTTTGTTGGATGATTAATCCATTTTTTAGAGGTAAAAACAAAATCCTGCGAAATTACAAATTTTTGGAAAAAATTGCAAAAATCTAACCGAAAAGTTTTTCCTCTGTCCGTGTCTTCATTTCTTATCATCGTCTGCAAAGAGAGTATTCAGTGAATATCTGTGCTCTCCCGCTAAAACAAAACTTGAATTTTCAGGGATTTAAATATAGCATTGAAGAGTTGTGCAAATTTTTATGAAAACTGCCCTTTCACACGTTGGGCATCCTCTTCTGACTATGCAAATGTTGCGTATTTCAATTGTTTTTTTGTTACGGTACATTAACTTGTAATTAGATCCCTAAAGTTTGGGGAAAAGAGCGGTGAATAATCTCATTTGTCCTATTCTATGGGCCGTTACTGGGCTGCATTTAGCAAATGAAATTTCTTTTCTAATTAACTCTCCGGAAAGAGGATTCTACAGTAAAAAGCAACAAATTCTTTGATCTTTCGTATTAAACATGGCAAGAAGATTATAACCTGGCCGGAAAGAACAAATCAAGTGTTACGTCTTTGCATTTCGAGTGTCTGGAGGTTGCTTGTGAGAGAAATAATTGAATTTGTGACAGTTAACTTGGCCGGCTGACACTTCTTGCATAAATTGAAGTCATAAATCACAAGATTGCAGACGAATTTTTAGAGACGTTTACAAATTGTTTTTTGGACATTAATTTTGCAACAAATTATATTTGTTCAGACCAATTTCTTAGTACTCGACCTTTATTTTTCACCAATACTTTAACTCTCAAGTAAAAGCAACATTCATTAAGCTTGCGATTCATTGATCTCAAATTCCCCGAACACCAATGATATGTCACCGTATCAAGTTTTTTGTGACATTTCGTCCACATTTGTGACGGATCTCCAATTTCAGTGCTCTGCTCCACGAATTCGGCGTCATGGACGGAGAACACGGCCTCGATGGCGTTGTCCGACGATTCGGGAATGGAAGATGAGAATCTGAGTAGTGAGAGTCGAAATTGGAGCCAAGAACATGAGGATGATGAGGAGGGGGACCAGTTCGACGAGAACAGCCAATTACTGCCGCTCACTGGGGATCAGGTAGGAAACGCATTTGTGTTAAGCAAGGGCTTTGTGGAATAGTGCCTGCCTTCGAAATAAAAAGTTATAAATATTTAAAGTTTTCGCTTTGAGACCCGAATTTGGATAGAATCTAAAGAATGCGTCATCAAAAAGTATGATAAATATTTCTTTTACGATGTTTTTTGATTTTGGATTGATTTTAACTATGAAAAAGGTTATTTATAAAAATGAAGTTTTACGGATGATATGATGACATGGTCTCATCTTCAAATTACTTCCAAACTCTTTCCCCTAATACCCACTAATGTCGTCGATGACATCAGTGCCATTACCCTTCTCTTCCACTTTTTGAGTGGCCATAAAGCCCAAAAATAGGCCTCGAATTGTTTTCAAATTAATTTTTCCTTTTTTTATTCGAATTTATGGTTTTACCCGAAAAGGAAATAATAAATTTTGGTCTTCTTGCCATGCTTTCCATCTTGTTTTACTGTCTAGATTTGGGTTTTCAAAAGTCTCGTTTATATAGTATTTTCGTGCTCTTCCAACTTTGCCATATCGAATGTCTATGATTTCGGCGTCATCGTAATCGTATTAGAGAGTATGGTGAGGTGTTACGTAACTCGATTAGACACGATGAGTGAGGTCATAATGTGCTTATGTTATTGTAAGCAGCAGAGGGAAGGGCTTCATTCTTTGGGTTGTTTTCCAGGGCTATTGTTTAATTTTAAAATATTTTACAGTTTTCCCGCAAAGAAGTAATCTGTTCCTCAATTTTTGATTTACATAACACAACTAATAGATTCTGCTGATTTAAATTGAAAATTTTTTTTAAGAGATAGCATTTTACTACATACAGTCATTATGATATAACTACCGTAACAGTAGGTATTCTTTGAACATTAATGCCCGTTACGTAATTCTACGTAATTCTACGTGATTCCGGGCTCAAAAAAAGATAATTAGCGTTATTGAAAAGGGATGCCCGCAGGGATTTTGAGGTTAGATGAACATTTTTCCTTTTTTATACAAATTTACAGCGGAATTTATATGGAGAATCACGCGACATTTGAAGAGTAATATTCGAAAGTATTTGTATGTTGTTTTGGGCTGAATGTAATTATTTTTTTGTAATAGTGCATGTTGAGGAGTCATTTTGTGTTTATACTCGGAGTTTGGACTGCGTTTTCAGCAATTTTTATTTTAAAAAAGGTTGTAAACTTTTGGTGTTACAGTTGTTTGTATCTTTGTTTTTCTCGAGTAACTTCTTGAGCGGTGGCTCAAATTTAGAATGGATTGGGGCCAAATTTAGATAGGAATTTTCTATGGTTTGATTTTTAGGCCCTGTTTCTGAAAAAAGGACAAAAATTAAAGTCGAGACTTTCTGAAAACTCAAACGAACCTCTTGGCGATTATTTTGCAACGAAAGAGAAAGGTCTCTTCTTTATCCGTCCTCCCCATTGTTGATGGTCTCTCGTTTGTAATAGTTGCAGCTCATTTTTGCGTCCTTTGCAAAGCATAAGTTCAATTTCTAAATAATCGGTCTGTCGCCTGGATAAACCAAGATGTCGCGTTTTGGGTATTCTGTTCATAAAACGATAAAATGACTTGTAATCCCTCAATTTTTCCCAATGTCTATCTTGTCGCAATTTGTTTTCGTCACAATTCCGACATCCCGATGTGATCATGCCATATGATATGTGGAATGTTTTCTGGCGGAAGTGTCGTTATAACGGGCTTATCTTTATTCCTTCGGGGCCTGTAATTGGATTCTCAAATTCTGTGGAACTGAAATCAAACTTTTTTGGAACGCATTAAATAAATTCGGGAACGGGGATCGGCTCCATTCCAAACCCTTACGCATCCCAGGCCCTCAGGCATTCTTGTTTTCCCTTTGTCTTTTCCAGAATTAGATGTCAAACTTTGGAGGTTTAAGTGGGTTTCCTTGGAGTGTTTTGAAAGTTGAGTGAAAGGCGACAAGTGCGGGAAGATCTCATAGAACTAGCCAAAAAGGTTTGAACTTTGAAGGATTAGATTTTACTTTTTGCGGTACTCGGAAAATAGAAGAAGTGCTCACAACGACGGTTTTCGAGGCTATGTTCATAATTTCTTTTCAAATTTAACGTTGAAGATATCTCTGAATCATAAATTTAATCATAGGACCTCGTCGCAGGCGTTGTCATAGGTACTATATATTAACGACCTTTGCAGACCTGAGGAAAGAAGATCGGAGAGGCTATTTTTAGGCCGTAACTTTGCTAATTCCACTCCACAAAATTTTGTTTTTTGATCGCCATTCCAGAGCACTCTTCAAAAGGAAAGTCTGGAGATGTTTTGAAGTCTTTAGCCTGGTTAAACTGAACTTCTTCTCACTTTATACTGTGACATTTTCCGTGTCTTGAAACCTTCAACAACCCCCTCAAAGCGTGCTTTAAAGGGCAGTAAAAATAGTAATTCTCTCTTGTCAAAACCAAGGATTGCCAGGTTTTTTAAAAGTTCTGTAAGCGCCCATTTCTGCAGCGTTGCTTGTAAATCCATTCCAACACAGGTGTTTATGGCCTAGAGTACACTTGGCCATTCCATTGTCCCTAACGGAAACCGTGATATCATGGCCAAGGGCCGGAAAGTAATTTGCCTGATACTGGGCATACTATCCTTGATATCTGTGCGTTCTTTATGTTCTCCATCCTCAATATTCCTGTTCTTTTGGTTCTATTCTTCAAGTTCTCATCTTCTGAAACCAAACTTTAAGTCCTGATGGCCGTTTTTAGATGTTGCAAAGGCTTAAGGCCGTCATTCTTTCATTGTCAGCGTTCGGCCGTTCTTTTGGTCGCGCTAAGGCTTGGTTTTGTCTCAGCATTATGGCCAGAGATCGGTAAGGCCTATTTATGACCATAAAGTCGAATTCTGAACCAGGAATCTACTTTTTTCGAAACTTTATTCAAATATTTATTCATTTTAAATTTGATTTCGAACGATAGCCTGCGGGCTTGTCTAATATTCCCGGCTTCAGATCGTGTTTTGACATCCGAATTTTTGATTCGATCCCATTGTGTGGGATTCTGAATTGTTTCCCGGGGATTCCAAACTTTTGAATATCCAATAAAAGGCGACGAGGGATCCCGTTTCATTTCTATGGACACTTGTTTCAGGTATTTATGACTTCTTGTCCGTCATTTACTCTTTTCTTTTGAGGCCCTCTCTGACGTGACTGCCACATTGGGGTATGGCCGACCATATTTTCTGCGGTCTTTTCGCCCTTTGATGTTATAGTAGGTGTTCTTATATTACAATTGGTATTTTTCCACAATTGTAGGTAATCGGTGCTATTTCGAGTGGCCGATCAGCGCTGTCTGGGACCCCAAATTGTCAGATAATGGGTGTCCACGTCTTTCCGCGAACACTTATGGTCGTATCTTCCATTTCACGGCCAATTTGACTGCCGTTCCTCATCGTTTTTTTGGAATTTTTATTTTCGTCTCCTCGAATTCGGTCGAAATTTGTGCCTCGAGGGGGTTTAAAAAAGGCAACCAAAACATACGAGCTGGGGTTGGATGGCGGCCTCTTTTTACTTCATTACCATGTTTGGGTCTCTGTAATTTGGAATATGCAAATTCGAGGAAAAGGAAAGAAAATTATAATTCTTAGGCCAAGAGAATCCCTTTTTGAAAAGTTCCTCGCTCAGTCTGGCTTAAACGGACCACTTCCTAACCCGGTTTGCACAGTTATATTCATAACACGGAAGTCGGCTAACCTTAAAACAATTTTCCGAAGCGGCCGTTCCTGCGGCCGCTCTCCGATTGCAGCCATAATTCGAATAATTCTTCCAATTTGTGGACTTTGAGCGTTCGTCGGGACAACTTGTGCCCTGAGGGTGTTTCCAATTAAGCCATCGGGCATTTAATCAATCACCCCCTCATTTCGCGCTTTTGTTTCGCTTAATTAATTGCCATTTTGAGGTCTGGCCCAATTGGCCGATTTTCTCGGTAATCCTTGTACTGACAATTTCTTGAAATTACAGTCCTTACAGCGGTTTTAGAAAGCTTGCTCCCTTTGAAGGGCTTCTGTTTGCGTCTTATATTAATTTGGACCTCGTTGAGATCTTTATTTGCATATGTCATGAATGATGCCTTAGGGAAAGTTATTTTCGAATTATACTATCTGGCAGCATGTACCAGTATCATCCACCCAATAGTATTACTTATTGACAGAGCTTAGTCTGCAAAGCCTTTAATTCCGTTGTTCTTACCACAAATGACTGCTTAGCCCTCCATTAATGAGTAATTGTATTCCAGGGCGCCTTTTCTTCTCTGACCAAATTCTTTTCGGACCTCTGGCACTCCTCTGTAACGGCCCCACCTGATCGTTCCTCTTCGATGTACGAGATCGGCGCCACTCCCTCCACTTCAAATGGATTCCCGGACATGGCTCATGAACATTACCAGAAGTTGATTGGCCAGTTGACACGGTCCAACGCCAATTTGATGCGAGAGAATGATTCGATGGCCAGGAGGCTTATGGTAAAGAGATTTTTAGTATTTTTTGAAAATTATAATTTCAGATTTTGAACATGTCCATTTATTTTCTAAAATTGACGGTATTTTTTGTATAACTGATTATTTTCAGCAACTCGAACAACTCCTCCGCGACCATGTGGAGCATCTGAACAGTGTGTATTACACCCTCTTCAGGAACGGCTACTCCTCCCTCGAATTCCCGGATGGTGAGCGGGCTCTTCTTATATTCTTCATCTATGTTTCTGAATTTCTGATTATCTTATATTTTGTAATGTATTTATTTGCAGGTCAAGAAGTTCATTTAAGTCAATTTCGTGGTGTTCTGTTGAATTTTGCGAAATCAGGCCAGGCCAAGCCTCATTTGGCGAAGAATTCGCGGGAAAGACAGCATCTGAGTGAGGTGAGGCTTCGATTTCAACTCATTTATTTGTATGTAGAAGACGTATGACAAGGAAATACTTGTCAATTGTGTATTTAACAGTTATTTCTGCGTATTTTAAGCACTTAACGTTTGCAATTTGAGACTAAAAATATTGGGTTTTGATGTTTCAACGCAAATATTTGCACATTCCAGAAGACTTCCGACTTTTCCTCTGATTCCTCAGCTTCCTCCACGTCCGTCGACCAAGAAGAATTAAGAGCGACCATGATTAAATGCATAACCAGACCGAAGTACGATGATTTGGATGAGTTTGTGAACTGGTTAAAGCAGGATAAGGCCGATATTCGGAATGCCGAAGCTCAAAGAAAGGCGCATTCTCTGGAAGAAAGGGTCCAGGAGTCGTTGAGACTCAGAACGCCGCTTCAACGATCCTCAAGGATCGATGAACTCCCTCCATCGAGGGCTAGAAGTGACTCGGAGTTGAGGTGAGGCTAAGGCAATATAATTAACGCAAAAGTTTTGGACTTTTTTATCTTCAAGATAATTTTAGAGCGGCCACAAGCCTCAGTGTGTCCCCTTGTCCTCCGGCAAGTGTTCAGCCATCCACTCCGCCTGATCGAAGTCCCCCTCAGGTTGTAACACCTACCAGGAACTCCATTTCGAATGGAAATAACAAAAATAAGACTGCAAGATTACGGTAAGAACTAGCATTTAGGGTGTCATTATCATTTCTTGTGAACGTCTGTTAACTGAAAGTTTCTCGATGCAAGAGACGATCTGGACTTTATTTTTTATTTTAGAACCCAATCCCTCGGCGGAGGCAAGATAAATTTCCTTGGAGGTCGTCGAACTTCCTCTCAACGGACCAGCCAGGACTCAAGTAGACCCGCACCCAGGAAGAGTCTGGCCAATCTGGCTTCCCTCAGGCTAAATACTCATCACAGTCCGCGACAACCCCAGAGGAATCTCATTTAAACGCACCTTAGGATTACTGTATTAGTAATAAACTTGTAACCTCACAATCAGCCATCGAGAAGTGGCATTTCTTACAAATTAGTGAAGAAAGTCCAAGCATAATAGACTAATCTTTGAAATTGAGTTACTCAACGGAATCTCGCATGTTCTGTTGAAACCCCTAAACTAATTTTTTTTTATAAAAACCTAACGAGGCACTTTCCGTTTCCAGTAACAAAATATTCTTTATTCTGAATCAAAAACCTGTCTCCCTAGTGTAAACTGACGTACTGCTAATTAATTGCGAAATTAACTCGGATCATTAGAAGCAGTTACCACTTTTGTTTCCCCGCAAACACTGTAAAACTCATCAAAAAAGAGCGCTTCTGATGTTGTTGCTTACATTAAGTGAAAAGAATAACTGGAGCAAAGAGAAAGCGACCGCTGAGGAGCCGCTGAAGGAGACCGCAGAACCTGTTTGCATCCTCTTCGTTATCGGTTATCTCCTCAGTCTTCGTTTCACCTTGGATTATGAAGTTGGTCTGGTTGAATTTACTGGTGATTACTACTTATTTAATAGCTGTTTCCCAGGCCATTAGACGGCCGATTTGCCATTTCCTTCTTCGAGATTTCAGTGGCACTTTTGTTGAGGTTATGAGGAAATGCCCTGCGGGTAAGTTGCTCAATTTAAAAAAATCGGTCATTCTTTAAAGGGGTTGTATTAAATAAAAAAATCTTTGACCTCAAACTTTAGGGACATCATATTGCGCCGCGAGAGTGTCAAATGCGACTGGCCTCAGCTCATTAGTTGTTGATCATTACGAGTTTTATTGTGAAAATGAGAGAAATGTAAGGGTCTTCGTATCTTGTGAGCAATGACCAAGTGTAATATAATGCACCTCCTCTTCCAGATAACCCTGAATCTGCAAATCCCGGAAGCCCCGAATCAAGGCTGTTATCCCTTTGGGCCCTCAGGCTCTGAGTTTGTTTGTTTCTGTCACGAAGACTTCTGTAATAACAAGGAGAATATGGAAGAGATCTTCCTGTCATTCAGAAAATTTGTTCATCTTTCTTCTGCCCCTCTTCCTCCGCATGTCCATATCAATAATCATCATGTCCATCCCCAGAATGTTCTCGAATTCCAGCCTCATCTGGGCCAAGTTCAGCCAATCACGTCCAATATTGTGAATGAACAGGTAATCGCGATGAGTAATGTGGAGACGGCAACTGCACCTGTCAGAAAGGTCGCGGCCAATGAATTAAAGTCATTCAACCCATTGCCTCGGCCACGACAAGACGGAACCGTGATTCGGAATCGGGCGGTGAGGGATACGAACAGGAATCTGAGACCCTTCGAGACCAAAGTAAAAACGCAGCAGATCTTCCTGATCAATGAGGACTCGCCTAAAGTCAAACATGGGTAAGACTGATACGTACTGTGTCGTATCACCTTCATCTTAAAAACAAAAGTACTAAAATTTGATATTACACTTGAAGATGACATTGGAAACAGAAAAATAAATTAATTTCAAATTCATTTCACATTTGTAGCAAAATTACGTGATTTTGGACAACTGCCTGAGGAAAATTTTAAAAGGGCAAAATTTGCGATATTTCATAGATTTCGTATTTTATTTTAATTACAATATATATGTCTCGGTCGCCAAATAATGGATTCATAAAATTCTATGGTTCTGTTGAAAGATGAGAAAAGAGGATGACTATGTTGAGGGATGACTATCTATGGTAACGAATATGATACAAATATAATATAACTGTACTGAGGAATGGAACTGGAGAATGTTGGTTGGGAAAGGCTGGGCAAACACCACGAGGCGACCACTTTCTTCGGCACAAGAAAGCGATAAATAGGATAAATACGGGCGAGTCCACGCAAAGGGACTCTCAGATATTGTACTTGGCCGTGCTGGTGTGCCGTTGATGGGAATCGTTGATTTGGAGGTAACGATCGAACTCGTGGGGATTCAAATCGGCCGGATTCAGGTCCTGGAAGAAGAACATTAAAATTAAAAAAAATTAAGTACCTATTGTTTTGGGCAACATGTGTGTGAGGGACAAGATAAGCAAAATACGTTTTAACAATTTTTAATCCTAATTTTTATCAAGTTTTATTAAGACCTAAGCTGTTCTCCTCTTAAATAATTAATATCTCGAATCTAGAGAGCCATTGTTTCAATTCGATAAACTCATTGACCTTATTAACTAGTAGCAAAACAAGCTCAAAGACCTGGCAATTCCTTTTAAAATCCGCTTTAAGAACAAGTGGGTTTGTAAAGAAAACGATCCCTAAAAATATTTAAATCCGATTATTCCGGACTCAATTTTTGAAATTAGTTTTTGAGGGTACTGTAAGTGTTACAATAGGATCGTATCTCACCTGTACCAATGCCGGGTCGATCTGGTGCATCGGTTCGTTTTGCTGGAAGTCGATTTCCATCTGATTCTCTAACGTCGAATCATTTGATGAGGTCCTCTGAAAAAATATTTTTTTTTGACTAGTTAAGTATAATATAATTTTTAACTCGTAATGACTTCATAACAGTTTTGATCACGTTAAAACTCCTATCAAAGATAACTTACTGTCGGATTGTTGTAATTCGCTTCATAATGTTCCATATTCACTTCCCCTCCAGCCATAGGATTACTGTATAATTGAGTAGACCTATTAAAAGGAGAGTCCGATGGCTGACAAGGAGGCGATCCAAAGGTCTGACTTTGATGGGGACTCTGTTGTTTCTGGTCCAGTAAGCCCTAAAAGCATAAAATTAAATCCGTACAACACCTACTTGTTGTTGTAATTGCTGCTGTCGCTCCTGCATATAATTCCGTTCCATTTTCAGCTGATGAACTCGGTCGACTCCTCGTTGGATTTGTTGCTAAAAGTAAAAATAAGTCATAAAAAATGTCTTGGGGAGTAATCAAGGCTTTAGAGTCAACTTACGCCATACTGAGGGGTCATCTGTACAGACATGGGTTGCTGGTCATAGAGATTACTGTAATGTAAAGCTTCTCCACTGCTAGCTTTCTTGAAAGAGTTGCGAGGTCGGATTGAGGGATTGTCGGTGTGGCCTGTAAATCGATTTTATGGTCATTGGATATAACGAAAAACATTTATAAGCCTAGTAAAGCAAGACAAAAATTTCAAATTTAGCTTACAAGTTCTAGGATCAAACCAAGTAGTGGTCTTATTATTGTGATCAATGAAATAGGGTACGCCCGTCTCCGTAAAAGACTTGGCCCATCCATTTGGCAGAGGTCCTAGTCCATCATCCAGCCCTGAATCCGATTGAGTTGTCGAGATTGCGCTCAAGGAATGGGCCTGTTGATGATGAACTCCCGGCCCGACATTTGCGGGCATACTACTTTGAGGGGCCATACTAATGGCCAAGGGGTCCAAGGACTGACTTTTGGCCCGGGGATCGGTCCAATAGGAGGATGAACTGGGCTGTTGAGATCCACTGAATGAATTCATGTGATTCATACTCCTTCCCAGATGGGAGGTGTCTTCGAAGGCGGCCGGACTGGCCTGCTCCTGCTTGATTTGGCTGGCATTTGAAACCGCATCAAAGTCGCAGGACTTGGCCGATCGCTGATGATGATACACGGGCTGAGAGAGGGCTGCATCCCCGGAATTGGGTATAAATTGATTGGGACTGGGCTGAGTGTGGAGGGCGGCGGTGCTGAGGGATTTTGAGGAATAAGAGTGGGCTACTGGAGGGAGGCCGGCCGACCCAACATGGGCACGGGCGGACTCGAAGCGGCTGAAACAAGATTACGCAATTATTTTAACCATCATTTTTCATTACGAAAACGATCAGTAAACATTGCAAATTTGATGAAAATTGGCGTAAATCGGGATTAAGCTTTTTCTAAAAGCTTTTTCATGGTTTTTGATTATTAATAGCTCTTTCCACAAGCCATAAATTGGCCAAAACTTGGAAATTTTTTGGAAATTTGCTTCAATTAGGTCATCAAAGATTCCAGACAATTTGTAAGCCAATTCGATTACTCACTTGTGATGTGTGGGAAGATGATGCGGATGATGGGGATGGGAGGGGTGCGAGAGATGACTGTGACCCTGCTCGATCCCGTAGTTGATCAATTCGGGGGCCGAGGCTTGCCGCTGATGGACGACGTTTATTGGTTGGGAATAATGCGAAAAGTTCTGAGCCCCGATATTCGAGGAGGATATGGAGCTGGGCGAGAGAGTCTGACGACCCGAGGATCCGAAGCCATCATCCGAAGAGCCCTCCCGGGAATGGCCAACCGAGGATCCGCGGGATTTACAGGTGTTCTTGGGGTAGTTGAAGTAAGACACGGGGTACCCTTTGGTCTTCCGTTCGAAATGTTTATTCCGATTTTGATGATCCCTGACCCCGGCACTGATCAGTTCGTCGATGGATTTCTGGGGATCATCGACGGAGGTGTTGATCTGAACTCCGCTTATTTTCTGTTGTTGCTTGGCCAGTTCGACTCTTTTTTTGGCTGAGGCCATCTTGCCGATGAAATCACGTCAGTCACGTGGACTTGGCCAAAAAACAGCTTTGAAGGCGATCTCTGCTATCTTCTTGATGTTCTCAACAGCTTCTTTGTTGGTTTTGTCCTCTTTCTCCGGCCTCTCCGCTCTTTCCACACTCTCTTTCCAACCCAGGCGATGTTGTTGACCACGAACAACACGGAACAACCGGTCACTGAAAGAAGAGTTAAGCGATGAAATGCTAACAATATGAGAATGGTTGTTAACGACACAACAACGTCACAACGTCGAACGCGAACAACATAATATTATTGAAGACGACGATTGACACTTATGTCTACGAAAGATCAGAGTGAGGGGAAAAGGAAGGCGCATCGTTATCATTGATCGGGAGAGAGAGAAGGGGGCACGGGCTGATGGGAGGGGGGAGGTCGAGATTGTGACTCATTCCCCGGGGACACAATCTCCGGTGGCACCGTTCCGCCATTGTTTTTGTTTCGGAACAGCCAGATTACAATCAAAACAACCTAAGTAAAGGCTCAGCTGAAAAAAGATCGCCTCGGGGCATGTTTTTGTCATTCCGAAATATTGATTGATAAAAGAGTTAAGGGCCGAGAAGTCGTCTCGCAAAATCCGAAATTCAAAAAATTGTAAAAAAAAATGCAAATTGTTGAAGATCGATAAAGAAAAAAAGAATCATGGATAACATAACCAGGAAAGGAGGGGCCACCTTCCGTTCACAGAAAAGTAAACAGATAACCTCGACCTCATGATTACCACAATTCTTATCACAACTTTTCTTCTGCGCCCTCCCCACTTTTTGTTATATTTCGTCATCAATAAACCCTCAGGCTCTCTCCAAAAAGTCATTAACCGAATTCAAGAATTCCCTCAAATGAATATTCAACTCGAATATTGATTAGCCCTAAGGACAAGAACCTCGAGGCTGTGTTATCAGAACGAAAAAACTGATTGGACGAACCTCGGAAAATCAAAATAATTAGAGAGTCAAAGAGAGAAAGCCCTCAGGCGACGGCCCTGTCCCGCTTCCGGCCCTCCGGGGAACAGGTGATCTGTGACCGACATCTCCCGAAATTATACTTGTCTGCCCGCGGGTCTAGTTGTACAAATTAAGGCGAACAAAATAAGAAAATAGAGCTCATAAAAATAGAAACCGAAAAAAGATCAGTGAATAAAAAAAGATATCAGTTAATGACTAAAAGGGAACCTGGCTACTCGATTAGAGTAGTCTTGTGCAACACAACCACCCCTAAACCAATGAATTGCCCCATAAGGAGCCCGAATTAACTGTAAAATTTCAAAACACATTAAATCTAACGACTTATTGGACACGGGAATCGGGATTTACACCCATTGACGTCCCAAATGTACGAAAAATGTACGGTACTTGCAGAGAAACGATTACGAAAATTAAATAAATTATAATACTTTCTAAAATTGCAATGCTTTTAATCCAGGCCAGCCTTACATGTCAGAGCAGACTGAAAAAAGATCAAACGCTCCAATTTTTCTCAAATTTTGGATGCCTCACTTAATTCCAACCTGCAAAAAATTTTCTTTTTTGCCGAAATTACTCAACGGATTTTAAAGACGAGAGTCTAGGGAAAATGAAGGGGACGCTTAGAGAAAAAAGACGATTCTCTCTCAATCTGCGGGAATTTTAGCAAAATATATTATTTTACCATTTTCAGCTACAAATTCTCACTAATTTCCTCTGTAAATGCATCGAGAAAAGATAACGGAGGGAAGAGTAAGTGATGAGTGTCATTTACTGTGTTCCAGATCACACACTTTGGAAGCGCTGTTCAACCGTACAGTGAAGCGAAGAAGCCCGCGAAAGTACCTCAAAACCCGGAGAAAACCGGCCGCCCTACACTTCTTTTTCTGGACCTTTCATTAACGAACAAATCAACTACAAAACGATGGGAAGGGGCAACGAGTTGCATGTTGAATACAAAAAAAAAGACATTGATTGAGTCATCAGCCGACCGGGAGAGTAAGAGCCTTAAAATCAATGACTCAAATCGCCCAAAACTGAGGCAAAAGAAAAGATAACACGTAACAGCGCTCATCCCGATGTAACCAAATCCACCTACACTCCGTGTTACACATGATGTCATCCGATTTCACAATCAAAACACGAATCTAAGGCGCTTTTTCATGGCTTTGCAATACCACAAATGTGCACAAGTGGTTAGGGGGAATGATGGCATCATGAACAAAAATAAGGAGACGTTGCAACCAAAACCCCAAGGGTTCTCCTTGAATTTCCCCTAGAATCGCGAAACGAATCAACGAAAATAGAAAAGACCCGCTCCTTAACCACCGAAGCACGTGCCAGATCAGAGCCGAAGGGGATCTGTCGCTGAACTTGAAGCAAAACCCGAACGACCGGACACTGACAGCAAAGGTCAAGGGCGGACAGGTACAAAGCGAGGAGTCGCGGCTGCTTAAGGTCTTCTGGGGGGCTGGCGAGGTTGGGGCGGGGGTCGGGGCGGGGGTGATCAGCGACGGAACGGGCGCGATGACCTGAGGAACAAGCCGAGGGCCAGATGAGCGCGATCCCCCGATCCGAAGGCAGCAGCGACGAGAAAGGGGGCGCTTTCTTCAGCCCCGCCGAAACACCTCGAATCGAACGCCCGTGCGTGATTCTCCGACGGTTTTTGGGTGTGGTGCGGAACACAGAAGACGGGCAGAGCGGAGGGAGCGAGATGGTCGCGCGAAAACTGCGTCAAACCCGCAAGAAAAGACCGAAAATACGGCTAACTCGAAGAAGGAGAAGAAGACGGTCCCCCACCCGTTACCCATTCGACCTCAGGTCGAGCATGTCCTTAGGGTCGATGCGCCTCGAGTGGGGACACGTGCGCGCGATCCATCTTTGGAAGTTTTTTTTTTCGAATGCTCCAGGCGATAAGTGGGGGTGGCGACGTCAAATCGCGAAGGAGGAAGTTGATCTTGAGATCAGAGGTTCAAGGAGTTCCGATGAATTATTACTCATCCATGATATGACATATCTCGTTGATTTGTATCCCCTTAAATCAGCCACCCATAGAGATGCAAATTTGCAACATTATAAGGCCAACGACCAAAAGGTGTGGTGTCCTTCCAAAAAAACATAAAATCTCTCGTTTTCTTCCGTTCCGCCCGCGGCCGGAAATGGATATAAATCGCACTTTTTTCGCTTTCTTTACTACAAGCTCGAGATCTGAAAGCCTAAGGCAATAAACTTTCGAATTGACCCGATTATCAAGTGCACAGGGATCCCAAAAACATGTCATCCATTCATGTTTACTCTGGGATTTTATACTGATAACTACTTTCGACAAAATTAGAGTACATTGCAGCTAAATTTACAACACAAACACATATCAAAAATCATCTCAAAATTGATTTACCTCTTTTAAATATGACGGTAAACTCTCCAGAAGGCAAATATCTTCAAATACAAATAAATATTATGACACCCCACCTCCGCAGGGCCCCACCACTGCAGGTACCTGTCACCAGCTCTCTGTTTTCCTCGAAAATCCTGGCGCCAATCCAAAAAAACTGCTCTCGATTAACGGAATTCGCTCTCCCAATGTTTTTGAGGAGTTTTTTCCGTCAGATTCCCGAGGCATTAATCGATTAGAACCTGGCACTAAAGGTTACCTTCCCAGGGAAAACTTTTTTAACTTTTTTCCTTTCGGAGTTTAAGATCAAAAGAATGACTTTTTTACATCTGCCGAGTCCGTTTCACAATACTTTCGTCAGTCTTAGTCAGGCCTACAAGACTCTTCTGGCCAGCAATTTGCGGCCATTGCGAGCGGCGAAGTTGCAAAAAATTTCATTGAAATGTTCTTTTGATTCGAATGGCTAAGTCAAAATATTTTGTAAAAAGAAGACGAGTGGGCAGAATTGAACTTGTAGATGGTGTTGGCAAGGGCTACTGTACTTTTTAAGAGGCTTTTTGAGTCTACAACAATACTCCACTCAAAAACATTTGATTTTAATTTCCTAATTAGATGACTAATGACAAAAAATCTCAAAAAAAAACGAATTAATTGAAGAAAACAACTTGTGGAAAAGTGTTATGGCATTATAAAAATCAAAAAGTCTCTCAGACAAATGCCTCATACTCCTCATGGGGTTTATGAATGAATGGTAGTCAGAACTCGGTAAAGGTGGCTTCATTGAGACTCGAACCCGCGACTTCCCGACCCAAAAGTCCAACGCGCTGCCACTGAACCAAACGAACAACCCAGCCTCCTTTTCCAAAAGACCTCCACATTCAAATGGTCTTTTTTGCAGAAAAATTGTTTGGAAAACATTCTTTTTGAAAAGCAAAATGCGTCTGTATATGTAGTTGTAAAAATAGCAAAAGATTCTCGGAAATTACTCCCGCTTTCAGACTGTTATTCCCGCACTTAAGCGGCCTATCTTTAGTGCCAGAATGATGTCTTTAAGGCTATTTTTGGGAAATAGGCGGTTCGACGCCTTTTTAATTCGTTTAAACCCAAATCTGCTTATCGTTGGTTCGCGGGATGCGTCTCATGTTGTATTTGTAAGGGGATCCCACAATTTTAACGCGAAAGAAAAGTCGTTGTAAGTGGTTTTGGTTGATATCATTCCCTTGGAATGACCTGCGGGGATTTGTAAATAATTCTATTTTTAGTTCGTCTACCCCTTTATTGACGAATAAAATCAAGGGAAGGTCGACTGAATTGATTGCAAGCTCACTCACTTGTCAGAATCAGTTTATTATGAACAATATAATATACATATACCTCAATTTATGAACATGTACCCGTTGTTGTTGTGTGAAGTGTAATATAATATTGCTTGCGTCACCGCGGCATCACCAGAATTAAAATAAGTAAGAGCAGGGCCAAAACGATCCCAATGCACACCAAAATGAGGATAATTGTCTTTCTTTGGGCCTGCTTCTTGTAGGTAACAGCTCGGGTGATCATCTGGTTGCCTTGATGCGTATATTCGGCGGCTGTCTCCACATTCTTGGCAATATTATTGACCAAGGAATCCTAAAATCAAGAATGACATCCAAAGGTATCATAAAACCCTTCGTTTTTTAGTGAATTTATTTTTAATAATGAACAAACCTGCATGGAGACCAATTCATAGACTTCAACGAAGATGTCATTCAGCTCCCTAATACTCCTTTCCAGCCTCAGAATCTCATTATGCCGACTTGTCGCGTCCTCCAGCACATTTTGAGCAGATAAAGTCAAGGGGTTGATCTCACGGTAAAAGACTTCTTCTGAATTTGATTCCATCATACGATCTACATCTTCGGAACTTAAATTTTGGCCGGCTAGATCCAGCTGCTTCTTAACTCGTCCTGAAAACCGTTTCTATTAAAGAGTTACACATTATGTAACTTACTGGATACTCTCCTCTTGTATTCGACTTGGGTATTATTAAAAAGATGCAAAACTTCTTGCAGTCGCATTTTCAACTGTTCACATCGATTTTTTCGTATTCGTAGTTGCGCAACCGTTGCATTTTCCGACTTCTCATATTGGCGAACGCTCAAATCAATCTCCCGGATACGTGGCCTCAAGGCATTAATATGTTCCTTGATCTCATCGATCGCTCTTTCCAATTCGAACTTCTGTTCAGGAGAGACCAGGGTTTTCCCAAGAACAGCTACTTGCTTCTGGTTTAAATGTTTTATCCGTTCTTCCAGACGATTAATCGATTGACGGACTTCCTCGGTCTGATTCAAAATATCCATGGTATGTGCGTTGTCGTCGTTAGGGAGAGTTCGGGGGTCGATCACAACTTGGGCGGGGGCATCTTGGCGAGCTCGTTCCTGAAGGAATAACACTTTGTATTCCGTTGATATTACATAAAATGGGAAGAAGTGCAGTAATCTTAATTCCCTCAACTTTTGCGTGCCCGATCTATCATATTAAACACGATTAAAAGACCCTCATGACATAAGCTGGATCATGAACTTGAGCTAAAGGGGAAGTACCCCAAGTGCGACGCTCAGATTTCGATGAAACTTGGCACAAATTTAGAAAAAATTTTCTAAGATATATGCGAGAATCCTAACTCGCGCTTTGCAGAAACAACCGAGATTTTTGGTCAAAAGTCGGCGAAAGGTTGACACTTTTTGCCGAATTTCGGCACGAAAAGTTTCATGCCTATTTCTACCATAAAAGGTAATGTCTCCACAAAAAATCAATTTTTTCCGCACGAAACTAGCAAAGTTATGGCCAAAAAGAGCTTTCATTTCTGACCGCTCTCCGCGATCAGCATGCTCTCTCGGCGGCAAAGATGGTACAATATCTCGGCGGCGCCTGCAAAGCGCGAGCTAAAACTTTCGGGAATTGATATTTAGTTCATGCCCGACGTGTGTGCAAAATTTAAAGAAGATCTGAGCGTCGCACTTGGGGTACTTTCCTTGGAAGTTATATTTAAATCCAGCCGCATCTCAAGAACTTCCATGTTAATGTCATCGATCAAACAAAAGTAATCTCTTTGCACAGATACAAAAAGTAATCCTTTCATGCATTACTCCTCCCCATATTTGGACTAATACCGAATCCAGAGCCCTCTCTTGGTTATTTAAATAGCTTTTGTAAATAATAATATTCCCAGAGCAATCGAATCGTCATCATATAATATTATTTACTGACTCAGAGTGCACACGACGAAAATCAAAGAGGGGGCTCAGACAAAGTTACATTAGAAATTCCGGAGTCAGAGCGGATGAGAAACCTTTGCCACTTTTGGGTTTCTAGCTTCCGTCCGGTGAGGTTCAATCGTTTTCAAAATTTTTTGGATGTCAAATTATCAATTTCCAAAGCAATCAAGCTCAGAGAACGTTTAAAAAACAATCACAATATTACGTGAAAATGTGAAATCTATTCCCTGTTTCTTTGTTCCGGCTAATATTTCATCAGACTTAATAATTTTTTGTAACATGCACCTCTCTATAGGTACATGTTATCTACAAAACTGTAACAAAGCCTGAACTCACCTGCAATTCCTTGAAGCGATCTCTGGTCATTCAGCAGCGCCTATTTTTGTATACAAAGTCTAAAATTACAATACTTTATCTTCGGTTTCCAGCAAAAACACGCCTAAATGTCACAGGCCTCCGGCTGTACAATAGAGCGGTATTATTAACTCCGAGCCCCAGATTTCGCAATCCTTTTATTATATTCTTAACCACAAGGACACCACCCACTGCAAAAGTTTCCATGCCAACAAAAAACAGAGGAATTGATTGGAAAAAAAGGAAAACACAGTGATTCAGCCGGGGAAATCGGGAAATTCACAAAAATTTGGATGAGGATTTGCGTGGAAGCGACGAGAAAAGAGGCGAGGATGAGGGCGGTTCGAACATAACGTCGAGTGTGGATTCAAGAGCGCGCAAAAAAAGGTGGTTTTGTTTGCGGAAAGGAGACTTGAACAGGTAGGTTCATCACACATACACGGCCCGCCGAATGCCCTTCTTCTGTTTTTGGCGCTCGTTAAAGTGCAATTCCACCTCGTTTATTAAGACCGAACTTGCGGTGCAGGGAGGGAAATGGAAGCCGGTTACACGGTTCAGAAGACCCGGTCATAGAAATAAATCGGCGATTTCTTGAGAAAAAAGCGCTTCGTAATATCCTCAAACGTATTATAATATGAGAAGAGAGAGCCCACAATTTAGATTACGAGTACGGATTGATGAACGCAACACTCAAGTGCATCTCGACATTGTATAATCCCTAATCGTGTACTTTCCCTATCAATTCATTTCAAACCAGCTAATTTTGGGATTTAGACTTTTGGGCTTCCTTTACAACTCTTTGGGTGTAAAGTATTTCCCCAGATGGACCTGAACAAATTTTTCATGTAGTAACATCGAAAATAAATGTAAAATTCTGGCACATGCAAATATATCATCCCAAAGAAACACATTTGGGGTAATTCTCCCATTAACTACCTACAGTAATTTATTGTATACGAAGGATGTCTTAAAACTATTTAATAACAACAAAATTCTTTACAAACTAGAACTAACAACCGGGATAATAAAAGAAAACGCTTCACTCGGATTTTCTGCCGATGGAATTCTTTTTAGGGACAAGCTGAGTAACTCTAAACACATTTTCTTTTAATTCCTCGGTCTTGTCCATAAACGGGATCTCAAATTCGTTGACGACACGACCCGCCGAACCGGACTCAAAGAACCTAAAAATATTTAGATTTACACATGACAATCATTAAATTTAATACCGTCACATTAAAGTCATAATTGCTTACCATCCTAAAGGATACCAAACTCGAACTCTCCAATCTGAGAAAGACAAATTGGCATGATGATACGCATAAGTGTGATAGAAGAGGAAGAGTCTAGAAGATATATAGAAAGCAACAAACACGTCGATACTGTAATGTTCATGCCCTGCCAAAATGAAAAAGATCCCGAAGATGTTCAATACCCATGTCATCGTATGAAGACCGTACCAATCTTCAGGGGTGTCTAAAGAACTAATTGACAATATAAAAGTAACGTACATTCCGTGATAAAATGGTTGAGTAATGTAATTGATGTTGTATGTCCACTGAACATATAATCCCCGCAAGTTCTCACTCCTTGAATTGACATTCCCAGATGAGACCAGATATGGTAGGCTTGTTTGATCTTAGCTGACATGGTGTCATAATTCTGCAAATACCCATTTGCACTGCGTTACATTAAGACCAATTTATAAACATGTAAAGAAAGCAAAAAATATCTTTCAAAAGTCTTTTCCCACGATGATTTATCCTCTTTCCTCGAATTAAAGTCCACTCACCTTCGCCGTGCATTCAAGATGCACCCCGGGAACTGATAAGGAAGTGATAAGCATAGTCACGCATCGCAGAAGAAATACCGTGCCAAACAACGAAAAACATCGTCGCAAAATAACAACCCTAAAAAACAAACAATATTTAACAATATCGGGCTCACCTGTGTTTGTGAAAAATGATAATTGCTAAGAAAAGACCAGCTAATGCCACTCCAATAAGCTCACAGAGCTCGAAAGCCCAAGGAATAAGAGGGAGATTGTCAAGAACAAGATCGGGCAACGGAGGATACATCTTCATGTCCGGAACTCGATCATGAACAACCACCATAACCAAGGCCGTGATCCACAAAGATAAAAGGCAGTAAAAAAATGCGACCAGCAACTTTATCCACGATTTCACATGAGTGTCCGGACTCTCCACACTTCGAATTAACTCTTCTTTCGTCATCAGACCACATCGCATCTTCATGGACTTCCTAAAGTTTCGTTTATCATTTTTGGCATCTAACCAGTAAATTTTCAATTGGATTCATAATATGCTAGAATGGTATATTACACATACACGGTAGAACGACCAAAGAAATCTTCTAGACTATCCTCTGACGCTGTTTGAAGCAATCGACTGGTTGATTCTGTTCCATCGCTTAAGCTATCCATATGTTCGCACTTCAACGCCAATTTAGCAACGGATTTGAGCTGCACTTGAGCTTTCATCAAATTCTTGATATCTCCCAATTTCTTTAATGCCACGGGAGGTTGCCGGAGATCATTTTCTGTCAAATTTACGAACATCGGGCCATCTACCTGAAACATTCCCCACAAATATAACCGCTTTTTCAATGCAATTTTGGCACTTAGAACTGTTAACTTACACCATGGATTTCCGTGAGAAGTTCAACAATTGATCCCTCGAATCCCTGATCACTCAACCACTCTGCCAACTGCGAGGACGACCAGCCCAACGGACTAGTTGTGTCCATTCAACCCGATTATTACTCTTTCACAACACGAATTGTGAATGAAAAAATTTGAGAAAGGAATTCTTTGAACAGGGCGCATTTCGACATTTACAGGGAAGGCGGGTATACCAACGGGAGGTCAGTTTAATATCATCTGACACGATTCATCATGTTTAGAACAATGGGTTCATATAAGGTCATGAGAACTTTTGAGAGAAGAAAGCTCCTCTAGTGATTAATTTGACATGTTCAATCGTATAACTTGCCTCGGCAGGCTGCGGTCAAAAAAATAATTTTGGTAGCAATTTATTTTTGTCCATTTATTTGTCGAAAAGTGAGAATTATAGACCGCAGTGGTTATTTCAATGGCTAAACAAGGGGACTACCATGAGGTCAGTGTGACGTTTTACCTTTTTAAATATTATTTTAGTATGTTATGTCAAAGGAGGAGTTTGAGAAACCAATAACTGATGGCTACGTGAAGAACCTAGCGGAGATGCCAATAGAACAACTCATAGATGACTATAATCCAGGTACTCATCTTTTCATATTATTTTTATCTTTAGGACCTACTAATCCTGATGGGACAGTAAATTTTGAGTGCCATTGTGTGGCTCATCTTGTGGCCAGTCCTTGTGGCCACGAGTTTCGACAAGCAATTAGTTGTCAGAAGGCCGCGGAAGACGATGAGATGAAGAATGGGGAATGTGCGGATAAGTTCATTCAGTTCATGCAGTGTGCCGTCCGAACGCAATGTTTTAGACGTAGGTCTTGTCTAAAGATAATTGAAGTCTATTATGTTTAGCATCAGGCCAAGATCCCGAAGAGGAAGAAAAATAGGAGGTTGTTTGTTTTCGTTAATGTTTATTGTTTATTGTTAATAAATGCCAGTCTTATTACTTTGAAGTTTTAAACGTTGGGTTAGTGTCCCAGGTATACTGAGAGGCGAGGAATTTCATTTGTCATTTTCGTAGATGAATGATTCAAAACGAAAATTATTGGATGGATCGTCTCAGAGACGACGACATACTGGGACGACGTATGATCTTCGAAGACCAAAGCCAGGATATGTAAATCCCGTTGGAGGGACGCTAACGGATCCATTGAACGTGAAGGGAGGCCATAAGGAGCAGAAGCCAAGCATTCAAAAGGTATGTTATATCTTTTCACACTTATTTAGTCTCCATTGCACTAAAGTTTGTTTTACAGCGCAAATTCTCTTCTAAAACTTTGATCAAAAAGAAATCCGAACCCAAAACTCAGGATGCTGGAGAGCGAAAAGAACATCGACAGCGAATGAAGGAGAAATACAAGTACGGTAACTTCAATTACTTCCATCGAACTCTTCATCCTTTCTACACTGATGGGAGGACAACTTTTATGTGCGAAGACTGGTTTCACGGGAAGGATGTGTTAGACATCGGATGCAATGCAGGGAACCTGACATTGTCAATTGCAAGAGAATTTGAACCGAGCTCGATATTAGGAGTTGACATTGATCCGCATTTAATTGCCGCAGCGAGAAAAAACATCCGGCATTTTTATGACAAGGATGTTAAAGTGAGTGCTTTTATTATTTTTAATTGCGTTTTATTTGTTTTTAGTAAAGAGTTCATTTAGGTAGTGAACAGATTTCCTGCTTCATTTGCCCTCCGGTTTGGTCCCATCTGCCTCCCTCCTACTGCATCCACTACTTCGTATCCCAATAATGTCTGGTTCCGGCAGGAAAATTATGTTCTTACAGATGACAGTCTTCTGGATACTGTAAGACATTACCGAATAGTTTTTGCATTTTTTTTGTTATTGAATTTTTACGGTATTGGGTATATGTTTTAGGTAAAGCCGGAATATGATGTCATACTCGCTTTTGGAATCACTAAATGGATTCATTTGAATTCGGGAGATCAGGGATTGAAACGGTTCTTCAAACGGGTATTCAGACAACTGAAACAAGGAGGCCTCTTCATATTGGAACCTCAGAGTTCCACTGGATACAAGAAAGATTCCAAAATCAACGAAAAGATTGAAGAAAACTACAAGAACATAAAGATGTGGCCAGAACATTTCAAGGATTACCTCACCTCAGAGGTCGTCGGATTTGCAAATTGCGATTTTCTGGAAACACCATTGGTTTCAGCATACGGTAAGTATTATAAATGAGAATACAGAAGGTATTGTTGTAGGTTGCGATGCTCCTATTTTACTACTGTATAAGGACCCCATTGAATGTGATGCAATGGAAACCAACGATTATCGTCTACAATTCTCGAATGATTTCGATTTCATCGAGACTCCGGAACACGATCCCTCTCAAGAATCTGATGGACTTTAATTTATTTTCCGTTTGTTTTGACCCTTTAATTGTAATGTTGTTGTTTGCAGTTTTCAATAAATTTTTCCGTTCTGTTTAACGTGTCTGAGATAGACGGTCAATTTTCTCTTGCGCTACCTCTTGTTCTTGTAACCTTGACATTCCATAACACCCCTGTAATTGAAACCTAATCCCATTTTTGTGGAAATCTCCACTTTTCGCACTTGTATTCCCCTTTACCCCGCCGCTCCCTGATACCGTAATGAAATGAAAAAACCCTTAGCAGGGACTTGGAATGGGATGGCGGTCTATTTGCAAAGATACGCAGCGAAAAGTCAAAGGAAAAGCGCTGATTCAAGGGCCCTTTCAAGGGTCAATGATCCTCTTTTCACTTGTTGAATCCCGCTTCAGCTGGGTCCTACCTCGGTTATGGAGAATGTAATGAGCATTCAAAGGGCATTTCCAAGGCAATTATCAGCTTAGCGTTGTTTTAAATGGACTAATTTAGGCGACTGAAAAAGTCGATGGGAATGATTATGTGGCAGGTTTAGAATTCATGATTTATTTTACAAGAACAAGGCCTATACAATAACATTATGCAGAGTTAAATGTAACCAAAATTTGTGATACTTTAAGCAATTTGAAAGATATAATCTCGGATAAAATAAGATAGGAAAGGTTCTACAACAATGTAGATTTCACAGAAAAATCAAAAAGTAGAGATGGCAAGGGAAAGGAAACAGCTGTGACAGAAATAGTATGACCTTACAATTCGACATAGATAGAGGAAACAAAACTATTATTATTAAGAACTAGTATCACTGGACAGAGTAATTGGTTAAAGCGACACCATTTCCGAGAATTTGTGCGTGGAATAAGTGGGATGTACAACAATAAAAGTTTACTGGACCTTGCCTGAGGTAATTCAGAACTTGGAAAGGTCCGACCGGGGCGTGTTCATGTAGTAATTGGGTGCGGCTGTCCCCAAAGTATTGTAATCGTAGGGATTGACGGGTGCCGCACTCTGATACGAATAAGACGGGAATCCGAATTGAGAAGAGTAGGGCGAGAAGATATTCGAGTAGTTCATCCAACTCATTGTCGATCCATTCAGACCCGATCCTGCGGGCGGTTGAAGGGCATTTGCCCCGTTCATCGATGCGAACGAGGGGTTCAGCCCCATCGAAGAGGTGTCTGTAAGCAGTGCCTCGTTTTGGCCAATGCTCTCCAATTTGATGGCACTCATGTCTGTTAACGTCGGGGTCAGCGCTAGCATTGGCATACTGGTTGCCACAGGCAATGGATCGATCTGTGATGGCATCTGTAGTTGTGGAATGTATTTTGTTTCGTCTTCTGTCGTATCCACGGAATTGGCACTACTGGCCGAGCCCGCGCTGATCGCTGAGTTGGCGCCATTCACGGAGGTCGAGAGGGAGTTGAGGGTGGAGATGGAGTTGTTGTTGGTCTCTTCGGAGGACTCTCGATGCCCACGTTTCATCAATTCGTCCTCGAACTTTTTCTTTTGTCTTTTTTTCGCTCGTCGATTCTTGAACCATACCTGTAAATGGTAGAGATTAAAAGTGCTCCAGTCATGCAATCAATTAGGGATTCGTCATTACTTTACTGAAATCTAATTAGTTGCAATTTACTTTTATCTGACGGGGCTTACATTTTCTGCTAGATTACTTTTTTGATTTGGGTTCTGAATTCCTGCAAAAGACCTAACTCAGGTCATCACAACGTTCGGTTTAATGTATGACAGTTCTGAAGCTCTTATACGACTTCTCGACGCTATTTGAAACAGTCTATCAGGAGGAAACGCATTACTATTGACTATGTCTATCATAAATATCGTGTATAATATCTAATGAATCCAAAACGTTTACTCACCTGAACTTTGACATCTGTTAGACTGAGTTCTTGAGCAATCTGTTCACGTAATTGTGCCTGAGGGTATTCACAGCTCTCGAAGTATTTCTCCAGCCATGTTAACTGCGTCTGACTGAACTTCGTTCGCTCTCTTTTGCCTGGGGGTGGCGTTTTGTAATTGTTCCTGAAAGTAAAATTATATCTTTTTCAATTCAAATGCTGTGAAGATTACATTATGTTTATGCGAAGTTATAAAGTAAAGCTAAGCCTACAGAATAAGAGTCTACAGTAATCCGAGCCCTCCCAAATTCAAAACGATGACTTACGGCGATGGATTACTGCCATAGCCAGTGTAACCGCCGAAACTGAATTGACTCCCGACCAGCTCGGATTGGAAGTTCTGGATCATACTGAAATAAGATTGGAAATGGGTAAATAGTCAGGAGAAGGGGAGAAATAGAGAAGTCTCGCGGCTCTCGAACCACAATCAAACGTCACTAACAGCCATAAGATATGGTATTTATTGGAGGTAAAATAAATAAAACAGTACACTTTAGAAGTATGCCCTGAGGGTGTTGAGTAAGTCAAAAGTCTGGGATTGAGGAAGTGGATTAGAGGTTCTCAAAAGGAATATACGTAGAATAACGTAACTCAGCTTCTTTCTAAGTACTTATAGGCAGCAAAAAGAATAAGCAGAATTTTAGAAAGATATGACATCTCACAGAGAATTCAACAATGAATCGAACTGCAAATCCATTGGTCTCCCCAACTCTAATCGCATTACACGGTAAACACCCTGAGGACATAAAGCGGCTTAATAGGTCACAAATACAGCTCATTCTTGATTATAATCTTGTGGAGGATCAGACCCGTAGTATGTCTGATTACCGGCGTAGCGCGACGCGGCGTCGGAGGAGGCTTGATTAACCGGATTGTACGCATTGTAGAGCCCAAATCCCTGGCAGGAATAGCCGTAGGGGTTGACCCAGCCTGAAAGTAATTTAAAAACTGCGTATGTTTGAGGAGTGCCATCCCCCTGTGCCCAAATCCCAATACTCTGTAAATCCATGTCCCCTCCCTGTCCTCTGTGCTGTTCACGTCAGCAAATCCCAGCCATCAGATAGGGGCCAAGGTAAGTTGTGTCTTAATCCCTCCCCATCCAAATTATCTTGGCTCTTTAAGTGTCGGGGGTGCATCCCCCCAAGTAAATGGCTTCGCGTGATTTGGGCCGCCAGCGAGTCCAATTCGGAATAAAAGATTCCTTCCACGCAAGCCGTTATCTATATTTAATATCCCTTCTGCACTCGGCCCTTTATCTACCTGCAACATTGCTCGAATTCGAGGCGGCGTTGAACCAGTTCCCGGCTACGGTGTCCATCACACTGCCTGAGGGGCTGAAGAAAATGTTCTTCTCGGAGTCGGAGTCATGGCCGACCTTTTGGTCGATCTTGATGTCCGATTTGTCGGGATCACTGTTGGATGAGCACGCTGAGGCCGAGGGCGACGTGTTGGTGTCGGTGGAATCGTTATGATACAGTGGCTGATTGATCGCAGGCGACGACATGAGACCCTTGTTTCGACGAGCAGCCATCGACTTCTGAAGCATCTCTTTCTGCTTCTGTTGTTGACGATGTTTGGCTCGTCGGTTTTTAAACCATACCTAAAAAATGGGGATTATTACGAATCATGTGGCAAAACAAAGTAATTTTGACATAATCAGCGCCAATCTTACCTGTATCCTACTCTCCGGCAGATTCACTTGCTGAGCCAGATTTTCTCGTTGAAACGCATCGGGGTATTGGGATGTCCTTAGGAAATGATTCTCCAAAATGTCCAGTTGATTCCTGTTATACGTTGTCCGTTCACGTCTATTCCGTCTAGAATCACTACACATTCCATGCACGACCTTATCTTCCGACCCACCTTATACTCCCTTGAATCGATGACGCGCTTGTGGTTGGAATTGCAGTCGAATTGAAGGACGTTGGGGACGAAAAATAATTGAAAACATTCGTGTTGTAAGTACCCAATCCGGCTGTTGGACTTCCAAATGGAGCGAAGGGATACGATCCGAAGGGTTGGAATGGCGCCGCACACATTGTGTTGAAATCAAGGATCGAATTGGCCATGTTGAATTTGTCGTCGCTCTGTTCGTTCTCCGATCCCTCATCTTCGTTTATCTCTTTCTTCGTGTCCATGCCCTGAAACCTCATAAAGTGTAATCTTGGATGAGGACATAACAACGTATAATCTTGGATATGCTCCCTCTAATGCTGGTTAAATCGTAACACCCGGCGGGGTTAAGCCCGTTTGTAAATACCATAAGAATTTGCCAATCCCCTCTTATCGTTTCTCGAACGCCTAACAATGGACGCCATTCGGATTGATGTTAAGCTTATTAAAAACAATTCACGCAATCCCCACAACGTTCCGCAACCCTCCGGAAAGCTGGGCGCTAAGACGTCCCAGAAGCCGGGCAGTGCGTCAGATAAAGGCGAGATAATCTCAGGGATGATACTGTACCAACAAGCCTCCAGATGAACTAACTTTGGTGCGAAAACCCAAACTCACGATCGGCGGGAAAGGGCCCCCAATCGAGGTCCGGTCTCGAACTCACGCCAGAGGGGGGATTATCGATGGGTGCGCGATGGTAACAGCGCTTAAATGAGCGACTCAAACTTTTAGCAAAATATCGGAAAACCGAAAACTGAGTTTGGGATCGGAGAGGTGAACTGGTAGTATACGAAACGTAAAGTAGAATAACGGAAAGTGACCCTTAGATCTTGAAAAAGACAGATCAAAAGTGATGAAAATGCAGGGTAATAATGGCCAGTCCATCCACATCCAGATTCCCTGAATCAAAAAGCAGCTCAGCTTATCCTCAGGCGTTCATCGGGCCCGCTTAATCAGCGGAATGTCAAAGCGAGCCCGAGGAGATAATCTAATTCGGCTCGGTGCCAAGAAATTACACCGAAACTCTGTTAATCCGGTTACAATCCCAGATAAGAAGGCCGATAAGCTTTGTGGGATCAGCACCGAAACAATCCCTTTAGCGTTGTTTAGGCCTCCCTCACTGTCAGTTTTGTCCCACGACCGTTTTGGTGAACCGTCGTTTCGATGGGATCCGCCCATTTTGGCGAGCGATCGACCAATCAGCGTTGTCGCCGGGATCGAAAAGCGGTTCGCGGTCTTCCTCTAGAGCAAAAGCTAGGGCCTTTGTTTTGGCCCGGCCGTAGCGACTGAAGTTGCATCGATTTGCGTTGTGAATTCCGAAATTGATCGAGGCTTTTGACGCTGCCCATCTTCAAGTGCTCGGGTGACACCTTTTGTCCATAAGCGCTTGTGCAATTACTCACTTTATTCTATTCCTATCTGTCATCAAGTTCCGCCACACACTACTGATTCTCTAAATAAAAGTTAGGAAGTCCGAAATATAAGAGGAACTCAATGAAATTTCGTGGAAGAGTTGTGGCCGCAAAGGATGCGAAGCCCTGCAGTGCACTATGCTTTACTTCTAGGTCGTGGAACTCCATCACATTTTTGCACTTTTTGGTTTCAAAATCCGGTTTAGTACGGAAAGCACTTTACATTTTTAAACGCGGTTGTCCCATCTAACTTAATGATTAGTCGCAAATCTGTTTCCGATAAAATCTGAATCAGGCCCGGTCCTCGATCCAGAGCCGATCTCCACAACCATGTAATCAAAAGTGGGTGAAATTAGAGGGGCAGGCACCTGCGCAGATCTTATCGAAGGGGAAGTGGTTATGGTAATTTACCGCCGGTCAGCGATCATTTCTCGGTTACGCAACCCGTAGCCGGAGAGTAATGAAGACGTTGATCCAATTAAGCGGATCATCCTCGTTACCTTTGGCCATATCGCTGCTAGTCATGGATTCGTGGCCTTTTTGAAGTTCCCGTGGGGTCAGAGGAGCAGCTACCGGTCGGGTTCGAGGTCTATCTAGGCGGCCAGCTGCATGCAAGTGGGCTAATCCCCGCAAAAAAATGGAGCGGCCGCTATGTTTGGGCGTAATTGCCGTGCTCCGCGCCTAATCCGTGCTAGAATTTCTTGATCCAGATCGACTAAACGTCCTTTAAAGAGGACCGCCACTCTTTTATTTCGCTGCCTCATAGCTCCGGTGATGCGGTGTGCGGGGCAAAACAATATCGAAATAATTGAGTCCCCCGAGATCCCGATGGCGACAAAAAACAGTACAGTAAGCGGGCGGCGGGGAAGTTTTTCCTTCTGTTTTTACGTCTTGTTTTCATCAGTGATATGCCCTTTCTTGTGGTCATTATGTGATGTGATAAATTATATTTCTATTTCTATGCGTTTGATGGTATGTATGTTTTAATTTACAAATGAAATAAAGTATTGTTGGGCCTGTTGCGCAATGTCACTGGTGATAAAATATTGTGGGGTTATAGGCTTATCAATTTACGAGGTCATGCGTAATAAAATGGACACCGATTTGTAAACATTGTATAATACATACACTTTTTTATCATGACAAAAGAAAGACTTTTGATCTCTCTGTAATTTGCATAGAAGGATTCAACTGGCCACTACTGCCATAAGGAAACACTTTGTCCGGTACAATCGCAAATCCAAATGGTTCGCCCTAATCTTTAGACAAACTTTGCGCAATCATTCCCGCGCTCTCGAACTTGACCCCATTTCTCGCCGTTGCATAACCCGACCATCCTTTATCGTATACGTTTTCGGTTCCACAACAAGACAAACGATAGCCCTATATATTTTCTTTTTACTATCCCAAATTTTGAGGACAATATTCTGGACTGCAACATAATGAACCTGTTTGAAACTGACTCCTTCAGCTCAAGGTTTATGGTCAAATGTCTGCAAATCCATGTAATCCGAATTCCCCGAGCTTAACACGCCCGATTATCATGCTTGTCACGCATCCCAGACATTACTCATCCCTTTCTTTCAGGCCCTACAGTAATAGGCAATGTTTCCTAATATATCCACCAACATTCTATTACATCTCTGGCCATAATCCGCTCACAAATCCGGGTTTCTTTCTTTCCCCTGCGGCAATGCGCCGCTAATCCCTTCGACTTCGGACGTCAATCCGACAACTTTACATACGACGATTAGCGAAAAAAGCATTGAATGACGAGAAACTACGTTCAGTTGGTGGATTACAAATAATTATTATACAACAAAGATATGATATGGGTTTGGAAAAGTGGCGTTTGAATGACATGATCATTAAACCGAGAGACATTCCACAATTTCTGATATATTAAAAGTCGAATTTCTTTGTGATGCCGTACAAAAAAGTTTAAAAAATCAGATAAAACATCATTTTCTTGCATAATGAGGGCAGGAAAAACAGGTGTTATCGTTTAGGGAACAAGTTGTTATTAATCCGCTAATCCGGTCCCGGATCTGATATTTGGTGCGCGACAACTTCGGACGCAACAACTAATTAGCACCTCGAAGCGACCGAGGACAGGAAATTGGAGAATTGGTGTCAGCTGTCAATCACAACTCCTGTTGCGGGTTTATTACGGACATGGATCTGGATGGTCCATTCGAAAAACACAATTTTGAAAAAGATATATGCATAGTTCCATAAACTGGTATCAGAACTTTTCTATATGCCATACATAAATTGTAAACTTATAGAAAAGGTACAATATAACACTGTCATCCTCCCTTATTTGTCTAAACAATCAATCGACAAAAAATACTTGAAGAAATATGTTGACGATGGATTTGGCAAAAGTTTTGCACTTGAGGCGTTGCGTAACAGCCCAGACCATCGGAATCTTTGGCGGCCCGTCTTTGTGCTCGCCATGACCCTAGCTCAAGTGGCCAAGGTGCCACCACACTTGAGGTTATAACTTTAAGGATCCGCCGCAGCTGGCTCGAGCCTTATAAGACGCAATCTCACAGCATACAAGTTTAGGTACCGAAGCGAACCTTTGGCTTCTTATTAATCCAGAAATCGTATGGTTCTGTTCTGGTTCGAAAATACTTCGACCTAGCTCCTGCAAAGTCGTTTCTATTTTTGGTTTCATTTTTCTGTGCCAAATCTCCATAAGAATGCATCAGATTTACGTCTATTCAATCGTTGTCCCGTCTAAACAGTGTGTAAGAAAAGAGAACTTATACGCACGGAGTTCATACAGTATTTTGCGATGCCGGAAACAACGAGCAAATAAGAGGAGGGCTCATTACATAATAAAAATTTTGCGAGCGAAAGCTCGGACACAGGCTTATTTACCCGGCAAACAAATCCAGACCGGAAAACAGTCCCGGCCCGCAAATTGTACATAATGTCCCTCAATGTGGTTACAGTCTGAACATACCCTTGCCAGACATCCTCAGGTCATAGTTAGGCCATTGTTACAGTTGAACTGGGACCCATGAAAGAAGGGTATCAAATCTGCATTCTCTTGCTGAACTTCCTCCAACGGAATGCCTATCGTCTCCAAAGAACAACAATCCACAAAAAAGTGTTTTTGGCGACTTAAACCTCACAAATCCCTAAAATCTCGGACTTCTTTATGTCGCTAATCCATAAGCTATATACGGCCATCAACCGGCGGTCCTTCGAAATGCCAGCAAATATATTTATAAAATGTGGGTTACGTAACAACGCGAATACTGTATTTTTAACAGATTAGTCGAGGTTTCCGTGTTTATGGGCACAACTTTTAAATGGTAAGGTAATACATTATCATCTTTTCCCTAATATCATAATCATTGTAACAACAATTTTGATACGGATTCACTGTTTTCAATACCATTTCTACAAATCGTTTCTACTTATTTGATTAGCCACTAGTTCTTTTGTGTGTCCCACCACGAAAACAAACAATGCCAAGAGACTCCAAAACTACGGTAAAAAGAAATTATTTTCTTCTGATTTTTTGACAATTTTTTGGTCAAGTTTTTATCGTTTTTCTTCCTTTTTTTATGTTTTATATGGTTTTAGACTTTCCAGACTCTTATTTCCATTTATTTCGGCTAGGGTTACATAATTTATCCTGTTTTGGCGTCTTTCGCTTCTGGTTAATCGAAAAATCGTGATTTTCTGACTTTGGAAAGAGTTTGTGTGTCTTTACACTTGCTCTACATTAACTCTAAGGTATGGTTTTATATTAATTTCTTTTGCTTTTAGGTCTCCACGTGCAAATAATGGACAAGCCAAACAAGCTCGCCAAGGTTACCCGTGTTTTGGGCCGTACCGGATCACAAGGACAATGTACTCAAGTCCGCGTTGAGTTCCTCGACGACTCTAACCGTTCTATCATCAGAAACGTCAAAGGCCCAGTCAGAGAAGGAGATATCCTCACACTTCTGGAAGCTGAGAGAGAAGCCCGTCGTCTGCGTTAAGTCAGATGAACTTCCATCTTGTTTTGTTTATTTGTTGGGAATAAATCCAAGTGTTTCTTCTGTGTTATTCTCGAATGGTTTGTTGTAAGATTTTTTGTAATTTAGTGCCGATCTAGGGTTCAGTTTAGTAACACGATAAATAGTCATATGGACTTTATTAGACTACGTTCGACAGGAGTATAATTAGGACATCTATAGGCTATTAGGCGTTGGAAAGGGCTTGTACACCGGGAAGCACTTTGCCCTCCAATAGTTCGAGACTAGCTCCTCCACCGGTAGAAACGTGGCTAACCTTGTCTTCGGCTCCCCACTTGGCAACTGCAGTGGCGGTATCTCCTCCGCCAATAATAGTAGTAGCCCCCTGTTGAGTAGCATCGATCACGGCGTCAAGGAGAGCTCTGGTTCCCTTGGAGAAGTTCTCAAATTCGAATACTCCGGATGGTCCATTCCAAACGATAGTTCTCGCTCTTCTTACAACTTCCTGGAACTTCTTGGCGGTCTCTGGACCGATATCAAGTCCCATCTTCCCGTCAGGAATACCACTCTTGACATCAGCTTGACTAACCGGGGTATCAGCGGAAAATGAGTCGCCGCATACAAAGTCGACGGGTAAATGAATCTGGACATTGCGGTCTTTGGCCTTCTGGACAAGATCTTTGACAATCTTCGAACCTTCCTCGTCATAAAGCGAGTTTCCAATTGTCATTCCATCAAGAACCTTTAGGAAGGTAAAGGCCATGCCACCTCCAATAATGAGCTCGTTCACCTTCTCTAACAAGTTTTGAATCAACGGGATCTTGTCGGCAATCTTCGCTCCTCCAAGGATAGCCAAGAATGGACGTTCAGGAGACTCCAGGGCCTTGGCGAAATACTCGAGTTCCTTCTTCAGCAAAAATCCTGAAGCCTTTTGCGGAAGGTCGACTCCAACCATTGAACTAAATCAGGGAAACGGTCAACATCATACCATCCGACCAGTAAAACACGAAACGACCATTACCTGTGAGCTCGATGAGCAGTTCCGAACGCATCGTTGACGTAGACATCACCGTGCTTAGAAAGGGACTTTCTGAACGCCTCAATAGCTTCAGGCTTTGCTTTAACCTAAGTAACAACGAAATAATAATCGATCGTCTTCTCACCTTTTCTCCAGCCTCGTTAACTCCCTTTCCCTCTTCTTCCAAATGGAATCTCAAATTCTCAAGAAGAATAACAGAACCAGCTTCAGGATTAGCAGTCTCCTTCTCGATCGCTTCTCCCACGCAATCCTTCAGGAAGATGACCTTTCTAAAAACCAGAGATGTTATATGTTACAAATAACGAATTAATCACTTTTCTAACAGCTTCTCCAGCTCTCCAACGACTGGACCCATGCTGTATTTCTCTTGTCTTCGCCCATCTGGACGGCCCAGGTGACTCATAAGGACTACAGACTTGGCTCCATTCGATAGGGCATACTGAAACACAAGGAATCAGACATGATAAATATCATTTCGTAATAAGACCCCATCTTTTTTAAGCAGAGAATCGTATCCTACCTTGATCGTCGGCACGGCAGCAACAATTCGTTGAGTGCTGCTAACCTTTCCATCTTTAATGGGAACGTTGAAGTCTACGCGAATTAGAACTCGTTTATCCTTCAAATCGACCTTATCGATGGGCAACTTTTGAAGAGACATCGTTGAGAATCTGGCTATGCGATGAATCTAAAAAATCGCACAGGTAAAAGATAGGGCTTCAAGAAAATTGGGCTGGGTGAAACTTGGCTGAAAGAAATTGGGCGAAGTACGTAAATTGAAAGGGGAATTGTGCAGAATTCAAGGACACGCATGTGTGTATTCAAAGTGCGCATGGCTGTGGGCCGGGCGTTCCAAAAGTTTTCGACCCGGGCCGGTCTAGACGAGACATTTTTTGTTTTCGTCTGCTTCCATGAAAAAAATAAATAGAATTCTAAGAGCTTCTTCGGCCGGCCCGGATTGCTTATTTCCATGGCAGAAAAAAGAGATTCAAGAAATCAGCCCAATTTACATACTCCGTACAAAATCTTTCAGCCTAATCCTTTAGCATAACAACTTCCTTGCGATGGAACCTTACGGGAACCATCAGGAAATAAAATAGACTTGCTATAGCAATCGATTAATTTCTCAAGTCTATTGCGATGTTACTAAAAAGGACTATCGATAAGAATGCGAACTTTGGTGTAAAAATAACAGGAATAACAGGATGGACGGTTTGTTTTTTAAACGGGCCGTTTCGAAATTCGAAACTGAGTCTACTATTAGCCAGTGTATTCATGTAAGTGGGCCTACGTGAGAAACATTGAAAAACTATAAGAAACGGTTCGAGGAGGACACATTTTGTTGTTTGGTATTCCGAAAAAAATCGGAAATTGTTTTTTGGAACGCCGAAAAAATCCGTCGTTATGATTAAAATATCCGTGTGAAGACTTCGTCGAACTGACTTAGTTTATAAAAATCTCAATTCATTTTCCGTTGAGATTTTCTAAAGTTTGTGACGGGTTTATGAGTGACCACTTTTTGCATTTTACTCCCTTATTTGCGAGGTAGACCGCGATTTGCATTGATAACTTGGGCTGTCTCCTTTCCCATCCAGAAACGACGTTACAGAAGGGACGCATCCTCTCCCTTTCTCACTACAGGGTAAGCGGCTGACGCAACGGAAGGGGGAGATAGTTTAGAGAACGCTGGATCAAGTAAGACATATTAGTTTTATTATTCATCTTTAGATCAATGTCTGCAAGGTAATTTCTCCCCGGATTGACTTATTTCAGGAGCTCGATTTTGGTGTTCCTTTGTTCTTTTTACTGTTTGCTCTCTGCGAGATTATTTAGTGTTTTCTGGTTTTGGGTAATATTTTAGTAGGTTTCAGTAAAGTTGGATGGATATTATTAATGATAGGACAGAAACATGGTTTATAGTGGGGATTACATGCGTTTCTTCAGCGTCAATTTGTCTAACTATTGTTTTCTGCTGACCTCAATTTGTTTATTTACCATTTTTCCGCAGTTAAAACCAATGCATATGATCTCAGCACATGACTTTCTCGCTACTGTCGCTTCTCAATTTTATTCTCCAACAAATCCCGTCGACTCACTTTATTATGCCACCCGATTCCTCACCTATCTACTATAATATTATTCCCTTCTCGTTTCTTCTTTTTTCTCCCTTCTCTTCTAACTTTGGGGTCGAGCATTTATTTTTAAACCGTCTCGAGCTCATTGCGCAACAATCTATTTACCCAAGCTCAAATAACTGATAACTGTGGGTTGGTGGTCATTTGTGTTCGCGGGAAAAATCGATCGGAGGAGAGTGGAACACTCTTCAGGGCTGCTGGCGGTCTCGAAATCCATCGCTCTCGACTTTTGCGGTGTCTGACCTTGACTCGAGCTAAAGGAGGCTTTCAATGTAAACATTTCTCTAATTTGGCCTGAATGAATCACAAAAAACGAACTTCGGAGCTCATTTTTTGTTTCCGCTGCGTATTACAAGTTTGTTACATGGGGAGCCGCGGGGTTTGTTATCATCTTGCTATTAGCGACCCGGAAGCATCTGGAATTTCATTTTTGTTGCGCGATTATTACTATTATATTTTGTAATAAGAAATTTGTTTTCTTTGATCTCCTTTTGTATAAGATAAGTTTGCCTTTCCCGCAACCCAGGCTCATCTTGCCCACAAAGGAGTTCTGTTTGCCCAGGAATAGAAACGAATGTGCGAAGTGATTTCCTTCCGGAAATCCCATTATATTTTATGGGGATAGATCTGTCGTCGTCGTATGTTATCCGTCCACACTGACTGCCTGCTACTCTCGGCGCTCCTTTCGTCTTCTTCCCCGTCTCCCCCCACCAATCTTCCCCCCGAATCTCTCGGGTTTATCTACTCGCGGAATTTGTTGACTGATCAATTGCAAAAGACGAAAGGAATTTTTGATTTGCAGAGAGAATGCGGGATTGGATGAGATAATGACAATCTCCAAGTATTGGGGCGACGAGAAGAAGCCCGACGCCATCTACTCGGTCTACCTGAAGAAGGTCCGGTATGTCCCCCCGCCCGGCTACGACAATGTGGCCCATTATCGACCCATCGATCCGGATGACCACTTCTTGACCGACTCCGGAAACGACCTTCTTCAATGGGAGACCATCAGAGAACGAGTGATTAAGGCTGGGACACTCGAAAAGCTAGTGGTAAGTCTTCGGTAACTTTTTTCCTTTTAGTTCTGGTATCTAAATGGAGTATAATTTAGGAATGTCTAATAGGATCTGACGACAGACTCGATTCCCGCCATTTCAATGTATTCTTCGCCACCTATCGTTCTTTCGCTAAACCATCAGAAGTTGCAAACATTCTATTCAATAGATGTCAGGCAATCAGAGAATGTGATGGGCACAGTATTTTGAGGTCAATATTTGTATGCTGGATGGACATGTATGCAGAGGACTTTTACGAAAACGAGAATAAATTCAATTTACTTAACAAAGTCATCGACTTCAGCAAACTTCACAAATGGGCCGATTTGAAGGTGAAGGCGAGGAAACTGAGGGAACGATTCAGGCGGGTAGCTGATGAAGGAGGACTTTCCTGTAAGTAATCTTCAGTGATTTATTGTTATTTAGGCCTATTGAAAGATGAGTAATGTTATTAATTACAGCTCAAATCATGGGGATCGAGCAGTATACATACGCACTCGACTATGATCCTAATGATCCCAACTTTGCTCAAGAACATGCTCAGATGTTTGACATAAGCAAAGATAATTGTGTTCAGATCGCGGAACAATTAACTTTCTGGGATGCCATATTATTCAGGGAGGTCCGCCCGTTTCAATGTCAAGGTGCTATCTGGGGAAAAAGGAACAAAGAGCATGCTGATAATGTGTACAGTGTTAAGGCTACTATTGATCAAGTAAGAATCTTTTGGGAATTGAAATGAAGAAGTTTTTGAGTATGAGTTTATTCTGTATGTTCAGTAATTAATTCTTTTCAGTTCAATTCGGTTTCAAAAAGGGTCATGACAAGTATCGTATTGCCTGAATGTCGACCCGAATTCCGCGCAAAAATCATCGAAAAGTGGATCGAAGTGGCTAAAGAATTGAAGTCCTTCAAGAACTACTCGTCCCTTAAAGCGATTCTCTCCAGTTTGCAATCAGAACCCGTTTATCGAATAAAATCGGCATGGGGATGTGTCTCAAAGTCCTCGAATCTGACTTTTAGAGATCTCACATCCACCTTCGAACGGGAGAATCAAGAGGAAACAGCAGATTCCGGATTAGAAAGTGTAGGTTTAGTTCAAAAATATTATTGTTGATATTTAGCAAGGCAGTGGGCGTCGAGAAAAGAAGATCCAGCAATGTCGCCGCAGCAAAAGTGATGTTAATCTCGCTGATTCCCAAGGACTTGTGCCTTATCTCGGAAATTTCCTGACTGATTTGACCATGATCGATCAAGCATATCCGGATACAGTTGAAGGTTGGTGTTTCATCTATGCGTTTTATTTTTCAATCTTTAGGGAATCTCATCAACTTTGAGAAAAGACGTCGTGAATTTGAAGTCATGGCGAAGATAAGATTGTTCCAATCGGCCGCTCGAGGTTATACTGTCCCCATGGATGCTGCCTTCTGTGCCTGGTTTTATTATCTACCAAGTCTGAATGAGAACGACTGTTTTTATCGAAGTTTGGAAGTGGAACCAGGGTCTAACGGATCTGGCACACCTGACCTTAGACGAAAGAATCAGCCGCTCAGGAGTTCGGGAGGCTCTAAACCTTCTTCCTTTACTAAAATATTTGGTCAATTCACCGAGGAGTTCTCCAGCCGATCGTCCTTCCAACAGACTTCTAACGACTCTGGAGTCCTAAGTGAGGAATCGTGGATCAGTCGAGAAGTTGATCAGTCCCGGATATCAGGATCAGAGTTCAGTCCGTTCCTTCAGTCAACACCCAAGAGAGATGATTCCAATATAAATGAGGATTCATCATTTTCATGTTGCTCAACGCCTTTGCCGCAGACTTCTGGAGGTCTAAATCGAAAGATGATAGGACAGAATTCAAGTTCCAGCCATGTAAATACACTTTTTTTGTTGTTACTGAGGTTTATTTTGTAAATACAAAGGTTTTTTATTTCAGGCGTCTTCTGCTTCCTCCGGCTCTGTGTTCTCAGCGTCGGCCAATCAAACTCTACCCCCGAAACCGCAAAGAAATGGACACGGAACGAATCTAAACTTTTATTTGGCCCGAGTTGGGCTCGACGAATCGATCCGAGGAGAAACCGCCCAAGGAGCGAATTACAAGTGCATCAAGGTGGAGAACGGAGATAGATTGAGTACTCTCGTCGAGAGAGCTCTTGAGAAACACATAATGGAACACGAGAATAAGGATGAATATTGTCTCGTGCAACTCCTACCTGATGGAAGTAAGTGAATTAAAGGGTCCCTTCCTTTCTTACGTCATTTATAATATCATTTTTGTTTTTCTTCAGGTGAATTTCGTCTTCCCGACCACTGCAATCCCTTCTACGCCGTAGCACCCGACCCCACCTCCCCTATGCTTAACTTTCTACTTAAAAAACGCGACCTTGATGACCAAAAAACCATTGCCCCGTCGGCCAAGAAACTTAATCGTCAGAAACGCAGCAATCTTCTCAGATGGAGCAGTGGTTATCTATAGAATTTTATATTTATATCGTTTTCAGTATTCGCAGTTCAAATTTCTCTACATGTTTCAATAGATGTGTGGATTTACATGGTATATTATGTTGAATCTCCTCTATGTTTGAGTAGTTTTCGATTAGGTATACTGTACTTCTTTAATGACCATGCTCAGTTGTTTTCTCAATGGGAGTTTAGATGTTTTTTGTTTGTATATATCCTCGAGATTGTATCATTGCTCCATCGACTTGATTCATTCCACATCTGTGATTGTTTTTTTTGTCAATTTTCCTCCACTCCGACCCCATATATCAGTGATTACTTCTGAACAGTGATTATATTTCTGTGATTTCCTCAACATTCTGCTTGTTTGACTTGATCCCAGGTCTCTTTCCGCTCATCCAGATCATACCTGTAATAAATATTTATGTTGTAATTAGTAACATTATGACTGTGGTTAATCAACCTTACCTGCGAGGTCCGCGGAAGTGAGCGAATAAGATGTTTCGGGGGGTTCTGAAGAAATGTTTGAGCTCAGTCATCGAATTGGTCGATAAATAATGACTCCCGATGTCAATGTATAATGTTTTTGTTGTATTCAATAAGGCCCGGCTCAAGTACCAGTCGTCCATCTATAAATAACCTTCTGATATATCCGTGTTTACAAAGCGTACCCATAAATATTGCACCTTGTTTATATTGCCAGCCATACTTTCGATGAGATTTCCGCTAAAAGCCATGGCCATTCCTTGGCAATACGTCCCCAAAGAGTTGCTTTTGTACTCCTCTTTGCTCAGGTACCATTTGGATCTGTTATTTCGTACCACTTGACCATTCGTATAAACACGGCATAACATCATATTCCGGTGCTTCTTTAGTTTGTTCAGGAGGTTTATTGTATTCCTCCAATCGATCATAATGTCATCATCAGTTTTGATTACATACAATGGTTTGTGATACTTATTAAGGTATGTTATCCAGGCCCGCACTTTATAGCTGATGCTATGATACGAATCTACTACGTTTTCTACGATAATTATATCGTTGAACTTCTGATACTCCTCACGAACCATTTGAGAAGTCTGTGACAAATTTGCTCTTAAGATCACAAATATTGGGATGATATCAGCCTGAAAATAGACCTTCAAAAACCTGAATGAATATTACACTCATCAACGGGGCGCTGTAACACGATTGCATACCTTCTTTGTCTCTTGGAAATACTCATTTCGGATGAACTCTCGATTTGCGAAGTTGGCTGGGGCCGAATGAATGATCCAAAATGCGTTTCGAGTAGTCGAAGTTATGTTTGGGAGGGTTACGGTGAGAAGTCGTTTCTCTTGCGGTGAAGATTTGACCAGTGGACTGGGGTTGTAACCATGAATCTAGAATGAAATTCGTATTAGAGGTATGAAAACATTTATTTCAAGTATGGTTTGTGATGGAAAGGAGTGCTTTTATTTCAAGAAGCCCTGTTTTCACGTTTTTCGAACATTTTCAACTCTAGCTGTGGGGGACCCCGATCGCGGTTACATTTTTCTTTCGATATATTATTCTTGAGAGGTCTTTGGTTTTTTTGTAATGCAAAAAGTGATTGCAAGGTAGTATTGTCATGAAAACAACGGACGTTTTTTTGTAATACTGCTTTGATCGGGTCATATAAGCTCCTTATGTATACCCAAGAATGAGGGATTCAGCCGTTTCTGGGTCGATTTCCATTCCAATATTACGGTAGACCTACCGGGTAATGTCCAAACAACCTTGGTGATATTTGAATGGAGCACGTGTTAGAAACGGATGTATTTATACGGTATAGGATGAATAAAATCGGGATTAGAATAACAAGATAAATACATCTTTGAACCGGACGAAATCGGAGTGTGAAAACAGCCATCGAATAATGGATCCATCGCCCGGAGATCCGTTTGTTTATGGGATTAAGAAGAGATTATAGCCGGTTGCTTCTCGGACTCTATTTATTATCATTACTTGATGCAATGATAGCGCTTTTCACTGATCAAGATGTAATAACAATTCTTGCGAAAGAACTTATTTTTTTACAGAAATTCAAGTATTGAAGGTAATAAAAGTTATTTGAAGGCGAAGTTAAGGTCTTCAGAAGTCGCTTCCCTTTTCTTTAGCTTCCGCGTCTGCCCTCCGTGTTTGCGTGGTATCTTCTTGGGCTTTCAAAATTCTTCTTTTTTATAGTTACTTTTGGGGGGTAATTGTCAACCGCGACCCAGTCAGAACTGTTTTGTTTTCACGCGTTCTTTCTTTCTCAGTGTAATATGGTCAATGGTGGAGTAACAGTTGCAAGGAAACGAGAATTCAGTGAAAGAATTGACCGCTTCTTTAGGCACCCCCTTGTGATGACTCAAGTTAAATGAGGCTATACAATGCATAATTATCAGAAGGAAACTGAATGGAATGTCTATTTTAGAGACTCTTGAGACCTTTAAAGATATCTGTTGATTCTCGGTTCCTTCTTTTCTACCGACTGAGCCGTTCGATTTTCCTTTCCCGGCATTCGAAGCCTCCGAAAAACGTTTCGTTCGCCCCCTCAGGGCGTTTTCAAGGGTTTTAGCGGCTTGCGATCCAGGTCAAACCCAAAAAATGTCTCTCTAGATAAATTTTGTAAGCGAATCCCCCGTTTCGTCCGCTACAGTGAAAGTTTTAATGTCCTTTATTCTCTACGTTGCGGGGTGTGTATGTAATATGTAGTACAAAAATATTTTTATTTCAAATATTATTACAGCGATATGACCGTCTCTCAGATGAATATAGAAGATTCAAAAAAGGTGAATCGACTTCGGGAATTGGTTAGCGAGGAGCTCAAACCCGGCGATTATTACAATACCGACTTCAATCTACTCCGATGGATCCAGGGAAACGCAAATGACAGCCTGGAAGAGGTGGCCAAGAAGCTAAAAACACATTTGAAAATGAGGTAAGAGCTGTCTGACTTAGCCATAATGCAATATATAAAACTTTTTAGAAAGTCATGCTGGAACTTGGACGATATGGCCAGAAAACCGAGATTACACACCATCCACAAGCACTGGCGCTATGGAATCACATCCGAATCCAAAGTCCTTTCCAACGTAATTGTCAATATCGAACAAGTAAGTCAAATTGAACGCAAAGAAATCGCTAATTACAGTGCGGCGAGACGGATTACTCGGGGATGATTGAAACTTTCTCGATTCAAGAAGTCATGAAGGCCAGATGCCAAGATCTCGAAGATCTCCTGGCTGAAGTAATGGAAATGGAAGCCAAAACAGGTAAGTATCTGCGATCTGAGAATCGTATTTGATGATATTGATCGTAACAAGAATTTTTCGCATTCCGGCATTTCGGGTCGACGAGAGTTTCGGGTCAACATAAAATCGGTCGATGCGGGATCTAGAAGAGGCGGAGAGCCAAAACAGGTTTTTAGGAAGTGCCTACGAGGCCTAGGAAAGCTGTTTAATGCTCGGCAGAGGTTCGGCAAAGGCTCGGCGGAGACCTACAATCTAAATATTTGTTCTATTAACGGTGTAAATCTTCTCCAGGCCTTCCCCATGCATACAATGACAAATTCGGGCACCCCAGAGTAGTCTGAAATGTTGTTAACCCAGAAAAGTCATAGCACCGAATTCTTTAGGGAAACAAGCCTCCATCCTCTATATTATGGACTTGACTGGTCTCCAATACAACACCCGGCTCTACACACTGGTCACTGGTGCTATGCGCGCCCTCTCCGAGTTCATGGCCCACCATTATGTGGAGATGATCAGGTATTTCCTTTTGGTCAACGTCCCTTCCTTCATCTACACCATCTGGATGGTGGCGAAACCGTTGATCCCGGAGAGGACGCGTCACAAAGTCCGCATCCTCTCTTCTCATGGGTGGAGAGACGAGTTGCTTGAGTATTCGTGTGTCGATGCTTTGCCTACTAAATGGAATACGGACTCGATCACACATTTCAAGGCCCATGTTGACCTTCCGGTTCCCTATCCCGTAGAAAATTACTATCGGAACAGAGGGAAACCGGCCTTGAATTTGGAAAAGATCAGACTGGCGGCCAGGAAAACACAAATAATAACAAAAGAACTGAAACAAGGACACGTGCTCAGCTGGTTTGTTAGTGCTGATTCGGACTTTGGATTTGGAGTTTATTTCACCAAAAACAAAGATGAAAAAGATCTCGAAAAGTGAGTTGCTCCTCCTATTTCCCGTTTATAACTATCATCAAGTTCTCAAAATTTTCTTTCCAGAATGAGTACAGTATATCCATGTCTGGAATGGATGCCCGGTCCATCCGAATCCCCGCTGGATGGTGAAGTTACGGCACTGGAAGATGGCTATTACAGGATCTGGATGTCCAACGAACGAGCTTGGTGGCACACCCTGAGCTTGCAATGCAAATTCGAGGTCAATCAAAACGAGTAATCATATACAAATTGTAATTAGCTGCTATTGCGATCACATTAAAGAACATAATCTTAAGTAAAATGAGAGTTCCATTTGAGATGACCTAATTTGGAGATTCCCCCCGCCTTCAGAAGCCCCTTTTCGGATGTTTCGATCATGAAAACTGCCATCTTCCAGGTCTTTATTTGTTTTTCTGCCTTCACACATGGGTTCACAGTCTACGGTAGGTTGCCGTAAATATTTTTTGCACCCAAAATTAAGTGCAATTTAATCAGAACACCATCAGAACAGCGTTTGAAAAGCTTTTATTTTAGGACCGAGTAAAAAGAGTTTACATGTAGACGATTTTATTCTATTTTACGGAATATCACGGTTTCAGACCGCCAAAGGCCAAAAGACGAACTGAATCCTCAGTTATGGGCGTCCCATTCCGAGATCTTTAATCATCCATCCGGAAAGAAACCCGCCATCAGACAAGTGGCTGCTCTACCTCAACTTTTAGAGCGGAATCCTCGCGCTGAAGGGGTCTTCAATAATCTCGAATTCTTTGCCAACCCACAATTTAAGATCAATTGGGAGAATGAAACGAGGCACAAACACGTTGACCATGTTCTCAAATTCACGGACAATCGTATTACACATGCTGATAGACTAAACCCCGATCTCTTAAATCAAAGAGTTAAAAAGTTGTCTTGAATAACTATTTAATAATAAATTGAAACCATGAATCTACGCGTAAGATTGCCGCGGCATGCCGTCATTTCCGGTTCCTAAAAATTTATTCTTACGATTTTTTGACTGCTCTTATTATTTTTTAGCAAAAATCTTACAAAATTTCACAAAAAAGTCAGTTTGACAATCAAAATGACAGGTAGGATACCATCCTTCTTTTACGTTTCTTATTATATTTCTTATTAGTATATAGGGCCTAGCTAACCCTAATTAGATTTCAGTGAGTAATCGAGGTCTTAATCCAACATCATTATTGTTTGACTGATTGAAAAATCAATTTATGGAAAATACCGCAGTTGCAAGCAATAATCGTAAAATATTTGGGGGGAAATTGAGATTTTAAGTAGTCGTTTTTGTGGATGAATCTACTTCTGTGCCCATTCGACCTTCTCCTTCTCAGACTGAAAGCATTTGTTTTATAACAGATTTCTTTGCTCAACTCACCTCTTCTTCCAGAGCATATTGTTTCTTATCGATGACTTTGAGGTTGTTTCTGAAGTCCACGGTATTGCCCTGCTTTTTCTTGAGTTTGTCAAACTTGGAGTCGGTCTTTGAAACCTTCTTCAAGGTGGGTTTAACGCTGAAACGAATCGAATCAAGACGCGCTCAACGCCTTACAATTTTCCTCGCAAATCGTTCACAGCGATAGTCAACTCGTTAATCTCGAAATCCTTTTGACGGACGGTGTAGCTCAGGTCGTACTTATCGCTCTCCAACTCGATGATCCGCTTTTTGAATTGGTCGGCGATTCGAAGAAGATCGGAATCGGATTGGGAGTCCAGGTCAGGAAGAGGAACGATCCGATCCTGGAGGATTCTCTGCCGTTCCTGTTCTCTCAGCATCTGCTGCTGCTTCAAATCTTCAGCGGCTTTCAGCATAAGAAGTTTCTGAAAAGGGAGCTCATGAATACCCTCTTTTCAATGAGTGTCAATCCAATTCTGATGCCTTACTCGGAGTTTCTTCTTTCTCTCTGGAGTCAAGAAACCCTTCTTGGCCTTCTTCATTCTGCCGGCTTCTTCCAGACGCTTACGGACTTCGGCCTTTTTGCGTTCACGTTCGGCAGCAGCACGTTCTTGCTGGAAATGGATTGGTTATTCGAGGAGAATTTATATTTTTGAGTACTCATCGCTTACAGTAACCAATTGTAAATAAACTCCAAAAATGGCCTTACCTCATCATCTTCGGTTTGTGGGCCTCCCCAACGATAATCTTGCTCGACCTCCATGATTCTTCCAGAAAACCCGCAGTTTCCGGGAGTTTGAACTGAAAAGAAATCTCTTTTCCGCAAATCTTTGGCCGAGATCTTCGCGATCCGGGGGCGAGGCCACGACGAAAGGACCTCGAGATCAGAGAGTGCGCAAGAAAAAGAAAACAAACAATCAGACCGCCTTCCTTTATTTTAAACAACTATATATATTATACATGACAGTGGAGATCTTTAAGCGCGGACACAATCGGCGTCCTGGAACTGGCTGAAGGTGCTGTAACAGTCCATGGAGCGGGCTAGCCGATCGCCGTCCCGAACTAAGTAGTGCTTTCTGAGTAGATCAGGGCTGGAGTTGGCGGATTGGGAGCCATAAAAGATGCCCTCGGGGTTACCGATCAGGAGATATCGGGCCTTGTCCGTATTCTGACGAGTCATCAGATGGCACTGGGTATTGCATTCGCGAAGCCAGATAGAAAATGTCTCCGGTTCTAAAATAATTTGATCAAAAAACAATAAAAGTTTCTGTTCAACGACTGATAAAACAACATACCCTTGTCTCCGCCGTACCATTCTAAGATCTTCACATCATAAACATCATAATTAGCACCCAACCGTTGTTCAGTCCGTGTTGATACGATCCGGAAAATTACAGCTAAAAACAACAATTATTTCTTCTAACTTGCCCTTACCGAATCCTCTCTCCTTAAATTCCGAACATAATTGATCCACACTGGTTGATTTACAGTTGGTGCACTCGGTCTCACAAGTCACCTCAGCGCAAGTACACGCTCCATTGTCCAGACAGACCGTCTCCACCACCGAGGATTCTGATTTGGATTCCAAAAGTGTTCTGACTTCTCTCTTTCGTCGGAAATTGCCAAAGAAGTCGAGCTCCTCCGCACCAATCACCAAAACTCCCACGATTCCATTCATTCTGGCCACGACTGCGATGGGTGCAAGGTTCTCGGGGATGTAACCGTTGCTGGGTTCATTGATTGTGAGTTCATACGTAGCCGGAGAATCTTTTTGGAGGCCTCCAAGGACAAAATGAGCGGCCGTGTGACTGAATTCGATTGGTCTGATTACGGTGACATCGGTTGAAAAGTATTCTTTTTTCGATGTGAAGCCGGTGAAAAGACCGTGCTCGATTTGAATGGTCTTCAATAACGCCGAATGGGGTCTGAATTTATGTAAAATTACACCGCCTTCATCGCTTACGTAATGGTGACCACTTGAGTAAACGAATTATTAGGATTTCTCCTTTGTCTCAGCTTGATTTCCACCGGATAAATGTCGTTGGGGTCTCGCTTCGATCGTTTTCTCTTCTCCGTTAATACTCTTACTCCCAGAACCAAAGGAGAATCACCAAATGATGAGACGTGCACCTTCTTAGCACTTGTTGGGAGCTGAATTGAAATAAATTCAACAAGTTATTACTTACACTCAGTGCTAACGGGAGATCTGTTTCATTGAAGGTTCGTCCTGCACTCTCTCCTTCCACAGAGATGTTGCCCATCAAATGTCGAGTTAGTCGGTGACCAATTTGATGTTTCCCATATACATACAACGCTCGGAGGCCAAAGTAGGTACCCTAGAATTCAATGTAGCATACACTTGTATCTAAAACAACTTGAAAATAGTAATTCTCATACCACAGGACTGCCATATTGACCGTTGCTGTCCTGTTGTTCGACCAGCCATTTGCTGAGCTTGTCAAAATCAATCAAATTCTTCCAGTAATTGTAATCATCGTCCTTAGTTGTGAAAGCCAGCATGCCCAAAGAATTGGCGAGGACGTCAGCATTCTAAAAGTATTCATTTATTCTCAATGTAGACAATAAATACTACCTTCTGAACGCTATCTTCCATTATATCTGCTGGTCCGTTCTCTTCGTTCTTCAAATTTACACGCCAAAAGGGAACTTGGTTTACTAAAACAACAAGATCTTACAAACCTGAGAAAACTACACTTACAGTCTGCCTTTTGCATTAGTCGATCCTTCTTTATGATAGCAGTGGATGTCGTAACAACCCTCGCCAGAGCTGCATCAACTCTCATGTCTCTATAATTCTGACCGGCTTCGTCGAACCTGATGGTGTAGATGTCTTTCCAGGCCGTTGAATTGGAAACACATTCGTATTTCTTACAATCACGTCCAACCCAACTGATCAGGGCCAAGAGGAAGTCCTTTCGATCCTTTTCTTCCTTCTAAATCAATACGATAATCTCTCAACCATTACCCCAAGCAAACTTACAAAGCTCATTCCATCAACATACGATGGTTGTCGATGCAATGGGAGGGTCTTAGCCAGCTCTTTAAAATACTCCATGGGACCACAAACATATTGTTCCGCGGCATTTTGTTCGCACAATAAAGAGGTGGCCAGGAGACTGAGCAAAGGATCTCGCTGGAATGGGGTCGAAGGGGCACCGTATTCACCAAACCCACAAGCGGGATTCTGATGTCCGGAATGACAATCGGAATAAGTCAAGAGCTCGGAAAGCACTAAAACCAAAGATTTTAATATAATTATAAGTTTTTGGACAAGCACTTACAGCTCCCAATGGCCGTATTATATTCTTCGTCTTCTTTGTTTTGTCGAATCTTTTGATAAGTCAATTGGGAGAGTCCCTTGATCACCGAACCCAGTCCATAGGATACTGTAAGATCGCGGCGTTGCCTACTCAGGAGTCGAAGCCGGTTCTTTTTTGGTTTGGATTCCACCAACGAATACTCCCATTCTGAAGCGTACGGTAATGAAAGCCGAAGCCCCAAGTCTTACCCGACAATTCCATCTCCGAATTATAAATGTTCTCATTGGATTGGACCTTCACATCAGCCAGCATTGTCCCGTTCTCCATGAAATCCTTTTCAAATTCTAAAACAGTTCATGGAAATAAAGAAATTGTAATCAATGTCATGCGGAGTGTGATGTAAAACAAACCAATCACATCGACCATTTGTGGACCTCCCGCATCCATCAATAACATGGTTGGTCGACTTATTGGACGTTGAAGGACCATCTTCCGGAAGTGTTCATCCAGATCCACCCTGTTCCCAACCCTCACATTCAACTGGATTCGATCATGGACATACAAACCGTCATCTCGACAATGCCATCGCCCTACCGAAAAGGTTGGATTATCGACCAATTTGAATGTAAGTTTATGGTCTCCCGTCTTCAGGAACTTGACAAAAATGGTCTTGATCACAGATTGGCCCGGCTCCAGGGTGATCTGACTGTATTCCACCTCTCCCAACATCCCATTCGATCCGACATCACCGCAGACAAGTGGGGAAAAAAAGTCGAAACAGATCGAGAGCTGAACAAATCTAATTAGATCAATATTCTCACCTGTTTGCTTTCGGTGTGGTCTCCACTGACCGTAATCCTCGCTTGAATAGTCTCGTTCTCATAGACATGAAGTGGAATATCAACATTCATGTAGATCTTCCGTTCAATCTGAATGTTATGAATCCCTGTTTTGCACATATTCTGACGTCCGTTGGTCCAGAATCCAGATTGCAGCACAAATTTGGTGACCGAATGTTGACCTTGAAGAGTCAGAGAGTGTTTTCCACTTTCCCTGGAAATGGGTTAGATTACATAACGAAAAGCTTACGGTATGACGTAATCTTCAAAGAGCCACACTTCGGGGAAGAATTCTCGAATAAAATCTTTGGTGGTCTTGTCCTGAGTGGGGACTGGGGTGTTGCTGATGGGATCATCTTGGACTGGAACCTGCTTCGTTTCCTCTGCCTTGTTTCCAACGAAATCGAACGCACCTTAAAATAGCCTTTTCCTAGAGAAAAAGAACATACTGGACATCAGAACATTGTGAAGGCGAGTGACCGAGGTAGTTGCCGGAGTCCCGTCGGTCAGTGGGCCCATCACCATGTTGTTTATCTTTCCTCCACACTCTGATTTCAGCATTCCCAGACAAGTATCCGATATTCCCGATTTCCCAGTGCAAAAATTGAGGTTGCAATCGATAAGAACGGATGCCGCATCTTTACAAACTTTCACTAAAATACGAATGAGAAGGAAGCAATCAACGTACCAGTATTTCCGAACAATTCCTTGGAGTCCACAAGGCCAGAAATGAACGAATTTTGATTGGAAAGGTCAGGTTTAGAGAACTCAGGGAAGAAAAACAACTTGTTTCTCTTATTATGTAAATGGTGCGTCAGAAAAGTCTCAAGCCGAGAGTCGATGACTCTGAGAAGAGCCAGAGAATGGGGTGTCCCCGTAAGGGTCACATCAATATTCTCTCCGACTTGGATGTGATTCTTGGACAAAGCAATTCCAAACTATAAGAAATTACAAGACATTGTGTCTGCTCAGATATTAACTTCAAAATGTAACACTTCTTAACCATTTCCTTACCTTGCTGTTGGGGCATTTCTCAGTGTCGGCCATAAAAGTCCACATGTCGAACTTGTTGTCACTGGCACTGGCCGAATACACATAGAAAGTGCAGATTCCATTCAGCGAGCCGGTCACTTCAATCGATAACCTTCCAGTTGTAATTTGTTCGTATCTCTTTAGTTGCCCATCACAAACAACCTAAAGAAATAAGCAAAACAAAAGCGCCTACCGCATAGTTAAGATCGTTGAGATGCTCCACTTTAGCTTCGAATACATCTCCTTCCCGGTATATAAATTTCAGCGGCTTTCTGACAGAAATCCAATTGAAGTGAATTTTATCGGAGTCGTGGATGAATGGTAATGCCAGCATTTCTTCAGGTCCCTTTTTGGCTTCTCCATTGGTCTTGACGGCCGCCTGAAATGACTTCCGACTATCATATAACGTGGCATAGAGATCAGATCAATTCTCGGACAAAAAAACTGTTTAATCTACGATTTTAGAACACTCTTTACAAAAGTCTTACTAGACAACCCAGGAATGACGTCATTCTAAAGAAATAAAAAGGAAGGAAATATTAATGTACCTTGATGATGTTGACCAGACAGTTTTCATTCACTTCCAATTTGACTGCATAAAATCCTTGGTGTTCTTGGGCGTGGGGATGACTGACCCGGCCATTGTAATTCCGGTTTTTAGAGACACAATGCTCTTCGACATAGAGTCGTTCATTGGTGGAGAGTTTGGAGAGATATCGGATCTAAATTATATGTGGGGATCATAAAAAATGGATATGATTTTGATTACATATAAAAATGCATATATCGTATCTTCGCCATCAAATCATCTTGTTAATTTGATGTAAATCACGGCTTTATATTTTATATTACTTTAGATGCCTGATACTATCTCAAAACATTCAAATTTTGTCCAACTCATTCAAATTTGAAGCTTCAAAATCTCAAGTTGTAATACTTGGCCACTCCAAAAGCCCTTTATATTTTACAATAAAAATGCTTGAAATGTAGCCTTACAATTATCAAAAGGTGTAAAATTATTGTCACTTTTTAGCTCCAAAAGAAATAACTCCAATTTTGTGGTCGAGATGATACTCGGATCTTAGAATTGTCATGCTGTGCTCTACAATAATATGACCAATCCGACTTTTCGACTTCCTTTTCCTTTACTGGGATCGCTCTCTTTCGTGGACCGCGTTTACGGCCGTTTCTGTCAATTTGACGGATTTTTCATTAAATTTGGAACGAATAAATATATGTACGTAAAGCCATCTTCACAGAAAGAATTTGCGGGTGTAATGTGTTCCGAAGTAGACATGGCCGGAAGGGGTCGACCCGACCAGTTTAAAATTGCCTTTGGCCAGCCCAGTTGGGCTCGCTACAATAACAATTAAGCCACCGCGATATTTGCGGAATTTGGTCATTTGCGGATGTGTGACACTTGCGGAATTCGGAACAAATGCTTTTAAAATTCCTGTTTTCACCTTCCTTCTTCAACCTGTTAATTTTTTTAGACCTATATAAAGTGTGCTATGTAAAAATGTAAAAAAATATCTGTGAATTTTTTTTTACAAAATTTGAGAACCTTTTTTATGAGATTGCACTGACATCGGACATAGGTCACATATTTTTTTTTATAAATTACCTTTATTTAGAGCAGAGACAGTATGCAAAACGTGGAGAGCAGTCAGAAAGTAAAAGACTTTTTCTCCATAATCCTATTTTTGTGTAGAAAAATATATTTTTTTGTGTAAATACTCCTCTAACAATAAGGTAGACATAGGCGTAAGACTTTTCATCGCGAAAAGTATATTTTTGCCGACTTTCGATCAAAGATCTCGGTCGTTTCTGCAAAACGCGGTGTAGGAGTCCCGCATAAATCTTAGAAAAAATAAATCTAAGTTTATGTTGGGTTTCATCAAAATCTGAGCATTGCACTTGGATTACTTCCCTAGCCGTTACATAAGAAAATGCGGCATTTCCCGTAATTCTCGCTACAAAGTATGGAAAAAGTAAGCAGAGACAACAATTAAAGACATCTTAGAGAATATTTTATGGATTTCCGTGCCCAAAAAAGAACTGTGTTTTGTCATTTTAGAGTCCCCGAGGGTCATTTTCCATGTTCCTGGGTGGTCTTTTTGTTATCCGTGCCTCTTTTCTGGATCAAGACTGCATTACAGTAATTGACTTTTGTTCGAAAATTTTTAATCCGTAAGTTTCTCACCTATTTTTAATATTTTTGTTGTGCAATCAAAGTATTTACAATTACTGTTTATGACATCGTCAGTTTCCGGGACTTTACCACTACTATTTACCGTGATTACTATTTATATTGCCTAGTAATAGGTACGTCTAGAGTTAATTACAACTGTAGGGAGGACGTCAGAAGTAGCGGTTCAGGAAAGTGTTCCAAATTAATGCGGACATCCCCTCAGGCATCCGACCACTAATTCGAGGATAATTAGGCTTAGGGCGTTTATGCCCGTAATGTTGCAAATTCAGAGAGTCATTACAAAAAGTAGTGTTTTGAGGGGAAGGAGATGCTCGGATTAGAAAAGATTGAATTTCGGGGGTCATGGAGAGATCACCGGAGGCGTCAGTTTACCTTCTATGACGTCATATTACGGGTATAAACTCTCCTGAGGTGATTCTTGGCCTCTTCCCTACATTTTCAGGCGAAACAACTTACTTAAAACATAACTTTTGCTAGCTTTGTGCCTAGATTCTTGGCTCTTCAAATTGGATGTGATTATCTCTCCCGATGTTATTTTGATTATGATTCCTCTATGTCAAGATGACTAATTTCGGACTCTTTTTTTTAATTAATTTTCCGCATTCCCATTTCGGAAAAAAGATCCTTCCGACCTTTCCCATCTTGTACTCCACCCGTTTTTGTAACGTAAAACCTACATATAGATATATTTCCTTTGTATCTTTGGTAACGAACGGCCGTGATGGAATGATCTCCAGTTCGGGCCCTTTAGGACTGTATTCTATGGCCAAAGTCTCGGATTCCTGGTTGCTGTCGGTTACTGTAGCCACTAACTGGACTGTGGAGTTGATGTTGTTGCAGTTGGAGAGGGAAACGTTGGCCAAGAAGATTCCGTTTTTGACCTGCAAAAGATTTATGTATTATGTACACTAATGTGACCAATACTACATGATTCCGTGAGAAATTCCTAATCAAATGTGTGAAAAATGGAAGAGTTTTCTTCCTAGTCCGTTATCTGAAGACAAATTTACAATTTCGGAGTTTTCTCGACTCATTTCTGCTGTTTTCTTGTTGTTAATGACATCTCGGGCCTCCAAGCCATTATCAAATACGATCTTTCTCCTCTTTTACCCCATCAAAGGCCTCCCACAAAATCTTTTCTAACGAGACCAACAACTTCTCGGCCTAATGGGCCAAACATTTATGTGTCCCGAGCACTTACAGTCATTTAAGTTGCATGGCGAATCAAGGAGTTTGCATGTCATTTGTGAGGGAGAATGCTCGTAAAAAGGTTTTTATTTTTCGCAGATCATCCGATCATACCATGTCTGTATGATCTCTCTGTATCCCCTCATCTCCATTGCGTATGCAAATTCGGGTATTGTTTCGGAAATGTAATTAAGGATTAAGCCGCGGGCTTTGCGTGGTAGGCCCATTAATCATCATCCAGGAGAGTATGCTCTTTGCATTCCAGCAAGAGGAACGTCAGAACGTGCTGTCATCGTTCCGGAGTTGTGGGTTCGGCCGATTATATATTTAAATGACATTACTCTCCGACTTGAGGCAACAATTAATGCGTTCGCTTAGCTATATGCGATGTTTTGCAATCCGTGTACAATAGAATACATAAAGCGCTAGATTGGGAAGTAAATTTGACAGTGTTTACATCTCGATGACTTCATAGGACAATTAAGTTGTGCTCTTTACCGAGGAAACGGTGTAATTACGGGGTTAATTGGGACAGGTACTATTAAATTGTATTCACTTGACATCCAGCTTATACACATTGTAGATGATGAACTGCCCAAAATCAAACTTTTTATCCTAATTCCTACTATGTAAATCTTACTATAATTTTTACCACTTTGAGCCGCTCTTCACAATCCTTACAACTTTAGTTTGCGTGTTCTAGTTTGGAACAGTCTATTCGCGAACTCCCCCAATTATCTGCAATTTCATAACCTCATAATGACGTGGAGTCAAGTTTAAGGAAAAGAATATGAAGTTAAGAAGGTATTTGATACATACAAAAGTCTCAGTCCCGAGCTTTGACTGTTTTTTCTACTACAATATGCAAGGTTCATGGTGCTTTGCATATATAACAGGCATGATTACATTTCCGGAGAAATCCTTTACTTCTCGGAAGCCCTGAAATCAATTGGTTGGCCAAAGTTTGTGATCATAATTGTTAACTGGTTCCTTCCTTGAGTTCAACGCACTTCCCATTTCCCCTTACATCTCTCCATTTGTCTCCACATATCCTTCCGCGCCTTGAGGGCCTTATTGTAGTCGGGCGTTGTATTTTAAAATATATTTAAATTAAGTTTGGGGCAAAAAGGGCCTCGAACAAACACCTGTTGGGATGTAGATGTTGATGGTGAAGGTGTGGGGTGTCGCCATTTCCATTTTGCCCTGCGGGTCCGCTTTTCTTCCCTCTGGCCGGTTGCCTGGATAAAAATCCTGAACCGAGGGCCGCTTTCTGGCCGCGTTTTATCACGCAATCAGACTTGATTATGGCCTCAAGACATGAATGCAAATTTGGAGAGATTTAATTCTAAAGGCGGGATAAAAAGCGGGCGAAAGGGAGTTCATCTTCTGCTACACCAATTTACTGTATGATTACTAATGAATCAGCAGGTGTCCCACACTTTACTTGTACTCTTCATTCCCTTCTGTTGTGATGCCTGTTAAGTTGTAAACTACAGATCGAATGTCGGTTTGTTATGACACACGCACATAAATAGCATGTTTGAATATGTAACATCGCGTTTCGTGGGTTTGTTAGAAGTGGAAGAAAGTAGGGCCCGAAATTAGAATCAACGTGTTTTGCACCCTTTACTTCATCGTAATCATTTCTTTTCCTCGGGGGAAATCGCTTGTTCTATTTCAAAATCCAAAGATAAATTACTGTAATTTTTAACATGCGCTTCTTCGCGATTTTCGCCATAAAAAATTGTTTTTTGTCGAAATGGTTTACGGGGCCATAAACGTTCTGAAGTTTACAGTTTTTGGGATTTCTGTAAACCCCGAGCTAGATATTGCAGAGATATCTCGATTATTTGCAACCTAATTTGCGCGATATTTAGTCAGAAACAACCCCTAGTTTCTTTAACGATTCCCTTCTCTATTATATACTATCCGATAACATTTATTGCGAATACCCGTTGCACTTTGTGTTCTCTGTTATTTGCGAATATTTTGTGCAAACCCTGTAGACAAGTTCCTTACGTAAATACCAATTATGCTCTCCCATATATCCCCGTCCAAACGTATTTACATTTCCTCAAAAATTCGGATTTTACATAAAAATCTCGTGAAAGTTTTACTCGCGTGCATTGCTCCGACCTCTTTACTGGTGTTTTTGAGAAGATGGATGAGGTCAGAGAGCCGCCCCAACATTTGTTTTCGGATTACGTGGAGATGGTATATCTGGGGATTGTGATCAGTGTGGGGGTACCCTTGAATGCGAATGTGTTCAGAAGACTGGTCCTGGAGATGCGGAAGACTCCCAGACACAGTGTTAAGGTAAGCGTCATGAAGTTTAACATTTTTATATCGCGTTTTATAACATTTATAAAAATTCGAATGTTAGTTAATTTCCTCCTAATTCCCTCTCTCCGTTTTGCTACTCTTAACTACTTTCAGCGTAGTTTTCTCCTCCTCAAAGTGAATTTGAATATCAGCGACCTCCTAATCCTGCTAGTCCATGCAATGGGTAAATTTCTTTGGCTCGCGACCTATGAATGGAAGGGCGGGGAGTTTCTTTGTCGGGTCTTCAACTTCCTCTCCATGTTCACCTTATACCTCAGCTCCAATATCATTGTTTGTATTGCCTTCGACCGTTTGCGCACCGTGCTGGCGGCCAACAAGATTCAGCATGGGAAGAATCAGACTTTCTGTACGCACAGCCTTATCTGGTGTGGCTGGATGTTCGCGATTGCGTGGAGTCTGCCTCAATTGTACGTGTGGAGGACAGTGAACGCCTTCAAAGAACATCCGGGCGGATGGATACAATGCAGTGACATCTGGGCCATAAATGATTTTGAAATGGATCCGGAGAGTCATCAGAACACGACTCTCAAGTACGAGGACAGTCTGAAGGCCCTGATTCTGCGAGAAGAGAGCAAAGATTTCTATAATCTGTCTCATCTGGTGGGTGCAAACTGATTACTTTGATATTTAAATAATAAAAATTATTTAACGACCAAACCCCGCGTTTTACAGTCGTTTTAGTCTACCGGAAAACAATTATTTTCGGCAGAAAATTCGGCCAAAGTTTTGTCGTAGGATCTATGGGACATAATAAATTTAAATTCGGCTTAATTCCCTTAGGCTATTCATACAAAATACTTCCAAAAATAGGTGTAAATGGACGTCTAATTACAGGTATTCGTATTCTACGGCCCTCTGGTCATGCTGATGGTGTGCTACATCATCATAGTCATGAAGATCATGCACTACAACGTCAAGAATCCCTCCATGACGGTAGGTGCAATTCAATTTGAATAGAAATGACATTATCCCACTAGCAGCCTCGTGTAATTCCCCCCACTTACTCAAATATTATAGATGAAAAATGAAGTTCAGACAACCCTAAGGCCGTACGATGAGTTGGCCAGCTTCCGCGACAAGAAACTCTCGTCCACAAGGTCGCTGTTGGACCTTAATCCGCGACAACATCGTATTAATAATCAACATCGACATTCGGCTGCGATTATAACGACCCTAAAGGGATGTAGAAGACATGAAGAAGATCCTTCGTATAATATGGAATCCATCTCGTTGAACGAGAGTTTCATCGAAGAGAGGGCCGCTTCAATGTTTGTCTTCAAATGGTTCCCTTGTGTGAGGTCGGCTGAGTCCAAGACAGTCCGATCTGTCAGCCCAATATTCTCATCCACGCCGCCCTTCGGACATCCCGAAAACAATGACAATACTCTGATCACATATCGAGCTACGGACAAAATTAAAAGGCCAAGTAAGTACAACATTTTCAATAAAGTCACCGCGAGCTTTCGCGACGAGATACTATGAAAACGAGGAGAGACGGTCAGCAAATGTTTTTGGATCTTTCGATGTTCGACTAAAACCCTATTGTAACTTCAAACTAAATATATTCCCAAATTTCAGAGCTCTCCCCCACCTCAGGTTGGCGTCGCCACTTGCGCGGTCGCGTCTTTCGAACCACTCTCCTAATAATCGTTGCTCACGTCCTCTTCTGGCTCCCCTACAATCTGTATGCCTTGATGCAGTACATCAACAAGGACCTTCATCTTCGGATGAACGAACACGCCAATGTCTTCAAAGAATTGCAATTCCTCATAGCCATCATCAACCCCTTTCTCTACGGTTTCACCGCCCAATAGAACCCCCATCTAGTGTGGTTAGTTAACTTATTGTTTGTAAAATAAAGATGTACATATTGATCTAGTTTAATGTAATCAACTCACCTCTCCTTTTGCCACAATTTGAAGGCTATGGGTATTATCGAGTTCTCCCAATCGGGTGCATTTCAGAACAAGATTTCCGTTCATTGGTTTGCCGTGAGCAAATCTAAAATTATATTTTTTATGACAGTTAAAGTAATAATAAGGCAAAATACGACCTGGAAAGACAGAAAAATCAGACTTACCGAGCCCCAACTGCCACTGTAACAGGGCTATCAGTATCTCCTGAAGGCCATGCATCAAGGGTGACAAAGAATTTGGCCAGAACTAAAAACATAAAATAAAAAAATAGTTAAATTACCGTATTCTTTGAGCTGAATTGAAGTGCTTCCAAGGACTTGATTGCTACTCTCAGCCATCGCTATAATTCTCCATTTTCCAAACTTCCCAAATGCGGGTAAAGTAAAGTTAAAAGATACAAATCGACCAGTCGATTTTTCCAATTTCTTCATAATCCGAAATCCACTTGGATTCTAAATCTCAAATCAATAATATTGGATACAAGCATACCTCAAGGTGATATTGGACGATTCCTTTGTAAATCTGGCCATCTTTTGTAATGGGGAGAGCTCGGATGATGACTAAAGAAGATTATGGAGAAAGAAATTTTGCAGAAGTAAATGACTGAATAAATATGACTACAAAATTTTCTTACCTTCTTCGCTAGTCCTGTAGATCATCTTATCCGTCTGAATAATGACATTTTTCAACGACGTCGTCCCAATTAACGAAGTCTCAAACAAATCGTGTTCCGAAACTCTAACGCTGACATTGTAAACTTGAGATTTCTGCGTTGGAGTCACCTCCACCTTGATCGGCCTTCCACTTTGTTGATTGTAAACCCGCTCTACAGTACTCTCAAAACCCGATGCCACAGTAACCGTCACATCGACTGGACGTATTTGTCGAAATGACGTCACAATAATCTCGTTCGGAGCATCCCAGCTGATCACCGAAGGCAAAATTACAATCGGTTGAACACCTTGCACAGTGCGAAGCAATGGAAAAAGAAGGCAACATTGAATAAAGAACATCATCGTGCTACTGCACAACCGCTCAAAGTATGGCCAGACCAACTACGGAAGGATTGAGTCATTAAAATTCATCGGGAGGGTGATTTTGGTACCGAATCTGGAAAATAAACACAAAAAGAGATTGATTTACAGGAAGATGGATCAAAAGGGAACACGCCCCACGCAGAAAACATCACCGGAAGTTAGGATAAATACCCAGAACATTACAGTAAAAACAAAGTTTAGTATTGCAAAAATAAGATGAGCAATATAATACGGGATTTTTCATGTTCTTTGAAGTATCTTAACTTGATCCTCAATAAAAATTAATCAGTCATCGTATAAAGTCAATGTAAATAATATTATACATGGCACGACGATTTTTCAGAGAAACATTTGACACAAAACAAAACTCAAAAAAACACGCAAAATCGGTAAAAAAAGTCAATAAATCTGATCGAAAAAAGTGATTAAAGAAACAATAATTTTACTGGAAAACAATACCCAAATACCCCACAAATAACGGAAGAAGACGGAGCCTGACCTTGAGATCACCCATCCGCCTGATGTTGGATTGATAATCGAATGTCCAGCCGACTTTTCCTTCCCTTTTTTCGCAGCTCGTTTTTCGTTGGGGGGTTTTATTACTCTTTTTTATCCGTTATCCCCCTCGCCCAACCTTTGATCCGCTCCATAACTAATTGGATTCGTTTCGATGGCCATTTGCGCAAACAAATCGCTTGTAAACGCCCTGAGGGCAACGAAAAGCGGGGGTTGGAACGGTCCATCAGGAGATGATGTCATTCATACTGAACCTGTTGGAATTTATTTTAACCACCTAACAAGGGTTCGGCAAAACCTCGTCCCCTGGTTTTATCTTGAAACATATACCATTTGAAAGAGCGTAAAAAACTGGTCTAGGATCACCTTGAATTAGCTGCTATTATCCATTTACGTGCTGGCTAGCGAGCATTTTTTAAGATTTTCAAGTTGGATTTTGTAATTCTTTGCTTCTGAGGGTCGAACGGGACCGAATAAACACTTCATATAAATATTAGTTACCTATGGGATTGAACGCTTTATCCTACGTCAAAAAATATAAACATTTTTTTGCGTTTGAGACATTCAGGTCGATGTACTCAATGAGCGATTGCGCGATGTTGTAGGTCCTGTAACCCAAGAGAAACTAGGATGTTTCAAACATGTAAGACGTTTTCACACTCAATTTTTATGTACTTTTTATTTGCGGGAATTCCTCCTAAAAAGATGAAAGCCTTTGAAAGTTTGAACCATCCAGGATGTCCCATTGCAAGGTCAAAAACGCCAAAATCAAAAAGATCAAAAAAAGTTGCCGTTTTTGCTTTTAAAACGGAGGCGAGTATACACAAAAGTCTATTTAAAAATTAAAGACAACTTTCTGGCCTTATTCGTTCCATAATAGTTAAAAAAGTTTAAAAAATCAAAAGGGGATTCGAACCTGATCCGCAGGTCCTCCTTGTGAAGCGCCTTACCCCACTAGGCCACCGAAGCACTGCTCCGCTGTGCTTTCGAAATCGATTGCGTTTCTTTTCTCAAAAGAAGGGTGAGACAAGCCTAGAACTAAAAAATGCTCGCTAGCCAGCGTATAAGTGAATAATAGCAGCTAATTCGAGGTGATCCTAGACCAGTTTTTTACGCTCTTTCAAATGGTATATGTTTCAAGAAGAAACCAGGGGACGAGGTTTTGCCGAACCCTTGTAAGACAATTGTTTGCTGGTAGAAAAACAGATAGGAGAAGTGTTAAAAAAAGGGAAGTTTTTGAAGCGCGACGGACCATTTTCTCAAATTTAAAACTTCTGTATGGGCCGTAAATTAATCGTATGTTTGCCAAGTCTGGTTGAAAAAATGATTAAAAGATTTGCGGGGGTTTCTGCATATCTTGAGCTAAAAATCTCGGACATTTCTTTAAGCATTTAATTTCCAAGTTATGCCAAAATCTGGGAGGAACTTACAGTCAATGAGTTTGCTATGTTTACATATGATGACATAACAAAAAATATAAACCTGACCTGCAGCATAAAATAAAGAAGACTTCCCCTCCCTCGTTCCAATCCTCTACACAAGTCTTCCCCAAATCCTTTTATAGATTCTCTGTTACAGTAACCCCAAATCCTTGGCTTCCGCCATCCAATACCCCAGGAGCATGATCGCGTGTCAATTATACATTCATCTGTTTATTCTTGCTACTTTTTGGGAACGTTTATTTTTACAAAGCCCTCGGGTGATGACTCATTTTTTTCAGTGTTTATCGAGTAAAAAACTCTTGAGAATCCTCTTTTTTTCTAATCTTAAAGGTCAGAAACCCATCGCTACTTCCATCCCCGGACTTTTTAAAATTTATTCTGACAATGAAAGGATTTTGAAGTCTTTCTGTTACAAAACCCCGTCTTATCTCGATAAAAGCAGTAAAACTCTATGAGTAATCAAGGTTTTAAAAAGATTTTCGGCCGATGGTTTGATTTTTAATAACTAAAATCACCTAAAATACCTTTGCATGACTAGAGAAAAGAGAAAATCTGATATCCGAATGGGTAAACATCATTTTTTTATACGAAAAATCTCGTCTCATTTGCTGAAAAACACTGAATAATTAATTCCAATCCTGATTTTGATTACCGAACTGAGCGAATGACTATTTTTAGAATTCTTTTTCCGTCCTTTTTGAGTATTCCTTCGATGATCCAATCAAATATTCATTGTCTATTTCGAGAGTTTCTGTTTCCAAATTCTAGGATTTCAAGAAGAATTTTTAAGGACACAAATGGCTTCAAGCTCTAGGGGGTCAAAAAAATTTTGCGGGCTAAATATGATTGTATATGGGTTCACGCGACGAGAGTGGTTGCGTAAACGTAACCACAAGGAGCCTTAAAAAGGAATTCCTTCCTCGCTAACAAGGTTTTCCCCCATATAAACAAACTTCTAAATCCTCAAACTTCCAAATTCCATTTCACGTCCAAAACCCACTTTTTAAAAATTTTTCTATACCACATCCGAATACTAATAAGTTTATTAAAATCAATTTTAGTGAATCTATGGGACCGGCATTTCTTGAGAGATTCTGGAAAAAAGCTGCCGTGGAATAAAATGTACTGTAAATGGTTTATCAAGTGTAGAGAGTACTGTAAATTATTTAGAGCACTGTTAGTGTAAAGCTTCCTCGGTCACACCACCAGAAGGGATTCTGAAGCCTATAAAACGAGATTTCAGTGTTTTTAGTCAGCCTTAACCACTCCATCGCGGTAAACCACTTGCTGATTCTTCGGTTGTGGTCCGAGACCCCACTGAAAATGATCAAGATAAATATTATATTGTAGTGGAAATTTGTGATATTATACATGATATCGCTCTTTATAACTCTCCTTTTTTGCAAAAAGTTGTTTGCGGAAAATAAATAAATCTTTTTAGGAGAGTAAATTAATGATAATAAACGTAAAGAAGTAGCTATGATACCTTGGCGAAGACGGTCTTATCATCATTTGGAGTCACGAAACACCAAAGGATTACTGTAACACTTAGGATGAACATTGTGGAGAAGAAGATGACGGCGGCCGCGATCGGACCCAAGTAGTCGATCAACTCCAACGATTGCTTCGGCATTCTAAAATACGAATAAGTGAAAAAAAATTCTGATTCTCGAAGCTATAAATTTGGGGTGAACACATTTTCTCAAAATATTTAGTCCAGATTTTATCCGAAAAACAGGGCTAAAAGGCTCGAAGAAAACCAAAACAAACCCCTCAGGGCAGGATTTTGTCACATCCATAAATAAGAAAAAAAATTTCCGTCAAAAAATGGAATCCAAAATATTTATAAATTAATTTCACAAAAAATATTCAAGTGTTACACTATTACAAATCAACTGTAACTCCAGTCAGTGAATGATGGATTTCGCGGCATAACAAATCGATAAATTTTAGGACAAAAAGGCGGCCGGAACGAGGAAAAGGCGGCCAAGGCTTTGGACCCGCAGGAGACAAAATAAAGTCGATGGGGGCAAAAAGATGGGCCGAGCGGGAGAGAGTGTGCCAAATGGAGAGTGTGGCCAGACATCGGGGGCCAGCAAATGCAAACAATCGGGGAAAACAGAGAGCGCGGCCTTAAATTTGAGGTTTGGATTAGGAATTGTGATTGGAAAAGAAAGAAAGACATGCGTCAGACAAGGGAGAACAGTCACTATTTGGTCTATATTGTGTTAGAAGAACAAATTGCTTGCAAGGGTTCTAAAATTGTACACATTAAGAATAATGACTTGCATATTCTGGCAAATTGGAAAATCAAATAAAAAAAAAGATCATCCAAATCTTTAAGTCTAACAACAAAAGTTGTTCTCAAGATTGGCATATCTCATCATTTAGGGCACTAAAAGATTTACTCTTTATGGATGCATACTTCAACGATCTTTGTTCAACATCATGGAGAATCATTATTACATAGAATAGAAGGGCGGTCAGGTAAATAACCGCCATTTTTGGACATTCTTTGCGTTCTCGTAGGTTCAACGAAAATAATTTCGTTTCGTCAAACAGGCAAACACAAACATTTAGAAATTAGCACATACTTATAATAAAAGCGAATCTCAAAGAAGCCGTAGACTGATATTTACTTTTTCAACAAATCACTGGACATCCGAACATCTTCTTTGAGCGTTTCCGCCATCAAAATAGTCCCCAGGTGTCTTCGAACGAGCGTAATAAAGTCCTTCCTTGATTACCGTAGGGTTTAATAACAAAAGATGCGAAGAAGCGGCACGCCAAGGCCAATCAAGTAACATGTCATAAAACCCGTCAAAATGGCACATCAAAATTCAATCGCCGGAGGACCCAACGCGATCACCTGGAGCTGGTTTTTCGGGCTCGCTGTTAAAAAAAGGTCCACGAATTTTTTCATTTTTTTAATAGCTCCAATCGAAGTGCTCCTCTAATCGTCGGCCGGAGGTCTGGCCCACAACTTCGGGTCCATTAAAATGGATATGATCGAGGATTAATTGTTCCTGCCTCAAGAACGATCCTCTTTAGTCATGCTCGGCCCTCAGGCCATGATCCTGTTCCTTTGTGTGGGGATGATCAGTGCGCAAGATGTGATGCAAGACATGCAGGATGACTATAATATACTCGATTGGAACTTTCCCACGGCCGCCGTAAGTACAGTAGAGCTGTCCTGTGGAGTTTGCATCAATTTTCTGCTACAAATGGTGTAGATTTGAGGGAGTGTTTTGGGTTTTTAGTTCCACAATGGCATTTTTACGAAAGTATTTGATTAATCACCCTGTCATTTCGTGGAGCGGCCGGCCGTTTTCGATAGTGACCCATGGCTCTCTTATCTTCAAAGTGATCCATTTTAACAGATTTATATTTAAGGATATTAATTTTCCAGCCAGCTCACCAATCCCACACGGATCCCTTTTATCGAGACAACGCAGTCCTCAATCCTTACGTAAATCGTCGTCTCCCATCCACATATAAACCCCCTCCACCACCATCTTATCATCCAGAATCTCGGACATCACATCCAATAAATATTCAGAATAATCGAATATCCCCAACTACAACACAATCAGATGTTGTGGATTACAGAACAGTTGAAGATGTGGGGAAAAAAATCGAAGAGCGTATTTCAATCACGGAGGAGCCCGATGGCCCGGGCGAATTCGATAATTATATGGTGCTGGGACCTGACAATACACTCAATCCGAAGGAGCCAGAAGTCGCCGATTACATAAATCCGACCAGTATAAATGTGGAGATAACTGAGTGCAAACCGGACAAGATTGTCATCAAAGAGTTGTTGGCTGATTACAATGCCCACCAGACACCCTCCGAGATTGGAGTTGAGGTATTTATTGAGGTAGGTGCATTGTCATTACATAAAATGAATTATAAATAGCTGCAGATTGCTTCCACTAATAGTCACAAGGGTTTCCCTCTTACTTTCTTATTACTTCCCATTTCCCGGACATAATCGCCCATTAACTAATTGACAAATAACCTGTTAAGATTACAAATCACTCTCATTTAGGTATGGATGCAGGAGATCAACGCTCTGAACGAAAGAACAGCCGACTTTGACAGTGAGATCTATGTGTCGGAGATTTGGACCGACCACGCACTCAGATACGACCATATGAGACCTTGTCGAACCAACCTCTCGGTCAGTTATGACATTCTAGACAAGATCTGGAAACCGAACACCGTATTCATCAACAGTAAATCAGCGCATATCCACAAAAGCCCCTTCCCGAACATCTTCATCATGATTTATAGCAATGGCTCTGTGTGGGTGAACGAGAGGATCCAGGTGAAGGGGCCTTGTGATATGGAGTTCAGCTCGTTCCCATTGGATCGACAGACATGTCAGCTGACCTTGGAGAGCTTCAACTACAATAATCAGGAGGTCGATATGAAATGGTTGAGTATTCGTCCGCCCTTGGTCCTCTTGAAGGAACCCATTATCTTGCCGGACTTTGTTCTCAGTAATTATTCAACTTATCTAACAAAAGTAGTAAGTCCGATTCCATATGCATTATATTTTAGGAATATCCGGCGGGCATTTGGAATGAGCTCACGATGACATTCACGTTCGACCGGAGATTTGGATGGTACGCCCTCCAGGCATACTTTCCCACTTATATGACCATCTTTATTAGTTGGATCAGCTTCTGTTTAGGAGCAAAGATGATTCCAGCGAGAACAATGTTAGGCGTGAATAGGTAGGAACGACAATATTTTACATGAAATTAAAGCTTGCTCGCCTTGACTTTCCAGTTCGGGAATATAATGAGGAACCTTCCGAGGGTCAGTTATGTAAAAGCTCTGGATGTGTGGATGTTGGTGTGCTTGTTCTTTGTATTCGCTAGTCTGGTGGAGTTAGCCATTGTCGGATCGATGGCGAATAATCGAGACAAGGCCCAGAACAAACCTAAATCGAGGTCACCGAGTCCGAAATTAACAATTTCAGAAAAATCGGAGGAAGTGAGTAATGCAGTCTCCCAGACAAGTCCGAGACGACATCAGATATATGCTCAAATGGCCTTTACCGGTGGGTCAAATAAAATAAACTAGACGATAAAATCATCTTTAGACGACCGAGTGGAGCATTCCTTTCAACCTAGTCAGTCAAGGTGAGACTGTTCACACATAATATTAAACCGTTTTTAGACTGTTAAGTACAATACTATCTCCTGTTTTCAGTAAAAACGCATTCCAAGAGTTTTATGAAGTTGCCAGTGCTTACTGGAAGAGGATAAATAGAAACACAAATCATTACGTAGCCAATCTTACCACGGACCAAATAGACCAGATCTCAATGTTCGTCTTCCCGAGCTTGTTCGCCCTTTTCAATGTTGTCTACTGGTCTTACTACCTCAATCAGGAAAATTAAGTGCAAAAAAGTTGTTATGTAATAAATTTAAATCAAAAAGTAGTGAAAAATGTATTTTCGTATCAAAACAAATGTAACAAGCGACAATCGAGGTCTTCTAATGCTGGATAACAACTATGAATGAGGTCGACATCTCGGATATAGACCTTGTACATGACTCCTCAACATCTCAAGCCTTGGGCGACAGTCATGAACACACCGAAAGATCCGCCGGAACTTGCCGCGATCTTACCTGTTTGAATTAACATTTCACGGCCTCTGAGCCCCATTCTAAAAAGATAAGTAAAGTCATATCTAAAATACATACCTCCATGCCGAAAATCCGCCGAGTAAGACACCCGTTGAGGCTCCGATCATTGCTCCCATCATGAATCCCATTTTCAATTTTTGCATACAAGTGGGACCTTGTTGGCCGGATCCAACCACCTGATAGCCTTGAGGAACTGGCATTGTGGCCTAAAACAATTTGTACTACACAGAAAAAATATACTTTCCAAAACAGCATAATAAATTAAATCGATTGATATGTTGCTGTTTGTATGATGCTTGATTAGCGGCAACCAAACAAATAGGTTACATCATTTAGGTAACAAAAAAATCTTAATGAGAAAATAAGGTAAATAAAAAGGTCTAAGAATTAAAAATCCCCCTTCTTGAGTTCCAATATTGCAAAATCCATCAGTTGAGTTCCCTAACAACTCATGAAATCGGGTTATCAATATCACGAACACCCGAAAATAAAAATGAGAAAATACATAGGCCGCAGCTCGCGCCCTAAACTACGCTATTTGCGTCAAGAAGAAGATTGTGGAACGACAAGAAAAAGAGAGGAAAAAACAATCTTTCGACTCTCGAATTTTAGCGGTAAGCCGGGGATAAACTGTTAGAGAATTGGATAAGTCTGTTTGCCTTTCGGGTTGTGACGTTATGCTTTCTCCTTACCACGATTTTATTGTTTTAGGTCGAACTTGGCCCCAAAATGTTCTCCAAGGCTTTTCTCCGTTCTTCAAAGGTATGTTGCCTTACATGTATATGCGCTTGATATGCGCATTTCATGTGAATATTGTGATCTTCATAGGCTTTGTTGAGGTTAAAGTTTGATGTAGTGAATCTCCTAAAGTTTTCGAAATCTATCCGTTTCTCTTTCAGACACTCCGAACATCTGTTCGGACACTTATGCTTCATGAGTATTGCGGAGTCACCTTACTGCAGAAAGCTGGCATCAATGTTCCACCCTTCGGTGTCGCCCAGTCAGCCGAGGAAGCCTTCGAAAAGGCCAAATCAATCGGTGTGTTGATGATTGTTTTTTTGTATTGTATTTTTAGGTGGTAAGGACTATGTCGTGAAGGCTCAAGTCTTGGCCGGTGGCCGCGGAAAGGGAAAGTTTGATTCTGGATTAGAAGGAGGTGTCAAGATCGTTTACACGTAAGTCTTATTACCAGAATTTTCCGTGATGCATGGCGAAATTTTGAGGTCTCGTTTAATCCAATGTATTGTAGACCTGAAGAAGCTCGCGAAGTGGCCAAAAAGATGATAGGATATCATCTCCAAACAAAACAGACTGTTGGAGAAGGTCCGCTTTGCGAGAAGGTGATGATCGCCAAAAGATTGTTCACCCGCCGGGAGTACTACTTCAGTATTACGCTGGACAGGATTACAAACGTTGGTTTACACTTTTTTTATTCTTGATTTGACAATTTTAGGGGCCCATCCTGATTGGATCTTCCCGAGGTGGTATGAATATTGAAGAAGTGGCGGCCACAGAGCCAGATGCGATCATTAAAGTGCCTATTGACATTAACACCGGTGTGACCAAGGAGATAGCCCAAGAGCTGGCCCAGAAGATGGGATTTGCTGTAAGTTTAGGAATCTGTAGAGGATAAGATTCTTTTATAATGGTTATTTTAGGAAGCCTCCAAGGATCAGGCTGCGGACATTATCCAGAAGCTCTACAACGTCTTCATCAACTCTGACTCTGCTCTTTTGGAGATCAACCCTATCTCTGAGGACGTGGATGGTAATGTTGTCTGCATGGATTGTAAGGTCAATCTCGACTCGAACGCTGCCTACAGACAGAAGGAGTTGTTTGCATTAAAGGATGAGAAACAGGAAGATCCTCTAGAAGTGCGCGCTTCCAAGGCTGACCTGAACTATATTAGACTTGACGGAAACATTGGCTGTTTGGGTATTATTTTTTATAGATTTGTATTAATCACTGTTTGTAATTTTGTACTTCTGTTTTATTGTTTTTTTAGTGAATGGAGCCGGTCTAGCCATGGCGACCATGGATATCATCAAGTTGCATGGAGGAGAGCCCGCTAACTTTCTTGATGTTGGTGGTGGCGCTACTGTGGATCAAGTTACCGAGGCCTTTAAGATCATCACTGCTGACAAAACAAAAGTCCACGCAATTTTGGTCAACATTTTCGGTGGAATTATGCGCTGTGACATCATCGCTCAAGGCATTATCAAGGCTGCAACGGAACTGGATTTGAAAATCCCAATCGTCGTCCGTCTGCAAGGTAAATAGCAATACAACTGGGGCTCCGAGTGGATTCATTTTTTCTTCAGTCGTGCTGCTAAGCCAAGTTTTTAGCAAAGACATTTTTGCTGCGTTGTTCAGGGCCAAAATTTTGCACAGTGCGAAAAATTCCGTTAATGCGCCGCGTAGACGAAATTTTGGTCTATTTTTGGCCCTGCGCACTGCACAACAAAAAAAATTATGGCTGAAAATGATGACTTAAGAGTATGACAGGAAAATTTTGAATCTACTCGGAACCCCGATGTACATATATATTATTTCGAGACATGTGACCTGTACGTTTAAAAAATTATTTTATAGGAACACGAGTCGAAGATGCCAAAGCCCTGATCGCCAACTCCAAAATGAGGATTCTGGCCTGTGATTCTTTGGACGAGGCAGCAAAGATGGTGGTCAAGCTCTCCTCCATCGTCGAATTGGCAAAGGCCGCCTCAGTGGATGTAAAATTCGAGCTCTCGATCTAAACTCAGCTATCTCCCAGTCAGTAACTTCACATCGGTTATTTTAATCAGTGAATAGGAAGTCCAGTCCAATTAAAACCATTTGTTATTAATTAATTTCCTAGTGGAACTTACTAAATCTAATGCCGTAATTCAATAAAGGTAGTAAAAATTTGTTGGGGTTTGGGCCACAGGCATTTCAGTTCTTGTCAAAAAATGTGATCGTTTACAGACTGGGGCATTTTTGTGGTCCGAGCTAACTTCCTTATTTTTGGGCCAGATGTTAAGATTCTTTTTTCCCTGAATCTCCCGTTTATTGATACCATTAAGTGTCAAAAAATGCGACGAACTAATACATGTAGCACATTAATAAAGCTCTATTTTTTGAAAGAGAATGTCCAAAATGGAACTAAACGTTTATGAGAAGTTGGGAAACTGCAACAAACTTCGTTTATATATCAGCATTTTCAATTTACAGAGAGTACGCTAAACACGGAGAGCGGAGAGAGGGAAAAACATCTTTTGGCCATAACTTTGCTTGTTTCGTGGGTAAAAAATTGATTTTTTGTGGAAACATTACCCTCTATGGTAGAAATAGGCACAAAACTTTTCGTGCCGAAATTCGGCAAAAAGTGTCAAATTTTCGCCCACTTTCGATCTAAAAATCTCGGTTGTTTCTGCAAAGCCCGAGCTAGGATTCTCGCATATATTTTAGAAAAAATCATTCTAAATTTGTGCCACGTTTCATCAAAATCTGAGCGTCGCACTTGAGGTACTTCCCCTGTTACCCAAAATTCCGAGAATTTGACGCAATTTGACGTCATTTTGAAAAATTCTGCCAGGTTTTCACCCTAGTGAAAATCTGGGAAATCGTTTTTATTATTCAGGAACAGTCGAATGAGTATGCCATTGACATTGATAATTACTTTCTTAAAGCTGTTAAATCTAGACTGTTCCAAAATTTAGTCCGGGTTTAGGTTATTTATTTATAATACTGTAAGTCAAAATGAGTTTTTAACTTTATTAATTTACCGATAGTAATAATAAAAACAAATAATAAAATTCTTGAAAGAAAAGGCAGAGTTATTTTTTCAACAGTGAAATGAATTGCCAAAGCGCCAAAAGAAGCATGTAAAATACGGATTCGGAAATGGAAAGAAGGCCGGAATGAGGTTTGTTTTGTTTGTTATAACCGACTACAATCACTATCTAGAGTTTTTGTCAATAGACCCATGAGATGGGCACCCACTGGGGAATGGCACTCAGTTTTTCAACCACCAATTCCAATTGACGGATCGTGTCATCGATGTCATTATTACAGATTACATAGTCAAACAGATGTCCAAAGGCTTGACGAAGGATCTCTGATTCCTTTACGAGACGTTCCAGACTTCCATCGGGCTGAAAAAAACGCATTAAGATATAAATATGCAATGAGAAATGCAAATTTTTATTCGTTACTCACATCTTGAAGTCCATGGAGATCTGGAGCTCCAATGAACACGACGAATGGTGCATATTCAGCCGTTCGAAGGGTTTTTAGTGCCTGAAAGATCATTATTTGTACAGATTGTTTCGAAAGTAACCAAATTTTTTTTTGTTCTGAATGGCTTACTTGAGGTTCCACGTCCAAAATAGCCATCTTTCCCGTCCTGTGGATGTTCCTGATGGTCTCCAACTTTGTCCCGTACATGCATTCTTCATGTGTTCCATATTCGAGATACTCGTTTGCCGCTATATCTGATAACATGGCATCATTGGAGACGAAATAGTAATGTTTTCCGTCGATTTCGTCTTTCCTCGGAGGCCTTGTTGTGTGGGGAATTGGATATGCAAATCTGTTGGGATGTCGATGAATCAACGTGTTCTTAATGTGCCTTCGCCCCACCCCATGAGCCCCCAGAAGGACAAGAGTCTTTCGTCTGAATGTGGATAATCTGACGACCTCTTCATACGTAACAAGATCTACTTGTTCGAACAGATCCGAATGTTTCCTCAGATATTTAGTGGTGTAATATTTCTTCTTCTTGTTGAACCACATGCAAGTATGATTGTCTTTTGCTCTTTCCATCGCCAAGCAAGCTGTTCTCCACTCCTGAAGTTCCGGAGATGGGATCAGACCCGCAACTGGCGTAGAAGAGGTTGGACTTTGAGGAGATCTGCTTGAGACATGGTTCCCGATAGTCGAAGTAGAGGCTTGAAGATGAGATTGGGCTGATCCTAGGCCTGGAAACGCATGAACATATCGTGCTTGCCACCAGTTGTGATCATCTTTGGAGATAACTTGGAGAATATCTCCGGTTTTGAAAGGGACGCCAGCCTCGGAACAAGGGATCAGGTCATCCTGAGTTGGATCGTAATCGAACTGAGCTCGCACATAAATTTCGCAAGCTGGAGGAGCAGAGCGATATGAGGGCACGATCTTGAACGTGACATGCCCTCGGGCCTCCCTGAGCATTTGTTGTAAAGCATCGACACTTTGATTGGCCACCGGCATCCCATTGATCTCCCTGATTTCATCAAAGACATGCAGAGTGCCTTGTCGATGGATCATCCCTCCATGCATAATCCTGGCCACCAAACATCGTCCGTCCTCGGTGATCTTTAGCGTAATCCCCATCGGCTCTTCAGTGTCCTTCTGGAATTGGACCAACCTCACTCGACTGACTGCATTCAGAATTAGATCGTCATCGTCGTCATCGTAGAAGGCTTGACTGGGATCTGTCTTGGAGGTGCCAGGCTCTTGATGGTCGATTGCCAATCCTCGATGCATACTTGTTGTACTTGCCGAAGAACTGGGACCTGGGAGATTTGTTTCAGGCACTTTGGAAGGAGGACAAGTCGAGGTCGCTGCCTGATCTATCTGCATCTGAGAACACATCTGCACCAAATGGCCGTTTGCAAGTTGCCCCGAAAGAGAATTACCCGTCTAAAAGTTGATGATAAATCTATTTATTAGACAAGAGTCACTGATTTTTTTGTCTTGCGAACTTACTTGATATGAAAGTGTAGAGATATGTTGTTCGCTGGCAGCCACATTGAAATTAGGGGTTTTGGTGGATGTGGATTGAATCAGACTGCATTCCATCGGTACCGAAGCGAATACTTCTTCAACCGCGATATCGTGTGATTGTACGATCGCCTAAAGATGGTCTCGCTTATGGGTTTGAAAAGAAGAAGACGGATGAGTCATGAATATATTAACCCTCTGCACTTTTACCGCTTTTGTATAAAAATATGGACCCACCTGGAAACTGGCATTGGACAAGATCTGGGCCAATTCCAAGGCCTCCGAAGATGGGTTAAGAAGGCCGTTGATCTCATTCCGGATGTCGTTGAGGTGTTGCGATAGATTGTGATTGAGCGGTTCGGGTCTGATTCCACGGTTCCGTATACGATCATACAACTGAAAGGAGTCTTGTTTGGAAGGGTTATTATACAGTGGAGATGAAAGTAAAAGACAGTACGTGAGCTAAGAGAAAGGGTGGAAAGGGGAATATTGTGGGTTTGCTTCGTCAATTTGGGCCAAAGAACGTCGTCTTCCACATGATCTCGAATGGTTTGTTGTTCTTCGTACTTTTCGACAATCGTTTCTTCAGTGGTTGAAGCGATTATCTCACAATTTTCAGTTATAACATCCTTATTAGCAGGTGTTCCAGTCATCTTTTCTAGATTATTTCCATTCTCCAACAAGGTGATTACAATCGCCGGCCCGTTTGTTGTCGGAATGGGAACGAAGTTGTTGATCAGTCGATGGATTTGTCGAGAATAGGGATTTGATGCCTTCATATTCCTCGTTTTCTTCTTGATCTTCGGAAATTTGAAGACCCGTGTTTGAGATCCGAGATCAGCAAACACTCCCAAACAACAGACGCAGACAAAGAAAGTGAAAAAGGAGCCACATAACAGCCCCATTAATAGGTATTGGTAGACATTAGAGTCCATCAGACCAACCCTACTGATCTCCGTTCTTTTCGAGGCAATATTAACAAGAATTATATCACAAGGTAGTAGAAATTCAATCAAGAGTGGATCTTGTTCAAGTGGACTCCGTCCAAATCCACAAATTCGAATGCTTTCCGCGTTTTCCCAACAAGTAAACAGTCCACTGACACCTTCGGAATAACTTCCGACAGAGGTGTCAAGTGCAATATAATGGTCGGGAAAGTGGTGAGGCCGAGGAAATAATGACAAAACTAAAGGCTGCAGGGAGGGGAAATAACATAAATTGGGGCTGGATGGGATGATCGATGAGGGGCTGAATGAGGCCGTCAAAAATGTGGCCAGAAATCGAAAAAAAGTCGCGACACTAACAATAAGCGACAAAAAATGGGAATCGCGCTCAAACAAGTGTTTGCCGATTGAATGACAGGTGATAAAGGGCCGAGAAATATTTGATTAATCTCGATCCGAAGGAACGAATGGGTTTGTTTGTGTTCAAAAGCCGATCTCCCAATTAAACGCCCGATTTATGGCCAAATGGACATGAATTATAATTGGATCGGAGGATTCAGATGGTTACGACAAGTTCTGCACAATGTTATGCCTTTGGATTACAATCGAAGAAACAAGCTCCCAAATTAATGAACTAGATAAAAGGTTTCGCAACGACACGTAAAATGATGACTATTAATTCATGCCCAGTTTAGTTTGGAAACAAAGATTACCTGTAAATTTAGGCCTTATGGTTGGTCTCTAAGTGTTTTTCTCAAGTTTAAATTCTTTTCTCTCTTTTTTTTTTGGATCCCCAAAAAACTTTTTTTTTCCGCCGAAATTCATACTTATTCCGACTACTTTAGCACCTTTCTTGAGTGATATCATGTTGCAACAAAGACGGAAAGACGAGGAAACAATAATATTTCCAAGGGTTTTTCTAAAGGGAGAGACCATTCCGCGGCCCCAACGCGGCCCAATCATCAAATCTCAAAAACAATTTCCAGGATGACAAAACAAATAAGGCGCGCAAGAACGGGAAGAATGACAAAAAAGGAAAGAAATTACCTCGAAGTCGATGGTAATCTCGGTGACGGAATGGTGGAGTGGACGGAAATGGGCATCGACGGACATGGCATGAGCGTAGCCATAAACGGAAAGCCGTGAAACGGGCAAGGGGCGGCCGACTCTCGACCGAGAACAGGGCTCGAGAGTGGCCCCAAGAAAGAAGGTCGTGGCCAAGGAGAAGGGGCGAGAGGAAAGGCTAAACGGGTCCTTTCTTTTCCCCCTTTCTCCTCAGCTCCCGGGCCCAAGACAACAGCTGACTGTGCAAAGGTGCCCTCAAGGGCTACGTGGTCCCTGCACTGTTTCAAATCAGCCGAAGGAAGCGACGCCCGAAATCACCGGACTCATGAGTCGCTGCGTTTCCATGCGGGGAAGGGCAAGCCCGAAAAAACCCAATTTCCTAGCCACGTAAATATTGACCTTAATTGGAGGGGGAAGAGGTCCTGACAAGAAAATTCAATCTTTCAGATTCATCCCTAAGCTTCTTTTTTTATTTTATCTCAGCAGTTCTTCGGGTTTATAAGAAAGTTCGAAGGAAAAAGAACGAAGATGAAAAAAAAAGTTTAATGCAATATCTAGAATGGGCTCTAGACGATGCAAAAGACACTTACATTGAGGATGTCATGGAGTTCGGAATCGTTCATGGCATGCCGAAGTTGTTGTTCTTCGATGGCGGTACAAGTGTCGAGGGATTGGTCGGTGAGGACTGTCATCTTGTCGAGAGATGTTAGAATCTGCAAGTTTGTAGGATAAGATTGGGAAAAAGTTCTGCGTAAAATCATGTTTATCCTTTTTCAGCTATGACCGAAATTTTTTTCTTTGTTTGACTCTCTGCATAACGTCTTCTCGGCAACCATCGACGAATATCTTCACGATGGCGACAAAGAAGTGACAAAAACTTCAGCGAATACTCTGGCCTGTCTAGAATTTCCTTGCAAAATTTGATAGAAATCTTATTGTTATAAATCGCCTATTCTCCTAAAAATCCCAGATACGATCCCTCAAAATCCCATCCCCAAACCGACCTTCTCCACTCCAGCCATGTCGCTGCCGGCCGTCTGATCATTGGGCCCTCGCCGCGTACAATCCGAATCACAAACATCGCCTCCGGGCATGGAATCGGCGCTGAGGAACGAGTGGACAGGGAACCGATTCCATTTGGGATTATTTACCGCCGCAATGATATTACTCTGTAAGTGGATGGGGATGAATGTAAAGAAACTCTGCCGGACACAACTCCTTTTGGATTCGGGAATCGGAGATTCAAAGAATTCGGCCCCTGGAGGCTTTTTTCTTTCATTCAAACGGCATTTTTAAAATCGGATTAAGTCCCCGCCGTCCTAAAAAGGAGTTTTCGGCCGCGGGTTGTCCGGCCGCCATTGTTTACCTTCAATTTCCGTCGATGATTATACTTTCTGATGCTCTCCACCGTCTCTCCCAGATGAATTCGTGGTGGAATCGAACGATCTTGGACCCATGGATGCTCAAGGACGTCTTCGGCCGTTAGTCGTTTCCTCGGATCGACCGTTAAGAGGCCTTTGACCAGGTCTTTGGCGGGATCACTGATCTTTTTCCATGAACCCGACTTCAGCTGAAAATAAAGCAATCGAAAAGCAGTCATTTTAAGACGATAAAAATTTTTGAAAACGAAATTTTAAAATTCTTACAGAAAAATCAGCGATCCGAATCCGATCGAACAATTGATCCTTGGGCCCAGTAAATGGGAGCCGGCCACTCAATAAAACGCAAATCAGCACCCCCAAACTCCACATGTCCGCTTCCCGCCCGTAGGGCTTATTGTCCACGACTTCTGGTGCCATGAATTGAGGTATTCCGATCTGACCCGCAGGGCATTTGTCGTCCTGATCCGCCAACTTCCACGCAATCCCGAATCCCCGCAGTTTCAAAGGAGCGTTGTTTTCTTTGCTAAAAAGCGGTTGCATAATTGCAAGAATTAATTTATTTGTGATCTCACGCAACATACTTGGCAAGGAGAATATTATGCGGTCGGATGTCACGGTGAACGATGAATTGAGAATGCATATAATGTAAGGCCTCGGTGAGTTGTTTAATGTAATGACTAAAAGTGGAATAAAAACAAAAGAATCAGACTCACCTAGCTACAGTTTCACTATAAATAAACCCGGCGGATGCTCGTTTCACAATCTCAAAACAGATATCTGCACCTTCCACATGTTCGAAGATCATATGCAAGGCATTCAGACCGGAGATCACATCTCGGAGCTGACAAAAGTAGTGATGTTTCAAGGAGGCGCAGATCTCCACTTCTTTTTCTACAACTGAAAAGGAAATGTATTTTTTCAGTATTTTCAAGGGTAATTTGTCAAAATGTACTGCTTAGATTTTATCCAACATCTCGTAAAACCCGTTTTAGCATTTATAAAAGCATTTAGAGTAGGTCTGCAATTTTTTGCCGAGGAACTTGCCCTCCGCTGTGAGTCCCGAGGCCGCAGTGTAACGTCGGAGGTCCAGGGATTTGATGGTGAAGGTTTTGGAGGTGTTCCTCTGGGTGGCCCGATACACCGTGCATATTGGGCCCTTCTCTAACACGTCGCAGATCTGGTAGTGATGGGACAATAAGGCCGTCTCCTCGCCGTCGACAATCCATTCGACGCCGCTGGGCTGGCTAAAGGCTCGCATCGACTGGACTGGCCCATTGGCTCCTCAGAAACACTCGGTCTTGAGCATTCAGAGCCGGTCCGATGATAAGATAAGGGGAAAGCAAAGGGGTCCGACTTGAGGAGAGCTTCGTTATGCTGTAGAATGAAGAGTAATGTAATGTATTCGTAAATTTAAAACGTCTACTCGAAAAATAATAATTTCAGAAAACAAACCACCAAAATCTCATCAGAAGATGTCAAAACAAACGATTTCATGCAAGACTAAACTCAAAAAAATATTGTTACAGTAATTGTCACAAATAAAAGTCATCAAAAAAAAGAATTGGAAAGCCGCGATGTTTAATGTTCCGGGAAGAACAGGCAAAAGAAGCGCAAACAAAATAAAATAATTTTAATCCCCGCAAAATTATAAAAACAGCGACTTCTTCAGGTCCCGAAAAATAATTCCCGGGTGCGACTAATTGGAAGAATCGAAATTTAATTTCGTTTACTTAAGGGCCCTCAGGCCGCGGAACCCAAAAACAAAAATGTCAGGAGCAGGGAGTCCACGATGAGTCCTCAAATCTGCGTTTTCATGTAAATTGGATGGTAAAAAGTAGTACTTTCATCAAATGGAAGAAGTCCGGCTCAAATTAGTCGAATTAGAATCGAAGGACCTTTTTATTACGATTTATAAATTTAGAAAATAAATTGTTGACCACAAAAAAAGTGGAAAGGCAATCTGACGTAACAAAGGCCTGTGGAAACATACATTAATTAGTACCCGCCCAGGATGGAGAGTCAATGCAAACATTATTTGTGGGCAACAATTGGAAGATAACTAATTTGAAGAGGGTTACAACCTAGAAACGAATTAACTGGAAAGAAATAATGGTAATGTCATCAAAATATTATGCCCAAAGGTTAAAGTTTATTTTCGGCAAGAAGTTTGAGTTTTGGCCATTTTTTTTTTTTTTTTTTTTGATCGACCGGCCTTATCTTATTAGACCAAAAATATCCAAAATACAACCTAAAGTAATATCCCGACATAAAAAAACACCTCGAATGTTATAGAACCCACACATTTATGGGCGGTTTCATTCACTTCCTCTGATCGCCCGGAATAGACCCTCCGGCACGGTTCCCCTTAGGCCAATCCCCCCAAGTCCTTCTCCTTATTCCGACTTTTCTCCTCTCATTCGTATGCAAATGAGATTAAGGCGGTGCATTTGGAGACATTTCTTGTCGAAGGCGAGAGTTTTTGGAGAGCGCCCGGGGGCATAAGTGTGTTTATAACCAGAAGCAAGAAAAAAGTAATCAAAAACGAAGAAGGCCCGAGTTTAGAAACGCGCAAAAATTTTATGGAAAAGCGCGCAAATATTTGCATAAAGATTGGTGATTATGGAAGGGAAAGGAAGGCCGCGGAGGGAAGAGGGCGGTCAGGAAATCCTTGGAAAAGATTTTATTTCCAAATTTATTCCTATAGCTCCTCCTCGAGAGTTCTTGGACTTTGCAGGAATCCCCCGGTAATCAGGAAAAATCTCAAAAAATAGGGCCAAAAACAAACAGAAACTTCATAATTACAGCGGCCGCTTAATCATCCGTCCCTTTGTTTTCGAACAAGCAAAGCCCGTGTCCCCGCCGACACGTCCCCAGGGCATGGTCAAGGGCGACTTTTGACATGCGGACATGTCTCATCGCGGAGGTTTATAAATCTCTTTTGAGGTGGATGATTAAAGGCCCTCCGGACAGCGGCCATAATCTGTTTGGGACATCGGAAATCAGATATCTCCAGTGCTCTCGGATGTCTCAAGGGTCTCTAAACCGCCTTTCGCGCGCCCAAAGATCAGCCGCTGGCAGCAATGATAAGAAAAGAAGACAGAGCGAGGGAACAAAGAGAGACGGTAGAGCGTGAGAACAAACATGGAACGATAAATCTCTCGCGGCCCGAAGGAATGCGGCTCTTTTATCATTCAAAGGTTAAGCCAAAGTATTTTTTCCGCGGGGAAAGTGTGGCCAAACAGTCGAGAGTCTCGAGGCCCGGAAAAGGCAAAAAAAAGACGAAGGAAAACCCAAAAGTCTGTGCAATTCTCGCCCTCCCCTTAACCCCTTCCTTCTTTTACCCTTGGCCTGGCCTGGGCGGCTCTAACGAACTTTACAGCTTCTAGATATAAGCCCTCAGGGCATAGGCGCGCGCGCAAATGCTCGGCTTTATTGTTCGCGGCTTATAAAAACTCACTTCAACCTTGTTTATAACGGATTATCTTTCTCTTCGTGCGGCCGAGATTCGGCCGAAAAGCCTGTAACCGAAAGGATGATAAAAAATTGGAGAAGTTAAGCGGTCGGAGAGTAGATTGTTTTGTTTCAGGAACACGAATATCTCTCATCTTATCTGACGTCGTCCGAAAACTGATCCCTGTCGGCCGAACCCAATTTGTTAACCCGGCGACAAGACGCATGGCCATGTCAGGGCCTTTTAATGAGTCATTAAAAGGCGTTAACTCTATTCCCTTTGACTTTGTCCGTCTTAACAAGCCCATAAAGTCGGGGATGATGTCTTTCATTAAGCCGGGTGGGATACGAGGAATTTCAGGCAGATAATTTGCATAGAAAATAATTGAGTTTCTTTATACAAAGTATCACAGATAAACGCCAATACTTTTAAAAGACACAAAAAGGAAGAAAGTGATGTGCAAACAACTTTGATAAACCTATAATCATATGAAGGTTACTGTAGCATCACTTCTCGGACTCCACTCTAAATTTGCAGATCTTCCCCAAACTTTTCCCATTAGCCCTCCCATAAATAAAAGCGCCTTCTAAAGTTTTCTATGCAAATACAATGTCCCCTTTCTTCGCCTTTTTGACCCATGCATTTTAGGAATATTACCCATCCCAACAAGGTTCCTTTAAGAAATGTTTGGGAAATTGATTGGAAATGGAAACCGATAAAATGGTCATGAATAACAAAAGGAAGATGACACATCGAAGGCGCCTCAAGGAAAAGGTTTCGGGATGTTTTGGGGAGCGATGACTTGGGCATTGCTAATTCGAGTTATTTGGGCCCGAAATAACAAAGTCAGGAGGTTTGGGAAAACAAAACAAAGGCAAAAAAATCCACAAATCATTAGTGGAAGTTGAACTACGGTGTTACAAATCCAACCCTCTTATCTACACTGTATTATATAGCCCAAGCTCATCGCCATCGCTCTCCTTAACCCATAAAAACCCAAAAATTTGCACGCCAGACCCTATTAAATCGGTTATTTTAGGCCTGTTATAAAGTGGCCTCAACCCAAAAGCCAGGCCAAGGCAATCGATCTGGTCCATCATCATCGTGCCCTGAGGCAGTTTATCTCATAAATCAAACAAACCTTCAAAACGGCTCTTATCCCTAGAGCCGCCGCCCAAGAATACATATGGCCTGACGGGATGAGGAAGCGAGACGATGACAAATTAAGCAATCGAAATGTTGAAATAAAGGCGATGATCAGCTGTGACGGTTGGCTAATTTGTGAATGTAATTGATTGTGCAATCCGGAATAGTTAAATACGGTAATTTGCAGAAACAATGACATTGAGAAGTGTTCTAAAAAACGATTTCATTTTTGAAAATGTTTGTATGGTTGGTTGCTCTTGTAACCTCGGCTGCGATCTTGTTTATATGCCGTCCAAATGGCCAAAAACGGATGCGCGTAGAATCCCATCCATCATCCATCAGATTCAGTCCTATCAATCCACTCGACTATTCCATTAAAACTACCAAAACCTCAAAAGTTGAAGGAAATAAAAGTCGGAAATCAGCAAAGGTAAGGTGATATAAGAAAAACAAACTTTCGTTCAGAGTGAAAAAAAACAAACTACTTGCACCACTCGGGAGGATGAGACAAATTCCGAAGCCAATGTTTCGTTGGTAAGGCAATTATCCCAGTTATATGGTGTTTCAGACCCAACCCAAGCCTTTGGAAGACGAAGTGACCTCTCTTGAACCATTTCAACCTCCTCCGGCGTCTAAAGTAGCTAACAGAGACGTCAGCGACAAAGTAGCCAACTCGAAGGACCCTCAATACGCTACTCTCGTCAACATTGGCCAGGATTGGGACAGTCGGATCGACAAGTTTGATGAGTTTTATGATCAAGTCCATCGAACCCAAAGCTCAAGTGGAAGTTGCGAATTGAAACTGAAGACTTGCCGAGAAGACTCGTTCCATAATATTCAAGAAGTCAAGAACCCGTTACAGTCACAGTGAAGTTGATAGATCTGTTCGAAAATAAAATCTGCGTTCGAAAATAAGTTTCTTATTTTATTCCCTTTACAACTAAAACAAGGTCGAAGAAAGAGCTGTCAAATACCCGCAAAATCAACAAAAAAACGGAATCATTGAATGATAAGGAAAAGGCGCTTCTGAATTTTTTTTCTAGGGTTATTACCATTCTTTGTCATCATCAAGTCAAAATTTTTACTAAAACGATATCAGAAGCTCCACTTTTCTTATCACAAAACTGAATCCGTTTTCATTGCCGTCGGCACCTCAGGATGCCACAATTCTAAAGCTAGAACGATCCTAAATGTGTGAGTCCCAGCTCCGTCAAACCACATCTCATGTTCGAAACTCTCGTCGAAGATCAGGAACTTCCCTGTTCTCCACCCCCGAACCTCTTTTCCAACCCGAATTCTGGCTTCGGAGGGAGAAACAAGACCAAGATGGGCCTCGAGAACATAGTTGGTAGGGCCACATCGAGGCCATAGTCGACTTCCAGGAGACATTACGTTGATCCGGATCTACAAAAGGCGATTTAAACTTTTGACATTTCGTAAAAAAATCAATGCAAAAATTAATTCTTTGGAATTCTTCTGCAGATTATCATGATAAACCAAGAAGAATTCCAGGGGTGGCCATCAGGTCGGTTCGGTTTTTTCGTCGTTTTTGCGCCGGTAAAATCTTTTGATGGGATTGTGGCTGTAACATCTCAAGTTCTAGAACGGTTTACTACTCTCTAGTACCTCTATAAAATCAAAAAAATTCGGCCAGTTTACCACCCCTGGTTTTATGACCTTTTTTTTTGTCAAACTTACTTCTCCTTTGTCGCATCGTGATTCTTCGGTAAATTCTTTGAGCAATTTACATGTGGTTGGTACCAGTCGACAATTCTTCTCATCGAACTTTCCTTCTGATCTCAAGAACAACGATTTGTATGAACCCTCTGTCAAATGGGCATCTTCTGGTTTGAATCGATCTTCTGAATCCTTCAATGCAGTTAGTGCCTCTTCTCTCATTGCTGTCCATTGTCTTTCCAGGCTCTTTAGATGTTTTCCACACAATGTTTGAGTTACCGTCCACCAAGGGCGAGCTGTAAGTCCATCCAGATTATAGGTAGATCTTTGATAGACAGATGGGAAAAGGCCCAATTCTACAGCGTCTTCGTAGACCTTGAGAGCTTCCTGGGAGCGGCCTAGACGTTGCAGACCGTCTCCGAGATGGAAATAGAACCTGAATTATACATGATTCAAGTTTTACTATTTTACGTATTAGTCTAATGTCTTACTTTGCATCAAGTATTGGTTGATCCTGATTCTTCAGTCCCTTTTTCATGTAGAAAGTTCCTTTTTCGTAGTCGTGATCGTATACTTTGAGTAGGTACCCATAATAAGCCAAAGCCACCGAGTTCTGAGGATCTGCTTCCAAGATTGAGGTGAAGATATTTCTGGCATCATGTGGTCTTCCCATCATGAGGAAAGTGATTCCAAAGTCCGTCTGAATGTCTATTTCATCGGGGAATCTGTCGATTAATTCTCGTTGAACGGTCATTACTTTGTGCAGATTGCCTCGGTATCGTGCACATTCAATCAGGTTCTCTGCAGCTTCTCTGGAAAAATAATCATATTGCAAGTTATTTTAGAGAGTACTCATTTACTTGAAGAGTTCGTCAGGGGTGTCGTATTCATCCAGGACTTTTTGATATTCGTTGATGGCCTTATCCATATTCTCATCGGTATCTTCTTCTTCTGAATTCAACTGAAGGATCCTTCCCAATCCAAAATGAGCCCTTGGACTGTCTTTGTAATCTTTCAACACCTCTGTGTAATATTGAACGGCACCTTTGAAGTCATGCTATAACAAGATGAGGTTGGTCGGAATATCACGTGTGAGATCACTTCAAGGGTTAATGGTAACACACGCTCAGGTTAATCGTTAGAGGTATACAATCCGTTAATGAATCTGGTCATCGAGTGCACCTTTTCTATCAGATAATCGGCCAGATCGAGTTTACTTCGATGTTTGTAATCGTGGCGGTTCGTAATCGCTTTTCGGTTGTAATTATTCGTTCTGCAAGTGAAATGCATTTATTTCGGGACACATATACACCTTACACATAAATAACATGCACAAATATACAAGAGCACGACATGTATTACTCGTTGTTCTTACTTTTTTCTGGTCGCCGCGACCTCCCTGACCTCTACTTTGCTGAGTTGTTCTTCTTCGGTTTGGTCGTCGTTATCGTTTTCGGAACTCTGATCATCATCCTCATCAATTTCCTCTTGATCTTCTAGCTTAGGATACATTTTTCTCTAAACACAAGTTGAATTACATTGAAAAAGCATTCTTACTTTTTTGCTCTTCAAAAGAGACTTCCTCGGGTTTTTGGAGTCCTCGGCCATTCTTTTTGCCTGAAGCGATTGTCTCCAGCTCTTTCCTGATCGTTTTGGTTCCCTATGAGTTCGAGGCATCACCAGGACTTCTTCTTCCTCGTCATCGTTTATATCCTCATCATCGTCGTCGATCTCTTTCTTTTTCTTCTGCTTCTTTACTTTTTGAACGCACTGCAATATAAATGGTAAATAATGGTGCTTCATAAGGGGATTTATTGTTATCTGTAAATTGGCTTACCATAGCGACTTCGTCCTCTTCATCGTCGTCATCATCCTCGTCCTTTTCAGCCTTTCTTTGAGCCTCCTCCTTTTCCTTTTGTTCAGCTTGTTTTTGTTGTCGTTTTATCTGGAAAATCATTCGTAACTTTAAGGATACTAATACTCACCACGTGTCTGGGAAGTGGTTCTGGTTCTTTCTCCTTCTCTTCAGATTTATCGTCAGCATCATCGTCTTCGTTTTCTTCTGATTCTTCTTTTGCTGGCACTGCTTTCTGTGGGATTACTCTCTTCTTTGGTGGCTCTTCTTCTTCCTCATCGTCATCATTGTCATCTTCCGTGGAATCTTTCCTTTCATCCGAGTCGTTGTCGTCGTCATCTTCTTCTTTGATGTTTACTTTTGGTGGATCTGTTTTTTTCACTTCTTTTTCCTCTTCATCTTCTTCCTCTTCTTCTTCAGACTCTTGCTTCCTACTTCTTCGGCGGAGATCTCGTTTTCGTTCTTGTCGACGCTATAAGACACAATAAGACAGTTGTAAATTTTTGCACAATTCAGCAAATTTAATAATTCTCACCTGGTTTCTCAACAATTTGCCTTCGTCGACCTCATTATTGTCCTCATCATCGTCATCTTTTTCCTCCTCGTCTTTTTTCACTCCCTTTTTCTTGGACTTTCCGCCCAGCCATCGGTCTTTCGCTTTTTGAAGTAGTGAAGAGAATAACTGTTGTTCTTCGTCCTCTTCTTCGTTCTCTGCATCCTCGATGTCTAAATTTATATAATAGTTCTCTCGTTTTGGACCACAATTTCTTCCCAGTTCAACTGGAATATTGCTTACCTGGAGGTGCCGGTGTTACATCTTCAGTTTCTTCCTCCGTCTCAGGGATAAGTGTTTCTGGTTCATCTTCTTCGACGACATTTGCAACATAATCGTTGTCTTCGCCATCTATAAATAACAGGGGTGTTCTCAATTAGATTACTTTTTTCTTACCGTCACTCTCGGAGAAGATAGCCAGCAAAGCTGAGCATAACAATATAAAAACAAGAAGAACGGCCCAACTCCTTAGACCTCCCTGAAATCCATTAAATCGATTTTCAAAATAATAATCGATCAAAATTGGATGTCTACTTACTTTTGTAACACTGTAATCTATTTTCTGAGGCGCTACCATAACCGCCATGTTGTGAACATGCCCGGGTCCATCTGAAAATGGAAATCTTATTCGATGGGAGCCGAAATGTATGGCATAAAAAGTAATGGGACCGTCAACCATTTCCAATGCCGACGTCATCTCACAGCTTTTTCGTTTAATTAACGGGAATTCAATGAACTTACAACTGGAACCTTGACGACGGAACTGATTCCTCGGAACGCTGGTCCCATTCTGATGGGCATAGGGGCTGGGAGAGCCACTCATGGCTGAATCGACCGGCCAGTACGCCCAAATCGACCGTTGATTCGGACCGTTCCCGTGGAGTGGTCACAATAGCAGACAAACAACGTCAAGGCAGACGCTTCCCTCCGGCCCCTCGGATCAAAACCTCGGCATGAGTGGGGGATCAGGGGAGGGGAAAACTCTCGACTCTCGTCCAGAAAGTGGCGCCCGTCCCTTCCTCTTGTCTTTTCTTGGCCCCGCAAACTCTTTTCTCTCGGCCAAAAATTATGTTTTGGCGCTGAGATTGAAGGCTCTAGGGTGGGGAAGAAAAGAAGAAAGGAGTACAACCACGACTTTGTTTTTATGCCCTTATTTTGTTGTCTTTTTTGCAGAAGACAAGGAAACGCGATAATATAGGGCCAAATGAAGGACCAACTCGAGAACGAGTTCAAGTCCGGTACACTTGGTCGATGTATGGGTGAAATGTGACCACCACCAGTCACTGAAAGTAATCGTTTTATTATTTATATTATACTTTTATCACGCATTGTGCTTGGGGTTTAATACGGTGTAATAAAAAAGACCTTATTAATTAAAATTTTAATTAAAAGAAACAAAAAAATATTTTCCGGATATACTTGATCTTCAATGTTTTTTTGTTTGTCCTGGACAGAGAAATCAGCGCGCGGCCAAGACAGACATGATGTAGCGAAAACTCTTTCTCAAGACTTGAGCTGCAGATTGAACAAGGGATAAGAGCGGTCAAAATTCACAAAATGAAAGATCAACCCGGTTTGACATTGATCACGATACATTTTTCACAAGATGACAATTAAGGCCCAAAAAAATATTACAGGGTGGGGCATCTTTGTGGCCCGATTTGGATTGACTATAACTTCTTTAGTTTTTGGCCAAATTTTAAAATTCTTTTTTCCCCTGAATCGTCAGCCAACCCCATTTTGTTTGATACCAAATATGTTATACATAGGTGAGTGTCATCTACAGTTATTGGATTTATTCTTGAAGTTCATTTTTTTGGTCGTTTTTCGGTTGTTTTTTCGGCCTTTCCCGGTGTGTCCGAAAATGGAGTCCGGTGTGGAAGAAAAGGCTTGGTCTGTGGTTTGGTATAGAAAGTACGGTTCGGCGTTAAATTTTCAAATGGGGATACCGCATGAAATACGGACGTAATGCCTAACGTCCAGATCGCAAGACAATTCGACGTTCGTGGAATAAGTTTCTTGAGACTGCCAGCGTTAACAGGAAACAAAAAAAGCAGGAAAGATGGGTATGAACGGAATTGAAAATTGAAGAAGTTTTGTCAAAATTCCGAGAAAATCCGCATATGAGTACACGAAGTTTGGCCAGAACCGAGGGAATGCCTTCACCATGGACCATTCGACGAACTCTGGAGGTTGATCTTCACTTTTTGTTCTTATTCTCATCGTCGATTTTCGGGAGGGTAAATTCCACCGTATTTTTCTTCCGGACCGTACTCTATTTCTGGACACACCGGGAAAGACCGAAAAAACAACCGAAAAACGACCGAAAAAATGAACTCCAAGAATAAATCCAATAACTGTAGATATACACTTACTATGTATAACATATTTGGTATCAAACAAAATGGGGTTGGCTGACGATTCAGGGAAAAAAAAGAATTTTAAAATTTGGCCAAAAACTAAAGAAGTTATAGCCAATTCAAATCGGGCCACAAAGATGCCCCACCCTGTAGATTCAATAAATGACAGTGTAATTAGTTATGGAAATGATGATGCAGGCTACAAATATAAAATCATCTCAACTGGAAACGGAAGTGGTGGGGGTTTTGCGGGAAAGAAAACGTGCTCAGGACACTTCATTAGTATCGTTTTTAAAGTTGAAACTCCTTTGGAATAGCTGGGACCATATGTAACAAGTGCTACTTTGCAGTCCTTTGACCTTCATGTCCATATCGATTATTCACGGAATACGAGAAGAAATTACTGCCCAAAAAATAGCGGAAACTTAAACGTCTCGCCGCGGGTCATGGGTGCAGATTTAAAACCCTGTTCATGGACGAGAAGTTCAACGTCGAGTAAGCCCACAACAACAAAGCTGATAAAATTTGGACCGTTGAGCGCCAAGGAACATCTATTAAACCCCGTCAGACTCCATCCGTCATGGCCTGTGGCAAAAAAATTGCGTCGGCGGCAAGATATAAAGCGGGAGATAAAAGATTTTCTGAAAAATTTTTGAAATTTTTCTGTTTTTACTTTTTTTTTAAAAAAAAAGTAAATTTTCAGTTTACTTCAAGGAAAATGCAAAAAAAAGTCAATTTTGTTTCTGGCTTTCCGACTTCAAGGTCGGGAGTAGGACCGGATCTTACTCCCCTCTCGGAGTCGCCGAAAGTCAGAGCTTGTTTTTACTTTATTCCTCTTTTTGGCCCCGCACTGCAGGTTGCAAGGTTGATGCCAAGTCTTTCCCTGATGTGTCAAGTTTTTCTCTTCCGAAAAAATTATTTTTACGTTTGTGCGACGTTGTGAAGCTATGTTCTCCACGAAGATGGGCTGGAAAGTGGTCAAGTAAGTTAGCATTGGCAAGAGGAGATGTACGTTTTTCATTTGACATCAAAAGTTTCCATTTTATTTCAGAGAAAGGTACAAAATTTTTCCAATTCGTAAAGCTTCATGACCATGGATAATGTAAGTGAGATTATCTCCTTTTTTGCTACGACGTCAAGATTCTAAGTCGGGAAACGTTTAGAGGAGACCCCACTCTCATGTATATTCTCCATGTATGAAACCCCATAAATTTTGAGGAATAACGACGTAAAAGTTTCAAATACTATACTAACTTTCCAAAAGTATGTTATACTAAAGTAAAACCTATGCAAACTATCTTCAAGTTATTGTAACAACGTTATTTGAGCCTTATTACGTTATTACCTCAGTTTAGAACGCATTCGTGGCAAAAATCCGGCAGATCTGAGCGGATTTCGATATTGTACATGACACCTAGAAATCGAAATTGGTGGCGTTTGATAGATAGAGTATATAACAAAACTAAAGTGAGGTGTCCTCTAGAACTCGCCAGCCTAGAACTGTTAACTCCAATAACGGAACAAAAAACGCGATAAGCGCACTTACATTATCCATGGTCATGAAGCTTTACGAATTGGAAAAAATTTGTACCTTTCTCTGAAATAAAAGGAAAATTTTTGGTGTCAAATGAAAAAAGTACATCTCCTCTTGCTAACTTGATCACTTTTCAGCCCATCTTCGTGGAGAAAATAGGTTCACAACTTCAAAAAAAATCAAAACGTTTCTTCCGGGAGAGAGAAATTTGACACATCTGGAATTCCCGGGCGCAGCTCGCAAAAATAGTTTTGAAGAAAATAAATTGGCGTGCAGGTGAGTAAAAACGGCATCCTACTCACCAGCCAAAATGGGCGAGCCATTTTTGTTTCAACTTTGCGGATCGACCTTTTGGCGAGCCATTTTTGATCCAACTTTCCAAAAATTTGTCGTTCGGAGTAAGAATGTTTGTTGACTCTCCGAAATCGAAAATTTCCGGAAATTTTTCAAAATTTACTTTTTTTTTTACAAGGAAAGTACTTCTATGGGGTATGGAGTTACAGGTCGAGTCATATATCAAAAAATTCGCAAAATTTTTCTGATTCAGAATATGTAAAAATTAGCTGCCTAATTTTAGTTTGTAAGGGCGAAAAAATCCTCAGAACTTTTCTCGCAACACCATGAAAATGCGCATTTTTTACATTGCAACTGCTAATTAAGGTGTAGTATAAATTAAATTTGATATTTTAAAGCTTGTAAAGATACCAGTGTTTACTTTAACTCAAAAACAAGCTTTTGATTTGGTAAAAACTTGGTCAAAAAGGCATTTGTGTGGTGTTTCGAGAAAAGTTCCGAGGGTTTTTTCACCCTTACAGACCAAAATTAGGCAGCTAATTTTTACATATTCTGAATCAGAAAAATTTTGCGAATTTTTTGATGTATGACTCGACCTGTAACTCCACACCCCATAGAAGTACTTTCCTTGTTAAAAAAAAAGTAAAAACAGAAAAATTTAAAAAATTTTTCAGAAAATCTTTTATCTCCCGCTTTATATCCCTGTTTTTTGTAGATAAGGCGGTCAAGCGCGACCAAGTAGTCTACTAGCGACATTGTGGATATTGTCATGCTTCAGTGTGAAAATAACCGATTTTCCCGACTTCGTCCCGTCTTCGAAATCACCATGACCGATGGCTTATTCCTGATACGCAATAAAACGGCCATCGGTTACCTCCAAAACCCATATATTACCCAACGAAACTCTACTCTATTACCTATATACTGCTCTCACTTTCAACCTCAAACTTAAAATAAGATCTCAAGTCAGACCCTCTCGAACATTGAGACGAACAGACGGTGTCTGAAAACGCATCAAAAGACGTCCACAAATCATTTAAAACACAATTTCATGGATAAGTCGGATAAAAATTTGCCGATATTACCCTCTTGATACGAAATCTCAAATCCTCTGATACATATAGAAGTTGCAAATGTAAATAAATAAATTTCGCATCGTCAGTGTGAGAGTTCGTGCTGATGTTTTGGATCCGATTTCAAAGAAAAATTGCAGAGAACACTTTTAAACTCCTGAACTTTGGTCAGCAAAAAACGAAAACTTTGAGAATTCGAAGGCTCCAAACCCTCATGGCTTATGACATTACACTAGCATAAGTTTCCTGCACCTTATCGTTCCGCTTTTGGCATCCATAAATAAGCAGATTAAAAAATGCCATTTTACACTCTGCAGTGTGAATATGGAACAGCAAAAATCATCATAATTAATAATTCAAAATAAATACTAGAAAATTCCCCTAACCTTAACATACCTCAGCATTGATCCTCTAGAAAAAGAGATTTCCTCTGGCCTCACCACATTTGTTACCCATGAAGAGCAATAAATGAGGAACACATTGCAATAAAGGACACTTCAATGATTATATTATAACATATGTCAATGGATTAAATTGTAGTTTACTTCACAAGCAGACGGCTATAGGGCAAACTTCCAACAGATTGATAAAAATGTGTTTATTGAGATGATTAACAACAACTATTCTTAACAAGTATCCTACTCGAGGCGGAGTTGTTCCGCCGGTTCCCATCGCTTAACTCCGCCCACAATTATTTCATTAATTTCAAGGGAGTCCAAAAAGGCTATCTGAAAACAAGGATACGAGCAAAAAACTCGAAAAATTGATAAAAGGCGTCTTACCGTTGCTCTTGTGTATCTGACAGCGTTATTCAAATAGATGGGTTCTACAGGCTTCGACATGAACAAGTTCCTCCATAAAGCACCAGCCAGTATACAATCATTAGATAGGAATCCCTAAATATTTGATGATGTAAATCGAAATTACATACAGTGCGCCACTTTTGTGGTTCGCGCCATCTTCATGGTCATAAACAAAAGATTTCAAAAAATGCCGAAAATCAGTCGTATCTCTGGAACGATGGAAGATATTTGTGGCAAACAGAAATCTTAAAATTTTGAGTAGAATGGGACCAAATAAAAAAACTGAAAAAAACCCTGTCCTAAGCGGTGAACCCCGTAGGGCATAAATATAAAAAATTTTTAAATCCGCAAAATTGGGAAAAAGGTTTGGCCCCAAACAAAAATAAAATTTGCCAATAAGCTACGGTAAGTCGAGATTTTGAAAGTTAAGGCAAAAACTTCGTCAAAAAAATTAATATTCTAACGTCCATAACGGATAAAATCCAAAAAATTTAGAAGCGTGACAAAATTAAAAAATTTAGAAACGTCAAAAGGCTTTAAATTTGAGAATCTACAGCCACACCAAACAGCAGCCCAAGTCTTTTGTCCAACACTACATTCGATTTTCGGGCAGACAATTTTAAACCGAATACAATGCGTAAGTCCGAAAAGGTCCGCTAGGCAAAAAGGTCCGCAAAAAATTGCTTTCTTTCTGGAAGGGGTTTAGGAAACAGATGGCGAGAGTATAAAATCTTACCTCATCGTACTCAAATAAAGCTTGAATATAGACAGCATGCAGTACTTTCATATCCTTCTTTGCATTCAATTTGTACTCAAATTCTTCCTAAAACAACTAAAAACCGTAAATTTGCACATACTGATAAAAGTTCCAATCTTTTATCCACATCAAACCATAAGGTATTTAACATCGAGTCTCTCAGCTGATGGTAGGCTGCTGCATCAAGACTGGACTGCATTTTAAATAGGCACATACTAAAAAAAACAAACGTCAAGTATGCATGTGTTACTTTATAAGGTAGTCTAATAAAAAAACTGGCTTACCATACATGTAGTAGAGTCAATTTATACCAAGAACTCATGTAATCAGGGAGATTAAACTCTAAAAACGTCTATATAAGACATGGACATAACATAAACATCTTGAGAAGATTCCGTTACATCACCCTTACCATGAATAAGCCTAAGATACGGGAAGTTGTCGGCACAATCATAGTAGAGTAACGTTGCTGCTTTGTCCAATAACTAAACATAAAATTTAGTAGTATTAAGACCAACATACAGCCTTTAATTCACTGTCGAGATTTTTCTCCAGGTCCGTCTTCATCCCCAACTTCTTTTTCAGTCTGATCAACCAATATGGCTCCCAAGAGGGGTTCTCGATCATTTTATTAACATATGCCGAGTATGATTGAGCTTGAGTGGGCTGAATAAATTTAGGGTCGGGCTGAAACATAAACAAATTTAATATCCCTTATGTCTAATATCGAAATAGTCTTCAGTTGTCATGCTAAACAAAAACAAAAGCTTTTTCTGTCAGTGAAGAACTGTTTCAAGGAAAACGAATAAACAACCTCATAGACAACTCCATCACATGCATCACATGACAACCTACCTTCTGAAGTTCTGAAGAAAACGCCCGTAGACCAAAGGCACAATGATGAAGAGTCCTGAGACGTGCTAACCTAATCATACTTACATCTGTTCACTTCTAGAAATTCTCCAAGGATTCCCAAAAAGAAATTTTTTTTTCTGTTGTAACCCGTTATTGAGTTTCCGAACGAAGTGTCAAAACGGTTTTTTATTCTTTTTTCGGAAATATTTTGGTTCGAGCCCATCGATGCATCGAATTGTAGCAGTATAGTTTGTTCTTTTGTCGGAAAGACTGTTATCAACTGCGCAGAGTCAGTGGAAAGTTCTGTTTGTGTCCAGCTGACCGGCCCCGCCTTTTAAGCCAGTCTTTTAATGAAAATCAAGACGTTGTTCTAGTTTCTTTTTGTCGATTGAACTGCGCAAACCTCTTTACGCGCTACAAGTTTTATAATTTCTTAAAGCGTTGTAGTGTGTTTTAAGCGGGTTTAATCATATCATTCGCCATAATTAGGTTTCAAATACGTTCGCGATGTTTCTGAACTTTTAGTCCGTAACAAACATCCTTCATCTGTTGTGTCCGATAAGCGTTCGTTATTTTTAGTCACGAGTTGAACGAAGAACCGGGCTCAGACCGAAGCTTGGTACCTTTCATAGCTTAGCGGAGTGAATGGACCAAAACGATGCAAAGTGTCCACAAGAATGCGGGCAGTCCATTCTACCCCGATCCAAGTTTCCTGAGAACGCAAGAAAACGACGAGGCATGGAGGAAGTCCACCGAAGGAGGTCCGTCCTCCTCATCTTCTTCCCCAAAAGGTTCAGGGCCACGGACAGAAGGTAGATTTATATTAATTTGTTCGTTTTGTTTGTTTAGGTCGCTTCTTTTGGCTTATTGTCGAAAGTTGTGGAAAGGTCACATCCCTGGGGGTATTCTAGACGGGTGTCGACTTTTTCCAGAACTTTCGGAATGTGATTGTCCGTTTTTGATCGAGGTTCATTTTGTCGTATTACGAAACTTTCTTCTATACGTTGGCTAACTCAAATTTTAACTGCGGAAAGTAAATTCAAAAAGCATTAAAAAATTCCACGGGAACCTCGGTTTAAACTTTGTGTCAAGATTTTTATTTTGTTGTCCTGTTTGGCGCCAACTTTTTTCCCTACTAACTGTTCTTTCCCATCTAGTAGCAACCGCATCCCTTGAAGGAGTCCCGTTGGACAAAATAAATCCGCTAGCCGCCCATCAGCCACAGGCCCCACTGATCCAGGGATCGGTGTCCAAAGAAGCAGCCGTCAAGACCCATGTTAATTTAAGTGGCCTGAGTAAGGAGAAAGAATGCCAGATACGAGAACTCTACGACAGATTGGACATGGATAATGATGGAACGATCAATATTAGAGATCTGTCGCTAGCTTTGCAGAAGGAGGTACCACATATTCCGAGCAATTTAGCACCGGTAAGACTGAAGTGTGAAGAATTGTATAAAGGTGGATGTTACACAGGGTGCGGCAATTGTATACAAATTTTAGTTTTCCGCCAAATGTTAAGATTTTTTTCTGAATCCTGAGAGTCTGCATTTTTGTTTGATACCACATATGTTATAAAAACCCAGAAATTCCATCATTTGCATGGTGAATGTCAGAAATATTTTTTTTTCACTGCTTTTATTGGGTACAAAAGGGTCCGCGGAAAAAAGAGCCTTGCGTAGAATAGGGTGCAATCAAAAAATTGCTTCTAAAGGATTAAAAGCTTTTTTAGGCATAATTTTTGCGATAAACCAATTTAAATTGGGCTACAAAGTTTCCGCACCGGTATATTGTGAATTTCTTTGCAGAAGATTCTCCGAACGATATCAAAAGAGGATAAAGATTGGATCAACTACTCTGAGTTTACTCAGTATGTTGTTGAGCATGAAAGGCGTCTGGAAAAGGTCTTCGAAGAATTGGATCGAAATAAAGACGGTAAGAAAACTTCTGGGAAGTTTAATCAAAGTTAGACTTCACTGTCACCATAGTGTTCTAATTGTTCTGCCGGGCTGTTATTACACTCATAAAGCAGTCTCTGGTTCACGTGAAGATTCATTTGATTGTGTTTTGATAGAGATTGCGGAGAAGAGAGAGGCGGTCAGAAAAAGAAAATACCCGATAAAAGAAGGGGAAAGTACGACATGAGGTCTGCTCAGTGACGTATAGGGAAGAGAGCACGGCGAATAATAGATCACAACAAATCACTGAAGAGATTCGAATTGATTCGACATCTGCAATTAATATCTGTACTATCCTTGATTGTTTCAGGTTTCATTGATGAGAAGGAGATCAAAAACTATTGCCATGATTATGGTATGCCACTTAGTGATGCAAAAGCCACACATATCGTCAATCAGATGGATCAAACGGGATCAAGTTCGATAGATATCAACGAATTCAAGGATTACATGTTGCTCTACCCATCAACTGATCCTTTGGAGATTGCCAAATTCTGGAGGCATAATCTGGTAGGATGTTTTTACTTTGATTTGAGTTATTTTGTTGACCACAAAATATGAAAAATTAAAGTTTTCACGTTTTTGTAATTTTTTGTAATCGGCCGTTCTTCGGTCAGTCGCTATGAAAAATGGTCCATAGTAACAACAAGGTCAGAAGAAATGGTTATAAAGAGACATTCTTGAAGGTGATCGACATTGGAGAAGACAGCCAAATCCCCGAGGATTTCTCTCCATTGGAACTCGAGACTGGTGTTTGGTGGAGACATTTGGTTGCTGGGGGAGTCGCTGGATGTATGAGCAGGACGTGCACAGCACCGTTGGATCGACTCAAAGTCTTCCTTCAGGTAAATTGCATTATAAATAATTTTTTCTCTATTAATTTGTTTATTGATATTGTTTTAGGTACATTCGAGTAAAAAGAACCCGTATGGAGTGGTGGGTGCAATAAAATACTTACACGGTGAAGGTGGTGTCAAATCCTTTTGGAGAGGCAATGGAATCAACGTCGTGAAGATCGCTCCAGAGTCAGCTTTTAAGTTTATGGCCTACGAACAGATCAAAAGATTGATCCAAAGGTGGAAAGGAAGCGAAGAGTTGTCGATACAGGAGCGATTCTTGGCCGGATCTTCAGCTGGAGCAATCGCCCAGTCGATAATTTATCCATTGGAAGTGTTGAAGACTCGACTTGCCCTTCGGAAAAGTGGTCAATTGGATAAAGGCCTCATTTCATTCGCCAAACACATGTACAAAACAGAAGGATTAATATGTTTTTATAAGGTAAGGAGGTATACAATGTGATATGTTGAGTTTCAGGGTTACATTCCCAATCTATTAGGTATCATTCCGTATGCGGGTATTGATCTGGCCATCTACGAGACACTGAAAGGACATTATCTAAAACATAATCAGGTCAGCGAGCCGGGAGTTCTGGCGTTACTGGCATGTGGAACTTGTAGTAGTACGTGTGGGCAATTGGCCAGTTATCCGTTGGCTCTGATCAGGACGAGACTGCAAGCAAGGAGTGAGTTTTTTAAATCGTATTAATCTTCATTTTTTCTATGATAATTTTTATTTGCAGCGTTATCCAACGACAAAAACCAGCCAGATACGATGATGGGTCAAGTGAGGTACATCATGAAGAACGAGGGCCCTGCGGGCTTGTATAGAGGCATTACCCCCAACTTCATGAAAGTAATCCCAGCCGTCAGCATCTCTTACGTCGTCTACGAGACTGTCCGAAAACAATTAGGCGCCAAAATGTCATAGAATAAAATGAACATACTGGTTGATTTTAGTGTAGATTTGTGCTCAAGGTCCTCTGCGCGCCCTCCGAGTGTTATATTCTCCATCTGCAATATGAAAATAGGAAGGAATCGTGTCCGAAGACCATATTGTTAACCGTTTTCTTGTCGTCTCAGCATTTTTGACAGCTTCGTTAGTCTTCCACTGTCTTCTTAATCGTCTCTTATGTTCAGGAATTGGTCACATCTTCTCTGTCTAATGTAGCTATTGTATATCTGGATTCATTTACTCGGTGTCGCTTCGGAATAGGGTAATAACTTAGTATTCTGGACAACTTTAATGTCGATAAACTAATTAATTTTACCGTTAAGTGGTGGATGGCTGTGATAAGTTTGAGTTGAAAATCTAAAAATATTGAACAATTTTTATGTGTGAAAATTTGGGTTGTTAATTTGACGGATTTTTTTTAATCTGACGTCAAATTGGCGTCATTTTCGTCGTTTTGACTGAATTGAAAATTTGACAGTGGAAATGACAGAAAAATTAGACATGACGAAAATGTGAGCAATTTGACATCGTGACTAACGCGTCAAGTTGACGACTAAACAACCCTAGTAAAAATCAGTAAGGTCCCTCCATTCTGATTTACCTTTTTTACAGTGATTTCCTGCCCTTGAGATGCTGCAAATTCCAAGTGGACTGACAGCTGAAGAGAAACAGCTTAGAAAGACCTACGAATTTGTCAAGAACATTGTAAGACCTCTCAGGAACGGGTTGTAATCGATTGTATTGGGTCTATTTTGTCTACAGTTTACCATTTTTTAGCGGAAAACCATTGAGAACGCTCAGAAAGCACAACATTTGGGAACAACGGCCGCCAAAAAAAGTACGAATGGAAATGAAGGCAAGTATAATGTAAGATTATGGGCACAATGAGATGATCCAAATGAATCGAGTTGTTTTAGATCTTGATCACAATATGGCCGAAGTCAAAAAGAAGTTGGCAAAGGGAGTAATCAAAGTGGCCAAGGACGAGAAACACACCTTTAAAAGGATTCATGGACAGAAGAGAGAGTTCGTCAATTACGTGGACCAGCCAATTAATATTGATGTGGAACCTGCGCCATCTTCTTCGGATCCAATCAGCGCAAAGTCAACCACACCTGAGACGCAAAACACAAATCTTTATATCCGAGGATTTGAATTGGATTATGATCTGATCCGAGAGACATTTTCTCAGTTCGGATACGTGGTCAGATGTTACATCGAAGAACATAAACGGTAGGTGTGTTATTTGAAAAGCCGATAAAGGATGATTTTTATGTAATAAGTCATATTTCAGAGCTGGATTTATAAACTTTTCGACTCCAGAAGAAGCCGAGAAGGCGCTACAAATGAATGGACAGAGAGTTGGACAATCCAACCTGAGGGTCGAATATGCCAGGAAAAGGGATAATACTCGAAGATATTCACAGAGCCACAGATATAACGCAGAGGAGACAGAGACTAAAAGAGGTAAGATCTTCAAGAGCGGGAGCCAATGGCCAAAAGCGCTTCCTTCTGCAATGCATTGCGTCATGGAAAAAATTTTGGCTGGCCGATCCAGTCAGTCTTTTCGCTAGCCAATAGAAGGTTTGGCTGTAATTTGAACTCATTGGCTTGCTGGTTACAGAATTTTGTAAGATTGGCTGTACATAGTGGGCCAATACCCGATCTGCCTCAAATGAAGGATGGCCCCAAAAAACCTTCCACCGAGGAAAGTGAAAATCTGGGAAAGCAGAATGTCAACGAACCATTATTTTGATATTTTCATATTCAATTTAACCGCAATTTCGGGCAGACATTGATTGGCTCCTCCTCCCTTCTTTCCAAAAGGCCAACTTTCTCGCTCTCTCTCTTGACAAGGAAAGTACTTTTATGGGGGCTCCTACTTTTTGACGGGACATACCTCAAAAAATCAGAAAAAATGTGCTGATCAAGGATATATAAATCTTAGCTGCCCATTTTAGGTTTTTAGGGGTGAAAATGCCCAAAAACTGGCTTAATTTCCCTAAAAAAGGCGCAGGCATTCGAAATGATAAAAAGCGCAGTCGGTCTCTTTCTTCGGAAGAGAGCGGTGTGGCCGAGTGATTAGTGCCGTAGTCTGGGAATCAAGAGGGAGCACGCCGCACGGGTTCGATTTCCCTTTTGGGCTGAATCAACTTTTTTGGAAGTTGAAGGTCGGAAAAATAAATTTTTGGGCCAAGACTGTCTTATTACGTCTTAGAAACTCAATAAACACCATTTTAAGCCAAAATAAAAATTTTAAACCTGTGAAAAATTAAGCAAAAAGGGGTTCATATAGGACTCTAAGTCAACTTCCGATTGAGTTTTCACCCCTAAAAACCTAAAATGGGCAGGTAAGATCTATATATCCTTGATCAGCACATTTTTTCTGATTTTTTGAGATATGTCCCGTCAAAAAGTAGGAGCCCCCATAAAAGTACTTTCCTTGTGAAAAGAATGTTATTTTTGGTCAAGGATGGATTTTTTGGGGGTATTCGCTTGCGCTTTTGGCCGCTGGACCCTGTCCCACACTGTATGTTGTAATATTGAATTTAATTACAGTACGAACTGATTCCAACACAAGCGATCGTCAAAGAGCCATGGTTTCATATGAAGATGGAGAGATCTTTGATTAGTTTTGTAATGCAACGCGTGCATTCGGGATCTCGTTGAACTGATGGGCATCACTTTCGATTGTTTACTACTCTTTATTTCTGACAACCATTAAATTAAAGTATCCCATCGGAAAGGCTATTTTTGAAGTAAAGAGAGCTCCCATTTTAAGCACCTTATGAAAACATATCTTAATTATTGTGTGAATATCAGATTAAATGCTCTCCGGACGTCCCATTAGAGCCACCGGGCATGAAATGTAAGTTTACATTAAAGCATGTCATTGTAGACTTGCCTCTGGCCGTCTAATCTCTTCGCTTTTTAATAATTCACAGCAGAGGGACGTTTTACAACCTTGGCAAACTTTCCTTTCCACCTGTGATTACACCTGTCAGTTCTGCCCTCAGGGCCTGAGAGGAGTGACTCAATGCAAAGAGGTCTTATCATTGCTTGTACAACGATGGTGTTATCACAGTTGCTGAGGAGGGTTTCTGGTGAGAAAAGCGGGATCTTGGAGTTTGGGATACCCTGAGGGAGGAGTTGGTAATGTTATGCATGTCACAACTTATTTTCAGTATTTTTTTAAGAAGTTTATTTTTTGAGCTGTAATTTGAAGTAATATTCTACTGTTAGCGTTTTGGCTAGATCTCTTTCAATATTTATTTTTTTAGCGCCCACAGTAACCTTCTTTATGTTCTAGCCACCCTCTTTTTTTATAGTTTTAAAACTTGTAATTGTACTACTATATTCACATTCATCCTGTGTTTCCCTCCAAATTCCAAACCACGAGCAAGTCTCCGTATGCACCGAATTGGTTATATCCCCTGGAAAAGGATTTACATTCAAGTCATCATCCTCTTTGTACACATTAAGTGCCGATTAAGGGAGTCACAAAATAATTTTGGTTACCAAGGAAATATTTGATTGAACCAAGCCGAGAGATGGATGTCTTCTTGTTGGCTGAGATGGGTGTGGTGGTGATGAATAAGACGGGAGAGGTGATAAGGCTCAATAAACAGCTTCAGGAACACAACTCGAGGGACGGACGGGTTGAGTGGAGAGGTGCTGCACGTTTTTTCGGGGTGATCGTTGAGTCATTGGGAAGTTGCGGCGACGTTTTTCGGTCCTTAAAAGTCTAATTGTAATACAAGTTTGGTTTTCCGTGGGCCGTCTCCCTTTTTCAACTGTCTGTTGCGAAGGGCGCTGAGAAATAAAGAATTAAACTGACATCCGACGGGACGGCGTACCGAATTAAAGCCGTGATATATCATATCATATTGTATTTGACTTTATTCAACCTTTTTTACCGTATTTTAGCCCCAGCTATGGTGGATCCGACTTCAGAAGCGTCTTCCACACTTCCTTCAGCCTCTAGTAACCAAAGTCCGACATCCATAAAAAGTGGGATGAATGACAAGATCCCTTCGAATCACTCTGATCTTATAATCGCCATGATCTTGGCCAGATCCGATGAATTATTTGCGGATAATCGGAAGAGAAAGCCGATTTATAATGCGAGAAGAAAAGCCAAATGGAAGGAGCTGGTGGAGAATCTAAATCAACAACTCGGGATGGACTATTCAGTGGAAAGAGTTAAGAACAATTACCATTACAGGGTGACGTCACTCAAGAGAAATATGAATCGACAAATGACGTAAGGGAATGACAATAATTTTTTATTATTTGGAATACATTTACTATAGGTTTACTAGTAATTTCAGTACTCTAAAAGAGGATGTGTCGCTGAATGAGAGTCCCGCATATCAACAACTCAGTGAGATTGATCGTATGTTATATGAGGCCGTTAAGGCCGCCAACCAAGACGAATTCCAGCCTCCAATTAAACGGAAAAAGTGTAAGTGTAATATCAATCTTTTCGGATTAATTACGGATTATTTTTAGCGCAAGAAAAGAGCGAAGACCCTGAGGAGAAAACGGAAGGCTCTTTCGACCACAGTTTTATCGACCGGTTGTTTGAGAATGGGAAAGAGGAGAGAAGTCTGTCCCCAGAATCCAACGATGACACAAATCTGAAGAAGATTATGGGGCAGATGATCAAAAATCAGGCCGAATCATTTCAGGTAAAACTTGACTTTTTAAGTGCTAAATTTTCTAGGGCACGCAGTTTTTCCGTGCCTTTTTTTGTTTTTTTCCGTGCCCGTTTCTCTTCATGGGATTTGGTGCGCGACTGCTACTCATAAGAGGCAATGTTTCGCCTCGTCCTTCTTTTCGACCAGGCGAAACATTTCGCTGCTACTTTTGACTGATACGAACGGATGACTGGCTTATTAGATAGACCAAAATCAAAGAAAATCTATTAATCTCGAGACGTTTCCTTGCTACGATCACATCAATGATTTTAGGCGTTGCGCAACTTCATGACCGAGCAAACCCTCCAACAGGCCAAGATAATCGAAATGATGGCAGCCACAGTAGAGCTGGTCCGTGAGAGCACCTCTCATCTGGAAAGGGCCTCCAATCTCTGTCCAACTTGTACTGGAAACCTCTTGGAAAAGGTGTTTCAACCTTATGGCCAGAAGGACGGAAAAGAGCCAAATGAATTGAGGATAGAAGAATAAGACGTTTAAATTATTTATTATGTAAATATCACTCAGTAAATGCATCCATTCTTCGACAACTTGTGTCCTTTTGTCGCGCGTGATAAGGAAACCAACACAAACAAACGTCCCATCGTTAGGACCCAAACATATTCTAATATCTCCACCGTTTTTCATTGCATATTGGAAGAGATATTCAAAAAAGGTTCAACAGTCAAGGGCAGTTCCGAATTTGACATGAAGATTTTTTGCAATTTTGGAATAAAAGATTTGAAAGGATATCTATGGAGATGTTCCAACTTCCGCGAATGTCGTTTTAATACATTATAGAAGTAAATTTATAGAGATGAAGGGTTTTATAACGTACTTTATATAGCCTTCTCTTCAGGAAAGGTTAGAAAGCCATTACCTTTATGGAAATGTCATCGCGATTTTAACCTCTTATGAGTAGTTGGATTCATGAAATATGCAGGCACTTGAGGGCTTTAGAAACTTACTTATGATGTGTGAGGCGCTTGCAAGAATATTTGTCATCATTTTATTGTGAACCGCGTGTCTGTCTAGGCTTCTTTTCTCACCCTGATATGTATGTAAATTCCGCCGTTCTTGTTTTTAACATTGTAAACAAAAGTAAATAAGGAAACTGCGTAATTGTGTGGGACTCCCCAACTTGGAAGGAAATCCGATGAGGCCCTCAACCCATGATGCCAATTCCAGCCCGGTTTTATCTCCAGACAATCGTGTCCATTTATTTTTATTTCCATGGATTTCCGAACAAATGAGAATACTGTATTCTGAACCGCGCCATTAGCCAATGCTGGATGGTATCTAGCCTTGGAGACTGAAAAGAGTCATGGCGATATCTGGGGAAGACATTAGTCACATCTCTTCCTTGCGTACAACATCTGCAATCTTTCGGATTATTAATTTGGCTTTGATCTGGACGACGATTTAATTTCGATCTTATAAAATCCCTTTGGATCTTCCATTTCTCGGAATCAAGGGCTTGGATTAAGATCCGGGCTGACGTCTGAACGAACGTTGCTAACTGTTTCTAAAGTTAGGTCCATTGTTACTTTGCTTCTTTTTGTTCTTTTCAGCTGATCAGTCCGAACTCCGGGCTTTCATTAATCGACCTCTCCGGGCGTGTCGTTCTCGGGGCGTTGGGTTGCGCAGGTCTTGACAAACAAGTCTCTTCTCCACTTTCACGGTGTTGATCTCTTATTTTAAGTACGGTAAATCTTTTTATTTTGCGGCTGATGTTCTAATTGGGCGTTGCGGGTATTAATTGTTGGCTCGGGTGATGGGACAGGTAATCGTGCCCTCGGGGGACGGCCCTTATTTTTGTTATTTGCGGTATTTAATTCGCTCGACGCGAAAACAGACCCGACAGCCGCGCAAAGAACGGCCAAGCCAAGGTTCGGCCGTTTCGTAGAGGTTCGGCCGCCGCCTTCAGGCGCCGAATTTGGAGGGATGAGCAGACAAAGGAAGGCTGGCTAAATATTATTAAGTTGTTACTTCCCAACTACACATGCACTTTGCAAAATCTGTACTTGGAAGTCGCGTTCCCGAGCATGTTCATCTTCAGAGTGACCATCAATTTCATTATCTTACTTCTTTAGTCAGTTTTTTGTCATCGATGTAATCTAAGAGTGCATACTCTTTATAAATGCCCTGGGGTCAGGTGGTTTTGCGACTTTTATTTCAACAACCCCTCAGGCCATCATCGTTTTATTGGATGTTTTTTATGAGGTTTGGAGGTTTCAATAAACTCCTGGAAGGCCTATTCTCCCTTGATTAACCGTTCCTTCCTAAACTCCAAATATTCCAATTCCAATAAAGTAATGTCCGCGCAGAATTGTGTTGACAAACACCGAATCTCTAATGTCAGGCCCTATTTCCAGCCCAATTCGACTTCATCGCTGCGTTTTTATTTTGTTTTTTCGACTTTTGTTATTCAGATATTATGTGGGATGACTAATGTAATATTAAAGAACATAATTTAAGCCAGGCTTTTCTTTATTCTCCCCTCCGATGGGAACAGGAACACAATTTTTGGTATCGGGCCTTTTATTTTGGTTGTAATATGCATTCATTAACAGAAAGAGGCCCCTGCAAAAAAATTTTATCGCTAGGAATTGTAGGCCTGGAAGATCCTGAAAATTAATGTAATAAAGGAGGGTAACTTTTCAAAATGTAAGTAGTGCACGTTCCCCATTTGATACTTTAAACAAAAGGAAACAAATATCCTCAAAACTTTGACCATTCCTGGGGAGTTTATTGTCTAGTGTAATATGATTACCCACTAATTGTATTGCCCGTTCCTTTTCTACTTTGCCCTTTATTTCAGCGTCCCCATGGATGTGAATATCTCCTCGATTCCTGTCCCCGAACAGGACGATACGATGCTGATGGCCCATCCTTATATCCGTCTGTTCTTCCTGGCCGCCTACATTACCGTATTTATCACATGTGTTTGCGGGAATCTGGTAATCTTGGTAGTAATAATTACGGACAAATCGATGAGGACCACGACCAATTTCTTTTTGGCCAATCTGGCGGTGGCCGATCTCTTGGTTGGCATTTTTTGCGTCTTCCAAAATGCTGTTCATTTTGTTTTATTTGAGCATGGAGCTTGGCCATTTGGGAAAGGAATGTGTCATTCATACATTTACATATTGCATATGATACCCAATGCAAGTGCAGGGATTTTGGTGAGTTCTTTGTTTGTTTTAAAATTTGTGGAACAGAAGGGGAATGTCGACATCCATGTTTTGCATTTTCGGTGCAGAGCAGCTTTCGATCTGGGTGCGTCAAAACATCTGGACATAAATCGATTCCTTATAATAACTTTTTTCGGGCGGCGTATGAAACTTTTGTCTCTCTTAGCAAGGGTAAGAAGTCCACCCCACCAAAGCCAAACTTCCTTGCCCAGAGGCAGCAGATAAAAAAACTTTTTCAAAGCCGACTGTCAGGCGTCCAGAATATTCGGGTGAGCCCTTTCGAGGGATCGCTTATTCCGGTGATAAAAAAATGCTGCACTGATGGCTACTAAATACGACAAAACAATTTTAAAATTTCGAAATTTTTTGTAATTCTTTTCATTTTTAGGGGTTTCGACCATGAGGAATCCAAAAATGAAATCTGCTAACACAATAAAAAATTTGGATTACTCCCAAAATTTACAGTAATTTTCAGTATTACTTATAATTATAACGACAATAATACATTGTGCTAAATGTATTTTTTTCGCAAAGCAGATTTCATCTTTGGAGTCCTCATGGTCGAAACCCCTAAAATGCAAGAAAATCTAAATTTTTACAGGTCATACATATTTAGTAGTCATCAGCACAATATTTCCTTCATCACCCGAGAATTTGCCACCCCAGAAGAAGATGCATCACCCGAATATTCAAAGAATCTATGGTACCTAGATAGCAGTACTAGGCACCAGAACAAATTTCAGCACCTTCGAAACCCCTAAATCGAGCATTTATGAAAAAATTCTAAAAATTACTATTTTACCGTACTACTTAAGGAAAAAAGTCACAATCAAAAAATGAATGTCATTCTCGAAATCAACACCCTCGATTATCCTAATTTCGACATTTGCATCGATGAAAAATAATAAAAATAATACTTTTCGGTCTCCCCAATCGTCCCAGTTCTTACCCGTTTGCACAATCACGACTTTACTCTTGTACCGTTACCGCCCGTAAATTGTCCAGATCTTTTTTACGCACCCCGTAGAAACTAATTGCGAGTCGCTTTCGGAAAAGTGTGTCCCGGGAATCAGGAGATGAGATTCAAATTCAATTTATTTTCAAACTCGGTCAAAACAAGAAGCTTTGGATGTGTTTAAAGATGTGTTTAATTGAAGTGTTGATCTCTCAGATTACAGTAATGTTTATGGCAAGACTTTAGAGCCCTTAAAGTTCAAGAATCCAAACACTTTAGGCCACTTGCACTTTCTGTTTATTTTTTACAACATCTTCTTTTACAGGTTCTCTTATCCATCGAGAGGTTTATTGCAGTGATCAGACCCATGCTCGTTCATCATCTATTTACAAAAGGGGTCCTTGTTTTAAGTGCTATTCTTGTATGGTTATTCTCGGCTCTGATGAATCTACCATATCTGATCGCTGTCCAATACATAGAACTTCAGAATCGGGTAACTGGAGAGTCTTATGCGATTTGCACTCGAAGATTCTTGAAAATACAAGACATTGATGTCTTAAAAGTGGTAACAACGATGAATTTGTTGATCTGGTATGTGGTGCCATTGATGATTTTGCTGGTAATCTACATAACAATCGGGTTTGTTTTAATGAGGACAACGGAAGACGATTCTGTGGCGAGAAGTAGTCAGAACAAATCCGTCAAGAGCTGTAAGGTTTTTGATTTTCTCGGACCGAAAAAGATTTTTCTTCAACCGTCTCTCCTCATTTCCTATAATGTCTCGCTTTCAAAGGTTTCACAGAGTTAAGGTTAATTTTTGCGTGCCCCCATAAATAGCGCAGATGGAACACACGTGACAAATTTATAAGAAATTCGAGAATCGAATCTCGGCAACATTTCTACACATTTTTTCCTAATTAGATTACCGTCTAAACTAATTATACATATTAATTTTATGTTTACCCAAACAAATTGAATTTACATTATACCGTTAATCCTTCAGCGAATAGCGGCACCTCGCGCAAATTGCCCCGTCTGGAGGCCGTAGACAGTCGGAAGAAGGTAATCCGTCTGGTTGTTGTCATCGTGCTGTCCTTTGCACTGCTATCCCTCCCTCGTTATCTGTACCTCAGCTGGTCCGTTTTTCGTGCTAAAAATGGTAAGTGCGTGACAGTTAAGGCCCTAAGGGCATTCATCTTTTGAGCCCGAGATTTGTGTTTTCAGCGCCCCGATGCCTGAATTGTTTGGCGGTTCTGATTCAGCCGTTGACCTTCCTGTCGTTGTTTGTCAACAGCGGCGTTAACCCTATTCTGTATGCCTTCTTGTCGCAGCGATTCCGGTCTGCCATCGCCAACATGTTCCTCTGTTCCAAGGCGAAAGTAGGTTGGAATCCAAAAGCATTACTTACACGGCTCACGCCCAGTAAACAAACAATCAATTAACCAATTGTTTTAGCGGAAGACCCGGCTCTATCTAAAACAACTCCGTCCGCCGACTCAATCTACAGATCCCATGGCCACAGTAGAGTACAGTAATGTTGCGTATCATGTCCGGAATAAGGAAGAGTACCCGATGAGTCAGATCTCGAGCAGATCTGCTCAGTCTCGACCTCTTCTTATTGATCAGTGAATATCAAAAATTACGAAGAAAAGAACGGGTAATTAAAATGTACAGTATCTTATTCAAATAAAGGATTAACTTAATATAATTATTTAACAATGAGATTGATGTGTATATGGGTAGTTTTGTATAGAGAAAGAGACCCGAAGCAGAGTGATGAGGATGGGGAACAGCGATGTAACTTTATTTGCCGTTGTCGTGAGGTTGGGGGACGGTCAACAGAGAGCCTTGACTCCAGGGATGTTGGAGCTACAATTACAATATTTTTACATATCTTATGCTGTATATAAAAGCTGTATACAACTGACGATAAAAAATTATTTCAAAACCGGGAATTTTCAAAAATCACATTAATTTAAACCCCATGAAAAAGTTTGTCATTAAAAAACATACCAATAAAGGAGCAGGAGTGACCACTGGCGGTGCGACCGTCCTGGCCGGGAACGCCCTCTGGCTATTATATGGCAACTGCTGTTGGGGTTGCTGGGGTTGTTGGAAAAATTGTTGCTGAGGCTGTTGATACGTTTGTTGGGTATTATATTGGAAAGGTTGTGGTTGCAAAGCCTGCTGATGTTGATAATAATGCGAATAATAAGGTTGTTGGGGTTGTCCAAACAGATTCTGAGGCTGTTGTGGAGTCAGTTGTGGCGCAGCTAGATGACTGAAATAATGAGGCTGTTGCTGTCCATAGTATTGCTGGTAATATCTTTGATATGCTTGCTGATATTGAGCATATGATTGAGTGGTGGTTGTAGGAGGGAAAGTTACAGTAACCGGTGCAGTTGTGGTTGGGATGGGATAAGGCGAAACATTTTTCCGATTGGGCGCTGCCTTGGCCACATTTCTGTGCTTAACGGGCTCTCCAACTGGTGATTGTGTCGTTGTGATAAATCTTCTTGGCAACATGGACACCTGACGAGCAGCAAAGGCTCTTGCTGAGTCTTCTTGAGGCTAAAACAATATGAATCACAACTCCTGCATCAATCCCACCTTCTTCCTGACGACTTCTCCATTCAACATGGGTCTCGGGAGTTTAATAATAACAGGAGATGTCCTCATCAGATGTGCCAGCTCATCTCTAAGCTCTGGTTTTGCATCTAATGCTTTCCGTAAGGCCGAAAGATTTCTGTTCACAGCCTTCTTTCTGGCATCTTGTTCTTGTTGTTCCAGTTCATTTTCTGGTTGCCGATCCAACGGGGTTTTGAGATCGGTGGGGGTGGGAGTCGTGTTTTCTCTGGGGGTGCCAATTTCGTGATTTCCTTCGAGCTTTAAATCGCGTCAATTAGTCAGAAGAGCGCAACAAACCTGCTTCGTCAATTCCATCAATTCGAGACGAGTCAAATTGCTCTTGCGTAATGCGTGGATCAACTTTTTGAGTTCCGGTACCATGGTTTGCACATCCTTTTCGTCGATCGGGAGCTCCACAGAGTCATGGCTGTTGGGAGATGCAGCTCTCGGAGGTATCTACAATTAATAATCACAATAATTTACATGTTATTCTCATACCAAAGGAAAGTTCTCTTCGCCAGAATCAACACTGAACTCAACATTAGGTTTAGCCGGTTTCTTGACCTCTCCAAATTCATCATGATCCTCTGGAAATTCTACCGTAATCCTTGGAGACGGTTGTGCTGGTTGTGTCTTCTCTTCGGCCGGTGATATTGCTGGTGCTTCTGTCGTTTCAACCTCTGCCACTGGTGTCTCCTCCTCTTCGTGGGTTGATCCCAGACTTTCTCCAGGTAATAAAGAGACCAGTCCCGGTAAAGGTACCTGTCCACCCGACGATTCTTTCTCAGATCCTTCCGTCTTCTTTTCTTCGGACTTTGTTTTAGTCTCCGTTTCTTTTTCTTTGTTTTCTGTTTCGTCTGGTGTTTCGTGGCTGCCAAACTCCTTTCCAAATTCGCCTCCAAGCTCGTCGATCTCTTAAAAGGAGCGGATCAAATAACCGTTTCGGCGTTCCGTGTATCCTCGACTGAGGAGTTTGTATTCCGTTTCTTAATGGATCCGCAAAAAGTGAAAATTTATGTGTTCTTTTTACGACATATAATTTGATCTTCAGGAGTCAGAAGTTCAGATTAATGGGGGAATCGGAGATGCGCAGGAACAAGTAAATTGCTGTCAAAGATCAAATCGAACGGAAAATTAATGTTCCGTCTGACGAAATCAAAGGTAAAACACAGAATTCGAGGAAAAAATAGCGGGATTCGGGACTTACCCTTAGCTGTGCCTACTCCCGCAGTTTTTGGCATGATCCCCAAAAGATCGGGCAGCCCTCCGGCGCCAAGGCCGCCTCCCCCACCAAGTCCTCCGGCGCCTCCACCATTCTTTTGTTGAGCCAAGATTCGATCTTGTAATTCCCTATTCATTCTAGCCGCATTCTCCACTGCGGCAGGAAACCACGCACTTTCCGAGGCTTGGTTTACAATACCCACTCCTGTTCCAGTCAATTGAAGAGCTGCTTGAGCTAGTTGATACACTAAAAACATAAACGATGTCATCAATTCAAGAAACGAACAACATGTAAACCTTACATTGGCCAACACTTCCAAGAGCATTAGCAGCCCCTGCGGCCCCAGCCGCGCCCGCTGATCCCGCAGCAGCCCCAGCACCGGCCAATCCTCCAAGTGATCCCAATCCCGCTCCACTGCCCAATAATCCCGTTACGATTGAAGCAATTTCTCCGAATTGAGCATTAACTGGTACTGTAGCTAACTGTACGAGTACCACTACTAATACTAGGCGATTACATAATCCATCAGATGGCGGCATATTGGATAAATGACAAACAGCGGGGATTAACAGGTCGGTTTGAAGAAGCGACTGCCTGGGGGCATGAGTTCGTCGGTGAAGTGGGCAGGTTGAAGAGGATCGGTTCGAAGACGAGTCGATGAAGAGAAAACGATGTTATTCCGACGGTCAACGCCTTTCACTCCTCGGCTTCTGTTGTGGTCACTCCAAATTCCTATTTTTTCAAGGTGACGACGTTTATTTCCATTTGCAGTGCGAGCCGAGCCTCCAGCTGAGCCCGGAGGCGGGGAAACGGGTCAGCCATCGCCTGGAGGGATCAGTGTGCGTCCATGAGAAAGACGCCCATCAATCGGTCGGATATGTGGGCAGAGACTTCACCAAGTCCCCCAAAGACATCATGTAGAAGATGGAGACCTCGCGAAGACATCGTGAGTCTCTTTTTGAGTGACGACGTGAGCGTCCCCCCTCTTTCTCGTCAAGTACAATGTCGTGAAACCAAAAACGGCGACTCCGAACCAGTTCTTCGATACGCATCTTGACATCAGACGCACCTCCATCCCACGTCGGCATTTGACTGACCTTTTGTGCGACAAGTGCCTGTTCCTTCGGTGTTTTCGATCCGCTTCAGTGAAAAAAAACTGAAACTATCAACTGCGCAATATCCTCACAAAAAGTTTCTTTGAGGCAGAATGGCGCAATTACATCGTGTTCAAATTGGCTTTGTTATAAAAACTTGAAAACAGTACATGAGGAAGTAAATTGTGTTGTAGCACATTCCGATCGCTCCATTAACCGAAATGTCATCCGTTTAACGTATTTTTGCTTTTCCCATTCCCCTAAACTTGCTGATCCATGGCAAATTTGATCGTTTGGATAGCTCTCCAGGTAATTTCTCCCCGGAGACATACAAACCTGCCTTACTCTTCAAGATAGGATAACGGAAACAACATTTGGGATTTCCCTGCAGGGATTCGGATAGGATAAAGTAAAAAAGTGGTCATGAAAAGAAAAAAAAAATTCTCTACATGACATAATACCCCCAACCTTTTTTACAAACATTGTAAACTCCAACTTCTCCTAATTAGACATCTTTCTGGAATCGATTACGTTCTCTGTTATATTGGAAACGAGAAACGAGTAAAAGATCATAACGATCTTTAGGGATCATTGCAATACAATTGCCACCATCAATATGTTACCAAAACTCCGACGGCACAACTGGAAAAGAAAACAAGCCGGTTTATCCCACCAGCTAAAGCATCTTAAACAGTAAAGGCACGTGCAAGATCCTTTGTAAATAAACCTCATGAGACAACTGGAACATAACACATTAGTAAGATAATGTGAACACAAAACAGTTGATAACAAAAATCAGCAGAATGGTAAGGCACAGAAACAGATGACTCCAATGTTCGGTTGATGTTTTGGGTCAAGTCTTCTGCCATCAACCCATTTTCTCAATGTTTTTTATTTTCAAGCAGAAACATCATGGAAAGCGAAGTTCACAGTATCCCAAAAGAGTTTACGAAACTCCGCTGATTGATAATCTTTGTGTCCATTCTCTTTGCGATTTACCTGATAGTCCATCTGCAAAGTTGAACTTCTTCTGTTGTCTAGGGTCCCCCTCTCAGCCAGTGGGGAAAGTACAAAGAACTGTCGTTACACGAGATTAGGAGCTGATTCCATGCAAATGTAAGTTATTTATTTTTTGGTTTAATATTCTAAGTACATCGGTTCTGCTTTCTCCTTACCCTTAATTTCTAATATTTCTGCTTCAATAGCAGCAGTTTTCTATTTTTGGAGAAGCGAAATGAGAGAATTGTGGGGGAAGTTGTCCTTTAGGTGTTGATATTATATTGAAGGTTGTCCAAAAATAGTTTGTATAGGTGTTCCCTCTATTTTCTCTTTCAGATATTCATCAAAAGGACATTACCCTGGAAAACGGTTTCCGCGGGTTAAATACCGGGCGTTTTAAGAGTGTCCTCTTTGGGGAATATTGCGAAAATTAATCTTTCTCAAGTTTAAAGATCGCTGCTTATTTGGGATGGGATTTTGTATTTGAAGGGCAAGGACATTATATCTATAATAATTTTTACAACTAGTGTTTGCCATCGGGAAGTTCGACGACACGGAAGATTGTATAATTGTTATTGGCGGAGTAAAATTGGAGCAAAACTCGAGAGAATCCGAGTGTTTTTCTGCTTTCCCCCGTCCCGTCCTTCCCCCTTCCCCCAGCCGCTCCGACAGAAACGAAAGAATTGGTTGCGAGGCCTCAACAGTTGGACGTTTAGGGGTTTTTATGAACATCTTGGGTTGGGTGGTGGATGTGTGGGCTTGTTTCTCCGATCGATGGGCGATCATGGCTTCATTCGGTGTTCCCGGGACTCCATATTTTCCTCGAGTCCAGCTGGCATCGGCTGTCGAACCGCGATCGTTGATATCAATTGTTTTTGAGATAACCATTTTGGAAATTGGGTGTGAAGATAAAAAAAAATCTTCTGAGAGTTTTTTTTTTAATGTACAGGATTTTGGATGGAATACTCAGAGTATAGTGCACTGCTTTTATTTTTCCGATTCTTCCAATAATTCTGAATGTTGTTTTCGACTCTCCGACAAGTTTTTGCTGAAGATTTATCTTTGAAAACGTCCCGAAAGCATTATTTTATTACTCTTTGTTACGTTCCCTGCGTGTGTCGAGGAAGTAATTTATATTTTCCAGGCCGGAATTACTTTGTATTTCAATATTAATGTTTTTAGTACGCCATGGCGACGGGTTCATTGATCGTTCGTTCCCAATCTACCGAAGACCCGTCCACTTCGGAGTCTTCTATGGATCTCAAGTCTTCAGAATCTTCGAATTCCTCCTCTGATCGTCGTGCTTCCCTCTCTGCTGCCGACTGTTTGGCCCCTCGAAGGCATTCTTTTAGAGAAGTTAGACGCGTTGCTTCAAGTTCGGATGAAGACGATGAGGAGGAAGATGGATGCCAGAAGAAAAGGAAATTCTCCATGGATCAGCATCGACCTAGAAGTCTGAGGAAAGAAAATCGCTGTAGAAGTGAGCTCCCTTGCTTCGTGAGCAAACTCGCCGATTTGAGTGGAGCCTTCAGTCCCTCGGCTAGAATAGCCACGTCGAGTAATATGGCTTCCGAATTTTTGGCTCCGAGTCCGGTGAATAAAAAAGTAAGTGACGTTTCCGTTTGTTGGTTCCGTTTTTAGGCTTAGATTATGACTACTAGTCGCGACATTAAGTCCGTAGAATTTTCTGCACTGTGCATAAACCCGAAAAACCATTTTGCACTGTGCATTCACCCGAAAACACATTTTGCACTGTGCAATTTTGTTGATTTTGCCTTATTGTCGCGCGCGATTCCCGTTTTTCGCAGCGACAAATCAACATTTCGGAGCGCGACGGAATTTGGGGGCCGCGAAAAATTCTACGGACTTTATGTCGCGACTAGTACAACTAGAAATTTTCAGACCCAAATAAGCCGACCAAACTCTCCATTAACCAATTCGAGTGTTCTCCAGCGTCCTTTAGCCGTGGCTTCTCGCCACCGATTGGCTTCCATCAGAAGAGAGTCAGATTGTGGGCAAGAAAATGAGGTTGCTCATGAGAAGATGGTAAAGACAACCCAGCAAGTATCAACTGGATTCGAAGACTTCTGTATCGATGATAAGGTGGCAGAGGAAAGAAAGAGGGCCAAAAGTTTGGCTGAACCAATTTCGGTGTTCACTAATGCCTTCTTACCTCAGAGTTCGTCTCCGTCGCCTACTAGAAGCGCAGTGGATGCTCAAAAGGTTAAGGTAAGCTTTATTTTATTTATTTTTTAGTCTTTAAACAGTATCTTTATGCTAATCGAGTATTTTTAGCAATGCTACTCCCCATCCACTAATCAAATGGTCAGAAGTAATATTTCTTATTCTCCAAGCCCGTCTCCAACTCCCGCCAGCCCCACCAGATCTCGAATCATGAGAAGTATGTCTCCAATAGCAGTCCGACAAGTGTCTAAGAGAAGATATACTGCTACTGGCAGTTTGTCTGGGATTGAAAGCGATAATGAAGGGCCAATGAAGTAAGCCGAATTCATCGAAAGTTTTTATCTATATACGTTTTTTGATATTTGATATTTTTTCTGATTTTAGTGGCCAAGCTATTGCCAAGAGAACATGTATGGTTAGAAGTGCCGCCTCGCCGTTGGTTAGAGACTCCTTGAGCGCAGTTGATACTCAGTCTGACTACCGGTCGTCTTCTCCACAGTCTGTTTGCTCCAACTCCAGTTTTACTCCAGTGAACAGGGCGAGGTACCCGGATAACGTTTCAAATCATCAGAAGTAAGTGCTTTCCGATTTCGAGATGATATTACAATGTTTTTAATGGTTTGATTTTTAGTTTTATTTTTATGATGGGTTAATTGTGTTGCTTCAGCTCCGTTGATTCGGATGACAACGCGACCATTGATGAGTCGCTAACCGATCAGTTTTACTTGAATGCTCCTAATGATACTTGCTCTACGACCTCTATCTCACGCACAGAGACCCCTGTCGACGAGCAGATGCTGACGGAAGTAAGTGCCGACCTTGACCTTCACTTTTCTCACGTTTAATATCTGAAAAAGTGCCAACGGAAAGAAAGGTTGACTTGCAGGCCTGAAAAGGATTGTTTTTCATACTTTTGCACAAACAGAACTATTATAAGGACTAATTAGTGTTTGCGAGAATAGAGCATGAATACAAGAGCATTAAAATAAGTGGGTAGCGAAAGAGTAATAAGAAAATTATCAGAGGTTTGCTTGTTTTTGGAAAAGTAACGTTTTTCTAATGTTTGTCACACAACTTACTCTTTTTAGGAGACGGAGTCCAGTTCGGTGGTGTTCGGGCCTCGGGCACAACCCCTTTCCATCCGCGACAGCCCTCTTCCCCCACCTTCTCCTTTGGCCTCCAAGTCGATCACATTCACTTAACCCATCGACTCTGGTGTTGTGAAATGATTGCAATGTCTGTAGATCTCTAAAATCATCTTCTTTTGTTCTTTTCGGTTTTAAACTTGTAGTTGTTACTGTTATTCTTTCAAAACTTACCGGTTTTTTGCTTAAGAAGTGCTGTTTTCAATAGCATAAGGGGTATTTTCTTGTGTTCGAAGTGGGTTTCCTTCGTAGGGGTTCCGTATAAGATATCCCGGTATGCGAGGTGTGTCTTCTTCTTCTTGCTTAGGTTGTAAATACTGTCTAAGTTAATTGCTGTAATAATTTTTTAACACTTTTTCCAATTTTAACAATTTTAAGTTATTTTTTTATTTTTTGCAAAATGATAAAAGTAATTTTGACCGGACTTGATCGTAAATTGTTCCTTCTTTGAATAATGTATACCTCAGAAAGTACTTTTTTCTTTAAGATTCCAATTATGGAGTAGCTCTAGATGCGCGCCCTCATATTTATCTTCATGGCGACATCAGTTACAGCGATTGGAGGTAAAACTCCGAAGGATTCTGATCCAATTATTATTGTTGGAGGGGGCTTGGCTGGTCTTTCAGCTACAATTGAAGCCTTGGAACATGGCGCGGATAAGGTTTATTTAGTCGATAAGGAGAAGGATCTCGGTGGAAACAGCGCGAAAGCAACCAGTGGTAAGTAATATTATAAAAAAAGAAAATTATTTGTTTTACTTTAGGCATTAATGGTTGTAACACGGAAACTCAAAGAACTCTAGGAATCGAGGACAACTGTGATAAGTTCTACACGGATACCGTAAACGCTGGGGACAGAGAAAACGACGCCAACTTGGTCGATGTTTTGGTAGCGTTACTGTATTTTGTTTTATTTACTTTTCAGGTTCGAAACTCCGAGGATGCAGTCGAATTTTTAATTGGAAAGGGTGTCGATCTCTCGGCAATCAATCTTTGTGGGGGTCATTCTGTCCCCAGAACCCATTGGTAAGTTTTATATGACTCGTTTTTGTAAAGAAATGATTTTGAATATTGTTTTAGGCTCCCATCGCCCAAAGAAGGCAAGCCTCTTCCAGTGGGCGTCGCCATTATCAGAGCATTGAAAAAATATGTCCATGGGTACAAAGAACAACATCCAGAGAAGCTGGAGATCCTCACTGAGACCCATGTTCTTGGATTGGTCACCTGGAATGAGTACATCACTGGGATCAGATATAAAACTGCGGCAAATGAAAACATCACCGAACTGAATGGAAAGGCCGTCATCTTGACTACTGGTGGCTTCAGTGCGGATAGAACTGACACCTCTCTCCTCTCTCAGTATGGTCCTAAACTGTCTCCTTTGCCCACCACAAATGGCGCTTTCGCCACTGGCGACGGAGTGAAGATGGCCAGTGCAATGGGAGCAGCGTTGGTGGGAATGGACCGAATCCAGGTTCATCCAACTGCATTTGTTGATCCTAAGGCCCCAGATGCCCAGACTAAATTTTTGGCAGCGGAAGCGCTGAGAGGGAAAGGAGCTCTGTTGGTAAGTGTTATGTAAGGTTGATTGATGGTAAAGAAGAAGATACGATTTAATTTTTGAATTTCAGGTCAATGAGAAAGGCGCCAGATTTGCTGACGAACTCGGCCGTCGCGATTATCTAACCAGAAAAATCAACGAGAATTGTGCCAAAGATGAGGGGGCAAAACTTCCAGTCGCTTTTATGGTACTCAACGATGAAGCCGCAGATGGCTTTGGAAGACCGGCTTTTAATTTCTATGCAAAGATCAAGGGATTCTTCAAGGTATAAAGGAAACGAATTTAACAGTGGATGTACTGTTAAATATAGAATTTAAAGGTGTTATTTTTTGCTATTTTAGGAGTTCAAAAATGCTGACGAAACGAAGGAAATCTTTGATGTGGAAACTTTTAAGAAGACGATCAGCGAACACAACGAGAACTTCGAGAAGTCTAGTAGCAATAAAAACTTTAAGGATTCTTTTGGAAAGCATGTGTTCCCAGTTAAATTTGATTTGGACAAACCGTTTTATGTGGCCAAGGTCACCCCGGCCATTCATTACACAATGGGAGGACTGAAGATCGATAGAAATGTAAAGTTTTTGTGTTTGGTTACGAATTGTATGATGTCGAATGCATTCTAATATGATTACTTTTCAGGCCTTTGTCTTCAGTGAGTTTATGGAGAAGCCTTTCAAGGGTCTTCTGGCAGCTGGTGAGGCTTCTGGAGGAGTCCATGGAGGGAATCGATTGGCCGGAAATTCCCTTTTGGAATGTGTTGTCTTCGGTCGAATTGCTGGCCAATCCGCGGCCAGAATCACCTACTCCGGTCATCAGGAGTTGTAGTCACTTGCAGATGTTTGTATAAGTTATTACCGGTATCTCTTAGCCTCTAATTTATCAATAAATATTATTACCTCAAAAGCTGAATGGTTAACATATTTTTTTGCTGATATTATAATGGAAGTGAGGGCCTATTCTAAAATATTTTATGTTTTCAGATGGATAGCCTACGCTCTATTCATATCAAATCTTCCAACACCTTATCCATAAAAGATAAACAGTTTGGTTTTATTTGTCCACTATCACATTGATCGCTCCATAATAATGGGCTTTATTCTTCTCTCTTCATACGATCTAAGCGTTTCCAAAAGTTGGAAAGAAAGTTTTTGAGAAAAGAAGATTAGGATTAGGGCCTAAAACCATTTCAAGTCGGATGCGCAACAAACACCCCCATGTCCTCCCTATTTCTTTTATATGTATTTTAACGTCGATTCAAATCAATAGGATACTGTGGATTTTTCAATTAGTAAAATTTGAATCTCCAAATGTTAAGATTACTCATTATCTGGCCGCTCCTGATCAGAAATATCGAATTCAGTCTTTCGCAATTAATCATTCCACTTCCAATCCGATTCTGCGATTCTCCACATTATTCTACAGGGAATTATGGAAAAAACTATTCATTAATAACTTTGTGCTCGGTGGTCCAATCCAAAAAATTTTTTTTGCATTTTACAGGAAAACCTTTGAGTTTTTAGAATCAAGAAAAAATTTTTTCATTGATCGGCGGAGACTCCGGTAATCCTCCTTGAATTCGGCGGAGTGCGTTTTTCACAAACGAGGCTGCAAATTGTTGTATGTGTGAAGTAAATGGGCGGGAGAGGATTCAATAGATACAATATGACATTTGTTTCAATTTTTTTTCATTCGGCGGAGACATTTTTTAACCTCGGCGGATGATTTTTCTTCGACTTTTGAGAGTCAAAATTGGCTAAAACCAAAACGTAGGTATTCCTGGTGGCATGGCGCCTAAATACGACTTATTACGTCTTCGGCCTACTGAGAGAAGAAAAAAAGGCAATTCGGCGGAGAAATCGGCGGAGAAAAAAATGAACCCATTTTACAGCCTCGTTTGTGAAAAAAGCACTCCGCCGAATTCAAGGCGGATTACGGAAGTCTCCGCCAATAAAACGAAAAAATCTTTTTTGATTCTAAAAACTCCAAGGGTTTTCTGCAAAATACAAAAAAAAAAAATTCGGATTGGACCACCGAGCACAAAGTTATTAACGAATAGTTTTTTCCATGATTCGTGGAACACCCTGTAGTGTACATTCCATCGCTCACCTATCAAGGATAATATGCATACAAATATCCCTGCGATTCTTGATGGGCGTCAAGTGACGTCCCTAGCATCAGATCCATTACCTCCTCAAATTACAGCCCCACTTCCCCGCGAGCGGTTTTATTTACGAAAAAACTTGTAAAATATTTATTTTCCGCGCACTTTGAATACTCTAACCGCTCGGACTCCACTAGTTTTTACAACGTTTTGCGCGCGGTAAACGAAAAAGAATCCGATTTCACTCCGGATTTTTATTCGCTGGCTTCTGGCCAAGAGAAACCCTGAGGCAATTGAAGGTGGGAAGAGGGAGGGGGATTTAATGAAGGGGTTGCTTTGGTCTCTCAATTATTATATACGATTTCTTCGGTCATACGGACTTTTTAAGGGGTCTATTTATTAACATAGACAATATAACCCGTCCTGCATATTATTCGCTCGCTTCCCGCGGCTCACGACTTTTTGATTTGACCTTGTTTGACAATAGAAATGGCGTTTCGATATTGTACAGCATGACATTTGGAGGTCTTTGCTCGCTTTTTTTCTCAAATTTTGATGTTTTAAGTATATACAGGCTGGTAAATCTCGGTGATATAACGCGTTGCCGTCTGGGGACTCAAATTTGGTTTGTTTGAAGGACTACAAACAACAGACTAATGTAGTTTAGATGTTGGCATTCACCTCTTTTACTTCATGGGAAACAAACCCCTTTTATTACTTCTCCCTTCCTTTCTTATGATCACAACAAACTTGAGACTAAAATACGACTTTTTAATTTGTTTTGCGCCGTTGGATCGCTTCAGGCAATTAAATATATTTCCAGTTAATTGTTTATGATGGGTAAATCGCCACACTTTTTTACTCGGTAAAGCGTGTACGCCTTCCTCTTTCGTCGTCTGGATATTAAGATATTCTTCAAGACATTCAGCCAGCCCAGGTCATTTATTCAATCTCCTTAAGTGCCGCAACCAGAAATTACATCTAAAGAAATGTTTTAGTGGCCATTTGAATCTTTGTTTTTGTTTACTTTAAAAAATTATTGGCATGTATTTCGTTGTTTCGTGGTGCTTGATATTTAAATTTTATTTTGTTTTAAATCTTTTTGTCACCCATTTGTATGGATAGCGTTCCGTTCTATAGATTAGTTTTATTACGAAGATACAATTGCAGAAACGTTGCACACTTGTGTGTTTGACAGATACGTCACATTATGTTTGCATTCCTCGCTCTCTCTACATTTTATGTCCCTGTTTCCATAAATTTTTATTTTTAATGCTCAAAAATGACGATGGAGATCAGAATTTACGACCGTCTTCGGGTCGTGCCATATAATATTACACTTATTTGGGTCAAGTGTGAAGTCGCCGCGAGTCCAGAACAAAGTGATGTCATTTGAGTTGTCCCAGGTACTGTAAGTAGGGCCCTTTGCAAGTATAAAAGGTGGCATGTATTCCATGTGCAACACTTGTATTTTTGCTTCCAAAACAATAACAATGTTCTTTCTGGAAGGCCAAGTGCCATGATCACATCATTTGCATTGTTTTGCATCCATTTTCCGTGGTAATTATCTTTTTCCCCTCAGGCAAAACACCCTGAGAAACGTTACTTTCCGCACTTTCTCAGGTAGATTTCCAAATACCAACCAAAACTATTCGAATTCCCGCCACTTTTCCCATGCTCTTGGGCCTGAGAATGAGGCCGTGGTAAGTAATTTGGATGGTTCCTTGTCTAAGAAAAGAGTAACCGAGTAGTTTTTCCTCCCCTTTCTTCCACATTAACTCTCCCGGTCACTCGCCAACATGGCCAGTTAGCGTTGGAAACGGGCCAGAAACAGGTGAAATTCCTTTAGCGGCCCTCAGAGCAAACGGATTTAATTTTGGCGCGGGGTTTTAATGGATTGCAAAATTTCTTTTTCCTGGTCATTCTACATAGTAATTGGGGATTACAACGAAATTCTGGATAAGTCGTCTTGAATTGAAGAGTTTGGAATAAATTCGGGGATAGAAACGTAAAAAATGGTTAATGTGGAGTAATTAGTAAAAAGTTTAGTATTTCTTGTTGGGAATTATGTTACATTTTGTTTGGGATTTCAAAATTTTCGCACATTGGCGGTTCGGGAAGGCAAAATGTCAATTATATTTTATTAGATTGCACAATGTTTAATTATTGTAGCGGTTGCTTGAGTACAACAAACTGAAAGTCAGGCGATTATGACACGGTATCGTCGATTATGACCGACGATTGCCAGTAGCTGGCAGTTTGGGGGTAGCCAAGACTTATTTACCATTGAAATGAGAAATATTTAACAATGTTGCGGGGTCATAATCGCCTGTTTTTTTTGGTTGTTATACGCAAACAACAGCTACAAAAATTAAATCTTGTGGCGGCTAAACCTTGCCCCGAGTATTTTTCACTTTTCCCAATTGCCGTTGTCCGCCAATCGACCACTCTCCCGAAGAGTTCACCTCAGAAAGATGCCGTTTTTTTTTTTTTTAATATTTCAATGTTCAAGTCTGTCAAAAACTATTAATTATTGCGCAAGACGTAAGACACCACTTAAAATTTTTTAAAAGATAATCGAAATGTTTCCTCCACTAAAAGACTGCTCATACATGCTTTTCCGCTGAGTGTTTTTATGATTAAATGAGCTTGTAAGTTGAGTCCTCTAACCCATAACCTCCCTTACATTCAGGTGGTATAACGCACGATGGGTAAACATAAGCACATCAATTGGCCTTCTCCCTATTCCTTACTCATTTTCTCGATCTTTTATTTGTGTTAAGGCTAAGTTGATTGTACAAAAATAGCCCGGGCAGTACCAGGAAGTGTGGGGATACTGGAGAGTAATTATGGCTGATTAGAGCGCTGTTTTAACACCTCCGGATCCCCGGAATATTGTTTGTCTTTGGTCTTGTCCCTGAGAATAATAAACGGCCAAGGGCGGGAGGAACAGTCTTTGAACAAACAGTAATCTCCGCGCTTCTTCTGTTTTATACATTTGACTTTATACTCCTTGACGTGGCCTTTGATTGCGGCCAATTCAACGCTTTATTTCCACGCATTGTACTAAGCAATGACCTCAAATTTTGGGTTTACAGAGAGTTTAGAATGGAGAAGAAACAACTACATTTGGCACTTCGTTTCGTTACATTTTAGGCTATACTTTTAGCACTTTTCCGATATAACAATTACCGGATTATCGCCTGAAACGCTCTCATTTAGTACCTGAATTGTTACGTAAAAAAGATGACAGGATTACTCTCAATTCGTCTCTTTTACATTTACTTTTTCACAATTCAACAATTACTTTTTTGCCTATAAACAAAAAGAATATTGTTTTCTTGGTGATCACGATCAGTCGTTTTGTCAGAAAAATACAAAGACACTCTTTGTTTCGGGCACTCCGGCAATTAACTGGCTACATTACTGATTTACAACTTGCAGTACTTTTTAATGCTATCCATAGTACGAATAAAATAAATGTTTAAAGCGTAATAGAGGGGGATAATGAGATGGCCCTGAATAAATTAAAGGCCCCAGGGCCTCTATTTCTTTTTGAATCAGAGGAGAAACGCCTCATGATAGGATTTTTTTTGTATGATGGGATTGACGCAATAATGGAAATTAATGGAGTGGGGGGAGGACGTTTTGCAGATAACTGTCATTTTAATCACCTAGAACATGATGGTCCTAATTAAGCGTTCCATCATTTTATAGTTAATCTATTTTCCCCTCGCTGGCAACAGAAAATAGGCCGCTTATATTGAGCATTATCATAATTCTCATCAATTTGATGATTTCTTTCGGAGAAATATGAATCTAGTGTTTTCGTTGCTTTCTCTTTATAAACTACATTGCTTTGCCTTAATAAATCCGCCTTAGACAATCCCGGTGACACCCTTTTCTCACCCTTGTCATCCTCACATTTATTGAGGTTTATATTCTAGTGCCGGGATCCGTTGAACTCGAACCCATCAAAGCCTGAGAGCAAACATTTTGAGTCCTATATTCTGATAGGTGAGTCACAAAATAAGATTCGAAAACATCTTCGTTCCCGCTACGCATTATGTTCTTATCGCCTTAAGCGGTATCAACGCCCAATCGCCCTCTCATTTACGTAAAATGCCGCTTATCAGCTCACTTCGCGTATTATTAACCTCGGGTCCTCAGGCCACATATTTAGTCCGACGATTTGCTAATCATTCCACAGTATCTTCTTTTGAAAACAATATAAACAAAGTCATTAATTCATTTAGCGCGCTTCTGTTTGTAAATATCGACGACAGGGTTCATTGATGATATAACTTTTACAGCACGCCGTACAGCCAAATATGTGCTCCTTTATCGGCCAAATCTTATATGGAGCGGTAATGCTGGCGGCTCTCGGATTGACACTGGGATCCATGTTTACCTCAGGTAGTTTAACGGACTTGAATCTTCAACGATTTATTTTTATACCAGACATGGTTAAAAGTACACCTGACCCGACCCCTTTAAAATTTTTCAAAGCCCGGCCAGGCGGGACATTCAACTCAGCAGGGTCTTAAAGTACGGCCGCCCAAAAAATTTTTTTTTGTTATAGCTGTACTCTCGTTTATTACTAGGCCGTTTGCAAAATCACTGGAGTGATTTTCGCGACATGCACTCTGAGAAAACAAAAGCTGACTTTACATTGCAGTGCACATGTGCATGCACTGTGCAATTCGGCTTTTTGCACCGTGCAATAAACTTTTTCGGGCTGTCGCTCGCAGCCTGACTTTCCTTGCACAGTGCACGTTGCCGAAATGCTCAAAGCAACTCCGAAATCTCTGTCATGCTCCGTTCTTCGACAAAAATATCCAGTAATGTCGATCCTCTTATGTTTTACATAAAGTTACTTTACCACTTAGTCGCTCGTGAAACGCATCCAAATGTTTCGTTTCATCCAGTAAAAAAATAGTAGAGCGGGTCGGGCCTTTCTGTGGCCCAAAGGCCGGCCCCAAAAACGGCCCGGCTCCTTTCAAAATTTCCAGAGCCCGGCCCCCCAGCCATGTTTGGTTTATAGTTCATATTGGAAAACTTGTAAATAAATATAATTATAGAATGGCGAAAAATAACGGACACTGGTCGAGGCGACTCCTCAGGGGGATTATTCAACTTTGACTGCCAATTCAGCGATTTAAGTCAATGCAGAAGTGTCTTTGATGTAAGTTTAATAAATCATCACTAATATTGTCCTTCGAGAACACCTTGTTGAATAATCTTTTTAGTCCCGAGAAACCTGGGAGAAAGTAGTTATCATCGCCATGATCGTCGCTGTAATTCTGGAAGCCTTGGCCGTCGCTTGGACCGTCTTCACCTTCTTTGCCTGCTGCTGTCGCAAGAATATGTTATATCCTTACGCTGGCTTCGCATTATGCTCCTTGATCGCTCTGGTTTTGGCGTTGGCATTCTTCTTCGCCCACTATAAAGATCAAATCGGCGGTGGTAAGTAAAAATTTTTTTATACATTTGAACGGTATCTCAAGTGTTTGGCCAAATTTCAAAACGTTTCCTTCCACGAGAAAAAACAAATTGAGTGCAAATTTTGTTTAGAGACTCCTGGGTTTGTTTGTTTTAAGCGAGTTTGTACAATGATTCATCCTTGCCTGATAATTTTGGTACCAGAAAAGTCATAAAACTGTCCTAATGTGTACGATTCGGTCGCAATTGCAGACAACCCACGCTTGCGCCATTTCCATCTATCATAATGACATAAACAATTTTATATCAATGATGACCTTTTGATGTTGAAATTTACGGTAATAATCATCTCTTTTTCAGTTTCCACCGACTTGAATAGCATCACCGGTCAAGCCAATCTCGGCTACAGCTTCTATCTAGGCTGTGGGGCCGCCGTCGCGAATATAATCGGACTTGTGATCGGCGGACTCACCTCCTGCCTGACCTCCGAAAAGTAATCATATCAAGGACTTACTTCTTCACTCTGAATCCGGGTCATTTTGGAAGAAAACTCTGAATAATTAACTCTTAATTAATAGTTTGTAAGGCTTGTAAATCTCTATTGGCGTGTGTATATTTCCATAAATTTTTATATAAAACGAATTCTTATCGATGGGATGCCTTGATTAGATAAGAAAAAGAAACGAACGGCCAATAGATTTGGTCATTGTCTGCTCATATATGACTTTAAGATGGAGCCAGAACTAAAGGAGAAGTTGTTGGCTCGGGATGACATAAGTTTGGACTTCGAGGATGCCCGATCTGTGATCGATAATGGACATTACTTTAGGAATCCCGATTTCTATGAAAGAGCGGTAAGTTAGAGGCGCAAAGGTGATAGTTTCAATAATGTCGCTCTATCAATCCGAATTAGATACAGGAAAACTTCCAAAAAATTATCAAGGAATTTACAAAAGTTTTGTCATTATGACGTATTTTCTAGGCGTTTTTTTATTTCCGAATGGAAGAATAACTTTTGCAGCTCTCTATTGCTACTGTTCTGCCTCCGATGGAGTTAACTTGGAATAACGTTACCGTATTTGTAAGTTGTCAAAAAAAACCACCTTATTTTGCGAATCCAAATGTGAATTATGGCTATTTTAGCCCATAGAAGACAGTGAGAAGAGTTGTAGCTCTAGACTGGGCGATCTCTACAATGCCATCATCAAGGAGAAACCTAGTAGGATACGAAGGGGAAGAATTTTGGACAGTGGTATGTCTTTTTGGATGTTGTTCATGTTGATTTGATGCAATTGTTAACTCTTGTCTTTCAGTCTGTGGAATTGCTCGATCTGGAGAAGTTCTGGCGTTGATGGGAGCTAGGTAAAATAATTTTTTTATGTTGCGTTTATGGGCGTCAAATTCATGGATTTTTCTTCATCCTCATTTTTAGTGGTGCTGGAAAGACAAGTCTCCTAAACATCCTAACTCAACGAAACTTGAGTACGGTTCGAGTAGAAGGTGAGGTTCGAGTAAATGGGATAAAAATGGGCAAAGAGCAGTTGCGCAAGATGAGTGCGTATGTTCAGCAAGATGATCTATTTATTGGCACAATGACTGTTATGGAGCACCTCAAATTCATGGCAACATTGAGGATGGGACGAAGTTATTCCAAAGCTGAGAGGGAAAGGAGAGTGTACACTGTTATGAATGATCTGGGTCTTATCAAATGTGCAAATACGATCATTGGTACTCCGTTCCAATCTAAGGGACTTAGTGGAGGAGAGAGGAAACGCTTGGCGTTTGCTTCGGAGGTAAGGTTACTGAAAATCTGTCTTTAAAATTTGCGATGATGGTTCATAACTGTTAGGTTGTCCAATAAGTACGGTTTTGTAAATGTCGTTTTTCCGAAGTTTTTTTTGTACGACCAAATTCACCGTGATAACAGCAGTCGATTTAATCAAGATAATTCTCAAAAACATTACTCATTGTACAACCTACCTAATATTTTTCAGATTCTGACAAGCCCTCCTCTTTTGTTTTGCGATGAGCCCACGTCAGGATTGGACTCTTATTTGGCGCAACAAATTGTTCAACTGTTGAAAAATCTGGCCAAAACAAAGAATATGACTGTGGTCTTGACAATCCATCAACCTTCCAGTCAGGTCTTTGAGTTGTTCGATAAGTAAGTAGCGGATATTATTTTAAAAGTATGTTATTACCTAAATTCGTGAGCAGTTTATGGTTTTAGAGTTTGTCTATTGGCTGATGGAAGAACAGCTTTCCTTGGTTCCATGTTGGAGGCATCAATGTTTTGGAAGGGAATGGGGATGAACCTTCCAGATAATTATAATCCAGGAGACTTCTTTATCAACACTTTGACCCAAGATGAAAAGGATAAAAAGAATAAAAAAGCAAAGGTCAGTCGGTTTTATAATTTTGATTCGAGTTGTAGAAGATTTGCGATGCCTTTGATACCAGTGATATTGGGAAGGAGTTGAAGAAAACTGTGGCGAAATTACATCAAGCTGATACCAGCGGATCCAGCAATTCAGATAGTGATATCCACAGAACTCATGATGTATATTGGAATGACAAATACAAGTACCGATCAACGTAAGTAATCGCTTATTGTTTTCGATGTCTAGCTTTTGTTAATTTATATTGTTTTAGATGGTTCCAGCAATTTGTAGTGCTTACCAAGAGATCTTTTCTCGTTACGATCAGGGAACCAATGCTATTAAAAGTCAAATTGATCCAAACTATCATTATCAGTATCATTCTTGGACTCATTTACTTCAATACTCCGGTCAAACAGTCAACCATTATGAATATCAATGGATTACTGTATCAAGCTGCTAGTAATATGAATTTTATGTTCCAATTTGCTGCGTTGGGAGTAAGGAATTTTCTGTTATATCAACCCGATTTTTTTAAAATGATTCTATGTTTTTTAGATGATTTGCGCGGAGTATCCAATATTTTTACGCGAACATCTCAGTGGAACTTATCGAGTCAGCTCGTATTTTCTAGCCAAAAATGTTGCTGAGGTATGATAAAGTTGTTCCATTGTTTTACATGGCAATGCTTCAATTTTTAGCTTGTCCAATACATCGTCTATCCAGTTGTATTTTCATCGATAACTTACTGGATGTGCGGACTCTACGCATCTTTCTGGGCCTTTTTGATCTTTACTTTCAACACAATCCTCATGACAAACGCCGCTGTTTCTGTTGGTAAGGTTTTATTCACGTTTGGTTATTGTTTACTATGTTAATTATATTGTTCCTGATTTCAGCTTACTTTTTTGCCTGTCTTTTCCCTTCAATCAATGTTTCTTCTGCCATCATGCCCATCTTGGTCATTCCTCTCCTCGCTTTTGGAGGTTTCTTCATTAATCAGAACACTCTACCTTGGTATTTTATGCCTCTCAAATACCTCAGTTATTTTGGATATGTATTTGAGAACATGGCCATCAATGAGTGGAGTGGGATAGAGCAGATCCCCTGTGAAGACACCAGGAATTGTTTGGAATCAGGTCAGGAAGTCTTGGAGAGTCTCAGCTTCAATGCGGACAACTTGATTTTTAATACAGTAGCCCTGATCTTGATGATAATTACCCTCAGATTTATTGGATTTCTCGCTCTTCTCACTCACGCCAGCAATAAGAAATAGTTCTAGGGCTTTCGTTTAATTATTGTATCCATATGGTTCATCTTCTCAGGTTTTTATGTAATCAAAGAATTTCTTAACGAATGTTTTGTTTATATTGTAACTTCTAATTTTTAATAAATAGTAAGCATACTGTAGAGATTAGAAATTATATTTGAAACAGGTTGACAGTGACGCCAGAAAAGGCTAAAGGTCTTATAGTTGGCTGTAAGAAAGGTTAAACATGACAGATGTGAATTATAAGTTAAACATTAAATTTACAACTAGTTACGGCTGTTTTGAGTCATCCAACATTGCTTATCTCTCGCTTTCAAGCCCAGATAGACACACCCAACCTCTGGAAACAGAATGTAGCTTGTATAAGGCTCTTTGTGAGATTATAACGAGGGACGTTCCCTGAACTATGAATCATAAGGAGGAATATTTGACGTGAACTCGACCAAAATTGAATTTTATCACTTGAAGGCAGAGGGAGAAAATTTCTTCCCTCTATCAATAACTTCATTTTAGTTTGCCTTTGGTGATATTCGGATACTCATTATATTTGAGTTTGAGTCCATCAAAGTGGATTTTGCTTACACAAAACAATTAACTGTTGTTAATACTGCAATATCAAAGAATGTGTGTCTCCCGTATTGCCCAGATTCTCTATGGTGTGGCCACTTTTGTGGCCATAAGTCTTATTCTGACTTCGGCTTTGACTCCGGGATGGAAAAAGATCCAGGTTCCCGGCAGTACCAAGGAAATCAATACTGGACTATTCAAATTCGCTTGTTCCGCACCGGAGAATTCGACAATGGATGAGACGACAAATGATACCGACAAGGACGAGGACTTGAGCAAATACTGTGAGAATTGGTGGAAGGTAAATATTACCTTAGAATAACATTTGTAATTATTATGCTGTTACAGAATCAACCAACTTGGGAGAAAGTGGTGATCGGTTGTATGCTGGCAGCTCTGGGTATCCATTTGCTCGCATTAATCTTGAATATCGTCACTTGTTGCTGTGTTTGCGGAAGAGAATACTTGCTCCGGTTGTTGGGGGTACTCTCTTTTATGGCGTTTATTCTCCTGGTTACATCACTGACAATATTTGGGATTCGAAACAAGGACGATTTGGGTGAGTTTACTAACACACAAGAGTTTTTCTTTCATCGAAAAACAACTAGGAAGTTTGACGTTTCACTTGCCCAACTAACAGTTTGTTCGCAGGCGGCAGTCCCAAGAACTTTGACAAGAACGAGATCAGCTACAGTTTCTATCTGGGCGTGGCCGCCGCCCTTCTCAGTTTGATCAATGCGATTTTGGGGGCCAGTTCGGCATCTTGTGCTAAGCTCGGATGCTGTTTCTGATCGCGGGATGTAATTTATTTGAATATAATTAAAAAGGCATTACTAATAATAATTATAATTAAACCTTATCAGTTCTGGAATTGAGGCAGTGTTTCCTCGATTAGAGTATATTTTATTTTAACTCCCGTTTTAGCTGGATGCTTTACTTCATGAGCTCAAACGGCTACCCTTCAATTGGGACAAATCGGTTAATGTTGAAAAACTGTAGCTAGCCAATGAGTTTTCCTATCATATGAGTTTTAGATGATTCTTTGCGGCGTTAAATTTCGAAGGTCATCTTTAGACGGTTCAGTCTTAATGTGGACTTGAAAAGTAGACGCCTTTACAACCTCATAGTTAAGTCATCTTTCAACACATTTTCCTATTTCAATTGCCCATAACAGCCCCACCCAAATCTCTGACGTCAGCGCCGAGCCCCTGAGGGTCTTTTTTGCAATGATCTACCCAAAAAAAGATCCGAGAACTTATGTGACCATCTTTATATGCTCGTAAGACATAAAACTCGAAAAAATTTAAAACAGCTAAAACAGCAGGATTTCCGATTGATAAATACTTGAGTATGTACAACATAACAACGCAGATTCAAGAGTTTTGAACGACCCCTGTGACAAACACTTTCTGGCCTTGTCTAACGGCTGCTTCATGTTGTTTTACTTGCTTTAAATACACTCCAAATGTCATGGAAGTTCCTCCTCGGAGATTTCTCAAAGCCATTAATACATTTGGATTCTTTTCCCCGGTTTTTTGATCAATGCAGATCATCTGACAGCGGGTGCATTTTCCAGTCACCTAAATAAATATCATCTTTAGATAACTGCAGGCTATCCTTGTAACGTTCTTTGTTAAAACCTACTTCAAATTCTGTACTCCCAATAAAGATTCTTTCCATTTTGTCTTCCAAAAAGGCTGAATTCGACCCAAAATTGACCACAAAATTGGATCTAAATCGACCTTCCACTTCATGGTAAGACAGGCCCGTAACATCGGCCATATAATCAATTGAAGCCTTGCTGATTAACAAGTAATCGGCATGATTCGAGAAGTTTTGTTTGTCATCTTCAGAATCAAGACGTAAAAGACGACAGCCTGAGGGCAAACCAATTGCTTTCAACCATTCCGAGGCCAGATCCCCACAGTCCAAAGCGGAAATACTAAAAGTTAACAAGGCTGCACTGTATTACTCTGTCAACCTACTCTTTTACGCACACTCTCGAGTTGACTTCTCTTCCAACCCGATCCAGATCAATCTCCAAGTCATTCTCCACTCCTTGACGATCCTTTAAAAGTAGGGAATTTGCTGAAAACTATTGAAAATAATCTTAGATTTCAACGAGTACTACCTGACACTTCACTGAACACATCTCCGGATGCTGTTTTTGAGTGATTGGTACTCCCTCACTAGTCACAACCATGAACTTCCGGTCCCATTTAAGACCTCCATTACTAGTTTTCCAAGAAGAAACGACCATTGCGGATGCTGATTTCAATGGATAAACAGAGATCTTGGATAATTCTCCAAGTCTGGGGATATCATCAGCATTGAAAGTCGTGAAAAGATCGGGACTGGAGTTGACAAAACAAGTCGAGATCATCATCTTCAGCCATCTAATGTCCTGAAAATATCCAGTTCAACATCAAAGATGATAAAGAAGATAACCAGACAACATTGCGCTTACTTCCATCGTATTCAACCTTCCAATAGACACCCTCAAAGATCCAGCCGGCCTTCCATCAACTGTATCCATCTCATCTCCACATTCCTTCCCACTATCTCTCAATCTTATTCTTACATCAGCATCTAATCCAAGGTATTCCGAACAGGCCCCTTGATTACACATACAGCCAGTTCGAAGGTCAATTCCGTACAAATCTGCCATCTTCTCCACCTGAAAATAATGTAGATTCTATAATAGGCCTACCTCAACATAACCAATGACATTTCCATCATCTCGGAGTAAATTGAAGTTTACAATCGGCCCTTGGTAAGAGCGCAATTTGTCCGTTCCAAAATATTTCCATCCATTTCCATAGAGCACCGCGATCGGTCTTCCATTGTGGTGGGTCGTCGTGGACAAGAAATGGTAAAAATTTTCGGCAAGTTTCATTGTACCTTCCTCAATTTGTTCCATCCCTCCAAGCCGTTCAAGGTCATCAAATCCAGAATTTAAAGCGGCAATTGCGTAGAAATCAATGGTTCCTTGTTCAAACCTACACCGTCATAACTTATCAAAAGATAATCTACCTTGTTGAAACCTCCTCCTTCCGGTCGACTTCAAACCCTTCAAGCGAAATATAATTTACAGTTCCACCTCCAAAGTAATTCTGACGCAATAAATGTTCCCGCCCTCGTTTCAGAAGTAGTGCTCCCAATCCAGTAGGAAATCCAACCATTTTGTAGAAAGAGAAGGCCATAAAAGAAATATCAAAATTTGTAACATCCAGCTTTGAAGTCGCTACCCAAGCAGCGGAGTCCAGGATAACATGGAGAGAGGGGATTTCTAAATTTGAGGGTTATACTGTACTTCAGGTCAGTTAGCAGCGGTTCTTTTAGCTAGCTAATAGCAATTTTTGTCATTTTCGAATACACCAGCGGGCCTAGCTGGACCGCGATTTTCCGTTGGGCCAAAAATAAACCGAGTCCGGGAACCATGTCTAAATTTGTGTCTTACGAAATTTAATTCTCAGGTTTTCTATGGAGAAATTATCAGTCCATCCGACAATGGACCTCCAAAAATTTATAGAACTCATAAGCGAGCCCATGCACGGAAATCTTTAGTAAAAGGCGAAAGATTTGTCCGTTTGAGGATGCATGGACCCCAGAGATGACATTCGAATCTTTTTACGAACCTCTCAGAAATGTCTCTATCGGTAAGTGTATGGGTTCCTCGTTGGAGCGCGAGAGAAGAGACAGTTCAGAAATGAAAAAGAAAGAGAGAAAAGGGATCACTTTTGCGCAACCCTTTTCTCTTTTGAAAACAACACGAACTCACTCTTCCGCAGTCGATTTATCAGATCCAAGTCATATTTTCTTCCACAGAAATTACTCTCAGCGGTCATTGAAAACAAATGATTACAATCACTGTGTACAACATCCTTCGGATCATTATTCAAATAATCATTCAGCTCCTCATAGGTGGTGACTACCAGCTGTTCGTAATGAAAATAGTTCCTCATTCCAAGTATGGAAGTGTGGGAGTCTTTGAACATCATTAAGACGCTGTGATTCCCTGTAAAGACTTATATTATAAAATAATAGGAAAGCTCACAGTTGACACTTTGAAGTGATGCTACGATGGGCTGATTGCTTTTGGAATTGTAGTGAAACAATCTTGCAGTCATCTCCAAAGCATGAGTTGTATTTGATGTAAAAATTACAGAATAGTCGGATTTCGAGGCTCCGAAGAATGATAATATACTGTAACATAAAATATGGAATTAAATTATTACTTTTTCCTACCGATTCCTGACATTTTCAACAATGATATTAGTCTTCCTTCCCGATTCATGAGTGCTATGGGGGTTAGCCAGGATACTATCCTTGAGAACATTCTCAGCCAGTGACTTTCGTTGCTCGTCAGAGATCAATCCAGCCCCAGCATTGTCCAAGTACACTTTTTTCAGAGGCATTTTGTCTGAAAGAAAATAAAAACAGATAAGACTTCACCGGGTTCCGTACATCATCAATCAACTAAAATAAGCGCTCTTCTTGTTCACTGATTTGTTCGGCTAGAGAAACAGCAAATTAAATCGGTTGTGTATTCACTAAGAAAGTCAAAACATGTTGGGTAATGCTTTTCTTGCAAAATCTAGTAGCTTGTCTGTACAGCAATAGTTTCAATCCTCGTCCTTTCCCGCAATTTTGGAACTTTTGGCATAATGCTTCAAGTCGAGAAATATGTATATTATTTTTTATTGGGAAAAATATTTTCGCCCAGAATTAAAAATATTTTTCCCCAGAAAAGAGCATTATAGAAAAACTCCTATTTTCTCCCAGAAAAAATATATTTTCTCCCAGAAAGAAAATATTTTTCCCCAGAAAAGAGCATTATAGAAAAACTCCTATTTTCTCCCAGAAAAGAAAATATTTTCTCCCAGAAAGTATAATTTTGTAAAGATAAAGCACGGAAGTAGTAAAAATTGATGAATTTACTAGTAAAATAAATTAAGCAGTAGTGTAAAATAGTATTTGTGGTAAGTTTTTGAGGAAATACTGGAAATAGATGTAATCGAATAGATGTAATCGGAAATAGATGTAATCACTTTTTTGTGGTCAAAGGGTGCACTGACAGCCTGTCTGTGTCGTCTTCAGCGCCAAGAAGAACATATAGATTTACAATAAGAGAAACTCATCCTTATTTTCATTGGGAACAAAAGATATCCAAGAATAAACCATTAAAGAATTCATTCATACATGTCTTTGCATAAATCATTATAATTCTTACTGGTTTTTAAACTCAATTAAGAAGTCGTCTAAAGTAATATCTGGAAGTTGAAAATCTGAACAAAGATTGGAAAAACGTGGAATTTCCAACTTTATTGCAAGTAGTAATGTAAAATACGATGCATGGGTCCCAGAGAAGTGCATAATATTGGATTCGAACTGACATATTGCCTTGTCGTGCTGAATTAAACCTTCACGGTATCTACGTCTTCGACGTCACTATCTTTTAGAAGGTAGTAATCTCTCATGTTTTATTCTTGAATGTCTTTTTTCCCGTTGAGTTTTTTTTTTGATGAATTTCTCTTATTGTAAATCTGAATGTTCTTCCCGGCGCAGAAGGCGGAAAAGAAAGGCTGTCGATGTACACTTCAATGTACTCTTTGACCACAAAAAAGTGAAAATCACAAAAAATGAGAATCATTTTTGAAATCAGCACCGTCGATTACATCTATTTCCAGTATTTCCTCAAAAACTTACCACAAATACTATTTTACACTACTGCTTAATTTATTTTACTAGTAAATTCATCAATTTTTACTACTTCCGTGCTTTATTTTTACAAAATTATGCTTTCTGGGAGAAAATATTTTCTTTTCTGGGAGAAAATAGCATTTTTTTCATAATTCTCTTTTCTGGGGAAAAATATTTTCTTTCTGGGAGAAAATATATTTTTTCTGGGAGAAAATAGGAGTTTTTCTATAATGCTCTTTTCTGGGGAAAAATATTTTTAATTCTGGGAGAAAAATATAGACCCTTTTTTATTCCCCAGAGTTTCTCCCGTTTCGCTGGATTCTTGACGCGTTGAAGGGAAGCACATTGTTCGTATCGAACAGCTTTTCGGGAGTTATTATTCAAAAAGAAATGGTGAAAAAGTAGATGAATCTGATCCAGCGGTTTGTTTCCCTCCTCTTTTTTGTTGTTTTTGTGGTCTTCTTGGTGATCAAGGGATTAAAACAGGATGTGCAGGATATAGAGGTGAGCTTTAGTAGTTATGATTTTTGTCATGTGTTGCGTATTAGGTATCTAAAATGTAAATAGTATTATTTTATATTGTTTTTAGGTACCTTCCGAAGAATATGCTCGATTATCGGAAGATCTAAAACGTCTAGAACGCCTGTTGGCTCTCGAAAATAAAGATCTTGAGGATGTTCGCGGCAAACTCGAAATGCTTGAAAAGAGCCGACCAAATGTAAAGCCTCTATCATCTTATTTTATTCTTTAGGAGGTCCACAAAGAAGGAAGAGGACCGTGGAATAAACCAATCGCTGTGCTTATATTTACGTGTAATAGGGCGGATGCCGTCAAAGTTTTAATCGATAAACTTCAGAAGTAGGTTGAAAAAACAATATTTTTTATGAGGTCTTTAGGGCAAGAACATCACCAGAACAGTTTCATCTTATTGTTAGTCAAGACTGTGACGATGTTAGTGTGAAAAAGGCAGTAGAGGAGTTTGGAAGCAATGTAACATACGTGAAGGTCAGTGTTATTGCTTTATTTTTCACTGTTGATTTAGATTTGACTACAATTTTTACAATTTTAGCACACCAGTCCCAAACAAGCGCATATCAAGATTCCGGAGAATCAAAGGCGATATAGAACCTACTTTTACATTGCCCGCCATTACAAGCTCGGACTGGATTATGTTTTCAACGAGAGGAATTATGATTCAGTGATTATTGTCGAGGGTTCGTTTTTTTTATTTTTTTGTTATTGCTTTAGATGACCTCGACATAAGTCCTGATTTCTTTTCGTACTTCTCCGGAACTCGCTGGCTATTAGATGATGATCCCACGTTATATTGTATTTCTGCTTGGAACGATAATGGAAAAGCGCAACTGATTGATATGGAAGCGCACGATCTTCTTTATCGATCAGATTTCTTTCCCGGACTTGGATGGATGATGACCAAGTAAGAGCAAGTTATATCTTAAAATTTTTGGAAGGTTATTCTTATATTTTTGAATTTTTAGTAACCTATGGAAAGAGTTGGGACCAAACTGGCCGGCTGGTTTCTGGGATGATTGGATTCGGGATCCAGCCAGACGGAAAGATCGACAATGCATTCGCCCTGAGATCTCGAGGACAGCCATGACAGATTTTGGAAAGAAAGGAGCTTCTGAGTGAGTGTTATAGAGTCGATCATTTTTTTATTTTTATAGAGGGCTTTTCTTCAATCATTACCTCAAGAAGATTATTCTGAACAACAAAACCGTGGATTTTACCCAGAAAGATCACAGCCAACTTCTTTCCGAGGCGTATCTCAAGAGTTTTGTCGCCAAAGTTTACGCTCTTCCACGAATATCCATCAACGATTTTTTGTTGTTGAATGAGAAAGGAGGCGCATACAGAGTGGAGTACTTCTCCATGCAGGAGTATACGGATCATACCAGGAAAATCAAGGTCATGGGAGATACAAAGGTAAGAGACATTTTTGGGATTTAAGGTCGGTCCGATTTTTTAAAATTTTTTTCGAAAAAACATTCGTTCTTCTGGAGAAGATTTGGCCCAAACTAAATTTGCTTTCCATTTAAGGAAGCAAAACGGGGAAACCGTTTCCTGACGAAATCGCAGTCAAGTTTAGAGACTTTTTCAAACCCCCAAAACACGACCTATTTCTTCGTTCTTACATGATTGTTCTTGAACCTGGGGTAATTTTCTTATTTTAGGCCGGTGTTCCGCGGACAGCCTATCGAGGAATTGTAACTGCCTTTATACGAGGTAAGCGTCTATATCTGGCACCTGCCGATCGAAACTTCAAAGGTTACGATAAGGATTGGGAAGCGCCGCAAGATATCCTGGACGGGTCCTAAATTGCCAAAGACTTTCTAAAATAGAACACGGTGTAGATATCTGTTGATTGTTATAACTATTTATATATTTATAAACAATAAGTTATGTAATCTCCAGGATTATGCGATATCAAGGCTCTCTTATTCCATGGATAAGGTCATGGTCGGCGGTCGGTTGCCGTTCGGTTGGTTGGTCAGGCATCAAAAATACGACAGAACTTGAAACGGCATGCATATCCTGAAAGAATCGTTAAATTCTTTTAAAGCGCGCTACATAGGAAAGCTTTATTTTAGAAAGAGGTGGGCCAACTCAAGATAACTAACATTTACCCTCCTTACTTTTGTAAACTGGCCCTGTTGATCGTCGCTCCCGATCCCCAATGGCTTGTCCGTCGATGGAATCGATCAATTCAGCCAATTCATTGTCTGCCTCGGCCTTATGTAACCATTGATATGAGGCCAATGGTCGGATCGAAGATGGGGCCGGCCTCATCATTCGCATGTATGCCAGAGAGTATGGGAAACTCTGAAATGTCATCTAAAGGGATTAGGGATCAAAATTAAAGTTCCTGAACTTTGCGCAAATTTTGCTGTAAAGAAAATGAACTGGACGACGTCAGATGACACATAAGGAAACTGATGGAATCCTGGTATTTATTGTCAGAGGAATAAAATAAAAACAAAACAGCCTGGTCATGACAGGTTGGTTATTCATAGAAAACAGTTTGAAGTTCATAAACAATAACATTAAATTCCGGGGATGAAATTTTGAAATGTCATCAAGCCTAAGACACTATTAGAAACATGATCTTTTAACAATTATCCTGTCACGGCTATCATCAAAAGGCGACTTACGCCCATTGGACTGACCCGAGCCACCCGGAACAGCTTCTGTTTGTCGGATTTGGCCTTAGGACTGGGCACACCGCTAGCCAGATGGATTGCCAACGCCATGCCCACAATCAGCAGGGCCCACGAGAATCGAGAACACATCGCGGACGGTGGGAAATAATATTGAATGGACTGTTCGGGTCGTCCTATCGCTATCGGGGATATGGCTGACTTAATTTGAATACTGGTTCCATTAAAACTTCCTTTAAAGAGAGGGAGATTAATCCCCTTTTGCCGGTTAAATGAACATACTCCACCCACAAATGGCACACGTATCCTTGGCTGCGCAGCCTATCCTTTCCAGAATTACCGTATCAACTTTAGAGGAGGGAGGGGGGTTTCTTGCATAGGGATGGCTGTAGAGGTAAGAGCCATCCCTATGAAAGAGGATGTACGATATGAGGACTGGATAAATGGTCAGATAACGCATAAATTGACGGTTCTAGTCATCGAATTACATTTTGCATAGTCTTATCATCTTGATTTATTGTTAATCTCGTCACTTTCATTTGTGTCGCAATTATTTTATTTTTTTTGGGGAATCACACATCTTCGAAACTTCTCCGGTCATCAAAATGTCATCATGTCAATCTATCATAGTTCCTCATAATAATAATTTCTAGGTTATCTTCTCCTTCCATTTAGTGTAATATTATATTTATAATCCAAAGAGAATATTTAAAAACGAAACTTCAAACGAATACTCTCAAAACAAATAATTGGCAGTAATTTATTCGACACAAAAATTTTAAATTTTCAGCCGAACAGAGATCAAGGCGAAGACGGAGAGAGAAAAGTGTCACCGGATCGAATCGCCCATAAAATGTCGAAAAAGTTCGACCGGTAAGGGAAACACGATGGTCGAGTTCTTTTCGGCGCTGAAAATAGATGCCTGGCCTTTGAAATAATGACATAAAACACTGATAAACTCGTTTGATATAACAAATAGGATTACGGTGGGGACTTACGCAACACTGTTTAATGTCTGTAGATACCGTAGTTGAAGGGCTGCGGGCGATTGGGAAATAATTGTAGCGGCTTCCCAGAGAGATTTAGAGGCTTTTTGCTCTCCTTCGGCAGCGATCACCTGAAAAATATAAATTTAAATAAAGAAAATGGGCAATGGATTACTTGTTGAAGAGTAACTTTCTTACTTTAGCTCTGGCTTCGCGTGTAGCCTCGGCTTCAGCAGCCATAGCACGTTGGAGTTGAACGGGAAGACGGACATCCTTTCTGAAAATAAATATATCATTCACGTTATGTCTCTTTTAACACTTTGAAATACTTGATTCCATATAGTTTTCTTACATCTCGACCCGTTCCACCTTGATTCCCCATGAAGCCGTGGTCTCGGCCAAGAGTGTTTGCATGGCCTCAGCGATGGAATCACGGTCGGATAAGATCTCCGACAGATTCCGTGTTCCTAACATGTTCCGCAATGCAGTTTGAGCCAGTAATCTTGTAGAATGATGTGCATTCTCGACGTTTGCCACGCTGACAGTTGCATTGCATATTCGATAATAGACTACTGCGTCTACGGAGACTGTTACGCTATCTCGGGTCAAAATCTGAAATCATAATTTGATCAATGAATTAATCTATTTAAAATCTTTTCTTACTTCTTGAGGGGGAACACTGAACGAGACTGTTCGGAGGTCCACTTTTGTATAACTTTCTATACACGGCATCACGAAGAAGATCCCCGGTCCCTTCGCTCCACCTCCAATCAACCTTCCCAGTCTGAATATAACTGCTCTCTCGTATTCTTGAACCACCTAAATGATTGGAAGAATACAGTAATCATTGCGAAACACACCTTCAAACAAAAGCAGACTGATATCGGGAAGGTGACCATAAAGAAAATGTAAGAGAGTGTCATCAGAATCCATCCACAAAAACCGACACCAGTATCGTATACATCAGCTAAACTTTTATTGTAATCAATATGTAATCGACCGGGCACCTACGAGAGAGATTTTTAGGGTAATAACTGAGCTTGAGTTGGGCAAGAGATTGACGACGGGCTTCCTTTTCCTCCTAAATGCCAAGTGTAATATTTTTGATTTTGCAATTTCATTAATACGCCATACCTTTGCAAAAATTAACGGGTTCAGGGTGAACCTCCGCCCCATTCGTGCGCCTGCCGGGAAAGATTGGGATCCATGGCGAGATCCGATGGTCGACCCCGATCTGGGCCTTCTAAAAGTGGCTGTAGCGATCGGGAACTCGGGTACGTTGATATGAATACTCTGCGGCACATCTTCCTCCTTCTCGGGCTCATCTTCCTGGGATCCCCCCATCAGCCGACTACGCTCGTCCTCGTCGCCAGAACTGTTATCTTCAAGTGAGGAGCCTTCTGAAGCAGTGGATGATAAGTTGGGATCATGGGAATGATAAGACGGATGGGGACGAGAACGATAATGAGGCTGGCTACGAGAAGATGGTGGGGCCGAGACCTTCTGAGTTACTCTCCGATGCATTTAGGTTAGATTTCAGAGTAATATGAATTAGAGGCTGTAGAGAATATTGCCGATGGGATTAGACGTTACACAAACAGAACACTTAACGGTAAGGTTCTTTTCTAAATGGCCTTGCTTTCCGGGAGACTTGTTCTGGGCTCCCAAAACAACCGCTCTGAACCCCGCCGCCTCAGATGACACGCAATCTTCTGGGCACTGGGTCGTCCATGCTAATGCAAGATGAAGAACAAACTCTTTTCCGTTTTAGCATTCTTGTACTTCATTCAGTTCGCCCTGTTCTCACAGATTCGCGACGCCTTGTCCCCCGAGGAAAACATGAGGCCGGATTCTGATTCCGTGTGTCGGAAGTATTCCTGACGGAGTTTCTAATAGAATCACGCCCCGAGTTGAGTGAGGGGGATTGTCCACTCCACAAAAGTTTGAAAGTAATTAGGTCATATGGGAGAGGCCAATGGAAACATGAAAGTGCCTGAGGGTGGGAGAGGCTGAATTGGGGGGGTAATCCAATTTTATAAAGGTTACGGATTTCTGAGAAACTTTAAAGACAAAGGGGGGTAATCGAGATTGATACCAGAAGCCAAAGTTATCCTTTTTTTTAATTATCTTTGGAATACTTTATCGTTTTTCAATCCAACTATGATATTATAATTAATCTAAACTCTTTTTACATTATTAAAAGAATTCTGCCTGATTTAAATCCCTTCAAATCGATGGCTACAAAAAACATCTGGAGGGAAGGTCAGACACGGGTATCCATAAATTTTGAAGAATGAAGAATGGACTCACAAAGCCGCGGTTATGAATTGACTTCGGGCATGACAGACCTATTATACGACAAAAACATTCGGCATTAAAAACCTGATTTTCGAACAAAAAGTCGGGATTTTGTAAACATAAACCTGAGACTGGATACAATGACAGGTAGTAATCATGTTGAAACAACTATATGCAAAACAGTTGTTATAGTCATCATCTCTTCTGCCCTTATAACATCCCTTCCGCTAAACCCTTCGGACATCATAAAGATTCCCGCAGAATTGCGCCCCATTTATGCTGTCCATCAGATGGCCTCGGGTATCGAGGTTTCGAACCAAGAACAAACAAAAAAGTCATGCCCTGAGGGCAAGTCAGCTCCTTGGATGAAAAATGAAATGTAAACTTCTTAACGGAAAGCATTCCAAATGGGGATTGTCTCTCGAACACGACACACGACATAAAACATCAAATAAAAGAAACAACGGCGGGAAAAGGGAATAAGGACTTGATATGATGTTCTTGATGTGATATGACAAAGACGACTGAGAGGTGAGAAATAAAACGACAAGAATCAAAGATATTAATAGGTTTTCGCCTACAAAATTTGTGAGTTGGAAACATGCCTGAATCAACATATTGATCGCCTCAGGCATTCAAGCAATGGCGTCGAAATTATAAAGGCCGTTACTTACTTTTGGAGTACCGCATTTTATATGTCTGGAGAAGCAACTGGCAATGTTAAGAAACTGTTCAAAGCTTTATACTAACAACTCCCATCCAAAAGAATGGGTTTAACGCATTTCAGCCACGCGATTCGACCGTTGAACGCGTAATTATCGCGGGAATTGTAATCATAATGAACTTACGAAGGCCTTCAACGCCCACTTTCAGTTCCCATAGCCTCAGGCAAGAAGGAAATGTATTCAGGTTGCAACCTGCCAATTTTTGTCTGCCCTTTTCTCGTTTTATGTTGGGCGTTCTGGAACAATGTTACTGCTATAAATGGTGGATTTTCTCCTCAAAGTCAAGGTGAAAAGGCTTCAAGACTGAGTAACTGGTAAGACACTATACAGTAGCTGCCAAAAAACTGTCAATTTTTTTGTTCTTTGTGTAACTCTGCTCAACGTGGACGGATTTAAACAAAACAAATACCATTCTGTAGAGAATTACCGCTGTTATCTAATGGTGTAGTGGTTGGAACGATTTTACATCTTAGTGTGTAACAACTGTCTATGTAAAATTTTTGGAAAGACAAAAAACTCAATTTTTCCAAAAAAATTTTACCGCTTGCATACGTCGCGGCAAATCATGGGCTTATACATTCCGATTTTTAAATAAAGTCCCACTGTACATAATTAACCATCAAAGGGAGCCAAGAAAGTTAATTTAGTAGACCTTTTGGTGGTCCCAAGTTCGATACCCCAAAACATGACGTTTAAGAAAAAATCGATTTTTTTCTTTGACTTAGCATTAATGCAATGCCTTGCAGTAGAAGCTAGGCAACCTACAAGTAAAATAGAGCAATGATTGGGAGCCTAAATATAATTCTACGGACTCCACTTGACATTCAAGTTTTTCTGGCAGTAGATGTACCGCGGAACTTCAGCCCGGGTGCTTCCGTAGACACCTCTAATCGTAGTTCCAACGCGACAGAAGGCACCCATGTTAACAGTGAACAGTTTAGAACCGCTACCGCACCAGGCCCGTACTTTGCGCGTAAAAGAACAAGCTCCTAAATGGAATTTTTGAAGAAAAATTGTTGTCTCGATTTTCACTCTCCATAGGATGGAAATAACCCAGCACAAGGACAAGCAAGATGTTGTCCCATACACTTACAGCCATTCCTGACATTTCTAACGCAATTTCACGCCCTCTAACGTGTTTCTAAAGTCTTAAGCTGGCTTGCAACTTTCCACAAAAAATTTTTTTGGGCAATGACAACATAACCCTCCGTAATTCTTGCATCGCCGTCCTACAAATGCCCATAAAATGCTTCTAGAACATCTGTGATCATGTATTGATAAAACATTAGCAAGTTGTTACAAAGGCGGGGGCAACAAGGCCAAGTCTCTACAGGAACTCGATTACCGGAGAAACTTGAATGTCAAGTGGAGTCCGTAGACTTGCATTTAGGCTCCCAATCATTGTTATATTTTAATTGTAGATTGTCTAGCTTCTACTGCAAGGCATTGCATTAATGCTAAGTCAAAGAAAAAAATCGATTTTTTCTTAAACGTCATGTTTTGGGGTATCGAACTTGGGACCACCAAAAGGTCTACTAAATTAACTTTCTTGGCTCCCTTTGATGGTTAATTATGTACAGTGGGACTTTATTTAAAAATCGGAATGTATAAGCCCATGATTTGCCGCGACGTATGCAAGCGGTAAAATTTTTTTGGAAAAATTGACAGTTTTTTGTCTTTCCAAAAATTTTACATCGACAGTTGTTACACACTAAGATGTAAAATTGTTCCAACCACTACACCATTAGATAACAGCAGTAATTCTCTACAGAATGGTATTTGTTTTGTTTAAATCCGTCCACGTTGAGCAGAGTTACACAAAGAACAAAAAAATTGACAGTTTTTTGGCAGCTACTGTATGTACTGAGAATAAGCTCATTTTAGAATACGATTTACATAAAGTTAAACTTCTTTACTAATGCTGACCAATTATAATACCGATGATTTAGAATTACGTTCCGGCGTAGAAAAAACACTGCAATCCCAAGTATAATATGCCAATTATTCTCGGCTATATGACCATCCCAACCTATTTGTCAAAAAAAGAGAAACGTAAGAAAATTATCTCAGACTAGGCCGGACAGGGAGGCTGGCTGAAGCCAATCTTAATCGAATTTGAATCCAGACCGAGATCGATATACTTTTAGGCTTATATTGCCGGTCCGGGCGAGACATTAAAGTGGACAAATGTGTGAAGTACGTCGGTAATAAAACCCCCTCCATATGTCACGGTGCGAAAGCATTAGAGAAGGGATTTGAGTTGGAGAAGAGTCATGTCATTCGAATTCTCTGGAGTAATGATTAGGGCCAAGAAATGAACAGCCAGGTGTGCGGGAAAGGGTCAAACATATGCATAATATACAAAAGCTTCGAGGGTCACGCTATTTCCCTCGAGAAGATGGCTTAAAAAGTTGTCTAGAAGCAAAACAACTTGAGGAGAGATGGGAATAAACAATCACCATTACCCAACCAAAAACACGCTCCGTCATTCGTAAAGAATGCCCGCTAATTATGATGGTTACTCCTTTTATAGACCGATTACATGGTAAATATTAAATGTGAGAAAGGTGAGTTGATTGTAAGATACGCATATGTCAAGGGATATATAAATCATTCCTGCTTTACCTGGAGTCAAGTACTGGCCGTATCTGGAACTCCGACTTTTTGAAGATTTTTTCTTGGGCATGGCCACATTTAAAGCGGTCTAAATCTGGTAGCAAATTAGAAAAAAAAACAATAGAAACGGGATCCCCAAGAAGTTTTAACCCCTTCCGTTTCGGCCTTTCTTAAAACGCCGGAACGGAAGAAGTTAAATTCATTTAATCAGAAAATATTCAAAAAATCAATTGGTGTCTTACAATATCATCAAGTACAGGCTACTGTATATGCTAATCATGATGATGAAACTAATGTCTTTACTCTTTATTGAAGTTAGTAATGACTCCCCACACCTGTAGTTACCTAATTCATCCCTAATTACCACTCTGACCAAGTGGGGCCTCAGGGGAATAGGTGTGCTTTACTATGCCTTGCGCTTTTTTATTGTTTTTCAACAAATTCTCACAATATTTTTGACGGACCAATGTGGTTTTACGACCTATCCGACGTCCAAACCGAGATTCAGTATGGTCTGACATGCTGATTGTAGCAGTTGAAAACATAGCCCAGGAAATGTTCTGATTAGATTATACATGCTCCAAGACAAGTGCCGGGGAAAATAAGAATAAATTTGCATAATCTTTGCCTCGTAATCTAATCAACACCAATAATATGAAAGGAAAATGTCATCCCGAGACTTTCTGATTATATTTTTCACGTTTTCTTACGTTAGAATCAATTCTATTTTCGATATTTTCCTTGCTTTCTCTTGACGTTCTCCACCATTTTTCGCCGAGATTTGGTTATAAACCGGCCTTAGGGATGTCTAACGAGCTGGGGATTGGCCTGATGAGTGGCCGGACATGGCCAACTTGACCCCTTTATCTAATTATTCATTCTCGCCGCACCTCCCTTTTTCCGCCACTTGTTTTGTTCCGGAATGCAAATTTGGTGAGCGCGAGGAGAAGAAGGTGGTGATTTGGGTGGAAAAGGAGGGAAACAACAAGTGCTACACTTGCTGGAAGAAAGTTTTAGAGGTCCTGGGGGAAGAGATCCGTCCGATCTTTTGATACTTGGCATTTCGAAAACAACAAGACTTGTTTTTCATGCGATCGAGGATTAGGTAGGGAAGTTCAATGTTATTCGGAATTAAAAATATTTTAAAACAACAATTATACAGAAAGTCCAGGAAAAACATAGGCGAAAAAACCACTTTACAGAGGAAACGAGCCGAGGCACCCACTCTAAACGTCTGAACCCAGGAAGGAACCAAAGGCTGAGAAGTCATCACCCAAAACCGCGACCCAAACTGCCCCAATCCCCTGAGGGCTTGTCATAAAATCCGAGGTCACGGAACAAATAAAAACTACAGAACACAGTAAAAAGTGGATTGATTTTGGAAGTTATTAGCGTAACGAAGTGGCCGCAAGCATGGGAAAAATACAAAACGTGAGAAAAGAAAGGCCCTGAGGGCACGGCGGTTTCAAAGGTATGGGAACGGATTAATTGTATAGGCTACTTCTGCGGAGACAGTGATAAGACTGCAGGATAGTCAGAAAAAGCAGCCAAAACGAAGAAATATATAGATCCGGCACGTTGCATCGAGTGTAAAATTACACCTCACACTTACCTCCCACGAACCTGATCTTTTCCCGTCTTCGTTCGCCATTCCCCATGTTATTTTCGATCAACAACTAAAGACTCTCTCGGATGGTCACTTCCAAAGCAATTTATCCGCAGGGCTTGGCCCCGCCTCTTCCGTTTTTATCTAAAAATTTGCGTGAAAAAATGGAAAATTTCATTTTTTTGCGAATTCGGAGTGCCGAAAAAAAGAAACCGATGAAGAAAGTTGTCCAAATTATTTACATCAACGTTTATTAAAAAATGGAGCAGACGTAAGAGTCCATTGTTCATAACCAAAAACAAATACAATCATTTCGAAGGCATCGATGCCAGAGGGCCGAATTCGCTCTGACAGAGGTGACAGGACCATTTGCCCTCAGGGGCTTGCTTCAGAGGGGGTTTTAGACAGTACAGGTGGAATCCACGGTCACAATCGTCGCAGAAGAGGAGCTGGGCCTGAAAGAAAACAAGTCTTTAACCCGACATTATCCTTCATCCGATCACCGCTAATTGGTCGGGAACGAATAACATTTGTTCGGTGTGTTATTGATTATGTTTTCGTGTCAATCTTGTACGTGGATGGCCCGTATCCTTGCAAATACAGCATATCCCAACAGATGGATTCAATTAAGGGACGACCCGGGGTCCGTAATTTTGCTAATTTCGAATGAAAATAAACAAAAACTAGCTTCGCACGGAATTCGAGAATAATGAAATTTGTCTGGAACACTAAAAGTGGGTTCATTATTACTCTGCAAACGGGGACCCGATGACCTCGTACTACTGTAATAACGTTCGTTTTTCCGCAACTTTACTCATCCCAGGACTTTTTTAGAACTAAAACGAGACCGTCGAACCATAAATCCTGTCAATTTCTTTGGGGTCACTCCCTGCCGTTCCGGGATCTAATCGCTCATCCCTTGGGGGCCTGACAGTCCCGTTCCTTGTCTTCAAAACCAATCCCATATCCCGCGAGGGCATAACAAAAATGGTCTTACATCGTCTTCGGAGGTTCCGCAGAAGGTGCAGCTCTTGCATTCGATGCATTGCCATCCATATTTCTTCGTGGTCACCAACATATTTGGGGTAAAATTGACGCAAGATGGATGGGCTAAAATGGCACAAATAAGAGTTGAAGAGACAAGTTGCCCCTCAGGGCATTTACTGCGGTCACTTAGACATGGTCACTCTAGGCCAAAACAAGACAAATTCATGCTTCTGGAGTATGAACAGCTTAATTCCGACCCAATTCATAACTTAAAACATTCACGGTTTAATTATTCCACGTATAAATTGCTTACCAGAGCGTCCACAATCATGACAACTGACCAATTCCTCGGGCACATTGGTCTTCTTGTTCAATTCCTTCGATCCCATACACAAATCACAGGTTGTGGAGACACCTTCAGCGTTGTCAAGCACTGAAATTGTAAGAGTCAACACTAAATCAATATCAGCTATCAAAGAGAAGGTCCAGGGTCTCTAACCAACAGTAAAGAAATAAGAATGTCATATACAGTCAGATCGAGCCTTCAGACAAGATGCGTTTTTCTATGGGAAAGACACCCACAATCAGAATTTGGACCAAGAATATTATGACTGTATATGACACAACAGCGAGAGCCAAGAAACTCAACCCCGGTGGGAGAAAAAACGAAGCCGAACAAAAATTGACCTATTTATAAGCTCCATTCCAGCTAGTTTTCGTTCAGCGGGGTCCATCCAGTCCAGTCCAACACTTAAAAAAGAGAGTCCAAGAAATAAAAGTCCTGCTTATAAAGAGGCTAATGTTTATCCGTCTTCGTCTTTAGAACAACATAAGACAACAGGGAGGACTGGGAGGGCCAGCCAACGTACAGTGACATGACTTGGAGTCTATTATTAAGTAGGGGATCCTATATTATGATCTAAGACAATATAATAAAATTTTCTTGAAGTAAGAGTCCCATGCGTTTGAATTAAAGTTTTGGGCAGTTTTTGAAGGCCAGAAAAGGCGATCGCAAACCCGACAACGGGGAATCTGGTTGGTCAAGGCACCCGACAAGGCTTCGTAAATACCTTTTAAGAGAAATTGTAAGAAAAGACTTCGTAGAAATGCTGGAAGAGAATTAATAAAGATTTGGATTGATGACCACATAATTTTAAACCAAAACTATGTTTCTACCCGAGTAATTAAAAGTTTTCGTGCAGATTTTGGTCTGCATTTTAAAAAATCAAAATGCAGCTATTATAGTGCCACAGAAGGTCACTGGTCCATCCTCGAAATTATCTTAAGCAAAGGCTCGCTGATATCAAAAAGACTAATGATACCCTACGGAACCTGCAAAGAATGGATCTATTTAGGTCCAAAATTCAGTGGTGCATCATTCGGAAGATTTGGAAGAGGCTGGGGTTGGAAAGTATAGCTTGAAGACGAACTACTCGGACTTTTTGGCATGTCGGCCATAAGTTGTTCATCCTTGTGCACATGCAGCCGATGGTAGGTCAGACCTGGACGACTCTTGTAACGGGCTCCACAATCTAAATTCATGAATACCCACAAAATGTAATGGACACATACGTTGGCATGCAAACGGTCGAACTTCAGGGTTATTGAGGTCATCGGGAACCGGCCTCGGCTTCCCTCCACCACCTCCTCCCACACCTCCAGATCCTCCCGGATTACCTCGTCGATTTGTAGGGCGATTGGTCGGTGTTTGTCCTGGAGCTCCTTTTTTCTTTCCTTTCCGTTTGCTGGAACCCCAATCATCCTCATCTGATGGGTCGTTTCCTTCATCATCCAGTTCATACTCAAAATTATCCGCTTCGTAATTCTCCTGAAAACATCAACAGTCATCTACTCATTAAAACTTACAAAGGCAGGCTTTGCTCCATTGGCAGTGCTGCTCCTCAAAGTCGCTGAAACAGATTGTTCTGAGTTTTCGTTGCTTCCAAGTCCATTCGGATTCAGAATTTGATCCACGGTTTCCCTGAGACTGGGATTTGAGGTAAGAAAATATTTGTGTTCACAAGCTTCGGAAGAGATTTGTTTACTTCGACGATATCGTTGCGCGGCGTATGTACAAAACTAAAATTCTCAACATCAAGCATTCAAAATTGTACATTTACCTGCATGGGATTTGTTGGCTTACATCGTTCCTCTTTCCTTCTGTACAACGCATGGCTCGGCCTTTGTAAAATATTTGTATTTTGATCGAACACTGTCCTGTTTCCCTTCAGCCGGGGCACAACCGTCCTGCTATTCCATTTCTGGCAGTTCTTCATTGCTTCCATATAAGCAAAGTCGCCCATCATGTCGATTTTCAAAGAAAGAATGTAGTTAATAAATAAATATGTAATACAAACGCTATAAAATAACGCTACATAGACGTCATTGCCGACTTCAAATCGATACACAAGAAAAAGGAAAGCATCGGGAACAGAGTTGGCACATAATTTTGGGTCAACAGTTCTATTTCCGCGGCAATGCAGATTTTTGAAATATTTATTTTCTTTTCTTTTTCAAAATTTTGCATGCGTAATTTTTTGGTTTTTTCTGACATTTTTTGTTCAAACTTTTACTTCTTTCACCTTTGGAACGCATGTGAAGACTATTATGGACCTTGTTTTATTAATATTAATCTTTTCAGATGGAAAATTCGGACAAGGATGGAGACTGGTTTGCTAACGTGGAGAACATCAAGCCTGTACGAGGCGGGCGACGGGCGCAGACGTTGTCTTCTCTGGCGAAAGGACCGGTTAGGTTAACACCGCAGGAAGTTGAAGATAAATTCCGGGAAGAGTTGAAAAAGGCTAAGAAGGCCGAAGATCCACTCTCCATAATGTTAGACTTCCTTTCTTGGTTTCAAGAACAATTCCCCAGTGGGAAACCGGCTGTATTGTATCCAATTTTATACAAAATGTGTATTACTTTTGGCATCGATAAGAGGTTTCAAATGGACGAGCGGATGTTGAAGTTATGGTCAGAATTGGCCGAGAACTTTCCAGAGAGGGGTCTAGCGGTAATGGAGTTTGCTTATACCAAGGGTTCTCTACGACAAATGGCCAAATTTTATATAAGATGGAGTGACATGTATGATACCATGAGTAAGATTTTATTTCTTTTCTTGTTTTAGGTAACGGGGTCGAGCCCCAAAGTCTTTTCAAACGTCCTTAAAACTTTGACGGAGAGTTTTAGAAAATTTTACCTTTGCCTCTCTTACCATTTTTTCCTTTTGGCCCCTCCGTATATCTTATCTTCTTCTTTAGAGAACGCTCGAAAAGCCAGAGAGACATTGGAATTAGGTATTCGAAACTGTGCTGTTCCCGTAGATCTTATACATGAAGCCAGAGACCGTTTAGAAATGAGGTTAATGAGAGATTGTGTTCTTGCCAAGAATCAAGATGATTCAGATTACGAAGAGATGGATATGGATCATTCCGAGGATCCAGAGTTTGATCATACTGTCTACACTCAACCTCGTCGTCCGATTGCTCGGTTACAAGGTATTGGAGATGCGGGGGAGGCTCCAATGATAAGGAAAGCCCTCAGTACGCCTTTAGGACCTATCAGGGGACTTCCACAATCAACTCCACAGCCGTCCTTTGAGATATTCACTGATACTCCTCAACAAACACCGCGGCAGGCGACGACAAGTAGAACGAGAAAAAGATTAGCCGAGGAATTCGAACAGGATCCCGATTATATGGTAAGCTTATGCGTTATCTTTAGTAAATTTTGTGTTTAGTCGTTATTCGGCTTCTTTGACCATCGCCCTAAATCCACACTCCATCTCTATATAGATGAAAATAACCCCAAACCAATCAATTGGAAGGAATGCGGGGTCAAGGAGATCATGGAGACTCCAAACCCGGAGGCTGAATTCGAAATATTTTGTGATAATCCACCAGATCCTCCAAAGTCAATTGCAATGGTTCCAAAAACTCCGATTTCTGGTCCGGTAAAAGCCAAGATGAAACTGCGGAAAGATTTTGCTTTGGAAATGAGTATCGAAGAAGGATATGCAATGCTCATCGAGAACAAGAAGATCCAGCCATTCGGAGATTGCAAAGAATAATATCGATATTACACATGATTTCATAGACATTTACATGGTATTTATTTACAAACCTCCTACTGTACAAGCATAATCTATACAAGTTTACATACCCGTCTAGATTCACAGTGTAAAAAGTAAACATATTTACATCGTATCTTGATTTGATTGTTATAATCTGATGAAGGCATTATTAGTATTTTAATGGTCTATGCATCCAACGCCCATTCATTTTCGGAGATAAAGGTGTCCAAGACTTCTTTCATTGCCAGATTGGGGATGAGTTGGTCTACGGTCAAGGGGACTCGAGTGATCGGATCAAAGTGTCCAACTCGATGTAAGTGCTCTTTTATGTCTGCGCGATCATACGTGATTCCACTGGGAGTTATGACGGGATCTCGCAGCAATTCGAACGAGATCTTTCCGCATAGATAATCTGGGATTTCACGTTTTCGTCGTCGATCATCAATCTACAACATTAAATTGTAAATGAATAAGTGATTTTATAATTTCTGTGGATAAATATATCGGGAAAATAGTGGCAGGCTGTCGCATTCGTCTCATCGAAAAAGGTCGCGAGCCAAATTTCCAGCTGCGGCTAGCCGTCGCAAAGCGATGATTGGCGATTCCAAGGCGCGACGACCCACCACAATTTTCCCGAGACACATATAGCTTAAGATGCCTACCTCCGAGAAAAGACTGTTGAGTTGTTGCTTTCTCTCCATACCTTCACTTCTGATCTTATCGGCTTCGGTATCGTTAACCTGATTATATACTTAGTAATCATTGTTGCCTTACATTAAGTGTCTTTATAGTGCTGGCGATATCATCATCGATAAGTCGGTTCAAGTAGCTCTGTAATTCGATTTCTTGTGTGATTCTTTTTTCTTCTTCGATTCTGAATTTCTCTCTTCTGGCCTGTCTTAAAAGCGATGTTATCTCATCCCCGAAAGCCATTTTCTGATTATTCGCGGCTTCATGGGCTCTTGTAAGCAGTAATACTGCTTCGTCCAGCTGATTGTTGTGTAGACAGATCTTTCCCAAAAAGTAATTTGCCTGTAAGGTGGTGTTTACAGTTGTTTTCTTTCCTAAATTTTGAAAACTGGTAGTAAAAGGTACCTTTATGTTCCTCCCATCTAATTCCAAGGCTCTTCGGCAATCATCTGCTGCCAAATTCCATTTCTTGAGATTTACAAAGCACAAAGCTCTATTTGTAAAGTAGGACGGCTCTGTATTATTTTTCAGGATGGCCTTTCCATAGGCATCTATGGCCTCTTCGAACTTTTGCTGCTGGAAATAACGATTGCCCGCTTCTTTGTGTTCAACTGCTGAACTCATTCTTAAACAAAGTAAGTTAATTTTTAAGAATGCACAACCTTACACGTCGTAAGGATTTAAAAACGTCGTTTTGTTCTTGATGACTAATCGCAATGGTTGCGGCTTGGGAAAACGAGATTGTAAAAAATAAACAACGGTTTCAGTTCAAAACACCAAGAACGGAATCCTTAAAGAAAAGTATTACCCCCTTTTGGATCGTTGGTTTTCTCCAATAAAAAACAAACGAGAAAACATGTCAACGTTATGCCACCGAGTGAAGTCGGTGCGAGACAACGGCGGGCTGTTTATAAGGGGGTGCACCTTGTTCTAATTGGTTTGTATATTGGTGAATTGTAACCTGGATGTTGTTTTTTCTGTCGGGGAGTTTTTTAATAGACAAATCATCATCATGACCATCGTCTTTAAAATTTTTTTGCGTTCATGGTGCTTCTTCAAAAGATAACGGTGATTTTTAGTGATTTCGAATAGTGATGACAACTTTGTACCGTCTAAGAAAACAATGATAAGAAGCTGGGTTTATCTTACAACGTTGCCGGGTCAGCTCCACGTCGTGTTAACGATGTTAGTGTATACCTCCCCCCCCTTGATTGCCATCCTGATTGTATGCAATTGTCAATGTCTTCCACACAGTCTGTCTTTTGAGGTACTTGGTTTCAATTCTAACAATAAGTCCATGTCTGTCTTCTCTAATCTGCGGTTTGTCCTCTTCCAAATAAACCTTAGGATGATCGGGTCAAAGACGTCGTCGTCAGACTTCGGATAATCTTCTGGAAAATTTTTTTATCCCCACAATATCCCTCGAATATCGCATGTCAATCAGCGAGGTATTGTGAGCTCAGAAACTCGCGAAAATCCCGTAAAAACAACTTTTCGGGATTTGATGCCTCCGAAAAAATAACCGGAAACAGCAGAATAATGGGGAAGAACACGTGGGGCTGGGTCCAATTACTCCTCATCACCTGCAACCTGACGTCAGCCATGGCTCACGAGGACAATCTTCCAGTGAATGTTGGTTTCGTTCCTTTGAATGAGTTATTACTTGTTTACCGAAGGAAAAAATGTTTAAGTCGAGGGTTTTAGAGGTTACGGGAATCGGCACAACTTCTTTTGGACTTTCACAAATGGTGGACAAAGGCGGCTGAGGAGTTGAAAAACACGGTCAATGAGACTTCCTTTAAGATCGGTATGTGATTATGTTGCTACATGAAGTATTTGCTTAGATAACCTGGTTCGAGACACTTCGGAACTCATAAAATCGGAGCTAAAAAGCTTGAAAGTGGATGACATTGATAATTCTACCGACGTTTCTGACTTTCTCAAAGAATTTAGCAACGGTTTAGAACTTGGAAGTTAACTTGTTTGTATTAAATAAAGTCTGGATGATAAATAATTTTTTATTCGCTAGCGGAATGATACGTTTTTAAGAGGCGACAGATGGGACAAAAGAATCGCAAATTTTTTAAAATGGAAATATCGGACTGTCTATGTTATGATTTTTGTTCTTATCTTATAAAATAAGAAATGTCTCAGAGAAATGTTTGGATTAGAAAGAAGCATGTACAATTTAAAGGCAAAGATCAGGCCTGATCACTTTGTTGAATCAATTTTGACGACTTCTGTTTACATGATGACGCAACTCTTTTCTTTCTTCGTATCGTTCACGTATCTCAGCTTTCGCAAACGCCCCTGGCCCTTGTATTGTTGGAGAAAGGATAACTGTCTCTCGTTCAGTGCTCCGCGACGTTGACTAAAATCATATGGGATTAACGGTGGATGAGAGGAACTCTTGTTTACTCTAACTTTATTTCATTTAAACGAAGCCTGCTATTTGTTTGTCTAACTCAGGGTCCGGTCATCGAAAATCAGGCCCATGAATGTTCTGGAAGTCTCAATTATTTGATCTAGGCAGCAAAAAGGGGTTTGATCAGCAGATTTTGGATTAAAAATTGATTGGATCTCACCTTCTGATCAAGAAAACAGCGTCATCACACTTCATCCCGGCCTCTAAAAGGGCGATTCCCACCAAAACAGGTGCTCTTCCCAGCCCAGCCACACAGTGAACGGCGATGCATTCCTCTCCCGCCTTTTCGGAGAACTTCTCCAAACAAAGGTTAAGCCATTTGTCAATGACCTCTGATGGTGGAGGTTGGCCATCATCGAATTCCCAATCCTCAACCACCACTCCTTTCAATTTGATGGGTTCGGAATTGTATGTGGGCTCACAAACACGGACCAGAACGGTGGCACGGTGTCTGGTGAGATCCTAAAAATAAGGTGCCATATGACTTCTGGGATCCATTTACAATGTCAACAAAAATGCAAAAGCAAAGAAAAGTCGAACATGTGTAAAGAAACTTACATTTATGTAATGATCCACTGTGAGATCGGAAGGACGATCGGTAATTAAGAATCGCATCTTTCTAAAACGAATCTCGCTATGAGCTGGCCGAAAGTAATTGGTAAGTTGGGAGCCAGACCTCGGGAGCTGTTTTCCGGGCGAGTTGTTGATCCCTTCCACATCCACGCTTTGAGAACGGAGGGGATTGGCAAAGGTCACGGAGTTCTTGGGTGACATCTCTTACTCTGCTTCTTGTGATTTCGTGAATTTAGTCTTCCCCTAACAATCGACTGGTCGACCAATGTCTAAACGACCTTGTGGTCTAATAAAATCTTGTCCAACAACAAGTTAATCTACTGACAAAGAACACTGACGATGACAGGAACGGCCTGGTATGATTCTCAGCCGCCGTCTCCGTTCAGTGAGTGTGTTGAGCGTGGCAGATCTCTCCACTGGACAGGTGAGAGCTGCTGGAAAAAGGGAAACATTGATTACGATCAGCGCCACTTACCTGGCAACGGGCAAACCTTGTGCACTTACGACCATTACACGGAGGACTACTGGCGACGAAAATCTTGGAGACAACGGCGTCGGGACGTAAACCTGGAATTGGAGAAGGTCGGGAACTGTTCGAGAAGCTGGGGTGACCCCCAGCTTGTTTTCTTTTGACAATAACACGAGGCAAGGGGAGAGAGCACGTTCCCATTTCGAAACCTGAGACAAACAGCAAGGTGAGGGCACGGAAACGCCTCCGGGGTCTTTGCGGTAAAAAAGATGCGGCTTATCAGCGAGATCCCAAGGAAATCTTTAATCTCTAAAGGTTTGAACCCCTCGTAAACAACGTCGGAAGTCATGCATATGTATATATGCATGTAGAGCGAGATAATGCTGTGGTGATTGGTCATGGTAAAATAAACTTATTCAGAAAAAGGAACGGGGTTGTGCTGCCGCGTGATATTATTGTACGTCAAGGAACACGGCCCTCTCGTTCCGAGTAATGGCCTTGCATGTGTAATATATACATGGCCGTGTACATAGACGGGCACATATGAAGGGGTTTACCATTTTCATCCGGCACAAATAATTATCTTTTGGGTCTTCTCAGGAAGGTTCCTATATAAGCGAATATCAGAGGGGTTTATTTCTTCGAATATCCTATAAAAAGGCCTCAAATTAAAGAAATGGAAGAAGCAAGGAATTATAAAGAGAATTCTCCGGAAGAGCGACAGGCACAGATAATGCTGGCTTTGAGGTCATGAGCAGCTTTGATGACTTTACAACACCTCGAGGATTTGAAATATAATCAAAAATAACCGGAATGAATAGGGGGCAGGAGATCGGGCAAGGCCTTTGACATTTGTCCAGGGAACAAGGAGAAAAGAGCGTGCAGGGAAAAGGCACAAAAAACGGTCTGGCCACCACATTCAGGCCTCAACGCTTTGAAGGGAAGGCAGTCAAAGGGAGAAGAAGAAGAAGGGAAAAACAGAACGAGAAGACTTTTAAACGAGGAGAATCAGAGGCTGTTATAAAAAAGAGGCGGGACGTCTGGCCTCCGGCAATTTGTCCGCTTATTGTTTGACAGGTGGGCTGAAGATGGGAAACCCCCGAGGGCTTTGATTAATCGACTCTCCGCATCATGCACGGGGGTTCATCTTGCCTTTTTTGGTATTTTATAAGAAGGCAATAGCTAAAAGATAATAAAGAAATTCAAAAATAAGACATCAGATAGGGCTAATGAGGAGAACATTTAAAAAAAAAGAGTTCATCATGATAATTGGCTATAAATGTGTAAATACGTGCGGGATGTAGAAGAGTGTAAAGTCAACGTATCTTCACAGAGCACGAAGTATTACAGTAAGCTGTAACCAAAAAAAGTAATCGATATGTGAAGTGCAAATGTGCTCAATTCAAAACAGTGGCCAAACCAAATAAAGGACGATGACACGCTCTGTTAAGTCGTAACAAAAGGAACCCGGAATGACGTGTTTAATGAATTCTCTGTCTAAGGTCTTGCCCTTATTTACTCGGCTTAATAATACAAAGTAACCCGAGAATACAAAATAGAATCAATGAAGAAAACGTCCGCCTAATTAAGAGCCCTCAGGGTTTCAAAAAATGATTATTGAAAATTGAAGCTTCTTTTAAAAATCTGAAGCGTTTTGTAATGGGGAAATTGCGAACATTTCAAAACTGCAAAAAAAAACAATTGTCAAACATCAAAAACGGCATTGGTAATTTGAAAGTGGAAAATCGGAACATTTTTTAATCACACAGAGAGGAACTGGTCGGCCATGGGACCGGTCCCTTCTATGTTCGTCCAGCTGATCATCCATTTCTCGCTCATCTTTCTTCTGTTGGTCAACTGTTTCAAGAAACGGAATCGTCGAATCGAAGGGCCTTCTTTCACAGAGCAAGTTCATCATTTGTAATGTTTGTGGATTCGATTTGGCACGTGGCCCCTTTATAGACCCATTATCAGATCGTATGAAATCATTTTATTCCCAGACATGGCCTTTTATGAGTAATTTAAGATCAAAGTCTGATCTATTGAAAAAAGAAATTAATTTTTGAATTTTTAGGAAAGAGTCCCAAAAAGAAACCGAAAAATTGGATGACACCCAGCCAACGTCCCTCGATGCCTCCGAAAGAACGACCAGTGCTTCGGTCGATCGAACCACCACCAGTTCTTACCGTGAAAGACAAGTCGAAGATCATACCGGAGACACCTACAAGGAACTCAGACCCCGATCAGATGTCTCCAAGAATCTGTTGAGTGTAGTTCATCTGGACCGGACAGATATGATTGTTCCGGCTGGATTGAGTCAACAAGAACAGAGGATTTTGTTGAGAGCAATGTCTAAAGGATCGAAGAGAGTGGGGCTTGACGAAGGACTCAAAGAAACGACCATCGATAAAGTCATCACCTTCGCGACTTCTGATGACATTACGGATTCTGAAAGTCCAGATCCTCCGGGAATACCAGGTAAGTCATCGTTGATTTAGTTATCATTGTAGATGATCTTCAACTCGATGGAACTGTCCATTTGGACAATCTGCTCATCAGAATGATCCAGAATGGCCCCAGGCAATTTAAGTTTGGTTTCAATGAGCTAAAAGATCTTTTGAGTCGCGGCACTGATGTTTTTGCCGCTGAATGTTCTCTTTTGGATGTAAGTGTCAGTCTATAAAGTCAGAAATTTGAATTATCTTAGGTGAAAGTGCCATGCGTAATATATGGTGATATTCATGGTCAATACAGCGATCTCCATCGATGGTTCAACCTGAATGGATGGCCAAATCGGACTCGGACTGTGTTTTTGGGAGACTTTGTGGATCGAGGATCACATGGGATTGAAGTGATTGCGATGTTGACTTTACTCAAATTGCATTTCCCTGATCGGATATTTGTGGTGAGAGGAAATCATGAAGAGGAATCTTTGAACAAGGCTTATTCTTTCTATGAAGAAGTCGTCGCTAGATTCGCTGAGGAGGAATGTAAGAAATATACAGTAGTCTAATATTACCATGAAATCGATTTTAAATTTATCTTATTTTAGCCAAAGCCAGAGGTCAACAAATGTACGAGTGCTTCAAGACGTTGTTCATGAATCTCCCATTGGCCGTCTTGGTTGGAAAAAGAATCCTAGGAATGCATGGCGGAATCTCGCCGAAGATGAGATGTCTTCAAGACATTAGGAATATAAAGAGACCCATCGATGACTTTGAAGTAGGATCGCTGGAATGTGATCTGGTGTGGTCGGATCCGGATACTGGAGCGGACACTCAAGGATTCAGACCTAATTTAGAGAGAGAACCTCAGCACGGAATCGGTCAATTATTTGGGCCAGAGTCAGTCAAAGATGCCTGTGATCGATTGGGAATTGATTTAATGATCAGAGGACATCAGGTGTGTGATGAATTTGATGTCTGACAGCTATGTTTACAGGCTCCTTTGTATGGCTATGCCTTCTTTGCCGAGGGCAGAATGATGACTTTATTCTCGGCCCCAGGCTATAAGGGAAGCAATGAAAATGATGTGAATATGGGAGCTTGTGTGGAAGTCAACAACGAAATGCTACTCACCATCAAACAGGTAGTATACAAGTAGTCAGAAGTTTAGATTTCTTAATTCTGTTGGAATGAGATGTGATTCTTACAGTTGAAAGTGAGCACCAAATTCCGGAAGAATCGTGTCGCAGATATGGAAAGAGCTAAGAACCTCCGGAAGAAGATTTTAAAGTAAAAATGTCCCATCGAAAACTGAAATACACTGCCTTCCAATGGAGATAAATTACTGTGGTTTATTCAGAATCTAACTTCGGGTTCAATTTCTTTTCTTCTGGCCTGCTCCTCGTCGATTTCTCTGGCCACATCTCGAGGTATAGGGCCAATTCCAAGAAGTTCTTCTTCCGTTTTCTTTGCCGAGGATGCCTCGGTTGGAATTGAAGGGGCTGGAAATTAGCTGTGAAATCTTTGTAGGTAGAAGTCATAAGAAAATGAAAAACGAAGCAAACTTTTTGTGAACCCGAAATGAACAGAAGACTGGGTTATCGGGGTAATAAAACTTGGATCAGAATGTAACATACCCACAGGACTAGTCTGTTGAGGCGTCCAGAATGCCTTCTAAAGTGCAACAAAAATAAAAAAAAAACTTTTTTTAAATGGTATATTATTATTATAGTAACCACATACCTCATCTCTCTTTTTCTGGAGTTCTCTTTGTCTTTCCAAAACATCGACGGAATCTGAGGGATGGATTCTCTCGAGATCTCTAAAATTTTTTTTTCGGGATTCGATTGTGGAAAATGAGAAGAGATGGCGAAAGAAAAGAGAATTTTATAAATACAATGTTAGGGTTAAACACCTCCAAAATAACGTTAGAAATTTAAATTTCATTTTTGGGCTAATCCTAACCCAGAACTACCGTATCCCTTACTTTTTCTTTTTCCGCATACTCTCGACCTTATACAGAAGGAATATGAGCACACAAAAAGTGAACAGTGAGAAGACGGAGACGAAAATCCACGGGACCAGGTGATCGTTCATCGTCTATTCGGGTCATCTGACGCCTCGGGTATGGAATCCCATTTTTGGATTCAAATAATAGGCTTGGGTTCCGGTGAAGGGAATAAAAAAACGGAATGGCTCTGAAAAACAACTAAAAAGTATAATGGACTCTCATTCTTGGCCTAAGTGATGCCAGTGTAGGTAGACCATATTTATTTTGAATTTCCTTTGAACTCGCTGTGAAAGAGCGCAAAAAAGGGAAATCACGTCAGAAGCGAAAGCTTTGCAAAGCGAAAACGAGAACTCTCTGAACCAAGGCCAATCATTGAACATCTTGGGAGCGGCCAGAAAGCTTGAGTTCAATTTTTTAAGAATTTCTTGGTAAATTTGAACGAAATCTGTATGTACCATAACCAATTCGCTGCATCACTTATCCGTCATCTTCTGTGTAACTAATTTTCCTGCAAATAAATCTTGCCCCCAATCATTCTCAACTAATCAAACTGATCTCAAGTGCTGTTTTTGTCAACCTGCCCACTTTACAGCAATTTCTTTCGTCGATTACCGTCCCTGATCATCCCTTTGTAAACGTCGCCATTTAACGTCCAATCGTTGTAATGTTTTAAGGTTATTTACATTGTAACAGAAGCCAGTCTTCACGTTTTTACAGCAGAACACTTTTGAATTGGAAGGAAAAATATTTTGACCGTATTTGAGAGGTTACAGTAATCCATCCTGAGTGTTTATTTCGAATAATTTAAGATAAGGGTTGAAACGTCTTTCTTGATACATAGAAATGAGATCATTTTGAGTGGAGATTCGACTTCAGTGGATTCTAGGGAGCTTGGATGATTTAATGGGGAGCACTGAAGTTTAATTTATCCAAAGAATCCGAAACCGCCGTAAGCATTGTAGGACGCTTAAATTTGTTTTATTATTAAAAACAACATAGGATCCAATTGCTGTTATTGCTTCCAAATCACAGTTCTCATATCAAAACTTACTTGATTGAACCGAGTTTGGAGCGTAAGGTCCTAGATTTCCTCCCCATGAATCCAGAATGGTTCCCGCAGTCATTCCATCGGCAAACGGACGAGCCTCGGTAATCATGGATAACGTCGCCAAAACGAACAGAGAAAAGACTGCAACGAGTCGAATGCTCATGTTTGTTGTACGCAGTAGTCGCAGTAATGCAAGCAATAGCAACTTTTTGATTTGGAGTTTCTTTTATAAACACAATAAAAATGGGCGGAGCTTATAATTAGCGAGATCAATTGGTGTTTTGAACAGTTGAAAGATGTCTTAGAAATGATCTTCAACGCCTCTGGAATGATCTTTGATTTAAATGAACACAAATATTGAGGTAAATCGACAAACAAATTACTATTTTGGGAAGGAACTAACTAAGGAAATGACTAACAATAAGAATAGAAAATGTCCTTGTTTTTGAGCAAAAAATTAGCAAAATTACTGTTTTATTTTGTAAATAAACAGGAATGAACAGCAAAAGCGATTCTGGTTAATAAAAAGTTTGAAAATTTTGAAATACGCCTAAGGCAATGCTTTTCCATAAACACCATAAGATCGAAGGGAATACGGAAGGAATCGAATTGTAATAATTTTCAATCAACACGACCGCCGGTCAATATTACAACAGCTTCTTTCGCGGAATCTTGACTTGTAGCCGTGCACTGAGTTTGCCCCCAACCAACGTGATTTACAATTTAAAGTCGAAAGTCTGCAGATGATGGTCTTTAGACGAGATTTGTTCATCATCTTGTTTCACGGAGTTGTTGTGCAGTATAAGGTGTTGTTATTTCACTCAAAGCATCAAGAAATAAGTGGAATTACTTGCAAATATGATACCTACAGTAATATTAAAATATCTGTTATTCTTTCTAGAACACAAAAATTTTAAAAAATTTTGAAGAGGAATTGCAAGTTGATTGTCAAAAATTCCAAAATTTTGGATTACTAAAATAAATGTATATAATTTATATGACCTTTGTAACCTTGCAATATGTAAATACAGCAATATGTAGTAGGGCAGATTTATTTTTCCACCAACGGATGACTAATATTTTATTTTTATTCACTTAATCACCTTGAACATTTGACCCTGAGGCGTTGTAATTCCTATGTGATTTCTTTAAACTGCGGGCTTTTGCCGATTGAAGTCAGTAGAGAAGATCGTGTAACCTGTTTTTGCAACGTTTCACCTGGTCATTTGTACTTTATCAGTGATTATATCGCTATTAAGAAAAGTGACTTAATTTGAGTGTGTTTACAGGTTTAATAAAAGCAGAAGGGGTAATTAAAATAAAATATCTCAGAGGTTTCCAGAAAACTATTTGTAACAAATGCACCTTAGAGTGGGCTACTGTAAACATACATAGAGCACACCAAATTATTTTCTTCAAAAATAAGGTTAGTAAGACGTCAACTTGATGCTTCAGTCATTGTCAAATTGCCGTCATTTTCGTCATATCAAAATGTTCTGTCATTTCTGTAAAATTGAGTTTTTTGAAATTTTTTTGTATATCTTTACTAAAAAATCGTAGTAATTCAAAATTTTTAGAAACTATATTGCCCTTTCTTGACAATGCGCCCGATGAAATAAGCAGTAAAAACAGCTGCTACTAATATTAACGGTATTCATCGTAGCTTGCGTTTGAAAACTTTAGCCAAATTACGAAAATGACGCATCGAATCCATCAAAGCTTATTCAAAAACCATTTTTGAGCCGCGCCCAAGCTTTGTGTTGGTTGCTATCATACGAAGAAAAAAACTTCTATTTTGGTCATCGAAAGCTTAATGTAATGGAATTTATTTAAAGTTCACGGCGGGCTATTGGGGGTTGTCATCATCACAAACAGACTTGAACCCTGTCTGATTATTGTACTTTATTCCCGGTCATCAATCAAGCTTTTCTATATTTAGAACAAAGATGCGGTAAAAATAGCATTGCATCGAGTATGAGAAAAAATGCCTCCTAATGATTTATAAGAGTGAGAAGTAGACCGCACCCGTCGTTCAGAAGCAAAACGCTAAAACTGCTTCCGTCACTTTTTTGGAAAAATTGAATGAAAAGAATGAGGCCGATATGGCCAAAAAAAGCGAGAAATAAGGCGAATTTAGCCGTTTCCGGAGAATAGGTCACCCTTAGCTGACAGGTTGCCCCCAGCGGGATAGGCTACCTCAAGTTTCAAACAGGTTTCCTCGGAGGATTGGTTGCCTCGGCCTTATTTTCTCCACATCATTATGCATACATTAAAAAGTAAGATTTTTATGAATTTAAATAAATGTGAACATGTGCCTCTGCTTCAATCGAATATCCAAAATTGATTACTGCCATATTTTCTTGATTCACTTGCGGCATTCTAGACGTTGACCCTGAATGTTAATCGATCTGTGGCGCTTCCAGACGATCTTTCGAAATACGAAACGAAAATACCCAAGTTCCGCCCCGATAGTCAATATATAAGCGTAATCAACCCAAGGAGCGCAAAAACAGTCTTATCATGCCTTTCAGCCATGTCTTGACCTTCCTATTGGTGACTACTGTGATTACTCAATCTTTTCAATATGCTGATCCCTTCACAGCTGGGACAATTCTCGATTCATGGGGTGGAAATCTTGGGCCCAGCCATCCGAATTCCATCCAATCAGGTAAGTTATATTTTTAGTAGATCAAGGCGCAGATATTGGTTTGCAAAACATTCTTTCACAGTTTTTTTACGTTTTATTGTCAATTTTTTGATTATTCTCGTTCGCTCTGGCATTCATAAGTTCAAATCTTTGGCTTTTGACACTTACTCAGACCTAACTTCTGCTCAAAATTTGAAGAAAATCCGCCTTTTCCTGGGATCCTTCCTCTGTTATTTGTAGCTTTCGGAAGTCACAATGACCAAAGTCCGATGTCCGATTTTATTTTTTCTAATTTGTTTTCGTATCTTCAGCTTCCTACCGACCCTCCTACGGCTACGGATTCTTCGGTTAGACACCGATTACCGTCCACTTGCGTATTCGTTATGATGTAAATAGAGCCCTTAATGCAGTGTTTTCTCATGTGTACGATCTCAAATGATTTATAACAATAAAGGATAAATGGAGGCGATCTTCTTGTTGTTAGAGAGAACCTGTTCCCTTAGGGCATATAAAAGAAGTTCACGTATTTCTTTACCTCATAACTCTGAAATGGCTCGAGTTTTGATTGGGATTGTGATGACTTTGATGTTTTTGGGAGTTGTGAATGGTCAAGGAGATGAGCATACACAGGGAAGTATTCTGGAGAATTGGGGAGGCACTTTGCAACAGAAAACTTACAATGGAGACTACAGAAACCTAAATAGTAAGTTCTTTTTGTAAATCTATCTTCCAACATACTATACTGTACTTACTATACTATCAAATCTTCAGTTCTCTCGCACGAAGCAATCCCCATGCCCTTAGCCCGTCAATTGCAATATCAGGGCTTCGTTGGAGCCGAGAGAGTCCGCTATCCGTCCTTCCCTACCTACACCTATCCTCAATATAACTTTTATCGTCCTGGGCGGAAGTAAGAAGTTCCAATTACTCATCATATCATTTTACTGTAAGCATTCTATTAATAAATAAATAATGCATTTGAGCATGTTTACAGCTGGTTAAGTATTGCCCATCCCAATAAAAATACATGTCGTATATGGGAATTTATTGAAGTCAGAAAATTTGCCCTAAGGCAATAGTTTAATTCCTACGAATATTAAATCCGAGCGACATTACGAACCCGAACTTTGAACGTTGTATTATATAATTATATGTTAAAAAAGTTTATTCGAATCTATCTCTGCACAAACGGATAGGTGTTTGGAATAAATAAATAGAATAATAATAATATGTGGGCTCTTAAATACGAAGAAGAATCACAGAACAACGGAAGAGAAGCGTCTGATTATGGGAATCGAGAATATGGTAAGTTAAGATGGGAATAGGGGCGTGGGGCCGGGCTGAAATGAAGGAAAACTGCAGAACTAACAACAAGAACAACTAGTCCGGCCATGAAAGGCAACTGGAAATGGAAGGGAAGGAGAGTTGCAAGCGAAAGACTATCTTCAACGACTTAGAATAGAACTACGGTAGTCACAAATGCAAAGTTTGGCAAATAATTTCTGTCATCGAATGCGGGGCGAGCCGACTTCCATGTATATTATACATCCGTCGGCCAATAAATATTTAAAAAAACAGAAGGACAACACAATCTATGCAGCACCAAATAAATAAAAGTAATCGAATAAGACACTAGGAGTAATTTCTTTCCATCTCGGGGCCACGGGTCACCAGTATTATGTGATAGTAGTCTCAAGGCAATGATAAATAAATAAATAATCTAAGAAGACTACTTTTTACATGAACAGTCCTGTATAAGGTCATCTATTTCTCGTAGTAGGAGTTGACAAGCACGGCGATCAGCAAGGCCACAACAACAAAGACCGTCTGAAAAAATGTGATTAAAGGGTGACAATTATCATAATGTAAATAATCGTATAAAAATAAAAATCAGACTTACCATAACAACAATCAACCAGTCACTATCTGTAATCGACCGTTTGAAACAAGTTATCGACCGTTTTAGTCGTTTGTAAAGACTCAGTTTGACTGGGGGTCCAATCCTCGGAGTCGATCCATTTAACCTCGTCCTTGTTGAACTTGTTGAAGCAGGAGTTGATGTTCCACTGGTCGACTTGACTGGTCGTTTTCTCGGCGAATCTGATGGACTTCGGTTACTGCTGAAAAGAGCGACAGGCGACGGAAGGGAATGCACTTCTTCTCCATCTTTATTCTGCACCACCAACACTCGGGCTTGCCTCGTTCCAGTAAATGTTGCTTGAGCGGGAGAAACTGTCCAAGTGAAAGCCGTGGAGGTTCCTTGATAGATCGTTTTCCATCCTTCATTTCCTTTTGAGGACTTGAGAGCCACTTGCAATTTGTAACAGACGTTTTCTTCGGCTCCATTCAACGACTTATAAGGTTGCCATTCCATCTGATAGACATTATTGCCGGCCTCGGTTACAGTGGGAGCATTCTTGATGGATGCCGGGGGCAATGCACTGGTTTGGAAAGAGTAGATTTTGGACCATTTTCCAGCCAATAAAGGTTGTCCTCGAACATGGGAAGCCCGGATTCTAAAGCGATGACTTGAAGCTTCCTTAAGACCGCGGACTTTAGCTGTTCGATTCTCTCCTTCATATACGGCCATAAACTTTCCATTCTCGGACTCCTTCTCCAGATAAAAGTACAGGGTCTCCAAATTATCGGAGGTGCTGGCTCCGGTCGTCCATTTCAATTTCAAAGAATTAAAAGCAATTTGAGCAGCAGATAAGACTGGAGGTTCTGGTGGAATATCCATGGTTAGACCGAGTTTGGAGGCTGGCTTTCCCCATCCGACACTGTTCCGGGCACTGACTTCAATACTAAAAAGTAAAAGATAAGGTTGTGTAAACTGATGACTAAACAAGTTCCAAAATATTTGCCTACCTGTACTCAGTGCACGGTTTCAGCCCGTCGAATGTCCATTCCAAAACATCACCTGTCACAATCTGTTGAGAACAGAGAACCTTCTCCTGGTGCAATACCACCTTATATTCTTCAATTTCAGCTCCATTCTTCATCGCTGGAAGCCATGTCACAGACAAACTCTCCAAGGCCAAAGCTTTGACTTCAACTTGCTGAGGAGTACTTGGAACAACGGCGGGGCTGGTCAACTCAAACACATTTGAGGGTTCAGAAGGGCCGGCTTCATTTCGAGAGACAACGTTGAAGAAATAAACTCGAGCTGGGATTAGATCTTCCAACACAAGCTCGGTCTTGTCAGTATTGCACAACTGTTGCAGTCTGATGTTCTTATCCGAATGCCCTTCAGGGAAATTGGCCGAGTTTACGCAATATTCGATGACAGCAGACCCGTTGGTTAAAGCTGGAGCGTCCCAGATCAAAATAAATGCTTGCTCTTCGTTCTTCAGCCTTAAATTCTGAGGCGGAGAGGTGACAGTGCATGGAGTAGATGCAGAAACAATACTACTCCATTCTCCCTTGATCCTCTGACCTTCATTGTCCACAATAACACTCCTTACTCTCAATTGAACGTGTTCTACCGGCCTCAAATTCTCGAGATTGAATTTTGTTTCATCACCCGAATATACCAACACTGGAGGTTCTTTATCGACCCGTTGAAGTTCGAAAAGAAGAGATTCCTTCTTTTCAGGGAGCTGTGAGTCATCGCTGATTGTCCAGCTGATGTTCATACTATTCTGAGTGACGTCACTGATGGTAGGCTGAGTGCAATGTGGTGGTTTGACGGGCTCCAAGACCTTCGCGGGCTCCTCTTTGGGTTCAGGTTTGGGGGTCGGGGTAGGTGCGACGACTTTGGGGGTCGAGGTTGAGGCATGGTTGTACAATTGCTGATTGACATAGATATGATTCTGACGGATCATCTGCGAATTTGCATGGCGTTTGGGCTTCCGCTTGACAAAGGCGCGTTCGGACCAGGGACTCTGCAAACAGACACTCATTATCATAATTAAACACTCTTGCTGCGTTTGTAGTCTAATCGTGAGTAATGTTTGTGGGTTAGAAGTATTTTTGGAAAGCATTTTCAGTACGAATGGTGTTAATTACACATAATAGGAATTATGTCAGCACTTACAGATTGACCTCTTCGATTGAGAGCTTGGACCCTGAACAAATTGAGACTAGGATCGTTGATAGTACAGTAGTTGTTGGGCCCTTTGTAGCACACCTTCCACTCGTACTCACAGTACTCTCCATTCTCGTATTTTTGATATGATACAGTCCCTTCGACGCAGAAGATAACACCATCAAAGTCTCCGATTTGATGTTTCCAGGCCAATTCCACAGCATGACTTTCGTCTTCGAAGGCTTTCTGGAATGTGGGAGGGGGTACTCGTTCTCGTTCGTAGTAATTAGAGTTTTCATATCGATCTTTGTGAGTCCGTGTGGAAACAGCCTCGGATTTAATTAATTCGCCGTTCAGGATTTGGCCGCTCAGGCGGAACCGGTATTCGCGATTGCTGAAGAAAAGATTTAGAGTACTCATAAAGTAACAAGATTATTAAGAAGATGATGGACATCCTGAAAAGACTCTTACCTTCTCAAGTTTGAGACGAGAGCACAAGGTGTGTTGTTGGCTGGCTGATAAGACTCATGGGGCACCGGGGAAAAGGCAGGATTGGCTCGAAGGGAATCGGAAATCTCGAGCTAAAATAGCAACCATAAATAATAATTATGGGTTAACATATCACTCCAAAAGAAAAGCTCTACTTACAAAGACATTGCCGAACTCGGGGCTGACTTGCCAAGTCAGCTTGACCTGACGCGCTGACACAAACACCACCGTTGGCGGTTGCAACTTGGGGATGACGGGCACATACGGAGGGGGATTGTGATGGACGCCTGCGCCCATACTCTGTCGATAAATGCTCTGCTGGTAGTAGTTGGAGTTGGCAGATGTAGTGGGCAATACCTGCGGCTGTGGGGGATTTGTATTCACATGCAGGGTATTGCTGAACTCGGATTGGCCAGTCTCGTTTTGGGCCGCTACTCGCGCTCGATAATGGGTACCCGGCTCGAGTTGTGCAATCCGAGCATGATCGTAGGGACCTTCGTAAACCGTCTCATATGGCTCGTTCTTCCCCTGAAAAAGAATGATCTTTATGTAAATGTAAACAATTACATATTATGAATATCAAGACCAAACGACAACCAGAGATATAAAAAACTGAAAGCAATCAACCACAAAACAACAAAATGACAATATCCGGGATCAATGATACCTTGGCCATCTGAAGAATGTAGCTTGCAACATAAGACCCTCCGGCGTTACTCCAAGCCAAGGAAATGTTGTAGATTCCCCGGTAAGTGGCTCTCAACATGACCGGTGGGTCTGGTGGTGGAGGTAATGTCCGAAATGAAGCTGTTCTACTCTGTCGTCCAAATATCTGTCGTTCTGGTAGCGATGCTCTGACCGAGACATTGTAATCGGTCTGAGGTTTTAACTTTTTGATATTAAGACCATTATGATTGGACAATGGTGGACATTTTGTTTGGGTTACGAATACCCTCCCATTTGGCGCATTCTCGTACAAAAAGAGTTCGTATTCAAATTCACTGCTATCAATGTGCGGGAAGGGGCCTCCGGAAGATGTGGCCTCGGATGTGTCAAACTCGAGCCAATGAACATCCACATCGAAGGCACCGACCCTGGTCACTGTCGGCTGCACAACCCGATTCAACGATTCTTGAAGTCGCTCTCTTTCGTAGCGTTCAATCGCATCCTAAACCCAGCAAAGATAGGATGTGTGTAAGTGCTTGACATTAATAAGACCCCAAAAACTACTCTCAAAATGCTATAGACATATGAGGAAATGGAAGGAGAAAGAGGAGATAATAAACGGCTAATTACGTTTTCAGGAAGAGTGCCGTTGGCCTCGTGTGATGTTCCGGCGACCGCGTTCGGCTTCTTGGGATGGGTCTTCTTGCGGAGCAGAGAGTTGAAACCTTAAATCAATTAAAAGTAAGCATTTCGAATATGATTATTTCCGCGCTACCCTAGTTTACATTACAATTTTCTTTCTAAAATTCAGAAAAATATGGTTAAGCCTTGAACTGTATAATTAAAGGTCAATTTAAAATTCGAAAGCAAATTTTAAATTCAAACTGTTATTTTAAACGACCTACTCGATTGTTCTGAGCCCTCTGCATTCTGGGTTGTGGTCGAAGTCGTAGTTGTTAGTGCCGTCTTGACAGTATTCGTGGTGGGAGTTGTGCTGGGAATGACCGAATTCGGCCGCACACTTGACGTCCCGTTCTTGATATTGGCGTAGGTGGCCTGAAATGAGAAAATGACCCATTTTATGACAATATAATCACGAATAACGTAAAGACATAAATAAATGATGTCCATGACTTTTAAGCATCCGACAGCACTCTTACCGTGGGTGGAACACGACTGGAGGTGCTGTTCTGCGGAGATAAGATGATATGCTTGACATTGCCCTTGTCATCCAGAAATTGTTGAACACAATGGCCTAAGGGTACGTGTAGAGGGAGGGGACCCGTCGGCGGTCCATTCTGGCACACCATGCGGATGGTGGCTGGGCCTAGAAAATAGATTTTAACGTATCAAAATTTAGGCGAAACCTGCTTTTTAAATATTATCATAATTAAACTGTTACATACCCGCAATATTCTGGGGCTCGTTTCCGACATACAAGATCAAGGTTTCGCCGGGTTGAACATGAACAAAGATCTCATTGTCAGCCTGGGTAGTCGTCGCAGCGACTCCACTGATTGGAGGAGGCACTGAATTGACAACAAGCCCTAAGGGCGGGGAGCCAGATTGGGTAGGGACGTTGGGCAAATTAGAAGCGGGATGGGAGGCATTACTTGGATTGTTATTATTACTATTTACGGGACCATTCGCAAGTGCTCCGGGATTGGCAGCTCTCAAAGCAGAGCCGGATGAAGTCTCCGCCGCCTGAGGGCACGTCATCGTGTAATAGGACGGAGGAGGAGGCACGCGAACGTTGGAGGGAGCGCATCCGACCACTGGAGGTGGGGGATGGGCCATATTTGGGGGTGCCCACCTAAGCGGCGAGATTGGATACGTTGGATTCGGGATCCCAGTACCATGCAACATAGCCCCTAAAGGGACGGTAGGGACGGTGTAGTCGGGGATGTTGGAGGAATGACTACAAGTGTGACTTCCTTCTCCAGAATCCCGTTCGGAACTGAGTGAAGAGGCCTCCGACTCGTTCTTTCCGTTGATCCCTGAACTCGACCCGAAGTCGGAGGTGTCGGTGGGGGCTCGTTTGGGAGGGGTGGAGGCCGGGGACAGCTTCGGCGAAGGTGAGGAATTCCTGGGCGAGGAAGCCGTCGAAGCCGTGTCATAGGCGGTCTGACCCGGGTTCAGCGAAAACAGGCTGGGCGGGTAGTTCTGTGTGGTGGTGGTGCTCATCGTATAAAAATTTGGGAGAATATGTATAGGTTCGCCGTCAGTTTCCACCAGATATGCGCATGTCTCGTGTTGTGGATCGGATTCTCGCGGTCCCAGTGATCGTGGGACTCAGCTGCGCCTGCGCGAGCTTCGTGTTTGTAGGAGTTGGACCGGCGACAACTAAAATAAGAAGTTTAGAGGTTTAAAACTAACAAATGCACGATGTAAACTAACGCGGGGCATAATCATATAAACAACTTTTTTGCAACGGAAACTTTACACATATAAAATGTCAAAAAAGAAAAGGAACGGCGAAGCGAAACCGCGAGGTGACCTAATGTCATAAAGATATCCCAAAAGTAATCAAACAACAAACCCATTCTCTACCAATTTAAACTACTTGATCCGTTTTTGTATTGGCGCGCGAGTACAGACGGGTTGCGCCACCTAGCACCCGACAACCCCCTTCTTCACGTGACTAAGCGATCGGACGGAAAAAAATGAAGGAAGACGGTCAGAGAATGGATATTATTGTTCGTCAGAGAAACCGGACAGGACTTGTGAAAGTCGGAATCCATGACGAAGATATTGCCGCATTCCATCGACGGAATTCGTTGACGAAATGAGCCCGAAATTGGATGGAAATGAACTCGGGGTCAGCAAACAGTGGATGAAAGAATAGAAGCCCATAAAGTGGCGGTGTACAAAAGCAATACAAGACAAAGGGATAACACAAAAAAACGACGACGTTGAAGAAGAAGAAGCCCAGTTCTCTCGGGAAGGAGAAAAGCAATCGATGCTCTCTGTATGTTTGAAATGGGATTGCGATCGGAGAGCGTCGTAGATATTTTGATTTGCGAAAAGCCAACTTCAGAAAGAGAATGGAAAGGGGGGGCGGTATTGGATCCAGAAACCGTCCCATTCTCAATTTTAATAAGACCGTCGGCAAATGCTCTTCGAAATGTCCTATATTGTATGTTCTGTGGGATTCGTATTCCACAGATCGAATGTTCGTTTTGTACCTGACTTTTGACCACAGGGCTTTAAATAAACTTTGAACTGAAACTCAAATGCCACGCCCCAAACACCGTGACAATATCAGGATGTAATTGGCTTTCTGATAATTTATGCAAATATTGCACCGATCCCAAATTCCGCCCTTAAGCCTTTGCCCTACGGGGTTTTTTGGGAAGGCAGGTGGTCGTAAATGTGCTGGGTTTAATTAAACTCTGTTAACATAAAAAGCGTTCGCTCCAACAATCCATTTTTGAAGTAGCTGTAAATCACCTCCCCCCCCCCTTCCTTCCTTATCAGCGAAAAATAAAAAAAAACAAAAAATGTAGGTCGTGGTTGAGAAAAGGCGGTGACCTCATCGCAAGTTGAAAAGACGAAAAAATATAATTGATAAGGGTGCAACTGGCCATCAAATGTTTGCAAATCAAAAAACAATCAAAGTTTTATTATCTCTTATTATCGCCTTAACAGTTCCGGCATATGAAGGCTTAAGGAAATTTAAAATTGGGAACGCGAACGGATACATTGCAAGAGGAAACCCCACCCATCTCCGGCCCCGCTATCAACCCCACCGGAAGCCGTACCCCACAACCCAAATGAACCGATGACATCAACATAAATAAATAAGACAAAGGCCAAATTTGCGCGAAAATATTCTTAGGGGCCGAAACGGCCGGCTGGTCGTGTGCCGTTCTAAGTGTGAGCAGAGACCCCGCGGCTACTGAAGGAAGAACGGCCAAAAGGCGGAGGAAGAAGGGATTGTTCGGCTTCAGCATGACGTCGCCGGCCTTCGCTTGCTCCCCTTCCCGTGCTCGCCTCAGGCCCGGCTTTTTCAGGCTCGAGGAAATTCGAAAAAAACAGCCCCAGATAACGCATAACACGACGTGCGCACATCTCTTTATATTTTTGTGCAATGAAGCCCGTAATGTTGATGATATCATATTATTTACAATAAAGCATTTACAACATTAGGCCGCACTTGTACTCGTATTTTCGTACAAAAACTCTCGGTGTCAGCGCGGGCCTCCTAGCCCGATGCAATATATCAATTTACGCCTTTTTTCGTATCCAAAACACATCCCCACATAACCCCTCATCGGGGTTGTGGAAGGGCCTGAAGACGGATGAAAAAGGCCGAAATAGGGCCAGTTAATGGCCGAGAATCGAGTAGTAAAAATAAATATTTGATTTATAAAATGAGCAACAGTTTTGTTTATATCGCTCCTCCCGTCCCTCCGACCCCAACGCCCTGGTAATGGAGACGTGGCATTACAGATGCGATGGATGCGGAACGGCCCCGAAGACCGTTCGCCTCCCACCCTATTCGAAAAACGCTCTTTTTATTAAAGCCTTTTCCGCGTTTAGCCACGTGAAAAAATGATTTTAAGAGGGCAAAAACATCATCTAAGGGTACAATCGAACAAGGTCAGAGCAACTGATAACATTGACAAGCACATTGCAGAGCGTGGAAACAGATTATAACTCGCGTTGACGTCTTTACAAACCCCCAACCTACTAATAAAATATTATTCTTTGCTCTGTCCACCAACTAAAGCCTCATTTCCTTTCAAATTGTCAAGATAACACAAGCATTCTCACAGCCTATTTTATCCCAAATTAGAATACTTAGAGGTTTAAACGTCATCATCCCTTCTCTCCCTCTCTCTCTCTTCTCATTTCGTTTAATAACTGACGGAAAAGTAACGGTCAATGGGGGCGTTCACTTTTTTGGGGAAAACGTCATCGTATGTGGAAAAGACGAAAAAAGAACACACCCCAAATATACATGCAGAAGGCAAAAAAACACCGCGCCGAAGTCAACAAGCGAGCAGCAAAAGTCAGGGACACGCCGAAGCCGGCCCCCAAGTCAGAAGACTTTTCACGTCAAGTCCGTGACGTTGTCCGCGCCGCCTCTCTCTTCTCCCAATGCGTGTTTACGAGAGATTTCCCCTTCGGCTACGCCATCTCTCGCGCACACGTAACCATAAATTGCAGCCCAAAATTACGGCCAAATATGGCCAATAAATAACAAGAACCCCATTTGGGGGAAGCGAGGTATATAATGTGGAGGTGTGATATGAGAAATGGCGGAAACGAGTAGATACCAAGTCCCCCAACTACTCGGAATCTTTCATTCACATATTCCTGGATGGGGAAAAACACTCAAGGCCGCGCATCCCCTCAGGGCAAAGACCAAAAACGCAAAAGAAGGTGAAGAAGTATTCGAGACGATCTTCCGAACGGAAATGCTAAACAGAATCCGCCCCGTCGCCATGTTTTTTTGCTAAAAAGCCGAAAAGTACAAAAAGGGAAGAAGATTCACAGTCTGGGGCCTTAAAAGAATTGCAGCCAAAGTAAGGGTTCTGGGGTTGAAGCCGGCTCCTCTTAAGAGCCTCGCTTCCCTTAAATGCGGGGTCGAGAGGGAAGAGGTGTAATCAAAGTTCACGGGAAAAGGTGACTGAAACGAGTTCGGCCGATCATAACAATTAAATTCCACGGAACCCATCAATCCCTCGGGAACATAAAGTATAATATGTGCTGAGGGCGGAATAATATTTGTATTCCACATCAATAATCACCCTTTTCCTTTCCAACTTCCTTCGCGCAATCTGGAACTCGAATCAACAAAAAATTTGAATTCCAAAAATTCCTTCGGATCTGCAAAAAACATCCGAAAATACGCAGAATCTAGATTCCGAGAAACGAGGAAATATTTGAATAAGCGCGTAGATGGGATATGCCCGCAGGCGGTTTCAAGTTTGGCAAAATGCCAAAAGGCCGCCGACCCCGCTTCTTCTAATAGCCTTCGGAATGAAAATGCCTTAAGGGGATGGAGAGAAAACGTCTTATCAAGTGTCCAAAAATAAATTTCGAACTGAGAAATGCAAAAAATTTGCTCGGAAACCCGCAAAGAATCAATAAAGCGGGACGAGATTGACGCAATCAATTTTCTCTGAAAAAAAGTAAAATCGGTCTCGAGCATGGTTTGGAAACGGAAAAAGAAAAATTGCGCGGCCCAGTCCCTTCTGAAAGTCCGCAAAAAAGTTTGTATGGGAATGACCAATGTCCCTTAGGGCAAGCAAAACAGGCTTTTCAGCAAGGGGAGGGGGCATTAAAGCAGGCCAGAAAAAAAAACAAAAGTTTCGGGCGAGTGACGAAAGGACTTTTAATATAAATTGGCGAATAAACGCGAGCACTGACCCCACGAACACTAGCGGCCTGCACAATGGATATGGGGCGAGTATCGATGTGAGAGGAGAGGGCTCGAGAGGGGCAAGAGAGGGTCGAGACCGGCTCCCCTCCCCTCCCCTGCCTCTCTGCCGTCTGCGCACTCTCGCACTGTTGCGACGCACCCCGCACTCCTCGCTTTTGACACGTCCAGTTCTCTGCGGTGGGGGAAATCCCTGGTGCGCGAGGGGCTCATCCCTCATCAAGAAGTGCAGGGAACTTGGTTTGGAGTAACCGAGCTTCAGATCCTGGGAATACCCTTAATAATTTCGAATTTCAATAATCCCCGTTACGGTAAATATGCCTGATATATGTATTGTTATCTTCGGAAAGCCAAACACAAAATGGACCCATTCATTGATAATAACGTTGCATTGTCGATCAGACATCTCATATAATCGTCTAAAGAATATATGCATCGGGCTTCTAAACACCTTAACAACACAGTTCAGGGTCCCTAAAGGCTTTATCTGACTTTACTTTAGTTTCGAAAATTGCAAGAATTGCTCTAAACTGTCCCCCCCCCCTCCCAACCCCAAAATAAAAAATTGACCGCGCCGCCAGAAAATAAACAAAGCAGGACCGAGGTCATCAGAAGACACCAAAACTTGGCCCCAACAGATAATGAAGGCCGGATTTAGAGAGGGCCATCTGGCCTTCTCACGTCCCCGAAGCGAAGGAACGATCCCTGCCGTGTGTTTCAGCGCCATCCCGGATGTTGCAGAAGGAAAGGTGAAGCCACAGCTGGGTGATGAAGAATGATACGGGGTCGGGCAGTCACGGTGGGAAGACAAAACTCGGTTGTCCAGCTGCGATCCGCCGTTCACAGCGCTGCGCTCCAAAAAACGGCTGAAAATCGCGACAAGAACCGGGGCAGAGGCGACAAAAAGCTCAAAACGCGACAAAAACCCGGAGAATCCGACAAAAAATGGGAAATTCGTCGGAGGCCGTTCGTCCAACCCGTGAGCAAAGAAGCTCCGGGCACGTTGGAAAAAACATTGACGAACGGGTCACTGGATTTAGAAGCTACCACCATTTGAATCTGATCAGTTCCATGGGAATTATGAGGCGGAATGCAAAAGGACTTAGTCGGTCGGGATGACTCATGCTTCGTTCAGCAGCCGTTCGAATAACAAGACGAACTCTGGTTAGTTTAACGCTTAGTACTTGGGTCCTGAGGTCTAGAACCTTAGACAGCACGGGTCGATCGAAACAGATAGAGTAAAGTACCCACAAAAGTCAATGAAAGAGATGACGTTCAAAGACGATGCAGAGGGTTTTTGATCACTGAATTATGACGCGGAAAGAAATTTGAGAAGAAAGAGCAATTAAGCGGAGAATTAAAGGTCCAGACCCTCCAGGAAAAGGACTTTTTTAATCGTAAATTCCAATTGAAAACCGTTAGAGAATACGCCTCCAGAAATGAATTCGCGTTGCAGGATGACCAGGCCTGCGAAAGTGAAATAATATTATTCTTCAAAGGGCCCGGTGCTCCTTTCGCGCTCCCTCTCGCCGTTCTCGGCATTCTCGCAGCACGACGGACCCTAAAAGACGGACAGCGGGGCTAAATGGTTAACCCCACCCAAAGGTTAAGTAGGTCAGAGACTAGCCGAAAAACAACCAGTTTGCGCACCCTTCCCCACCAACCCACGGAGAGAAAAAGTGTGTGACAAGAAGTATAGGGGTGGGAAGAATTGAATGCCGCGGGGATTAGCGACAACAGAGCCGATGCTGAAGAAGAAGAAGGTCAACAGCTGGGAATGACCACAACAACGGTAATCATGGATTTCTAATCAGAGAGAACGGCTCGAAGATTAGGGCCAACCAAACAAAACAAAAAATGACCCTTGATTACAAGGAAGTGACAAATAAGAGTCAAAGGGACCCTGTATCATTAAACAAACAACTAGACTCAATGCAACCGTGGATAAGAATGCGCAATGAATAACCCAAGAAGGAGGGCAATTGATAAGCCTGGCTTATGAGTTGTAATGTCACATGAAATTTTTACAAAAGTTGAACCCTTCAAAGAGTGACCTGTTACCCGTGTTGCATTGAAAAAGCAATTCCCCTCAAAAGCGGGTAAAAGATACATGTTCAATGAGATCGCCTATACAAAATGACCAAAAAGCTCCAAAACGCTGACTAACGTCAAAAAAACATGAAATGGATCGCGATGCTTTTGTGCACAAACTTTTGTAGACGGCTATTAAAAAGAAGTTGAAGAGCCTCGATCCGATTCCGTGGAGCGAAGAAGAGACCTTCCGAAACCCCAGCTTCCCTTCTCGAACTGCTTGCACTCTTTTTTTTCTAAAGGCGACGTCGCAGAGAGAATCGCCCAAGGCCGCCGGTGCCGGTCGGAGCCGCGACGTGATCGCGAAGTCACCGCTGTTTCTCCGGCCGCCGCGCAACCGTTTTTTTTTCATTTCCAAAAAGAACTGGTCAACGCTTCCGGGGAGTCATAAACCATCTTTTCGGCTGATAAGATCAATGTTTATTCGCGCAGCCACCGATTTGCTTCAACGGAGGCCATCCGCGAAAGCCTTTGGGGGATAACACGACTGACTTTTTTTTGATCAAAAAAATCAAAGTTATTTTCTTTGCACGAAAGAATTCTGCCATTTTTTGTCGCGCGAACAAAAACGAAGATGCAATACCTTCGAGGTAAAACGGTCGCAGACTGTCTGGGGAGGGACCCGACCAGGGGGGCGGACAAGGGACGAGGGCTGACCAGAGAATCGAAGGTGGCGGAGGCGCTACCAGGCTGACCGCATCGTCCGACTTTTTTCGCGCAAAATCAAAATCCTCTGCTCGCGCACACTGTAGAGGGAGTTATGTAGACCCCGGTACCTTCTGAAAAAACCGCGTCAGGAAGGAGTCCAAGAAGGAGAAGGTGGAGGAAGAGGCGATGCAGAGAACTCCGTTTTTTCACTCATCCGGAGCCCTCCTTACCTGTTCAGCTGTTCGAATTTTTGCGGGAAAACGAACGACGACCTCGACCGCCTCAGGTCTTGAAAAAGGAAAAGGCGAACAGCTCGGGATCAGGAAGGGATCGACTTCTTGAAGCGTGAGAGATCGCAGTCTGGGGGCTGAGTGAGGCTTCGTTGAAATACAATGCCGAAAAACAACAATCAAAGCCGCTAAAAAATCTATAGACGCCATAAGCTAACGTTTGCTTATTGTTAGAAAATTCTGTAGACTGAACGAGCGATTAGACCTCCGTCAAGGAAGTCAGCAACCAGAAACAGAAATGATTTATTAGAATATAAATTGTCGACATTATTCGTCGTCTTCCTCTTCTTCTTCATCATCGACGTCATCCTCGCTTTTCTCACCATCCTCGTCGTCGGAATCCCGCTTCCCGGGTTTGAGTAGCACCGTTTCCGCCACAGATTCCTCGACCGCCTCCTCTTCCGCCCGCTCTATTCCCAGTTCGAGTTTCCGTCGATTTCTTTCATTCAATCGCCGTTCCTCCAGCTCTTGACGTGACAATCGATCATCAGGTAGAACATGATCATAATAGGTCTGATTGTTCACATCCCTGACCTTGTTAAAGCCGCCTGTTCGAGCTTGAGATTGGAGTGTTAGCTGGAATGTTTACGGTAAGCATTTCCTCAAATACAGGGTTAAAGGAAAAGTGGTTGCCCGAGGAGAAAAGTAAGCAAACTAGGGTCAAAGGAAAAGATCTTTCTTCGGACTTTGTAGTCTATTCGATGGATAATTGTAACAAGATCAAACAATCATCACGATTGAGGAATACTCCGACAAGAGACGAATAACTTACTTGTCCGCCCAGCCAGGCCATATAACGATTGGAATCTAGCTGATCTTGTTCGGTCCTATTCAGTCCAACAATTTCAGTAACGATCTGTCGATGATGATGTAATCCTCCTACCATTTTCTGAAACCATAAAAATTAATCAATTAATACACACACACGTACCTCTCCATTATTTTCATTCGCATCTCTAATCGACGAAATTTGATCCATACATTGGAATCTGGGAACGGTGGCCAAACATTTGATCATATCTTTGTATCCCATTTGTAATCCCCCAACTGGCCGACTAACATTTTCTCGTATTTTACCGATCGAATCGTTCTTGGCGTTCGGATTTGACTTGGCCAATAGGGGCATCGACCGTTCTGTGGCCTTCCAATCCGTTAGAATGTCTCGAGGGACCTTTTTCTCTTCATCATTCTACAGGAGAAGATATTGGCAGGCATTATTAAAATAGAATCAATCACATACATGCTCTCTGACCCACAAAACTTGTTCTCGGAATCCTCCAAAAGGTGTTTGTCCTGCTTGACTTGCATAAGCCTTCTTCAAAGGCGGACAGAGATGAAATGGAACGTTGCCATTATGACTATTGGTCAACTCTCTGGTACATATAATCTCAGGAACTAAAATTAAAATGCATTATTATCTTCGAAAGCAAAATTAAATCAGCTTAATTTACCGTTTTTTCTGATATTTCCGAAGCCCCCAGACCCAGTTTGAGAGGCATATTTATTGGATCCGTACTCCCAGGGAATCACATTTGGCAATACAATCTCCCTGGCCTTGTTCTGTCTCTCTTCCAATCGCTTTATCACCTTAAACATTAACTTTTATTTTATAAACTTACTTTATTGTGGGCCATGACTGATCCTTGACTCGGCGGAGACCCGTTTTAATCTCGTTTCGAGCATCCGTAGATCTCAAAACAAACAAAACAAGAACACTTTAACAAAGGATAAGGTTGGAATGCGTGGTACGTTCGTCTTGCATTATTTAATGAAGAAGTAAGATTACGGAGAATTACAGTAATCCTTGCATATTGAGTGAGATTCGCAAAATAAAACGTCACGTGGGCTTTTATCAAGCATTGGAAACACGTATCACTTGATCGAAGGGCGGGAAGAAAGGTGAGCATGTTGCACTTGACCTGCTGTTAGATTACTTTAAAATAATTGTTTTTGACATGAAAATGAGCATAAATGAACTTCAGATGATCATCCCTTATGTTTATTGCACTCTAACTGAACCCATAGCTTGCTCTTCACTTTTGCTGACTTTATTTTAAATTACTCTGCCAGTTGTTTACGTAAAACTTTATTTTTGTAAACTTCAAAAGGAAAAGGCCTTTTCTCGTTATGAGTAGCCAGATTTTACTCTCCGTTGTCACGTTCTTGTCGAACAGATTCACAAAAAACCCGCGGATATAACTAACGTTTCGAATTGAGAGCAAATTTTGCATTTCTGGCCTTGTGTGTTTTTTTGTCTGAAAAAAATAAAATATTATGAGCGAAACATTAGTGTTGTTCCCGTTCGGCTGGAGCGTGAGGTTAGAGTGCTCGGGGGTTTCGAAGGCAAAAAGGTCACGTATTTCTCTCCTCACTTAATTTTAGACCCTCAAATTTACATGGAATTACCTAAAAACTGGTGAAATCTTTGGTTCCTCCGTAGAATTTTTGGTAATTTCGTTCTTTGACGTCTTTCTAACCTTGAACTAAGATGAGAAACGGAACGAGCGTGTTTATAACGCTTGGGGCCTCGTGTTATCAGTCTTATTCTTCGTTTATGTGTAAACATCTTCCAAAGATTTTATCGCCATTTTTGTAGATAATGTCATTTTTCTCCGGAATCCCAGTCGCTGAGCCCATTGAGGTGTTCCACAAAAACCGGCTTTACCAGTTGGAGCAAAATCCTGACAAAGTCAACCTTACAATTGGAGGTAAATGGAAGATTTTTTACATTATCTTTGGGGTTTAGCTTATAGAACCGAGGAAAATAAACCTTGGGTGCTGCCTGTCGTCCAGCAAGCCGAGAGAGACCTGGCCAAGGACGACACCCTGAACCATGAATATTTACCTGTTCTTGGACTCCCAGAATTTACCGATGCTGCTGTGAAATTGGTACTTGGAGACGATAATCCAGCCATCAAGGATGGGCGTGCGTTTGGAGTCCAATGTCTTTCTGGAACGGGATCACTTCGTGCTGGAGCCGAGTTCTTGAAGAGACTTTTGAATCTGGACTCAGTTCTGGTCTCACAGCCAACTTGGGGAAACCATAAATTAATCTTCCACAACGCTGGTTTCGGTAGCATTAAAGTTTATAAGTATTGGGATGCTGACAACAAGAGAGTAGATATTGAAGGATTCTTGGCTGATCTGCAAAATGCCCCAGACAAGTGAGTTCGTTCTTGTTATTTATGGCCTTGTTCAGGACTGTGGTTGTTCTTCATGGATGTGCCCACAATCCAACTGGAATGGACCCCAGCCAAGATGAGTGGAAAAAGATCTGTGAGGTTGTCAAGCAGAAGAATCTGTTCACTTTCTTTGACATTGCTTATCAGGGATTTGCCTCGGGAGATCCGGATAAGGATGCCTGGGCCATTCGATATTTCGTTGAGCAAGGTCTGGAGATGGTCATCGCCCAATCTTTCGCCAAGAACTTTGGCCTTTATAACGAAAGAGTTGGCAATCTTGCTATTGTGGTGAATGACAAGTCAACTATTGAGGGAATCAAGTCTCAGATTCAGTTGGTCATCAGGGCCAATTGGTCCAATCCCCCGGCCCATGGAGCCAGAATTGTGGCCATGGTTTTGAATGATCCCAGCAGAAAACAGCAATGGTTGGACGCCATAAAAGTAATGAGCACTAGAATTCAGAAGATGAGAGAGGTCCTTCTGAAGTTGCTGATTGATCTCGGAACTCCCGGAAAGTGGGATCATATTGTGAAGCAGATCGGGATGTTCAGTTACACTGGTCTGAATAGTGAGTTTGTAATTTGTGGTATATTATGTAAAAGTTGGGGGCTTGGGGAGGTCGTCCGTGGGAGTGGATACCCCCAACTGCTGACTTCACGAAAGTCTCAGAGATACGTTTCCAGTCACAGTATTTTTTTGTCTTCTTTTTTTGGGAAGGGATCATAAATAAGACAGAAATCAAAGCCGTTTTATATATACTCTTTCAAACTCCGTGTAAAATACAAAAAATTCAGAAGAACAAGTGGATCGTCTGATCGCTGTCCACAAGGTGTTCCTTCTCAACGATGGTCGGATCAACATCTGTGGATTGAATACCAAAAACGTCGAGAAAGTTGCCAAAGCCATAGATGAGACCGTCAGAAACATCCCAAGCCGTCTCTGAACGGCGCTTAATTGGTCATTTTAGAGATGTTGTGATAACATAGAGAATAAAATAAGTAATCTTGCATGTATTTATTCATAGATTATATCAAACGGGTATGAACGCAGTGAATGTCAGTGCTAACAAATGGACTAGATACAACTAATTAACAAGCTAAAAATGCATGAAAAGGTGGGAAGATTAAAGCTGAGATTACTGAAGCAAAGGCACGTTTCCTTGTAGATGGTATGTTATCCATTGAGAATGTGTTAGATGATAAAAGTAATGTTTTCCTTGAGTTATTCTTCGAATTTGAGGGCGGCGAACTTCTCCTCGAATTTTTTGAGCAATCGGATTTCCCCCGTTTTCAAGATGAATATAAATTTGTCTAGGATATCGTCTCCCTCAGGCTGTTTTACATCACGATAAGCTTGACGAAGTAATTGGAGTCTTTGGACGATGAACTTCTGCGCTTTTATCTTCTGTGGGACCTCGTCGATGCATTCCAAATCATCGGAAACAAAGATCTTACAGAACAAAAACAGGGGAGTCTCAGCCAGATCCTTCTCATCAGCTGTCTTATCATCCAAAAGGAAGTGATAAACTCCCCGATCAGGGGTAACCCCGTGGAGCTGGAGGAATTCTTCTTCATCGGAACAGTCCCGACTTAATGGGAAGCCTAAATTACGGTGACTAATACAATCGTATCCAAAGAATATGATTCTTTTAATAACTCACCAAGTTTCATTTCAAAAACATCATGAGGATTTCCAAGTTGAGGTACAAATCCATTATGTATCAAGAAGTCACCGTTGGATCGGTTTCCATAATGTAAAAAAATCTCTTCACCAGCCTTGATTGGTTTCTTTACCTGCAGTTGGACCATACGAGACGAGGCATCATATACCATACTGGCGTTGTTGGTCTCAAAACTTTTGTAATTGGCGAAGTCAATCAACGGAACCAATGTTGGAATCTGAGGACAACAACAATAAGTAAAAATCATGTTATTTCTTACCGGACTTGGTCTTTCTGGATCATAACCAACAGTCGGGACATTGTTCAAACGAGTTGAAACTGTGGAAACACACCATCTGTAGAAGTCAAAGGTGAATTTGTTTGAATTTAGAGGACTTTTTCGGAAATTGTATGTGGATTTGAACCCAACATTCTAAACTCAAAAAGATAAAATCCAAATAAACTTGATCTTATACGCAATATTGTTGATGAACTTACATCCAAAAACAAAGCATCCTTCACTACCCGAAGACAGAAGTACACATAATGTCTGGATATGGCCCTAAACATGAGCAACGTCGCTTCAAAAACAGATGACGGTCGAAGCTTCTTCAATTCTTCGACAGTGAAAAAAATTGGTGTTCGGTGAGAAGGTGGAAGAGATTCCAAATAAGGAGTGAACTTCTTGTCCTTCGATAAGACACATTCCGCCACGATCATCGCCAACGTCACGTTCGGCATGGAGCTTAACATCGTGTCACAGTCGTGCATCTTTCTGCACAAGAACGGGATTAGAAGATGTCAATGTCATAATATCACTTAAAACAGCTTTTTTGTAAGGGTCGAGCTAGCTGTGCACATGAAACAGGATGTCACAGTAGAGCCATGAAACACTAACCATGTGTTACCCTAACCGCGAGTACTAAATTTCAGAAAAAATTTTTTTGATTACTGGCCTACTGTAGGTGTACTGTAGCTTTACCGCATTTCCAGGATCTCAGCCACGAGAGGTTGGATTCTCTCCGGACCTTCTCTGTGTTATAGAATGGACAATTCTAAGCAACTTTCGTATTGACACCTTTTCCCTAGGACTTCTGGAAGTATGTGAAAAATTTGCATATTTGGCAAAAAATTTATATTTCTTAAATTTTCTAAAAAAATTTGCATATCGGGACGTCCTTTTTATTGCTCTAAATGACGCTCCATGAAGCAACAATTCAAACGGTATATAGGTCATCGCAAGGCGTTCTGCCTATGTTGCAAACGAGGCTTCTATAGGTCGGGTCATCACGGATTTTTCTCGGGCTAAAATTTTATATGCGAGATATTGGGACAAAATTTGGTTTTATTATAATCTACGCAAAATTCTAAGACTTTTGGACCACACTTTTATGAGTCTCAGACCGACCGGTCGAAAGATACGACCGATTCTTGAGACTTTTCCGGTATTTTACAATTTTTACCCGGAAGGTGACGAAATTTCTGGGTTTCTAGGATTCTGATGGTAGTATTCGATGTAGCACGTACAAAGTTGCCTACGTACATCGATCCCGCATACCGATACGGATGTTCGCGAAAAAAAGGAATTTTTGTCTAAAAATTTTTGCGCAATATCTAACAAAACTCCATTTTAATGACTGAAATTCAGCATTCTGATGGCACAATTAAATCCGAACATATAATTTAAACTAGATACGTGCTCCATTCATCACATTAGCGTTTCGTATTTGAGATATTAAAATTTCTTTGAGGAAAAACCGACAAAAATTTGCATGATTTTTTCTGAACTGAAAATAAATGGAAAATATTTTGATCGATTCGGTCTATAGAATAATCTCGAAATGCGGCAACTAAAAAAGGTAATTTTGTCAATTTTTCCTCTTAGAAGGTTACTTGCGGCATGGTGTCAGACTCCAAAAAAAAATACAGGTGTACCTCAGAATATTCCTAGAAGCGACAACCAACTTTTCAAAAAAACTTGAATAGCTAAAGTATGAAAAGCGACAAACATTGAGTTATTCACAGACGCTGAATTAAACGCAATCAAAGAAACCCCGAAATTCCGTCACCTTCCGGGTAAAAATTGTAAAATACCGGAAAAGTCTCAAGAATCGGTCGTATCTTTCGACCGGTCGGTCTGAGACTCATAAAAGTGTGGTCCAAAAGTCTTAGAATTTTGCGTAGATTATAATAAAACCAAATTTTGTCCCAATATCTCGCATATAAAATTTTAGCCCGAGAAAAATCCGTGATGACCCGACCTTTAGAAGCCTCGTTTGCAACATAGGCAGAACGCCTCGCGATGACCTATATACCGTTTGAATTGTTGCTTCATGGAGCGTCATTTAGAGCAATAAAAAGGACGTACCGATATGCAAATTTTTTTAGAAAATTTAAGAAATATAAATTTTTTGCCAAATATGCAAATTTTTCACATACTTCCAGAAGTCCTAGGGAAAAGGTGTCAATACGAAAGTTGCTTAGAATTGTCCATTCTATAACACAGAGAAGGTCCGGAGAGAATCCAACCTCTCGTGGCTGAGATCCTGGAAATGCGGGAAAGCTACAGTACACCTACAGTAGGCCAGTAATCAAAAAAATTTTTTCTGAAATTTAGTACTCGAGGTTAGGGTAACACATGGTTAGTGTTTCATGGCTCTACTGTGACATCCTGTTTCATGTGCACAAGGCAAATCTGAAAGCTCGAGTCTCTCGGAAAACTTGTTTTAAGAAGCAGAAAACTTCCTGATCATTAACGTTTTAAATGAACACTTTTGAGAGAAAAAGAATTCCGTACCAAATCTGTTAAACCGCCCGTCACTTACCGTAACTCCTTCTTCTCCTCTCCATAAGCCAATGATAAAGTCGCCGAATTAGGAACTTCTATGGGAACATCGTCCACTTCGAGATCTTTCTTGGCAAACAACCCGTATCCGAATTCAGACTCCCTGATTTCCACGGCTTCATGACCAATCCCTCGTTCTTCCAGCCATTTAGGTAAATTTTCTACAGCTTCTGCTCTATCTAAACAGCAAAGATAATGAAATTTCCAAGAAACCCGACCTTTCCTATCGATATGTTTATGCATGTGAAAGATCTCTTTGTCGTTGACGCCAAGAGCTTCTCGGATCCTCAAATGTTCTTTGAAGAGCTCGTTGACATTAGCAGAAGGGGCACCACACAAAGTCGTCTGCCAGAGATCAGTTAATGATGTTATCCTAGCATCGCTGAGATTGAGGGACATCCTTTAGGTAGGATAAAGTCGGGAAACGAGGGATCGGCCGCCTCTCCCTTCGAGAATAACGTTTGTGATCATTCTTTGAGTGAAAAATTGGCCGAAAAATCACATTACTAACGGCAAGCTGCGCCCTACTCCTCTGCATTGTTCTTCCACTTTCACTCGAAGGAATGGTATAAGTATTAGCAGTTTGGCGCCAATCAAGACTAATCTATGCAATTAAAGTCTTTTATACTAGATACAAATTATATATTAAAAATGTAAAAATCTCGGACGCTAATAATATTTTCTATAAATTACAAACCTATATTTTTCGGAATTCCACATTTTTTCACGGCTGTTTTGGTACGTCACGCCACGAAAACGAAGGTTTGGCATACTGTGTTCTTAAATTTTTTTATAAAAAAAGAAAAAACTGTAAATTAATATTTTACTTGATAATGTTAGTGCGTTAACATTATCATGTTTATAGTAAAAACTATAAACTTGGTTGCTGTATTTTTTCTTGGCATTTGTAACACCTGTCATATTTTTACTGTCTGTTTTCGAGAGTTTAACCGGGGGATTTGGAATCTCAACTAACAGGGGAAGCACCAAATGCGACGGCGCGACGCTTTAGCACTTCCTCTGTTTTTTAAATTTTACGAAGTAAAAATACCAGTAAATTTGGTATTTTTTCTGACAAGGAAAGTACTTCTATGGGGTGTGGAGTTACAGGTCGAGATATATATCAAAAAATTCGCAAAACTTTTCTGATTCAGAATATATAAAAATTAGCTGCCTAATTTTGGTCTGATGACATGTTTTTGTCCTCAGAAGTTTTCTCGCGACACCATGCAAGTGTCTTTTTGACCGTGTTTTTAACAATAAAAAAAATTTGTGTTGTGCTAAAATAAATTCTGAGGCCTTGACAAGCCTTAAAGTTTCAAATTGGATTACAACTACACCTTAAAAATAGTTCCAATGTAAAAAAACGGGTTCTGTGGCAAAAGGAATCGAACCCGTCCCCCTCGGATTCCCAATCCAGCACTCTAACCACTCGGCCACACCGCTCTCTTCCGAAGGAAGAGACCGAGCGCGCTTTTGTTGCCGCAGATTTTTTTCCTCGAGAAAAACGTTTATTGATAAAACTCGCTGGTAGACCAAAATTAGGCAGCTAATTTTTATACATTCTGAATCAGAAAATTTTTGCGAATTTTTTGACATATATCTCGACCTGTAAATTCACACCCCATAGAAGTACTTTCCTTGTGAGACATTTGCGAGCCTTCTTGCTCGCGCTTTGCAGAAACGACAGAGATTTTTAAGTAGAAAGTTGACAAAATAATTATTTCCGGGAATAGGGTTTATACTGAACGTGCTTGTATTGAACGGCTATTACTCATAACCTGGCCATGTGTTAAAAACCCTATAATTTTGATCTTGGAGATGTTCGAAGGATCGTACGAGACTTATATATACACTTATACGTACTTTGGTCTTGTTTGGTTCTCCACGTTTTCTACTAGGCGGGTGTAAAGCTTGAGGTTCTTCCGCTTTATATGGTGTGTACATTAGAGCTAAAATCAGCAGGACTAGCGGTTCTTTCTCTTTTAGATGTTCTAGAGAAGAATTAGGACTGGACTGGGGGTTTGTACTACCTTAGCCCCGAGAATTGTGTGAACGTGGATTTGTTCTAATCAGCTCTAATCAACTCGATTAAATTTAGCCTTTTTCTTAGTTTCTCTTAATAAATTTTGTGTTGTTGATCTGTATAAAGTATATAGTTTACAATGTCATACGCAGTTTAAGTCTGTTCTACACGGAATTTCTATTGCCTTGGCATTTACAGGATTGTAAGCGCTTCTACGAGGTTTAAAGCCTCTATTTTTGTTGTTGCGAGCAATTCTTTGCTATTGCTGAAAATAATTCATTATTCTTGTTTCTAAAGGTCAAGTACAATATCCGGATCTGCACATGCTGGTGCTCTTTGGGACTGTTTATTGTTTTCATGTCTGATGAAGTATTTTGGGTTGTTTTTGTATAAGTACTTATAATGCACTTTCCCCGAGACTTCCGTTTGTTCTAGTGTCAGAGTTGGTGTACTTTTACATGGCCAATATCTCTTGTGTAATCTCCCGTGTAATGTTTCAATATGTAAAAGTTGCAGCCCTTTCCTCACCCTTTGCGGAGAGTAAGAGTGCAAAAACCATTGAATGTTCAGGTTCGCTGACATTTGACTGCTCATATCTTTGAACATCTTTTGCACTTTTAGGCTGGATTACGGTAACATTCTTGGTGACATCAGCCAGAATACTCAAGTGGGTGCACAAAGCTACTTTGCCAGCGGATCTTTGCGTGCGCCAAACATCGTGTCTCAAAACAAAAGCGGAGGATTCATCCAAGCGCATTATGCAGGTTTTCTACACAGTTTTGATTACGGTAAGTGGCATTTCTTGATCTTTAATTTTTTTAGGTAGCCGTTGCTGTAAATGGGCAGTTGTTTGAAGAAGAGGATCTGTCTCCCGAGGAATGTAAAGAAGCGGGATTTAATCCGGCCACATTGAAATGCGGCACATGCAAATTGTTACCTCAATATAATCTGGATTTAATTGTCAGTGATTGCGAGAAATGTTGTCTCAAAGAGAGCGACAAAGGTCATGAAGTGAGTAGAAGCCATGCTTTTTGATAACTTTAATGGTTTTAGAAATATCCACTTGCTCAAATTGAAATCTGCGAATGTAATTTGCAACGATTCCCTCAGGTGAACGGTAAGTAGAGATTGAGGTGCCAAAAGTACAGATTTACAAGCGAACATGACGTTTGGGATTAAATAATCTAAAGATTGGCTGGATCGTGATATAAACCGATTTTAGGCACCAGCTTTTTCAAACATGTGTGATGTTTTCTAAAAATTTGACTGATGAAATTCGATAAGATATGTTAAAATATCAATAACATATAAACGCGCAGAGACATTGTTGGGGTTGGGGTTTTTGTCTCGGTCTGCGTTTTCGTCTAAACGCCCTTTTATGCCGTCGAACCTCTTTTTTTGAAAGAATATTTCCGTGAATTATGGATTAGATTTTCTGACGGAGATTATTATACTTTGACGGAAGTCTGAACCGCCATTTTTGCAGCCTTCGTTAAGACCGAGTTAAGTCAACAATGGGGAAACAAACTAAGAATTCGGCATGTTCGAGGAACCCTGCCCACCACCGTCCTTAAAGACAGTGAAGGGCAGCCTCAGAAGACGTTGAATATCGAAAAATGGGATACTGACACCATCACAGACTTCCTCAACGACTGGTTGGAATAGAAGACGGGTTGCGCGGGACGTCGTAGCGGATCATGGGCTTCTATTCTTCTCATACTTCAGCCTTCTCTTGTTATTGTAAACAAGACTTTGCGTTGACCAACTTATTAATGGGTCTACAGTAATCTTTAATTTATTTTGTTCATGTTTGTATTCTCCGAATTCAAATAAAAAGTGCATTGAACTTAATTTGACGTACTTGTCAACGGCGCTGTGATCGTTCTGTTTTTCAAAGACTTCTTCGGAGAATCGGCGTTTCCCTTACGGTGCACTTTGCTGAAAGCCGGCATTAACGCCACAACAACGTGTTGGGATGAGTCAGTGCGCTTACAAAACAAACCGGCTTTTTTCAACAGGGTCCTATTATCTAATGTATCAAACGCCCTGCAGTCGGCCTTTCAATGTATTATGGCCGCGGGGAATTAGACGTTGTTACGCGTTATAAATAGGGCTCTCTACAAGGTTAAGGCTATTGGGACGTCCTCTTCCCGATGATTGCCTCAGGGCGAGGACCTTTGAACTTTGATATTTTCCTGTTTTCGCCACAATACGTGATCGGTTTAAAGTGCAGATTAAAAAAATAAATAACAAAAACTGTAAGTGCAGATAGTTCGATCGACTGGGCACACGGCTTTCTTTGCTTGTACTCTGATTGACGCGCTTGCACTTACTTGTCTGATTGGCTAATTGCATATTTACAGAGTAATGGAGGTTGTTATTCAGACCACTTTCTTATACCGGCTCTTAGGCAATGCGAATAACTCCTATCGTTTTATATGTTATAACATTTATTAGCCTAAAATAATATAAATTACTAGTCCTAAAATCGATTGTCAAGTTTTCCCGTCAGACTTTCAACAAAGAATAACAACGCAAGGAATGGTCTCAATCGGGGATATGAGTGCAGATAACAACAATATGTACATACTATGCAGATATATGCAGGGAAATGTAATGAGGCGATCGACCCGTCAATCTTACTGAAGGATTTCTTCAAAATAGAACCAAATAAATAATAAGGAATGATAATTCTCGAACAAGAACAAATGGCAGTGAAGGAAAAGGAGTCGGCTGACAACAATAGAGTTATATTAAACAGTAATCCTACTCATCCCGTTCGATTACCCGTATTTTGAGGGATTGGAAGCACACAAATCAACAACAGAAGGATAGGAAGCCTTCAGGACCATTACTCAATGCTCTCCAGACTTTCTGAAAAGAAAATATTATAATTTGGAAATGAAAAAGAAAAAGTTGGTTAGGAACTCCAGCATACCTTGTTTCTGCCGTGCTGCTTCCCGTGACATCAATAGTAAAAGGCCGTTTAATTCGTCTTGGAATTTGGGTTTATGATGCCTGATCTGGTGGTAGCATTTATCGAGACAATCCCGACTATTGCAGCAAAAATCTTCCAGTTCATCCCGTGTGCATCCCTTCGAACAGCATTCCTTTGCGACTTTCTGGGCCGTTTCTTTGTAATCGGAACCTGAAAATTTTAAAATTAGCATTTAAAAATGTTGTGGATACATCGGTTAAGGCATGGAAACTCACCAGATTTGGCATCCTTGAAACAGGGATGTCTTTGAGTGGGGTATCTGCAGACATAATTGACCCGCTTCATCCATTTATTATAACAGCCAGCACCACTGGCAGGCAGAGTCTTCTTGTCTGTCGATGATTCCACGAATACAGTTAGCGTAGCGAAGATCAGACTGGCAAGAAAGTTCATTTTAATCTGGTTGAAACTTTTGACAGCAACAGAAAAGCGAGCACCTCGATGACCACTGATATAAATACTTGGGGCCGAGAGACGCCGCCCCTTTCCGTACGCGCAAAAAGTTGTATTATTTACCCTTTAATTGAAACCAGTAATAAGGGCGTTCGAAGCAAGTGCCAAGGACTGTGCGAAGAGAGTAGCGCCCTCCACAGGGTGGAGTTACAAATCACAAAACACCATAATCCTCCGAGACTTCCCTTTCCCCCACCGCTCGGACCCCGCCCATAATAATAACTTGGGCGAAAAAACGTTTAAAAGTACAGTTACAGTAGGCGGCGGAGCCCCGCCTTACAATTGATTTACGAGCTTGGAGCTTTTGGTGCCAGAAAAAACGAGGAAATCCCTAAAAAGTCAAAGATGCGCCGTATTTCGCAAGGCTAATATGAGACACGGGATCAGAAGGACTCTAATTAACTGTATTAAGTTAATTGTCGAGATTAAGAGGAGTCATCCAGAAAAAAAGTGCCCGGAAAGTTGAACCCTCTAGAATCTTCAGAGCAATTTAATGCTCAATTCGAGTGATTTAAATAAATCTTTGGAAAGAATAACATATCATGTGTAAAGATGTATATAAAAATGGCTTTTTGGGATGACTAAATGATGACGAAACGGCTATTAATCTCATGGAAATCTCCGAATCCGTCCAGGAGATTGTTTACATTGTCCTAATAAAGCTCAAAAACAGGATACAAATAAAATATACATTTATTCTTGTAATCTCATTGCCTCGATTGTATGAAGAAGTTTCGAAAAATACTTTAGATGTACCTTCAAAGATTTCAGAGGGTTTGAGGAATTGTGTAGGCTTACAATTAGAAATTTTGGTTGGACAAAATTCTCAAATGAAGCCGAAAGTTTGTACTCCAATGACTTTTCAGTTCAACTTTTAGTTACAATCGGTGTAGTTTATGAAATTCGATCTGAAATTGCTCTGTAACTCATCCGTAGTTAATACTCATTTTTGGTGCAAGTATTTAATCCAAATGAAAGGATTCTTTGGTCCCAAGATTTTCCGTGGTTACTCAACATTTTGGTCAGATTAACCTCCATAACATGTGTAGGTAGACATTGTCTCCTTGACATCATTACATTCTGATGAGCATATTGTGTTCTTTTTCTTATTACTCATATAAAAATTGACAGAAAACACGTAAAACGATGATTAAGATTCTGACACGACGGCCGTGTTTTGTGCTTGATTGTACCAAGAAAACATGCCCTCTACGGGTGTTACTTGTTGTTGCATCTTGGATTGTACCATAGGCGAACAGAGTGCATATTACGTTATCCAACTACGATGCCCGGTGCTATAAACAACAACATTTGGGGAAGATCATCGGTTACTATTTAGTTCCTTTTTTCATTATTACTAATCCCACTACTTCCAGGTAATTGTACAGTATTTGCAGACATGGAAAGGTCGAGGGAATGCACTTTTGCCTTACAATTTCTGAATCACAAACAACCGTTGAGACTTTTCGGAAATGTAAGAGTGCTTGTTACAATAATTGTAGTTGCACTTTTATGGTATTTCTGGCCCAACTCTAGAAGGCGCGTGGTTGTTTTGGACAACGTGGAGGTTGTCGTGAAAAATTAAAAGACTACAGACACTTGTTTTGGACGTCGAGCCAGACGCCCCCCGTCTTTTGAAACATGGCGGTGCCCTTTAAGAGTTGGCTGAACAACTCCACCAAGAGTAAGGCAGTTCTGTGAATGCAACTGACGTGTTTTCAGTTGGAGTTTTGCACAATTCGGAATGGCAAATCCGAGAGTTTTTGGGTCTTTCCACGACCCGAATATACGATCGAAAGTAATTACACGAAACTTTTTATCGCGGCTTCTGTTCGCATGCAAATGTCATACACATTAGATGACTATTCCGAAGGCTCTAAAAACCAAAACATAAAAGAATTGCTAACCAAATGCCGTTACTTCTTTTCAAACAAAGCCTATTAAGGGCCTCACGGACAAACAGAAAACCGGTTTCCCCAAAAATATTTAATACCCAGTTTCGCAAAAAACTGTAAAACTGTTGCAGTAATCATCCAAATTACAGCAGCCGATTAGCGGAATCTCTTCTCCGAATGGTTTCTGCCCAAAACAATGTTTTATCGGATAAATGGAGATCTCTAACGTTGTAATCGGATCGAGAACTCTGTTTGCATTACTCCAATTTGGCAACGAAGCACTTTTATCTCCCCATCATGTTCCGGCTGGACTGTTGAAATTGGGGATGGCATCAAAAACATAAAAAATTCGAAGAGTTTTAAAACGGAAGCCAGATTTTAAACATCAATACCTCTGTTGTCTTAACACTAACAAGAGAAGACTTCCAAGTGAAACGTTCAATTTTTCTTTAGATTTTGCACACAAGTGGGACATACCCCATATGTGAATTCCTGGAAGTTTTAGCCCGGGCTTTACAGCGACAGCCAAGAATTCAACGATATTTACATAGGGCGGTCAGATTTTTAAAGTTTTTGCAAAAAACAATGACATCTCTGCAGTGCATAGAACAACCATAACACTCAACGGTCTTTTAAAAGATTATAGATAGAATGCAAACTTTTCAACTCATTTTTGGCTTAAGAATTTCTAGAAGCAGAGAGCTTAAAATGTCAAAATTATCAAAATGAGGAGCTTTGCCCGAGCACTGTTGGCAACCGGTTTTTGCAGTTTCGTTTGACGGTCGAAAATAATCCGATTTCCGTAATCCAAATCCTGCCTAAAGTTACAAAAGGGCGCTTGTAAAAACAAAGGCATTGTAAGACCAAAGACTTTTTATTTGTAATCATTTACTGTAAACATGACCTTCTGCTAATTGCCAGTCTTCTACAATCGAATATCATGTGCCTTCGATTTGAAAGCCACAGAGAAATGATAATTTGTGGTTAACATCTGCAAAATAAAAAATTGCATAAGAAACTGCAGGTTACAGTAACCAGAAATAACAAGATTAACCAGGTATCGCATCAAACGATTTTATGAAAAAATATAATAGTTGCGCGTTGTCTAAGGAAGCAGAATCGCAATTTTACAATTCCGCCACGGTTGTACTTTCGGAGACGGGTTCGTTTCGTTCCCACTCAACATATAGGATAACCAATGGGAATATTTAGACTTTTACAGAGAAAACGCTTGTTTCTCGGGAGGAAATCCGTCAAAAAATTACAGAGGATTAATCGATCCATCGCTGTACGCGTTCCTATTATATTCGAATCTCAATCTCTGTATCGGAAAAGGCAGGATGTTAGCCAAACCGTCTGCAAAGGAGATCTCCATTCAGAGTACAAAAAAAGAGAATCGCTAAGCCTGTTTTATGTTATCATATTCTCCAGAAATCCTGTAAACATACATATATATATTTATATACATGTTTAAATATTTCTGAGGCCAAAGATTTATCAAATACCGTCTAACCAAGGCTACAGTGGGATGAGAAGGAGATAATGTAAAGGGTCGCAGCAGGATTCAGCAAAGCGTAGCCTTGTGATAAAATCTATCAATTTAACAATGTAGGGGTATAACATAAAAGGTTTGCCTAAGGCAGAATTCGTCCGATTCTTCCCGCTTAACGGGAAGATCCTAGATTTTTAAAACAAACATGGTGTGGAGTGTGATTTTTCATCGTATAATTTGTCAACATGACATGACTCTGTTGTGATAAGCCTTAACGAGTTTTAGATACATATAAAGATAGTCACAGAAGTTGTCGGCTATTATTTTTTCTGTAACTTCGGTGCGAAAATGGGGTGACATTCACTTTGAAAAAAGTTCACATTTTAATCTTCGTCTTGCGGTGATTTTCAAAAATCTGCACTGGTTTCTCCCAAATTCTCGAGCTTTTTTGACACAGATTTTTCAAGATCAATGTCAACCCAGTTTTTAAAACTTTTACTGATGTCTTGAAACTACAAAATAGTGTATAAATGTTAAAATTAGGGTGATCAATAGCGGAGATTTCAAAAATAATGTCCATTTTTTTAAATTATGGCTTTTTTAAATGTTATTATACCGTAAAGCCGTAATCCTTTGAATTAAAAAAAAATATCAAGAATCTTTAAAAATTTAAAATTACTACTTTACAGTGCTACAAAAAAAAAAAATAAAAAAAAAATGAACATGATTTTAGAAACCTACTCCATCAATCACCTTAATTTAGACATTTGCAGGAAAACAATATTTTTTAGTTTCCCCATTCGTACCAAATCCTCAATTGTCGCAAAGCCATGGCGCGACGCACGTCAAGAAAAAATAAAAGAAAAACGGGCGCCCAATGAAAAAGCCTAGATTTTTTTTTGGCATTCTGCCCTGTGCAAATCCGTTTTTGTCCAAATGGTTTGCAATATTTTGACATAAAGATTAATAGTAAATCACAAGATATTGATACCAATAGAAAGCTCGAGGGCTGCTTAAGCTAATAGAACCAAAATATACCCATAATCGTAGTATTTTGACAGTTTTCCATGGCGAAGAATACAACGTCTAAATAAAAGTTTGTATCGACGATACCGAGTCAGAGAGCACTGGAAGGAGGTATAGGCTCCACGTCAAAAAAATCCTTAAACTGTTCTTCGAGTATCTACACCGGTCCCGTCCCGCTTGATGGGACAGTTTTTTTGATAGTTGGCCTTGAAATTTGCACTATTTTTAGCCTAGCTCGAACCATGTTCAGAAAATGCGTCACGATGACACCCATTTAGAATGTACCAGCGGTATAAAAAACAGTTGTATACGACTAGTAGTACTCCCTAGAGTTCCCATAAAAAAAATTAGGTTAAAAATTATTGTTATGTGCAATTTGGATGACAGGTTTTATGAATTTTTTTTCGCTGTGAGAACCTTTGCAATGCCCGCAATTTCTTGACGTGCGACGAGTCCGCCTTACTTCCCGACTAACTGACATTGCCCAGTTAATATTTGCTGACCCTACTTAATAGCCGTTGAATGAG